GCTGAGCCTGTTGCTGAGCCTGTTGCTGAGCCTGTTGCTGAGCCTGTTGCTGAGCCCGTCGCTGAGCCTGTTGCTGAGCCCGTCGCTGAGCCCGTTGCTGAGCCCGTCGCTGAGCCCGTCGCTGAGCCCGTCGCTGAGCCCGTCGCTGAGCCTGTTGCTGCTGAGCCCGTCGTTCAGACTGAGACCATCAGTGAGACCGTCACTATGGTTCCACACGATGCTCCATCTACTGTGGTGGAGGCACCTGCTCAGAACGCTGCAGAGGAATCTATCGCTGAAAAGCCTACCGAGCAATCTACCGAAGAACCAGCTGCCGCCGAGCCTGTCGCTGAGACCCCGGCACCAGTTGAGCCCGCAGTCGAATCCGTTACAGAAGAAACTGTTGCAGAGTCTGTCTCCGCAGAGACGGCAGCTGAACCTACTGAAGATAAGGCTACCGAAGTGACCGCGACTCAAGAGTCCGAGCCCGCTATTGTTGAGGAGACACTCGTTCAAAAGGAACCAGAGACAGTTGCCGACGTCGCTAAGCCAGTTGAGGATGCACAGGTCAAGGCGGATGTCCCTGAAACCCAGGAGCCCATCTCCTCCGAGCCCGCCAAGGAGGAAACCCCAGTTCAAGAGGAACAAGCTGACAGCGCAAAGGACAGCATCTTGACCCCCGAAGTCATTGGTGCTGGAGCTGCTGCTGCCACTGTCGTCGGCGCTGCCGCGGCTGGCGTTGCTTTGGCATCTGACAAAGAGCCAGAGGTTCAACCCAGCAGTGATAAGATCGAAGCTTCTCGATCTGCTCCGGAATCGCAGGCCACAGACAGTAAGCAGAACCCATCGCCGACCGAGCAAGCGCCATCAACCCTTGACCATTCAGCTGATCCAGCCCCTACAGCGCCCAGCAAACCTGCAGAATCGAGCGAGGAAGCGTCGTCGAAGGCCGTGGAAACCCCCGCCGTCAACGAATCGAGCCAGCAACCCGAACCTGCTGCTTCATCCCCTGAGGCTGTTGCCGACAAATCCGTGGCCAGCAAGGGCGCCGAGGACATTCGTCCCACGAGCCAGAACCAGAACCGGTCAGTCACCGCTGTTTCCCAGAACATCAACCAAGACAGCTGGTTGAAGGCGATCATGCGCTCCGTCTTTTCCAACTTCTTCAAAGCCATCTTCTCACCGTTTCGACGTCGCGGAAAGGCATCCAACAAATAAGGACTTGCCCTTGGATAGCTTTCTCCAAGAATTTTCCCATTTAGATGTCAAGATGTTTTTGCTGCTATTTTTCATTCTTATTGTTGCCAAAACACTGACGTGAATCAGGAAACTGTTCTTGATGACCGTTCTTGCAGCCCCCTTGCTAGCATCATTTGTTTGGCGTACATATACCCGATAAGTTTTCGATTCTCTTCTTCTTTTTTCTATCTTTTTTCTTTTCCTTTCTTGGAATCGAAATTGAGGCCGAAAAGAAGATACCACCGCTCCTTTTCCTGTTTTAAAACTACCCCAATTTGATTCCCCTGTATTTGATATTTGTGCATAATCATTTCAGGTTATTTGTTTGATTTTCTCCTCTCCAGATTGCAACTCTTGATATTGCTTTTTATCTCTTCGTTTCTTTTCCTCTCTTTTCCCCCTGTGTCAATCTGCTTGTCATATTGGTAGTAATCAGAACGAGACCCGTCGAAAAAGAGTTTGTCGACCATCTACCAGTATGTAATGATGTCCAGTGATGATTTTTACGATGAATGTTTGATGTGATGATAATGAAGAATTCCACTTTCTCTCTTTATTTAAATCCTGCTTTCTGTTCTACTCCGTATGTCGTACTTTGTATGTGACCTGTTGTCTGGTCTGTCTTATGGCTTGTCCTTTTTGGTCTTAGAAGAGAGGATCTTTTTGCTTGAGTGTGAATTCTTCTTTTACTTGTCTCTTTGATTTTATCATTATTCGAGGGTTTCCTTAAACATTATGCCTGTAGAAGCTCGAAGTAGACTCGAAGCAATTTGATATTGTCGAATAACTGCAGAGATCGTAGACATTTTTGATATCAAAACAGAGCTGGCATAAAAGACTGAAAGACAAGTTGCATTGTAGAATCGATCAAAGAAAGACTAGCTACAGACTGCTGGCTCTTGTTTGCCCTTCACTGCCATTCACGCATGCCTTTGGCGAAGCCCACAACGCGTTCTGAGGGCGAGCAACACAACCCTAAAAAGGAAATCCCCAGGAACACCTCCTCTCTCTCTTTCTCTCTGCCCACTTTTTTCTTCAGCTACCATCTGCATCTTTGCATCCTTGGCTTCTCTCTGAATAAAACCATTTCAAGATATCAGATAGTCTATCTAGCCCCTCTTCTTCCTTCCATGGAAGATCATAAACAGGCACAAGAGTTGCAACTCGAGTCAAAAGAGACGCCCCCCAGATCTTTCCATCAAATTCGGCTGTCCTTCATGGCTGCTCACAACGGCAACGCGTGGGCCCAGATGAAAGCGCGAGAGCGCGAGCAGCAGCTCCAACAGCAGTCGGTTGATCCAGGCAAAGGTAAGCATCTAATCCTCCCTCAGTTTTTCAAGAGTCCACGAATGCTTTTTCTTGAAAAGGAGGGGCTGACGCTGATATAATTGCAGTAGCCATCCCTCGCAAAGGCCCTATCATGTCGATCTCATCTGGCCAGAGACCAAGAAGCACTCGCAGCTGTTCTGGTTTGGACTACGACGCTGAGCTGGCTGTCCCGATGCCGAAGCCACGCCATATAGCACCACCGTCGAGTCCTGGACTTGCTGCTGGGCCCCAATCGAGCATCATAAAAAAGCCGTACGTCTCGCAAATGCGCTCCACGACCGAACCAGTTCGGCCGGTCGAAAACAACGAAAAGAAAACAGGCGAAATCGAAAAAAAGAAATCAAAAGTAGCCACTCTCAGGTCCAAGTTCAGTCTTAAAGACATTGGCAAGGAGCTTCGCAGGGATCCTGCCCCAACCTGCCCACCAAGAGTTGGAAACGCACTGGACGACGACTTGAGACAGTCCCCTGGGTTCGACGTCAAAGCGCACTTCGACGAAGAGAGACTGTATGTCCCCAAGCCACGACGGGCCGGGGTGTACCCATCATCTGCTCCACCGTTCCAAACAACAACCCCATTCCGGGGATCCTTGGATCAGAGCTCGCATGATAGTATTGTGTCTGCTGCATCTGCTCGACAGCCAACAAAAGAAGACGAAATTGATGCGGAAATACTCAAGGTTGACCAAGCTGCGAACAAAGACAAAGCAGCAAAGACCCCTTTGCAACGGAGCATTGAGCCGATCAAACATGTCGGTAATCTTCTTCTCGAAGGCACTCGTGCCGGGGCGTACTCAAACAATAGACAGCCGGACATCGTAAAAGCACAGCCAAGCGTCTGCAGTCTGAGAGCCGAACGGGAGCCCGGTAGCAGCCCTCTTTCGTCGAACGTGACTCTTCACCCTGCTGGGGAAGGCACCCCATACACGCCATCGGTGCACGATAAGACCATGGCTAGAAAGGCATCAGAAACCCCAGTGCATGACCACCCAGCATCCGATAATAGGAGCGAAAAATCTCTTCCTGTGGTTGTGTCTAGTGGTCAGCGTAAGGGTTCATCGTCTACTGTGCGAGTGGGAAAAGGAAAGCCGCTTACCTTGTGGCCAACCGCTCCTTCCTTCGAACCACGAACAACCACCACGTCTCCAGATGACAGCCAGCTCAGTGTCACCAGTCATGGAGGGTATGCCCCTGCACCACCGTACCCAGGCTACCAGAACACCGTGACGCTCGAACAGCAGCTTGCTAGCCAAGTTGACTCGCTCCACCATCATATGGACAACGCCGTCAGCCGGCTCACCAGAACTTTCGAAAACACGAATAACTGGACGGCGGACCAGATCCTACGCCAAGTGGACACGATGTCGGACATTGGTCGTCTCATGAACACCCGTGCAGTTGGCCAGATGGAGACTGTAAAGGAGACGCACAGGTTTATGAATGATATCTGGGCACAAGTCAACGTGATTCAGCAAGAGACGCGTCAGATGGAAGAGAGACTCTCACGCACCGTTCAGATGGAAATCGCCAGACTCAGAACAGAGCTCTCTAGCGCCCTGATCCCCTGCAACCCAGTGCAGGATTCGAAAATTCCCAGCACTGAGTTCCAAGGGACCCGAGCTAGTACTGCTACAATGGAAGCGACCAGGGACAATGAAAAGCGTGCAAAGAGAAAGCCGCGTGTTGGAAAGAAAGAGGTGGTGGCAGGAAACACAGGGAGTGAGAAGGGAGAACACAAAAGCAAACAGGAAGGTGAATCTGTTTCTGTGGGTGAAAATTCTTTAAACAAACACGCCGAGGAACAAACACCCAGTGAGGCTATTCCGGCCCCTACCACTGCATTCCATACACCCATGGTCGATCAGCAGGCAAACAAGGCGGATAATGGATTCACTAATCTTCAGCGCACGAGAAGTGTCCGGAAGAACCCTGGGCAAGAATCATCTGGCAGCCCAGAATCAAAGACTGCTCAATTGAAAGAAAACATCCTCACAGAAGGCACTCTATCTTCTTATGCTCCCAAGTTGCCCCAGCTCCCAGAGACTGAGCATCGGCCCAATGGTGAAGATGGCAAGGCAGCCACCCCTCATCGCAAGGGAATGTTCAACTTCCGTCGTCGACGGGAGGGAGAAGGACATATCGGCAGCAGCAGATTCCTGCGCACTCCTCGTCGGGGCAAAGAGAGTAGCAAGGCTCCTGAAGACCAGAGTGCACCTCCGGCCACTCCACCAGTCCCTGCGATTCCCATGAATGTCATGCAGTCTGAGAAAGCCCAGGGGGATGAAGAAGAGAGCCCCAGCTCTGTTCATCCTGCATTGCGCAATCCCAAGCAGCAGCAGATCATGCGCGAACGAGAGCATCGTAACTGGCAGCCCAGGCCGAATCATCAACCCCACGATGCTGCTGCTTCATCTTCGTCTTCCAACCGTGGCCGGAGACGCGCTCTGAGACATTCGCAATCTCTCCAGAACTTTGGCTCCCGTCCTCCCATGTCGTTCAACCGGCCATCAGCTCCTCCTTATGGGACGCCCTCTGCTTCCTCGTCGCACCGGGACATGAATATGCGCCATCACGCCAGTAACTACCTCCAACCGGCTCCGTTTATGACTCCTACCTCAACGAGCTTCATCTCGACTCCACGTTACGGCCAGGGAGGATCCAGAAATCTTGCTTGGGCGTCTGTCCCGCCTCCTATGTACCCACCTCTCCCGATGCCTGTTCAATGTGGTCCCAACGACTGGGATACCTCGAGCTGGTACCACGAGGCGTATGGACAGAGATCGACTGAAAACAACAATTTCTTCTAAGATTGCTTTGCTGCAACTTTTTCTTCGTTTCTCCGATCAGCTACGGTACAGCAATCCGAGTTACTACTGATCTATTAGCATAGACTTCAAAACGAGGTTCTCACCACGCACCATTGGAAATAATTGATCTGAGACATTTGGAATCGGGGCAGAATGTTTCTGAATAACAGGTATCTTCTGGGTGCGTACTGAATTAATTGATTGCAATGATAAGGATATCGCGCATAGGTTCAGGGTTTAGTTGTCACTTATGTTGGATTACCGATTATCACAGGGTATCATGAATGTCAAAAGGAAAAGGGAGAGAAAAGGAAAGAAAAAGTCTGTAAAATTGGAAAATGGAAAACGGAAAAAAAGGAAATGGCTTTTCTAATAATGTCAAAAAAAAAAAAGGAACGAGACATGAGATATGTTCATGAGACTCCGAATCAAGCATGAGAATAGTAATAATAAACACCCAGTTCAAATATCATTAATAGCTATCAACCGCTTTTATTTCCGTGTTGATATCATCTTTTCTATATCCAATGCAGCCTCCCGCACCTGGGGACAGTAATGCATCCGCAGCAATTCGCCTTCCCACACTGTTCCAGCGAAAACGTTGGTTCCCTCTACATCTGGTGCGTAAGGGTTGAACACTCCGTCTCCTTTCCGTTCATCACTATGCCACAATGGCGCGATTCGCCGGGCATGATGTTTCGCCACTTGGTTCAGGAGCGATAGTGTCGCAAGAGCAGATTTCTCAGGTACTTGCAAGGAGGTAGTCATGAGGCGTTTGGAGAAACCACCCAGACGAACGGGTGGTGGGACACCATGCGCGCGGGAGAGAAGGGTAGATTGGAGGCAGCGGAGGAAGAGAACGGTAGGTGTTTGGAAGTTGACTTTGTTCTTGGATCGTCGAGAGGCCGGGTCAGCGGCGTCTTCTCTGGAATCGGGATCGGGGAGGCGGAGGGATTTCTCTGGGTTGAATTCAATGTCTGGGTTGACGGAGAAGGGGTAGAGGGAGCGGTAGAGGTGTTTGATGAAGAAACTCAGGTCCAGGTGCAGGGTTGCTGCGGCGCGGCTGACGTCCTGGCCTTCCAGAAGGGCGAATGCGGTGACGGTGCACAGGAGAGCCTCGCGCTGAGAGTCTCGTGCTGTCTTCTCGTCCTCCATGTCTTCGTCGTCTTCGTCGTCTTCTTCCATCTCGGCCCTGTCTGCGTGTCCGATGAGATCCTTCAATGCCTCGAGCAAGTCACCGAAGAAGTCCTGGTTGATCAGGTGGGCGTATTTGGCGAGACCTTCGAGGACGGGGCCCATGAGGTTAGGGATGCGGAGTTTCAAGATGCGGAAGTAGTTTCCGAAAACAAGCTTCAGGGACTCTGCTTGGTTCTTTTCTCTCTCTTCGTGTGAAACCAAAGCATCCGCTTGCTTCATATCCTTCTCCACGACCTTAAGCTCCTTCTGGACCTTGCGCTCCCGCTTTGTCCGGAACTCCCGCTTCTGTTTTGGCTTCTTGCCATTGACGGTTTCTTCTTCGGCGCGATCGACTCGGTCTCTGGAGCCCTTGGACGAGAATTCTGAGAGCAGGCGCAGGTGGAGGAATGTGTCGAGAACGCGCTCGTTGATTCTGAACTCTTTGGCTTTCATCATTTTCGAAAGAAGGCGGACTGCTTCAAGAGAAACAATTCCGTCGTCATCCTTGTGGAAAACATCTTCCAATGTCTCCCGGCACTTGGTAAAGTCAGCATCGACTGTTCGCTTTGCGAGACGGTTCACAATAATCTTCAGCAGTTCGGTGCGGAAGTTGAAATGCGGCACGGCCAGCAGAAGGCTACATGCGCAGTTGATGGCGAGACTCTTCAAGCCGGAATCGACATCGGGGTTTCCAGCCTTGGATGGTTTTGAGAATTCCGACAGTCGTTGGATATAGTGCTTGTATCCTGAAATAAGGGACTGTTCGAACGACCGGAGTTTGCGCACTTCTTTAGAGATCTTGGCCCCGGACATGTCTTCGTCGCTGAGAGGACGAATCCTGTAACCCGGAATCACATCCTTGTAAATCGCAGCCTGCGCAGCAAGTGCCAACTTCTTGATTGCAACGTGCGGTGCCTTGTCCACCATTTCTGCCATTGACTTAAACAGCGAGATATGTTCCTCCGGGTCTTCATTGATCAATGTTGCAAATTTTGCCAAATCCTCCTTGGCTTGAATGAGCTGCACCTTCAATGGAACCTTGGGAGCTTCCTCTTCGGACTCTGCTTCATCCTCATCCATCTCTTCTCCAGAAGCGGCATCCTCGTCCTCGTCGTCATCGGTCCCAAGAAAACTATCGGATTCATCCTCCTCGGGCGCGGGTTCCTCGACATTCTTCACACCTTCCGAGGTCTTGATAGGCAATCTGGTCCTTTCCTTATCCTTCTTGTCCATCTTGCGCGGGCGACGCTCATAGTCCTGTTCGAGATCCCATTCGGCGGCCGCTTGATCGTAGAAAGACGAGCCCTTCGAGGATCGTGAAGAGGATCTCTCCTCATCACCAGGAGGACTCAATCGTCTCCTCTTAGCCGACTGTGTAGGAGCCATTGTCTCGTCTGTTAATTCTTGAATAAAAGGGCGGTGGCAGCGACGAAGACATTCAACGTCGCGGCTCGGATTGAACTTTTTTTTTTTTTCTGCCGCCAAGACTCGACGCTAAGAAGAGCTTCCGCTCCACCTTTTGGATTTTTGTTCTGCGGAGTTTCACAGCGACATCAAGTCTTTGATTGAGCAATTCTGTTGACTGATAGTTGTTCAAAATGCGTCAACTCACTGAGGAAGAGACCAAGGTATGTAACTGTATCCTCTATTGAGTTTCCAGAAGTATTCAGCCGATTTGGCTATGCGGAGAACCTGGTAGCAGCAGCGACAAGAGCGCTATCACCCGTACAGGGACGAAATAAGGATAATGCTGACTTTTAATACCTTTAGACGCTCTTCGCGAAGCTCGCGAACTATACCGGACGTTCTCTGAACAACCTCATCGCTCCTCCCTCCGACGAATCGAGTGACCGGTTTGTCTTCCGTCTGCATGGCAGTCGTGTCTACTATATTCGCCTCAGCCTTTGCAATTTGGCTACTAGCATTCCCCGTGCGAACCTCCTCTCGCTAGGCATCTGCGTTGGCAAGTTCACCAAGACCGGCAAGTTCAGAATCCATGTCACCGCATTGGATGTGATTGCGCCCCATGCGAGATACAAGGTGTGGATCAAGCAGAACGGAGAGATGCCTTTCCTGTACGGTGGAAATGTTGTCAAGGCCCATATCGGAAGATGGAGTGAGGACTGCCCGGAGCACCAGGGAGTCGTTGTGTTTAGCATGGATGACACACCTCTGGTAAGATCTACGCATGAAGAGGATTTGCCCGATGATTGATTGCTAACGATATCGCAGGGTTTCGGAGTGACTGCTCGGTCGACTGCAGAGACACGAAAACTCGACCCGACTGCCATCACAGTATTTAGACAAGCGGATATAGGAGAGTACCTGAGAGAGGTAAGAGACTTGTTTTACCAACTTTACAATGTTGTCGACTGGCAGACCACTGACTCGTCTTACAGGAAGATACCCTCTTTACGACCTAAGAGAAAAGATTTGCATATGCGGAATCGTTCATGGTGTTCGAATACTAGATATCTGGTGGCCGTCACGGGAGTTCTGGAGTCGTCTGTCTGTTCCATAATAAAAGTGCTTGATTTAAATATCCATTATTCCTTTTTCGACTGTATATGCTGCTCGTTAATGAGGTTTTATATATTTACCAAAGTCTTAAGACCGAATACTATTCTTGTCGATATATATCGAGCCTTTCGGGTATACTTTCACGAGTGAGGATCAACACATTTGCCGTGATTAGAAAAGAAGATCCAAAGACCTGGGCTTCAAGCAATGTAGATCTTGTATTCAAACACACCCATCAATATCAAATAACCCATGGAGTTAGGCAGATATCGCTTTATTTACATGGATACAATTTCTGCCTCGCGGGGCACGTGCACAGGTAATCAGTCAGCGTCGCTGAAATGCCATCATAGCCGCTTCCTTTTCCTCATACAAACCAGACAGAACCAAGTCTCTCGACGTCGTTTGCTTCGAGAGAACCATCTATATCATCTTTCAGGCTGATCACCATCCTCTCAGCTTCACTCCAATCCCTCCTTTCAACTCATATCTTTTCCTCTTGACTACCCCACGCTTGGCATCAACATTCGCAGGCCACCGCCTTCCACCCCACCATGCCGCCTTATTCTGGTCCTCAGAAGCAATTGATTGCCCAATTTGTGAATTTCACACAGGCAAAGGACTCGGTGGCTGCTAAGGTATGCTGATACGTCTTTGGTTTCTGCCTTCGGACATAATTTGCCCTTGTTTTCGCTGGGACCGTCTTCATCACGTGAGTCGATCAGTTAATTGACCATGGCGTTGATGTAGTTTTTGAAAGCAAACAGATGGAGCGTGGAAGAGGCTATCGATGAGTGAGTCAATATTTTATCTGGTTGCTTGTCTTGTTGCTGTTGTTGCTTTTTCTATCCTCGCGTTTTACCCTCGATCTGCTCTAGCTGGGCATCGGGGCTCGCATACCCCATTCTCTTCTGTCCCAGACCTATTGGCCTGAAAATGGGATAAGAATTTGAAAATACTTGTCTTTTGGTCTACTCGAGGTTTCCCTGGAATCCATATCTCCTTCGGGTTTTGGCGGCGATTGTACCTCATACAGGCTGGTCTTGTTCACATCTGGCGAGCGACAAATGAATGCCTATCGGATACAGTGCTCTTTTGAGCGAGAAGAACTTTGGTCCAGATGTGGCGTGGATATGTCAGCCGTGTGTCAAGTCTAGAGACTATCCAAGTAGTCTGACTCCCGAAACCGGGGTTGAGGAATGACTGGCCATGATCTGCTCAGCTTTAGCGGTTCTATTGAAGTGGAAATCACTCGCGTTTAAATCATATCCGTACTGGAAACGAGCAGAACAATACCTAAATCGACATTTTGGATAAGATTTTGAGCGAGCAATCTACAGATGGACCCGGTTATCCAACCCATCATGTTTGTGGATAGTAACCTTTGAATGAGACTCGCCTCGAGTTCCAGGCAGATTGACCCGAGAACACTTAAAATTGGAACATGGAGTGGCATAGCTCTGGTTTGGCCATTGAGATTTGGGGCACGAGACAAGAGGAAGTTATCTGCGAGTAGAGGCAGTCAACTTACTGGCATCTTCTTCCGTTTATCTTTACACCCTATCCAAATTCTTGCGAGCGTGTTATGAACCAAAGCGTTGCATCTTAGAGGCTAATTTTTACATAGATTTTTCCAGAGTGGTCAAGGGGCTGGGGGAAGCACAAGCAGCATCGGTAAAGTTTTCGATAGCTACAGAGGTACATGGATTTCTTGCAGATTGCAACGAGCACATCGACTGACTGCATACAGATGACCCCGAAGAAAACCCTGATGGCATTGGCATTGAAGGAGCGATCAAATACCTAGGCGATATCAATGTGCAGTTGGACGAGGTGGCATGTCTTGGAATCGCAGAGCTCCTCAAATCACCTTCCATGGGTGAATTCACACGGGAAGGATTTGTCAATGGCTGGAGAACCAGCGGGTGAGCATCCCGATCCATATCAACCAGAAGGGCATAGATCTAACCTCTCAAGATGCGATACCATTCAAAAAATGATCGACCACGCCCAAGACATCCGTTCCCGCATCCCCACACAACCAGACCTCTTCCGCCGAGTCTACCGCTACGCCTTCCCCCTCTGCCGTCTTCAAGGCCAGCGTAATCTGCAATTCGAAATCGCAGCCGAACAATGGCGCCTCTTCTTCACACCCGACAACGGCGGTGTTCAGTGGAATACCGCCACGACACCTTGGCTAGACTACTGGATTGAGTTCCTCGAGGGACGCGGCAAAAGACCCGTCAACAAGGATCTCTGGGAGCAGGTCGAGGTGTTTATGCGCAAGACGCAGGAGGACGAGGAATTTTCCTGGTGGAGTGCGGATGGGGCGTGGCCGGGAGCGCTGGATGATTTCGTCGGATGGGTGCAGGAAAAGAGAGGCAAGAACCCGGAGGCTATGGAGGTTGAATAAATGATTCAATCCTGTGGAGTATAGATTTAAGCCTTTTTCTGGGCTTATAGCCAGTCTTCCAACATTCCTTCCTCCCCCTTTTTATCTTATGTATCACCTTATCACCTTATGAATATACGGATTTATGTGGATAGACGAATACCTCGGAGAGTAGTCTCGTATTGAATATATTGTCTCATTGCATTAGATCACACAACTGATACTCTTGTTCATGTTCTATTTCATGCAGACCAAAACGGCAAGACATAAGACAGACTGACCAAAACGATTTAGTATTGGAAGAGGTCAAATAAGAGACAATGGCCAAAAAATTATAGTAACAGACCGAGAGAAGCGAATAAACAAGGTATTTATCTCTGGGTCAAAGCATAAAAAAGGGGGATTGGAAAAAAACAAAACAAAATGAGAAATATAAAGCCATTCATCATCAAAACAGTGGGAACATATCTTCATCTCGACAATGTCCTTATCACGGATTGCGGGGGGAATAACAAAGGAAAAGAACAAAATAAATAAACAATTGAATATATGCGTTGAGATAAAACAAAATCAAAGGGCATCCGATTCCGTTTTATTCCGAGGCATATATTCGAGATGCAAAAAGGGGACGATTCCACCAGGCCCTCTTCGGTACTCCGTACCGTTATATTATAAACATGCGAGGGCGATGGGAGGTCATGCAAAGCTGCGTTTTTTTATTCGACCAGCGGATAGATATCGTCTAGTAGTCTCTCTTCTCGTAGTCGCTGCCGGGGCCACGGCGTTGGTCATAGCGCTATATGACGTTAATAAATTACGATCAGGAACATCAGGACAAACATGAAACAGTACCTTGCGGAGAGCTTCCAAACGCTTCTTCTTGGTGTGGGTGTTGACGTAGGTTCCGACGGCGAAGCCGACGACGTTGAAGAATGGCACCCAGAGGTGCTCGGGGATGAACTTCTGCGCAAAGGCCAGCGCCACAGGCGAGATGATCCAGCTGACCTTCATAACAGGGAAGAAACCAGCGCGGATGGTTGCGCGGACCTGGTGGAAGGTTCGCGCACCAGCGATAATGGCCATCGAAGTCAGATAGACGATGTTTTGAATGGGGGAGACCTGCAAAATGGCGGGCGCTTAGCATATTCGCAGCAAGGAAGTGTCGGATAGGACAAGGGGAAAAAAAAATAAACATACCACCAAGTTACTGGCGATAATCTGCAAGATCTTGGCCTTGATGCTGGTTCGGCCAGCGAAGATCTTCTGAAGAATGCCAATGAGGAAATGACCCAGAGGCGCACTGACGAACATGCCGTAGAGAGCCATCTTGGGCACACGGGGACTGAAGTAGTGGCCGTGCTTGCTCACATCGTGCGCGATCCACGAGGCCAGGAACTCTTGCAGGGCCGAAAGAACACCGGATGTCAACATCTTGGTGCGCAGAGGGTTCGACTGCAGTTGGCGGATGTAGAGCTGCGATTCATCTGGTGGTGAGCGCGAGGGTTCTTTGATTGCTTGTTTTGTAGGCGCAACGCCCGCCATGGCTGTTTATTCTTCCACGCGGCCTCCAAGGTGACCACTTACAGAAAGATAGCCAGCTCCCGTCAACCGTTCACCAACATGATGCACCAATTGCTTTGTCTCCTCCCGAATCGACCCAGAATCAGCAGCAGCGGTAGCAGCAGCAGCCGCAGCAGCAGCTCCATCCTGGAATTTGACCGACATGGTTGATAAGATTACGAGGGCGACTTCGGAACCAGCGCGCGGCAGTAGGAGGGAAGATTGATAAGCGTGGCTGTCGACAACAACACAGAGTCAGCAAAGAGGGGAGGCGGTCGAGATGGAATGACAATGCAAAACTGGAGATGAAAAGAAGTAGATGCAGAAGCACGGAGTCTCTGGAAACGAGACGGCGCTAGAACGATCGAAAAGCGTGGGGCTGGAGGCGATAAATAGCAGTAGGAAAGGGGGCTTGTTTTGTTTACGGCGGAAGCTGGAGACACTGAGGGAGGCTGGTGGATTCGATCTTACCGAGGTACTCCACCTGGGGGAGACTGGAGAGGAGTTGGGGGGGAGAGAGGGATGGAGGATGAGAATATTCAGGAACTGGGATGGATTATTGATTTATGGCAGACGTTGAGACGAGAGGATGGCAGGCAGTCGGCCGCGAAGTCGGCAGATAAAACTGGCGGGTCCTATTTTTGTTTGGTTTTTATGCTGGAGATCGGAGGATTCCGACGTGCATTGCGTTGGTTGCTTGAATAATGAGATTGGATCTAATATTTAATAGGAGCTTGAAGAATTGGGATTGTTTATTTAAATGATTGAATAACTTGTGTATTTGTTTAGAAATTATAGGCAGATCACGTATTAATTGCTGATTTGAATCTATACAGACTTGTATAGGACGGAGGAGAATATCCACACATTCAATATTCACCAATAAATATGCAATAATTCCATGAAATAAAATAAAGAAAAAATACCAAAAAATAAAAATATAGTATAGAAAGAAGAAGGATATTATTTCATATTATATTATAATATTATTATTGTACTGTTGTACTGTTTCCTATGCACATCCGGCCGTCTCCGCCATAAAGACGATATAAAGAATCCAAGACAATTAAACCATCAACTTGTCTATATTTATAATAAAAATAAATGGAAAGAATAGTATTCAAAACATCTCACCTATTATATTTACCTGCTGTTCTACTCAGTGAACATCCCTCCCAATTTCTTTATTTCTTTCTCTCCCTCTCTCTCCATCGATGCCAATTTTGCTTCATCCCAAATCACTCTCGCCGAGAAATCAGCACACCTTGTCAATAAATATCCTGTATTCAGTAAAAGTAACCATGTATCTTCTTCTCTCTCATCCCATCTCCATCCAATCCATCAACTTTAGCCATGGATGACCCTGGGGAAGGCAGTTCGAGGTACCCTCGTAGGGCTTCCTACCCTGGCTCTGGCGATGCTCCTCCAACCTTTGTCTATCCCCTCACCCACGGCCTTCCCTCTTCTCCCTCTGCCCTTCCTCCTCCCCCTCCACCTCACGGTCACCTCCCCAAGTCCACCCCCTCCTACGAGCACCACTCGGTATACCCTGGGCCTCCTACACCTGGGTTCTATACTGGACATCCTCTCGTCTTGCCCTATATGGCCCAGCAACCCATGTATCGCCGGAGTGACTGCTCCCACAGCACGATCGTCCGACAGTACTGCAGGTCCCAGCTTGACGTCTGCGACATCTGTCGCGGCCACCCGTTCCTGGGATGGCTCTATCAATGTACCGAAGACACGGGAGGATACGCTGCTCCGATAGACGCAGAGAACGGTTCGTTCCTCAGTCCTTGGCTGTCTAATGCTATCGAACAGGGCCATTACACCAAGGAGCAGACCAAGACTATCATCCAGCAAAAGATCGACGTCCTGAACACTGCCGAAGCCACCAACCCTCCGTCTTCTTCGCTTCCCGGGGCTGAGGGCGACTCTGGCATTTACGACAACAACCATAACGACGACGATGACGACGAAGAGGTGTGGGCTGAAACTGTCGAAAAAGTCAACCAGCTCGATCCAAGCTCCACCTCGAGAAGCGAAGGCAAGCGTCCTGCTGCCCGCGTTTCTGAGCCCGGACCCAGCTCATCTGTGCCACCTCCTCGTCCTCGCCCTTTGCCCTGTAAATTTCGTTGCTGTTATAGATGTCGTCCGAACTTCTTCGAGCGTACCTGGCTCAGTCTCAACGACATCAAGGACATGGAGCCGCCGACCATCGCCGACTTGATGGACAGACCAATAAATGATGCCAGAGTCGTCCGCAATCTGGGACTCCGTCGTTCTCCCTCTCCTTGCGCTTCCTTTGGACCTGGCGAACAGACCTTGGGAACTCCTAGTCTCTACCGCCACCAAAACACGACTGGCGCCAATCTTCCAGAACTCCTCAACGCGCAGGCAGAAACGCACACGAGTGCTGAGACAGAACAAGATACCTCACAGACTCATTCTGCTGAGAACGAGCAGGAGATAATCATCGGTTTGGATAGCGGTCTGACGACTGCCGTCGGTGATACATCTGTCGGTGACAATGTGCCAGCAGAAGCCGACGACGGCAATTGAAGACAACATAAGACGGTATGGCTCATAGCCGATTGGTGTCCACTTGAGTCAAACATGCGATGGGATACGGATCAACATAGGAAAAGTAAAGAAAAAGCCTCCATTACACAGAAGAGCCAGGGCCATGCCTCCCGCGGGGGCACATGGCCGAGGATGGAGTTTAAAAAACGGAATAAAATGCAAAACTGATAATAATTAAAAGGATCAGGGCTGGGTATCTGCTGAATGTTCAGGCACATATGGAATGGACAGGATCCATGATTTGTACAATATTGACGATATGACGAGAGATGAGGAAATTCCAATGCTCGGAAATCATCTGCCACAATGTATTCTGACTTGAGGAAATCGATTCATAATGATATCCACATCGGAGCAAACACTTGAGAAATCATTCCGCATCTACCTGCACTAATCATCATGGTGATAGCAATGTCAGTCTGATATGAGCTGATAGACCTGCTACTATAGGAAAGTAGAGGCGTTTCAGTCTCACTGAAGGCATTTCGAAAGAACCACACTGGTAGCAAAAAAAAAGCAACCCACTCGAAATAAATCCAAAGCAGCAGAATAAAATCAATTATATAGCCCGTACCATCCCACGATCTGCAGTCAATCCTCATCTCATCTGTTATTGGAAATCCCATGCGTGTTTCATGACTTCAAAATTCCGCTCGGCCATTCCGACTTCCGAACCTCGGCACCGCTTTACGCGCAGGTAATGATAATCAGATGCGCTGCGGTTGATCGTCAACAAAACCACATATTAAACCACCTTTTCCGTCCCCTCTCCGTTGTCATTTCTCCCAGACGTCCATCTTTTCAATAACGACAGCCATGGCAGACGAAAACCCTCCCGGCGCTGCTGCTGAGGTCTCTGAGAAGACAGAGAGTGTGGGGAAGTCGATCAGCCCCGCAGGTCCGTCACCATCACCGTCAAATGATCCTCAGCGCCGACTGTTGGCAGCGTTGAAGGCGACGGATAACACTGTTCACCGTCTCGACAAGTGAGTTGAAGCTTCAAAATCTATAATAGTAGCATTCACAACTAATCCACCCCCGACCAGACTCGTGTCCAGCGCAGCCGGAGAAGAAAGAGCCCTCGCAATCACCGGCTACCTCTCACATGCCCTCCACCACCTCCTCGCATCAGCCCCCTCAATCGCCCTTCAGACCCGTCTCAGTCTGCTCGCGCGACTGAGACAACAAAATCGCAAACCTACCTCCCCCCAACCATCAGCACCCTCATCCTCAAAACTCCTCGCTCTCTCCTCCCTCATCTCCGAAACCCGCTACACGCTCCGACTTTTCGGCCTCCTCCCACTCTGGACGTGGGGGTCACAAACGATCAAAAACCCACCCTCCGACCCCGTCATCCGCGCAATCACCCTCATCCAGGTCGTCGTGAACGTCATCTACCAAGCCCTCGAGAACGGCGGCTACCTTGCCGCCAAGGGGATCGTGTCGAAAAAGTTCGTTGACCGCTGGGGCGGCATCGATAAATGGTATCTCTGGAGCACGCGGGCGTGGTTCGGACACATTTTCTTCCAGTTCTTCGCCCTGTGGCGACAGAGTGTGCTGCGGCGACGAAAGACCGAGGAGCAGGTTAAGATCACCGGCAAGGAGTTGTCGAGTGAGGAGGAGCGTGCTACGCTGAGAGCCGAGATCCGCGCTTGGAGGAAGAGTCTCGTGAATAACGTCTTCTGGGCTCCGTTGTGCTTGCACTGGAGTGTGGAAAAGGGAATCGGCGTGCCGGATAGCCTGTCGGGGGTTATTAGTTTTTGTGCGGGGGCTTGGGGATTTTATGACCTTTGGAATGCGACTGTATAGTTTTGCTGCTCGTTGTTATTTGGTTAGTTTTTTGGGTGTATATCTATGAAGGAGCTTTATATATAGACAGGGGTTATAATTATAGACTTGGTGTGTGCAATATGAAAGAATGTATATCAAGCTGCAGATCCCAGCTACAGTGCAAAGCTTTTTCTGTCATTCAAGAGTAAACGAAAAATGGATACAGGATAAAACGAATGAATATTTCCAAGACCCTGAAGCCATCGCTGTTTATCTTCATCTATCAATCTGAATCTAAAATCTATCGAGGAAAATCCAAGTAGATCCACAATGTAGATCATGCATATCTTGTCCGGCCGATTGCCACCTAAATATCATCATGGATGTTCATCACCTCAATCTCCTCTTTGATACTGTCCAGAGAAGACTCAAAACGTCGACTGGGAGAACTCGACATGCTCCCCTGTCGCTGAGAAAGACGAACCACTCGAGATGTGCTTTCGGACTCTGCAGAACCCCCCATGGAAGCTCTTTGCTGGGCATGCACGATGTTTTCGTAAAACGGACCTGCCAGAAACTCATCTACAGGCCATGTGGTCGTTCCCATCGGTGTAAGTCCCTCCTTTGGCCCTTGCCAGGCAAATGCTCCAGCTTCTACTACTCGTCTACTTCGCAGATTGCGGGTGTCTTTCTGGGATATTTCGACCTGGACATTGACTAGATTCATGAGACCGGCTTCTAGTTCATAGATTGAGTTTCGTTGGTGTTCGTTTAGACCGAAAATGAGAACCCCCTTGACTGTAGCTTGGGGATCAGACGAGGGCGTGATGACTGGTGTGCCGGATTCTGCGAATTGATGTAATTTATACCCAGTGAGGGTGGCCTGGATCATGTTTTTGTGGATATTGACGGCTGGATCCATATCAATGTAATACTTGAGAATCGTGGGAAGCATCAAGATCCCGTAGACAAAACGCGGGGAGCAACCTGGTCTGTTCAGACCTATGGTCACTTCTTCCTCAGAGAGGGTGTTGCTCAGGACATGTCCAAAGTCCCTTGGATACCAGGGCTTGAGCTCCATACCGGCATGGGATAAGTTGGAAATCACAAGGGAATCCCAACAATCTCCAGGAGGAGACTGGGGATCCTTGAGTTCACGACGTAGTGAATTGGGTTAAAAGCTGTAGAACTGGACGTGGTAGATAGTAGAAGGCACAAAAAATAAGATGAGAAAGTAAATATTGACGATAATGATATTCTAAAGCCTCATGACGCTTCTTTTAAATCAACGACTTGGGGATGGCTGCCTTGACAACTCCCAGAGCCTGATGAGGAGAAATTAATGATTTCCAATGGATAAGAAACTGGCACAGCAGCAACAGTGGCTTGGAGAGCATGTTGCACGCCGAGCAGAGAGAACAAAAGCACCACTGGCCATGGATACCGATCAAGGCTCCCCTAGACAAAAACAATGTAAGCATAATTCACCAGATTGTTTGATGAGGCACATCACTCTATGCGGAAGACAGGTGCCATGGGTGATCATCAGGGCGGAATGGGTCTACCCCATGGCTGTCCAAGGGTGATATGGCGATGGATGCCTAGAAGACAGTATTGATAAAACTCTAGGTAGCAAGAGATGACCAATCTGCCTGAAATCGTTTCTGGAATCTTTTCTGGAACCCGTCAAAGAGCTAAAGCATGGCATTCATGCGATACTTACCACAGGCTTCCATCCGCTTCTGTCCTGCTCGTTGGGCGGTGGCGTCCGGCGAAAACTGCAGCACCGCCCGACCGCTTAAGTCATCAGCGGCAGCAGCAGCAGGCAGACTATCGTCACCTCTTAACTGGAGCTGTCCATCTCGCTTGATCTCACTTCCAACTCTTCACCTTTCTTCACGTCCCTGTCCCCATCCAACTCATCCCCCCCCCCCTCAATCTAGTCCCCCAGACATCGATTCCGTCTTGTCTATTGGACTCTGTTTTGTCGTTTTTGTTTCCCCACTGTTCCTTCTTTAGATCCCTTCACTTTCGCTGGATTGATCCGGCGCCATCTCTGCTACGTTGCTTCAAGAGCTTGTTCATTTGAATCACAGACCTTCAAAATGAGCACAGAACCAGACCACACCCAAGATAAGAAGAGGGTGCACCTCCAGTATGTTTTGGATGGATCTCTCTTGACTCACTTACGATCTGCATGCTGACCTTCCCCTCCAACAGGGACGCTTCGGGCGCCGAAAAGAAAGATGTAAAAACCATCCAGCGGGTATAATCAGACAGCAGACACTGACTTAATATCTAGGAGCTTGACACTTCGACAGCTATCCTCAAGAAGAAGAAGAAGCCCAACTCTCTGATGTGAGCTCTTTCCCCTCATACTGAATTGAATGCACCTTGGTGGATACTGACAAGCGGGCACACAGCGTGACCGATGCCACCAACGATGACAACTCCATTATCACCCTCTCCAACAACACGATGGAAACCCTGCAGCTTTTCAGAGGTGACACAGTTCTGGTCAAGGGCAAGAAGCGGAAGGACACCGTTCTGATCGTGCTTGCGGATGATGATCTGGAGGATGGAAATGCCCGCATCAACCGTGTTGTGAGACATAACCTCCGTGTCAAGCACGGCGATGTCATCACCGTCCACCCTTGCCCCGACATCAAATATGTAAGTTCTCTATTTACGGTTGAATTAGTGGCAAGTGCCTAACCCTGTTGTCCCTACTAGGCCAAGCGTATTGCCGTCCTTCCCATCGCAGACACCATCGAGGGTTTGACTGGGTCTATTTTCGATGTTTTCCTTGCCCCATACTTCCGTGAGGCCTACCGGCCAGTGAGACAGGGTGACCTGTTTACTGTACGAGGTGGTATGAGGCAAGTGGAGTTCAAGGTTGTTGAGGTCGACCCCCCAGAGTACGGCATTGTTGCACAAGATACCATCATCCACTGCGAGGGTGAGCCGATCCAGCGCGAGGATGAGGAGGGTAACCTCAACGAGGTTGGCTACGACGACATTGGTGGTTGCCGCAAGCAGATGGCTCAGATCCGTGAGTTGGTCGAGCTGCCTCTGCGCCACCCCCAGCTCTTCAAGTCCATCGGTATCAAGCCCCCTCGTGGTATTCTCATGTACGGTCCCCCGGGTACCGGTAAGACTCTGATGGCTCGTGCCGTGGCCAACGAGACCGGCGCTTTCTTCTTCTTGATCAACGGTCCCGAGATCATGTCCAAGATGGCCGGTGAGTCCGAGTCGAACCTGCGCAAGGCTTTCGAAGAGGCCGAGAAGAACTCTCCCGCCATCATTTTCATCGACGAGATCGACTCCATTGCTCCCAAGCGTGAGAAGACCAACGGTGAGGTCGAGCGTCGTGTCGTCTCTCAGCTCCTGACTTTGATGGACGGCATGAAGGCCCGTTCTAACGTGGTCGTCATGGCTGCCACTAACCGCCCCAACTCCATCGACCCTGCTCTTCGTCGTTTCGGCCGTTTCGACCGTGAAGTCGACATTGGTATCCCCGACCCCACTGGCCGTCTGGAGGTCATGCAGATCCACACCAAGAACATGAAGCTGGGCGAGGACGTGGACCTGGAAACCATTGCTGCTGAGACCCACGGTTACGTTGGTTCTGATCTTGCTTCGCTGTGCTCCGAGGCTGCTATGCAGCAGATCCGTGAGAAGATGGATCTTATCGATCTTGACGAGGACACTATCGATGCCGAGGTCCTCGACTCTCTTGGTGTCACCATGGAGAACTTCCGCTACGCCCTTGGCGTGTCCAACCCCTCTGCTCTCCGCGAGGTGGCTGTCGTCGAGGTCCCCAATGTTCGCTGGGAAGACATTGGTGGTCTGGAGGAAGTCAAGCACGAACTTATCGAAAGCGTTCAGTACCCTGTGGACCACCCCGAGAAGTTCCAGAAGTTTGGTCTCTCGCCTTCTCGTGGTGTGCTTTTCTATGGCCCCCCTGGTACTGGTAAGACTATGCTTGCCAAGGCTGTTGCCAACGAGTGTGCTGCCAACTTCATCTCGGTCAAGGGCCCTGAGCTGCTGAGTATGTGGTTCGGTGAATCCGAGAGCAACATCCGTGACATCTTCGACAAGGCTCGTGCTGCTGCTCCTTGTGTTGTTTTCCTTGATGAGTTGGACTCGATCGCCAAGTCCCGTGGTGGCTCCGTTGGAGACGCTGGTGGTGCCTCTGACCGTGTGGTCAACCAGCTTTTGACCGGTAAGATTCGGAGCCCGTTCATAATATGAATTTATGTGCTAACTTGTTTTAGAAATGGACGGTATGACATCGAAGAAGAACGTCTTCGTTATCGGTGCTACCAACCGACCTGAGCAGCTCGATGCTGCCCTTGTCCGTCCCGGTCGTCTCGACACTCTGGTCTACGTTCCCCTTCCCGACGCAGCTTCCAGAGAGGGCATTCTCAAGGCTCAGCTCCGCAAGACCCCTGTCGCAAATGATGTCGACATGAACTTCATTGCCAGCAAGACCCACGGTTTCTCTGGTGCTGATCTTGGATTTGTCACCCAGCGTGCCGTCAAGCTTGCCATCAAGCAGGCCATCACCGCTGATATCGAGCGCACCAAGCAACGCGAGGCTGCTGGTGAGGATGTCAAGATGGAGGATGAGGAGGAACTTGATGAGGAAGACCCCGTGCCCGAGCTCACTCGCGCTCACTTCGAGGAGGCGATGAAGTCGGCACGACGATCGGTCAGTGACGTGGAGATCCGTCGCTATGAGGCTTTCGCCCAGAGTCTTAAGAACTCGGGTGGCAGCAGCTTCTTCCGCTTCCCCTCCGCCGGGGAGGTTGGGGAGAACGACACTTTCGGCGAAGCCGGCAACGACGACAGCCTCTACGACTAAATGGGTTTCTCTTAACGGATTGCTATGTTTCTTTTCCTTTTCCATTTTTTTTTTTTTACCTCAGTGACTCGCTAGATCTAACTGGCGCTCGGGCAATGAACCGTTTGACGCGGAGCTCGTATGTGGTTTTTTGATTTCTCCTATTTGTGGTTTTTCGCATACTATGTGCTATAATAGTCAATACAAAGTGGAGAACAAACTTTTGAGAAGATCTCTTGTAGACTTGCGATTCTTAGTATATATGTAGATGTATGGTATCAAGACATGAAACAACCAACCCTCCGCAACCAAACTCCTAGTGCCCCAGTGACAATTCCCCAAGATATGCAGTGTGGTAAAACCAGGTTGATACAAGGCAAAAAAGTTATAGAAATACAGAATGAAAGAAAAACAGATGATCACTTGGTATTCTTGCCAGGTTTGGATTTCTTGTCAGATTTCTTGACAGGACTTGGATCTCCATTCTTCAGCGCGTGACTCTTATTGTTTTCTTTGGCATCATGGTCCCCCGTCAGATCGGGATCATCCTCCAACTCGACAATCTCCCGTAGAACCTCCTTGATGGCTCTGACGCCCTGCTCCACGACAGCCTTGGGGATGCGCACATCGACATTCTCAACCCCCCCCTCGGCGACATCCGCCGAGGTACTGGTACTATTATCCTCGTCGTGATGATCCCCGTCGACGAGGGCGGGATGTTTCCTCCCCTCGGCGGAGGCGACGACCGCCTCGACGACGTCGTCGAAGCGCTCGCAGCGGCCGGCGCGGAGGAGCTCGAGGGAGAGTTTGCGGATTTTCTCCGTCCACCCTGTGCGTTGTAGGGAGCAGAGGAGGGTCGAGTGCAGGTCTTCGAGGGCGGTGGTGGAGGAGAGGTGGGCGAGGAGGTCGGATTCGAGGGTTTCTGGGGTAAGCGTTGCGGTTGTTGATGAGGACATTGCTGGCATTATTTTGTAGATATAAACGGGTGGGTGGGTTGACTGAGGAGTAAATATATGTTGATTGCGATAGGCTAGAATGGGAATTGTTGAAAGAAGGGATCCGGCCCTTCTGGTTCTTTTTTGCGTATGAGAATGGGGGGAGGGGTGGGAGGAGGAGGTTTGGATTTCTGGTGATGCGATCGCGCGACTCATTAGCTACTTTCTTGGTCTACGTTTGGATGGGGGTGGTTTGGCCTATCTTGATGGATGAGATCGACTTACCTTGTTTATCTGTAGTGGAAATCTGAATGGTAAGAGTAAGATAGGTGATAGTTGTGTTGGCGCGAAAGGAAGGTCGTTGGAGATGGCGCTGTATTAGTAGTAGGAATAGTAGTAATAGTAATAGTCGCCCCGGCGCAAAAAAAAAGAAGGCAAAAAGGAACGACAAAAAAGTAATGAACCAAACAATGAAAACAATTACAAGAACAACATTAATAGACTGAAAAGGGAATTGAATAACTGATTATGCGACGAAGACAATAGCAAGCAAGAAACGAGTCTTGGGATTGCTGGGATGAAGGGCAGTGAATACGCAGTGGTGGTGGTTGGATCTTTTTTTGCGCCAGCTGAAAATCGAATCGGACCGCAACTTTTTCCTGGCAGATGCACGTCATCGACTAGTTGACTGTATTTGTTTTTTTTATTGTCATTGAATGGGCATTGTTGATTGAATGGGACGGTGTATGTGGTGCGATGATTAGTTCTACAATGTTCTGGTGGACAACCAGTCTACAGAGGAAGAACAAAATCAAGTAAAGAGCCGTTGCAAAGTGGGTAAATTAAAGACACTCAGACCATGCATCATCGGCAATAAATATCATGGTGGCCTCCCAATACTAGTAAGATATCCCGAGATTAAACAACACTAACCACGGAGGCCTGTAGATAGTTCTTGGTAGTCCCTCTGCAAGTGCTGGCCGGTGGATGCTCGGATCAGATTCAGGGGCCCATGTCTCCTGAACCAGTTCGAGAGATGATCGTGTTGTTATTATTATAACTATTTATATTAATTGTTATCGTCATTTTGTTGACTCAATGACTGGTAGATACGCGAGTAGTCTGATTGTGATGAGCATCAATGAGCTGAAGATTGAAGCAGATCATTTAGCTTCTCCCCCCAGGAGTTTGACACAGCCACATGCTAGCGCAACGTTCTTATTTGATATTGCCGCTTGTTGAGGCATTAATGTATGTATATCCGGGACTAGCTGACGACAGATGGGTTCGTACGCCTGAAGCAAGGATTTGTATATCATTCTTGGAGTTGGTTAAGGGGGGGAAACACTGGGAATATCATCAGCCTTTGTCAGAATAATCCCGAGAGCAATAATAATAGAGCATGACAGCGGAGGAATCGGAATTCGGAAACCTAAGCAAGTAACCCTGACCGGCACTATTGGAATCTGACAGTCGACGATCCAACTCGGAGTGGATGTGTGGTGATAATGTCTAAGAGTTTGGACCATCGGATATATTGATGCATATTGCATAATGTTTGGATAGTTAGCGAGGGATTATGAGGATGTAATTCCCGGAGGACTCATCGCACTGGATGTGCTGCTCTGCTGCTGCTTGCTGATCGTGATAGAAGATGATCCTGATGATCTTGGAGATCGTGAACTAGGAATGCGATGCAAGGATTTATGTCCTCAGCATCCATCAACCTAGCATCAGCATCACCAGTAGACTAGAGTAGAATAGCTAGAGTAGAGAAGTCAAAGTACTTTGGAGTCTTGATTCTTGATTGATCAAATCAACCTGAAGAAAAGAAGTCCAGACCGTCACGTGCTATCCAACTCCAGCGTCTTTTCCAACTTCTTCTCTTCGTCTCTTTTTTGCCCCTTGCCCCTTCATGGCGAGATCTCGTCTGTTCCTCTTCTTTTCTCTCTCTAACTGCTATTATTATCTGCTTATTTTCTCCGTGAATTGATTGCTCTTGTCCTTCTTCTAGCCCCGTTCAGGAGAAGATCCTCCCCGACCCAGAAAAGCTTCCCCGCTCTCTTTCGCTCTCTCTCTCTCTCTTTCTCTCACACGTTGTCTTTCTGCTGCTCCAGAACAATATTATTGATTGCTTCCCGGCCACGGCTTTTTTTCTCCCTCTTGCTCCTCTTCCCTTCTCTATCAATTCTTTCCCTCCCCGCTTTTTATATTATTCGAATGATAACCCCCTGACTTTCTTTTCCCGTCTCTCCGCCTTTGGAATGTTCCTGGTTTCTTAAACGCCGTCCCCCACTCGATTCCGTCCATGTCGCCTGTTTGGCCGGGTTTCTTTCTTCCTCGACTAAACGCTTATCGCTATTCGTGATTCCTTCTTGGACGTTGTCGCCCAGCGCGTATTTGACTTGACTCGTTGTCTCTCGTTTTCTTTCTTTCTTTCTTTTTTTTTTTTCTCATCTCGTCCCGGTTGGCGGCAGCTTCACCTCTTCGACCGGGCCGGCGTCCGCTTCAATCCAACACCATCCTCGAATCCTCAGTGGACGTCGTTGTCGGTCTCTGAATCACCTCTTCCACCATGTCTCTCCATACCTCATATCATGCCGACTCGGATGCCGACGACGAGTACGAACGGAGTGTCGTCACTTCTCCTCACCTAGTCGCCGATTCCGATGCCGATGCCACTGACTCCGAAACTCACTCCACGGAGCACACGCCTACCTATACAATTCCCGATGACCGTCGCTCCCCCAGAACTATCATAGTCGAATGGACCGCTGAGGAATGTGCCAGCTTTCTGGTAGGTCTTGGCCTCCGTCAATACTGCGGGGCTTTTCTAGGTGAGTTCAATCAGGCACCACAAGACTCGTCGGGAAGGTGGAAGAATAAATTTACTAACCGATGGATGGGTTGCGTATTACAGATAACGAAATTGTTGGCGAAGCTCTCATTGCTCTAAAACATGACGAACTGAAGGAAATGGGCATTACCAGTGTTGGGCATCGGTTGACTATCCTGAAAAGTGTATATGAAACCAAGGTCAAGCAGGATATCCCGCTGGATGCAGACCACTATATCCCTCTCTGTATGTTTCTTCGGTACTGTCAAATCATCCCCCCTTTGATCTAACCGTGTTCTTCTCATAGCGGCGGACCAAAGCATGAACGAAAATGCGACACAAGAGGACATCGCCCGTCTAATCCAGTCTGTCCGGTTACGAGATGAGAAGATCACCTCTGTCGAATATGAGTTGCGACGCGTGATGGATGACTACCGGCGACTGCGAGAAGAACTTCTTCCGGTGTTCAAAATGGCCAAGGACCGGTCACAACCGCTCCCTCCTCCGTCATCCGTGGGAACCTCTGAATCGCATTACGATGGTCCAACACTGAATTCGCCATCTGGATTCAATCTGTATGATCGTGCCAGCTCCGCCATGTCTCGAACATTCTCCAAGAAGGCTCATACTGGAGGCCTCACTCCAAAGACCACCTCTCCCACCCATATCCCACCGTCCATCTATGAAGAACGCCCCTACAATGATAATGGCTCTCTAAATCCGTCAACTGCGATTTCTCAACACTTATCTGCGATGAATGGCGGTTCTCAGTTGTCCCCAGGGATCCCGTCCCCGACATCTCCCGGCTCTCACTATCTGCAACAACCAACACTGGCATCACGATCTTACACACAACCGGGCTCGAACAACAGCATCCGAGCCGCGCACGATCACCCCGAAGAAACTCCTACAGCACCATCCTCCCGTTCCGATCGACTGAACCCCACCCCGACGCAATCTTCCCGAGATATTCCTTCACGGTCCGAGTCTAGAGCAGGGTCGGGCGGGGATCCTCCTAGCGTTGAAATCTTCAAATCATTCCGGGTGTCCATGGATGATCCATGCTATAAAGTTCTTCCGGCTGCCCTCAAGAAGTATAACATCAATGCTGACTGGAAACAATATGCGTTGTATATTGTATACGGGGATCAAGAACGGTGTTTGGGACTGGAAGAGAAACCGCTCATTCTCTTCAAACAGCTAGAAAAGGAAGGGCGAAAGCCAATGTTCATGTTGCGAAAGCAATTGCAACCCGTTGAGAACAATCCGTTTCCCAGCAGCGGAGGGACGGGATCTGCTCCCAACAGCGCAGGCTTTGAAAGCGCAGCAAGACAAGCCCAGATAAATTTGCCTGGCGGAGTTCTTTAATCTTGCATGCATGGGGTTTCCGGATCAAAAAAAAAAAAAAAAAGTTTCGTAACGTTACGTTGTGTCTGCTGCTTGAGATACCCCTTCTCTTCTTCCAGGGTGATCATTTTCCTCACCTGGTCTCTTTATTTCTTTCTTCACTTTCGAGTCCTTTGGGATATTTATTCTAATAGGCCGAATCGCGTTATATAAACGGTGTTGGGTGTTGGGAGATTGTATTTGGGACCTTTTGATTTGGACGAAAAAAAATAAGCGGTGCTCTTGCATTTCTAGCCTGGATTGTCTCTCTTCTCTATCTTCACTTCTTTTCTCCATTTACTTTCTCATCTACCTACCTTTATCTATTTCTATCTCTCTCACCTATCATCTTTCTATTCTCTCTCATATTTTTTTTTTTCTTTCTTTCTACTTGACGTAATGAACAATGCATGGATGTGATCTCTTCTTTTCTCAATCCTGTCAATATTTAATAGCCCTAACTCTGAAGATATATGAAAATGAAAAAAATATACGTACGGCTTGTGCTGTATAAGAGTTGAATTTATATCTACTAGTATAGACGACTATAATATGCAGCTATACAGAACTATATTTCTTAAGCGAGAGGTTATCCATTTATTCAGCCTTACGCCTTATGCCTTATTGCCTGACTGAATACCAAACTTTCTGCCTTGATCTATCTGACCGACACATACTCGCGAGTGAGAATGAGATGACCGGTCTGTGTACTATACACTTTTCTCGAGTAAGGTAAATTGTTACTAACTTAATACTTTTAACTTTTACACGAGAAAGACCAAGAAAATATATACTAGCCATCTACCTACTGATCGCCAGAGCATAGACTAGTGCTGCATATACCCCGCCCAAAGCAAGGACAACACGCAGCGACATTCAATAGACGAATTCCAATTTCTGACTTTTGAGTTTCCCGAGAAAAGCAAGCTGACTATGTTCTAGAGAACCTTGTACGACAATGAAAGGAAATAGCAAGTACATATATAAAAAAAGAGAAAATAAAAAATGATATATTTGAAACATGAACCTTAATTACAGCAAGAGTAATAAAAGCAAGTAAGAGGTATTCTTGATTTGAAGCAACAAAGTTCAATCAATCGAGATAATATAATAAGCGCTGCATTGGATGGATCGATGCATGGATATCCAAACGATGGCAAGGGAGGGCGAGATCGTTACACGACATAAGCCTTTGTACAAAGCATCAACAGAGGTTTCAATGTATGTGAAGAGGAGGAAGAAAAGAAAAATGAAAAAGAAAAAAAGACGAAATTCTCGAAACATTCTTTAGTGCGAAGCAGGCGAAAATTAAAATAAAACAAACTTGCTTTTCTTCTCACACCGCAAGATTCATGTTTGGTTCTGCACTGCCCTGTTTTTGTTCATTTAATTCTTGTCTTCTTCCCCCCTTCCTTTCTCTCCGCCCCATGAAATTCGTGATCGATGTCTGCGAGAAGATCTTGAAGTTCCCTCTGTCCGGCTTTCAGAAGGCCTGGTGGCTTCTGCAAATTGCACCTTGCCCTGGACAGGACGGGAGTTGTCATCATCGTCGCTATCAGATTCGATGGCATCATCATCTTCGTCGCCAGAATCTTCATCATCCGAATTGTTCAGTTCACCAAGGGCAGCCAGACGACGGCGACGCTCCGCAGGAGTTTCACCAGTATCGTCCAACGCTTGTTGAGGTGGTGCCGAAATACCAGCGGCTTCACGGAGTTGAGAAGGCGGAACACGCTCAGTGCCATCGTCTTCAGAGTCCCGTCGAGATCGAGGGCGTGGAGTCATGGCAGGCGAGTGAGAGGGAGCGATGTTACTCCGTCGTTCCTGGGCAGAAGTGCCCCGAGTGACTCGAGCCAGCGAAGCAGCAACATTGTCACCGGGAATCTCGGTATCCGACTCCCCACTGATCTCGCTGCCTGAAACGGACTCAAGGTCTTGATCTTCCTCAGGTACCGTAGGAGTCTCGTTGTTGCCTGTCACCTTAGTGGCGGACTGGCGACGTTCCTTGCTGTCTTGCACCTTGGCTTCATCCTTAGCCACATTCTTGACTTGAGGAGGGGCGTCAGTTTGTTCCACGAGATCGCGACGGGCCTTGGGGTCGAGCTTTTGAATCTGGCGGATGAACTCTTGCTTGTTCATGCGGTGGCCCTTATGGCTAACACCACGCTTGCTGACCTCGTCGTTCTCGGCCACAGTGAATCGAAGTCCATCATCCGTCAACCATTCATCAATGCCTGTCTTCTTGTTCTGGGCTGCCTGCGATGACTCGGGCTCATCTTGGTTACCAAGCCAGGTTCCCATGCGTGTCAAACCACGACGGACAGGACCAGAGGGAGCAGCAGGAGCGGGTGTTTTTTCCGAGGGAATAGAATACTTCTTGATAACTTCTCCATCTTCATCTTCAACAATGATGGTGTTACCGAACTGGTATGCGTGAGCAGAACGAGCCTTGCCCTTGGACGGTTTTTCAGCTGCCTTGGCTGAGCTCGATGTTGCCGGTTTCTCTTCCTTCTTCTTGATCTCCTCCTCCTGATCCTTGGCACGACTCTTTCCAAAGCCTGCCCACCGGGTTAGACGTGCGAGTGGGTGACCGGTCTTCTCTCCGACTGCATCTTCGATTTCTTCGCCTTCAGTCTTTTCATGTGGCTGACTCTTAGATTTGGCGAATTCGCCATCGCCATCCTTCTGAAGTCTCAAGCGTTGCTGCTCAATGTGCTGTTGCTGCTCTTCGGCAGACATATGGCTGATATCTTCCGTCGTGAGAACATTGCCTTCTTCGTCTTCGATAATCATGTGATGACCTTCAAGGTAAACCTCCATGACAGGCTCCCGGCCATAGCGATCACGCTCCTTCGACGGTGGGGATCCACCTCGTTCAATTCGGTCACGTTCTTCGGATTCTTCCTCTTCTTCACCCTCTGTTCGTCGTTGAGGCGCAATGGCAGATTGACTAATCGGTCCACCAACGCCAGCAGTGCGCTTACGGCGTCTTAGATGTCGTTTGGCGGGTCTACTAGCCTGGGGCTCGGGATCTTCTTCGCGAACACGGCGGAGGAAATTGCCAGGAACACCGATAGGGGGCAAGGTTCCAGGGGGATAGTCCAGCTTTTCGTTGGAGGACTCATCCAGTTCATCCGCTTTCCGGAACGACATGGAACCCTTGGCCAGCGACTGCACACGGGGAAGACGGTTCATCCATGAGGGACCCTCCTCGTTGGCGGTGGTGTAGGACAGCGTAATGGTGAGGGTGTTGATCCGCTTTCCAAGGGTGAAGACAGCAATTGAGGAACCGTGCACCAAGATAGAGGAGATGACCATGAACGTGGTAATGGGCCATATCAACTCCACAAGCTCCTTGTGTTTGGATGGGGTATTAGGATCTATACTGTCCAGCTCCGCCTGTGTCATAGGTTGAGTATTGTGGTTTTCCACTTCGGCTCTGGCCAAAATACAGGCGAAGATGGCACCGACACCAATGGGACCGAAGTGACCGGCAAACAGAGCCTCACGCCATGTTTTGACGTCCGGTATTAGGGGTTTCAAAAGCAACATAATCGGGATACGGCGGAAGAAAATGACCAGTAGGGCAATGACTACGAGTCTCCAGGGCACCAGGCCGAGATCGGGGGCATTGTAGTCTTCCCAGGGAATGATGGACCCAAAATAGACAAAATACGCCAAGTTGAGCAAAAGATCGATAACGTTGGAGACGTGGGACTCTTCGGTCTTTTCCGTGAACCAACCGTCGTTACTGAAACCGACACCGCAGGAGAAGCCGATAAGGAGATCATCCATGCCCAACAGACTTCCCGAACCGGCGCAGAAGACGGCCAAGACGAAGTAGAACACCAGAAAACTCTCACGATCAATCAACTGCTTGCGTTCCGCAAGCTTGATCGCGTGACGAGCCAGATAACCGATCATAAACCCAAAGAAGGCACCCACGATACACTCGTACAGGATAGTGACGCAGAACCAGTTCAGAGAGACCTGTCCGGCATCAGGGCGGTAGTGTAGAATGTAGTAGGAAAGGTAGATGAAGGGGAAGGCCATGCCATCGTTGCAACCGGATTCGGCAGACAACAGGTCTCGCAAGTGCTTGGGAACCCGCTTCGCGAACTTACCTTTACCTACAACAGACGATGCCAGGACGGGGTCAGTAGCTGTCACGCAGGCCGCGCACACGAGACTGTCGAGCCAATTGAGCTTTGGCACCATCCACCAGATAAACAAACTTGTAATTAACCAGCCCCAGGTCATGACAGGGACGAGGAGCAAGAAGACGGATTTCCAGTGACGCTCCATGTAAGCTTTGGGTAACTCGACGCCGACCGCAAAACATTGGACGACCAGGACGATCCGGGAACATTCTAGGGTGATTTTATCGACATTACCCCATTCCATGGGGTTAAAGAGGTTGGCGGCATGAGGCCCGAAGATAATGCCACAGAGGGTGGCCACGGTAGCTTCACCAATGTAGAGCTTCTCCTTGACAAAAAGAGAACATAACATGAACAGGCCGGTGAAACCACCTAGAATCATGTACGCCAGATGCGGCTTATCGATATCCAGATGGTCCCACGCCATGATGATGGTGGGGAACGACCCTTGTGATTATCCTCGCAACGGTGTCGCTTTCTCGCGCGCTCTCGCAGTCTGCCTCCGCGGTTGTCTCCCTTGTCCAGCTGTTCCTGTCACGCTTTCCGCTGTGCTTTTCCACCCCTTAAATACTCCGAAAATCCCCGATCGAACGAATAAGCAATGGACCGTTCGATTTCCGCCTCGTGTGTCGGTGATCTCGGTTGCTCGGCATGCCTTGAGGGAAACGATCGAATATGACGAGTGAGGCGAAAGGAGGGGAGATGCCTCTCGCTCTGTCTCTCTATCTCTCCGCCTAGCTCGGTATCCCTTCTTGCACTGCAAGGGGGGGAGAGGAGAAGAGAGAAGGTGGTTGTGATCCAGCGATTGAGAGTGAACGGGTGGAGAGGGTCAGATGCACGTTGCCCCCCGAAGTAGTACTGATAGGACTTGGCGAAGGGAGGGGGTGGGAGGAAGGGAGGAATGGAAGAGGATCGATTACCGAAATAGGGAAACCAACCTATCCAGATAGGAAGAGATGAGGAGGAATCACAAAAAAGAAAAGAGGAAAGAAGCGAAAGAAAAAGAAGACCAAGCGACGACAAGCGACGACAAGAAAGACAAGCGACGACAAGCAGCCGATACCAAGACAAGACAAGACAAAAAAAAAAAAGAATTAAAAGGAAATTAAAAAATTAAAAACCTAAATAAAAAAAAAGACGAGACCGGGACAAGAGCAGGAAGAGAGAAACACGCCCGGCGGAGACCGTCAGGAATCAGAAAATTCAGGAACCCAAGCAGCCCATGACGAAGTGAGGCCGATCCGATCTGGGGAACGTACGTGTATGGATGGATACAGGGTGTGTGTGTATTAATGCGGTAACAGCCCAATTGGTACGGTTTCAGCCCTTCTCTTATTTATTTTCCCTTATTTGCTTATTTGCTTATGTTCTCTTTTCTTGGTATTTCTTGGTCTTTTCTTGGAAGGTTCTTGGGAGAGAAGCGGAAGGCGCGCGAGCAGCGAAACAGGAACGAGGAAGAATCCAGAAGACTGCATGGGAAGGCGCCTGGTCGGTCGCGGAGCGAACAATGGCGGGTCTTGGCGGGCGGAGTTTCCCACTTTCCCTGCTTCCAGCAAGAGCGTTACATACAGAGCTGAGGACGGTAAATTACCCGGACTATGTGCGGATCGACGAGTGCCCCAGTGGGACTACGAGAAGTTCTAGGCAATCCTAGTAGCACTAGCACGTCATCGTTATCGCTCCAGTCGATAAAGGGGATAGCATTCTAAATAGTAATAGGAAGCGTGCTATTAGGTAACTGTACACTGGCCATGTGACGGATCTGCGAGCATCAGCAGCGCTCGACATCCAAACCAGCCAGTCAGGTTGCCAACGTCCATACATATCAGCACAGACAGCCACATGGTTATCGCGGGTAACAGAGTTCTTGTACGGTAAAATCGGTACGATGTATTACTACCAGGTAAATCCGGGCCATGCCAATACGTATGCCCAGAGGCCAAGAGCCCCGTGGCCCCAAGCCCTGCAAGGCTGCCAAGGTCCTGGCGCGGGCTGGTTGGCCAGTCCCGGTCTGGGCGCGTTCCACTGTGGGGCTACTGGGCCACGAGCGGCTGCTCAGGCGGTCGGCGGTTATTCTCCGATCCCATCTATCATATACGCAGTGTGACTGCCAGTGTCTGTCTGCCATGACGGCCGTGAGATAATAGCATCAGGTCATATTGTGCCAGGATGCTGCATATGATCCATCGAGGCAGCCCGTCAGGCAGAAGGAAGAGAAGAAAGAAAGACATCATACAGAGGCCACATACAGAAGAGTACAGACAGGCTAATGAAGAACAGCAGCAACAACGCAGCAACGAAGCATAAATGTCAAACACGTAAACCAGGAACACTAGGTAGATCGAGAGAGAAAGAGAAAGAAAGAAAGGGTAAAAACAAGAAAAAGGAGTCCAAAAAAGCACATCTCGTCGAATCACTCGCCGGTGGGCATGCTTTCAACCTGATCACTCAGCGATCGCCAGTTGTCCGCCTGCAGCTCTGCATATTTCACTCGCTCTTGGCTCCAGTCCTGATGAAGTCGACTGATATGATATTGGCTCTGCTGGAAATGGACCAGTTCGTCTCGGATGCACTCCTTGATGAACACTCCTCGTGCATGTTGCTGTACAATCGACTCCTTGTCCTACACACCGCGTTAGCACCTCAATCATTGCTGCCCCAAAAGGGGACCCATACCTTAAAAATAGACTCCTCCACCCGCTCGATTTCGCCCGGCTTGACGGTCCCTTGGGGCCGTACTCGCAAGTCCTGCAGCTTCCGTTCGTTGTTCCCGATCCTTCGCTCAAGTTGGGGAATGTTGTTCCTCGCGTAACGGTCCCTTCGGTCAAACATTTCCCGCACGCTGACCAGGCAATCCCGCTGTTGCTTCAGGTCCTCCAGCACCCCACTCTCCCATGCTTTAGCTTCATCTTCGAGTAAACTTTGGCTCGTGGAGAGGTGTCTTGCTGTCGCATGGATACCCTCGTTGACCGACGGGACGTCGTTGGTGTCAACAGCGTATGTATCCTTGGTCACTTCCGTGAGGGATTGGAGGGCAAGCGAAAATCGTAAATGGTCTGCTCCTAGCCCTTCGTTGCGTCTCGCTAGTCTCTCAAGCAAGGTGCACAGGTTGATATAGATCTCGGCTGACCGCTTCACCCCACTCCGCACGGTCTCAAACGTGTCCATCAAAGTAGATGGAAGCGAATCTTCCAAATCCACTGGGAGTATGCGGCCCGCAAACTCATCTTGTACCGATATCGTGGCTTGTTTGCGCCATACGGAGAGTTCCTGAAAGACAACATCAGTATCGTAAAAACTAGGGAGGAAAATCTCTAGACTTACAGTTGGGACGGTTAGGAACATGATCACGAGCTGCTCCTGGCTCAGCACGGGGTGGCGAACAAGGGCATTGCTAAATCGGACTAGGCCGCGTCGGCGCTTTTCAAGGAAAGAAGTGGAATCCGCTGCAAGGTGAGTGCCATTGACTTTTTGAGAGCAGAGATACGAGTAAGCTTTGAGGACAGCTTTTAGCATAGCCCTTAGACGTACCTGAAATTCTCTTGGGTGGAAGTAAGGGAAGTGTTCTGAATGGATAGCGCTTATGGAGGCAATCGAGTAGCCAGACGAAGTCGCTGTATCGCCGTACAACCGTGCTTCCTTTCCGTGCCGATTTGACTTCATAGTTGCGGTGCTGGAACATGAATAGGCCTTCTTTCTCGGGAAGCAGTGTCACTGTGACTACTTCCTCGACCCGTGAAGCCACATCCCGACCCATTCCCAGCGATCGCCGAATAGGATTGGGCTCCTCACGATCGTTTGTTGGCGGCCCAAAGGCCCCAATTCCCGATCGTTCTATGTTCCCAAACGCATCACCAGGCGTGCTGCTACCAAATCCATCTCCCCACCCAGACTCCGAGCTACTGGGAGGGCGGACAGCGTCCGTCGTGTCATTGCGACGATTTCCATTTAGTACATCGGTTTGATTATTCCCCTCCAATGGTTTATTTGACCAGGTGTTTGTTGTCGACCGTACACTTCCGTAACCGTTCAACACGGCGTGATCAGACTCGGTCTGGCCGCGAGTATGGGCATGATCCCGATGTAACTGGGGACTACCCCAAGGATCAGCCTCCAAGCCACCAAGCGATTCTCGTCTTGATCGTCGGGAAAATGTTGAATTTGGTTCTTGCAAGGGGGCAGAGGGAGGAGGTGTACTTGGCCGCTCTTGCGACACAACGGGTGTATTGGATTCCTGTTTCGCGCGCAAACGGTCAAGGTAGGAACTTTTTGGTTCTGGTAGCTCTGTAATTTGAGGGAAAAAAAAGCAAAGTTAGATGTTGAGTTTTCACAGCAATGGATACAGTCTTACTCTTCCGTCTATCATCCACCGCGTCAAACGTAATATCCTCGCCCTCCTGCGCCAGGCCGACGAGCGCTAACAGAACGCTGAACTCGCCACGTCCCACGCCAATCGAGCTGTTGTTATCGTTCTCGCCCGAGATGACGAGGTTGAAAATCTTAGCCTGGTCGCTCGCGCTCAGCTCACTGCCAGACAGTATTTCCCTGACAGACGTTAAGCCCACCCCCGACCCAGCTCGATCTCCTGCATTGAGAACCAGGTCGTATGCATCGACATAACTTTCGGGGATATCCGTGTCGGGTAGCAAGGTCTTGACTAGCTCATGTCTGGCTGTTCGTTTGGTGTTGGTGTTGTTCCACGGCGAGCTGTCATCCGCGAAGAGAGAGGCGGAGGAGTTCTGATCGTCGGCAAAAAGGGAGGACTTGAACCTCTGACTTCGATTGACAGAGGAGTCCTCCTCAGGTGATGTCCCGAACAAGGACATGGGGGATAATCAATGAGGGGCTATTGCGCGCTGCGAAGACGGTTGGGAAAGCTGGCGATGGGCCGCGATGATCCAGCGGAGCTCGGGCGGAGTTAGAGAGGGAGGGCAATGACGACAACCACAAACAGCAATCGATCAATCAGCAGTCCATCAACCGAGGTATTCAAGTGCAAAAAAACAATGAGATGGTGATTTATCGGCTGGATACAAAGGATAGTCGCTTTAAATAGCAAGGCCACACCTATCGGGAGGAGAAAAAAAGACCAGTCTCTTGCGATAAGAACGAGGGCAGCTGAGTTGAAGGACGATGTCTGCTGCCCGCCGACACTAACGATACTCGGTTTAGTAACTGGACTGGCATGTCAACACCAGCCCTCGCCAGACAAGCTTCATTATCCCTGATAATTATTGTTTGCATTGATTCGCATTTCTATATATTCTAAAGTACAGCGCTGGTGTAGATGATCATTATACATTTCGGCTAAATACCCCCATCGCCAGAACTCTCAGAAGCATCCTCATTGCAGTCCCGGCTGGGTTCACGACTGGCCTCTGGGCCTGTTCCGACGCAGAAATGGCCCTGTTCAACCAGCAGGTCTTGCCATTCCTTGTTGCCCGTCGCCATAATTCGAGAAGAGTACGTATCGGAAGGAAACCACCTTTCCTTCCTTGTGTCTGTTTTGGTGCCTCCTTCCAGCGCAGCCCGACTCGCCTTCGTGGTTCGCATCTTTTTGGTTCTATTCGTGCTGTGGGAAAGAAGCCCACTGAGTTCCAAGCGATATTTCTCAAGACGAAGATCAAAACCCATAATTGCACGTATATAGGGTGCTAAGTCTTCAGAAAGAGGTCGGGTTCCGTTTTCAAAGGACGGTGCCAGCCGTCCTGTTGGTACAGGGAACACATTATAAGGGCCCTGCTTGACGGGATCGAGCGCTGCAAGAAGCTCTGCCCCGGGTGGGTTGACGGCTTGAGGTTTGATAACGTTATGCATGACCTGTTCGGCTTGAGTGTATTCAAGCACGTGCTCGTTATTCGGCCGGAAGACATTTCCCATCAAAACCTTAAAAGTACTCCCAATGGCTGCTGGCAGTGATGAGTAGTCAGGCTTCAGATCCGTATGTAGTAGTGGATATCCTTCAATATAGTTCGTCCGTTGTTTTTCAGGCATCGGGGGAACAGATATGTCGATAGCATCCTGTCTGAGATTAGCTGTGTTGTGTATACAGGGTTGACTGCAACTTACCAGTTCAGACTCGACCGAGCACCCAGAGGAAAGAAGGTCGAGAGAGCTTCTCATATCCGCATACTCGGACTCGAACCGCAGCCTTTCAAGCTGCTCATGAGCCGACGCCGGGCTTGGACGCTCAAATTCACACATGCTTTCCGAGTCTTGCAAAGTAAGTTTCCACCAATGGAGTGACTCTTGCTGACATTCGGCTTGACTGTCAAGTGTGTTGCTTAACATCATATCACGATTAAACCACCCCATGAAGGATTGGTAAGTGTTCTTGCTAATCACTCGAAGTGGATCACCCTGTGAGTCGAGATCTGACCCAGGTGGCCATCTGTCAATAATCCAGTCGATACCAGACTTCTCACTGCCTACAGCCATCTGGCACCAAAAGTTCAGCTCCATTATTGACTTCCGAAGATCTTTTCCATTGGCCGCATAAAGATCGCAGACAGGGCCTCGATTCAGCAAATGACCTTCGTTTGCTGCCATTAGAAGGAGGTACTCTACCGCTAGGTCAGGGGTCGGATTCCGGTATCGTAGGATGGCGTGCAGTGAGATATCTTCAATAGGAATGAGGCTTTCATCGTTGCAGGTTATGATGATGGGTCGTTTTGACTGTTGAATCAGAGTTATGACACCCGACCAAAATTGTTTATCTTCTTCGAAGAGGAGGTCGGCTTCTTCCAAAAGAATCAACGATTGCTTCTGGCTTCGAGAACGTTTCTGATCTGCTTCATGCTCTGGGTTTTTTTGGCGGGACTTTTCATTTCCCTTGGTGTTTTTGGCAGACGACGATTTGAAGAAAGTTAACTTGTTTTGCTTGGCATCTTCCACCTCTGTTTCATCGCTTCCATTCAGGTTATGCACAAGATGATTTCGTGTCATGTCACCAACGCGTTCCACGATGTCCTTTGCACTTCTGCGGTTTCCCGGATGAATCTCGAAAACTTCGAAATCGAGTTCTTTTGCGACTGCATATACCGAAGCAGTCTTTCCACACCCCGAGGGTCCGCTGAGGAGAATTGCGTTGGACATCCGGCCTTTCTCGCCCCCTTTTCTGGAGCTAATGGCCATATCTCCAGATCGAATGACTGTTCTCTTGGAGACAGTTACATCGCCGGCCAGCTCATCCTCATCGGAATCAACAAGCTCGTCCATCTCGGAATTTTCCTCTTCACTTGATACGATAAATCCGTCTAGTTTCTCGGCTCTCTTGCGCTTCTTTGCCCGTTTCTTATCCTCGGCTTTTTGTTTCGCTGTATCGGATGATTTTCCTGTGTCGACTGCCGAAACCATAAGATACTTTAGCCAGTCCCGCAGCATCAACGTTTCTCGGCCCGATTGAAGAATTTCAGATGCACATTTCGGGGCATATTTTTGTGCCCAAAGAGAAGTGTCATACTCTCCCCGATCGAAAGCCGTCATCGAAGTCGGTATGGATGACTGAAGTTTCGAAACAGCAGGGTGACAGGATTTGTTTGGGACCTTTCTGTCTGCATCGTGTTCAGCATCAGACCCTGCGAGCTGCCTCATAACTTTCTTGAGCAAAGTTTTCCCACTCGCGTTGTGTCTTTTGGGTACCCGTAAAGCGTTTGGACTTTGAGATTCAGAATGTCGCGCTCTATGCATATCTGAAAGGAGCACATTTTCTTTGTCATTGATGCTAACTGCAGCCATCTTGGCCTTTTTCTGGTCCAGATTCAATGGACCCAGCTGCCGCTGAATAGGACTTTCTTGAGAACCTCTGACATGTACTAAGTCTTGCGGAGGCCAAATTGGATGTATTGGTTCCGGGAATTTGGGGCGCGGTTTGAATGAATAGAAAGACTTTGCAAAATCGCTCGTAGGTTTGGGGTTCGTCTTTCCCGGGGCTGTATTTTGTGTATCTTTCGATTCTGAGTCATGGGAAACTTGTTCAGTCGAGGATGGTGTTTCGGCCGGCCGATTCGACTTCTTCATGAAAAATGGATGAGTGGCCTTGGACGGTTGGGACTGCACTCTCTTTGGAGCAGGACGTTGAGCAGGGCGCGTAGGGGGAACATATTTCTTTCGGCCGTTGACAATGTCCTCTATCACAGACCCAATCCGTTCTCTAGCATCGTTCTCAGTGGCGTATTTGATGACCACCATTTTCTTTTCATTTTTCTTGGTTTTCCGGCTCCCGTTCCTATTCCGCTTACTTCCCGGCTTTTCGTCAAGTTTGTCTTCGGATCGATTGGTAGCTGGTGAGCTCAACAACTTCCCATTAGAATTCAGTCCAATTGTCTTTTGTCTGGCGGATCTTCTCTCTGGAAGACCAATTGACTGAGTGGTATCGCTTGGGAGTTCTGGGTAATCGGGCGGGGGAAGCGCAGGGGTAACTGGATGTGATGCCAATGTATTTGTTGAAGGTGTTTGAGATTCAATACCGGCTTCAGGTGCGTGTGTGGACATTGTCGAAGCATCAACTGGCGCATCCTTCACCCCGTGGGGTGAAGGGGTTCTTGAAATATCTCCATCATTGACTTGCGGCCCTTGCGATGTCTCGTTATCCCTCGGTTCCTTTGTTCTCTGCCTTTTTCTGCGACTCGAGTTGGGATCATGCTCTAGCATAACGGAAGGAGTGTCTGTAAGCGAATTTTCGCATGTCAAATAAGCGTCATCAGGTTCTCGAGATTGACCATTAGGTGAATTATCGATTTGAATTATGGGGGATGACTTTGTCGAAATTCCAGATTCTGCAACTAATTAGCAAGAGAGGGCATCAAATTCCACGAGAGTGCTGACCTTTGCGGAAGAATGGGTGGATGGCTCGTTGTTCTTGTCCCATGGCCATAGGTTATGTATAGCACCCACACGATGAGCAAATGCTCATCGCCTGGTGAGATTCAGATGAAGGAAGAAGAAAACAGAAAACATGGAAGATAATGGGGGAGCTCCAGCTTGAACGGGAACCGTCAATGGCTTAAAGGGCACGAAAGCCTGTCGTGGTATTGAATCGACTCCAATTGTCCCTGCGATAAGCACGCAGCAACGCAAAGAACGCGAGAGCGCGTGTTGCCCGCGCAGAATCCAATTATTACCTTTTCGTCCTGGCTGTACGTCATTTACAATACACACAGTACGCCTAGTCCCGATTCGGAATCGCCCCGGAGATCGGCACAACGTAATGCCGGAAATTTTTCGGGATGCGATCCAAAATGAATTTCTTCAAGAAGTTTGCCCAACAGGCCTTGAGCGACAGCGAGAGTGCAACAGCTGATATTCTGCCTCCCAGCATTTGCTGTGATGGATCTACAACCCCCGTCGGTGTTGGCTCAATTGCCTCGCCCTCTCCATGCCTCCACCGGCAAAACTCACATCGGTGAGGTGTATAGTCTGGCCGACTCGAAAAAGCGGAAGAGATATGAAGTGGCTGTCGCAGTCGATGGAGAAGCTGTGAACATTTATAATGTATGGATAAATACAAATTCGTCGCATTAGCATTGCAACTGGTGGGCTAATAAGGTTTTCAAACCAGGTGCAAACTCCAAAGTTGGTGACTTCCTACGCTGTCCCACCGCAATCGTCCTTCTCTTGTCGGCCATGCGCAGTGCGCAGAAAACTTCCGAACAAGTCGTCGGTAAAGAGACAGACCTACGGAGCTGTGAGCCGTCCTGAACAGCAGGTCAAGTGTTTCGTCGAGGAGACAGGTGGAAACGAATCAACTGCGCCCGTTATTTCTTCGTCATCTTTCTCTGTGAAAGACTCGAGCAGCCCCACGATCTTTGTCGGCATTGTTCCAACAGATGCAGGAGAGGAGGATGAGAAGGATCCATTCGACATTCTTTCCGTTCACCAGGATGGACGTGTACGGAGACTGACGCCTGACCTCAAGAGCCAGCGATGGAGCATTCAGCACAGCGAGATTGCCAAAGTTTGCTCGACCCACGAAGTGCACACATGCTTCCTTGTAGAGTTTGAAGATGCGAAGAAATCGCTGTTCAAGAGAAGACAGGATCTGGCAGCTCTCGCTCTCGGGGACTTGACAGCTTCTGGAGCCAATGAGCCCTCTATCTTGCTGCTTGTTTCGCATCCAGTTGGCACTGAACAAATCAGCTTGAAGGACGTGAAAGTCCAAATGTTCTCCGTTCCAGCACAGTCTAAAGATGGTCGGAACGTTGAGGAAAGCCAGCGTTTGAGACATCTATCGACAATTGATATTCCCGACGTTGACGGTCCAAAAACATTCACCAGCCATGGTCTTCAATGGAACTTCCACTCTGGATCAGCAGGATTGAACCTTTCATTCGAACAGGGGTTCATCAATTTCGATCTTTCCCAATACACGCCCAGTGTCACTTCGAAATTTATCCTTGAGGACGAGAGCTTCTCTTCCATCATGCGCATCTCTCCCCAATCCGTGATTGGTGCCGGAAAGTCCCTCGTCGCACTTTACGATACGCAATACCAATCAGTTCAGCGCAGCATCTCAGTTGAGGATGTCCCATCTGCTGGATCATCTGGACAGACGGTCTTCATCAGCTACTTTGCAAAACTGGGCATCGCGGTAGCGACAAAAGGAAGCACCCTATTCTCGTTTGATCTGAGTGCGTCTCACAGCACCCCTGGTTCATCACTTAAGAGACCCAGAGACGGTCTTTTGATTGATGCCATTGGGCGCGGTATTGGATCTTCTGCTGCTCAGTGGGATGCAGGCTCGAAGAAGAATCGCACTGAACATATGGCATCATTGGGCCTCACTTCACCGGAGCAAGTTAATAAATGGAACCAGCTGACAAATGACCTGGATGGATTCACCAAGAGCAAAGATGTTGATGGATTTGATTCTGCAGTGCAAAACTATTTCGGCACTGGTGAATCCAAGACTTTGCCTAAAACTGGAAGCCAGGTCAATCCGGAAATGATTCTGTTTGTACTTTCGAAAATCTTCTCCCTGAAGGAGACCCAGAACAACGACAATCTCTCGGCGTCCTCGTCCCTCCAACTTGCCATTGAATTGTGGCCCAAAATCACCTGCGACTGGCTCATTAGGCTAGGGCAGTTAAATATGAGCAATGTCGAGATTGCCATGCGACGATCGTTCAAACCTCGCATTCTGCCATCTTTGCCAACAGGCTCTTTCACCCAGGCCTTCCTCAATGCCAACTCCTCCCGATGCCTCATCCAAGTGGTTCGGAGTCAAAGCATGATGAACCCGGACGAACTGGCCTACGCGCTCAGGACTTTCTTGAACATGGCGCGCTCCCACTCTGTGACACTGGAAGAGACAGCCAAAACTCTGACCGATGGATCGCACGAGAGTAACAACGACAACAAGCAAGTCTCCAGCACAGAGGCAAGCCTGAAGGAGATCTTCCAGGGTCTGAACACCACCCTCAAGAAAATCAACGCCCACCCCCTCCCTACCATCATCCAATCCATTCGTTCTGCCCTCTCCCAAAACGAACTCATCTCCTTGGTCCACCACCTCCGTCTCTCCCTCGCAACAGGTGGCTACACCTCCCGCTTCACCGAAAACCCACCCACCCCCGTCACCCCCGAACAAACCTCCCCTCCCCTCCCCCTCGACACCATCACCAACCTTCTGACCGCCTCCGTCGACGCCATCGGCCCCTCGGGCTGGATCTCCGCCGCCGGCGTCGACGATCCCTCAACCAGAGAAATCGACCTCATCGCCGACATGAAGTCTGAAATCTCCGCCGCCCTCGCCGGCGTCGAAGAGGCCACTTACCTCAAGGGTATCCTCCGCGAATACCTCCGCTTCACCGACACCGTCGCCGCCTCCTCCAACAACGCCAGCAAATCAACAGAGACCGACCAGTCCTCGGCACTGGTGCGACACGAGAAGCTCAACGGCGCAGACCTGATCGTGTACACCCCCGCAGAGAGAGAAGACGGCGATGAGGGCGACGCTACCGGCAAGCTGCTCCCATTGTCGCTCAAGGCGGCTTCCGCAGACGTCAGCAAGACCAAGGTCAAAAAATCCACCGGCGAAGTCAAGTCGAGGAGTAGTCGTGAAATGGGATACTTGCGACGGAAGGCTGGCGGCAAGTATTCGTTTGAGAGGCTTATTGTATAGATATACTATTATTAAAAGTAGAATGATGCTTTTTCATACATATACTTGATTTTTTATGCAGCACGAACGGCATTTGGTTATCAAAAAATCTAAATTTTATTCTGAAATGGTAAATTCGCTGGGTATTACAATATGTAGAAGAAACGTAGTATATGCACCCAGATAAAACAACTTCAGATCTCGCCGCGAATATCAATTCCGGGTATCAGACGATTGCACCAACAGACCCCTTCTGCTTTGCCATCACCATCGTACAGATTGCATTTCAAATCCATTCACTTCATCCCTCGTTGATGTAGAATAGTAAGACAGAAAAGTCCATTCAAAATACATTTCAGTAGATTCAGCAACTTAGCATGTAGTGGTATTCAACATATAATTGCTTGCTCCTGGGAGTGTCGTCGAAGTTGGCGTCCATCCCATCATTTTGCTAGAAATGAATAGCCTCGACAGGATATTTGACCAATGACAGATCTCCTGCAGGCTAAAAGGATCAAAAGGTAAAAGGCGTAACATCATCATTCACATGTACAGATAGTGGTAGATAGAAGAAAAAGAGATTTCCATGTACACAAAAGAAGATTAAAAAAAGAAAAGAAACAGACAAAAATACACCCAACAGATATAACACCGTAAATGGAAGATCAAAATACTGTAACAGACTCGGCGAGTTGAATGGCAATTGAATGTTTGAGGCGTTTCGTGAGCGATAAACGCTAACCCGGTGATTTTGTAATCTCCAGAATCGTTGTCTACTTGTAACGGCCAGGGTATCAAAACAGGATGATCAAAGACAAAAGTTTCTGAATGTCGACCCGTATGTTTTTTTCTCGGGGTAGTCGCGAATATAAATCGTAGGCATAGCAAAATGTTCGTTCGTTAGGCAGAGCCCATTAGTGAGGTTTCAGCACGTTCTTTCAAGCGCATAGCTTGCGCTTCAAGAGATCGAGCCATGAGTTTTGTTACTGACAATAGGTTAGAAACGGCCAATATAAGTTAGGATGAAGATGAAACTAACCTGGCCAGACAGCAGCTCTGTCCAGAAGGCTTGCTGTGGCTATCAAAATCTTACAGCCATAACCCCCCTCCACAACACTAGGTAGTCGCTGCAACACGCTCAGCGCAGAAACAGTAGTACTGTTTTGAGCTTCTCGTTGCAACTTGGTCTCGATACTCCCAAGTATCTCCTTAATCTTGTCCAAAAGTTTAAAATCCTCCTCCTCCAATAGCACAAGGCCAGAGGCCTGAGCCATATCAACTTCATCTTGGCCCAGAATTCCTAAGTACTGTCCAACACGCTCTTGGACTGTGGTGATCCATTCTGCAAGGACTTGAGCGCAGTCAAAAGAACACATAGCACACTGGATGGGGAGCTCTCTGCATGTGAACTCGGCAAAAGTATTCCCTAGTCGATCTGACATGGAGATTGAATCAGCTGCGTAGAAAGCAGCCTTCCGTAGATGCTTTTCCCGTCTGGACTGGCCAGGTCGATAGAAGCTTGTCAATGCATCTAGGGGAACATGCATGGGGTTCTCTTGCGTCGGGGTCTTGGAGATAGCAAGATCTCCCACACCCAGAGACGCCACCGAGTCACGCCTATGATCGAACTGACCGACGGTGTCGGTCATCGACGGGTCAAGCACATCTGGAGAAATCTCTTCCACATGCTGGAATATCTCGGTCCCGCGCGCGAGCTCATCAGACATCGCATTCCAGTCTCGCTGCCAAAATGCCTCCTTGCAACGTCCAAGATTAACGAACAGCCTCACATAGGCAAGATCCAATAACGGTATACTATCTGCAGACAATGGACCTGCTCCGAATGGATTGGGCCGCTCCAGGCTATGGAATGGACTACTGGCCCAGGCAGCTTGCCATGCCCGCAAGGCAGGCTCAATATGTGCTTGCATGGCATCGGTCTCCCGAGCGGTCCACTGTCGACCCATGTGTCTCTGTCGAGTTTCCCAGATATAGTTGTGCAGGGCATATATAAGTACAAGGCAACCGAATGTGCTTGGTTTCATATCGCTACTTGGCAGATCCTCGGGCGGAGTGCTGAAGCTGAAGAGATCATTTGGCGGAGGTGTTTGCTGTTGCTCTCTTTGGCTGGCAGTCAACAGTGTCGTCAAAGCAGCCGAAAACGGCAGGCCCTTCTTGGATGCTAGATGTCCTCCCATTTTCTTCCACGCCTGGGGCGACTCAGCCGCCCACAGATCCTCTTCACATGGGAGATCGAGCCGGATTTCAGAATTAGTAAGAGCCGGGGCATGGTTATAGGCCGATGTGAGGAAACTGGAGAGGACAAAGATGGCATAGAGAGTGCGCTTCCGTTCCTCAACTATCTTCCAATCCAGCCAGTCTTTCCGTTCTTTAGGTGGACCAAATGATGGGGAGCCCCAATTCTCAGAATCAGAGCCCTGTTGTTCCTTTGCGCCAAGTCCAGCACTCAAGTGGTCCGGGGGGAGATTATGAGGGTCAATATGGTGTGTCAGGTCTGCTGCCCGGGCAAGGCTGACCAATGCGGCACAATGGGTACTAGCGATATCTGCGGACATCTTATCACCGCACGTATGTCCGTAGATCACGTTGAGTAGCATCGCCTGCACCAACCAAAGTGGGGTGTTGTGTACAGAGTCATCACGGACGGGATTTGATCGACTCAAGGCGGCGGACATGTCTGCTTTACGGCGCTCTTCGAGATAGAGCTGGATCATTTTCTTGGCTGCTTCAAAAAGATCTTTGGAGGCGGCCGTGTCGTACTCGTAGAGAGCACCGATTGCTGCCATGGACAGAATCAGGCAGCCTCCACCCCCGGCTACACCGGTAGAGCTTAGATTTAAATGACCGCTGGGCGTTCGCAGGTTGCTTGTATACTCGGGGGCTTGGAAGTTGAGGGTCGGGATGTGAAGGAACGGGCTATGGGGATGGAAATAGGTGATGTAGGCCGAGATATAACGTTGCATGTCCAAGGTGCTGGGTAACGGACCGGTGCTGTTGAATCCACCGGAACGAGAAAACAGGTCGCGACTATGTATCATTCCACTTGCTGGTTGGGAGTACTTGCGATGACTGAAACCGGAGGGCTGGGCCATACTGGCTAATAAAGCCCGTCGTGTCGAGTCTGTAAAGGTATCTGTGGAGGTTGGGGAATGGTGATTTCGTAGGGCACTATTGGCGAAAGGGAGGTTGAGAGGATTAGGAGATTCTCCGCTTGTTGCCATAGAGGATGAAAACATACTCTGCGAATGTCCACCCAACATGGGCTGTCCCACCGACGTCATGGACGGAGGGGTGGCATACGTTTCAGCAAACGGATTCTGAGCCATCAGGGACTTTGGAGAAACAGTCTCCGGGGGGATTCCTAAATCGTTAAAAGTAGGAGACGAGTAATCGATCGGAAAGTGGTTGGAAGGAGCGCCAGTATGCGATGGAAAAGGGTTGTGCCAGCCAGAAGAAGGCATGGAGAGACGATTTGACCCGTCCATCATGGCCTCACTAATTCCACTCTGGCTACCTGTACTCATCGCCGAGGGGGAAGACTCGTCGATGGCCGAGTCGGGACCGTTACCCAGAGGTAATGAGGGATCAAATCCGTTCATCCAGTCGAAACTGAATTCGTCTTCCATCATCGGTTCCGTGGTAGGAGGAATGTGGTGGGCGCCATGAGTGAATGGGGAGGAGGGAGAGTCGTGTCCGTAGTTCTGCTGCGGGGAGCCACCAAAGTGAAGCTGAGCCGGGTTGATTGTGCTGCCATGACCCATGAGCATCTCTCCGAGATTAACATCGAAGCTGCCATAGACAGGGGCAGTACGAAGTCCACCGGAGAGATCAACTGGCAGGCCAGAAGTCTCGATCTTTGCGAGACCATTCACTGGGGGATGCCCCGAGCTGAAGCCGCGGTGGTGATGATGATAATCAACATTCGAGCCCACAGACGAACTGATACTCGCATGGTATGCATGGTTGGGCTGCGCCTGAGGCGCCGGTGAAGGGTTGGTTGTATTGACAATACCTAAAGCAGACTGATCGATGTGACTGATGGTATTGGCACGGGGTCTCATGTTGCTCGAATTACTAGCGATGGAATTCTTGCGAACACGATTTGTCCCCGTCCCCGTCCCTGTACCAGCGGCACCGGTGCTTTCCCTCCGAGCATTTCTCGGGCGCGATGATGGTGTTGAAGTCATGTGCAATTTCTGCTGATGTCTAAGGAGAAGATCCCGACGGGCAAAACAGCGCGCACAGTCTGGACATTCAAATGGCTTTTCCTTTGTATGCGAGCGCTCATGACGCTTCAAGTGTTCGAGGCGGGCAAACGAGCGACTGCATGTGGTGCAGACGTGCGGCCGAGGCTTGTCAGTCTTGGGTGGAGGTACATTGCCATTAGCCGCCTGGTTATTTGGGTCTGTCTTCTTCGAGCTGTCCTTTGACGCGGCGGGTGGCGCTGCGTGATTACTGGGTTAGGAATGCGAGCGCAATGAGACGTTTAAAGCCATGACCAACGACTCACCAGGCATATCGCCGGGAACCTCACTAATACTGGCGAGGTCCTCCACTTTGGGGCTACTACCCGAATCTTGACCCACCATGGCGTCTAGTAACATCCTAATCGCTCTTATCTTTCAAGGACCAGAAAAAAGGCTGGCCCCAAAAGTTAAGTCAAGGTCTCTGCAACACGGCGTAGGTTTCAAAATGAGGAGAGAGGGGAAGCGTGATTCCAGAAAGTAGGTGCCCGCGTCAGGGTGATTTCTTGGAAGAAAGCAACAAGCTTGGCATTGACCAATCTGGAGTTGAGATGACATCAAGTTAGCATGTTTCTTTCGTGATGTGTAGAAATCAACCGGCATGAACCAAGGTAGAACCGACCAGAGTATAGCTGAAATGGATGACGACGTATCACAATGTCCTAGTCACCATGCGATATATAGGTTTTTAGCAAACTGGAAGCTACTCAACCGACGGTGAAGCAAAAAAAATATATATAAGATAAAAAAGTAAGTGGCGAAGTGGTGCCTGGGAGTTCTTTTCGAACTTTGCGAGACTGTAATCAGCAGGGGTTAAGGTTTCCATGATCCAGGGGGATTTAAAATCATTAACTCACATCAGGCGAGAGGAAATGAGAGGGAAAGAAGTAGAGAAAAAGGACGAGAGGAGATCGTTCACAGGTGTTCTTCCATCGAGGGTGAGAAACTCGTCTCGTGTTGTCCAGAGGTGAATCTTCCGAAGCAGCAACACACGTTTAGGCTGGCCCGCGAGCGTTTGTCCAACGGCGTGGAGATGATGGATAAGCCGGAGATAACCGAATGGGCGGCGAGGAGGAGATAGCTGCGACTCAATTGATAACGAGCATGTAGAGAGAGGGGATGATGTTTTTTTTTGCTTGTCTTGAGGGATGGGATAGGAGAGTGAAGAGAGAGGAAGAAAGACGAGCGAGAGGTGGAAGGTGAGTGATTTCGCCTCCAGCAACTACTAGAAGACGACAAAGCCATCGCAGACAGAGAACTGCAACAATCGTAACTAGCGGGAAGACCCCGTAAAATACCGCGTATTAGCGTTACTAGCGGTCACGCTGGGATAAGCCACGCTCCACGCACCCGCCAGGCAAGAAAGCATGGGCCACAACAGGGCCAGAGCCAGGGCCTGGCCCCACACCCCGTCACGGGGTAAAGGTGTGGTTACTAGTGGGGGATGAGGTCGGTATGATACGGTCATCTCGGAACACCGGGTATTATCATTTGCACACCAGAAACAATAGAGGAATGGATAGCCTCGTCCAATGTCACCTCTGGAGGATTATTCTCACTGAGTTTTCTGACTAAGGCTCCAACTGCCTAGGACGAGTCGCGGGGTGTACCTGGTCAGTGGTAAGGTAATGGACTCTGTACAGTACATACTGCACTACGGGGCAACGATGATCCAGCCGCCGGATGATTGGTTTCTCTTCGCAGTTGCCTATCCCATCATAGCCGTATCGTATGGTATTGTGTTATTCTTATCGTTTTATCGTTTCGGATCGGGAAGTGTCCGACTATCCTCATTCATTCATTCTCTACTCAGGTCTCAGTGGCTGGGGGGATATAAGGATAAACTACGGGTACTTGATGAATAAGTGTACTATGTAGTATGAGTAGGAGTACAACTGAAGATCAGACAAACTCGTACTAATAAACCGTCTGCAGTGACACTCGGACTGATCTCGAGCAACAGAATCCCTGCTTACTTGCAAGGCAGTCAATGATTAGATAGTACAGTATCACCAAACCAAAGCATACCAAACCTTTCCATGGATGACATGTTAAGAATCAAATCAAAAAATGGGAAATGCAATGATTACCGGTGAGTAGATAGGAAGAAAAACTACCTACCTAGTAATAAGACTGGATGTTTCGCATGATGTAATGCCGATTAGTAATGCGTAAGAAATCCTTTGGCGGAACAAAAATTAGACTCTCATTCCAACCCCAGACCTCGTGACTCTTCCAGACAAGATCAACATGAGACTGGGCCAGGGGCAAAATAGTCGCTCGACGCCTTCACTGGAAATGGCCCAGCGGCAACGCGGCTAGCGATGAATACGCTTAGACCTGGTCCATGGACGAGAGTTGGTTGAGGGCTGCTTATTTGGTGGCGGATGGATCCGCATTTGCCTCAACGAGTGAGCCATTTTGTGGGGTGTGGGGGATTTCCTTTTCTTTCCGTACTGTAGAATGTAGATGCACTTTACTACATCTACATCTACATCTACATGGATTCTACAGCAGTATACTGTGTACCATTGTTTATTTGTTATTCAAGTAATATGTTTGACAAATAATTGACACAGTAGTAACAGTGGTCAGTAGTCAGTACTATGGCCAACTGGACTGGGACCATGATTGGACACCCACATCGCTTCTCCAGATTCCATTCATTCTCCCCCTGAAGCGGGTTCCCCAGGAAATGCTAAATTTCTAGAAACAAAGACCAACCAGCGTGCGCGATCGCCATTGGGAGGTGCGGCTGGGTGGTGGTCATAGTGGTCATGCCCACGTTGCAGCTCGGGATCCCTGGCTGGCATATTTTGACTTTGACCATGACTGTAGTCGATAATAATTCATTGTTCACTGTGTAGTATGTACCCAGTAAGGAATGGATGTTTGCGGAAAAAATGACATGTTAGACAAAGACAAGACAAGACTGACAATGTGGCAAGAGGCAATGTTCCATCGAAGATCGAAAGAAGCACCTTGAAACGGCTTGAGTTGGGCATTCCATGGCTACCATAACTTAATCATCGCTCGTATTCTTGTACCTAGGTACAACCTTTACCTACGGAGTACACATGATGGCGATACAATGTACATACTACCGAGCGATCTACCTGCAGGATCCAGTTAGTATTCCCGTATTCGCTACAGAGAGAAAGTCTGAAATGACAAATGACGGGCTAAAACACACTGCATTGTGATTGGTAGATTGTCGACCGCGCTGCGCGAGGATGAATCATACCAGCTAATCGCTGTTCAGCGCAGCCCCAGTATTTCCTCGATGGAGGGGTGATTGGCTGCCGGAATGGATCATCCCACGCTATGACATTGGGGTTGTATTTATAGAGGCTAAGACTGGTTGTCTTGCATTGGGATGCATTGTTCATTTCAAATACAGACATCCGGAGCTTCCATTGATTTGCAGTGTGCCCAATTATGATGCCTGAGGTGTCGGTGAAGTCATAACACTCAACATTGAGCATACTGTACATGATACAATCGTTTAATTAATACAATAATTGAATGAATGCATGTTGTCTTCATAATGCATCAATATGATTGATAAGATCAATACTCTCTCTGACAATAAACGCACAACATGGATAATGCAAGCAAGGAACGGAGGAAGGTCCTCCGTGGCTCCGTCAGCTGCTCACGGATCCCAGTCATCCTGTTGGAGCTCAGTTTCAGACCTCGGAGTGAAACCCGATCTCTCTGGATTAAGAGACATAGTATTCCGTACTAACAACGGCGTACTATCTTCACATATCCTATGGCACCACTCACCACTCGCCACTGTCCACAAACAAGACCAAAATCTCCGAGTCCGTGCATCCAGATCCGGGACAAGACCACCAGATGGTCACTGCTCCCGGCTTGCGCAACATGGCATCAACATCCATGGACTCCAGACAGGGGAAAAGACCGGATTATTGGGTCTTGCCGTGCGCATCCGCCGCCATTGTGCTGCTCGATTGGCCTGTTGGGATCTTCTGCAACGGACCACTGCATTACCACTCTGACTAGTCGTTAATAGTAGGTAGCTTGCAGAGCTGGGTGTCCTGCTGCTGCTGTACTATCCTCGCTTCGGATCGTCGGCTAACTAACTGTTTTGTTTTGTTTTGTTGCTAGGTATTTGTATTTTGTATCATACTGATACGTCACTTGGATTCATGTCCTTTTATCATCAGATTCAGGCGGTTGGTCTGACAGCCAAGGACCGAACCGTTCCTGATACTAGCCTTGAGACATCTTGTTGCTTTGCCCGTTGCAGCAAGTGGAGTGCGGCTGGGCTGGACGATCCCGCGCGCTAAACAGGAATCGCAGCCTGATCTTACGAGTAGGTAGTGATGGTGGTGATAGTGGTGAACGGAAAGATATCCGAGTACTTCAGAGTTTACCGTATCTCATCAGAAGCACAAGCCTTAATCGGGACCTGCAGAGTAGATTGATAATGCAGTGAATAACTGAATATCTCCATACTAATAGATTGTTTACTCCTGAATAATATCATCCTATGGAGTAGAGTATCAAATTACACCGGAGATATGCCGATATCTGACGCCAGCCTGGATTCTGATTGCTCATCCACATACATTAGCTGTATTGACTAGCGTATCTCATGCTGTACCTGCCTCTTCAGCCATCTACAATCGCTACAATAATCAAAAGTAAACATACATAATAACCACACTCAATAATAAACACATCACACATAAACAGCACAGGTACATACTTAATATGTACAGAGTACCCAAAATTGAGTCCGAGTCTGAACATCTCCTTCTCAGCTCAACCGGACCAATCGTGACGAGTCATATGCAAGTCATAATCAAGATCCACTTTGTCTCGACGGTTTCATGTCAATCATGCAACATTGCATTGTTACATGGCTCTCCTCGGTAGACTCCTTGCTTATGACTGCCTGTCTGTCTACGATAACCTACTTTGCCTGCTTAATCTGTTTACTTTATATGATATTGGATGATGTAGTTTATACATCTGATTTCTGATTTATATCAATATCTAATCTGCACTGCCTACCTATTATCTACCTACTGAGTACTAGGTATTATCTACTAGGTAGTTACCTAGGTACCTAGGTATTGTAATACAATCCAACCCTGCCAATCGAACCGACTGGCCCAGCCCACCCCATCGAACGGGCCGTGCATCGCCCAAAATTAACGCATTGGCAGTTGTAGCCAGTAATTCCGAGTCGCACGGTGGATCCTGGCGTCAAAGTGCAGTTTTGCATGGTTGAGGTGCATGGTGCATTGGGCCAATGAGGTGTTGGCTGTGTAATACAGGTAAATACATGGTATGGTGGAATTAAATTGGGATTAAGTACCTCAGGCAGTCAGGCAGCCAGTGCCCCTCCTGATAAGTGATATGATATGATATTGTAAGGTTGTTATTGTTACATCCCGCTGTTTTTGCCCCTCGGTTGGAGGTTTGGAGTAGAGGGGCTGTGCGGAAGTATTTTCCTCACTACATTATGCTCTATTATTTTTGTTTCCAGTTATGAGAATTTGAAACGTTGGATGGGGTGTAGTGTAGTCGTATCTTCATTCAATTCAACTGTACTATCCAGACTATTTATGAAATCATTATTTTCATGCTCACTGCATCTCCATAACAGTCTATACAATGCCCTCTCTCTATACACTGATCGTCTTGAACACACTGTAATAAAGTTAGCTTGCTTATTCTTCGCCATCAGAATATATACGTACCCAAATCCACCACCGCCAGTAGCCATGACAGTACCTGGCATCTGTGCCTGCCAATGTACCTCCTTGACAGAGTCCATGTAATGCACAAACAGCAACTGGGACGGCACATCGGACATGCCGGCTTCCCGGCTCTCCTCCTCGTCCAGCTCAACCGCCAAATCCCAGAGTGTCACCGTGCTGTCTTCCGAGCCAACCGCAATCACACTGTCGTCGGTGGGGTGCCATTCGATGCTGGTAATCGGCTCCCGGTGGAAGTCAAACGACGCAACGGGCGATGCGCCAATCTGGGCCTGCGGCGTCGAGGCATTGGGCTTCCAGTGTCTCAGATCCCAAACTCCCCACTGGCCGTCGTCGGCTCCTGTCGCGAGGAGGTGGAAGGTCTGGTTCGACCAGCTCATGACGTTAACGTCGGTGTTGGAGACCTTTACGTCCACTGCGGGCTTGCGAGACTTGGATCGCACATCCCACACCTTCACGCTGCCGTCACTGCTGGCGGACGCAAACACATTGCGCTCATTGGGCGACCACTGCAGCTCTTCGATCGACGAGGTGTGGCCGAGGAATGGTCGTGTGTCGGTCACCCATCCGCCTCCTTCGGTACGTGTCGTAGCGTAAATCAATCCATCGTTGTCACCAGTCAACAGCTTGCCCAAGGGCTGAAGAGGAGACCAGTCCAAAGCATAGCCCTCCGATTTGTGCATGCGAAGAGTAGACAAAGGTTTCGAGGCCGACGGCGGCAGCACTGTACCGGGAACGTCGAAGCTGTTGAGATGAGGAGTGACGTCGTGGATAACGACCTGGGCATTTTCAAGCATGGTGGCTGTGATGGTCTGGGGAGGCTTGGAATAATCGCCGGATTGCGAAGGGGTCTGGTGGGCGCGGATGCGGTTGGTAGTAGAGCCGAGGGGTATCGATTTGTGCTCAAGAATTGGCTCTCCGAGGTCGTCATCATCAGAGTCGCTCTCCGAGTCGGTTTCATTCTGCTTTTCCATCTTGCTCAATCCGCTCATCTTGAGAATCATCAACTCGTTGTCCTTTGCGCGTCCACCCTCTGCCTGTGTGCCTGCAACTGCGTAGACCGTCGCGGGGTATGTCTTGCGGTTGTCGCCCAAGGAATCGCGAACAATGTCGAAGGAAAGACAGGGCCATGGTGTACTGAGGGTATGTAGCATGTCATATGTCGATGGATCGGGAGAAAGAACTTCTCCTGGTGCAAGTTTTGTTCTTCCAGGAATGAAAGTCTCTTGGTCAACTTCCATAGCATTTTCTATTATGATCACCACCGTCAGTAAAGCTCTTTCTCCTGCACGCATAAGCAATTCCACTCCACATACCCTTTTCCTCTGCCTCACGCTCCTCATCGGGGCGTCCATCGACACCGGCCTCCAAAATCTCATCTTCACTCTCGAATTCGTCCTCAAACTCATCCTCGAACTCCCCCACCTCATCTGGAGGGGCATCGGCGACCGGTCGTCCTCCAGCCTTTAGAGAGGCGGATTGCTCGTCAACGGCGTCAGCAGCTCTTTTAGACATGGTGAATAATAATTCTGATTTTTCTCTCGAGAATTCTGAGACGAGCCAGTCGTGCAGCAGAAGAGAAAAATGCTGCTTTTCGTAATCACGAAGACCGCCGATTAGGGCTTCCAGGAACTTTTTTTTTTTTTCTTCATTCGAAGATTTAGGTAGAAAATGCGCTAGGCCTATCGCGGACTAGCGCAGATCCGCCCTTTGGACGCCCGCTTTGGAGTTTCGCTGCGGCTGTGTTTTGGGAACTCGCCCAAGGGGTTGTTGACGGATGGTGAAGCGCTTTCGTATCTCGAATAGTCATCCTGTTTAGTGTCTGTCTTTGTTCGATTTGGCCATATCATCTGCACAGCCTGTTTTTTATTTACTGTCATTTTTTTATTGCTGGTGCTTTGCTGCCAGCGCCCTCACGTCATTTCCCGCCAAGGCTACGCACCTCACAGCAAAACTTCCGACCGACTCGAGGCGGGAGCTGTTGACAGTTCATTTCTGGTGCTCGCCAAACCTACCAGTTCCATCGGAACGTTCTTTTTAGCGTTTGATATTGAAGCGCATTTCATGAAGTCTTGTGAGGCTTTGCTTTGACTCCAACTTCGCTTATTGGTAAGTGTCAGCGCCTCCGCAGTTCTCCCCGCTCCGCCGTGTTCTCGAATGTTGACTTTGTTTACCTATCAGATTCAGGTCATATTCAGAGTTACCGGTAGCTTGACAACCCCGATTTAAACATGGATGCGCTGCAGGTGCCCGCGGATGCTCCGGATGCTACAGAGCAGCAGTTCCATCAAGAGCAACATCCGCAAATCCCGCAGCGATTTGGGTCTCCCGCCAACCACGGATTCGCAGCTACAGAAGATACTCCGGTCGGTGCTGCTCATCACAATGGCTACAGTAGCGATTCGCGCGCCCATTATTCCTCCCACACCGCCGAACTTAGCTCTTCGGCCCCAGATGGCGATCAGAACCGACTCAACCTCTCTCCATCCTTAACTCAACAACACCTGCCATCGTCTAGACCGAGCTCTGGTTTATCCAGCGGTACCGAACGACATGGATATCCCCAACAGCTTCAAGAGACCGGTCAGAAACAACCAAGTCAATCATCGAAGAACAGTGTTGTGATCAAGGTGGGCATGGTGGGGGATGCTCAAATCGGAAAGACTAGTCTGATGGTAAAATACGTGGAGGGAAGCTGGGATGAAGACTACATTCAAACATTGGGTGAGTCGAAAAACTTCCGTGGTCAAATTTATCGTTCGCGTGTTGACTTAGGATACAAGGTGTCAACTTCATGGAGAAGACCATCTCTATTCGCAACACGGAGATCACATTCTCAATTTGGGATCTTGGTGGTCAGCGAGAGTTTGTGAACATGCTTCCTCTTGTGTGCAACGACGCCGTGGCTATTTTGTTCATGTTCGACCTTACGCGCAAAAGCACTTTGAACTCGATCAAGGAATGGTACCGCCAGGGCCGTGGATTCAACAAGACCGCGATTCCGTTCCTCGTTGGCACAAAGTACGATCACTTTGTCAACTTTCCCCGTGAAGACCAAGAGGAGATTTCTATCCAGGTAGGCTAGCGCAAAAAATCGGAGTACTGCATCTATACTGATAACCATCTAGGCCAAGCGTTTTGCCAGAGCCATGCGAGCGAGCTTGATCTTCAGCAGCACCAGCCACAGTATCAATGTACAAAAGGTAAGCTCATATCCAGAGAGCGATAACATATGATAGTCCTTTGCTAACCAAGTCTAGATCTTCAAAATCGTTCTGGCCAAGGCCTTTGACCTGAAGTGCACGATCCCCGAAATCGAGAACATTGGCGAACCTCTCTTACTCTACAAAAACGTCTAGACAGAACGGAGAGAACGGAGAGTGTGCTTAACGATTATGTACATTGGGACGAAGTGATGTTGACGACTTTTCTTCCCTCGAGTTGTAGGAGGGAGGGATACTGCAGGATGATACCACTCCATGGTCTCGCCGTCGTCTTGGGAGACTTATTTTCTTTTCTTTTGCCTTTCCCTTTCGTCTCTTTCTTTTTCTTCTTCCGTCCTTTTTCAGCATTGGGCAGCGTCAGGATTTCTTCATGTCCATTTTTCTCTACCTTCTCCTTCCGTGTGTTAACCTTCCTCTTTATTTTCCTTCATTTTTTTTTTTTTTTGCATTTCTACCTCGACCCCCTTTTGTGCTCCATACAAGGCTGTGTCCGTATCTCTCTTGACGGGAGTATTCGGAATGCGGCCAGATTGGAGTTGGAGTGCTGAATGGGTGTGAGTCAGACTCCAATCCTTTTTCTCTGTTATTGTTCTTTCTTTTTCTTCCTTGAATGTCTTTTTTACTATTCACCTGTGAAAACTAGTTTTCCTATGTTAAGGTCAGCCTCCGATATTGCCTTGATGGTTCGGAGTCAACTTTGGAGGATATTACTTGGTATTTGAGTAATCCCTACCAACAGATGAATGTCTGATAATTATCACCTATCTTCTATACATCCATAATACGAAAATATAATTTATTGTAGCAACGAGATGGCCATCGTATTGATCCGTAACCCAGGGGCAAACGGTGGGTTCTCCACGCTGGGGCCTGTTTGCGGCTCTCAGCCTCCTTGGCTGTTAGAGATTCTCCCCTCCGGCCAGCCCTGTCCGGTTTACAGCCCCTCTTGTTTCGGGCCAAAAAACCAGTCTATAAACTGGCTTGGGGATGGTCCCATCTTGTCTCTCTTTTTATTTTGCTATTTTCTCACCAGATGACTGCCAGGAAATACTTTATGCCGCTCTGATGCGAGTGGGAACACAGTGCAACAACCCCTGCATCTAACCCTCTGACCCTTCTCTCGCTCTGTTTCTCTCATTCCTCTCTCCCACTTGACTACTCATTTTTTTGTTGATAACATCATATCTCGATCCTTTCGTATGACCTTATTACTCCTATAACTCCTTCGTTTTATCTCTGTCACTCAAAATGGCTGCAGTGACAGAAGAACCTCAGGTGATGTCCATCCAGCAGCGCATCGCCGCCCTGAACCAGTCGCATGTTGGTCGGAATCCGAATGACAATGACAATGTCGATGAACCACCGCCGTACACTCGCTCGCACCCAGCCTATGCTCCTCCTCCGCCTCCAGTATCGCGACCAGGAACAACAAGGAACAAAACGGTCAATAATCCTCCATCCAACGCCCATGGCTCTGTTCTGGACCGTTCAGCAATCGGGAATGAACCCGCTGCTGCACCAGTCGATCAGAGAAAGGTCATCCGGCCTCCTCCTATCCCGGGAGTCCAAACACCAGATCCTCCTGCTGATGCCACTACGAATGGCGTCAAGAAAAAGGCCCCTCCGCCGTTGCCCTCGCGAAAGAAGTCGATGCCACAGCTAGCCCCTGCTTTGCCCGCGCGAAGACCGTCCGCAGGGTCTGTCCAACGAAAGATCTCTCAAGAATCTCTAGCCTCTGATACGTCATTTTCGACCGTCTCGACGAGGAGGACGGCAGGGACATCGTCGACTTCTGTTGACTCTAATAATGCGGGTAGATCTTTGCGGGCACCTGCATGGGGTACGACGGATCTTCCTCCCCTGCCACCAAAGAGAGAGGAGAAGCCAGCACCGCCGCCCCGGCCAAAATCATCGGGTGGGAAGAGCGTCGACAGTCTATCGTCCAAGATTAAAATTCCGGGGCTCCCTCGTCGAGCGTCCAACAGCAGCATTTCGACGACAGCCAGTACCCGTTCAGCGCCTGCGGTGCCCCCAGTGCCCCCAGTTCCTCGACTTCCACCGCGGACGGGTTCTTATAACAACCAGAATAATTCAGAACAGGAGGAAGCTGCCCCTAAACTGCCAACCAGGAGACTTCCCCCTCCGCCTTCGGCTTCTGCTGTGGATAAGATTCGACAGTCTGGCTTCGGGGGGTTGAATAAGAGTAGTTCAGCAGCGGAACCGGCCCCGAGCGCTGTTCCTCCACCCGTTCCATTGTCATCTCGACCTGATCTCACCAAGTTACAAGCCACCAAACCTCGCATGCATGCCTCGCATCCTGCTGCCCCAGCACCAGCCCCAAGCACGGTCTGTTTGAAGTGCCGTGATTTTTCAGGCCCGGATACTCATGCTGCTCGGTACCCACGCGAAACCCTTCCTTCTCAAAACATGCAGTGGCTGGCCAATGAACTGACAGCACCGTTTCCTTCACCCACTGATAAGGCAAGGGCTCTGTTCACTTGGCTTCATCACAACATATCGTACGACGTGGTAGCCTTTTTCAACAATAATGTGAAGCCATCGACACCAGCAAAGACGCTTTCTACGGGACTGGCTGTCTGTGAAGGATATGCCGGTCTTCTTGCAACCCTGGCAAACCATGCAGGGCTGGAGGCCGTGGTGATAAGTGGTCACGGTAAAGGCTATGGATATGCACCCCTCGCACCAGGCTCTAGCGTGCCACCGTTTTCTGCCGGTCATGCATGGAACGCGGTGAGAATCGACAATGGGCAGTGGAAGCTGATAGACCCATGCTGGGGTGCGGGAGTATGCCAGGGGCCAGGGCAGCCGTATCAAAAACTGTTCAGTCCCGAAAACTTCACAGACTCGAACGATGTGTTTGGTATCAAGCATTTCCCTTCGAACCGGGAGCATTTCTATCGTGACGATGGGCGACCAGGGATCAGTTGGGAAGAGTACATTATGGGTGAAGGCATCGAGCAGCCGACTATCTTCACAGATGCGAAGAAACACAGCATAGGCGAGCAGTCATTCCAACCTGCAGTGAGCCGAATCTCGGTCTATAACCACCCGGGCCCGATTCGCTTCCAATTCAATCTTCATTGCGAGCACTGGACGCTAAAAAGACACGACGGGGTGATCCCCAGCCTCTTCCTGCTGATAATCCACGGCATCGATGGCCGAAATGATGAACGAATCCCGTTCAACCATTTCCGGGGTACAACACCAGGCGGAGGTGGAGATTTCTGGTATGTGGATGTGGCAGACTCCCGGAAACTGGGAGCACCTGGACAGAAGCTGCAAATTGTTGTCCTCACCTCGTTCGGAGACCGTAAAGATGCCCGGGGTGTGACGAAACAAGAGTATCTGGCACAGGTTGGCCGGGTGGGTATGGCCTGGGCCGGTATTGCGCAGTGGGAGTTGGTATAGAGTGAGAGCAGCTGGGTCGAATCTTGGTTTCTTTTGCTTTCTGGTCAATTTTGGTTATTCTTATTCTTATTACTGTTATTTACCCTAATACCCTTGTCGTGCCACTTACTGGCATACACTAATGATGATATGAATGAAATGAATCAATATGATGTCCCTGCGTCTAGGTTACTGTGCCCGTCTGATAGCAGATACCAAGACGAGCTGTCAAGGTTAGGATCTGATATCCGCCATTTTGACTTCACGGTGCCTGTTATTCTTGGCGATAACCAGACAAATGAAACACCAAGCATCTTGGGAGCAGACAACAAGACACTTGGCACGATCAACAGTTTGAAGAACGGGAATGTTAACAAACCGCCTTCATCAGCCAAGGTATATAAGGCAGAGTTTTCCCCGATTCAATCTCTTCGAATCCCCCTTTTCATCCACTACATACCCACCCATTGCTATCTATTACTTGAGGGTAATTTAACTTACCGTGGCTTTGATGGGGTTTGTCCGGCATCGGTTAAATGAGGTTTTAGCCGTCAGAGATTTCGATGAGCCTGTTGAATGGAACAATATACATACATACATCGATACAGAGTAGACAATGGACCATGATTATGACATCGCATGATCTATATCCTTTGGTATAATCAACGAATCTATCTACCTTATTCTATTCCATTGTAATCTCCGATGATTCCCCGTTCTTCGCCTGTCTTGAACTGAAGCCATTGGCGGACTTTCCCTTTTCGTCGCTCCGGAATATACCGAGCATTCCCACCAATCAGAGCGACCCAGGCCCCGTGACTGCCAAGACCTCGTGATAGCTTCCCCCAATTCCCCAGCGGGGTTTCACCAAGAAAAACCACGGATTCTGTTTCTGGCTAAGAATGACGCTGTCATTGAGCGTTTAATCTCAATCTTTATCCGGGGCTCGGGTATACCGGATTCTCAATGCCGTGGAATCTCTCGAGTCTCAGTCCCCTCTTGGACCGCTTCCAAGGGCCTGCTACGTCTACTACTGTGTCTACTGCACTCTGCTGACGGGCTCTCGTTCCAATGACGGCTATGCGGATATAACTCCGTAAATATGCCGATAATAATGATGTCCGATGATAAACCTGGATAGAGTTCGGGCAAGAACTCTGGAGATGCTTTGATGCTGTCGATCTTGCCTCGAGGATGGGCAACCCCGTCTTTTTATTCCTCTGGCTCGTGAACTTCTCCTCGGACTGTAGCACAAACTGCATCACGGCTGCAACCACCACGGCGCAAGGGATTCTTTCGTTGTGCCTCTCCTTCTCTTCTATTCGTCTACAAATATTGCGCTTGGCACATTGCTTCTTCCAACACCATCGTACGCCACCACCGGAATAGGCAGATTTTATTGTCGATCCACCGGCCGCGGCATGATCCTGCTGATGTTGTTGCTGGTCATCATCAACATAGGCTCGGGCAATCCGTTGTTTGGGGCTTGGACTCCCCCGACTCGGGTCTTCCACCGCTAGTGTCACCCGCGTGGTGAGGTTTCCCCGGATCCCTCCACGGCACCGCTTTGGCTCGTCAAATTGACCGGCCTCCGTCCAACGGCTCCATCTCTCACTGCCCGACGCTGGGCAAATCATCGTCGGCCATGTCCACCTGGTGCCGTCTAGGGTCGCATTCGCCCACGGACGGCGTAGTGTCGGCCCCCTTTCAATCATCCAAAGTTTCTCGCTAGGCCCTACAAAACAGCCTATGTAAACGAGGAAGTAGATTGGGCCCTTCTCTCTCCGCGGTCTTTCTCCACGGTCCACTCTCCCCAATATCCCCAGGTCAGCATCGGCCTACGACTCTGTGTCAGGTTTTCAGGGATGCCGTCTGTTCCTGATTCGGGCAGTCACCAGTTCCGGTGGGGATTTTGACCATTCAACGCATGCCTACCACTGGATTCGGTTGAAACCGTCTAATCATCTGGACTCGAGGCCAATCTCACTAGGTTCATCTCGCATACGACAGCCATGGGCTTGTCCATTCACCATTGTCCATTCGAGACACAACGATGAGGGGGTATATTGCGGGACCCCGGAAATTTTGGCCGTCGTAAGAAATTTTTTTTTGCCCCCATCGCTCTTTCTCGGCCTACAGGATGGGCTGAGAGTAGATATTAAAACTGTGCCGCCGGCCCGTGTTTTGAATTCTTTTTCACTTCGTTCTTCAGCTGCTGCTGTTCCTTTTCCCCTTGTCAGCTGCTAAGATCGGGAGGGCTCATTGTCTCTTTCATGATGGCAATCGGCAACCTGTATGTCATCTCGGCCATCGCCGTCATCGGCGGTGGTCTTTTCGGCTTTGATATCTCGTCTATGTCTGCTATTATCACCACCCAGTCCTATCTTTGTTACTTCAACCAAGGCGGCATGGAGTGGGACGAGTCGCTTCAAAAAATGCAATGTAAAGGTCCCAGTGCAGATGTGCAGGGTGGCATTACTGCCTCCATGGCTGGAGGTTCTTGGTTGGGTGCTTTGATGTCTGGTTTTATTTCGGATCACCTTGGTCGTAAAACTTCGATCATGGTCGGCTCTGTTATCTGGTACGTTCTTCCAATATCCCCCATGTTGTCGTGTTCTTTTCTGTTCTAACCTATTACCAAACAGGTGTATCGGTTCCATTATCGTTTGTGCCGCGCAGAACATCCCCATGTTAATTGTTGGTCGTGTCATCAACGGTCTCAGTGTCGGTATCTGCTCTGCCCAGGTTCCAGTGTACATTTCGGAATTGGTAAGATTCCACCTCAACCCTTGGCTTTCATTACATCGACGTTTGCTAATATTGTCTAAATAGGCACCTCCTGCCAAGCGTGGACGTGTGGTCGGTCTCCAGCAGTGGGCCATCACCTGGGGTATCATGATCATGTTTTACATCTCGTATGGATGCACCTACATTGACGGCACCGCATCTTTCCGGATTCCTTGGGGTCTGCAGATGATTCCTGCGATCCTACTTTTCCTCGGAATGCTCATCCTTCCCGAGTCCCCTCGTTGGCTGGCACGTAAAGACCGCTGGGAGGAGTGCCACGCCGTTCTAACCCTGGTCCACGGTCATGGTGACCCCGACTCGCCTTTCGTTGTGCGCGAATTTGATGAGATTAAGACGGTTTGCGAGTTTGAGCGCCAAAATGCCGACGTCACTTTCATGGAGCTCGTCAAGCCTAACATGATCCACCGAACCCATGTCGGTGTCTTCACTCAGATCTGGTCGCAGATGACTGGTATGAATGTCATGATGTACTACATCACTTATGTCTTCGCCATGGCCGGCCTGAACGGTAGCAACCTTCTGGTGTCGTCCAGTATTCAATACGTTATCAACGTTTGCATGACTGTTCCGGCCCTAATTTGGGCTGATCGCTGGGGTCGTCGCCCTACTCTGATGCTCGGCGCTGTCGGCATGCTGACCTTCATGTACGCCAACGCTGGTCTTATGGCATCATACGGCAGCCCGGCTCCCCCTGGTGGACTTCACGGCGTCGAGGCACAGTCCTGGGAGATCACAGGCCCTCCCAGCAAGGCTGTCATCGCATGCACGTACCTGTTTGTCGCGTCCTATGCTATTTCATGGGGCCCAACTAGCTGGGTTTACCCCCCTGAGCTATTCCCACTCCGCGTTCGTGGCAAGGCCAATGCTCTGTGCACTTCTTTCAACTGGGCCTTCAACTTTGCGCTGAGCTATTTCGTCCCTCCCGCCTTTGTCAACATTCAGTGGAAGGTCTACGTTCTCTTCGGTGTCTTCTGTACCGTTATGTTCCTCCATGTGTTCTTCATGTTCCCTGAAACTACGGGTAAGACTCTGGAAGAAGTCGAAGCCATCTTCACCGACCCCAACGGAATTCCTCTCATCGGTACTCCGGCATGGAAGACCAAGAATCACTTCACTGCTGCTGCTGTTCTCGAGGAGACTGGTTTCGACGAGGAAAAGAAGCTGGGAAGTGGTGCTTACCAAGAAGAGACGACCCCAAAGAATTAGGCTACGAGAAAAGCAACAAAAAAAATACCCCAACTATCTTATACCCACATGTTATATTAAACATAAATATTAGCTTTGTTCTTGTTCATACTCTTGTTGACATAGTTGACATGAGTGGATGATTTTGAAAACGATTGACGTTTTTATGTGGCCTGTCTACGGAGTAATGAATGCTACTATATTCTAAGCTTTGGTTTATATAAATGATACCAATGCCGTCGAATTCAATTGGAGTAAATTTCCACTCAACTTTTCTTATAACATAACTGGCGCACAACCTGGTTTAGTATCCATTATTTACTGTTACACAATCCTTCGTGGAATGGAGAAGAACGGGGAGGCTGTGATGATGCAGTCCGGGGGGAGGGAAGCAGGAGTAGCTGTTCAGCACAGAGCAGACTTGTGGAGTGGGATAAACGCAGCAGAGTCACCATCTGTTGATTCGACAAGAGCTGGTACTACTGAAAACCACCCAGCATTTATACTAATGGACGATTTGGAACTGCGTGGAACATTAAAGGATTCTACCTAGTAATCTCTACAGGCACTTTTCGGGATAATGAAAGGATAATAACCGATACACATAGTGGGAACCAAAAGCCTGAACCCAACATAAACCGCGATCAGTCTCGCAAAGATTCACGATACTCGACATTTCTTAAGACGTGATGAAAAGCCCAGCGACCCCCTAAACAAGTATTCGTCTTCGATAATTCCAAACATCATGTCCGAATTGCCATCATTGCAACCGCTGCCGGAGCCAACAACAAAGCTGCCGTAATTGAGCCAACTTGAATCACAGAGCCAGCCCCGGATTTCGCAGGCTTCTCTCCATCTTCAGATGTCATAGTTGGGTTGGCAACACTCCAAATAGTCTCTGTCCCATCGGGTTTGCTGGAATTTGTGTTGTTGCCAGTACTATTGGAGAAGCAATGGCCTGAGCTGGGCTGACAACCAACGCCACAGTGCTGTGTAGAGTTACCACAGAAATTCACAAGACTGCAGCAAGAACCAAAACTGGACCCAAGGCATGTAACATTTGAACCGCATCTCCCATCGAGAGAGATCTGTTTACCCGGAGTTGACGTTTTCTTGGGGACTCGTACACTGGTGGGAGAAGCATCGCGAACCTGGCGGTACCAGTACTCCTCCGGATCACCTAGACATTCACCAACAGTGACTGCACGGTAGCCGCTGGCCGAGAGTGATTTCAGCATGTGCTCTGTGAGGTTGTGCACAGTTTGCTCATGCACATCATGAGCGATGACCAGCCAGGATTTATCGGTTGACTTCCACGGAGCCAAGGCATTGTCAAAGTTATCCTTGGACTTCTGGATCTTCGATGGACTGTCATTGTTGTAGTCGGCGGTGTCGATATCATATAAGATAATGTGGTATCCAAGGGCACCGAGGTCTTCAAGGCAGCCTGACTCCGGGACGCAGCTCGCGTATGGTGGCCGCATGTAAGTCGGAAAGTAGCCCAAGATGTTGCGAAGTGCGGCTTCATTCTTCAACATCTGATCATAACGTTGTGCTTTGGTGATTTTGCTGAAATCTTGGTGCGACCAGCTGTGACTGGCAATTTGATGGCCACCGCGCTGCATGCGTTGAATCAAAGATGCCCAAGGGTACTTGGGGTCATCTATTTGTCCTTTGCCGTTGTTGATACCGGTGATAAAGAAGGTTACCTTCGCCTCGTATTGATCCAACATATTGAGCAATTCGCCGGTGTAACGCCACGGGCCATCATCGAATGTCAGAGCAACGGTCCCTGGAGTGCTACACGTGCGGATCACTGTCGGGCCATATGGTACTTTTCCATCATGGGGTCGAGGTATGTCTTCCGTGGACGGGCCTTTGGGCTTGACATGGGCGTCACAATGACCGTAGTCAAGCTGGCAATCTGGAGAGCGACAGTAATCCTGTGTCTTGCCACAGTAGCCTATAGTTTGCTTAGCACTGAAATCTGTTCGGAAAGAGACAAGGAGATATGCCTGCAGTGGAGCAGCATTTGCCGTCCGCGCAGTTCCCAAAACCGGAACCACAGCGATTGCTGACAGCACGACCTTTCAACTCTCCAGGGACTGCATCGTCTCGAGGTCCGGGAAAGGACTGAGACGCGAGATGACCAGACTTCAAGCTGACAGGATATGTAGCAGACGCACACGCCGCGAAGCTGAGGCCTGAAACGAACAAAAAGCCACGCATATGCATTTTGAACTTTCACAGCTCGATAGGAAGGTAAATGGAGGTTAAGATGGATGATAAAATGGGTCTGCTGGTGGTATTATGCTTGGGATAAGGGGGACGATGAGAATGATGAGAGAAAGAAAATCGAAGGACGGAGGAGCAAGAAGAAAAAGACCTGCCAGCTTGACTCGAGGACGGGAAGGCATGGTGTTGCGTTAGAGGAAGGAACAAGTCTGGGACAAGAATGGCAGCAACATCAGGGCAAAAGGAAAGTACGCTGTCGATTGACGTAAGATGGAGGGAATCCTCTATTGGCAATAGCGATGGGCAAAGCTTTTGCAACAAGGTACTCCTCCCTCTAATCCGAATCATGGCCGACAATACTGGTACAGAGAGACTTGGAGACGATCTAATAATCTTTGTATTTCATAAATTAATGACGGGTGTCTGAACGGTTTCCATTTTATCTTTCATCATTTCATATCAAGCGTGCGTTTCGAATGGCCCACAGCATAGCAGACCCAGGCGAAATCGAGCAAAAGAAATCTATATCAAATTGGAAATGGTCTTTTGAATAGGAGGTCCATTTAGAGACGTACCGAATGCAATTGCTGTTTGACAAGTCCTAAGCGACAGAGCTGGCGGTTTGCGGACTACTACTGCCCTGCATTTGTTACTACACAGATTAGCATACGGTGATAAAACACGGACTTCATTAGTTGACGCAAACTCACTTGCTCGAAATCGGTTTCCCCGGCGGCGCAAAAGACAAACGGGGCCAGGGCTTTAAGATGAGGGCCAAACTTGGCCGGGGCACTTTTAGCTATACTACCGACAGTAGCGACCAAGTGTCGCCGATGAACGGTAGTCAGCTGGGGCGAGTTGAATTTCTCTACGAGTTCAGACACAAAGGAGTTGAGTTGGTTGTCTGTAAAGTGAAGAGCCAGTGCCGAAATGGCGGCCAATGCCTTTTTCGTGACAACGGTACCAGCCGTGTCGTTATCGATAATAGACATGACGGATTTTTGTAAGGCTTCCAATTCCGTCTCTTTGAGGAGCGGCCCAAAGCAAGTGACAACCTTAATCAGAACCTCAATAGCATCACTGCTGAATCCCTTGGAGGGGTCTTTTTCTAGCATGCCTTTCACCACAGAACCCCTCCTGGCGGTGGGAGACGGCGTCGGGCCGGTCAAACGAGGGATCAAGACTCTAGAAACTGCCGAATAGGCGACATTGGATTCTTGACTGGGTGGCTGGCCTGGCTGGGGGCTGGGGAGAGCAGTGACGATAACTCTCAGGGCAGTGTTAGGAACTGAGGTATCGATAGTCTGCGAAGTAGTCAAGTTGGTGAGTTTCTCGAGAAGAGGCGTGAGGGTTTCAGACGGCAATCGAAGGACAAGGGGACCGAGACTGTGAAATACAGAGCATTAGCGGAAGATAACAGAGTTTGGACAGAATGTCTAACCATTTCAATGCTTGATTCTGCACATCACCATGCTGATCATCTAGCGCCTTGAGCAATCCATCTGCCAGTCGAGAGGAAGAGTACTGATCGTGAGAGAGAAAAGCTGAGTTCGGGTTATTTAGAATTGCCAGCAGATCATTCAGAGACATATATCTCATATCTGGATCGGGGTCATCGAGCTTCGACAGCAAACCGTTGAGGTTCTGCTGCATTGCCTGTCGGTCTGCCATAGCTAAACGAACCCCGCACGAAAGATCAGATATGAGCTGGTATAGATTATGACTCTAGTTCGCGGATATTTAAATATCCCTTGGAGAAAGAATATATCAACGGTGAAATGAAAAAGCGAGAAAAGATCCAGATCGTGTGGAGTAGATGAACGTGGGGTAATTGAGGCTTTGACTTGGAGGTCGTGACGAGGGGATCTGAGATTAAAGCGGTGCCTGAGGCTGCCATCAAGCTTCTACGGTACGCGGTACAGCCTTTTATGCAAGATGCTCAACGTCAGTGTTATATCAGTGTTAATACCTACACTTTGTCGTATTTCAAGCCATTTTAAATATAAATTGAAGTAAATAACATTCAATAAATAGGTGATAAGCTACTATCCCAGCAAGAAAGCAATAATCAGCCGCATAAAGACCAACCGAGTATAAATTACATCACCATCACCATCTCTTGCACCACTCCGGCTGTTCCCGCTCCGAACCGGCTTGTTTACTGTCCAGTTGCTAAGCAGGCTTTTTGACAACTCGATCCTTCAGGGCCCTTTCCCACTTGTTTCTTTTTCTAATTCATCCATTGGGTTTTCAATTCCAGCGCATTCAATCCCCAGCCAAATCAACAAAAGCCGTTTATTAATTTCTTTTTCACAAATCACCGCTTACGAAAACAATGGTTCTCCCTCGCCCTCAGGCTATGCGCACGGTTGTCCGCATGCTCGGATATACTACACGCTCAACAGCTCGTCAGACGACAAGGCAATTCGGAAGAAGGGGCGTTTCGACTGCTACTCACCAGGCTAGTAAGAGCAGTGATCTTCCATGGTTAGTTGATTTAGAAGGATTGTTTATGCTTTTTTGCTTGAAGGAAGGGCGTGCTAACGAGTCGCGACTGTAGGTTTCTAGGATCAGTCGGACTGGGAGGCCCGACTATCTTCTACCTCTATCAGTCGGGTCCTGAAAAGTCGGCCCATACCGAACACCACCACGCTGCTGAGCACACGGAAGAGGCTGAGGAGAAGGAGCCCGAGCCCGAGCCCGAGCAGCCAGCCCCGGCTGAGGAACCCAAGGCTGAGGAGAAGGAACCCGAAGCTGAAAAGCCAGAGGCCGCGGAGGAAAAGTCTGAAAAGAAGAAGGAACCTGAGGCAAAGGAGGAGCCTGCAGCCACTGAAGAGCCCAAGGCCGAGGAGAAGAAGGAGCCCGAAGCCGAGAAGCCAGCTGCCGAGGAAAAGCCGTCATCTGAATCGGAGCAGGTAAGACCTTTCCACATCTCGACTTGAGAAACCTTTGCGCCCCGTCCCTTCGCCATACATCCAGATTGAATGGAATCTAACAATCATCACAGCCTGCGCCTCAGAAAGAATCCGAAGGATCCGAAAAGAAGGAGGATTCCGAAAACACCGACAAGAGCGAAAAGACCGAGGGAGAGACTGAAAAGGCCGAATAAGCTTCTAAGCTGCCTGGCGAAGTCGAAGGCATGCATGATGCATGATGTAGGATTCGGTGCCGGATGTCTAATGCTAGATCCTGGTGTAATATAAGCACGATATCAATGAAAATGTAAAACGACAATCAATGAATCTGAAGTCATGTTTCCGGCGCGAAGTCCTCAGTAATTAGAACTCCCGAAGTCTGAAGATGTCGGTTGCTGTTACAGAATAGATACTTTCAACCAGATAAAGACCAAAGATAATGACCACGTATCATTCCGACAAGTCAGTCGGGATGGATCTATTATTATGATTATTATTAACTGCGGGCAGGAAGTTCAATCCCTCATGACTTTCCGGGAAGGGAAAGCTTCTTCCAACACATCAAATCGTCACTATATCCATTCAGCCGCGCCATGCAGGACGCCAGATCAAAAAAATTGCAAAGAAACGAATGTCATAGACCATGGGCGCCGTGGCCCGCAAGAATTGAAAGAACCTCCAAAAAGCACATAGAGCTTGATAGCCGGAGCTCTGATATAAACAGGACATGTTCTGTCGTTATAATATAATTGCGTTGAGTTTATGGAAAAGCGTTTCCGTAAACTTCAGGCTCAAAAGCTCTCATGCGAAAGTGACTTTTAAGCCTTCCTGCTGCGGGTTCTTGGGCCTTTATCACCGACAGGCTCGCCGTTGAGCAGCACTTGCGGAGTCTGGTTTTCCTTACCAACATCGCGTGCCTCAACACCTGTAGCAATAGCAGCTTGTTGCTTCGCTTCCTCCTCCAACTCCTCCTCATCCTCGTCTTCACTTCTCTCGTCCTTGGCCACGCTGTTGAAGATGTAGTTCTTGAGAATACGGAGAATCAAGAAGAGCCAGAAGAGGTTTACTGCCTGCAGACTAGCAAGCAAGGAGAAAGTGATGTACTGACTGATCCAGCACTTGTACTGCTGGGTTTCCCAGTTCAGCTCAAAGGGTCCGACGGTCCGGAATTCGGTCAAAACTGCCCAGAGGAGCTTCAAGTTGAGGACGTGTCGGAGGTATACCCATGTCGCGATGAAGAAAGAAAAGTACGGAACGGTGAGGATGTGATCAAGGTAGTTCAGAGTTTTCGAGGTCTGCAGAGGTAGATGATCAGTGTTGTAAACAGTAGTAAGATGGAGCCACACATACCGCGAGGAAAAAGTCCGAAATATCGTGGGTAATGTAGACAGCAATACCCATATAGGTGAAGTGGAACCGGTAGCTCAGACCGATCAGCGCCAGGGTGATGATGTGGTGACCGACGAGCTCCTTGAAATCCTTTCGAGGCTTCTCCAATTGCAGCATCAAAACGATAGCTTGCTGGGCCCAGTAGCTCGCTTCGAGCAGATAGTAGGCCTTGAACAGGGCCTCATGCTCGCGGTGAGGGAAACCCTCGAACATGGCAGTGGTGTTGAAGTACCAGATATCCGACCTGCTCATCACATACAGACCGAACGGTCCGAAGATTCCAAAGTAGATCGCCGTGTACACCTGCTCCATGAAACGTGCCGTCTTGCCCTTACCACGGATGCCACAATAAACTGCCCATGGCCGGATCACGCGCTGCATCAGGAACTCCCGAGTAAACGATAAGACCACCGTGTAGAAAGATACAAACGCGATATCCTTAGGACCCTTGCCATACATGATCGGGCCACCGGGGGTCTTCGGAGGTTGGGGATAGGACAGAAATATGGCGCTGTGCAACGGGTTGGATTCGGTCGGGTTGACCGCGTACGCGACCAGGAGAACGATCAGGATAATGAGAGGTAGGAGCCATGTATGCTTCAAGCATTTATTTTTAATGCGACGGAGGAATGAACGGCTTTTGCGGCGTTTCGATTGCTTCGCGGGCTTCTCGGAAGAGGCGCCAGCTTGGAGGTTCTGCCATTGAAAATGCACGATCAATTACAGTCCCAGAGCCATTGCAATTGAAGTCAGGGAATGACCTACCTGATCCCATTTGGGCGCCTCTCCCTCGATAGGGCTGACCTCGTTTATGGTGGACATTGCCGGAGCGCTGGTGTCACCTCGGATGTCCACGCCCAGGCTGTTCGACTTTGCTCGAGGACGAGCCATGGCTAGATTATCCTCGATGAATCCAACCTATTTCTTTTAACCTTCTGTTCTGTCTTGAACGGTTCAATCGATCAATCCTTCCCTCCGACGGTGTGGATGTGTGGAGGGGAGTTCCCGAGGAGATGAAGATTGACCACTACCTCGTATTAAGAGTAGTGGATGGAGGGTGGAGAGGAACCGAAGGAAAGAGGACAGAAACCAAAAAGAACAGAGATGGAAGACGACAAGCGAAACACCCAACCTTTTTGAATTAGAGGGAGAGGACAGATTCAGCCAGAGTGTAACTATCCAGCTGGTTATCCAGGGGTTGCCTTTTTCTTTTTTTCTTTTTCTCTCTTTTTTTTCCGCCGACTCCACCGTGTCTGTTACACGATCAACAACTTATTGGCGGGTCGCTCTTGGCTTCCGTCATGCAATCAAAGAAGATTCCGATGAAGCTGAAGAATTGATGAAGATGGAGATGAGCTGAAGAAGTATATCTATACAGAGTGATAAGATTAGCCTGTTTTAGTATGTGCTATTGAACCTACCGACTATGTGATTGTTCCATTGCTCTGTGCCTGTGCCTATCTTATGCCAAGGCATAAGTGAGTATAGCTATCATCGATTAATGACGGTTTTGTGTATGAAATAATGCAGCATAAATAGCTGCCTCGCAACTAAACATAATTTTGACCATTATTCATAATCCCGTTCATATAAAAAGCTATCTGCAGTCAATATGGACAATATAAATTCTCCGCAGATCTCCGTAGATCTGATATTTTGTACGCCCTACAGTTTAAATTAACCTTCCTACAGGGATGTATTTATAGACCAAGAGTTGACCAATGATCACTAGATAGAAAGTATACCAAGTCAGTAGCTATCGAAGTCTCAATATAAATATATTCCGCTAATGTTAGACGTTACATATAGTACAGTCATGTAATTAGATATACAATGATAAAGTAGTAAACAGACAGAGAAACGCTTTTGCCTTGCCCTGATCAAGCTCTTGGAACAGAATTAACACGACTTCATGATTCGTTTCAGTCAGCATAATAACTCCATACTATCATCGGGGAATACCCGATAGGTCTAACAACATCCATAACGATATTCTATAAGAATGATGAGAATGAAAAGGATAGAAAATATCAACAACTTGGAGCTGTCGGGGGTGATAGACACCTCGTAAAGGTGAGCAATCGAAGAACATACTGGATGGATGAAAATCACCATCACCGTCTAACAACCTTCAACAGAGGAGCAATCCTAGCTCGACGACTCAGACCAACACGATAAGGGACCTTGCTCGTTGAAGAGATGGGGCTATGTTTACTTGGGCCTTTGCCTGTGCTGGGTTGAGCGGGGGTTGAGATTTCTGTGTTCAGGTCTTGTTTTCTGGGGGTTTCGGGGGCGCCTGCTGTCGGTTTTGTGGGCGAGGTCTCGGTAGGAGGGGCATGGGGAGGGTTTGGTTGCTCCTGTGTAGTTTCAGTGTTGGTAGCGGTATCATCTTGTGGAATGTTTTCGTTATTCGTGGATTGATCGGGATTATTGACAGTGTTGTCAAGGACGATTGAAAAGTTATTGTACGGTTTAGGAACGTCGACTGGTTCATTCTGGATGTGCACTGGTTCTGGTTCTTGAACGGGTGGCTCTGCTGGCGGTATCTGCTCTGGAGTTTTCTTTCTCTTGCGTCCACGCTTCTTGGGCGCTGGCGCAGCTGCTTCAGGCTGTGGTTGTTCTTCATTCGTAGTTTGAGGCAACTGTGCCAATTTCTCAATGTCAATATTCGATTTCGAGGGCTTCTCAGCCACCCATATCACATCATCCTCGACGTCTGAATCAAATGTTTTCTTGACTGTGACAGAAGTTGTCTTGCCCCGTTTCAGTTTCTTCTTTTTCGGCTCTTTGGTCGTTGTTTTGGCGGGCTCGGCAAAATGGACTTCTTCTGTCGCAGGCTGTTCCTGGGGTATGACGATCTGGAGCCCGTTGTTTTCGATGGGTATATTTTGAGCACCATTGGTCGCTACCTTGACTCCGCTGAACTCTAAGGCTCGTGTGTTTGCCTCAATTGCTCCAGATGCAAAGGCAGAATCATTATGTTGATAAGCATCGTTATAGTTGATGCCAGATCCGTTATCCAGGGGCTCTGCATCATTTGTTGGCGGCTTAGGTATCTCCTTTTCTAACTCGTTACTCTGATGAACAGATGCTTGTCCATTCGATTGAGCTAGTTCATCATCTTCATCATTCTCCGGTAAAACCTGTTTCTTCTTGCGGCCGCGTTTCTTCTTCACCGGGGGTATCTCAATCACCACCGGAGCAGCAAGTTCATCGCCGGCGCTAGATGGCTGTGGCAGATTCTGGCTAGCATTGTCGCTTCTTGACCTGCTTAAGTTTGGTGACGCCATAGACGATAGTGGTTCCGTGTCATGTGGTGAATAATAGGGCATTGCTTGCATTGACTTTGACCGATTGGGAGTCTTATGTAAAGCCTCGGTTTGCACCGTATCAGTGGTCAGCATGGTGTTGAAATTCGGGTTTCCAGGATCCATGGAGGCGTTCAAGGATGCTTCGAAGATATTGTATGAGGTAGCTGATTGAGTATTATCGTAACTTGACAGACTGGCATGGGACGCTGCTTGTGGAATATTTGGGCCATCATAGGCACCATTCGCAGTTTCAGCTGGTGCTGGATAGCCAGGTCCATTCCCATACATCTCGTGTTCTCCGTTCTGAAATGTAGATTGATATGCTTCGGGTGGTGGTATGTGGGAAGCCATTGGCATCTCAACCTCCTGATGTTCTCCAAGTTTGAAGCCATTTCCTTCCACCCCCACCAATTGTTGCGGCTTGATAATGGACGCTTGGCTATATTGTAAAGGTACACGGTTATCAGTAGTCGGAGTATCATCATCAAAACTGCGTTGCTGCGCAAGACCGATCTCCGTCATCATGGTCCCTTTTTTCAAGCATCATCAACAATCAAATCCTAACTAAAGCAAAAAATAAATCGATGATCAAGAAGAGCTCACCAATCGATCCGCCCCCAGCTTCAGCCGGAATCCATCGCTCTTCTCTTCGCTGCTGCGACGAAGATAACCGGTTCTGCGCCGCTTCCTGGGATTGCAAGAAATCGTCGAAATTAACGCCAATATGCGATACTTCTTGTCCTTCTAAAATTTGGTCCTTGTTTAGACTGCTTTTTATTTCTCCGATGCCATTGCTATTGCCATTGCTGGTATCTTGTTGCTGCTGCTCTGGCGGGTTCGGCAACTGGTTTCTCGGGGGCGGAGCCTCGCATAGAGGGTCATCCTCGTCGTCCGAGTCTTGAATCACACGGTCGAACCCCATTTTATATAGAGGACGAGGTGATCTATTTCCTCGGTGATTTTGAAATAATCTCTCACTGGGTTGCGGGGATTGGCTTATCGCTTGCTTTGGACGCGTTCCGGGGAAACGTGGGATGAGATGACGCGCGGACACGTGATGATAAGAGTGCTGGTAGTAACTGGCTACAGTAAGGCATCAAGACAGGGTTGTCATACTATCGTGAAGAGAATCTAGGTACAGGCCATTGCAAGGTATCAATCAAGATTTAGTAAAACGCAAAAAATCGCTCATCATTCCATGGTACTCTGTGGTCGCATTACACCCCTTCCGAAGAACTCACTGACCACTCCGAATCGATCTTTGGAGCGATGAAGTTCACCCTTGAATAGATCATGCTGGTCGGCTGATTCCACCTGTCTCTTTCGGATCGCTTTGATCGTGGAATTTTGGGGAGCGCAGACAGGACACTCGGCATCTTCATCTACCTTGTTCAGACAGCGCTGGTGGAAAGAATGCTTGCAGAGAAAGTGTATTGTCGGGAGGTCCAGGGCGCCACCACAGGACATGCATCGGCGCGCCTGGAAAACAACGGGCTTAGTTCCCAGTTGTTCAAGTTCCTGCTTCTTGCTCTCGGTTTCGGTTCGGTAGCTGGCTATCAAACGCCGGTTCTGGTAAAGCTGTTAGTATGGGTCACCATGGAAATAAGGATATGCAACTGACGGAAGATATCTCTTTCCGTTCCCTTTCGATATTGTCGCTCAAATACTTTTTTACTCGACCCATTGTAACAACGGCATTATTACTCAGTGCCTGTATAACTTGAAGAGGTGACATAAGCCCTTCGTCACCAATCTTTTTGAGAACAGCATCAAGTTCGTCTCCCGCCTCCTCAAGTATCTTTGGGCTGGAAGCAAAGTATGTAAGAGCATCCACGTATAGCTGAGGCTCCTCGGGTCCGTATTTCTTCAGAGCTTTAATGGCACCACGTGTGTCTTTTGCGGATGTAAATGAACGGAATATGTCAGACCGAAGACCTTCTTGCTCACGTACGAGGGTTGACCCCTCTCGAAAGTTGGATAGATCGGAGAGAAGCAAGACACTTGATGTCGAGATCGGAATCTAGAAGAGAAATCCATTAGGTCAAGAAACCACGGAACAGACGAAATTTCTCTTACATCTTTGCCCTCGATGAGCTTTTTTGCTTTATTTTGCCATTCCCCCTTTTCAGCTTTATCTTTCACCCGATTTGCTGTATCCAAGTACATCTCAAAGAGGGTTGTAAAGAGGTCGACTTTGTCGTCCACTTTCAACCCATCTTGCTTAACCAGCGCCTCTAAGAATACAGTGAATTCTTGCGGATGATCCACAAAGGCTGAGAACGCAGTCCGAGGCTTGGGTATTTGATAATCGGGAGGTGATTCATCACCTTTGTTCTCGGTTTCTATCGGTATTTCGGGGGTCTCTGGTTTGACACTCCCACCGACATTTATCAAACTCAGAGGAAGGAACGCAGCCAGATTCTGCACTGTGCTGCTTGGCTGAGCTTGAGGTTCGGAAGGAATCTCAACCACTTCTGTCCTTGGCCGATATTGCCCGGTATAATAATCGATAAATAGCTCAGTTGTTCTATGTGGACAGTTGGCCAGCAGGACTCGGGCATATTTCATCAGGATGTTGTAGGCCTTGATGTATGAGCAATTCGCATTTTCTCAGTAAGAGTAATCTATACATACCATGTCAGGTTCAAGTCTCCAGATATACTCCGCAGCCTCTGCGTATTTTCGGGAATCTTCGATCAAAATGTCAACGACCATATCATTCTCGCCATACTTTGTAGCCAAGTAGGCGGCTTGTTCGTAATAACCACCCTGTCGACACATGGCGATGGCAGTTTCCAGATCGAATTTCAGCTCCCCGGGTGCTTTGATGAAAGAATCTAGTTTGTTCGTATCTTTGAGCTTTGCGTAGCAATTGAGGAGCAGGGTTGTGTGGTCGACTGTTGCTCGATCATGGTCGTGCAATTCCTCGAGATACTCAATGAGATTGTGGATACGCTGGGTATCGAGGTACTGTGACTCGCGTCAGTAAGCAGTCAAAGCAAGCAAAAACCATCACCTCTAACCTTTCGAATGACCTGAGATGGCTCCGTGTTATCGATGGCTCTGAGATATTGCTGCATAGCCGTGTCATAGTCCCCCTTCTGATATAGAAAGTCACCATACTTGCGATAAATAGCATTTTGTTGCAAGGTATCAAGTCCTTTTCTCTGCGCTAGGTTGATGGCTAATATATAAAGGTTACGCTGGTAGAGAATCTCGAGCTTTTGCTGAAGGCTCTTTTCACGGTAACGCTGGACCTGGAAGGTGTAAGCATTTAAACTCAGGGGTTCTGAGGTATCGAGATCGCATACCTTTCCATCTGTCGTGAGGAGGAATAAATCACCCCACTCCATGAAGATATACTTCACAGACGAAACAAGAGATTCGGAATGCGCAATGAACTTCAGGTCGGTATCCAGCAAGGTAAACGTTGTTGTACTGAATATCTCATCGGCCTGACTGACACCAAACTTCCGCAAATCCGACTTCGACGATCCAACTTTCGGAGGACAAACCAATGCCGCATAGTCTCTAAAGCTCGTAATCGAATTCTTCGAGCTCTCGAATGCAAAGCTCGGACCGCGTCCACGCACGCCGTATGTGTATATCGCATCTTCTCTGGCAATCAAAACGTCCCCTGTCTCCTTATCTAGTGTCATACAGCCAAGCGCACAACCCGTATCCTCAAGAACCCGGGCGGGCTGACCCTGTCCTCTACCAGAAATCACCAAGGTCAATATGCGATTTGTTGTAGAGATATAAAGTGTTGTGGACGGTCCATGTTGTGTCTCAAGTCCAGTAACGGGTTCCTCCGACTCGAAAACAATCCGTTGTCGTGCTCCGCGATCATGAATCAGATCCCCGCGAATAATCGTTACGGAACCGTTGGCAAAACCAACTGCAACTTGCGATAGATCATCTAGAGCCGTGAACACAGACACCTAAATTGGTAGCCATTGATTAGCTCAAATTAAAAAAAGAGCATCCTAATCGAGAGCGGGGTAGACATACGGGGAATTGTCGCCTCGCATTCTGCACCGAAACCGTCGACAAGCATCTGGGCACCCCGGTCTTCTTCTCAGGTTTATCGAGCGCCCAGACCTTCAGCACTGGCTCATTTAATAAATCCTCCGATATGGTAACGAGTAGCGATGTCCCTTCGATCTGCTTCATGTGCGTTATGGAGCCGGCATCATACGCCTTGAATGATTGTACCACCTTAAAGGCGGAGGAGACGGTGTGGACGACGCCATCAGTGGAGCCGAGGAAGAGATTCGCGGAACCAGTACATATACATGAGATGTCATGCTATGCGATAGAGACCATTAGTTATCAGGATTTCAGGAATAGAGATGGGGTTTCTTGCGCAACCAACATACATTGAATACCGATGAACTCTCCTCCGACAGCTTGACCGGCGAAATGTCGAAGAAGTTGAATGCTTTCCACTGCGTCCAGTTCATCAGCAGGATCCAACAACCCTCCGTATGGCCAGAAGAATACTCACTGATGTCAGAGCCATTTGATCGTGGTCCGCGCCATGGACCGGTGACAATATGGGGAGGTTGCAGTTGGTGGTTGTTGCGGAAGAGGTCCAGGTGTATCGCGGAGCTCCGCCGCGCTAAAGGCGGACGATTGCGTTGGTGGCCCAACGTCATTATCGGGATGACTGAACGGACAACCTACTATACCTAGTAACAGTTATGGCACTTATTTATCGTCGGTTATTTTAGATTAACATGGATATCATCATAATGGTTTATATACATGTCAGTAGAAACGTATGCACATTAGATCGCTTCCGAAGTAAAAGCCCAGCTCATGCATCTCTATATCTCTATCAAAAGGTATCCAGGTGCTATGCAAATGCTAAGAAAAGAAAAAAAAAAAAAATAATCGCTCGTTACAACATCTCATATACCAAGGTAAGTCACAAAATCCCTTGACAAACCCGCTTTTCAAGATAATCAATTCATGCCCAAGAAATGACTATTGGATAGCATCCAAGCTCGGTGCAGGCCGCTGTTGGTCTGTTGATGAAGATGGCCCAGGCTTTTTACTGCTGCATTGCTGGATTTCTTTGTTGACATCGAAACTCTGTTGTAACCAGCTTCCAGCATCCGCAATAGCTTGGCTAAGATTAAAGCTCTCAGCACCAACCATGCCTCCTTGACCGTCCTGTGCCGCAGTCAGGGTTGATCCCTCCAAGGTCAATGGTAACCCGGTTGTTTGAGTGTCTGATTGATTGATTCCTGAATGTGCGTTGAGCTCGGGGTGGGTATGAAGGTCTGTTTCTGGCGAAGAGCTCGAACTCTCAGAACCGTTTTCATCTTCTATGGACGAATGTTGATCTCTGGGTGTCGGGGATGACGACATTTGAAAACTGGTCTTCTTCCGTTTCTTGCTACTCGATTTCGTCCTTGACGATGAGTCAATCCGAGCTTTTGGTTTCTTTTCTGTACTAAACGTGAAGGGAGTGACAGATTCGATAATGCATTGGGTGCTCATCATCGGCGGCCCCTCTGCCCCAGCTGGTTTTGATTGATCGCGATTGGCGAATTCACTGAGTGTATTCAGTCGATGAAATGGCGTTATGTTTTTCGAATTTGCTGAGCCAGAGGGAGATCGAGAGGCACGTCGCTTCCTTGCCGAGGTTGCTGGATGATCCCGTTCTGGACTCTCCAGATCGTCCTGGAAAGACTTCTGTGCGCGTAGAACAGCTGCCTGTGTAGAGAAATACATATCCGGGCTAGTGTCTCCGTCATATTCAGAATCACCCTGTGGGACTACCGTCGAATGCAAGGATGTTATATTATCCACGATGCCAGGAAACTGTGGCACTTGCTGAGCGGAAGGAAACCTATCACTTGTATTCCCTCCAGTGGTGTGGCTTGCGAGCTGTGCCTTGCCCAGGTTTGAGCCGGACTTGTTGTCGATAGCATTAGAATCTCGGGTTGAAGTAAAGGTGCACCGGGTATACTGGTCGGTTTCCGCTTGGGCAGGCTCCTTGGTCTCTGCCGATGGTGGTGGCTTTATAGCAGTCTGTCCCTGTGGATCCGGACGGGTCACATCTTCGGTGGGCTTCGATGGACTTAAGCGTGGCTTTTCTGGTCTTTTTGCTGGGCTTTTGGTAGATGGGGACCGTGAATGTTCTTTATCATGTAGAGGGTACTTCCGCCTGCGATATTCAAACTTTGGTAGTTGAGATGAAGATGATACAACACATAATGAAGTCTCTGGGTTGAGAGCTTCAGAAGGATTATCGGTCCGTTCTGAATGCGAACTACGCTGCGGTCTCGAAGGTAGAGATCCAATGGGTTTTGGTGCATGATCATCGGAGCGAGAAGCGGGTGGGTTTGTATGCACCTGGGAGTGCGTATCCTTCTTTGAATCCGGTTCTCCATAGTTCCAATTCTGGACAGGACTGGGGGCTGCAGATTGCTGTTTGAGAGGGGAGCTTCTGACCGAACGGCTTTTTGTATCTGAGTAACGGGCAGAGAACTGTGTCGTAGGAGAAGTAGGAGGGTCGAAATCATGGAATCCAATTTGTTTACGGTCTTTCTTTAACCAGCTAGTGTCCTTGTCCTTGGATGTTGTGACGTCTTCCAATCGTGAGGTCGAATCAGACCAAGGTAAAGCTCTCTTTGGTGTGCCATGTGTGGATGCTGACTCCCGACTATGGTTCTCCTTCCGTGGCTTCTGGTGTTTTTGTTTCTTTGCTTCTCCACGATGTGAGTGTGTAGATGCTGGCTGCGGTCGAACGATCGAGGATGACCTTGACTCCTGAGGCTCTTCCTGCAAATCATAGACGTGTTTCCGTTTCCGCGGATCGGTCTCCTGTATCACCAGATCTTCGGGCTCGGCCTCTTGATGACGCTCTGCATTTGTGGTGCGCTTCCTGTTCTTTTTCCATGGATTCACCCAGTTTTTCTCAAAAGGTCCTTTGAGGGAAGCGGAAAGGATAAAGAGAGGAGTGCCCTGGAGGTACGCCTCGGCAAGCTTCTCAATCCGCTGGCGTTGTGCAGTACGGGCAGGCTCATCCTGCTCATCATCAGAACCAATAAACCCATCACTATCCAAATCGGAGGTCGAAAGCGGGCAGACTTCGAGCGAGAGCGGGGAGGCTGGTCTTCGGAGTGGCATCTGGGAGGAATGGCACGGGCGCAAAGGTTGGTTTTGGAGCTGCGGCAGCAACGCACTGCATTTGAGCAGCCAAGGGATGTAGGGGGTGTTATAAAGAGATTTTCATATCTGAAGCGATCATCGGCCCAGCGTCATGACTGAGAGATCTATCTGATCCAAGGTTGACAGCTCAAGTCACGCGAAATCGCAACCACTTAACGCGTGGATACCACAGCAACGTGTAGATTATGTAATGACTATTATTCAGGTGTCTTTAAGTCAGTCATGAGGGGTATGTACATGTAGATGACGAATCAAATTGATATCAATTGCCATTGAATTGGATTCTAGAATAATCAATGTGTTTATGTGCGTTTATGTATGACATTGTAAGCTACAAATAATTTATTATAAATAAGTTGTTAACATAAGTTTTGTGAGTAGCCAGCACTTAGTAGAGCAGATGAGTCGCTATATATCTTCGAGACGAGATGCTCCATAGCCCATACAATATGAAACAGCAAGAACATTTAATTTAATTTAATTAATTAATAGATACTGTTCCAGTGTGTGACATGATTAAATAATATAAATAGCCAAGTCAGCCCTTGCCTGCCATATAACGATCGCTGAAGGGTTTTTTTTTCTCCTCACATCGACTCCAATGTACCCCAAAGTAGGCTGGAGGGGAGGATGTGACAACTCATATGTGCAGATGAGACGCAGCAATACGTTGGAGCACAGCACGAGACAGAAGAGCAGCAGAACCATGGCGAACAATCTGTCAACAACGCACATCATCCATTTTGCCAGTCAGAATCAGAGCAGCAGCAAAACAAAATTAAGAATAAGAATTGCCCTGATATTGCCCTGTTCCATGGTGGACGACCGTTGGTTTCCCTGGTTGGCGATGAACCGCAGTGGAGAGCTGCTCTGAGTGTGCTGGGGTTGCCCTGCCCACCCAATCGATGCTCTGCTGGCGCCCGGTTGTCTCAACTCCACACCAAACAATTAAGTCACTCCCCAAGATATAATCGACCGAGCCCAGGTCCTTTCTTCTCCCTTGTTTTTGTTATTGTTTTGAATTTTATTATCATTATTGCAGCTGGAAATTACCTGCTCCATGTTTTTTTTTCCGCTTTGTTAGTTGTGTTGCTTTGTTCCTGCAGTGCTTGTTTTCACTGGTCTCTGCAGGGAGCCCTCATTTCGCGACGCGCCTGAGCTGGTTTAGCAGCAGCAGCAAGCAGCAGCAGCAGCACGGCTGTCTCACAACCATAACATAACGATGGGCAATAATCCACCATGGCTGGACAATCTCTCCGACGACTGGGTGCCTATGCCAGGAACACCCGACAGCCCGGTTCCTCGTCACTCCATCTCCCACTCTCGCCAGTCCAGTCTACACAGCTTAAACAGTCTCGCCAGCCTGCAGAGCTCCCCCAGTCGCATTCCTGTCCCCGCGCGCCGCGCCGTCGAATCCCCCATCGATAGATCGAAAAAGGTCTCGCGCCCCTGCCACTTTGTCAAGAGGGAACCCCCAACACCCAAGACTCCCCGGACTCCCAAAACTCCTTCCAAGTTGAGGTCGCCGGTCCCCGAGAAGACGAGGAGGACTCCCAGATCTGCACCAACGCCGGTGAAACCAACACCAGCAAAATCACGACCTACAAAACCAACTCAAGCCAGATCAACAACCCCAGCAAGATCGACAACCCCAGTGAAGCCAAGATCAACAACGCCAGCAAAATCAACAACCCCCGCAAAACCACCGCCAGCCAAATCGACACCAGCCAAACCAAGTCCGACTGCTGGAAGCAAACCACAACCAAAACAAAAACAGCCGGCGATGGATACAAGATCGCCTCTGCGGTCTGTGTCAAATGTATCCAGTCAGTCAGGTCAGCAGAGCACGGTACAGATCAGGCCAAAGAAAAGCCAAGGTCCAGAGACGACTCCGGAATGGCGCAAACGACTCATAAATGGCGATATATCGACTGGTGAGCAGCGCGATCTTTTTGCTCCCATTGGACTGGAGAGCGTCTTTAAGCCTCCTACGCCAGGGTCGCAGCCTCAGCAGGAAACAATCCCGACAATGAAACAAGCAAATGAGTTTTGGGATTTTAATGACTACAGCCCCGAGAAAGACACAAGATCAGGGAACCCTTTTACAGAAACCGGTGATGGAGATACCACAAAGCCAGGAGACCAGGACAAAGAAAGATTGGAAAGCAGCCCCGCGCAGTCACCGAAAGGAACCTTAAACATAAAGAAAGGCCTAGCGAATTCTTTCATGGACACGGCTCATAACACTGAGGGGGTGTCCCAAAACGATACGAATTTAAGAACTGTCAGTGGCATGGAAGATCTTCGTAACGAAGATATCACTCCGATTACCTTCTCACGCACCAATACGGTAGATGGAAAGGCTACATCGGAAGCCATAAAATCAGCCTTGAAACAGGTGACAAACAAACTTGAAAGTTTCTCTTCAGCACCGGGAGAGCGACCTGACTCGAGCGCGAGCGACAGTGTCTTACTCCACCCTCAACCCGACCCCCATGGGGAAACGCTAGCGGAAGAGGAACTGCTAGAGATGACCAGCCATTCTCTCCCTCAGGACCTCTCCATGGGCACGTTAGCGTTTCCCAATTTCCGCCGTGGCCAATATTTAAGTGAAGGTTCCTTCCTTAAAAAACAACTCACTCCTGCATCTTTCCCCTCTCACCGTCTTTCCCCAGCCACTCTTGCCAACTCGAGAATCCGCAGTTCTCCTCCCTTCTATCACAAGACACACCCAATGACCGAGCCACCTACACTACCCAGACCGTCATCAGCCCACGTCGGAGCATCCGCAGCTGAAGGCGCTGGGGATGCCAGGGCTGCTGGTATGCCGTCGTCTGGGAGTCCACTGAAACTATTCGGTGACCACGACACCTTCACAAACAACAGGCTCCTTCGACGGATGAGTCAATTTGAGGAGACATTTGGAGATTTATCCGAGGAAGACGAGCCGGTCTCACCGTCCGAGGAAGCTCGACGAAAGGGGGAGAGCAGAAGTTTTCTGAGCGTGAGGCATGACGGGCCAGGGGAACAGACCCTCAATAGGCACGAGCGCCCGAGATCTCGAAATGCCGCGACCCCGCGAATCAACCGATTTGGCGATGGCGAGTTGGATCACTTCGACTTCTCCGACACAAGCCCATATGAACCGAAATTGCTGAACAAGGATATTTCCGACCATGAATTCCGTCGATCCTCGCGGCGGAGGACTTCCGTTGACCGGCGGCAGCTTGGACGTAGCTCTTACCTAGATCATAATCGTGAGTCTAGAATGAGTAGAAGGCCCGAGTCTGCGCATCGCCCTGATTCATCTTCTCGTGCAAGTGTAATAAGAAACCAAGAGCTTTCCCGGAATGATCACCTGAGGTACTCCGAAGCGAACCGCATATCGAACAGTCAAGTCAAGGATCCAACACCGAAGAGACGCAGAACAATATTGACCTCTGATAGTTCAGACCAAGAGGATGACGATATTAGTGACTTGCCTGCTCAACCAACCGAGAACATTTCGTTACTTCAAAGAAACTTGATGCAACATGGCACAAAATACGAAGATGACCAGCGTCTCGCTCAATCCCAAACCCAATCGCACTCCTCACGGCGGCCGAGAACCCCAACATCAAGCCAATTGAGATCATCTGCAACGAAAAGACCTTTATCGCAGAGAACACAGTCACGTCAGGATTCGAACGAACGCACAGGGGAAGAATCTGCCCCAACAACAAAAGTTCCCAAAGTGAAGGTAACTGGTGCCAATGATGAGATTCGAAAAGGATCCATCACTACTCAGGACTTTTTGAATGAAGCGACAAAAATCATGAACATCATTCGATCAAATGGCAGAACCAACGGTGGCTTGTCCAGTGTTGAGGAGTCCGAAATGGAGGGCGAAAATGGTGCAGAAAGCTACGAGGACGAGTCAACCCGAGAAGAATTTTCGCGCCCTCCAAGCCGTGATGGTGTCGATATGCGTAAATTGAGACAACCAAAGGAGCCAAACCAGCGCGTCCTGAGTCATTTGAAAAAGTTTCAAGAAAATGATGACCAGGAGTTCGGAGTCAATACCGATGTCACGTCGCTTCATTTTGATGACGACGAAAACATCAGCCAAACGCCCAAGCCCCCTACCCTAGACAATGACCAGACATTTGATCAGAGAATGGAGGACGACCGAGTAGAGAGCAGTCCCAAAAATGTGCGAATCAGTGGGCATTTCATGGATCAACGAGGCGACTCGGCTGGCGAGAAAGACGATGACCTGCAGGACCTTATGACCATGAGTACACAAGTGTCTGGTAAAAGTTTCAGTGCGCGTTCTATACCCACCGGATCTTCCCAGAGCTCACACGCCAAGGGCGTTCTGTCATCAGATTTGGTTTCACACTTGATTCCGGAACAGGTGAATGGTTTCACTTATGACCGTTTCAAACATCTGTGGGTCAAGGAAAAAGCCAAGCGATCTCCCGAGAAACCTAAAACCGACGAAAGCGAGGACGACCCATTCCAGGATATCCCAGACCTCAGCGTCGACGAATTGCAGGAGATGATGAGAACACAGTCTTTGGGCTCTCCTGAAAAGACAAACCATTCAATTATGGTAGAGGAAGAGAATGGCGTTACGAGTCCACTTAGTAGAAAGTCGACCTCAAAGAGCGATCCCCGACCACGAACAAGAGATGGGGAACCCTCAGTCAATGCCAGCTCTGTCCAATCCAAGGTCACACGCTTTACCTCTAGTGTTCCCAATTCGGGAACAAGAGCAACATCATGGGGTACAGATGATGCGAAACGCAGGGAATCTTCTAGTGAGGTTGAGCACGAAATCCAACTGCACGAGGGCCGTCTGTCGAAACCTCCTCGATCCCAGAAGGACCTCAATCACCAAGCCCGGGTTGTGACCATAAGTTTTTCTTCTCCTCTCGTATCGCATGTTGCGTATAGCGATGATACCAGTCCTACGAAACATGCGCGAGGAGACAGAATCGCAGCACCCGACCATGCCACCCGGTCGGGGGCTGAGGGCCCGTCCGATCGCCCGCAACCCAGCAGATCTTCTTTGCTTCCACCGCGCCAGACGTCGCTTGATGGGCAACCGTTTATACGACGACCAATCTCCAGGATAGATGAGAGCAACGAAGACACAGCCGAGGACCTGAGCATAATTCGCCGGGAGAATGCTGGCCCTGTTCAGTCAACGCCGGCCAAAACAGGCGCTGAAAACTCCTTGGTTTGGCTCCGAAGTGCCGGACGAGACACGAGCTATAGCTTTCATCTTAGTCCTCTACCAGATTTCACTGTTGATCAGATTGATCAGTCCTTGCAGCTTGAAGTCAGTTATGTGGCTCAGCGCACTCACCCTACATCCCTCCGTCAAGTCCATGGAACATTTGCTCTTGCAACCGAAGAGTTGATCAAACATCTCACCGAAGCAGAACCCTTTGAGCCCTACTGGGAGCATGTTCGGCGCTTGATCCTGCGGGACAAAGGACTTATCACGCTTCACAAGCTGAGCGACTTCTGCCCCCGTCTAGAAGACTTGGATGTCTCCGATAACGACATTGGCCAACTGAGTGGTATTCCTGCTAGTCTCAGAACACTGAGAATACAACGCAATTGCCTATCGAATCTAACAGCATGGAGCCACCTGACTAATCTCCAATACTTGGATGTGTCCGGAAATGAGTTGGAAAGCTTGGATGGCTTCGGTAGCCTGATTCACCTCAGAGAGCTCAAAGCAAACAACAACAACATCCACAACATCGATGGGATACTTGATTTGAATGGTCTCCTGAGTTTAAAATTGAGTAACAATCTCTTGACTGACGTCGACTTTGAGGGCGCAGAGCTGTAAGTCATTATATTGTTTTTTAAAACCTTGCTGACCCTTATCTACCAACAGTACTCGTCTCACGGAGCTGGATCTCAGTCGCAACCGGCTGACCTCCGTGCGAAATCTCCACTCCATGCCCTCTCTGTCGACACTCAATCTTAGTTTCAATGAGATCAACCAAATCGATACATCGGCACCGCTGCGCAGCTTGCGTTCGCTGAAGCTTTCGAATAACCGATTTGATATGTTGGATATAAGAATGTTTCCATCATTGACTCTCCTCTATATTGATCAGAACTTTTTATCTACTGTTTCTGGTCTTTCGCAATGCCAGGGGTTGGAGATCTTTTCTGCACGGGAACAGATGTCTTCGGATAACAACAGCGGCAGATTCTTTGACATCGACTTAGGTCTTATGAAAGATATCCGCAAAGTGTTCTTGTCGTCGAACGGGCTGTCACCGCAAATTCTTTCACCAAGCTCACCCCTTCTTAGCCTGCAACTCCTCGACATTGCGTCATGCAATTTCCATAGCCTCCCAAGTGACTTCGCTTTGAGCTTCCCTAATGTTAAGGTTTTGAATCTCAACTTTAACTCTTTGCCAAGTGTCGAGGAGCTTGTGGGTATGAACTGCCTCTCTCGGTTGACGGTAGCTGGAAACCGCATCACGAGACTAAGAAGACTCTGCCAAGCTTTGGGTCGGATAGGAAGGATTACCAAAGGGGATGCTTGCTCCCTGCAGAAAATTGATTTGCGAGGAAACCCTCTGACAGTCAGGTTCTACCCACCACCCGTCACCGGAAGTGGGAGAAGCGAGAGCAAGAAGCAATTGAAAGCAAAGGAGGAGGACCGTGACCAGCAAGGCAGAGCAGAACTGGATCTTCCCGCTGCTCTAGCTGACATAGGTCGCTGTCAGGAAGTATCTCATCCAGCCACGTGGGATGAAGAGGACGACGAAATGAACATTGAGAAGGACATCGAGGTCAATGACCCGTACACTCTTCCACTTGCTGATGCCCAGGCGGACCAGAAATATCTGTCTCGTCTGGATAAATCAACAAGATTACGACGAAGGGTGCTTGAACTTATGCTATATGCCGGAACTGGTGGTTCCATCAGGGTTCTGGATGGGTTGGAGCTGCGGCCAACTCTTGAGGAAGGCTCGGATATGGATCATGCTTGGACGAAACTCGAGAAACTCGGCGTGCTGCGGAAAAAAGCGATTACCGGATAAAAGGGTTTGGTTATATTTTTCTTTCTTTTATTTTCTCTTTTCTTTCTCAACATCAGTGATATCCTTGGTTTCAGGTTGGTCATATTGCCAAGGAGTTTGGTAGTTTTGTTTACAATATGGGTCTGTTTGAATAGTGTTGCCTTTGAATTTATTCGACAAGTGTTGTGCTACACAAAGCATTGCATAACTGGGAGTTTGGTGGTTGGCAGCGAAGACATGAGCAAAATATCCATTTTCTTTTCTTCTAATTGGTGATTATTCATGTTACACTGTATGCCATGGATTTGCTTATCCTATAGACAATAGTAAAACGGACAGCATGGCAGCATGTCTGTCTTCTGGACATTGAAAATTCAAGATAACTACTTTGATTTCATCTTTCAGACCAGCTAAGTACTATTGATTTTGTGTCAGAGCAAAGTGTGTACGGCAGAATTCCATGTATCATATCAATGGCGTTGAGCAAATCGACAGATTGAGAATGGGAATCAAGACCCTTGCGCTTTTGCCTTCCCTCGCCCAAATCTAAGAAAAATAAACATGAGGTATTTATCGTCATCATCATGCTAGTCCATCTAACTTAGAAATCCGTTTCTAGGCTTTTGAGTTGCACGGCAAATGTCTTTCGGACCCATTCCATGTAAGACTTCCACTTGTGGTGGTCACCGGAAGCTTCAGCGTTAGGGAACGCCTTGCTGAGTTCTCGGGTGACCTTGAGAATACCCATGGAGGCTTCTTGTGCCTTCTCGAGCTCCTGCTTGACGGCATTGTCCTTGGGCTTGAATGACAGAACAGTGGTGTAGCGCTCCGAGAGAGCGTCGAGGTATCTCTGTGTGTCTTCGGGGGTGAGGGGGATGAGTTTAGAGGTCATGAGGTTGCAGATGGTGCGGATATCCTGTTCATCATCGATTCCGGCAAGGATGCGATCGAAGAACTCGGAAACGTGGGCACGGGAGAACGCAGTGTCCAAGGAGGCGTAAAGTGTTTCATAAGCGCTCTGTCATGTGTTAGCTGGGATGAACAGTGAGGAAGCGAATAGGAACTCACCTTTCTCAGCTCAAGCCCGTCATCAACCTTGTGCTTGAACGGGCCCATTTGCACTTCGCGGATCAATTCAGGTTTGATTTGAGTATCACCAAGCACCGCCGGAAGTAATTCACCAAGGTGTGGAAGAATGATATCCATCTTGTTGTGGATTGCAGAGTTTAATGTTGTCAATGCAAGGCGGTGGTTACCCAGATCACGGTCACTGAGCATGTTCACCAAAAGCGGGACAATCAACGGTCTCAGCACATCATTGTAGGCATCACTCGAGTCTGTGAGGGTGTAACGGAAGGCAGATATCACAACACCACGGATGACAGGGTCTCGGTTGGATAGGTATTCCTACAATTATAGACATCAAGGTTAGAAACGAGGTCTCAGCTGAAGCAAAGTCGAATTGGGACAACTCACCTGGAAATGGGGAATGTAGGCCACAGGATCAATCAAAGCCAACCGCCCAACGCATTCGGCACCGACAGCCCGGTTGTCTTCTTCATCCGAGACGACGACTAGAGCTTGCCATAGCTTAATGGCAGAAGGAGCAACGTCTGGGCGAACGACTTCGGGGTGTTGAAGTAATTCTTTCACGGAATGGAGAAGCAGATAGCTCTGAGGATTGGACTTCTCCAAGCCTCCCAAGACAATAGGTAAGTAGATTTTGACATTGCCTGCAGCGGCATTTCCAAGAGCCGTGGCTGCAGCCAACCGAACTTTGTCTGATTTGGAACTGAAGTGAGTAATGAACAGGTCTGGAGTCAGCGAGCAATTAGCACCCATCCGGAGACCGATTTCTCCCAAAATGGCAAGTGAAAGGCACTTGCGCTGGGCATCCTGGGCCGTTTGTAGCTCTGCTAGGAAGTCTTCCATCTTGACGTCCAACTTAGGGCCTCCGTGCACTAGAAGAGTTCCGATCGCCCTTCCAACAACGGAGGTATCGCCATTGATACCGACGTCCCGCAAAAGCTTTTTCATGAGCTCTGCTCCAGCACCTTGTTCGCCGATGACCTTGACAAGGAGAAGCAATGCCTTGAGAACAGTACCGACAAGCGAAGACGTAACTATTGAGCAAATGGCAGTAACTAAGCCTTCGTGTACTAGAAGCCCGGCATTTCCTGGGATGATCTTTGCCAATATAATGAGAGAAGGGGAGAGGAGATGGAAATCCTCAGCACTAATGAGCGGTAAAAGACAGTCTTCTAATTCCTTCATGGTCTTTTCGTCGTAATGGGTCCTAGTGTTAGGGTTCATGGATAAGCTACGCAGAGCCTCCAAGCTAGCGCCTCGGAGGGCACGGTCTGATTTTCGTAGTTGAGCACCAAGCTCTGAAGTCACTTCCCCAACCCAAGTTGCAGAAACATCCTCCTGGCGACCGCAAAGAATTGCAACATCGTCAACTGCACGGACAGCAGAAAACCGCGTGGTTTCATTCTTCAAGCGATCGACTAACACTGAAAGTCCCTTGGAGCGTAGGTCAAGAGAAAGGAAGCCAGTGCCTTTTTCTCCAGATGTACGTGCCAAAAGAACACCAAAGACATGGATTGCCCGCTGGCGAACTTCGAGATCAGCACTTGTGTCAGTAATCCGTGCCAGGACTACATTGTACAGTTCTTCTAATTTCGCAGCGAGGTTCTGAGGGTTTGACGACACGCGGGGTGGCGTGAGGGATTTCACAATCTGCTCGACGGCTCCAAGGGCTTCACTACTGACCTTGTAATTCCGGTCGTTGACAGCGTTAATTACACCGGGGATCAATGCAGTCAGGAAAGGCAACAGCGCATCAGATGTATGGGTCTCTGCGATTGCAGCTATGAGACTCAAAGTTTCGATCTGAAGGGTTCCTGCACTGACAGCAGCACCGGTTGATGCCGATGAGCTTCCCGAGAAAGAGGAGACCTTGAGAGCATCTGCGATAGGATCTTGAATCTGTTGCAAATGGTCCGCTAGGCCACCATAGCGAACTAGAGCAAGACTCTTAAGTAGAACAATAATGGCTTGCTTCAGAGGCACTGATGCTTGCTTCCACATCTTCACAAGACTCTGCACAATGGTCGGGACTGAACGAGCCAAGTCTGCCTGAGGACCAGCCTTTGGCGAGGATGGTGCAATCACAGGTGAGCCGGCTGCCGAAGATGTACCGATGCTTGGCTCAAAGTCGATCATGCTGGCATCGCTGTCTTGCCTTCTCCTCTTTCTTGAGTTCTTCGATCCTCCTACGGCCTCAAGGAATCCGCCCGATGTGATGATCACGGCACCTTCGCTGGTCTTCCGAACGAGGGCAGTCATGGTGGAAACTACTTCGAGTTTGACACTTTCTTCTCTTTCTTTATTAAAGCGAGCGATGAGAGCGGGTGCAATTTGCTGGTACAAAGAGGCATCGTCCAGAGCACGGCCACGACCGTATGTCGAAATGACGGAGTAGAGAAGCTTTGCTGCGCATCGACGAACCTTCCAGCTCATATCATCAATATCACTGTATCCCCCTTCCTCCTCGAAATCCTCAAATTCGTCATCTCCAAGATCGACTTCGTCGTCCGAACCATCATCCTGAGTACCCCCCATTTCTTCGTCATCTTCGGTCTCTGCCACATTCGGATCGTACTTTAGAGATTTAAGGGCGGATTTGATAGTATTCGACAAGTAGGGTTGCATTTGCTGGCTGCAGGAGCTGACCAGCGCTTCTAGCGTCACCAGCGCCGTCTCGCGGAGCTCGTCCGCCTGAGGGTCATGTTCGTCGTCTTGAGAATAGGTCGACATTTTGTAACAAAAAAAAGAACTGAAACTGTCGACCCCGGGTATTATTATTGTGCAAAGAACGAAAAGCAAGTAGATCAAGATCGAAGCCAAGTGGTGGACCACTGCTGCGTTCACCAAGTTCTCGAGCACAACGTCACTCGACCAGAAGCTGGGGAGAGCTTCACGGATACAAGAAGAGCCCCGCGCTAAGCCCGAAAGACACCGGAAGAAATCATGCCGATTGTCCGGTCTTGGCATCAAAAACAGAATTGGGGGAAAAGGCTTCACTGTTGCATGAAATCAAACAGATCAAGCGATGAGTTCGATTTAGACTGCTGTTTGGAGGCCAGAAGTGCTTGCAGTCCGCCCTGCTTTCTGGCTTTGGCACGTTTCTTGCTGCTGGCGTTTTCTACCGTCTTCGTGACCTTGGTCGCATCCACGTCGGAGGCCGGTTGAGAAAGGTTCTTTTCTGCTGAGGTTCCGGCTGTAGAGGTCGATGGCTGGATATCAGGGGTAGAAGATGCTGCTGCTGTGGATCTGGATGAAGTGTTGGAGCGAACAGCCTCTTTTCGATGCGGTTTGACTGTCCGCCGATGGCAACGGAGACACTTGTAGACTGTGGCGCCCTCCCTTGACACTGAAGAGCTAGAAGCAGGCTTATTGGAGCGCTTTGTCTTTTTCTTTTTTATTTCAATAGTCTTAGTGCATTCTGGCTTCCTAATGCTACCACATGCGCCACAAGAAAACTCCTGATGCCGTTGATTTAGAGGTTTGAATTCATCGAGAAGAATTCGATTGTGGACCATGTGAAGATAGGCCGCTGTCGATGGACTGAGAGAGCCTAGAGAGTTGGCCGAATCTCTCAGGTAATTCAACTGAGGGGCGTATTCACTGGCAGGCATTGTGTGTTTTTCTCCAGAGTAGACAAAGGGGTTGTTGGCAAAAGTCGATATCAATCAAAAGTAAGGAATATCGAACGGGCACCCGCTTTTATTCTTCTTTTGGCCGCCCAGCAACAGAAATTACCCCCAGAGCAACTCTCTCTCTTCACCTTCACCTCTTCCACCCACAACACCCACTTGATTTCTTTTTCTTCTCACTTCGAAACCCAGGAAATTAAATCATTATCATTTGTTTTGGCGGTTGTGCTAATTAATCTTACTCGTTGACCTCACATCTCAACACTCTACTCATCGCTTGCTAAATCGGACTTCTGCTACGTCTCAGCGTAGACACTCCCATAGGATGGAATCCTCGAACCCAAACTCCCCTTCTCTCAGGGTTGCAGTTGAGGGCTGCGTAAGTTCTCTTTAAGAAGAGCCTGGTGACTCTTTTCATGATACTAACGCGGTGTCTCCAGGGACATGGTTGTCTTCATGACATCTACGCCTCAGTCGAAAGAGCTGCTGCGCTCAAGGGCTGGGACGGTGTAGACTTGCTCATAATCGGAGGCGACTTTCAGGTAAGTATCTTTCCTATTCAAACCAAGACGACCTCCAGAGTCTAATAGTTGGGCTCCAAGGCTGTTCGCAATTCACATGATATGGCTTGCATGTCAGTCCCTCAAAAGTTCAAGGCGATAGGCGACTTCCACGAATACTACAGCGGAAAGCGTACCGCTCCGTATCTGACCATCTTCATCGGTGGTAACCATGAAGCTAGCAACTATCTTTTTGAACTTTATTACGGGGGCTGGGTTGCACCCAACATTTACTACCTGGGTGCGGCAAACATCATTCGCTGTGGCCCACTTCGTATTGCTGGCATGTCTGGCATTTGGAAAGGCTATGACTTTAGAAAGTCTCACTTTGAAAGAATTCCCTACAACAATGACGACCTTCAGAGTATTTACCACGTTCGGGAGCTAGATGTTCGCAAGCTTCTCCAGATCCGCACTCAAGTTGATCTTGGTCTGTCCCATGACTGGCCCAAGCAAGTTGAGTACGGTGGTGACTATGACACTCTGTTTCGGATCAAGAGAGGATTCGGCGAAGACTCCAGCCATGGCAGATTGGGCAGCCCGGCAGCCAAATATGTTCTGGATCGTTTGCGTCCTGCCTACTGGTTTTCAGCCCACCTTCACGTCAAGTTCGCTGCTTCTGTGCAGCACGGGGAGTACGTGATTCCGGGAAAGCAAAATGCAATTAAACCAAACGCTCCCCCGGATAGCTCGTCCCAGGCCGCCCCTAAAGCCCCGTACTCGTTTGGTATGGATGGCGCTGTGGTTACAACGCTATTTAGCGACGAAGAATTGGAGAACGACCAATCACTACCAGTACGCTCTGCAAACACGGACTCGAACATTAGAGCCCCAGAACCCACCCCTCAAGTTGACAACAAATCTTCTGGGTCAATCACTCATGAACAGCCGCAGAATGATGTTGTAGCCCAAAACAACACCTCTAGCTCCGATACACCTCAGCCTAACCCAAACCCAGCTGAACCTGGAGACACCCAAGGTCTACTATCGGCTTGGAATGACTTTCACAACGTGGCTTCCAAAAACGAAGCTGCCGAAAATTCACGCTTTCTTATGGAACAAGACAAACGTCTACAGGAAGGCTCCACTCCTGATGTTAAGCACAACTTAACATGGCGCAAGATCGATATTGATGAAGATGCAGGCCGACGGCTTACAGGAATCGAAAGGACTGGAGATGAGAGTCCCGAAAGTAAGAAACAGAAGATGCAGAACGAGCCCGTTGCGGTGAAAAATTCAGACGAGATCGACTTGGATCTGGACAGCGACTCTGACCAAGAAACCACCGTGAAGGCCGCGCCTGAAACTGAACATAACAACCACAGGGCCTTGGATGGAGCTGCTGCCGGTGATACAAATGGAGACAAAACTGATGGTCTTCCGAAGGACTCCAAGCAAGATAACTCCATTGGAGAAGCTGATGTTTCTGAAGATCTTCGGAGCCAGCTCCCTGCCAGTTTTGCACGACCCCAGCCGGATCTTCAACCCAGAATTGAGGCCGTGCATGAGCCTTTGCCGGAGGCGATCTTCAACAAAAACACACAGTTTCTCGCACTGGACAAGTGTCTTCCAAACCGCAACTTTCTGCAGCTCTTGGAAATCCCTAGTATCTCAGAACAGACTGGTGATCAGCTTGAACGTCCTTATCGCCTGCAATATGACAAAGAGTGGCTGGCTATCACTCGTGTCTTTGCCCAGGACCTCGAGCTGGGCGATCCTAATGCCAAGCCCCCAGCAGACAAAGGTGATGCCGTTTACAAGTCAGAGATAGTGGAGGCCGAGAAGTGGATCGAGGAGCATGTTGTTAAGCCTGGCAAAATGAATGTCCCAGAGAACTTCACCCCTACTGCTCCGTTCTACGATCCTGACGTCCCCGTCACGACCACTCAGATGCCCCCAGAGTACAGCAACCCTCAAACCGCCCAGTTCTGCGAATTGGTTGGAATTGAGAATAAGTTCCACCTGAGTGACGAACAGCGCCAGGCCCGTGCTAATGCCGGCCCACGGCCAAGTCATTTCCGAGGTGGTGGTGGAAGTGGTCGATTTTCTCGTCGTGGTGGCGGGGGCCATGGCTCTGGTCGTCGCGGTGGAGGACGTGGACGTGGCCCTCGCTACTGATATCATCTTTTCATGACCTGGTTCTACCATCTAAGCATTTCGTGAAAATTTTCTTTGCTTCACTGATGGTATTCTCCACTATGTCGACTATCTCCCGTCTTTTTATGATTTCACGCTATCCAAATTGTCTTTTGATCTAACTGCAACAGACGGAGAATGGGCTGAGGTTCTTTGTCATTACCGAAAAATTTATGCAAAACAAGTCACTCGATTTCGCTCTTCTATTCTTTGAAACTGGGTGTCACTAATCTTCATAAAAGATCTTGCAAACCAGCGGTTGATGGTTCTTTATTGATGTCATTTTCCGCCCGATTTCTTTATTATTTCTTGCTTGAAATTCTTTAATGGGCTGGTTTCCATTTATTGTGCGACGCATGCTTTTGTTTTTCTCTAATATACGAAAACCAAATACTTGAATCAATGGGATGGATGAATTCGAATCGAATAGACTCTATGATATGTGCACCGTAGAATCTTTGAGGCTATTCATAGCTCGGTATGATATACTATGGAAACTTGAAGCATGTATATCTCTAACCAATCCGAGTATATCGAGTCTTGCAAAATTTGAGATGATTGAAGGATTAGAGAACTGGCGAAGACCCAACGAAAGTTGCCTTCACTCGATTTCCTCAATCTTTGGTCGTCCACCTCCATCTTTACCGGCCATCGGATCAACACTGAGACCAGCAATTCTATACCCAAGCTCGAGTTGAGGTTCTTTCTCCTCCCCATGTTCCCCGTGAACTCCGATACCCCATAACAGAGACTTTTCCACCCAGGCCTCCAAACTCTCTATGAGCACCCGGATATGGCCTCGTACAATGGTATCCGTCTCCCGGCTCTCCACAAAGTGTAATGCGCGAAGCATATAAGGAAGATTTCCAATTGTAGTAGGTCCACGTATGTTGGTGTTGTTGGTGTTACTACCCCAGGAAGCATCGTCTGTGAGTGAAAAACCAAAGCCTAGATCTGTTCCGCGTGTTTCACGAGCAGTGTCAAGTGCCTTGAGAATGTCGAGAAGCAAGACAACACTCGCCCGTCGAATGATTGCAGACTCAGGGGCTGGTTCCAACGTAAGGGTTGAGAGGGCAAGGTCTACTGCTGATGAGGTAACAGAGGGCCCCAGCCCAGCGATGTTGGTTTGCACCGCGGATGCGAGGATGGATATTGCGGAAGCACGAACGCGAAGATCATCGGGCTCCTCATCTGAAGCCGCACCTGCAGCCCAGGCAGCAAATATGTTCGCCGCATTGGCAGCTTGCTCGGGCGATTCGGTTTCGGAATCATCATCCTCAATACCTGCCCCTGGCTCTGACGAGGATGCAGGAGTAGAGATGTTAAAGCCTGGAGGTAAAGAAATTTCATCTTTCTTTTTCTGATGATCCTCGCGTTCTTCCTGTCGCCTTTCTTTCTCAATCTGTTGTTTTCGGGCTTCCTGGGCCTGCGGTTTGTGTCCGCGTCGTCCCGCAACAGTGACCATACCATCTCCTAGAGTTTTGGCTGTCTCACCCGTTAAGGCCTCTCCAAGGTCTTGAACAGTCCGTAGCAGAGATTCACCAATCTTCAATCTCTTATCAAGGTTGATGCTTTCGTTCTTATCGGTATAGCGCTCGACAAGAGTTTTGACTACTGTACGTGGATGCCTCGAAGCCAATGTGCCAACCAACTTGATCGCATTCAAGTAGATAAATTCCTCATTAGACATAGCTTCAGACGTGTCTGTTATGATAGTCAATAGAAGAGTAAGGGTAGACGGAATATCGAGAACAGGTGAAGATTTCATTATCAAATTAGAGAGAAGGGAGAATCCCTCTGCCTGAACTGGGGGAAGATCGGAATTGAGGTTAGTCAAAGCTTGACGGTGGGTTTCAAGATCAGAGATATGAGTCGGTATCTTTTCAGGGGTGGTTTCATCAGTTGAAGTAATGTGAATGTCCAAGAGCATGGTGGCAGTGGTTCCTGGCTTCGACAATGATGATGGAAGATAGGGAATAAGATTATCTAGCTGCGACTTGATGTCGCCAAGAATTGGATGGATTTCTTGCGAGGCAGTGAACTCAGGTGAGGCGAGGACAGTAGATAATAAACTGAACACAGTTGAGAGTGATTCGGTCGAATCCTCAGCAGAAGCTTCTGCTTGTTCGGTGCCTTCACTGGGGACGATGTTCGCCAGAGATGAAAGTGATACGCCTCCAGTCCTTTGCCTCCCGGAACACTTGCGTTGCGTGGTTGCTCGGTTAAGTTCACCGTCAATCAAGTGTTTTATGAGCTCAAGAACTCTAAGAGGGCGACGGGAAAGGGTGTCCCTGAAGTTATCTAGTAACTTCTCTGCTAGTTTGGCACTGACTAACTTCTGGAAAATAGCGTCGGATGAGTTTTCTTTTTCGGGTGGAAATTGGAGTTGACTGAAAGATCTACCGTCGTCCGAAGGGTTTGCAAGCCAGGTCTCGCTCACATAGAGGAAGATGTCACCAGTCCTCTCCTCGCTACTGGGATCCGAGCCTAGCAAACCAACGAAAAGCTCGGCCCGAGATTGTAGTGAGTCCATCAATTGCACCAAGTTGAATTGATTAGTATTGGTAGTATCACGCTTTTTCAGCAATACACCATCTTGTTCGCCCAGACTATAAGTCCAGGTATGGCCGCCATCCCAAAGTAGATTATCAACAAGCTTCTTAAGTGGCTGCGCACCAACTGATATTCCAAAGTATGTCTGTAGCAAGGCCATAACCTTTTCATGGAGAATATTCCGTTGCTGCTCCAGGGTATAGCAAGCCAAGCCCCAAAGAGGCAGAAGTACAGGATAAACGAGTCTTTTAACAAGGCCTGGGTTTGGGTGCTGAAGCGCCAAACTCCTGAGCCTGTCAACTGCTAAACATACTAATGCCTGGTCAACAAGTATTGTACCTTGCGAATCTCCATTTTTGGCATCAGAAGTTCTAATCCAGGTTTTCGAAGGACCATCTAGACTGGCAGTGAGCGTCTTGAAAATGGGATCCACGAAAATTGAATGCCCAATCGTTCCAGTGGCTCCATAAGCCCGCTTGCCCAATATACCGTTACCGACAACATATGATGCAGTCTTTCTCAAGTCGATATCGTCGCCATCAATCAATGCCAGCAACTGCGGGGCAATAGTGGAAAAGTAAACCGTTGGGTTCATTTCTTGGGGCACCGATGAAAGTAGCCGCGATATTTGCATAATGGCCTGCACAGTAAAATGTGGCCCATTGGATGCTTGAGTCTGTGCTTCCTGTCCAAGTGAAGGAGCAAACTGTGAAGCAATGAAGAGTATGGTTTGCAAAACCCCATCCTGACGTAAAGGGACCCGCGAAAGTTGACCAGAGATGATTCCCTTAAACCACGTTGCTGGATCGGGCTGAAGGAAGGTAGATAATGTTGATAAAAGTACTGGGCTAGGGGTTCTGCAATTTGTCAGTATAAGTAAACTATACAAGAATGGCCGAGGCGTACTCTTCAATCACTCTGTCGAAGACATTTTGATAGTGATTCTTTTTACCTGTAGATATCATCGTCGAGTTGAAAGCAAGGTCCGATGAGCCACTTATTATATCGCTTAGGATACGGACCCGGATTACGGGCTGTATGCTGGGCCGTACATCAAGAATAATGTCAGAAAGCGTTGCCAATATACGGTCTAAAAGCACTTCATCACGAGGCTTGTCTTTCGAAGACGCATTTGATTGTTGTTTGGCAATAACTCCAGCTGGAAGAACAGAGATGACTCTCTGCTGAAGAGGTATTCCCACTCCTGCTGATAGCGACGGGTAGATTCCCTCCAGAGAAATAAGATCTAGTAGTGCATGGAGCATTCGACGCCGCTTCGCATCTTCCAAAGCGGCATCCTGTGTCCCTTCGTCGGTTTGAACAAGCTCACTGGCATCCTTTACTGGCGTGACAAATCCGGCATGGATGTGCAAGAGAATGTCTAATGCTTTTCCGATGACAACGGCCCTCGTTGATGCATCATCGGCAATGTCAACGTGCAAATTTCTGCCTAGAATCTCCAAAAGAGAGCTTCCACGAGATTTCTGGATCTCCTCTTATGCCTGGTTAGCATGGAAAAAGACATAATTAAGTCTTGAGATTTGCATGCCTCGTTTAAGAATGGGATCCAAGAATTCGTCTGCAGCGTTAAACGCTTCCCTAACCTGTCGGGGCTCTCCCATAATTAGAGGCTAAGCGATTAAAATCCAGAAATATCCATCATCTGACTACAAGAGTAACTGCGTATCTTGAAGCCTTTTGCTGGGGATTATTATTTTGCCTTCTGTGCTGTTGCTTATGAAGCAAGCATTGAGCAAGAGGCAATGATCGACACGTGATGATCGTGGACCACTGCCAAATATTCTAGTCACGTGGAGGCGCGTCGCGTCATCCCGTGACTCCCGCCGCCATCTCCGGCCCCTTTGCCTCGAGATGTCTTCTTCTTTTGTTGACACTGCAACAGCGGCATCAATTACTCTCAAACGGCTTTTTGGATGAAAAGCTTTTCCTTCTGTTTTGAATACCCCGTTTACTTTTGATCTGGTTCGTGCTAGAATAAGACCTTTATTGGACTCAATTTCTTCGAACCCGTGTCGATGTACTACCAAACTGCATTTCTTGATCGTTTGGTATCAACTCTTTGCCTGTGAAGGCATATTATACAGCCCATACCCCCCCTACAGCTTTCCAATTCTTATCGTGCATCTCAATGCCCCTTCGAAGGATCTATATCTTTACGATGCTAGTCGCTACCGTGTGAGCATAGCTACTAGAAGGTGGATGAGAATTGGGAACCTAACCCTAATAGTCTGCGTCGGTTCAATGCTGAAAATGGCAGAAGTCTCGCGGTTCAAGCATGGCGGATTTTCTGATTAGTCGAGTCAGTTCGTGGTAGGACTGAGGAGACGAAAGGGATTCGATGTCCAGAGCCTGGCACAGGGCATAAAAGAAGGTTCACTATGCGTTGCAAGCTCCCAAAGGGACACGCGTCGGTTTACCAATGCTGGACTCAACGTGCTGGTCACAGAAGGATGGTTCATCTATGCCTAGATGCTAAGGAAAGTCACGAGAGAGAGCAGGTGAAGCATGTCGGGCACCTCTGCTGTAGGAGGTCGCCTTTGGGAGCTTTCAATGATGGCGCTTCGGTGGATGGCTGCGACAGGGAGGCGAGCTCTGTTGCTTGGTATGATTTGGATTGCTTTGAATACATCAAATCTGTCCCTGGACAGTTGCCCACAAACAGCCATGATGCCAGTATGTCAGATTGGTCCACTCGTCGGAATCATCCCACTCTTTTGACAGCACCCAGGTGCTCATCAAAATATGGGTTGTAGCGAGACCCTTCTGCTCTGCTGTATGGAATGGCTTCTTTGGCTGGCGATTGCTTTAGAGCAGTCCCATCAAAGCTTTGGCTTGTTGTCTTGTTCCAGTTGTCGATCAATCTGCCAAAAATCAATTATCTCACCTTAATTGGCGTTGCTGTCATCGCTGCTTGTTGCCCGCTGTCCCGTGCATGCTTCCAACCTCGAGTCACCTGAGTGACTTGTAACTGCTCTCCACCTCAGGCACCTGGGCATTTGTTTCTTTCGAAGGCTATTTGACCCCGAATCACGGCACCAGCCATCGATTCGTGCTTCAATAAGAAGGTCCAGATCGACCGTGTTAACCATCTCTTTGCAGCGTATGCTGCAAATTGATTGATGGGCGCCGACAACGGCGACGGCATATTTGTCGTTGTCCCTCTCTTCGGAGAGAAGGAAGCGGTTTTTTTTTGGATGTTCTTTGTCCGCTTCTACAATGCCCTCCTAAACCGATTTGTCGGGCGTGGAGAGGACACAAAAACTTGTCTCTGGGGGTACTGTATCACACACAAGAGTTTTTCCGTACATGCTTTTAGCATTTTCGGATTTGAGCCAAAGGATCTTGAATAAATGTTTTGAAGGTGCATACATGTGGCATGTTTTCAAGATTTGGGAGATGAAGGACTTACAGCCAACCCTGTCGGGCTGTATTGCAAAACAACACAAGGATGGTTTCCCTCTTTCATGAAGCACGTGAGAGCCTATTGATGATCTGGGCTGCGTTCATTGAGTTTTTGCCATCTCGCTGGTTGTTCAACCTCCATGTCCCTGCAGTTCGCGGCAGTTATCTCTGACATCTTTCGCGCCGTTCTCTGGAGGCAAAAATCGCTCCTCATTGAGGCAGATAAACAAAATTCCCGCTCGATCTTCATATTCAACCTGGTCCTTTGCTGTTTGATACCTACCCAGGTAGACTCGAAGTTGGTAGGAACTAGCAGATGGTGCTTTGCAGGACCTCTCGAGCGTGAGGATCAAAGCTTAGGCTTGTCTGCGTCATCTACTGCTGTTCTGTGTCAAGAGTACTCCTGGGCTACGGTATGTCTTCCACAGATTAGTTGAATAGTCGACGAAGGAAACTGTTTATGTCTCGATGGTTACAGACGAATCGAATAGCCCTAAAGAAAGATGTTCTCGAGGCACTTCTCGAGCTCTGAGATATGGAAGCCGGACATACCGGTTTTGGTGTCGACTCATGAACTGCCGTCCCCCCTGGGGGGCGGCCTCCCTTTTTTTTATAAGTCTACCCCATTCCGACATTATGGTCATGGCTAACTACCATCCCAGATATTCCAGGGAAAGTTCCAGGGAAGACTGTTTGGCATTTTATCTGTGTTGGATTTGGTTTGATCCTTGGGCATCGCATAGATTCTGAGATTTAGGCTATTCAGACTCTTATACATAGATCACAAGCATTTTCTCAATCAGACCCAAATCCCATTCAATAATACGGAGTAGCTGTGAACTTAACAGCTGCACTCTTCCAAGATAGTTGAACGTTGATATAGGGTAGCTTTCAATTTATCCTGAATGGTCAATGATCGGCATATCGTGCATACTCCTGCACAGCTGACATAATCACTTGCATAATATAATGCCTCAGGCAGCATTTGCCCCTCATTGGAAAAAAAAAAATGCCCCGCCACGGCGATAAGTGGAAGGCAAGGGAACGTTCCCGTGGTTGCTGGTGGAATTTTTCTTCCCTCGGTCTTAATAATTGCTTATCATTGTGTTTTCTCTTGCCTGAAGGGTATATCTCAGTGCTTCCTGCTGTCTTATAGAGAGAATTAGAGAACCCTCCTAAGCGTGCTTTTGAAACTATTCCTTCCATTTTCGATTTTTTTTTTTTGTCATCATATATATTGTCCATCATGTCGACAGAAGCCGAGTCGCAGTTCCAAACGCCTGGTCAACTGGTGGAGAGAAATGAGGATACCGGTGTTATGCAGGTGGAGAGTCTTTGCATGAATTGCCATGAAAATGTATGGCTCCTTGTTGAGAGTGAGAGAAACAAGAATACTGACCATAATTTTACAGGGAATGACCAGACTCTTGCTCCTCCGCGTCCCTTACTTCCGCGACATTATCCTCGAATCCTTCGATTGCGAACATTGCCATTTCAAGAACAACTCAGTCAAGTCTGCCGGTCAAATCCAGGAGAAAGGAGCCAAGTACACCCTCGAAGTCGAGAACGTGAACGACCTCCAGCGCCAGGTCATTCGAAGTGACATTTCGATCTTCAAGCTTGAGTCTCTTGATATTGAGATGCCCAAGGGAGAGGGCCAGATGACCAACGTGGAGGGTGTTATTCAGAGAATCCACGAATCGCTGTCTAGTGAGCAACCACTGCGCAAGATCCAGGCCCCCGAGCTCTTCGAGGCTCTTGAACCCATCATCGAGAAACTTCAGAAGATCCTCGATGGAGAAGGCTTCCCCTTCACTGTCTCTCTTGATGATATGACCGGCAACTCATGGATTGCACCCTCCCCTTTGGACAAGGGAAACAAATACCGACGTCACGACTACCCTCGTACCCACGAGCAGAATGAGGAGCTTGGAATTGCCAACGACCCGAACGCCGCGAAGGGTGAAGGCGTTGCTCTGCAGGAAGGCTTCGGTGACCCTGAAGATCTTGACATCATTGATGGAAAGGTTTACAGCTTGCCCACTGAATGCCCTGGCTGCACGAAGGATTGCTTTGTCAACATGCAAAAAGTTAACATTCCTTACTTCAAGGAAGTTTTCGTCTGGAGTACCGTCTGCGAACACTGCGGCTACCGTACCAACGAGGTAAAGACCGGTGGTGAGGTTCCGGAGAAGGGCAAGCGGATCACCCTGAGGGTGGAAAACATCACGGATCTTTCTCGTGATATCCTCAAGTCCGACACCTGTGCCCTTAACAGTGACGAACTCCAGATGAGTGTGCAGCCCGGTACCTTGGGCGGACGCTTCACCACCGTCGAAGGATTGCTTACCGAAATCCGCGACCAGCTGAAGGGTCAGATCTTCGATATCGACGACAAGAACAACTCTGGAGGAGACAGTATGGCTGCCAGCGAAAAGGAGACATGGACTAAATTCTTCGATCGCCTTGAAACCGCCATCAGCGGAGAGATGAAATTTGTCATCACACTCGAGGACCCCTTGGCCAACAGTTATGTCCAGGATCTGTGCGCCCCTGAACCTGACCCTCAAATCACAATCGAAGAGTACACCCGTACCGATGAGGAAGAGGATGAACTCGGTCTGAAGGACATGAAGATCGAGGGGTACGAGGAGGACGAAGAGAACAAAGACAAGGATGCCAAGGAGGGTGCTGAGGAGCAGAAGTCATAATTGATACCCCTGGCATGATTTCTTTCTTTTAGTACTTCGGCATGACGTTTGTCTTTTTCTCATGATGTGCATGATATTTTCTTGATTTATGCTTTCTGACGTTTGCATGGTGGTGTGTTTTGCAAGTTTTGCACGATTCGTTTCTTTTCATGTTTCCTAGATATCCGATGTGAGTAGATCTGTCTCATAATGTTGTTACTGGGTGTTTGTATTGTGATTTTTGGGGCATTGGGTGGTCTACAAAAGTTGGTAGGAGAAGTGTTTATGATCATTTTCAATTCATTCAGCATTCGTCTAGCCATGCCTTGTAGAAAATCCCTAAATGGCTGTCCTAGAGGACAGAGAGTATCCGAGTAGTCTTCTCGTATTCAAACATTTGGGATTGAACTCATCGTAAAAACACCCAGCTTTCCTGCTTCATAGCACAAGTTGCCAACGTAGGTTTCGTAACGCCCGGCATCGGCAATGGCCATTGAACCCTGCTGGGTAAAGTTTTCCGTAGCAATCATTCGATTGGATACTTGAATCACCACTCGGCAGCTTCTTGGGTCTTTGGTCGGGCATCTCTTTATCCTTTTTGGTGCTGAAGCATTTCCGGGTCGCCGTTGACTCGACCGTTGCCATGTCTGGACGATGGTTCGGAGCACAATCAAAGAGTCCCTCTATTGAAGATAGACATTTTTATTCAGAATGTCACAGGTTCTCACTTTGCGAATGGGTTCGCATGAATCGTCACCCTGTTGATACGCATGGCTGCATGCTCCTCCCCCTCTTTTGGCTGTATCACCCTCCCCTTTTTATCAACCTTGACATTGGCCTTTTCCAGATTACCCAGCACATCACCTCCCTCATCTTGAGCGGTCAGGTTCAACACTTTTCCAAACACGGTACTATTTCCATCCAGATGCGGTGCTGCGGCAAAGGTGACGAAGAACTGGCTTCCATTAATCGTGGCCCCCGTAGCATTCTGCGAGCCAGGTGCTGTGCGATCTTTGACGGGTCGAGCGGCCATAGAGAGGATTCCGCGCGTATTGTGCCGGAGGGCAGGGATGTGGATTTCTTGATTCAGGGCTGACGGGTGGTAGATTGAGGTGCCACCTTTGGGGATTTCGAAGGGAACCAGTGGCTTTATGGAGGGCGCTGTCGCTGGTCCGAGGGATATATCGCCGCCTTGGATCATGAATCCAGGAATAAAACGGTGGAAGGGGGTGTTATTGTATGCGCCGCATGCGCAGAGGGCGAGGAAGTTCTAAGTAGCGCGATCTTGCATTAGTAATTTCAGACTTGATGGAGGTGATAATCAATGGAGTCTCTTTTGATCGAGAGAAGAGCAGATGTAGCCCATATATACATACCTCTGCTGTCTGGGGGACTGTTTCGCAGAACAGCTCGACCTTCAGGTCGCCTTGGGTGGTATGGAGCTATATGACGGTTCGCGATGATCAGTAAATGCGTCATTCTGCGGGGTTTTCATACTGAGGGAAGCGATAGCTTGCTCAAAATTATGGAGAAGGCTATACTCACCGTAACAGACATTGCTTCTGGTAGATCTTGAGCTATCTCATGGAATGACAGCAATTGTGGTGGAGAGACGGCGAGAAAACGCCGCTTGAGAGAGATGCCTTAGTCATCATGAAGACGCCAAACTGGTGATTAGGTGAAGCTGGACATGTTACAATTGTGCTATTTTGGATTGATACTGATGATTCTAAAATATTTAAAGTGGAAATATCATCATTTTTCTTTTCTATATCTCATTTTTTGCAGGTTGCTTGGGTCAGTCAAGCTTGAATAGCATTTCCGCCCCTTGTATTCAATTCTCCGCCTCGAGACATTCCCTGAGGAAAACACCAACTCCCTTCCTATCAGTCACCAGATGTCCTGGTGAAGGGAAACAAGAAGACTATGAATAATAAACCCGTTGAACAGGCCTTGGGGCACCTTTTGCCCACTCATGCCAATGACCTACCACCAGAACTTCTCAGTTTGGCCCTATCTCTCGTCGCGCAATCCCGAAGCTTTTCGACCAGCTTGAGACCCGAGGAAGAAATCGCAAGACCCTATGCCTGTGCCGAGATTGCTTGCAAAAGGTTTGTCTGGAATCTCATATCACACGCATCTGCCCTCGATTGGATTGCTAAATAGTCTTTTGAACAATGACAGGCTGAGCCGGACGCTCAAGTTACCTCCGCTACTCGGCCACCCACCATGTCCTCCGCGAGCATACAAGAAACTCTTTTCTTTCCTTGACCGATCTCTATCAACAAGTGTGAGTGGTACAAGTCGCACGGGAAGTGCCTCGGCTCCTGGGACACCATCACGTTCAGCTTCTGGACCTTCAACCCCTACGAAAGAATCAAGAACCACACGGACGCCATCGAAAGCTGCAGCGACGCCGCGAGGTCTTCAGAATACACCCAGTAAACCTACGCCGTTGAAGAGAACACTTAGTAGCACGCCAAAACCAGCAACCTCGAGTACTCCGCAGAAGGCTAGGATTCGTTCCAATGGCCTTTCGAGCTCTACAATCATCCCTGATGCCCCGGCATGGGCGATGAGATCAACCCGGGAAGTGTGCAAGACGCTATCTACCCCTGCACCACGAACGAATACATGGTCCCGACCTCCTATTTCCAAAACACTGCCACCGCATATATTCGCGGGTGTGTCGTCTGTTCTGTATTTCATTTCGGCTTTCTCCAGCAATGACGACGAGGAAATGGACGAAGAGACACTGGAATTTTTAGAGCCGGTCATACTAGTCAAGGACAAGGAAAAGGACGAAGATTTCAAGGAACTTATCTACGCTCTAATCGTGGCTATTTATTTCCTCGTTCTCGCTCGGCGACGAAACCCTTCCGATGAGGCGGGACCTGAATCGACTGCCGGTGAAACAAAGAAGATGGACAAGAAAACGTTTTCCGAAATGCGCCAGACAGCTCTAGCAAGCCTTGGTCTTTCCACGGAACGGAGACACCGTGACGATGTCGACCAGTGGATCGCTATCATAATGGAACAGAATTGGGCCCACGGCAAGGAGTGGTTTGATAACATTCCCCAAGCTGGAGAGCTGGATGGCGATGCTGCATACTTGGCCGGCGAGGACAGTTACGGAGACGATGGTATTAACGATGACACTGAGAACCCGACAAAGCGGCAGAGGAAGGGCCGTTCTCTTCTCTCCGGGGACCCTTCAAAAGGAGGCTTACTACCTGGCCTTGGGACAATGATGCAAGATCGTGTGGACTGGTTGAGCGAGGACCGCCGAGAAGATTATATTGAATGGAAGGCAGAAATTATGACGCGGATTCAGCAGATGGAGAGAACAGGTCGGGTTGCCGCATGAGGTTTTTCTCTAGTGACATTGTATTTTTATTTTCATGATTTCCATAGCGAATTTTACCTAAATATGATACCCTTTCACAATCCAGGATTCTTGGTCTTAGATCATTGGTTTTTTGTTATTTTAGTCTCAACCGAGACAAGAAACCTATTTTCAACTGCCTCAGCTCTAGTCTAAAAGCACCTCATGAAAGTGAATGCTCCATCTAATCTAGAGTCCAAGACTCGAGAAACAGCTTTTATATCGCTTCCAGAGCGACAAAGAAAGAGAAACGAATGATAAAAAGAATCTACCTCTATGCAAAACCCAGAGTCGACGACACCGCTAATTCCCCAAAAAATTCAAACTAGACAACAAGGGTATTATGATGAACAAAACGAAAGACATAAAGAAAATATATGAAAGGAAAAGAAAAATCAATACCAAATACTCCTTGTCCGATGATGGGGAATTGTTTCGCGGCCTTCTCTCTCGATGTCTTTCATTGTGTCGTACAAGAAAAAGTCAATGAGGATTGCATTGACACCGGCCACGTTGGGCTCTTGTAAGCTTTGTCTTTTCGAGTGCTTTTGGGTTGTGCACTTCTTTTCTTCAATTTCGGTGACGCCGTTCGAATTGCCGAAGGCTTCGTTTTGTTGTTGTTGTTTTTGTTGCGCCTGCTGCTGTCTTTCATTCTTCACTTCTGGGTGCCTTCGTTCGATTTCGCGTCTGATTAGCTCCACACACCAGATGCTGGTGGCACGGAGTTCAATCTCCCAGTTTGATCCGCTGGGTATAGTCTTCAGGCTTCGGATGTGGTTGTCCAGCGGGGGTGAGTACATGAGACAGCCGAGGAAGTGAAGAATTTGGGGAATTCGGTAATCTATGTACTGTGAGTCGCAAGCCAGATGATAAAGAAAAGTAAAGATGGTAAGACTTACCTGCAAACATTGTGATTTTGTCAATATCATGAAATTCCCCATAGCTTTCGCCGTTGAAACAAGCCCACAGATCTGCGATGAGAATCTGTGCTCGTTTATACAACCGAACTCTTCGTCCCTGGAAGCTTGTCTCATCACGGAAGCAGGGAAAGTTCTCTGCTAATAGGTTGACAAGGGCCGCAGCAGAGTAGTTGGAGTTGTAGATGCAGTTCGCGAAGCTACCCTCGAAATCCTAGGAAGATATCGGTTAGAGTCCATTGATGTACAAGACAAGAGGCCATGGCTTCAGCATACCTTGCAAAGAACCCTTCCAGCCTCACGCAAGCACTCCATTCGGTCTTCAAGCAAGGGCATTTCCTCATCGGTTGCGGATCGAAACACATGTTTGAGTCGTTCATCCGTGCACGCCTCCTCGTTCACCCAGAATTCGGGGTCCGTGATTGGGATTCCTTCCTCCAAGGCCCTTTGCAAAGCAGCGACCAAGCTCCAGTACCCTGTCCACTTCTTGCCCCGATACTCAATTGCAAACCGTTTAGATTCATCCTCCTGATCCGACCAAAAGCTGAAATTCAACAGGTCCATGGTGAAGATGAAATCGACAGTGGCCTCGTCCTTGGTCTTGGGATGTAACTCATGCTCCGCCCATGTCTGTGCAGAGTATTCCTTCTTCTGCATCTGTTGCCATATTGTCTCTGCGGCTTCCTTGGTTTTGGCGGGGTTCAAAGCGACATCGATCGCATTGTCGAAAACGTATTGAGCATTCTCCAGGACCTTGGTCTCAGCTGCACGAGGATTCGCTGCTCCTCCTCCCAATCCTAAAGACTTGCGCAAAAGAGCGAGAAGTTCGGGGTCTGCTTCGTCGTCCGACATGGCGGGTCCTTTCATCTATGGTCAAGGGCGCTGCCTCCGGGACGATTGAGGGGTCTGGTTTTTCAATTATTCGGGCCTTTCTCTTCTTCTCGACCTTTTATAATTTTTCTTCCCTTTTCAAACGAAATGGAGAAAAGTTTGATTGGAAAAGGAGGAGTAGAGAACTTCTCGCGCACGGTGGTTCGTTCGTTTGTTCTCCACGAGAGCAACCGAAGTATTTTAACCCAAACACTTGGGCAGATCGGGGCAAACTCTGAATAATGAATTAATTGGGTTTGCTTGAGATTCAAGGGGGATTTCCCGAGCAAGAAATAGAAAGGGAAATGGAAGAAAACGAGGGGGGAAAAGCGAGTGCGACCGATTGAAGCGAACAGTTTCTTTATCTTTTTTTTGTTTTATTTTATTTTATCGATATGATTTTTTTTTTCGTCTTTGATTCATACGTTACATAAGCAAGTGAGAGGGTTTCAACGACGATTTATTTCGAAGAGAGCAAGAGGCATCGATGATTATAAGAGTTGGGCAATTAATTTACCCTGCAGCTGGATTGTATGCAAGACACCACGGAGGGATGTTTAGGATGGTGATAGGCATGAAGATCCAGACAAGCATTGCTCTGGTCGGTGTGTGGCATTAACTCCCTCCATCTGATAAGCATCCATTCGACTCTGCTCCATGATCGCATTCTACCCTGTATTCTGTAGATAAATGAAGGCTGACCGTGAATAGACAGGTCAGATTCATATCGTCAGATTCTGTGCAAGTCTGCCTTCAGAGGCGATGGCCTGCCGATGGGCATTAAGGGCGCTCTCCCGTGCCTCCTGAGATGTGGATCTTCACATGGATATTCTCCCCCTCTATCTGTACTTTCGACATGGCGATTGGGAGTTTATGACTCTTCCTCTATCGGCTAGAATCATGGCAATCCCGTAGTTGCTGATTGCCACCGTTTTCTGGCCGGAGACATGCTGATCTCTCCCTCTGCGGCAGCTTCGACATTATCTATGCAAGCAACTCCAGTCAGTAACCATTCTATAATAAGCATGCTTATCAGGGAATCAAGGAGCTTTGAATACTCTGTAGAGGAAAAGGTGATTGATGATGTCTTTGAACTCGCGGAAGACGGCAGGAAGTGAGGTCTCACGACATCTCCAACCACGGTGTGCCCGGGAAAATGCAGCTCCCTTCAGTCATGGGAATATCTCAGGATCAACACATCCATATTGCTTTTCTAGAAATGAACGAATTCCCGGTCTGTATGAGATGATGGGTTGTTGGTGTCGAAAATGAATTCCGAGTCGCCGAGAGAGCACTGTCGTCATAGTCAGTAGCTGTCTGGGCTCAAGGAGAGTTTTCTCGTTAGGAAGATTTATTTCTTTTTCCTATCACCTGCAGATAAATCAAACAGGCATTCACTGGCATGTCTTCTTAGACCCTGCATGAAATAAACCGACAGTGTTGATGCGAAATTGTCCTTCTGCTCGACTCGTTGCTGCATCCGGAATTCCTTCTTGTCCCTCTCCAGCTCCAGCTCCAACAACTTCAACTTGCCTTCACTTCTTCCTCGCCTTCTCCTCTCTCCACCTCCCCTCCTCCTCCCAATTCCCTTCCGGGTCTTATTCCACTCCTGGAGATGTATTTCTAGTGACCCCTGAGTGGTCTTATTGACAGAGATTCCCAATTTTGGCTATTCCCTTGCGCCGCAATCATGGCTCGCGACGACTCGCTCAAGCGCTCACTCGGTACGCTGTCCAGGACCATTAAAGAGGTAACATCCCCCGACATCACCCAATCCCTCTATTTGCACCTTTCTCGAGCTTCTTTCTATGATCGCGTTTCTGACACTCTTGCTTGGTTTCAATAGTCGCGAGTGCTTCTCGTGGGCGCTGGCGGCATCGGTTGCGAGCTACTCAAGAACCTCCTCCTTACCGGCTTTGGCGAAATCCACATAATCGACCTCGATACCATTGATCTAAGCAATTTGAATCGCCAGTTCCTCTTCCGCTTCGAGCATATCAAAAAATCGAAAGCTCTGGTGCGTCTACCCGCTCGCTCGGCCTTGTTTCCTACGAACGCCCCTCCCTAGCCTCGTTCGCATAGGCGCAATCTGACGATATCATTGTTCATAGGTCGCGAAGGAGGTTGCACATAAATTCCAGCCCAGCGCAAAACTCGAGGCATATCATGCAAACATCAAAGATACCCAGTTCAACGTGGACTGGTTTGGAACTTTCAATGTGGTGTTCAACGCCCTGGATAACCTCGATGCTCGTCGCCATGTGAACCGGATGTGCTTGGCTGCCAACGTGCCGTTGATTGAGAGTGGAACGACGGGGTTCAATGGTCAAGTCCAGGTGATCAAGAAGGTGAGATTCTATGGAGTAGGAATGTTGCCCTTCACTTACTGACGACGGACAGAGTCAAACCGAATGTTACGATTGCAATTCTAAAGAAGTCCCGAAATCCTTCCCCGTCTGTACCATTCGCAGTACCCCCAGCCAACCCATTCATTGTATTGTCTGGGCCAAAAGCTACCTCTTTCCGTGAGTACTCGAACAAATGCTCGTGGCGGGACATACTGGCTAATTCAAACAAGTGAGCTGTTTGGCACTAGCGAGGATGAGACAGAGGCTTTTGATCATACTGAGGATTCTGAAAATGGTGGGTATCTGAAAATTTTGCCGATAGTCTATCAACTGATGTGATAATAGCGGAAGAAATTGCCAACCTCCGTCGGGAAGCGCAAGCGCTCAAAAACATCCGTCAGTCGATGGGCTCCGAAGAGTTCCATCGGAAGGTCTTTGAGAAAGTATTCAAGGAGGACATCGATCGTTTACGGGGCATGGAAGACATGTGGAAGACTCGCCAGCCCCCAGAGTCCCTGGACTTTGATAAGGTATCTGGTGAATCATCCTCCATCGAGGCCTCAATCTCCGACAATGATCAAAAGGTGTGGTCGTTAGCAGAAGACTTTGTTGTTTTCAAGGACAGGTCCGTGGAGCCTTGTTCCGAGAATTTAAGCCGTTTAACTGACAACTCGCAGTTTGGATCGCCTAAGCAAAAGATTAAAGACCCTCCAGGAAACAACTAAAGAGGGCGATGCGCAACCTATTCTAGACTTTGACAAAGATGACGTTGATACCTTGGATTTTGTCGCAGCCAGTGCCAACCTACGATCGACGATTTTCGGAATTGAACCCAAATCAAAGTTCGATATCAAACGTGAGTCGATTCATATAATAGAAGGCCATTTACTGACTACCTTGACAGAGATGGCCGGTAACATTATCCCCGCAATTGCGACTACCAACGCCATGACTGCCGGTCTTTGCGTTCTGCAAGCCGTTAAGGTGCTGAAGAATGACTTTGAAAATGCTAAGATGGTACTGTATTTTCTTCATTTTTCTTGATTCCTATATACTAACTTACTGCGAAGGTTTTCCTGGAGCGCTCAGGTGTCCGAGCAATCAATTCCGACTCCCTCAAACCACCAAACCCCAACTGCCCCATCTGCTCTGTAGCTCAGGGAAGGATCACCATTGATCCGGAGCGTGCAACTGTGAATGATTTGGTCGAGAGCGTACTCCGCCTTCAGCTAGGCTATGGCGAAGAGTTCTCCCTCAACACTGACATTGGAACTATCTACGATCCCGATCTTGAAGACAACTTGCCCAAGAAGCTATCAGATCTGGGCGTGAAAGATGAAAGTTTTATTACGGTTGTGGATGAGGATGATGAGCCACGCGTGAACCTTGAACTTGTTGTCATGGTCCCTGAAAAGTGAGACAGAACCCTGGATATCATTTCCTATGACCAGTTACTAACTACTTTATATTTAAATAGATCGGAAGCCCCCACAGAGGGCAAGAAGCCTGTGTCACTTGAGAAGGTCATTGACATTCCACTAAAGCCTAAGACCCCGGCACCTGTCAGTGAACCTGTGAATATCACTCCCGCCACCGAAGCCGTCACAGGCAAACGGAAGGCCGAAGAAGCCGGTTTGAGTAACGGCCATGACCGAGCGAAACGCGTTGCGAACGGCTCTGCTACAGATGGAGACGGAGCAAATCCTATTGTCTTGGACGAGACGGATGGAGGAGCCATCTTGATTGATGATTGAACGGCAAATTTAGAATAAACGATATTTCCCACTTGGCCTTCTCGGTTTTGTGAGATATCTTGAGATTGCCATCTTTGTTTTTGTAAAATATGTTACGAACAAGAATTTCACTGGAAATTTCAATTGATCAGCTCAACCAGTAGCTGTCGCAGATTTTTATCAGCTTTCCCAACTTGATTTACATTTCCTCGTAAGAGAACCCAAACATTATCGGGTTTGCGTGGTATCCAAAGTCACAGTGATGGGTGAAGTGCTATTTGGATCTATAACTCAACTCACGTAGGCGACCCGGGCGAGTCGTCGATTGTAAGATATGGTCATATCAAACAGCACTCAACCCGCCATCCAAATTGAGGACGCAATTATTGGCATATTCGTTTTGTGCCAGGAAGACAGCCGCATCGGCGATTTCACGGGGATCACCAAACCGTCGGAGAGGGATAGTCTCTTTTAGCCTGGACGTTTCACCGTCACTGAAATCTGAAATAGATCGTAAGTCTCTCATTCCTTGACTCTAGCAGAAGCCAACATACCTGCAATCATCGGCGTCTCGATATATCCGGGCACAATGGCATTAGAACGAATGACCACATCTCGTAGCGAGTTTGCCGCCTCAACAGTCAGCGAACGAGTCAGGCCTAGTATTCCTGCCTTTGAGGCGGCGTATGGAACGGCGCCTGTTCCTCCCTTTACAGCAAGCAATGAGGATACGTTGATGATGCATTTTGAAGGAGGCTTCGTTTCTGTATTCTTGCGGTTCTTCATGCGACTGCGGATTGCGGCACGCACCAAAGCCCGCGAGGTAAGCATTGCACCTTCGAGGTTTGTGCGGAGTGTTTGGGATATGTCACCCGGTTCGGTCTTTGGGAGAATGCTGGAGAGGGAAATGCCTGCCGCGTTGACAAGGATATCGACTGATTGCTGTGCAATTGTAAGAAAAGTACTTGTGAACTAGGACTAGAACAGCTTACCATTTCCTTCTCCAACTCACGCACCCACGACCCAACATCTGATACATCTCCAACTAGTAAATCCACTTTATCTGATGAATTAACCAGTGTACCGTTCGGCTGTATCCGAGTCATATCCAATTCCCTCTCTCCCTTTTCCTGGTTATCTTCCTCCGGCGCCCTAGTCGCGACATCGCTGTCACTGCACGATGCAACAGCAGGGGAATCCTCTAATCGAAAAGCAGCATTCTGAAGACGCTTATACGATCTCCCGACAAGTATCACCCTATCTGCACCTTCTTGGAGAAATCTTTCGGCAATCGCGTATCCAATTCCCGATGTTCCGCCCGTGATCATGCATGTTCGTCCAGAGAGGCGGTCGGCTGCTTTAAATGCTGCAGGGGACTTCGGATCATTATTCAATGTAGAGGAGGATGCATTTCGAGAAGAACTAAAGATTATAGAGAATAATTGGCTTTGCGAATGGCATGTAGGCCGTTGCGCGCGGAGTGGTATAGCAGCAGCTGTAGCAATACCTTCGGGGATGCGGGGTCTGAGAACAAGAGATGGAGACATTGTATTAGGTATTAGTTCATCAAAACACTTGGTATATCCTAGCAACCCCGATAATACGATAACAAGACAAACAAAGAAACAATGGACAATGTCAAGATAGAAAGAAATGATGTCAGTTTGGAGCATTGGAACAGCTTGAGCACGGACCAGTAAGCGGAACCAACGCGAAAAGGAAAAAGAAACAATCCGGCCAGCATCGCTGCCTAGTATTCCACCTTTCTCTTTCTCTCTCCCATTCTCATTTACACCACGCTGTTTACGGATCACTGAAGAGAGCAGTGTGTGTCAGAATGTCTTCTTCAGCATCTACGCCGTCAGAATACGTGACACTAGTGTCTGGGGATGGATTCGAGTTTGTCATACCCCGCAGCACGGCCTGTGTCTCGGGGACAATACGCCGCATGTTGGAGCCATCGAGTCAGTATCTCTTTTCTTTTTTCTGGTTATATTAGTACTCTTGCTAATTTATTGGTTTTGTGGATACAGGCAACTTCTCAGAAGCTATCACCGGACGCTGTGTACTGGAGAACATAAGCGGGATCGTCCTCGAGAAAGTCTGCGAATATTTCTGCTACAACCAGAAGAACAAGGATCAGGCAGATGTGCCGGATATGGATATCCCGCCTGAGCTGTGCTTGGAACTGTTGATGGCGGCCGATTATCTCGATACATAATGACGAGTATGTCCTACTTTTCATTGGGTGTGTTCTGCATGCTGATTAGATCTAGGCGTTCTCGTGCATTCTGACGACTGATATGACTTTGACTTGCTACGGATGGTAATGGGAATCGGAGTTTACTTGAAAAATATGTACATTACTTGCAAACATGGAGGCGTTGGATTCTGGGTATGTATTTGAAACGAATCAAGATGGAGACACGCGGTGTTTCATCATGTCTAGGAGACTATTTCAGCTTCCCAAGTGCCTCAAATAGCACCTATCCCTTCCCCTTGTCACACTTGGTGGCATGGTCAAACCTGCTTGAAACAAGCCGAACAAGGCTTGGCCATCTGAGCATCTAGCATCCAACCTGATTGTCACAATGGTCGGACGCTCTAAAGATGATGGCAGATCAGTCAAAAGACATAGCTCCCTCTTATTCGGTTCTTATCCATCTATCCATGGATATCAGGGCCTTATTCCAGGGGAGACATGCTCCTACAGTCCGTTCTGTTTTGCTGTAATTATCTAGAAAATCGTAAAGAATCGTATCTCATAATCAGCGCTTAGGCTTCGGTCTATATCCTCCATTTTTAGGACCTCGCGGGGCTCCCTTGTCACCGTATATCTTTTCTTTTCCGAATGCTGCATCTGCGACCCGAAGGTAGCTCACCACGCCCTGATCGAAAACGGCCAAGATGACATTTCGGTATCCATGTCGTAGTCGCATATAGAGTTGTTTCTCCATCTTCGGGCCCTGTGGAGGGTCCAATGGCGTGCTCTCCAGCAGCGCACCGAGCTGAGACACGGTTGGGATAGTAGTCTGCCTGCGCGCGTCGACAACGGCAATACGGAAATCCGGAGTCGGGGGTGCAGTTTTGCGGAAAGGAGTAGACGGTTTGTAAACGCTGAAAGCAATTCGGAATGGCGGGGTGGTAGGTGTGCGTGGTGTTTGAGGGTTAACAGGATCATACCACGGGACTATAGCAAGTCTGCGGTATATATCGTCTAACAACAATTAGCAACCAAATCTCGAGTGTATAGGAACACCAAAACTCACTATAGCTGCGGTGTATACCGACACCAGCAAGAGGACCTGTCGCCGTAGAGCCCGTCGAACTGGAGTCAGAGAGCCATTCCAAAAACCGGCCAAAGATCCCAGCCAAGCCAGGACCTTGCGGCTTCTGTACTTGACTGCCCTCTGATTCGGTAGAATCACCCTCCATTCCATCTCCATGCTCATCCCAGCTCGCAGCTCGAAGCATCGTATACCCCAATCGCTTCAACCCAGTATATACCGAGTACCGCTCCAGCGTCAACCCATCGCGCCCGATAAAGCACGAATACGCAGCCTGCAAGCTCATGGGAATCCCAACTTCCTCATTCCCAACCTCACCCGCGGGCCCAGTCATCCAAACAGGCCACCGAATATCCAAACTTCCTCTTTCAATCAGATACAGCGCCTCCTCGGGAAGCAACCACACCCGATTCCAACGATCCGCCTGACCCATTGTTCGGAAGAACTGACCCTTGGGGTTCGACACGTAGACGCATGCATCTGCAGACACGCCCATCATTCCCGTTCCTGCGGGTTTCTTGCTGAATTCTGGTTCTGCGTCTGCGGTTGCGGTTGCGTCTGTATCGGGTTTCTTGGACTCCGCGGGTTCGGTGGTTTTGGCTGATGCTGGCGGCGTCGGTCCGTCTGGTGCGTATACACCTATGATAACATTCTTCGGGTTATGCAGTCGAGGGTAAGAGAGGGCATTGTGCATTGCCTGTCGTGAGGCAGAAAGGATATCAGCTTGGTGTAGAGTCGGATTCGGTTCGAAGTCTTTTTCGCCGCGTTTGGGGAGGCTGCTTTGGGAATTATCTGAGAGACTGCAGAGCTCGTTAACACACTATTATCCAAGTTGACAGTGCGTCGTCAAACCCACAAGTTCAAAAAGCGAAAATCCTGAGTCTCGTCGGACAAATCGGTCTCAATCTGCATCCCCGAGTCATTCGAGGATGGAAGATGGATGGCAGCTTCATCTGCGTCGGCCATTTTGACAGAATTCCTGGAAATCTGTATATAAAAAACCCTCCCTAAATAGTGAAAAGAAAGAAGACGGCACGAGCGACCGTCGTGTGTTGTCGTTGTGCAAAAAAGCAAAGATGGAGCTGCACCGCTGCTATCAATTGATTTGCGATAAAAAAGTTTCGGAAGGTTAAGGCGAGTCTTTTTGGTGGCCCAAGCTTATCACTATCAATTCAGGCAGATCGCGGGGAACTTCCTCCACAACAGTCGCTTTGGCATTCAGAGAATCAGCATAAATTAGTGAAATATCAATTCAGATAATTATCTCGAGTATTCTCTATGGATCCAGAAAGTGGCGTCGATTATAACGAAATCCTCCTCCAGGTACGTTGTCAATCCATCTACATAAACCCACCACCGCTAACACATCATAAACCCCTCCAGATCTCGACAAATCTAGAGAATGCGTTAAACACCTTTGGTCCCTCTTCTCGTCAATACGAGACCGTCTTGGAAATCCTCAAAGAATGTCTCCGGAATATCAACAATGACAATGGACGGAAATCCAATGCTTTGGATCCGGATACATTGAGTTTGGCAATGGGCTTTTTGGAGATTGGGAAATAGTTCTCTCGAGATCTACAGGAGCAAAAAAAAAAAAGTGGATTGTTTATAGATTTGATGGTTTGATATACAGATACCCAGTGTTGCATATTTATTTGCTTCATTCTATCCCAAGCAGGATTGAATTAGTTCTCGTGTTTTCTTTTCTTTTCCTCTCTTCTCTTCTCTTTCTAGCACCTGTTGATATATCCCAGGACAAGCTGTGCTCGCCAATCGAGTCAACTCAAATATAATAGATCTTACATGTCATAGAGGGCATACATAGCGGATTATATGGGAAAGCAAGCGATCCCTTGCACAGATGGAAAATCACCTCCCAGGACCCAAGCAAAGCCGACCCAAACACCCCATCCCCCACCAACAAAGAAAGAAATTGCTCCCTTAAATATCACGCTAAAAAGAAACTCCATGGCCCATGCAATCGTAAGACGTGATAGCAGCTCTGCTCTATGGCGAGCTGGAGCACCATATGATTTTGAGGCGCAAAGTGATTTCGCAGCTCGCTCGTATTCTTGCAGGCTGATATATCAGGCCCGCGTGCGGCTAGCTGTCGATATAATAGAGGTTTAGACCCCACAGCTGCGACGGGGAAATGGTGAGCCGTCCATTATTCCAATGACAGGTGCAGGGTTGGTGCTCTGCACCGGATAAAAATCGAGTCGAGTCTCCATATAGGATTAATCGATCAAAGGCTTCTTCTGGTTGCCCACAATGGCAACCCCGAGATGACTCAGGGCATGAGGATCGGACGGTCGTACTATCGAAGGTAAAGGTAGCATAGGGTTGTCGGGATTCACATGGACGGCCTCGCGTGCGGCCTGCTCGATGGCTTCCATTTCCTCCTTACACCCGGCATGATCGAGAGGGCAGACCACAATCGGCTGTCGAATGACAATGTCTCTGGCGGAAGTCAAATGTGCCTTGAGCAAATTAGCAAGTCAGCGATAGCGTCTTGTACGGTCTCAGGAAACCAACCTTCACCGTCAAATAGTACTCTATTTTGTAGAGACTGGATGTAGTTGTGAACCCCGTCACAGCGTAAGTTGGAAAAGGGGCTTTCCCCCGAGGTAGAATGCCGTCACTGTCTCTCATGTCCTTTGCCGGAAATACTAGGCCCAGGTTTGTTAAGAAGCCTGTCGGAGGCAGTTTCACCCCAATGGTCTCGGTCCTCTTTGTCAATGTCTTCGACTTGCGTTGTGGTTCGTCCCCCTCATGGTTATATATGATCTCTTCGTCGATTCCAATGGTGATCTTGTTGATTGTAACCTTCCTGGCTTTACTTATCCAGTGGGCGTTCGGGGAGAGTTTAACGTAGACACTCACAGGGTCGAGCGGACCGTAAGACCACCGCGGCAACGATATCCCCAGTGTCACTAGGTGATCTGATACTCGCTCGGCAGACTCTGGGCGATTGTACATGCCGAATGTAGAAAGCGTGTCGTATCGTGCTAGAGGCACGGGAAATGAATATTTTCTCTGGTCTGACTGCCCTTGTTGAACCATAACCACCATCTCATAATACGTCTCCGCGGTGCGACTAGGCAACTGCAAGCTGGCCGCTGGGACTCGCCGGGAGGCGTCCGGACCACCACGCCCAAAAGGAATAAATAGCACAAAGGGCAGATCCATTGATATCACCTCCTCATATTCACGGCCGGCCGGGCAGCGGAACAGGAGCATCTCCTTGCCCACAATATCGGTAATCTCTTTACGGGGCGGGGCGAGACGTTTCTTGGTGAGCGAATCCGCCGAGGGATGTATTGTTTCGCGACGATGGAGGGATATGGTAACGAGGGATACGTTGACAGGAGCTGTGATGCCGACGCCGGGCCTGATCTCGACTTTACCTTCAATACGAGGCTGTGTGTTGTGTCAACAATGCCATTTCGCTTAGAACACGCAACCCACAATGAGCATTCAACTTACCATCGTCGCAGAGATACCTGGGTACCCGATCAGAAAATTGCCATTCGGCGGGCCAGACACTCGCACGAAGGCGGCCATATTGAGAGCGCTGCTCCCGCACCACCATGGGCACGCAGCTGTAGAAACGAATGCGCTCTAGGGGCTAGACGGTAAACAGACGAAGTCGACAATTTCGAGGCCGTAAAAAAGATCATAGAGATAGATCCAGCCCAGAAAGCAGAACTACCTGGTCGCACAACACCTGGGGAAAGGTATCTGCGATGACGCAGTTGCGGTAAAGCTGGAGTGATTGGGGGCTAACTAGCGATGGGGGGTTTCAAATGCAGACAAAAAGGGCCAGGGATCTCCGCCTCAAGAATGCAAAAGGCGGAGACAGATTATTGATATCAGGGGAAGACCAGTGTGGGGGTAATCGAATTCACAGGAAGCAAAGAATAGCCGAATGGGTTGCGGAGGGCAGAGAGAACAGCTGGTGTGGCAGTGATAGTTTGTTTATTGGCGCCGAAGTGGTGGGGGAGAAGGAGAGAGAAAACGGAGCATCGTTGTCAGCGGCTAGAGAGGCCCTGATCATCGTCCAGCCTTTCGATTATTGACGAGGCGATTGCAGTAATTTCTGACGAGGGGCCAACGGAAATAAAAGCCAGAGGTTTGTGGAATTCCTTGATGGAAACAGGGCACGAAATTGATGAATTGATTCCATCTCTGCTAGTATCGTCTCTACTGTACATCAGACCAACCGCAGCTTCAACGACTCCACCACCAACAGCAGATGCATCTATCCCAACTCCTTATCAACCGACATTTTGCAGGTGGAACGTGCCATCTGCGACGCCAATGATATCTTGGTTGCTTGTCTTTTCATCTCTGGATCGGCAGAAGATCCAGCGGAATCAGTATCCCCTTGCTCCGTACCTTGACAACTCCCACCATGAGGGTACAGCATTCCTCCCATCTTGCTCACCTCAGAAGCCTATACAAAACACACTTTCTACACTGGACTGCCTTGACTTGATGAGACTCTTTTGTTTCATGATGGTTAACGATCCAGCTCAAACACCGACTGACGTCATAACCAACCAACCCCCCGACTTTTGAAGTTGGATCAGGGGCGAGAATGCAAAGCCAATTTCAATTTATTCCCCGAATGGTATGCAGTGATATGATATTATCTGGAAGCGAGTATGAAGAATCAGCATTATTAATAATGGTTGATGGTCGGAAATTACACATGGCGAGGCTGACTCGACCTTGTAGGCTGAATCCTGCTAGATATACGAGGTTCATCCATGCTGACCGCAGATCAATGATTGTTAATTTAAAAATCCAAGGCAGACACTGACATATTATTATATCCTGAGGTTTGACAGTTCTATATCAGCTCAAATTCTGTACCAGCCAGATTTTATCAACCCAAGTCTTCAAATCATCCTCGGTCAAAAGGATGTCTCCATTCGCTGGTCGAAGGAGAAGATTCTCCAACGGTAGGATGAGAGGCGCATTTGCAACGTCGACTGTCGCATCTGCTCGCTTCGAAACTACCACATGTTGTACGAGATGAGGAATCTTTCTCGCTGGCTCCGCTCTCATACAGTCGTCCAGTTCCCACCTTTGAATGGATATCTTTCTCTTTTCTCGGTGCACTGAAACTGTCAGGGCAGTTTTGACATCCCCATACGACGCAGTTAACCACCACCAGGCATCGGCTTGAAGTTTTGGTCTTGACTCTGAATAGCCCGACTCGACTATCGCTGGTGGCCAGTTATGTGGACCTTCAGGGGGGCTATTCTCTGGGTAGAATTCCTGGTCGGCTCTCTTCTTTCGAGAAGGCGTTTCCAGCAAGGTCGATCTCGTCCGAACCATATGGCCATTCCTATCATTTATTTTGCTCAACTTTCTAACGAGAATGCTAAAGATGCCCATGTAAGCTTGTTGAAGATCTTTGGTCGTCATTTTGACCAGGAGCACTTGAGAAGCTGGGCTATACGACTCGACCGCATGTGTGATATTGTCCTCATGGGAATGTATGGAGATGAAGTCTCGTGAAAAGGTTGATTCGTTTACATTGGTAAACACGATGAACTGGCTTTTCTTCCCTGCTTCGTCGCTGTTGAGGAGACTCTGTTCTGTGCTAATGATGCGGAGGAAATTTGCCCTTCCCTTGTATGGGTGCTTATTTGTCTGAGAGGGAAGGCCATCGAGGATATCGTTTCTAGTTGGATCTGGATTCACAGGCATTTTGATGGTTTATGCCGATGATAGGAAGCCCAGATTAATATGCAAGTCTAGTTGACTTGATGCTCTGGTATGACTTCATGGTGATGGCAGGTAGACATCAAAAGGCAAAATATATAATGAATACTGTTTTCATACAATGTGTCGATGATTCGATTAGCCAGTAGTATACCAATAGATCTAAAACACCTAGCTGTTAGTCTGAAAGATCTTAAGATAGATGAGTGATCGTCAGGATATATATTCCCCAGATCTACCCCGCGCATCCACCCCAGACATAGTTGTATACTGTAACAAACTGTTATCCAGCATATAAAATCTTCAGTCTTTAAGTAGAAATACTCCGGATAACCTCGAACCCAAGCAAAAAGCTGTTTGCGTATAACGAAAGCGGATGGTTGCCCGGCGCAACAAACAAACTATGACATCGTCTACTCCACACTCTTGCAAGATCCAACCTTCTTCAACCACTTCATCATCCAGGCATCCTCATCAACATTATCCGCTACACTGAACTGGTCTGGAAAGATCACATAAAACCCAATATATACAATAATATAATACGATCAAGATGCCTCCTCGCCGCGGCAACACCGCCGCCCCCCGCTCCAACCAACAATCCACCCTCTCATTCGGCTCCAAGTCGAGAGTCACCAAGTCATCCACAACAACCCCGTCCCAAAAAGCAAAAGACCTCGAACCTGTCGCCAACGTCGTCGTTCCTGAACAGCCCCCTTCGGAAGTTACACAACCCCAGCAGGCGCCGGTGAGCCCAGCGGAACCGACGAAGCTACACGTTGCGGAACTTGCAGTACGGCAGCAGGCCAAGGCGGAGATCCAAGAGCCATGGTCTGAAGAGGATAAGAAGGCAGTTGGGATTACGGAGAATGAGCTGCAGCGGTATTGGAGGAGTGAGGAACAAAGGCGAAAGGCACCGAGAGGTTGGTTTAGATACGGAATACGTGTGGTTGGAATGGATTCTAATGAGGGCTATGCAGTTCACCAGGAGGATATCTCCTTGCATGAGAAGATTCTACGACATTTCGATCTATCCAGTCAATATGGGGTATGTCTATCTATTCTGTTCTCTTCTGTGGAATATTGCTGACCATCGCCAGCCGTGTATCGGAATCGCTCGTTTAAAGCGTTGGAGACGAGCAAACATGATGAACCTCAACCCGCCTATTGAAGTGCTTGCAGTATTGTTGAAGCAGAAGGAACAAGTGAAGCAACGGGCATATATTGATGAATTGATGTCGTGAAGATCTGAGGCAATAATGAATGGCGTTTGGATATGTTGAGCAAGGCGTTGGAAGTGCTATGCAAAGCTGTTTTTATTCCTATCGTCTTGTCTTCATGTCAGAATTGGGATTATCTGACATTGCTTCTGGGTTTATAAAGTGGAAGTCATCCTCGAGTTGGATCGAGTTCGATGAATGTTCTCTCAAGAACTGAGACAGAGGAATCCTACATTAGTGATACCTGTCAAATGAACGGAGAGGACTGGATGAATTTACGCATTATTTATGAAGTTTTATATGAATCTTAATAGAGGTTACATCTTCTCTCCGCATCCAAATAACCATCTTATGCCAAAGACCCTCCAGTGTTACAGCCAACGCAACCAGTGACCTGCATCATGCAAGGGTTGATGTGATGACGATTGCATGATTTCCATTCAGACCAATTGGTTTCGGCTCTTTATTGCCACTGACTGTTCTTGATTTTATCATGTGATGCGATGCTCAGCAATATGAAGCTTTTCGGATTACCCCGCTATGTCTCACTTGGAATGTCTTCGAATCCAGCCACCAAGACAAGATGGCAACTGTACCTATTAACAAGGCGATCCGTACAGAAGAGAGCAAGGTGTTACGGCCAATTGACGACTCTATACTGAAGTGACGGAGTATTCTCTCGATTGGCGATAGTCGATGCTACCCCGGGATATTTGCTTTTTTGCCCCGGATCGACAAGAATGTCACTCATCCCCAGGTCGGCTCTTTTTCCCTTGATTTCTTGATTTCTTTGTTTTACATGGGTGGTTCAGTCTGATTTATGTTGGTATCATGCTACACTGTATACTGCAGATGGATGCTACTTGAAGCCTAACTAACCACCAATAGAAGCGGTATGCATGCATCCTCCATGTCATCGAAATTGCCACTGCCTTGGTCCTCATCATCTGGAGACTCGAGTCGGTTCTCTGTATCGTCCAGCGCCTAGGTTCCAATGGCGTCCACGCAGCTAGGCTAGATGCTGCCGATCAATCACCTGGCCGGACTGATGCTTTGCTCCCTGTCTATACAGCTTGGCTGCTAGGCAGTGTAATTAAAAACCTGCCATCAACCGCGGCCTGCCGAACGAGCCATTCGCTATTGGACTCAGGGAGACATGTGATGCGATGCAATTTTAATTTTCGTGTTTGTGAAACCGTCTTTTCATCGTGCAGGGCAGTACCTTATAAAAGAGGGTGGCCCTTTGCTCCGTTGGCTGAAATTCATTCAGATCGAGAACTATTTCTACTGTTGTTTCAGACACTAAGCATCACCATCTTGAGTATTGCTATCGTTAACACGATCAGAATCAGCCACAATGCAGCTCTCTCGGGCTCTCTTCGTTCTTACTGCTGCTGGCCTTGCCAGCGCCCAGATCCCAGATGTCCCTAACTGCTCCGTACGGCCTCTTCTCGTTACCATAGCAAAAACAATCAGGCTGACTCGATCATAGCTGAACTGCTTCATCAGCGGACTCACTGGAGATGGATGCTCCCAATTGACCGACTTTGCCTGTCACTGCCAGAAGCCCTCTCTCGTCGACACAATCACTCCCTGCGTGCAAAAGGCATGCGATGTTGAGGATCAGTCGTGTAAGTTGCTATCCTTACTCCTTAAACATCAAACGATTATTTAACACCAAACAGCCGTCTCGAACATCGTTGTCTCCGAGTGCTCCGCAGCCGGCCACCCTATCTCAGTTCCCCCAATTGGTGCCGCGACCACCTCCGCTGAGAGCTCTGCCACCACTACTGAATCCTCCAGCGGCGCCGGCTCAGCGACTCACACCTCCGTAACTGTCACTCCCACTCCCACTGGAACTCAGACTTCAAGCCACATTGGTTCTTCATCTCCTGTCACATCTCCGCCCTCTTCGTCTGGATCTGCCACGCCTACGGGCTCATCCTCGGCGAATCACTCTGGGTCTGTATCTGGGTCTGCGTCTGCATCCAGCTCAGAGTCAGCATCCACCAGCCCCCCTATCTTTACGGGTGCTGCTTCTAACGTCAAGGGAAGCCTGGCCGGTATTGCTGCTGCTGCTGCTGCCGCCGCCGCCGCGGCTATGCTGTAAATACCATTATGGTATTGGCTTCTCTAACGCAGGTGGAAAATGAGAGATGGAACATGTATAGTGATATGAAACTTAATATGTTGCCTTTTGGGTGTGAAGTGAAGTCTTGTATTCTTGTATGTTAGTTGCATGATAATGTGGAACTTGAGCTATGGTCTTGTAATAGTGGACAGATACTGTAGTACAATATACAAAGTAAGTCTGTTAACGGTTGATGTAAACTTGGTGTACTGAATTTGAAACTGCCAGAGTATTGTACAACAGACACCAAGTAAAAGAAATACATCATGATCACATGGATCGTATTCTCGTAAGTACATGATTTCGTTCACCTTAACCCGTAAGATGATCGCCTAACCGAATCCTGCTGTGTATAGTATGTCCACGAATGAAAATACATACAGGCATTGTCTTCCCAACTAACCAGATAGATATCGTCATATGAATGAATTGAGTTTGCAATAGAAGTTCCTTCGAAGCCAACCATATAATATTAGCATCATGTCATTCATTATCCACCATGTATCGTTTGATAAATGTCAAAGATCGAGATCGACAACAGATTCGGTATGTGCGTTGGAAGAAAAGAAGTATGTTCAGGGATAGTACTCTTCGTAGCCACTATCGGTAGCTTCGTCATCGCCAAAGTTTCCCTCGTCCTCACCGGTGATATAGGCAGACTCGTCCGCGTCGTAATCATGATTCTCATAATCAGGGAAAAGGGCACTCAGTGCAGTTTCGTTAGGATCGTCAATTTCCGACGGCCCGTTGTTATAAGCCTCGATCGCAGCCTCTATCTCATCCTCGCTGTCTTCGACATATTCGCCGGGAACATGGTAAGTGGCGACGATGTTGGGAACAACAGCCTCATCCGAGACAGGTCTCACATAGCTGATCTCGAACTCTTCAGTCAAAGCATCGTAGGCCGCCTTCTGAGCAGCAAGAGCGGCCGCTTTCTGAAAAAAGGTGTGACGAGCGTGAAGTAACATCATCGCCAGTTTTGGGCCAAAGAAGATGAACAGAAACAAGCCAATGATGTATTCGCCTGTGGTCTCATTGGAGTGACGGCCGCCGTACATAGCCCTGTAGATACGGCGGGCACGCTGGACGTCAGGGTCGTATGCACGGCGAGGCTGGACCGGGACCGCACGGTAGTGAACATGCGGCTGCGCGATGTCCTCGATGTGGTAATAGTGAGGCTCATCATCGTCGGAGTGGATCGCTTCGTCGTTGTTCTCGGCATAGTAGTTCACATGAACGTTAGGGTTGGTGTTGGAGTTGACGTTGACGCTGTCCTCATCGTCTTGGTCATCAGCATCACTTCCCTTTCCAACATCATTGTCAGACTGGATGTATAAGGGACGACGATAGTGAACACTCATGCCACCTTCGTTCTCATCTTCCTCATTGTCATCGGATTCAACCTCAGGCTCTGGTTCAGGTTCAGTCTCATAGCCAGAAGACTCGCCATGTTCAGAGGAGAAAGAAGATGGGAGAGGGCTACTGTCCTCCTCCTCAGCAGGAGTAGCAACCGGGGCAGCAAGAGGGGGAGTAAGAGGGAGCCACTTATGGGCAGGGGCTTGGTCGATCGATCCCATTGTTTTTGTGTGAGTGTCTTCACTTTTTTGCTTGGTGTTTGTTTTTTTTTTGAAGATTTAAAGAACAAAGGGAAGATAATAAGAGTTATCTAGCCCTATCTGATGATATTAGATATCAGAGCAACAAAGAGAGAAGAAGGATGAGTCGATGAAGGTGAGAAGGTAAAGACGCGATCGACTGGAGAGAGAAAGAGAAAGAGGGAGAGAAAAGGAAGAGGAGGGAAAGCAGAGAGAGAGGGGGAGGGGGGAGAAACAGCCAGAGCCTCCAGCAGTGAATGAAGGCATCCCAAAAGACCCTTCTCGCCCACCGGACGGAGTCCTCCTTTGAAAGCCCCTCTTAAGCGAGAGACTGGGCTATGTCATAGGGAATTTGTTTGATATTTCAGTATCGATGAAGAGCTTGGATAGCTTCATTTTTGCTTCGACGGGGATATCCACAATCAGGACGATCAAACTGATAATTCGTAGGATCTAGACAGTCAGCCTGGATCTAGCCATGGAGATATCCGATAAAAGTATCCAACGAAAACCAGTATAGACGGTATTGATATGCAAGACCTCAATTAAGTCTGATAAGACCAATGTATAGACAATCTCTGTAATAACAAACCAGGTCGCTCCAGCCATTGTGCGCCTCATCCAATATCAATAAAGACGCAATGCAGTGCACCAATATCTACAACCAACGCCAGACAGGAAGAATACAGTTTAGAAAGACAGTCTCGAGGAAATCACGGCACCCATAACCGGACAAACCCTCCAACCTCTTGTCGGCAAGTCACACAGCTTCCAAAGTTGTTCATCGCAAGACTGACTCGGCATTCTTCACATACGCAAAGACACCGACAGGGCCAGGTGATGATGGATCGCGGGTTCGTCTGGCAAATGACACACGGTGGACCGTCTGGACCCAGTCCTGAAGCCCCAGATTCCCAGGTCTTGCCATCCTCACCAGACCCCACTGACGTTTCGGATCGCCGCGAGAGTATGAGGTTTTCGAGCATTTCAAATTCCTCGTCCACAGTGGGCTTTCTCTTCTCATTGTCCATGTGGGTCGCTGCGCGTCGTGACAGCTGCGAGGATAGCAATACCCGAGCTTGGTCTCGCTCGACTTGCTGCTGGTACTGACGACGCGTGAGAATCCGGCCGTCACGCTCAGCCGCAAGGTGGGCAGCTAGGATACGCGCTTCCTGTCTCGTTTCGCGATCTCGAGGGTCAAGGAGCCGCGCGAAAGAGCTAATATCCATGAGTGATTCATTCACCGGTGTACCCTCGCGGGAAAATCCGGCTGGGAACGGATTGGCTGGTGTAGGCGTACGACGGCCGTCGGATTCATACTCCCACTCAGAGTCGTTGTTTGTTGACATTGACACCACGCTCGTCGTGTCGTCGAAATCTTCAAGATCAGAAGGCTTGTAGTCTGGGGTGTAGTCTTGGTTTCCCCAAGAGCCACCGGCCTTCCACCAGTCGTAAAGCTTTTCATCCAGCCGGCGTTCGTCTGACTGCTCCCACTCGGTTGTGTTGGAACGCTCCCGTTTTCTCATCTCTCTTTCTACGTCAAATTCATTGTCCTCTGGTAGCTCCAACTCCCCATCATCCGTGAGAATCCAAAAGTCCAAAGGCTCCGCTTGACCCTCATTCCTTGCCTGGGCCTTTCGACGGGCTCCCGCGATTTTCTTCAGCCACTGCGGCCGGGCACTTATTCCAAATCGGTCCAACACTTTGTTCAATCCATGAGCAGCCCATCTCAACAAAAGATAAAAGATGCCGCGGAAAAAGGTGAACCCATGATAACATCGGGCTGCGCCTCGGAATGCACCCACGCCACCGGGATCGGTTTGAGACCGCACCGATCGAGATCCAGGCTTGGGTTTCTCAATCTTCTTCTCCTTGCCATATCCAGTCTCCCACTCCACAGGTGCCTCTGGTATATCAAAGTTTCCATATTCCCCGCCTTCCATCGGTGTTGCTCGCATACTACCACCCGCCCTTCGATGGGAGCGTGTTCTTCGAGATGCTTCAATTTCAGTCAGTCTATCCTCTTCCAGCCACGTCATATTCCGCGCCACGACACCCTTCCCTTCGTTGAGAAAAACCGCTTCACTAGCAGCGGTCAAGGCAGTGTAACCGATCCTAAGAAGAGTCGTGTAGAAGTCTTCATGCCTGTTGAATCGGATATTGCTTATCTGGTTTGCTCCCTGCATGTTCTCATGAGCCAGCATAAATCTATCTCGCAAAGAAATCGACTGAGGGTCTTCCGTTGGCAATGAGAAAGCGGTGATAACCAGAGCAAGTCCATAGATCGCCACGCATGCCAGGATACCAACCAAAATCAAAAGGTGAGGCACAAAGCCTACAATGCACACTGTAGGAAACTTAAGCACGCCAACCTCGTTTCCAAATGGCGACCCACTGGTCATTCCCCAAACAATTGCTGCCATGAAGCAGAACCCCCAAATAGCGGTGTTCATAAGGCGGTAGCGACTTTGTTTCCCAATAACATCCAAAGCGTTTGATGTCAAACTGTTGCAGCAAGAGATCAAGGCAATCAAAAGTAGCTCTGGCGTCACATTCATTCGCTCAAGAACTTGACTTCTGGTGAGCAATTCGATAGGCGATTGGCTTCCTTCAGCGGAGAGCATTGCGTCATCTCCTCTAGAGCTTTGCTTAGGGAGACCGAAGATGCCGAGTCCGATTGACTGGCTGATCATGGATTCGGCCTCAGCAAACGCAAGAGAATGTTCGAAGATGGACATTCCTGCTTCAGTGACGACTGCTCTACCTTGCAGCGAGCATGACAAAGTCTCCACAAAGTGGCTTAAACAGAGACGTAGAAATACGGGCCATAGAAGAGTAAATGAGCCGTACGGGATGCCGGAGGCATTGCCAGGCAGTGCCATGCTGACCGCACTACAGGACTGTTCATCCGTCTCCCACGGCAAAAGTTTAGAACCCAAAGAGTATAGAAATCCACCACCACCGGCATGATCGAAAATCAACCGCTTGTCAGGACTACCATAGCGAATCGACGAGTAGTCAGGCGATGTCTGGCACCGAACGGCCCGAAGCAGGACGAGAATCTGGGATAGAAAGAGAAGAATAGGGACGATTCGTAAAGCCAGCCGGCGATTCCAGCTCAAGTTCAGGGGCCTTCTAGTGGACGCGTAGATGGTTATCCTGTTCAATATAAGAGCCTGAGAACGTATATTAGTTGATTTGTCCGAATGACCTCCGCGGACCGCTTACCACGGTAAAACAAGCCAACGACCACCGACTGGTCAAATATGAAAAGAAACCACTGAATCTCCTTATAGCCTGGAAGATATCCGCGATATGATGTCCTGAACCCTGAGCTGCAGCCCCCGCAGCATCTGCAGCGCCCTCTCCGGCAACCTCGGCCGCTGCGTGCGTTGCTGCAGCCATCGCATCACCTTCAAGCCCTCCCCCGGAAGCACTACCCCATAAGCGTGAAGCCATATTATTAAAACCTACCATCCTAGCCGCTTGTCTAGGAAGGGTAGAAAATGCGAAGCGATCCGCGCCGTAGAGAACTCGAAAGGGGAGGGTGAGCAGATCGCGTGGTGATGAGGATAGGAGGGAATGGGCGGCGACAGCTGACGTATTATGGACGCTTTGCGTTATAGGTGATGCGGCGGCTGCTGTCGGAGCACTAGATATGAAATCCGTGCCTTGGGCGACGGACATGGTGAGTGTTCAAAAGTCGAGATGTCCCGATAAGCGTAAACCGTAAGCACATGCGAAGTCCAACCCCCGCTGGAGATCCGCGGCGCATGCGTTCCCCGCAAAAAGGAGATGCGGAAGGTGAGGGAGCAACGACAGGGATCAAGTAACAAAGGTAAATGAGGGCAAAGCTCCTGGGAGCATGGTCCCGAGTATATAGCTGGACGACGATCAAGGATGCCAAACAAAAGTAAGTAGCAACGATCGATAAGGCGCTGCTGCAAGTTGCAATGTTGCAACGGCCGACCCGTCGGCTGTTGCGATGCCAAGCCCGCTGAGTCAGCACTTTGTATAGCTTCAAAGGCGATATCCAACGATGAACGATGAAGTATTCACAAGTTTTTGTTTTTGAGTGAATTTGCAAGGCTGAGTTTGGATTTTATCAGTTCTACTCAGAATGCTTTCTTTTCTCTACAATCATCTATCCTCCTCTCTCAAGCAATCTACATTCCTCCACTTCCTACCACCTTGAGCTTCAGGATACTTCAAAACCAAACTTGAAAAGCATCATGGCTCGTATTCGCAAGCCTACCTCTCGCTCTACTGGCGTCAAAGCTCACTGCTTCGTGACCCCGAATCCAGCACGCAGATCAACCACACTCAGACATATCCACAGAAAACCCGTCAAGAAATACAAACCAGTTGGTAAGCAACTGACTCTTGAGACTTCAGATATATCTAACAGTCATTCAGAACAGGATATCCCAATCAAAATGACCAAAAACGACGAAGGCTTTACTCAATACGAAATTGAAAGACTTTCCTTCCTTCGCTACGCCAGCGACATGGCCAAGGATATGAAGATTGACTTGGACGAAAGAGCCCTGGAGACTTTGCATGCTGCTGCAGAGAGCTTCCTCGAGAAGAGACACGCAGGTAATGCCTATCCAGGCCTGGACTAATGGGTGTAATTCATGCTAACAAACTATTCATAGTGGCGCACATCCCCCCAGGACACCCCGATCGTCTTAAGATTCTACAGCCAGATATCGAGATTGTTCGTATGGTTCGGGCTCTTCTTGGATTTGAAAATCTCGAACCGGAGGACAAGTTTCACTGAGATACGGTTATCGCTGAGGGGAATGACAGGTAGCCTGCAGAACACACTGCATGGTCCACTTGAACTGCAGTACAAAACATATGATGTATGGAGAGCGGATATGTACTCCGTAACGATTGCATGAATTCAAGGAATGAACATCAGTTACTCGAAGAATGAAGTCGTCCTTCCATAGTAGAAGTATAGGTAGAAGAAATCACGTGGCCGCTAAACCCATTCCGCTCCTGTTTCCGTTCATCCGACGGAATTTCTTCCGCTCACTGACATCCATCTTGATGATATGGAGTTTTGTGCTCAGCATATGGATTTATTATTTTTTTATTATTATCTCTGATGGTCCTTGTGGTTTATATATACTACCAGAATGCTTTATCTACGTTGATTAACTACTAATTGGCAGCAGTGGAGGGGTAATCTACGGAATATATCCCACTATCACCTCATCGCATCTAACCCGACCTATCTGAACATCCACCTACATCCAACAACCCAGATCAACAGGAACAAAACACTTAATCTAGATTCCAACCCCAAATAAACTAATCTACAACCCTACCTCCGATCCAAACAGCAGATTTAAGTAGTGTAACACCTTAGATAACCTAGATAAGAGCAGCACCCACTCGGACCTGCGGAAGTTCGACATCTCTCTTGTCTCTTCCTTTCCTCCGGCTCCCCCGTTTCGCCCCTTGTTTCGCGCTTTTTGCCCACGCGACAGTGGCACCCGGCTCTATCCTTAGTCTGTGTAGTTTATCTCAAAGGTTATTATGGGTTCCTGCAGGGACAGAGCTTGTGTGGACCATGTGGGTTTTGGATCGTTTTTATTGTGGAGGTCGTTGTGTTAAGCTTATTTTGACGCTTTGAAAGTCTGTATAACGTCATGTGTTGGATGTGTATTTTATCTTGCTTTGCTTTGCTTTGCTTAACTTATTGTAGTTTGATTTATTTGTGTATGGAAGAGTGTACTATACTCTATGTCATTGTGAAATCATCTACCTACTGGATATATTTAATATCAACTACCATCATACCATACCAATACCTAATCATAGTAGCATCGAAAAATCCACCAGAATATTCAACAGCTCAAAATGATAGAAAATGGCACCAGAAAGAAGACCAGCAGCCAGCTGCTATTCGGTGTCCCACTCACCACAAGCGAATATGAATACCAAGGCAAGGAACACTTCTCCAACATCTTCAAGAAAGAATATCACAATCTGCTTGAGAAAGAGCAAAAGCCAGACTCGGAATCTACCAGCCAGTTCATCATATTCTCGAATATCAGCGAAGAAGCTTTCCGGAACGACTTCTTCAATTCTCCTGATAGGCTATTCAGCCACACACCGGAGACCTACATCGCCTCATTCAAGCTACTCTTGGTCAAAATGACCACTCAAGCGCATGAGTACGCCCATGGCCTCTTTGACAAATTGATTAACCGCAAGTTCAACGCGATGAACGATCTTGACTTGAGACTCGGCCCAGGGGGACAAACCGAGATAACGTCCGGCTCCAGGAGCAAGAAAGCTGATCACTCGTATTTCCCATTGGATCTTCCGCCAAACCGGGATGGAAAATGGCCAACTGTAGCAATTGAATCTGGATACTCAGAATCCAAGAGCAAGCTGGCTGGCGATGCTCGTTGGTGGCTGACGGAGTCTGGGGGCGATGTCAAAACCGTCCTAACGGTCTCCGTCCACCAGACAAAAAGAGAGATTGTCGTCAAAAGATGGGGGCTGATGAATCGCCCAACCAGGACAGACACGGACAAATTGGTCCCAGAGGTTGTACAGAAGGTTGTCATCTCGCAGCTGACAAACAACCACCCGGTGCGCGTAACTAACGCTCCTTTGACCATCCCTTTCAAGGATTTCTTTCTTCGGACCGCCAACCAAGGCGAGGAGGACATCGTATTTAGCGAAGAAAATCTGGAATACATCGCAGATACGGTGTGGAAGGTTCACAAGAAGGTGTAAATCCTGGGCTCGTCCGGGGTCGAGGGAAGGCTGTACTAATAGTCTACCTAGCTACCACGAGAAAATCATGGACTTGTTCAAATGTTTATTGAATTGAACCGCTATCACTGAGCTCAAAGCCGACCAAAAGTCTAAAAAAAAAAGCAACAATTTACTCCCGTACAAACGGATGGTGGGTCGAAATGGGATATCAAAACGCCATCCCCCATCCTCTCCTTTCGTCGGCAATCAAATGCACCGGGTCATCTTTGTACCATCTAGATGCATCAGATACCCATCATCTCATCTTTGAAAGAGGAAAAAACAAAGTTCATATCATGCCATGCGTTTAGAAACAAAGAAAAAAAAAGTAATAAATCCCAAATAAAGGAATTAAATTAGTTAGAATGATGAAATGAAGATTTTTTTTAAGCACCGAACTCCTTGATGTCGGTCTGCTTGCCGCAGAGGGCAAGGGGAACGATACCAGAGACGTGCATCTCAGGACCGTACACGTGCATGTTGAGACCCAGCTCCTCACCGACGGCCTTGATGTTCTTGAGACCCTCCTGGTAGTTGGGACCGGCACGACGGACCCAGATCTGGACCTTGTGCTCGTTCAGGACGGGGGCAACCTCACGGAGGGCACGGATGACACCCTTGAAGGTCGAGGCGACGTTGGTGAAGTTGGCAATACCACCACCGATGAAGAGAACCTTGCCCTCGGGGTGAGTGGGGGCACGCAGCATCAGGTCCAAGACGGTACGGGCGTAGTTGAAGGTCTGGGTCTCGGTGGGGGCACCGGAGTATTCACCGTAGTTGGCGAGCTCACTGACGAAGCCAGCAGAGGCGATGGCATCGGCGTAGACGACCGAGGCACCACCACCGGCAACCAGAGTCCACACACGACCGTTGCTGTTGAGGACGGTGAGCTTGAGCGAAGCACCAGTCTTAGCGTCCATGTCGGAGATAAACTTCTCCTCCTTGCTCATCTCACGACCGAAGGGAGCGGGGAACTCCATGGGGGGGCCAGCGTCAATGTTGACCTTGCCGTCAGCCTGGGGGACGGTAGCGAGACCAAGGTTGGCGGGGCTGCGGGCAATAGCCCACTTGGTACCACACTCGAACTCAGCAGTCTGGTCGATCTTGGCGGCCAAGTCGAGGAAGTGAACATCGGCCGACGTGGCATCGGCGTTGGGGATGACAACCAGAGGGTTAATCTCGAGATAGGTGAACTGGCAGTCCACGTAGACGGCGTAGAGACGGGAGATGAAGTCGACGAGGACGTTGTGGACACCCTTGGGGACCTTGCTCAACAGACCAGCGGCGATCTCCTCGTTGGAGGGGTAGTTCTTGAGGTTGACGGGGATGAGCAGCTTCTCAGCCTTAGCATCGACATCACCAACGTCGACACCACCCTCGTGGGTGAAGAGGATCCAGTCTCCCTAATCGATTGTCAGTTCTTGACCCCGCAGCTCATTGATGAGGGGCATTTCAGCTTACCTCACGCACGGAGTTGATGTTGATGTAGTATTCGGTCTCCTGGGGGTGGGGGACGAAAGGCTCGACGAGGAACTGACGGAGAACACCAGTGACAGTCTCAACCTGAACCTCCTTTGCGGCACGAGCCTCAATCCACTCCCGAGCCTCAGCCCAGGTCTTGTTGAGAGCCAACAGACCACTCTTTCCTCGTCTCTTGATCAATTGGTCTGGCTTGGCGACGAACTTTGAACCGGGAGTCAACAACCAGGGGTAGATGACCTCAGCCTGGTCGAGGACGTCCTTGACAGCAGCATCTTCGGGGAAGTAGAGAGAGGCGAGCCTGGAAGGAGGGTTGTGGGTGGTGGAAGCAGGGAGAGGGGTAGGCTTGATGACGGGAGCACGAGTGAGGTGGTAGTTGAGGATGGCCTTGCCATCAGCTTCGAGGATCGACTTCGCGGACATTGTGAATTATAGGATTGGAAGAAGGGAGAATATGTATAGGTAGGATGGAGAGAGAGGAAGAGAAGATATTAAGTATGGAGTATAAAAGTAGGACAAAGAAATAAGGTAAGTACTTTTAGAGAGTAAATAAGAAGGTAGGGGAGGAGATGGAAGAAGAAGAGATATGGAATTGAATTCGAGAAAAGAGAAGGAAGAAAGCGAAAAAAAGGGAATGGAGGGGAAATTGAGTGATGGGGGGGGTGGAGGGGGTGGAATTGTTGGATGTGAAGCCGGAGGAGGGGACAGAAAATACACAGTAGATCTGGGAATAATTCTGTGTCTTTCTTTTTTTGCCAGGCCGAGCTCGGATCCAACGGTGGAGCAGGAGTTGTTAAGGATTGTTGAGATTCGGTGGGGGATGCGGGCCGGACTAAACTCTGGACGACTGGCAAGTGTCAAACTCGCACATCCCAAGGAGTAATTGGCTTGTTGGGAAGTTGGGAGCAAAAGGGAGACACTGTTTGGGCTGAGCTGTTGTAATGCAAAAATGCCCGGCACACTGGTGGTTACACAAATCATCGTGCAGCCCTCGAGATGACCCTACCCCATTCCGGCTGATATCACCGTCATTATCCTTACACCGCTTATGCTCTATACAGATCGGGCAATCATGCAGACTCCCACTGCCAACGGAGTGCTCCTGCTCCTGCTCCTCCTAGACTAGCCCCGAGGCAGTTAGCTCCGCCGGTGGATCCGCCAATCCTTCCCTTCCCCCCCCACCATCGGCCCTGGGAGGTTTGTTGAGCATGAGTTTTTGTTAGCGTTATGACTGTTTCTACACTGTATACTGGAGCACAACTGGAGCTTCCATTCTTTTCTGGCCTTCCCCCCCCTCCTCACCAGCTGCCAAAATACTAATACTAATTCTCTCATCAAACATCTTCTACTTCCCAATTCCTCTTTTCCCGATATCGTTCCCCCCTCTTCCGTCCTTTTTTTTTTCTCTCTTCCACTTTCCTCTCTTCTTTATCCATACCCTCCTCTTCTTGGTTCGAGTCTCGTTCCATTCTTCCCCTCATCTTCTTCCATTTTACTCCATCTTCTTGTCCGCACTTAATCTGAGCGGCTTCATATATTCTCCTATATCCCTACTACCTAATAATTTTATTCCCTACTCTGTTGACAGGTATGCTCAACCCCTCGTGTGCCTGTTGATTTACACGCACCCCGCCATTTAGAACTGGTACTGACGTCTGATTCTCTAGAGTAATCCGCCATCATGTCTGCCGCTGCTCCTTTGAAGTCGGCCAACGACAACATCACTCGTTTCGAGCCTCCCAGCCGTGTCCTCTCTCCCCTCAACCACTCCCTTTTCCACAACAAGACAAGATGTTTCGTATAGTAAGTGCTGTCTGGTCGACGAGGCCCAATGGCTTCAAGGTCGAGAGCTTGTAGGGTTAACACATCATTCCAGTGGTATGCAGCCCAGAGCTGTCCAGGGTATGCTGGACTTCGACTTCATCTGCAAGCGTAGCACTCCCTCCGTTGCTGGTATCATCTACACCTTCGGCGGTCAGTTCGTCAGCAAGATGTACTGGGGTACTAGCGAGACCCTCCTCCCCGTCTACCAGGACGTCAACAAGGCCATGGCCAAGCACCCCGACGTTGACACCGTTGTCAACTTCGCCTCTTCCCGTTCCGTCTACAGCTCCACCATGGAGTTGATGAACTGCCCCCAGATTAAGTCGATTGCCATCATTGCTGAGGGTGTCCCCGAGCGAGTATGAATAAGCCTCCCTTGTTTGATCATTGCTTTGGCTAACGGTGAAATAGCGAGCTCGTGAGATCTTGGTTGCCGCCAAGGAGAAGGGTATCACCATCATTGGACCTGCCACCGTCGGTGGTATCAAGCCCGGTGCTTTCAAGATTGGTAACACTGGTGGTATGATGGACAACATTGTTGCCTCCAAGCTTTACCGCAAGGGTTCCGTCGGATATGTCTCCAAGTCCGGTGGTATGTCCAACGAGTTGAACAACATTGTTTCCCAGAACACCGACGGTGTCTACGAGGGTGTTGCCATTGGCGGTGACCGTTACCCCGGTACCACCTTCATTGACCACTTGCTCCGTTACCAGGCTGAGCCCGAGTGCAAGATCCTCTTGCTGCTCGGTGAGGTCGGTGGTGTTGAGGAGTACCGTGTCATTGAGGCTGTCAAGAACGGCACCATCACCAAGCCCATTGTCGCCTGGGCCATTGGTACTTGTGCCAGCATGTTCAAGACTGAGGTTCAGTTCGGTCACGCCGGTGCTTCGGCCAACTCCCAGCTGGAGACTGCCGTCTACAAGAACAAGGCCATGCGTGAGGCCGGTATCCACGTCCCCGACACCTTCGAGGACCTTCCCCAGACCCTCAAGGAGGTCTACGACGCTGAGCTGAAGAAGGGCACCATCAAGCCCTCTCCCGAGCCGGCTGTTCCCAAGATCCCCATCGACTACTCGTGGGCCCAGGAGCTGGGTCTCGTCCGTAAGCCCGCTGCCTTCATCTCTACCATCTCCGACGACCGTGGCCAGGAGCTGCTCTACGCCGGTATGCCCATCTCTGATGTCTTCAAGGAGGACATTGGTATCGGTGGTGTCATGTCTCTCTTGTGGTTCCGCCGCCGCCTTCCCCGCTACGCCAGCAAGTTCTTGGAGATGGTTCTCATGCTTACCGCTGACCACGGTCCTGCCGTGTCCGGTGCCATGAACACCATCATCACCACCCGTGCTGGTAAGGACTTGATCAGTGCTCTCGTCTCTGGTCTCCTGACCATCGGATCCCGCTTCGGTGGTGCCCTGGACGGTGCCGCTGAGGAGTTCACCAAGGCCTTCGACAAGGGTCTCAGCCCCCGTGACTTTGTCGACACCATGAGAAAGGAGAACAAGCTGAGTATGTCTCCCTCCTTCTGATATCTCCCATTGCACTTTGCTAACCTGGAACAGTCCCCGGTATTGGCCACAGAGTCAAGTCTCGCAACAACCCCGATCTCCGTGTCGAGCTCGTCAAGGAGTTCGTCAAGAAGAACTTCCCCAGCACCAAGCTGCTCGACTACGCTATTGCTGTTGAGACCGTGACCACCTCCAAGAAGGACAACCTGATCCTCAACGTCGACGGTTGCGTTGCTGTCTGCTTCGTTGACCTCATGCGCAACTGCGGTGCCTTCTCCGCCGAGGAGGTCGAGGACTACATGAAGAACGGTGTCCTCAACGGTCTCTTCGTCCTGGGACGTAGCATTGGTCTCATTGCTCACTACCTTGACCAGAAGAGACTGCGTACCGGTCTCTACCGTCACCCCTGGGATGACATCACCTACCTCCTCCCCGCCCTTCAGCAGGGTGGTGCTGAGGGCCGTGTCGAGGTTAACATTTAATTTCCATTTCCTTCTTCGTTTTTTCTTGAGTTTTCGCGGCAGCAACCCGGTTAGATATGCTGGATACATCTGCAAGCCCTGCGATTTGAATCACAAAATCCGTCATATGTTTCATGACGTTGGAGTTACGATGGCCTGTCTTTGCATTGGTTTTTTTTTTTTTCCCTAATTTCTCTTCTTTATACTGTTCTCTTCCAACTTACAATCTGTAGTGCGCATCATGTGGCATGACTAGGCTGATAGGGCTGATGAATTATACGCAAGGACTGAGAAAATGCAGTGCTTTAATCAATTGAATTAGATGAATAGATGTCTCAAATTTCTACTGCTTGTATTAATCTGTATATCTCTTTCATGGCTTTTGTACCCCAGAGAAAAGTATGATGGACCCAAATCTACCTCGTACTTGTAGGCGGAGTGGTTCGTGTTCCCCACTTCTGATTGGTCAAAGCTTGACCATCAAAATCTCCGTCATGAGCTCTGCATTCCGAATTCTATCAACCTCACCACCTAGTACAAGAGTCTACTCGGCCATTCAAGATATACACATCCTCTCAATAGCCGGTGAATCCTACGCTAGTCTGTTTTAGCTGTCACTACTCCAAACAAACGGCCTACCGAAACCAATCGCATCACCTCAAACCACCCTACCGAAGCCGAGTCCATAGAAACAACCTAGAGCAAAGAAACAAAAAATGGTCCGCTTAAAACACCGCTATCTCCTCCTCGACATCCTCTACCCAGACTGCTCCTCCTGGCCCTCTTCTACGACCAAAAACCCCGCCGCGGGATCATCCCAACTTCGCATTCACGCACCCACATCAGATGCCTTGACGCCGAGTTTACTCGCCAAGATGGTTCGAGAGCAAGTAGGGGAGATATTTGGGGATTGGGGATTAGGGAGACTAGGCGGTGCTGGTGCGGGGGGTGTTAGTGGTATGTTTCCCCCCTTTGAGATTGTCGTGGTTGGTTGGTGTTGATGATTGAAAAAGTGAAATATTTATCGCCTGCTACATCAACGGCTATAATACGGTGTCCGCGCGCATCGTTCAGACTCGTTTGGACTGCATTAACGTATATGTCGAGTGTGCCGGATATGAATGGTAAAAACGATGGTGGGAAACGGCCGGGGCAGCGCCCTTGTGTGTTTCGTGTTATTAGGGTCTCTGGGACGATTCGCAAGGCGGAGGAAGAGGCGATTCGGAGAGCTAGGAAGGAGATTGTGAGGGCTAAGGGTGCGCAGGAGGTGGGTGTTCTTGAGGGGTTGGTGGGGGGTTTTCAGGATGGAGATGATGATAAGGGTCCGACTATTGCCTCAGAAGGGGTTATGGATGAAGATTTGGAGATGGATAGTGATGATGATTGACTGGCTGATTGATTGATTGGTTGATTGATTGATTGATGATTTGTATGTGTATGTGCGTTGATAGATTCGTGATTAAGATACCCCTATAATACATTTAAATCCATTGCTTTGGTCATGATTTTCGTACTACTTTTATCCCGCTATCTGGAAGTGGACCATTGAAACTGCCAAGTTCATCATCGTCATTGAGACCTGTCGTGTTAGGCTGTCGAAGACTGGCTTCTTCTCGGGCTCTGGCCTCCTCTTCTAGGTCTCTCAGTTCTTTCTCGTCATACTCGTCTTTCGCGTCGAGCCATCGTTCCTGCACATCCCGGACATCCATACTACCCATTCCTTCTCGCACGGCTACCTGCCAGACGCTATCGTTGGCACCCTCAGCAGGCCCAAAGGCATATCCACCTGCCCGATCAATAGCGCGGAGCAGATTCATCATGCTCTTTTTATCTTCCACAGCGAGAGTTTCGAATCCTACGAGCCCGAATTCCTCGACCAAATCGATGATGGCGTTGTTGAGAGGGCCGAACTTGGAGTGTGCGAGCCGTGACGATTCTGATTCCAGGTGGGGGAGGAGATACGTCAAGTCTTGGACTTCTGTGTAGAAGTCCAGATTGAAGGGAAGCGGGGAATAGTTGGATAAATTATCGATCTTCGTGAGGACGTTTAGATGGGGGAGATCCATTTGGAGCATGGCGCGGAGGGAAAGGAGAAGGGCAGATATGTACATCGACGGTAGAGTGAGATTGTAGGAATCGACGAGATGGATTACGATTAACTGTATGAATGTTAGCAGCAGATCTATTATGTATAACCGGGGAGGAAGCCAGACTCTATACCCCAATTTCTGGAGCCTGAAGAATATATTCCGCAAGGACGAATGGTGGGTGAACAGCTCAACCTGGCCCGGGCAATCGAAAAGAATATAGTCCTCTACCATAAAAGTATCAGCATTGTTTTATTGGATCAGTCCCATTAGATAGGTATATCCTACCTCCAAGCTCCTTCAGCCCCTCCTCCAAGAAATCAAAGTTCTCCTCCACTTCCTCCAGCGCATACAACACACCCCCGTTTGGACCCAGACTATCTTCAGCCATTATATCTTCAAGCGTAACAAGATCGCGGACGTCCAGCGCACACGGATACGATGTTTGGTCGTTGGCGGGGTCCAGGTTCACCACGGAGCATTTCCGGCCGATGGCTCCCAGGAACTGATGCATGCCATTACAATACGTCGATTTTCCCGCACCGGGAGGACCGATCACTAATTGTGCAAAGGGCATGATGTGATGATTTTCCGTCCTGGAAAAGGACGTTTGGATAGCTAAAAAGAGCAAGAAAGTGATGTCAATCGGAGTGATGGTCGATCTTGTCGGCGATGGCGGGGAGGGAAATATTTCTGGCGGTGTGAAGCGGCAGAAAATGATCTGAAGCGCGAAGCTTCGATGACGACGGGACGATCAACAACAATCAAGTGGAAGAGGATTGCTCTCTGGTACTTTGACAAATAAAATCATGGCATCAAGTAAGTCATTGCGTTTTCAATCTATCGCCAGCTGCTAACAGACTATTAGATCAATTCACCGTTGCGTCTCCGCCGACGGATGCCATCTCCGCCCTCAAGTTCTCTCCCGAGCCCGAGTCGACGCGATTCGTTGTATCCTCGTGGGATAAGAATGTTTACCTATATGACCTGCGGGATGAGAATGGTAGTGTAGGCGAAGGAAAACTACTTCAAACATTCGAGCATCGTGCCCCGGTTCTCGATGTTTGTTTTGGTGAAAACGAGAATGAGATCTACACCGCTGGGTTGGATTGGGATGTTAGGAAGTAAGTTGGGCATTGCTTTCTACATAGCATATACTAATTGGTAAAGGATCGATATCATGTCTTCTACACAGACAGTCTTGAGCAGCCACGAGGCTGGCGTTCGGTCTGTCGTCTACAGCAAAGAGCACGGGCTTGTGATATCGGCATCCTGGGACTCCACTCTACATGTGCACCGTATCGATACGGCAACAACCGAAACCACACCTGCAATCGTTCCTCTCCCATCCAAACCCTTCTCAATCTCTCTCACAGCCACCAAGCTCGTTGTAGCAATGGCCTCGCGTGCGCTACACATTTACGACCTGAAGGCACTGTCTCTCCTCACAGCCCAATCGGGCGGAGAGGTTCCGAACAAGGTTGAAGTCGAGCCGTGGCAACGAAGAGAAAGCAGTCTCAAATTTATGACCCGCAGTGTGGCCTGTATGCCCGACGATGCCGGATACGCTTCTTCTAGTATCGAAGGACGAGTGGCAGTCGAATGGTTTGACCCCTCTGCCGAGTCGCAAGCACGGAAGTATGCGTTCAAGTGCCACCGACAGACAGCCGATGATGTTGACGTTGTTTACCCGGTGAATGCCCTTTCGTTCCACCCGGTGTTTGGAACTTTCGCGTCAGGAGGTGGTGACGGTGTTGTTGCACTGTGGGATGGCGTTGCTAAGAGGAGGATTCGGCAGTACCAGAAATACCCATCTAGCGTTGCAGCTGTTGGTTTCAGCGGGAATGGCAAGTACCTGGCCATTGCCATCAGCCCAGGATTTGAAGATGGAAAGGATGAGGTTGCCGAGGGTGTGGTCAAGATCTTTGTTCGTGAACTTGGAGAGACAGAGGCAAAAGGTAAAGGCGCAAAATAAGTGTTGGTTGACTTGATTTATTTTATTTTTTATCTGATGACCGGCGAATGGATAATGGCATTGATTTTATTGACTGATCTTGAAATGAAAATATTCACTTCGATTGATAACTTTGCAGGGTAGCAGGCTAAAGAAATATATCGAATTCATGTATCATCTAGTGGTATCATATATGCACTATTTGTTTCAGTTTTTCTTTTTGGTGCTTTGTAAATTATCAAGCAGCGACCTTCCTGACGGAAACTGAACCGTCTTCCATACCAAAGTAAGCAGCAATGGGCTTCTGGCCTCCAATGCCACCAAGGGCCTGAGCCTCAGGGCCTGTTGCGCCGGAGAAAATACCGACTTCCAAAACACCGGCAAGCTGCTTGATCTGCCGGGACAGGGCTTCAACTTCCCAGATACCGTCCTTTCCGCTGCCGTCCTTACCAGCGGCAATATCCTCCTTGGTAAGGAGTGGCTTGAATGGAGCATCGATGATGTAAAAGTCCTGGTCAGACTTTAAAGGACCTTCTTTGGCGGTTGCATTCGATCTAATGACGGGATTGATGCTGCCCAACTCCTTGAGCTTTGTCAACACGCGATTGGCAGCGATAGGAGCCACCTCAATGGGAATGTATTTCCATGCCGTAAGGAGACGGGACACGAGCTTTCTGTAGTCTATATTGGAGATGAATTAGTACCTTCCGTATTGCTTTGAATCACCGGGAATACTGATCCGAAAAATGACTCACCCGCAACGCAAATGAACTGCTTGGCTTGGAGAGCCACGATCTTCTCCTGGAACAGACAGGCACCACCACCCTTGATCAAGTTGAGTTGATCGTCCACCTCGTCTGCGCCATCAAAGGCGACATCCAGAACAGTTCCTTCGGGCAGCGTGTCGAAGTCGATAACTGTAAGCCCAGCCTGGACGATGAGTTGCTTGGACTGAAAGCCAGTAGGGATGTACTTCGTTGCCGAAGTGTCGATTCCGGAATCCCTAATAGCTTCGACGACATAGGCAATGGTAGAGCCACTGCCAATTCCGACGTACTTGGCGTCCTTCGGATAGTGGTTTGCGACAGCGGTCTTACCGGCTGCGCGCTTTGCATCTTCGACAGAGGCCATTGTGGATTGAAGGCGGGGTGAGATCGGAATAAATGGCGAAACGGAAGGACACGGGTGAGGAAGAAGGCGAAGGTGAGAAAGAGGAGAAGCAGAGGAAGACCAAAGCCTACAGGACGAACTATCACAGTATTAATACCCCCGGTGAGACCGATGTCGTTTCGGTGTTGAGCGGCTGCAGTTACCAAGTAGAGGAAAAAGACGGGTGGGGAGTTTAATCGATGGGACGGAGGAGGGGTGGGCGATTATTTCACTCACACGGCACGATGACAGCAACGGGCGACGGCTAATGACATGGCATTATACTAAGCGCAGTCTGTATATTAGGATCTATAGACTCTCCTTCAGGGATAACTTCAATTGCCTATCCAATTGTAGATGTTGTTTTGTTGTTTCTTTCCAGGCGGGGTTCTGTCGTCATAGTCATTCTGATGCCTGATATCTCAGGCATCCAGACATACGGGCCGAGCTGTTTCTCCGGTCAAGTGATCGTGATGCTTATGACTGCCTGTACTATCAATCTTCAACATCCAACTTCCTCTTCAGTCGAATACTTTGATAGATCCCATCGAACGTGGGGCTGTGTGTTCTTCATTCATATCCTTGACCTGCGTCATATGAGCCTTTTTCATATATTTTATCTTCCGAAATTTTCGACTTGATCTGACCCACCAACCCCTCAATGACTGATGCTTTCCCCGGTGCCCTAGTTGGGCCATCCTCCAAGGAGAGAAAGTATGACCGTCAACTTCGTTTATGGGCTGCCAGTGGTCAGCAAGCTCTCGAAAATGCTCGGGTGCTTCTAGTCAACTCCGATGGTCCTTGGGGTAACCAAAGCACGGGCACTTCAGGTGTGGTCGGAGTCGAAACGCTCAAGAACCTTGTGCTGCCTGGAATTGGGGGGTTCACCATTGTCGACCCTGCAATCGTCACAGAAACTGATTTGGGAGTGAACTTTTTCCTCGAAGAGGAGAGTTTGGGCAAATCGAGGGCAGAAGAGACCTGTCGACTTTTGAGAGAACTAAACCCTGACGTAGAGGGAAGCTTCCAAGCCAAGGTATATACATTTCGTAGTAATATCTAACTATGTGTTTGCAAGCTAATGCGTTATCGCAAAACCTAGCCGATTTCAGAGCTTTTACAGCAGGACCCAGAGCTCCTTCTACAGCATAAACTAGTCTTGATATCTGGCCCTCTGAAAAGTTCATCTTTGGATGCTATTTGCAAGCTCTCTCGGGAGCTGGATATCCCCGTGTTATATACCCATTCGGTTGGATTCTATTCTGTCTTTTCTCTCCAACTGCCGGCCGATTTCCCTATAGTAGAGACTCACCCAGACCCGGAAACGACTCAAGATCTTCGCCTCCTCAACCCGTGGCCAGAATTGGCTGCTGCTGGTGCCCGGGTCAGCAATTTGGATAGCTTGGATGATCACCAACATGGTCATGTTCCGTACATATTATTGCTCCTCCACTACCTTGAGAAGTGGAAGGCGACACACGATGGCAATGTCCCGTCTAACTACAAGGAGAAAACGGAATTTAGAGAGTTGGTACGCGGAAGTGCGAGAACACACAATCCCGAGGGTGGTGAAGAGAATTACGATGAAGCCGTTGCGGCTGTGTTGAAATCGCTGAACCCCTTTAGCTTGCGCAGCACTGTCCGTGAGATCTTCGAGATGCAAGAATGCAAAAATCTGAGACAAGATTCCGGCGATTTTTGGGTCATTGCTTCAGCTATCAATCAATTCTACCAAAAACACAACGTATTGCCTCTGCCCGGCTCATTGCCCGACATGAAGGCTCAGTCAGCGGATTACATATCCCTTCAGAACATTTACAAATCAAAGGCGAGGAAGGACGTGGAGGAAGTCACGGCGACTGTTAGGCAGATTGAAGCCCAGCTGGGGTCACGGGCTGGTCCCATTCCAGAAAAGGAAGTCGAGATCTTCTGCAAAAATGCCGCCCACATCAAGGTTGTTCGCGGGCGCGATATCCCCAAAATAGAGGATGATGCACATACTTTGAAGACGATTCGAAACAATCTAACATTCGACGAGTCGACTATGCCGATATTCATTGCCTGCCAGATCCTAGACGCCATAGTGACTGATATCCAAGAAGGGAAGCAGCCCGGAAACTCACTTGATGACGATGTGACATGGAATTCTCACATCGATCGAGTTGTCAGTATTCTCAGGCGCGATGACCCGTCAGCCGTTAGTGAAGAAGCACGGGAGCGTATCGAAGAGGCCACCCAGGAGGTACGCCGAACGGAAGGCGGCGAACTGCACAACATCTCCTCTCTTACAGGAGGACTAGTCGCGCAGGAGGCGCTAAAGGTCATTACACGACAGTATGGTCCTCTTGACAACACTTGCCTTTTCGACGGAGCTCGGAGTCGCAGTGAAATGTACAAGCTGTAAATGATTGCGCATATTGGTATCGAATCGTCCAATGAGAGCCTCTCGATGTCGATTATGATGAGAACCCTCGCTAGCTATGATATGAATTAACGAATATTATATGAAACCTTTCTCCTGCTGTCAGGTTTGAGACAGTTTTGAGAGACCGTACGGTTTATACATCCCCATTGTTCATGAATCTTTTTTAGTCGCCAACCTCTACCGTGGAGGTTTCAACCTAAGAAGCCCTTATAAAACCATATTCCTTGGCGACAACAAGACAGACATACAATAGTCACCCTTCGCTGAATCATATCATCAATTTCTCATTCAGTCGTGGGTATTCAAACAATTATATTTACAAATCATAGATTCATGAGACATAAACCGACATCACTTTTCAAGATCAAACATAGATCCATCCCACGCATATGCCCGATTCAAGCGTCGACCATACCGTCGAGCAACCCGGAATGGGATCCTACTATATGGATGCGGTTCGTGAAAGTGTATGCTTCGTTCCACATCCAAATTTGTGGGAGTGAACTGCCATACTGAGCCATAGAGCTTCTCGGGAATAAACCCCGTGCAGGTCATGGCATGTAGAAAATCAGACCAAGGTACCTCGCCTGGTTGTTGTTTTGATTCTGGTTTATAGAATAGGGCCAGAAAGACGTTGTAATCACGCCTTTTTAGCGTGAATCGCGGTTGCTGGTTGGTCGTGTCCAGTTGGTCTAGGTCAACTTGTGGGCGCTGCTCGGGTATAGGTTGGGCGATGCCGCGGGTCTTGACTTTCGTTTTAACAACAGTAGGTACCTCTGGTGCGATGGTGTTCTGGGTTCTTATTTCCAGTTCCATGTGAAGATCAGATATACTATTTATCGTTTCCGGAACCATGGTGCTGGGAGGACTCCTGGGCTGTTCAGGCTCGATCCATTCTCCAGTCCGTTGCAAGTGACGATCACTCGGTGCAATTCGCTGCAAGTACTCATATGAGTCTTCGTCGATTCTATCGCGAAGTTGTTCATCAAATTTAAGCCAGAAATCATCCAGGTTCTTTTCCGCATTGCGCATCGCGTCGATGGTTTCCTTCGACCTGCGTTTGCCGATTGGGTAATAAAACTTCCCAGACGTTGGGTCTCCGTCTTCTCCCAATTGAATATAATCCTTGCCTGCGGACTCATCCAGAACTCTCGATAGGTCCCAAGAGGGCCGAATGAGCTCGGGGCCCCAGCCCTCCATGTCATTTTCTTCGAGCGCAGCGAGGGCTCTATTCCCTCTCTTTAGGAAGATTCGAGGACGGTAAATCCCAAGCTGATTTCGCAGCTCGCCGGCAAGTCCAACGTCTGCAAAAGTCCTTGCCAGGAAGGGTGTTATGCGCTCCTTCTGCTTTTGGTCATTCTGTATCAGTCTCTCCAGCTCAACGGCGACATTCTCGAATCCGCATATATGCAGGAATTCATGATCTAAAAACTGGCAAAATAGCCAGAGGAGGTCGTCTTTTGTGTCACTTATATCACCAGCTCTAGGGTAGACACTATATCCGAGATATGGGTCGACGGGGTTGGGCAGTCGTTGAAAAAGGCTGCGAATGGGAGGTGAAGCCGGAAATTGTATTTGCAATTTCATCAAGTAGAAACCAACCAGACGCTGGTCAAGGAAAACCTTGAGCTTTCGTAGGGCGCCCAAATACTCTGGGCATTCCTCTTCATATTTATACCCAAAATTTATAAAAGTTCGATCCAGTTTAATTAACTCATCAAGCTGATTTTGTATCACATGCCAAAGATTGATGTCTTCATAAGCGTTTGACACCATATGCCCTAAAGCCCGGCTGAGGAATATGTGTCTCCTTGGAGGATCTGTTACATCGCGATGCTGCTTTCCACGGTCGTCCAGAATCATTTCAGAGGAGTGCTCAGTCCAGTCTCCAAGGACATCAGTGAAATATCCTGGATCCTCTCGGAGTGCCCAAAAATGGTCTTCTGCCGCTGAGAGCCTCGCACTGGCAAGTTCTCTCAAGCGAACCAAATCCACCTGGCCCGGAACGACATAAGGTGCTTCGGTAGCTAATGCTGCTGCAGAGCGGTATTGTGCATCACTTGCATCTGACTGGAGTGTGGGTAGTTCTGGAATAGTAAGAACCATGTCATCGGTGAGATTTGGTCCTTTGTCCCGCAAGATTATTGTGCAGCAAGCGACAAGAAATCCAAGCAAATGCTCCTGGATCCTTAGTGTGTATAGCACATCGGAAGAGCACATCATTTTCCCTTCTAATTTTTTGATTGAATTATTATTGACGAACTCCCTGTCTTTCTCTGGAAGGACCCTTCCATATGTAGCTGGCGAATTGCCTTCTAGGACCATGTCCCGGTGGCTGGTGAGGAAAATTTCTTGAATTGCATTGCTCGACTGCCCAACGTGAATACTTTGGATGTCTTGAAAAATGAAGACACTGGGGGCATTTCGTCCTCGGGCGTTGAGAAGCAATAGCAGAGTCTTTCCACGGCAAAGATCCTCCTGGTTGATATAAGGCCACATGAAGGCATCTTCAAATCTTGTACCAGCCTGTCTCTGTTCTTCCGACTCTCGACGAAGAGCCCGAAAGTCTGGTCTATGGGAAGATGGTATATTGGGCCATGCTTCTAATAAAATCTTCCTGCGTTGTTCCTGGCCCTTTTTCAGCCACCTTTTGCGTATAGTAGCCTCATATCTGTTGAGAATGTGGCCAAGTAATGACCAATGTTCAAAAAGCTTCGTCGATTGTCCATATGCTTCATCTTCTGCTTCTTTTGGACTCAAAAACCGGGCATTGTCAAACCCGAGAGCTTTTGCCAGTCCTCTTTTATCAGGAAAAAGAGCATCAACAAACTCCGAGTCTCCTGGCTCGTAGCCTGCCGTTTCAGGATCTAGCCACAGATGGTCAGATAGTTGTTCGTCTGAATCGTCTTCAGCAATAGACGTAAGAGCTTCTTCGATCAGGTCGTCGATATCCACCATCGTTGATAGACCTTGATACCAGGGAAGTGATTGTTCATGTCAAGAACTGATCTTCTTGCATCATATATGGAATTCAAATGTTGTGTATATTATATGGCCAAGATCCAGAATGGCCCGTCATGAAGGGTTTTTTTTTTTTTTTTTTTAATAAGGATGAGGGGAAATGATACGCGCAAGATGAGTCTCGTATCAGAGATCCCTAGCGTGGTATTTCCTGAGGCATGATTGTCGAGTAATTTCTAGAGCAGCCCAATTGACAGGGCTATGGTAGACATTCAAAGACTGGATGTTGCTGCAGTAAGTGGCTCAAGATGGAATAATGGGATAATGTGGTGGTGATGAAGGCACGTGGTGGGATATATCGCTACTTTAAAGTGCACCCAGGCTAGTCCTATTCAGGAATAGCGGGAACTCCAATTTTTTCTTTTATCCCCCTGCTTGTATACAACGCCGAGTGTTGAATTGGCCCCTTAAATAACAGAAACAATTCATGGTCCTTTATGCTATTTCTAAAACGTGAGGTCTATATATAAAGCAATTATCAAAGCCCCTAGTAGCCTAAGTATATAGAAGACCAGTAATTGACCAGTTAGTACATGACTGGTACACCCAGTAACTTGTTAATTAGGATCTGTCAACCCATGTCTCTGTATCATCGTATTTTCAAAAAATGAAGACCTCAGTCTAGATTGATCAGGTACATTGCCACCGTTAGATTGGCTGACTGTCCCCTGGCCAAGAGTATGAAGACCTAGCATCTCACGGCTCAACATGCCGTCTCTGGTACTCATGAGAGAATTGCTATAATCTTGATGGGCAGCAGAACTGTTTTGAAAGCGCTCAAATATAGAATTTTTCGTTGGCAAGAGCGAAGCTCCAGTTGATGGGCGGGAGGTAGGCACGAGACGAGTTCGATGCTGGGTCGTTGCGTTTGGCAAATCGCCTAATTGGAAAACGCTTCAGTAAAGCGTTCAAGCATACAATATATTGAAGGACAGTGGTATTACCTCTTTTGATATTTCCCGGAAGCCTTGGTGGCGGCATCGCCACCATATCTGCCTTAGTTTTTGCACCCTTCGAACTGCCAATACCACTTCGTTGATAGCGATGGAGTTGCTCCACTCCCTCTTGGTTTACGGGAAACTCATTGCGCTGATTGCCGGCAGGAGTCTGGAGTGGCTGTAAATCGACCATGGGCTTGTTTGAAACTGAGGTTACAGGCCCATTTCGTGAGGATCCAAGTGAATTCAACGTATGCGATACCGAGTCCGAGACAGCTGTCTGCATTTGCGATTTCATGGCTCGAGATTTTAGAAGATTATAGAGATTGTTTATCTGGGTGAACTTCTTCGACTTCTCACGGTACATATCAACAAGCTCTTGACTTTTCTTTCGAAGCTGCTCTTGGTTTGTCTGAAGATCTAAAGTCTCCAGTCAGACAATACAGTAACCAGATACTCCAGTTCCAAGTAGCTATTTACCTAAGATTCTTGTTTGGAGAGTTGAGATCTCGGAATTGGCGTTATGAATGACCTTATCCATCTGTCCATTCAAAGTAGAATATTTCTCAGTGAGGGTTTTCCCGAGAAACTCCTGATAGAAACTATGCATTTGTTAACTATAACAGCCCCGTGGATTATGTCTGATATCACACGTACATCTCCTGAGTGGTTTGATATGCCCAAAAGACCAATGCTCGACCAGCACATTCCATTATAGTGTTTGGATCAAGTCCGCTGAGAACACTCGTTTTGTAGTCTTCTGTTGGGTTGAGTATGGTTGAGACGGCATCGTCTGGATTGAGGAGAATTGTCTGACATGCTGGGCAGCGACGGTCATTGGACGTGTGGTGTGAAAGACCAAGTTTACCTGCGCAATGAAGACAGAAAATATGTCTGGATCTGTTAGTCTAGCATCCTTGGAAGGTGGACTCGGATTAAGACAGCACGAAGTTAACCCAAGGACTTACGAGCACGTAGTCACAACCGCTCTCTCTTTCAACTGCGAGCGGCACTTGAGAGAATTGCACCTGAGGTAGAAGTCCATTATGGCGTTTGGATGTTTCGTTTAGTGCAGTAAATAATCAAGGCAGAAAAGCTTGGTTGAAGTTGGTAGATGAAGCAATCTTGCCTAGAGCACCACTGACTGCCGAAAGTAGATAGTCTCCTGGGCTGATTACTACAGCAGGCCACCTACTACATATCACAGCACAGAAGAACATACAACGTACATGCACAAATAGTAACTTTGGTATGGCAAATTGATTTTTCACATATTTGAGAGCATAAGTTTTAGTTCACCTGTTCTGAGATCATCTGGATATATCATCTGAGATTTACATTAATCTTTGCAAACGCACCAAGCCACAACAAAATCATGCAACCAATTAGTTGATCTAGCATATAGCCTAGAAGAAAAAAGTATGTGCATCGCGCCTTATTGAGCCCATCTTTTCCTCAAACTCCTTTCCTGGCTCATATTCGTGCCACAGACTGGCGGGGAAGATATGCTTGTTTCGCTCATACCATCGCCTGTCAACCACCTTGGTCAACGTAGGATCTTTGTCACTTCCCTCTAATTGATCATTAGGCTGAGAGAGGGGATTGTCAATGGCTGGTGCCGGTGGAGGTTTGTTGGAATAGTCGAACAATAAACCACCAGCTCGCGAGAAACTCGGGATTCGATTGGCGATGAAGTAATAGAACTCGTAATGCTGGGTCAATCAATTAGCTCATCGGCCGAACGAGACTCCAAGGAAGATGGAACGCATACATGAGGCACAATGACCTCTCCTTTTACCAACATCAAATCATCCACGCTGACTCTAGCCCATTCACGACGATTGTTCTTCTGGTTCTTGGCTGCTCCAGTCGTACCACCAACTCCCAATTCAGCGCCAACTTTTCGACATCGGTCTAAGAATAGCCATACAGGATCTCCTTTCTTCATTTTAACCGTTCCGGCGGGTATATTGGTTCCATCGTAGAAGATAAAGGGGATCAAAACTTCCGTATTCTTAACGGCTTCTTGCATCGCTAGAAATTCCTTGCGTAGGGTATCCCGGGCTTGCGCCTCTGCTTCCACCGCTGCTTTTGTCATCGCTTTAGGGGGAGGAAAGGCATTCGGATTTGGCGTAATTCGTCGTGAGGATGGCAAAGAGTTCTCTGCCGGGGTCTGCGAAGCAGATCGTGGGGTACTCGAGTCTCGCGGGGCACCCGTTGAATCCTCCCCAGTTTCATCTTCATCATCGCCAAAAGACAATTTGCTTTTAGCCAATGGCTTCTTTTTCTTTTTTTTCGGCGGTCCCTCGCTTCGTGATGTAGAATTCCTGGTCGTTGTTTGCGATCAGCCCGGGCACGGGGATTAAAACAATGCGCCTTGACTCACCCGTCAGTTACGTCGCCCGTTGAAGGGGTAGCACTCCTCGAATTACCAGATGTCAATCTTCCCAGAGACTTGTCATGTGCCTCCCGTTCTTTCTGCTCCAGAACCTCTGCGCGACGTTTGCGAAAGTCGGAAAGATGGACCAGACCAACTGTCTGCGACTTGAGCAACTCTTCCGCAGAGGCTGATTGGCCAGTAAATGACCGTGGAGTCGAGGTACGGCTCTGATCCTCTGATGGAGGCATTATTGCGTGTTTTGGCTCTTTCGTAAGAACTTCTCAATAGGTTCACGGGGAGAGTTGTTGTCAATACCGTTCAATCTCACATGAAAGCGACTGACGTATCTGGTTAAGGTAAAAAGCACGTGACCTCAAAGCTTTCAAACCAGCTATTGCGTGCCGCTGATGGACATTAAAAGAGATATATAAAATAGGAGACTCGATGAATAGATGGATGCAATGAATCAATTGAAATATATAAACTACGAAAATTAGGACTATGGTGTTCAAAACTTCATCGTGATCAAAATGTAGTCGTCAGTGACAAACATGCCAAACTCGGCATCCCGGACGATCTCCGCAGCATCGCAGTAAACACCATTTCTTGCGATCTCATCTTTGTGCCGCTTTCAATCACAATTCCACTCGTCGCGAAACCTAAAAACCATGGATGAAGAAGACGATGATTTTTATGATCCCGCGGACTCGGTGCCGACAACTCAACCGCATAATGCCTTCCAAAACACCCCTTCGAACGCCAATCCCCAGGGAGATGATATGGAGGAAGAGGTAGAGGTGGAAGACGATGATGTTTGTCCTTGATATAGTCGCTTCCTCAAGTGCACTTTCTGATTACTCTGCAGGACGATTTTAATATTATTACAGAGGCACCTCCCGATGCACTTCCAGAAGTGTGAGTAGATGTGTTGATCTCATTTGCGTTGTTCCATCTAACTCGATATAAGTCAACACCCTCGCCATGCCAGTCTACGAGGTGAGCCTCAGAGACCGTCGTCTACGGATTCATCAGCTGTATCGAAATCGATAACGCCTTCTGCAACCCCCAAAGTCGATGCTCCTACCCCAGTGCCCGCCAGTGCAAAGCCTGCTGTGCCACAAAAACCAGGATCCGCATACCCAGCGATTCACTCGTCCACAATCGATGTCCATGCGAATCCTGTCCATCCCAATACCGGGAAACCCATTATGTTAACGGACATGGATACCGATTTCCCTGCAGATGACAAGCCATGGAGGCGACCTGGGTCGGATATTTCAGACTATTTCAACTACGGGTTCGACGAGTTTACCTGGGCAAGCTACGTGCTCAAACAGCAAGAATTACGGAAAGAAGTGGGAGATCAAAAGAAGCAGTTAGATGACATGCAGGCGTTCTTGGGCATGGGTATGCCTCCTCCAATGCCGGGCGGCCCTCCCCCAGGACCTGCAGCGCCTGCGGGTAGTGCACCACCAGGAATGCCGGGAATGCCCAGCATGCCCGACATGAACCAAGACATGATGCAGGGCATGTTGACAAGCATGATGGCACAGGGTCTGGATCCGGCTTCCATGGACCCTATGGTATTCATGCAACATGCGCAGGCGATGATGGGCGGTCAACCCGGCGCAGGCGGCGGACAACAAGGACAACCTGGATTTGGAGGTCAACCGCAAGGTCAAGGATTTGGTGGCCAAGGCGGTGGTCAACAGATGGGATACGGAGGTTACGATCAACGAGGCGGATATGGCGGCGGTCGAGGACGAGGGAGAAGATGGTAGAGCTATGGGTTTATCCTTTGAGTGTTGTTATCTTTATAATTCCCCTGCGATATTAGTGTGTACCATGATGATGGGTCGGATCTTGCGGCGTTCAAAATGCATGAAATCAGGACATTTCAATTGTTATGAATGACTCGTTTCTATTCCGCTGTGTTGTGAAGCTTCGGGAAAACGGAGCTGTGTCTTCGACAGGGAAGCACATAAACAAACCAGAGAAAATAATTCTTTACCCTCTATAGAGCCATGGCATAAACATGCTTGAGAACTAGCAAAGCAAATCCAGAATTATCGTAATGATGACCATGTAGGCTGAAAAGAACGGTGTGTCGCATATACCCTCGGCAGTGTTGATGGAAGCTATTCGGCCTTCAAGTCTTGGCATTCTGGAAATTTCTCGCGGCCCGGCGAGCCCAGATCTTCTTCCCCCAGACAATCCGACGACATCTTTCTCTTCTTTCCTGCTCTCCACGCTTCTTCAACTTCCATCTTCTTCCTACTCCAGCTCGCCTTCTGCACTTGTTTCTTGCCCTTGTGCATCTCAATCAATTCATCTTATCAAAATGGTACGTTCTTGCTCTGCTTGCAGCTATCCCAGTCCAACTCGATCAGTGTCCTGTCCGATCCGATCAATTTCTTCTCATCTCCCATCAATGCCATGGTTCCCATCATCCAATTCTTTTTACTAATATGATTTCTTTCTTTGCTATAGTCTGTCCTCCGCAACATCAAGAACCTTGCTCCCCTCCTTGACCGCGTCCTGGTCCAGCGTGTCAAGCCCGAGGCCAAGACTGCCTCCGGTATCTTCCTCCCTGAGAGCAGCGTCAAGGAGCAGAACGAGGCCAAGGTCCTCGCTGTTGGCCCTGGTATATTCGACAAGGCTGGTAGCAGACTCCCCATGAGCGTAGCTGCCGGTGACCACGTCTTGATCCCTCAGGTAAGATAGCTTCCAAAAATTTCCCGGGTTTTCCAGTATACACCAATGGATAAATCCTGGCCCCATACTTTGTGGTCTTTGTGATTTTGTGACTAACAAATGTTTTCAAACAGTTCGGTGGAAGCTCCGTCAAGGTCGGCGAGGAAGAGTACACCCTCTTCCGTGACCATGAGTACGTGGCCCTTTCTTTGTGAATTGTTTCTCAGTAGCCCTTTCGCTAACTCGTGCATTTAGGCTTCTTGCCAAGATCAACAAGCAGTAAACGACCAAACAGAATGAATGCTCGATTTCTGTATCACCGCCTCATACCCTCTGTCGTTCCGGTACTCGGCTCGGGCTGAAAATTGCCTGAGTACGTCGCAGGAAGACGTGTATTATACGTGCAAAATTATGAGCTCGAAACACGCAACATTTCAACCCCAAAAAAATTTATAACAAAAAAAGCTGCCAAAATAATTATCCCGGGAGGCATGTGGAGCTTGTCCGTGTGATTTCTTGGGCTAATTATCTTTCTTAATCTCTTTGCATCTATTGTTTAAAGCGTGAAATGACCTTATTCTTGCATATTACTTGATGTATTCTAAAACATAGCCACCGCTTTATCCCGCAATATTGCTGGGTTACAAGCGAGTAATTCCGGAAACGATAATCTCCTCTCTGCTCAGTGTTTGCTTTGTGTCTCGATATCTTAGGAAATGCCAGATGGGTTTTGATGTCTTCAATGTGATCTGTTCGTAGTAGTTCCATCAATTCATTTTGGATTCGCCCTTATAACCCACCGTTGGCATCAAAATTTAACGCCCAGTCGCAATGCCAGTCCTTGTCAATTATATCCTCGACCCTCTTCAGTACCCTTTGCCCTATCAACTCTCCAAATACTTGTCTTCGCTGCATTGAGGGCATCTCAATGAATCTACCAAGACCGCCAACGTTCCTCTCAGCGTGACCGAGCATATCACCTCTCAAGTGCATCATCGCCAACTCTTCCTTCCTTTCCTCTCTGAGAACAGCCAGTATAGCTTGTGCAGCGAAGGGATTCAACCCCGCCTGCCGGAGAAACTGTTCCCAGCGCGTTTCATTCTCTATGCCAGCTAGTTCGAATCGCACTTTGTGGCCTGGATTGACCGGTGTAAAGCCAATGCTTTTAGATGACTCGACCCCAGTATCACGGAGTCGGAAGCTATGTTTATATGAAAGCGCGAGAATCCATTCTGCCACGGTTTCTGGGGGTGGAGGGATTACCAGCGGGATGATTGTCGAATAGGCAGAGGCTGAAGTGCAAAAGACAGTCAAGGATGCTAGGGCTGCTAATGTTCGTTTGTCTGCTGTTGGAATTGCGCTTTTACCCTGAGATTTCTTGGTGGTTGGCACGGAATGGCATAAAAAGACGTATAATTGTTCATAGCGCAGAGCAAGGCTTATTATACGTTCTCGAAGAGGGGAGTTAACGCATTGGATGCTATTCATCTGAGGATGATAGGGTTTGTGGCCCGGTAGGTATAGCTGTGTCATTGCTTGTGATGTTGTCAATATGATACCGGTAGTGGGTGACACTATTATATCTGCTTCTGATGGAGGATCGTGTCTAGGGATGGATGAGCTGCATTGGATCTTAGCTTGTCCATGTTGCGAGTTGGTATCATAATCACGGTATATGAGTCTTGGTGGGGTATCCATTTCTTCAAGAGCCCGTACGACTCGGAGATGGGTCTTGAAAAGTGCTGTTGAGAGGAAAAGTGAAGGCGGTTCTTTACCTTTTCTGTGGCACTGCGGAATCTGACGTGTTGAGATCTTTGACATCGTGTGACAAAGATCATCTGTTTTTCTCTGGTCGATACATCCATCAATCATGTCTTCCGGAGTCTTCTCTTTATTGGTAACAGCTTTCGATTTATTATCTGAGAAGTATGGACTTTTCCCAACGACTTTCGGCTTCGGCCCTATTCCCCTTGTCTCCATGTACGCGGATAATGAGCCCAAGGCTGTGAAAGCTGTTGATTGTTCTGGGCCTTCAAAGGGATCATCAGCCACGGATGTTACCTTCATGCCGCTCGGATTGCGTTGTTTTTGTGGGATCGAATGAGCTTTCTTGTGTTTTCCTTTCTTTCGTCGTGGGGACTGGCGGGTTTCTGTATGGGTAGGTGGTAGATGCCGTTTCATATCAGGATATATCTTCTGGCTCTGAGTTGCAGATGGTAGCTCAGATAGCTGTGTGTCATTGTCACTAGGTATAGTGGTTTGTCTATGTTGCTTCCGCGTTGTATATTCTGTTGGCGTTGAGGTCATCAATACACCCCCAATGTTTTTTGTGCTAGGATGGGGAGCTTCGGCCGTCAAGACCCCTTCATAGAATGGCTCTTTTTGATATTTTTCTTCTTCTTGTCCTATATGGAGGGTCTGAGGAGGTGTTTCCTCTACCTTATATTGAGTCTGTAACTCTGCTGGCTGGGAGCCGGAAACATATATTGCGTGAGAATCCGTGTCCTCTCCAGTCGTAAAACGGTTAACATATGGACTTCTTCTTGGTGAAATGGAAACCAAGGATATTATTTCCTTTCCATTTTCTTCAGTCATATCTGTATAAACCGGTCCATCCGTAGTGTATTCACTCCGTGCTTGTCCTTCGAAGGGGCCTGGGGATTTCCAGCCACAAGGCTGGTCATGGGCAGTGTCTTGTATCTCATTCCCATTAAATTGGACAATTTTTGTCTGCTCATCAATATGTTCAGCTGGTGACTTTGAAGCCAGTATAGCGGTTTTCAGAGTTCTGCTTTGTTGTTCAGATCTTTCGAGAGGATCGGAGGAGACAGGACTAGGTAGCATATATGGGCTTGTAATCGGCGATGGATTTACATGGAGCTCTTCCTCGAATTTCCAGGGGACAAGCGGAGAGAATGTAGGCTCAAGGGGCTTCATCTGCATGGGGAAGCACTAATTAGTATAGTAGTATCAACGCGTTTCTAAAAGCTCACCTGGCATGAGCCTAAAAGAGTCCCAAGAGGTTCTTCTATATCCCCCAAGGAAAGATCGACACACTTCCTAGCATTTTGTATCATGACGAGACTGTCCTTGGTGCAGTCAAGTTTCTCCATCTTCATATTCCCTATGGTCTTATCGGCCATTCCCAGGAAGCTATCGAGAATATCCATCTGACAATCCCGTGGATACTTCTCAGCAGGCGGTAATTCGATATCATCATGATCGTAAGAGACAGGTTTCTTGAGGGACAGAATATCCGTGTCAGAATCAATGTGGAGTATCGGAGTCTCGACCTTAAGACGTCGAATCCGATTAAAAGACGGAAGAAGACTATCCCAGTCGATATCTATTTGCTCTGCTTTCACATCGCGGATAATCATAGACAGAAAACGGGCATCTTCTTTCCTGAGGTCGAGCTTCTCTTTGCGTAGGTCTTGTTCAATCCTTGACTGGACGGTAGATAGGTGACTTTCAAATGTAGCCACGTTTTCTTCATGAGACGTTAGGTCTTCAGAAGCGATTTCATGTATTTGATTGACATATTCGAGGGCGTTGTTGGCACTGGTGAAATCGGCTGCGATTCCGTGGAATCGGGCATATTCCAATAAAGAAGGACCTTCGTGTTTATTTTGTTGTTCCATTGGGATGGGAATGGAAGAGGGGTTTGATGGAGTCGAGAGGGTATGGGTGAGAAGAGAAAGGAACTAGAGGCAGTCCTAATAGGGATATAGGACTACGCGCACGTGTCTAGGCAACATGTTAAAGAAGCTTTGGTTTTCAGAAATAATTTTGATTCATTTCACTTAGACACTGCATTTTGCAACTCAATAGCCATAACACATTGGAAGGATAGGCCAGTTTGAATCCAACTGCCCACTACATCTAAATGATAGAAAGATAGTACTCGAATCATAAATGTGAGATAGGTTGTATGTCCTAATCATGATATTAAAGCCACTATTGCTTTTTGAAAAACACATAAAACGCTTGGGTAGGTAGTAGGTAGAACGCTAAGAAAAGAGAGAAATAAAAAGGGATAACCAGAGAAACCAGCTCTGACTCAATCGTTGTAGTTGGACTGTCGAGAACCATCCTTATTGACTGGTGGCAAGCCGTAAAGAGCAGCAAACTCCTCTTCTTGGGATTTGCCTGTTGGCTTCAAGACAGGCTTCTCTGCCTGGCACGCAACACGAACCGCATGGCGACGGTGTGGAGCGAATCCGTAAGAGGCTGAGTGAGTCTTTTGTAATTGTTAGTAAAAACTCATAGATGGAAGTAGTCTAGGGAAGGACTTACGGTTGTGCGGTTATCCCACAAAGCGACGTCGTTCTTGTTCCATTGGAAGCGAGCATGGATCTCTTGTGTAGTTGCAATCACCTCGGTAAGGTAGCTGAGAATGGCATCACTCTCGGTCTTTGGAATGCCTTTGATCTTTGTAACGAATCCCGGGTTGAAGAAAAGACTGTTCCAGCCAGTCACGGGGTTGGTACGAATAAGAGGGTGCTCCGTAACGACCGGCTCACGACGGACTGTTCGACCGAGGGCCCGCGAGTCTGAGGCTTGCATTTCTGCGGAATGAATAGCTGTCAAACCCTTGAGGTAGGATTGCATGTGAGGAGAAAGAGCGTCATAAGCAGCGTATTGAGACGACCACAGTGTATCACCACCGCCGCCACGGGGTGGACCTGTCAGAAGCTTCAGAGATGTGTAGGATGGTGGTTGCACTTCGTATGTCACCTGAAGCAAATTATTAGCTGAGGATATTCAAGCAACAAGACGACAAAGGGAGCTCATACATCTGAGTGCCACAAGAAGCTGGGTGTGAACATAGCACGCTGGTCAGTACCGTTGTCACCAGTATACACCACATGAACATCTTCCAAGCCGCCCTTTTTGGGAACAGAGGTGGTAGCATGCTATATTTGGTTAGCTATCACCACCCTCAAAATAATCATAATGAATGACGTACCTTGTGCAATGTACCAAAGTATTTACCCAAGTCTCGTTGAGCTTCAATGTCAAAATCATCCTGTCCACGGACGAAGACCACTCCACGAACAGCAATCAAGCGAGCCAATTCATCCTTCTGTGCATCGCTGAGCTTGCCCAGGTTGATACCATGGAGCTCTGTTCCAATCTTGGGGTTGTAGTCGAAGACGTCGGTTGCGTCACGGAGCAAGTTGCGGAACTTAGGGTCTCCATGAATGCCTCTGTCCTCGTAAGGGAGATCCTCAATGGGCCCCCAGCGGATGCCTGGAAATGAGGGCAGAAGATCTTCATGGGCGTAGTTGTCGTGACGTTCAACCGTCGTGCGTCCCGGCTCGTACCGAAACTTATTGTCACCCGCGATCTCCTTCCTGGGAACCGTGAAGGTATCCGAGGATGGAGGGATAGGAACCTCCAGTGATGGTGCCATTTTAAGGTTGGTAATAGAAAGATAATCCGGCTAGATCAATTGAGCGTTGCCCAGTAGAAGGGAGGGGAAATGATTGATTGACTGATCTGATGTTGTCTGGAAATAAGAAAGAGGAACCCAGGAATCGTAGACACATTTATATTGAACCAAGATAGCAGAGGCCAAGTTTCCCGCGGGTGAGAGGATCCCAATATGACTCAAGCATATTTCCCGGGGCCATGATATTGGGCATGTTGCCTGATAGAGTTACGCATATTCTCCAGAGTCGGAGTTGACGGAAATGGCGCCATCGCGAACCACAATCACCCAAGCTGCTGCGAGGCGAGGGGAGAGAATCTCGCAATAGTCTGAGAATAGAAATAGCGATCTGTCAGCAACTGTCGTGATCAAAGGGCCCCATAACTTATCAATCTGTGGTTCTCCTTCCACAGCCGAAGCCAAATAGCGATGATGAAACATCACGCCATTTCCTCTGACGTTGATGGCAATACTGACCCTTTTCCAGCAAATGGGATATTTCGGGGCTCTGAAAGCCTGAGAGTCAATCTGACCGCTTCTTTCAGCGTCCTTAGACTAAGCTGACCTATTTACCTGTACCATTCTGCACAAGTAGGGAGTTGTCCTCTTCATGGGCAGTGGTCGAAATGTTTCTCCCACTGATCAGCCCCAATAATGCTGCAGACCTGTGGGCCGTGGAGCACGCATTCAGAACGAACTAGAAGCCATACTATGTAGTATCTAGAAGGCTGAAGTTCGCTTATTGATCGGTTGCACGACTATTGGAGGTTTGAGGATGGAAATCTGGGGCGGAATGGCCGGCGGGGATCACGCAAGCCCGTCGGGGGATTGCGTGCGAATGGTGAACGCTTTAGCTTATCGATAACTGATGGAGGATCGACAGCTTACTTGAGCTTGTTTTGGGGGATTCTTTGCTTTTTCTGCTGTTTTCCTCCATTTTCTTGATTCTTCATGTGGCATGTAAAATTTCCTGATGGTTTATCCTGAACATCCAAACTTTTCTTCTATTGTTTACGCCTAATATCGACAGCTACAAACTCTGGAAAGACAGATAAAAACCCTTTTATAATTCTTTCAAACGCAAAACGCCTAACCGCATTAAATGCTGAATCACATAACATCAAATCAAATCCTCTTGCTGTCCACAACCAAAGCCAAGGTTCGTAAGGTAGTTAATGTACAGAAAAAGGGAATCACGTGGAACAATACTCGGTAGTGCACAACATCTATGTGCGTCTTTATAAATTGTATCGGCCATCGCCTACCGACGGCGGGCCCATTACGACTTCTTGCACTTGCTCTGTAACTCCTCCCAATCTGGTGGCAACACCCAGAATGCCAGTCTCAACGTCTCCAAGGACAGCAGCAAGGTCGTTGAGCATCGAATTTGGTGTTCCTGCAGCTGAGCCATCCCGGCTTCTCGATGCCACAAACTCGTTGATCTGTCGGCTCAGTGTGAGCTCCACTCCGTGAAGGTGGTCTTCGATTTCTTTCAGGTTTCGTGTGTAACGATCGAGGACAGTTCCCATCTCATCTGAGCGGTGTGAAAAGTAGTCGACAAGGTTCACAGGCACTCCGTTCACAGCGGCAGCGGTGGAAGGATCGCCCTCGACATCATCGGGAAGAGCTAGGGTGTTCTTGCGCGCGGATCGCAAAGACTGGCGGTCAGATAGTTTTTGGTCCTGGACGGACCACCATCCGGCACCCCCTGCAGATTGATATTGCAAAGGCAGCTTCAATGTGTCGATAGCACGGAATGCAACCTGTGCTTCAGCCGCGTCCCGAGCCACCAGGCTGCGCAGCTGATCAATATCGCCGGCATCATTTTCAAGAGCATGTTGCATCGTTTCCAACTTGCCCTGCACGAAGTCGACGTCGTTAGGGATGGTTTCGCCCTGGCTGGCAATTGATGGAACCAGATTTGCAACCTCATTGCACATATTCATTTGGCTGAGGACGAAAGAATCGAGCCTCTCCAACTCGGATTTAACCTCCTCGGCGCAACTCTCATATTTCGTTGTTGGCAAAAGGTTGCTCACATCAACCTTCACCCCAGGAACCACGGTGCCTGCCGTGGAAGCTTGCGGTGCTGGTTGTTGTGTGGTAGTACTCTGATTTCCGAAAAGAGATAGTGTAGGTTTTTGAGCTTGTTGCGGTTGCTGCTGCTGCTGGTTTCCACCGCCACTAAAAAAAAAAGAGACGTTAGTTCAGAAAACAGACTGGGTTCCCCCAAATCAAGATATTACGCACAAGAGGCCTCCCCCGGTTGTCGTCGATCCACCAAGGCCACCGAATGGTTTAGACTGGGTTTGCGCTGTAGATCCACCACCTAGACCCCCAAACAATCCCCCACCAGTAGCTCCGCTCTGTGTGGTATTGCTGCTTGCGCCTGCAGTGCCTGAAAAGAGACCGCCTGATTGAGGCTGCGAGGTAGTCGCTGTAGAGCCTCCAAACAGACCGCCTGTGCTGCCCTGTTGTTGCTGCCCACCCAGCCCCGAAAACATACTGGATCCAGAAGGTTGTGACTGCTGCGTAGTAGCACTACCGGCGTTTCCAAACAGTCCCCCTGCAGGTTTTGATTGTGCGGTCGAGCTGCCAAGGTTTCCGAAAAGGCCTCCGGATGTGTTCGTCGTCCCAGGTGTGGTTGTCGAGGTTGAGGTTTGGGTGTTGTTGGCACCGCCGCTGTTTGACAGAGAATTCCGTTAGTTTATTCCAAGCACGGTAATCACTTATTGCTGGCTATAGGAGCGAGTCATTGGTATTGGCGATAATTGTAGTCAAGAAGAAAAAAAAAAAAATGCTGAAACAAAATGTTGCCAACGCGCAGAGCATGCGACCACACCAAATTATACCAGACCAGATGACATGCCCACGCCACACAAATAATGTAGTCTTGATGGAAATAGGAGCCGCTTACAAAAGAGAATTGGCGGAGTTGGTGTTTATGGACAAGCCGCCAGTCGAGGGGGCAGAGGGTTTTGCGGAGAACATCGTGGGAGAAAAGAGCCGATCCTAGGGATGAACAAAGGAATGCAGGGAGGCAATTCTTGGCTACACTCTTTGCAAGAAGCAACCTTCTCTTGCAGACAAGCTGCCCCAAAAAAGTCGTCGTTGGGACTGTTTTGATGTTGCAAACACAAAATGCAGGCGTTGCTGTCGCCGCAAGAGCTCTTTGGGCTAGTGTTGGATGGGGAAAGATTCGCCGGGGCCGATGTTTAGCAGCAGCACAAAAGGGACCGACGATCTTCGACGCTCCGACCTGATCTTGACGTCGTTTGTCTGTCATACTGTCTATATCGATCCGATATCTCCTTTTCTTGGAGTGCTGCTACCCGAGCCAGGAGAGTCGATGGAAGATTTATCCAATTGATGCTAACGGTTGTTCTTAAAAATCGATGCGATCTCCGGGAAATACTGCACTGAAATCTACATGTAGTCAAGGGGCTTTCCATTAGTTCTGTTTCGCTGTTCCATCACTTGTCGTCGTGTTATTCTTCGAAGTCTACTATAAACCTCAGTGTCAATCTGATGGGGAGTGCATCTTTTTACTGAATATTCCAGATCATTCACGATCTTCTAATATACCTTGCTTGTTTCACGTCTTATAAAACTGAATTGCATAGCCCTTTTTGGAAAACACTACTTCTGGCTGTTGTCCACTTTCTTTAGTCTGTGATAATGGAGGGTGGACCATCGGATTGGAAGCCGATATGCGTGGCTTCGACTCAAGAAGAGAGGAAACAAAATCCAGAGGTTGACACAGTCTCATCTGTCAATCAGAACCAGCGCAGGCCAGGACAGCACGGTGAGCAACAGGACAAGAGTCATCCAGACCTCAACTACTTCAAAAGCGTAGAATGGTAAGCTAGAAGTTGAATTTCTTTGATTCTGGTCAATAGCTGACTGCGATATTTGCAGGACACCAGATGGCACTACTCTGCTGACTGACTCGGCAGACCATCATATCAGAACCTTCATACTGTTAGTGGTGTGATCCTCCTTAGTCAACTCCAGTCTAATAGTATCTAGACCTCCAGACCTCTTAGAAGAAAGACCGTCACCACATCGACTGTCTCCATACTCAACTCTTCCCTCGGCAGAACCAACGTATGCCACCGCCATATATCCTTTCTACTCCCTGCAGGACCCATCTACCACCATCTTTTTGTCTTCAGTTCGAGACCATCCCATCAGACTCACATCTGCTCTTGCACCAACTTCATTGGCATCCTATTCATTGGTAAACCCAACGACAGAGGCTTTCACAACGCCGCATTCTATGGTATATCCGGATACGCTTGGAGGAACCCACTTTCTCACTGGATCGGATAGTCTTATATGTCTTTTTGACGTTTCTCGCCCTGGTAAAGACGGTCCCGTTTCCTGGATGCCTACAATACCAAGTAAGCGTAAGCAGATTGTGGGTGGAGGCATTGGGATGAAGGGAATCATATCTGCTATGGCTGTCAACCCAACTGGAGATGGTATCCTGGCTGCCGGAACTTTCACGAGGCAGGTCGGGCTTTACGGATCGAACGGAGCTGGAGAACTTCTAGGAACATTTAGCACCGCAAAGACTGATGCCAACCGCCATATTGGCGGTAGAGGAGTTACTCAACTGCTTTGGAGTCCATGTGGACGGTACCTGTACATTGCTGAGCGCAAGAGTGACGGTGTGTTGGTATACGATATTCGAGTGACTGGGCAGCTGCTAGGATGGTTGCAGGGTCGCAAGGCGCTCACAAACCAGCGCATGAAGATTGATGCGGTACCGTCTGGTGAAGGCGATTCTCACGAAATTTGGGCAGGAGGAGTTGACGGCGTCATGAGGGTTTGGCGGAATCCCACTCTCACTGCTGGTGCACAGAATTCTGACTGGGAATGGAAAGTCCACGATGGTAAGTAAAAAGTGCATTGCCTCGAAATTCTCACTTACTAAACAAATATAGACTCCGTTACCAGCACTGTTCTCCATCCAATGGGAAGTGTCGCAGCCACTTGTTCTGGCCAAAGGCATAATCTGGAAGATGTTGCCCATGGTGACCAAACCGACTTGCTTTCGGCATCGAATATCGATAATAGTTTGAAGGTGTGGTCTATGCCATTTCTCGATACTAACCTCGAAGGCTAGACATCAATAAAAAAAATATACAGCCTGCCCTGGTTGCCCTAGCCACCTGCAATTCAGATCCAGAAAAAGTCGAGATATATCGGGGCAAAAACGGGATGTTCCGGATCGTCGTTGAAAAATCCCCGATACAAGCCCTATTCAGATGTCTTGATCGATTATGGGATCGTATGCCAAAATACAAAGATGTCAATACCACGAGCCCTATTTATCGGCCTCGAGACAATTTCAACTCTCGATTTTGTTCAATTGGCTTACAAAGAAATGGTACTGGTATACCCATCTTGAATAAAGATGGAAAGTAACAGGTTAGCAGTCCTTTGGAGCTTTTGTATTTATGAATCTTGGATATTACCAAGCACAAACAGCATGTCTTTGTCTACAACTCTTCAAAGTAAAGCACACCTGTTGATATGACTTTAACCAGATTTGTTTTTCAGTAATATGGCTTTCCCACTGACCAGGATACAGCTTTGATGCCCTTCTTTCCCCCCCAGACCTTCGAGAAGGATGGCTACGCAGGACAATACAACATGAGGCTATTGATCCTTTTGATATCCTATTCAGAAATTCTTCTACAATACGCCCACAATGCATCATAATGGACAACATCAACTTCACTCTTCTTATTGTACTTCAGGATGTCAATGGAATTGTTTCGAGGAGCCCCTCGAGGCTCTCTCTGACGCCCTCTGACTGGCTGATTCTCTAGCAGAGATCCAGATTTTCCATGATATTCTGATATTGTCCCCCTCGTGCTTAGCGCGTTTCTGTTTCCCTCTTAATATATGGCAACCCCCCGTGGTGAAGCGCGTCTCCCATACAATGCCCTACGCGTGACCGCTTCACTGTTGAATTCACCTTCGCTCCCCAGCCTCCAGACTGCTTTTCTTTTTTTCCTTCTCAATCCCACTTGTACCTTGAGCAAAATTCACTCTTTCCTTTCCTCTCTGTATTGACTTCACCACCTTCGTTTCGATTCTCTTCCTCAAGCCAATATCAAAAAGAAGCTTTCGTTTACTCTCAACATTGAGCACTGTATCTGCCTGGATTGTTTCCTAGGTATCGTCTTGACTCTCGTTTCGTACACACCCAAGTCTTCGAGCTTTCGTGCTTTCAAAATATTTCTACAATCCTTCTTGCGTGGAGAAATCTTCGTCTATCATGTCTCATTTTGATGAGAGTTTCTTCCCAGGGTATGAGCAACCCCCCGGCACCGGCTCATACTCTGACCCAGAGGCTGGCTCTGACGGCTTTCGATCTGATAATACTATGTAAGTTCACCTTGAGAAGTGTGTTTGAATCTTGCCAACGAAGCAAACAGAAACTGGGCCATGATTTCTGGACTCGGCAACATCAATGCTGGCCAAGAAGAACTGGTGACGCCTCATCAGGATACCTTCGAGGGCTGTATGCCTTTGATCAACACAATTATTCCTGCACAGATGTACAGTGGCGTTCCGCTTGCAAATGGTAGTGAACATGGTTCAAGCGTTGCTGGAAACCCGGCAGAGTATGCATCCAGTTCCTCTCCAGTACATGTCCACGTGAAAAAAAAGCCAATATTGACCATCAAACAGTGTTGATGATTTCGCTGTGAGCTCGAATTCCTCAGCGCCAGGATCGAGCCCTCCAATTTTTCCTGGTCATTTCCCTTTTGCGGAAAACTTGGCTGGTGATACCTCCAACAATGGTAGCCCCATTGATCCAAATCACTTCGAGGTGCCAGCGTATCCCCATCCTGGACTTCCTCACGAATGGAATGTGCCTCCAGCCGGTGGAAACTACGACGGTCTCCCCAGAAATGACTTGGAAGGGCAGTCCACTAATTTCGACCAAACCAACCAATTCGTCAGCCATGAACGGCCGCAGCCCATTCATTTCAATCAATTCAACCAATTTACCGGTTATCAGCATTCAAATGTTGCTTACGCCTCCACGGCACCCCCATCCATCGCAGCCTGTGACGGAAATCAAGACTTCCAGCAACAAGAAACAAAGGAGCAACCAGAACCACAGGAGCCACAGGAGCCACCCGTTAGCAAAGCAGGTGTCAGTCCTATCAAATTTCCTACCTTCGCTCAGTTGATGGACCCTGATAGATACAATGTTGACACCGGCACCCGGTTTTCTTCTGTTCACGAAGCTAACGCCGCAAGCCGTAACAATGAGCCGCCTCCTTATGATCCTACCATTCCTGAAACTGTGAAACAGCATAGAGCATTCGTCAAAACCTTGTGCAATGCAATGAAGAGCATTGAGTATGCAGAGGACAATCCAGGCATGATTAAACCATTCGCAGATGGAAAATACCCAGATCAGAGAATTGAGACTGTCTGCTGGAACCTTCTTGTAAGACCATCAACGAATGGCCCCCTAACACTTGACTGACGTGCTATACGCCCAGGATCTATGTATCTCTCGCCACACATGTGGCCCACTGCTGGCGATATTTGGAATAAAGTCCAAGCAGAGTGGTGATCTCGCTACCTTCGCGCAGAGAGTCACGAAGGTCATTGAATGCCTTGCTGTGAGCCAACATCCAGGCTTGTGTCTATGTTTACATTAAGCTAACTTTTATAAAGACCCATAAGACTATTTGCAAGCACCTGCTCGACCCCGTTTACATTTACCAGTTCTTGGATGATCCCGTTGCTGCCCAAAAGGTACCTATCTCTTTTCCGGGTTATAACGGCCCTCAACTAACAAGATATCCCAGCGCGTCATAGCCAACAAAACTTTGAACAAACGCAAAGGTGCCGTCATGAATGCTGGAAAGCAGGCGCTGGGTGACAGTGGCAGACCCAAATCCGCAGCCAGCAACACCAAATCCATTTCGATTCAGGACCACCTGCTAGAACAACCGGTCGTCGGACCCGCAACGAGCTACAGCACGCCTATTAAAAACACAGACAGCCAAGAGCGTGCGCTTACCCCTGACGGCCTTCCTCGTACGATTGGTTCCATTAGACTGAACTCGTCTCCCGTGCTTGACGAAAAGTCTGCCTCTCCAGTTTCTCAGCGCATGGTGACAGGAACATCGTCTTACCACGCCACACCCAACCTCAGACAGACCGTGCAGACTGCTGGACCAAACCACCAGGTTTTCACTCCCAGATCCATGCCACACAGCTTTCCAGCCCAGATGCACGGTCGTCGCATGACTGCCCCGACATCTCACCCTAGACCCGATATATCTTTCGCTTCAGCGCCTTCGACCCCATCCCACGTCCGCAGTGGATCTGGCAATATTTGCATCACCCCGAATGGCATGATGGGCAACAGCATTCGCAATCCTTACATGGCTCCCGTGACTCCCACCAGACAGTCAAGCAACCGTCGCAAGCGTCCTACCTCTGAAGTGGATGACCTTGATGAGTGCCCTTCTCCGGAGAAGAAGCAGCGCTAAAAGACCGGAACCAGCACGATCTTATGAAGCGTTGAACTTTTGATTCAACATTCTTCAGTGGCATATCAAGATATTAAAAGGATGCCTGCAGCTTATTTCCTCCCCTGCATCCCCTGTCCAGCGTTCTGCGTTTATGTGTTATCTTTTTACAGTTTTGGATTTGCGAATGTAGCACTTGGCCTTTTACCTTCCCCCGTTACCGATATTTCACTTCGTTCATGTCTTTCTCATCTATCCAATATCCATTTCTTTGTTCATGTCATTTTCATTTCACCTTTGCATTTTCCTTTTCTTTTCTTTTTATTTCCCCGGTTTTTCTTTTGTGTTCCATCTGTCACTTTATTTTCATCATTGGGCAGTTGGTTCTTCTTATTCCTTGGGATGATGTACTTACAGCTGCCACCATCACCTTTGGAAAAGGTAACACCTCCTCTACCTCGATTGAGCCCTCTTTCAATAGGTTTTTTGTCTCTCTGGATGTCCCCGGCCGATTGACTGACCGAGAGATTTTTATTCTACGGCAATCTGAAGATTACGATTGTCTGGCTTGAGCCAAATCTGACAGAGCTGATGCTCGTCCTCTTTTGAAACTGGTTTGATGGCATGTCTATAAGATGTGTCTCCGGTCTCCAGTACGATACACGACTTTTCGAAAGATGATTACCGATGACTTTCGTCTGGGTTTGTTTTGAGTATGAAACTGGTTTTCTTCTTTCTTCTTTTTCTTTTTCCTTTTTAAGAATCTTCTTTTAATGGCTTCTGGGTTTTATATTGGACTGTACTTTATTTTTTATCAGCACCGACTTGCCCGCCTTTATTTACAAAGGTTTAGTGTCACTTTTCGCACAGGGTATCTTTTTCATGTACAATAGAACGATTCACGCAAATCATGTTTCTAGAAAGAGGCACCTCTAAGCAGGTCGAATACCGAACTTCTCATAAGGAAAGTCCTCCAGAGTGCGGAGCAACACTGCGTAACCATCATCAAGTTCACCGGGGCTACCTGCCCCCTGCAGTCTCCACGCCTCCAACTCATCCGATTCTTTCTCCGCTGCAGACTTCTCCTCTTCCTTGTGCTGGCCCGTGAGTCCTGCAAGAACCTCTGCCTCACGGCCCTGGTAAGCCTCCAAAAGACCGGGGTGAGGACACCAAACCACTTGCATGCCGGCTCTGCGACCTGCCTCCACGCCAGGAACCGCATCCTCGAAGACGAGACACTCCTCTGGCTTGATCTCTGTTTCCCCCTTAGCCCTTAGATTCGTGTTGATAGTCTCCAGTGCCAGCAAATAGATATCCGGCAAGGGCTTTCCTCTCCCCTTTCCAATACGCGCGTCATCGCCCAGCACCCGCTGAGACTCGGGGAACGTAGTGAACAGGTCTGGGAGATGATCGGTCTTCAATTGACAATTCTTCCTGTGCGATGATGTAGCCAGGGCGACGTGAACAGGATGATCCGTGATATGGGTCGAGGCCAATTTGGACAGAAGAGTCATAACTCCGGGCAGCGGCTGAGATAGAGGGAAATATTGCGCTTGCAAGGCGGCTTGTTTCTCCAGAAATTCTTGCGGGGTAATTGGGAGTTTAGCCCAGTCGTGGAAGATCTTACCGGCCTGGTAGAAGAGAATTGTGAGATTATGTTATGCACAGCGATATAGATTGGGGACTTAGAAAGGTGGACGGTACCTGTGGTGCCGGTCGACCTTGCAATTGGGCCTTGATTGACCAGGGGAGGTTTGGTTTTCCGTATTCGTTAAGGATAGTATTCGTAACACAAGTGTATTTATCTTCTGAGTCGATCAGGAGACCATCCATGTCAAAAAGACATGCGCGGACGCGGGGCAACCTGGAGGAGGAATGTGAGTGACATGTCGCATTTGCGGGGTCTGAAGATAGCACCATGACTTACTCTGGAGTAGAAGATCCCATTTTTCTGAAATTGTGCTATGCACGGGAATGTACAAAGGTCAAAAGAAGGTGCACCTGAATGTTGCAAAGAACGACTGGGATGTTGTTGTACAAACTCAGCCCAGCGCGGGGAAAAGCGATCGGCAGATCGGGGCAACACCCCCGATTCCCCGACCAGCATACGTGGGTGGCTCCATCTGTTGTCACTATTGATGATCATTATTATTATTCTGCTGCAGAGACAAAATGGCTGGGAACGAAACTAGCAAAGATATCCCCCAGAAGGATGCAAAGAAACCCTCCGAGGACAGTGACAGCGAAGCGGAAGACGTATTTCACGATGCGCGATTCCCTGCTGAAGAAGAAGCCGTGAGTGACCAGCCCCTCTCTCATCTACCGGGCAGAAACTCACAGAGACAAATTTCACAGCGTCTCCTAGAAGAATCACAAGCGATCAAGAAAGAAGCGAATCAGCTTTTCACCTCTGCGTGCTATGACCAAGCCATTTCCTGCTACGATCGGGCCCTCGCCTCATGTCCGAACTACCTTGATTACGATGTCGCAGTCCTCCGAAGTAACATCGCCGCCTGCTACCTGAAAATGGAAGACTGGAAAGCCTCAGTCGACTCTGCAACAGCATGTATTGAGTGTTTGGACAGAGTGGAGCCGCCACCGACACAAGAAGATGCGGATAAGTCTGAGGAAAAGAAACAAGGCACAGGATCGACGGACCAGGCTGACGCCGTTGTTGAAATTTCGGGCGAGAATGAAGAGGCAGAGCAGGAGGAGCTGAAACGTTTACAGAAAATCGACCAAAGAAGACAGGATGTCATGCGGATACGGGCGAAAGCACTGCTACGACGTGCTCGGGCAAAGGCCCAGCTTGGTGGATGGGGAAACCTACAAGGAGCCGAAGAAGACTACAAGACACTGGCTTCTATGGATAATCTACCTGCGGATGATAGGCGGATTGTGCAAAAGGGTCTTCGAGAACTTCCCGAGAAAATCAACAAGGCACGAGAGAAGGAGATGGGAGAGATGATGGGCAAACTGAAAGACGTAAGTTCACTGAATTCGCTTGCCTTAAGATTAGACAGCGAGCTGACAATTTCATAGCTGGGAAATGGCATTCTCAAGCCATTTGGACTGTCGACAAATAACTTCAACTTTGTTCAGGATCCGAAGACGGGGGGCTACAGCATGAACTTCCAGTCTTGAACCTGCAGAAACATAATAGAGCATTATAGATGGAAGGTGATATAATTTGAGCGTATTAGTTTTGAGTATGTGCTTTCATTTGATTCAAAAACAGCAAATATCAAGGCGTTTGTTTCCTCTGGTCGATTTTGTACACGCCTCTACTTCCTATCTTGCTGCTAAACCTCGACAGCTTATGATATGATATAACCACCCTGGTTATTTTGTTCTCTTCTTATATCGCCGGGTCTATGGCGTTCACGATACTGAAGCTTGATGTAGCAGCAATGCGATAGACAAAAGTACCAAATATCGATGGCTATACCAGTAAATTAGACGCAAATCCAATCCAACAAAGATAAAATACTGCCCATTTGTCCATTGCTCGATCTTGAAATCTAATAAAGGCCTACGTACTCTACCCATGCAAAATTAATGTCTTCTTCGTCCATGTTGAGTGGATAACCCTAAGGAATTTCCCCGCTTGTTTTGGAGAAACTCCGTCAACAACCAACACACCAGCGAAAGAAAAACAACAATACCTTGCTAGTAATACGAAGACATAATGCGACAAATCATGGCAAGAATCTAGTGATTTTACTCGATGACTGATCGACAATGCTGCTAGAATCAAATGCAGTGCCAAAGTACAGTCCGTATATCCGACACGGAATTCCCCCGCTGATCGCTTCAACTGACATCTCCATCTCCCCCACCAGCTACCAATGACAACAATTCCGCTTAGAACAACGCTCAACGAACCCTCTTGTTAGGCACGAAAGCCTTTTTCCCCCTGGAGCCTATTCCTCTAAGTCTACCGAGCAGTGGAACCCCCCGGGGCCCCTCGCTATTATTTTAACTACCCCAACGCCGCACCGACCATGGATTCTTACATCGATTATCTATCTAGGTCTGAAATTGGTGGAAGTATAGACAATAATGGCCGCTGTACTCAAAACTACTTTTCTAGGAGACATTCGTGGTCGACAAGATGACAGTGTGACACAGTACCTGGGTATCAAATATGCTACTCTCAAGGATAGTTTTGCGAGCGCAGAACTCATCGAGAAACGCGAGGGCGATATCCTCGATGCAACCAAGGATGGGTAAGAGATGATTTAGTTGCGCCATTTATAAAATTACGCTGACAGATGGATTCAGACCTACTGCGGTCTCTCCTTTGCTTGGATGCGATCTTGAGCAGAGTGCTATCCAACATTCTCTCCCCAAGAAAGACCTCCCTCAGTCAGAATTGGACTGCCTCAACTTGAACATAGCCATCCCAGAAGGCACCACCACTTCCTCAAAACTTCCAGTTTTCGTTTATATCCATGGAGGGGGATTTATGATTGGTGCCAATTCGTGGCCACAATTCGACTATACGCGCCTTGTCAAATTGTCCGTGGAGAAGAATCTACCCATTGTTGCGGTCTCTATCAAGTATGGTGCCTTCACCGACCATCTTTTACACTGCTAACAGGTTAAAGCTATCGATTGGGCGTGTTTGGATTCTTAACCTCCAATGACCTTCGCCAGGCTGGATACAAAGCCAACAACGGTCTCCGTGACCAGAGAGTCGCCTTGGAATGGGTGCAAAAGCATATCTCAGATTTTGGTGGAGATCCAGAGAATGTGACTTTAGCGGGAGAGAGTGCCGGAGGAGGTAAGTCATGCTGATACATTCTGCAATCGATTATCGATTAAGATATTGATAAAGCCATTATCTTCTAGCTTCTGTCACATATCACCTCCAATCGGATAAAGCACTCTTTAGACGAGCAATTTCGATGAGTGGGACTAATTTTCTAATTAAGCCTCTGCCTTTGGCCATGCATGAGCAGAATTACAAGCAGGCAATTGCGGCATTGGGATTGACAAACGCGAGTACGGAAAGAAGACTCAGCACCCTTCTCAAGACCCCAGGACAGGACCTAATCGCTAGGATCCCACAGTCTGCCCTGTCTCTTCCTGCCATTGATGGAGATATTGTACCCTCCACACTTGCTACATATGCGCAGACGGCAGACAGGGATGCAGATAATCCAATGGGCAAGGCTTGGTGTGAAGATCTGATGATTGGTAATACTCAGATGGATGTAAGTCTATGTGACAAATTACTATCAATGGCTAGCTAACAGGGTCTTGACTTTAGACCAGTATCTTCACTGTTATGATGCCCCATCTCAAGAAAAATTGTGCCAAAAAGTTCATCAATGCCATACACACCGTTCTTGCAGATAATCTGAGCGTAGCCAATCAGATTCTGGACAAATATGGCATCACCAATGCCACAGAAGACGAAGAAGCATTCTATGCTGCTCTCAATTATATCAATGACACCTCCTTCTTCGCCCCTGTCTTAACCTTTGCACGGGGCTGGAGAGGAAATGCGTACGTTTATTACTTCAACGAGGGAAACCCGTGGGATGGTCCATGGAAGGACAAAGCATCCCATATCCTTGACGTCGCCTATCTATTCCAGAACTTCCGGGAGTTCCTTTCGCCAACGCAACAGGCTGTCGGAAGCGCCTTTGCGGAGGATTTCTTCAAGTTCTGCCACGGAATTGCTCCATGGCCTGCAGTTAAGGGAAGTGACATTACCAAAGACTTTACTGCGCGGGTCTACGGTCCCAGCTCCAAAGGAACAACGGCGGGGGAGGTCACGCAGCCTTACGGTGGTCAGAGCTCACGAAGAAGCATCCTGTTTGATTTTGTTGACCAGGTGTCATTGGATGACCTGGCGGCGGTGTCTGCCGTTTTCATGTCGATGGAGTAAGGCCTATACTGTCATGATGGAATTTCAATCGACATAAGGGCCTTTCTTCTACTATATACAGGAATCTCCTACAAGCGTACCTTAGAATTACTTCGGGAAAATGAGACAACTACACAAAATAGAAGAGCCATTAGTATATCACATCGCTCTCACTAAGATGCTTCAGTAGCCTCTTTTGAATGTTACCTGTCGACCTAGAGTCAAGCGCTGTGAGAAGTCATCCGGAAGCATAATCTCAATTTGAACAATATAGTCCGGCAATGGATCCCTTCCATCGGTGTGTCCTTGAGTAAAATATTCTCAGAAAGAGAAGCATCTCTGGTGGTTCTTAAATTTGTCGAAAAATTGAAGCTGTAAGATCCATTGTTTGCGACATGTGCGTAGAGTTCGTCGAATTTTATGGGAACCATGGTCTATAATTGATTTACCAGATCCATTAAGACTGAGCATGATCATACTCGATGTGCTGGGGTATGTAGGAAGCAGGTTGAAACGGGTTGATTCAAAGCAACTGAGAGCATCTTTATTAGCGCCATTTCAGCAAAATAAGGCCAGCGTAGAAAGGAGGTATTTGGATATAACATCAAGATCTGTAGTTGTTGTAAGAGGTTTTTCGTGGTGTTTGGCGTTTGTTGAATGTTGACTGTTTGTTGCTTGGTGTTTCTCTTCCTGCACGGAATTCCTCCTCCATCCTGCAGCTATCAACACCACCTGGCCATCACCCATTTCCATCCAGCTATTGGCACAAAACCACTTGATCCATTATTCTTTCGTCAAACAAGTCATTTCCATGACTTTTTCCGTTTCCACCAGCCGAGCAACAAGAACCAAAAATCCACACGCGGTGGAACTCTCCGCAAAGCCCCACCGAGGCCTTCTAAGAATCAGGACAAGTTGGAGGCAAAAGAGTGACCCCGGGAATTGACTGGGAGCATTTCAGCCGAATGGACCGAGAATGAAGAAGGAGGGGCGGTGACAGAAGACAGGGGATACAATGACGCGAGTTTCGATGGCTTCGTGGACTCCTATCCTCATCTTCACCATCATTATTATCCAAGGTAAACATGGCACCTCCGCAGTTTCATCATCAAGGCCTTAATGCCACTTTTACTGGGATTGAGAGAAATGTTGAAGGTGTTTCGGTCCATCAGTTCCGGGGAATCAAGTATGCCAGTATTCCAGCGCGATTTGAGCGGGCTCAGCCTGTGAATGGTTTCGATGGATCGGTTGTCGATGCCACAGAATATGGGTATTTCTTTTCCGTGCCTGCTGCATGAAATACAATATTCTTACAATTGAACAGCCCACGATGCCCCCAGGCCGATGTTGATGTACGACACCTGCTTCGCATCCCCGAGGATTTTGAGATAGCAAATGAGCCAGAGGATGAATTCGAATGCTTGAATTTGGATGTTAACGGTCCTCCTGTGTCTTCTGTCAAGGAACCGCTGCCAGTTATTATTTGGATATACGGTATGGTTCATTTGAGCTTTATCAATGCAGTAATACTGATCCTAGTCTATAGGTGGTTCTCAAGTTGTTACATTTTGTTCAGCTGCTTCCAAAATCTGCGGTACGAGATACTCTTGACCGTTGATCCAGTTACAGAGACTGACGATTTTTGACCAATAGACCCTACCAAGATCGTTGCCGATTCAATAAAAGCCGACAAGCCCATCCTTTTTGTTTCCCTCAACTATCGGCTGAATATTTTCAGTTTTGGTGATGGAAAGGAGAAGAATCTTGCCATAAAAGACCAAAGACTGGCCATCGGTTGGGTGCGAAAGCATATCGCTGGCTTCGGTGGTGACCCGGTGAGTACTTGCATGAACATGCCTCTACATTATCTTTTTCTGACTCGCCACCAGAACAATATCACCCTTGCTGGAGAGAGTGCTGGAGCAGTTTACGTCCACGCACACCTGATTACTGGGCCTCCAGTCAAACGAGCAGTATTGGCATCCGGATCCCTCTACCTGTCATCACCATTGCCCGTTGAGAGAGGTGATGGTTTGATCAAAACACTCGAAGCGAAGGTCAAAGAACTCGGGCAGCCATCGCTGCGCGAATCCTCTGTGCCTGCCCTTATAAGTGTTTTGAAAGAATCCAACGTAAACACAATGTGGATACAGGAGGATGCAGAGCTTCAGAACTGGGAAAGCAGGCCCGAACAAGTCGATGAGCTCATGATAGGCGACGCTGAATTTGAGGTACGTTACACACCCTTTTCTCATCACCTGGAGTCTTTCTCACTGGATCTTTATAGTCTGTGATTTGGAGAAATGGCATCGAGACCTTCGATGGAGAAACTATCGCCGCTGCGTTCGAGAAAGACCCGACATGGGGCTCCAAATTACGGAAGATGTACCATGTCGTCGCTGACCGTCCTACAGCCTCCAAATTGGGTGCTTTGGACTTTGTCAACGACACGCGTTACACACTTCCTGTCGAAGTTGTTGCTAACAAGCAGAATGCCGTGAATAAGCGCGTTTTCAAGTATGTGGTTGATCAGCCCAACCCTTGGCAGCCATCCAGTCGATCCCACCATGCGGTTGACCTTCTGTTCCTCTTTGGAGGGGTTGACCTTTCATTTAACCCCGCTGCAGATGCTGTTGGGTATGAAATGAGGGGCCGCTGGATTCAGTTTATGAACGGCCAGGCTCCCTGGTCCGAGGAACGGCGGTTTGCATATGGACCGTTTGGGGAGTGCAAAGAGATCACCGAGACGCAGTTTGCTGAACGACGCAGAGTTGGGCACCTCAAGATGCTAGGAGAAGCTGGGGTTGAAGTGTATCTGCCAATTTTATTTGCTCTGACTGCTGGGAAGATCAGTTTGCTCAATTAGATGCTATCCATCCTTGTATATACATACATAGTGCAGGATCTTCGTCGTACAACCAACGTTAGAGATAGCTTTCATGAGACAGAAATAGTACAGGATATTTATTTCCAGCCTATAGACTGCTGTTAATTGAGCTGTTTTTCTTGTGTTACCACCGTAATCGATGCCACAATAATCCCTTCCTTCAGACCGCAACGCCTCGGCAGTTGAGATTCTCGACAAACTCCCGTCCGCCCAAAACCTCACATCGCCTCTCCACGAGACCAACACCACCTCCACCGTTACTCAGACCTGACTCATGTGGGGTCAATATGACCACGAGATGTATCCAGATGGCCCAGCCTTGGAAATCCTGCGATGATGTCCGTTCTCCACCTGCGATCTCACCTTCCAAGCTCCACCGCTACAGACACTCGGCAAAGCGAGGCCTCCCCGACATGCCGAAAAGCGACAACAACGCAGTCTTGAGAGCACTGGCTCTTCTCAGTCATGGCTTATCAAGATGACCGGCACTCCAGTTCCGTTCTTGGTTTCGTCATATTCTCCGTATTCCAAAGGACGCAATTTTTGGCCTCGGGGGGAATAATTCGTTTGTGACCCCACAGGCAAATAATGGATCTGGAGAACGGAGTATATATGGGGATGATGACTCCCTCCTGGGATGTCTATCTTACGATCGAGGATTAGTTACTTTGGTTCGAAAAGTCTAGTCTTTACCCTTTATTCTATACGGTCATCATGGCTCCTTCAACAAGCACGCTGTCAGACCCCCAGGAATATCAGAAGATCTTCCACTGGGCAGAAACACAAAAGGATGGCACCATTCCGTCCTTTAACACGAGACGGAATGATCCTTATGAGGTATGTTGCTCAGACCTGTTCTTGGATACAATTGCTAACGTTTACTACAGTATCAAGCCGGCTTTGGCAATTCGTATGTGCTAAAAACACCACATAATAACAACTCTACATCCAGCGATTCAACTGGCTGATGTACAACTATTTTCAACAACAGATTTGTCTCCGAGGCTGTTCCAGGCACCATTCCACAGGGTCAAAACAGTCCTCGCAATGTCCGATTTGGCTTGTATGCGGAGCAGATCACTGCAACCGCTTTCATTGCTCCTAGACATTCTAACAAGAAGGCATGGTTGTACCGTGCTCGTCCGGCTGTCGCTCACCAGGGATTTGTACGTGGAAGATAACAATCAATAGAAGGAAGATGCCGTACTAACGTCGCTATCAGACCAACCTTCCCGACAATGGAGACACCGAGTCCAACTTCATGCCCCTGAACCCCCGAGTCCATGTCTCTCCGACGCAGCTGGCATGGCACCCGTTCGACATCCCCACCGAGGGTGAGGTCGACTTTGTCTCTGGCCTCAAGACCGTGGCTGGATCAGGAGAGCCAACCTTCCGAGAGGGCCTGGCCACTCACGTCTATACCGCTAATACTAGCATGACCAAGAAAGCCTTTGTGAACTCTGATGGAGAGTTCCTTATTGTTCCCCAGCAGGGTGCTTTGGACATTCAGACCGAGTTCGGACCAATCTTTGTTCAGCCCGGTGAGATTGTTATCATCCAGCGTGGCCTTCGCTTCCGCGTCGAACTGCCCGATGGTCCTTCTCGTGGTTATATCCTTGAGGTTTGGGGTACTCATTTTGAGCTCCCCGAGCTGGGGCCTTTGGGTGCTAACGGTCTGGCCAACTCTCGGGACTTCTTGACTCCTGTTGCCCAATATGAGATTACCCAGGAGCCGTGGGAGATTATCTACAAGCTTGGTGGCAAGTTTTTCCGTAGCACACAGAACCACAGTCCTTTCGATGTGGTTGCCTGGCACGGTAACTATGTATGTCTTCAGATCCTGTTTTGTTTAATCGCTAATTCTCTCCAGGTACCATACAAATACGACCTGACCAAGTTCGTCAATGTTGGCTCCATCTCCGTCGACCACATCGATCCCTCCATCTTTTGTGTGCTCACGGCCAAGTCCCGCGACCTCAATGCACCTCTGGCCGATTTCCTTATTTTCTCTCCCAGATGGGATGTTGCTTCGCGTAAGTCATCCCCCGATGGAAGGATATAAAGCAGGTTACTCACTAGTTATCGACAGACACCTACCGACCACCATACTACCACCGCAATGCTGCATCAGAGTTGATGGGTTTGATCTACGGAGGCTACGGTGGACGCTCCGATGCCTTCCAGCCGGGCAGTGTCTCTTTTGAATGTGGAAGTAAGTACCACCAAACTTATATTTGTTATCAAGATACTAATATGAATCCAGTGGTTCCCCACGGTGTCGCCTATGAAGAGTTCAAGGCAGCCACAGAAAACGAGCCGCCTGTGTCGCGCATCTCGGAAGCATCAGTCGCTTTCATGTTCGAGTCCAGTCGCCCATTCACCATCACTGAGTATGCATGGAACAGCAACAAGAAGCACGAGCATGAGCCGAAGATGTGGGATAACCTTGTGGACAATTTCTCGAGCCACGCTAAGGAGGTGGAGGAGATCCTAGCGAAGAAGGCCCAGGGATATCGCATCTAGGATGATCAATTTCTGGTTGATTACTTCTGTTTATTTAGCGTTGCTCTTCTGCATAACATTGTATTGTAAATAGTTGATATCAAACGAGTATTGTCTTTGAGTATGAGCAAGCCATAAGTCTATTGCGGGCTATAACTTATAAGCAGCCTATAATACTGTTTATAATATTAAAAATTTCTTTACTGGTATTGCAATGCTGTAATGCGTAAAGTCAAGGACAACTGTGGTCCCAACTCTCTTGTGGAGCCGTGGCCTTGGACCAGTTACCCGATTGGGAAGCGAGTGAGCATCTCAGATCTTCTCCCTCTGCACTCAGATCTGCATCTCTTTTTAATCTACCCACTCCTCTCAATGCCATAAAACCAACATTAACACCAATTCCGTCGTTTCACGATCATTTGCATCCATGACGCCCTCTAATCTGACCCCACGACGAAAACTACGGGAACCCAATATGGGAGTGGTAAAGGAAACTGGAACATTCTTGACTGCGGAGAAATATCCCACTGGTATCAGGTGTGTCTATACAGTAGAAAATGATGATTCCTACTTGGACAGCAGACTGACATTCCTCGCGTTGCCTAGTGACGATCACAACAATATTGGACTTTTTATCGACGCATGCGTCCATTTTGTGATGAAACCCAATTTTTGCATATAAACTGGCTGTTTGCGGAAAAGGGCAGAACAAGAAAATCTTGAAAGTGATCATCGCCAGATCTTGTCGATATCACGAACATACATCTTATTCTCTTCTGCAAAATGGGAGGACCATATCGACCCAAAGAGGCCCTCGTTGGAGGAGTACCAACAGTCAAAGTCGATATACCGATATGTGCAGTCTTCCTTGCCCTCTTCGTGGGAGGCGCCGTCTCCCATATGGGCCTATTTCGACACAACATGATGAGGAAACATAAGTTCATTCCATCCGCTGTGACTTTTGGTTTTTGCATGTCTCGTATTTCTGCAAACTCGGTCAGGATTGCCTGGGCGTGTCATCCAGAGAACCTTCAGTTGGGGATCGCGGCCCAGATCTTCGTCGCGGCCGGTGTTGTCCTCCTGTTTATCTTGAATCTGCTCTACTCGCAACGGATGCTACGCGCAGCGCACCCACATGTTGGTTGGACACGACCGGTGTCTCTAGCCTTCAAGCTTCTTTATCTGCTCATCATCCTCACCATCGCAATGGCCATCGTCGTGACCGTGCAGAGCTCGTATAGCTTGAATAACAACACCCACCGGATCGACCGAGATGTCCTGCTATACGTCTCCACTTTCTTCGCTGTGGTCACTTTCCTACCTCTCCTGATAGTCCCCACCGTTCTCATATGCCCGCGAAGAAACGAGCGCGTCGAGAAATTCGGGAAAGGCAGCTGGCGAGCCAAAGCCGCCATCATCTGTTTGGTGGCCGTTTTGCTCTGTCTAGGCGCTTCATTCCGCGCAGCCACAGTATGGGAACCGCCTCGACCAGCTGGTGATCCGGCCTGGTATCACAGCAAGGCAGCATTTTACGTATTCAACTTCACCCTGGAGATCATCGTCGTGTACATATACCTCTTCGTCCGCATGGACCTGCGTTTCCACGTGCCCAACGGCAGCTCCAAGGTGCGACACTACCGTGGCAACTTCCAGGATTTAGCCACGGAACAACCCGAGAGCAGCCCAACAGACGAGAAACAAGAGGACCGAAAAGAAGGAGAAAATGTAGAACAAGAGGTGGAGGTCAACCGGGACCTTGAAAGCAGCGGTGTCAGTCTCTCTGAAGTCCCTATTACCTCGCAAAAGGAACAGCCTGGGAAGACGGTCGATTCACTCCCCAGCTCACAGGAACCAGAGCATAGCGCAGAACAAATCACTGAGATCCGGGAGTGATGTTGCTGTTAGTCTCTTTAGTAGTATTTGACAAAGGTTACAGCGAGGGAGTCTGGTGTTGGGATTTATTCACTTATCAACTTGTTCTTCAACAGGGCATATATACAGTCGCTCTCATAATAATAAGTAATAATTCATGTACTGCATTCAATCAATCAATCAATATTATCCATCTTCAACTTACTCCAGTCCAAACAATATGACTTCAACCCTATGTAAACATGCGGTTATATCATACCACCCCCCACGTCCAGATATAGACGCTCACCCACCACATTAGCACGATTAGTACGTACTACAATCCAACTCCACAACCCAGCCAGCCAAAATGACCACATCCCAAGACCTCGAAGCCCCCAACCTCTTCAAAGTCGCCGGCTACGTCGCCGTCGTGACAGGCGGCGGAAGCGGGATCGGCCTCATGGCCGCACAGACACTAGCAGCGAACGGAGCACGGGTATACATCATCGGACGAAGAGAAGAGGCTCTCCAAACTGTTGCAGAGAAGTATTCGTCGAAAGGGGAGATTATACCGTACGTAATTCTCCCTGCCCGGACAAAAAGCACGAGGTATATTGCAGTGCACTGCATGCTAACTGTTAATCAAGTCTCCCCGGAGACATCTCCCATACAGACGGTATACAAGGCCTAGCAGCATCACTCGCCAACCTCGAAGATAAAGGGATAAACATCTTAATCAACAACGCGGGTGTCTCCCCGGAGCCAACTGCAAAAGCCAAATTATCAACACTAGACTTTACAGACTCAGACGCAGTCTCAAGATGGATGACCAACGATGGGCCTGAGGCCTGGCGGATCGCATACGCGGGAAACGTCGCCGCGCACCAGTTCCTTACGGCCGCATTGTTGCCTTTACTCGATAAAGGGGCGAAAGCGGCGCCGGGACATACAAGTGTCGTGGTGAATGTGGCGAGTGTGGCTGGGTTGACTAAAACGCATTCACAGGGTCAGTTTGCGTATTCGTCGAGTAAGGCTGCGTTGTTGCATTTGACGAGGGAGTGGGCGCATGCGTTTATGGGTTTGAGCATTCGGGTGAATTGTATTGCGCCGGGATTGTTTCCGTCGGAGATGAGTACGGGCTGGTCGGATGAGAATCAGAAGTCGTGGTTGGGGGATGCGGGGAAGAAGTTTCCTGCTGGTGAGTTATTTTTTCTTCAAGGTCTTGTCTGGGTGTATTCGTTTGCTGATGGTGTGGCAGGGCGTGTAGGACGAGAATCGGATATTGGCAGCGTTGTGCTGTATCTCTGCAGTCGCGCTGGAACTTATGTCAATGGTCAGGTAATTCATGTCGATGGAGGTGAGGATATTTCTTTCTGTGGCCTGTCAGTCTGCTAATCCGCTCCAGGGCTGCTTTTGAAATCCCCTGCCACCATGTAGTCGTGGCTCCTACTTGGATATCGTTGTTGCTATTTATGAGCTTGCAGGTAGCCAGGATGAGAGATTCTGCAGCTAGAAAATCTTGCGAACGTATTTTATTTTCATGAATGGTATCAACACGGCCAGAAATACGGACATACAATTACCAGGCAAGCGCGCCCTCCTGTATGCTCCTTCCAATATCCCAGTAGCCCTCTCTAAGGGTCCGAGGATCTCAAACTTGCCAGAGGTAAAAGGAAAACATCTATCAGATCACAGGAAATAATCGGGGGTACGTCTCGAGACCATGGGTTCTCCAGCCCGTGGGCAAGGGTCGAATTGTAGGCTGAGAGAATTAATTAGCAAGACAACAGTAACACCTTTTGAAAGAGTCACGTACAATGTATACTTCAGATGCTCATCAATCTCCATAATTGCGGCTTGGTTACCGCAGCGGTAACAGTAGTTGGGCGCTAAGACATCGGTTAGCAATGCACGTCCCACGAGGGGTAGAACAGCCATACCTGAGAAAATGGTAACAACGTTTCTGTCCTGCGACCAGTTATATCCTTCCATTACCAGTTGGTGCGCCCGTGCAACCAGAGTCAAGCCATTGTTGTGATTAAACGCCTCTGAGATATCCTGCCCGAATGTGTATCCAGCACCACGAGGAGAGATACCCCAGCCACATCGATCGTCGGGATCACTCCAAAGCAAGTCACACATGGGTCCCTCGTGCGGAACCTCCTGGATACGGTCCAGAGACCGGATGTTGTCTAGAGTGTCGATCGACGGACTCAGACCGCCGTGCAAACAGAAGATCTGGTTCTCGATGAGTGCGGTGAGAGGAAGGTAGTCAAAGAGGTCGGTAAAGTATTTCCAAACGTTGGCGTTGCCATATTTGCGCAGGCACTCGTCGTAAAATCCGTAGACTTGTGTGATTTGTCGGGACTCGTGATTTCCTCGGAGGATGGTGATACGCTGGGGGTAACGGATCTTAAGGCAGACAAGGAGAGTAACCGTTTCAACGGAGTAGTAACCACGGTCGACGTAGTCACCTGAAGACAAATCATTAGCCAAGGGGAGGAGCCGAATATATGAAGGTCGAGTGATAACCCACCCATGAAAAGGTAGTTTGTGTCAGGATTGGGACCTCCAATGCGGAAGAGTTCCATTAAGTCATGAAACTGGCCGTGTATGTCACCACAGACAGTCACTGGGCATTTCTGCAGATCATATGTCAATTACTACTATCCAAACAAATTGCCTCCTCATCCATAAAGGAAACCCGGGGCAAAAGAAAAAACAAGGCAACGTACCACTGGCTGGACGTTCGACTCCTCCTGCAATACCTCTCGTGCCTGCAGTCAAAAGAACCCCATAATTAGAAACAACATCCAATTTTATCCAAGAACCAAGCCATATGGGAGGTCTAAACCCACCCGATCACACAGTCTCCGAACATCCTCTTCCGCTAGTTGCTTGCATGTCATCAAGTTTTCAATCCATCCGTCGAGTGTCGGTATAGAACCGGTGTCGGTTATCGGAGAAAGGAGGTGTGGCTCGGGGGAGCGCGCCGTGTCAATTTCCATGTTGTTGTCCATTGAACTGTGTGCACAAACAAGGAAAAGGGGGAGCTGAGGGCAATAAGAGCTGACAAGGCGGAGGGGCGGGAAACTGGGTCTCGTGCGGGTGACAAGGCTTTTTTTGTGATTCTCTCTCTTTTATCTCTCGCGACGCAAGAATCCACGAAAGGAGGAATAAATTAAGAAGACAAAAAGAGAAGAAGAAAGATCAAAAGAGTAAAGAAGGAAAATCGATTCCTGTTCGCGGGGTGGGATGGGATGTTGGGGGATTTGGGGAGGGATGGGGATGGAGGGGGAGGAGAGGAGAGCTGGTGGTGCGAAGGGGAGGTTCGCTGGTCGTTGCTCGACGCCAGACTGGGTTGGGCAGTGGTAGCGCCACACCGACAAGCCACACACCCCAGACTGCGCATCCACCAGGATAATCAAGGAAATTTATTGCTACTACAGTGCAGATCGGGCCTTTTACTCTACGCCAGTCTAATAATATCATCATCATAACACGTTGTCATATCGCATTCGAGTTTTTGCCCTACCAGCTTGGCACGGACATTGAGCTTAGCCGCGCGCTTAAATGATGTCACCGCCAAATCCGCCAAATCCTCCGCCAGAGCCGCGTCCAAATGGTCCTCGTCCGCCGCCAAAGGGGCCTCCTCCTCCAGGCCCTCCAGGTCCTACGGGATCATATCGAGACCCAGGTGGTGCTTGGGGGTTATAGCCTCCGCCTTGGCCACGACCAAACAGGTCGTCAAAGGTCGGGTGCATCCCGCCTCCGCCCCCGCCCCCGAGGCCAGGACCAACGCCCCCTCTAAGAGGATCGTTAGGACCTAATCCAGGTGGGTACAGATCTCTATCTCCAATAGTCGGGTTCCTGCCTCCTCCATTGCCTGGGTTGAAACCTCGGGGCGGTCTGTAGATCTCAAATTCATCCTCAAACCCTGGCGGGGCAAAATCCCCAGGAGGGGCTGGGCGACGGGGACCTGCCGCCAAGGGATCATCAAACGGATATGGGCGAGCAGGTTGTGGAAGAGTATCATCCCTCAAAGGGTCATACTGTGGGGGTCTCTCTGGCTGTCTCTCTGGTCTTTCCCGAGGTACTTGGGTTGTGTCCTCGTATCCTTCCTTGTACAATCCGGGGGCCAGTTTTTGGATGACATTTATTTTGAATAGCCCGATCAGATCATTTAGTCTAGAAGTAGAGATGAAAACGTCCCTAAGGCTCTGTGTAAGATTGTCGGTAGAGGATAGTGGGAGGGCAGACTCGGAGATGTAGTCCTTGACCGGGATGTCAAAGGACGTGGTCCTATCATCACCCAAAGCCAACGCGAATACAACTGCATTATTCCCTAGCCGGCTAATCTTGACCAGATACTCCATCGAAGATTGTGAGTGAGCATATCGAAAGGCAAACGTATCGTTAGCATTCCATTCCGCCGGCAGAGTGGGGCTTTCAGAAGAGTTTCCTGTCGAGTTTGAATCAGTTAGTCAAGTCATGATAAACCGAAAACAAGCAGCTGCCACAAACCTATCCTGTGGTCCTCGCCCAACCCGACCAGCCTGAAATCGATGGCAGCCATGCATGCATGACCAATGAGAGCAATAGCTTCATAGGGTGTTTTGAGACTAGGTTGGGCCTCGCCATCTCGACGAACAGCTTGAACCGCAAGGCCCAAGATATTGTCTGGGTTTAGAGCATTTGTATTTCCAGCCATTTTCAAATAGATGATTCCTCAAGGATAGTAATGTAAGCAAAAGAGCTGAATCAACGATGATGGCGAGGCTGCAATAGACGTCACTCGGAACGGAGAAAAGAGGGTCCCCATGTGCAATTAGTACAAACACCCCACATTCACGTGCAATTGTTTATTGTGCACGCGAAGTATACGTCGACCTCAACATTCAGTATAAGGCACCAGAATATGCTAAATCAAGGGAAAGGGATTTATTTTTCTACTAAATATTGGATACCTGAAGCTTTTTAGTCTATACGGGATTAAGTTGTGTGAAAATCTTTAGAACCCATCCATAACAACCATATATATCTGTGCGGGGAACAACAACCAACCTCAAAATTGTACTTTATAGTATTTATATTTTATTTCTTTTAGGATAGATAAAGCATTCAAGTTACCTACCATCAAGTAGGCTATTTCAATCCAAGGTATACACTTTTAATGTTTCTTTACGTTGTTCTCGAAGCTCTGACAATACTTAGGAGGGAACTAGACGACAACGCGAACATCGGACAACCAAAGGCAATACATGCTAATTTGAGCTTGGTGAGATGAGCCTCTCTGCTGTCTCTGTTTTAAATGGCCCCCAGATGATGAGTGATAGAGTCATTGTCTTTAAATAGATGCACAGCCAAAATCTTTGGCTTTTTTAAATTGGGTCAAAAGATATTCCGGGTCGCGCATTGCTTTCGAAGACACCAGACTGCATTAAACTTTAGGACTCATCAAAAGTTTAAGATACCTTAGTTATAGGCCGTGCTGGGGCGAGTAAAGATATGAAGATACAGATATGTCCAAACGAAACGAGTGGAGCGGCTGGAGGAAGTTCTGGTATCGTTTGCCTCTGGTCTGATAATGATAGATGTCTAGCCTAGAGACGATGTTAGTCATTTGAAAAGAAAACTGCTATATTGGAAAACAGGTATAATCTCTGTTTGATTGAACAGATCCTTGGTAGAGAGTAATTCACACTAGATATCGCTGCATCCATGCCATCTGTAGACATATCAGTATACCTCCTGTACATCTCTTTTCTTCCACCGTACCTCGCAGACTCAGACCCAGCCCATCGCAGAGACAGCAGCACCTACAGCCCTGCCCTAATCACATGACCCCTCCCCTAGGAACATATCATTCACCATTAGCAGAAGCCAGCATCAAACCCAGGGTGACTAGTGCAGTGGTCTATTCAACATATCCCCTGTCACAATACACAGAAGTCCTGGGTTCGAACCGCGCTGTCGAGATCTTCTCCAGCACCTTTCTGCGGTTTGTTGCAAACTCCCATATAACGTTAGACCTCACGGTATCGGCTGGGGGTCTCCACCTTATGGGGTTTCGTAGCCTTTGGGTATAAAGCCAGTTTGGTCTCCCGGGGTGAGCTTTTTTACTTCTGGTTGATTTTTTATTTTCTTCGTTGGTTGTGGTGGAGGGAGAGGGGGAAAAGATTTGATGTTGGGCGGTTTGCTGAGGGTTTCCTTTATGGGAAGTGGGTGGGAGTCGCACTTTGCGGCAATCTGCTTACTTAAGGAAGGACACTGTGTATATATAAACACGGTAATGATATTGTCACAAACAATAATACTACTAGGTAATGATAAAAAGTAATAATATCTTATAAATTACAGCATGGCCTTGGGGAACTTCTTGAAGGCCTGTCTCACTCCCAGATCTGCCAGGATCTCCTCAGTACCACCCAGAATGGCATCGAACTTGTACGTGCGGTGGAACATCTCGATGATTCTGCCCATACCGGTCTGGGTGATACCACGTCCTCCAAAGATGTTGGTTGCCTGGTCGGCAATCTCCTGTGCAGCCCGGGTGGCATGCGACTTGAGCAGACCGATGGGACCGCCCAGGTTGGCGGCTTGCTCGGCGTATGTCATGTTGCACATCTGGTAGGCGATGGATTCGAGCCACGCTTGGTTAGCCTCGCAGAGGGAGATCATATGAGCGAGCCTGGATTCAGTTAGTTAAGTTTGGACAGGCAGAAGGGAGGGTGAGAATTACTTTTGTCGCATGACTGGCTGTTCAATCAACCGCTTTCCAAAGACAATTCGCTGGTTGCACCATTTCATGCACTCCTCGACCACTGTCATGGACATGCGCACCACGCCGCAAACCATCATGTAACGTTCGTGGTTGAAGTTGCTCATGATCACGATGAATCCCTTGTGCTCCTCGCCCAACAGATTTTCCACAGGGACCTTGACGTTTTCAAACTGCACGAATGCCGTAGCTGCTGCAGTCGAGTAGGAAGTCTTGATCTGCTTGGTTTCGACATTGTCGTCACGGGGAATCAGAATAACAGAGAAGCCCTTTTCTGTTCGACAGCCAGTGACAAAGTAGTCGGCAAACATGCCGTTGGTGATCCATTTCCTAGAGAAGATCAGCATTTCGTTCGACTAATGGGCCGTGTATGGGCACATACTTGGTACCGTTGATAATGTAGTGCTTCCCATCTGGCGTCTTCTCAGCCGTTGTGCGAAGCCCTGCAACATCACTGCCCGCAAAGGCCTCTGTAATGGCCAGACACATCTTCTTCTTGCCGGACAAGACCTCCTGAGTGATCTTCTCACGTAAGGGGACGTTTCGAAGCCATTGCTGGACCGCCGTCAAACTGATGGCCATACCAGCCATGTTTCCATCTGAGAAACCTGCAATGTGTCAGTTCATCTAGATCGTATAACAACAAGAAAAGGAATACCTCTAGCATTTGCCCGGACCAACTCCTGCGCAATGACCAAATCATGCAAATAATCAAACTCCTTTCCATCAACGGCACCGCCCAACAAATCCCGTCCATGCAGATGCTTCCCTGGTCCCAATCGCATAGCCAAAATATTTGTCTCGGCCATCCGATCAATCAACTCCTGACTGATATACGTTCCATCCTTCTCCTTCTGCTGCGCCTCAGGGGTGACATACAAATCCGTGAACTCGCGCACGGCCTTCTGCAACCGCCGATGACTGTCCTTATAATAAGGACTCTTGAACTGCGATCGCAACCACAAGGGCTCCGCATACGGCACCGGACTCAAACTCCCCGGAACAGACTCGATAACTTCGGGCTTTTCCCCTTCAATGGTCCCGATGCAGAGATCGCGGTACTTGTCGAGGACTTCCTGACGGTGTAGGTTGTAGAATTCCGTCGTCGCATCTTTTCCAGCTACCTGGTTCAAAACGACACTGCCGCCTGGATGGGCGTCGAGGAAATCGGTGAGATCATAGACGCGGTGGTCGATGATGCACCAGACTGAATCCTCGCTGTTGTGTTGCGCGACTTCGGCGCGGGCGAAGGTTTTGGCCATTTTGTTTTCTTTCTCTTTCTTTTTTCTGGTCTATGAAGCTGTAGAATAGAACCGATGACGAACTGGAGGACTTGGATTTGTGATTATTTAGATGCACCGGCGAGAAATCCAATGAGAAAGTGGCAATAACTAAGGAGAGAGAGAGAGGAAGAGGAGAAACCAATCATGCGGGGATGATAATTAATCTGGAGGATGGAACGTACCGAGGACCGAGGCGATGCTGTTGCTACCCTGAATATCATGATCTCATATGTACAAGCTCCCAATCTATCAGAAACCATCGAAATGGCTTTGGCGAAATGCTGCTTAATTGTTCCTGCAGCTCGTTTTCTTACCGCTACTAACGTCCCCTGTGTCTACTGTAAAAAAGACCTCAAATTGAGCATGTGGTATATACAGGTATACATAATAATACATCTATCCACGACCTTCTATTAGACTTCCAAATCTTCATTTCCCATTTCCCTCCTGATTCTTGCGAATTTGCTTCATAGCCCCCTCTACCAGCCACACAGAGACATCCTGAGCATCACTCCCAACCCGCCAACTACTCAGTAAGACTCCCCGCTCCTCGAGTATCTCACTTGCTCGCTCCCAGCGACGTCGCCAGAGCTCCTCCCGTCTGTTGGGTAGCGGTGCAGGAGGAGCGGAAGTATTAGAATATCGCTGTCCATATTCCTGATCGTTGGTGCTTGTTCTGCTGAGCGAAAGATTTGAGGCGGTCGGTCGCAAAGTATTGGAGGGTGAAGGTGCCCAATTCAACCGATCTGACGCGTACTGCAGCGCACCCGACACTGCTGCTACAGGATACGACTGCTGTTGTCTCTGCGATTCGGGGCGGTTCGAATCCGAGCTGGGAGTGGACACTGAAGTCGAGGCTCCCGTGTTAGATCGACGGGGTGGCGGAGGCGGGGGCGGTTGTTTTGATTGTGCAGATCTTGCTTCCGAAGACTGGGGTCCAGCTGTATTCTGCCCAGTCTTGGGGCGTAGAGGTAAATAATCAGCGGCAGCTGGAAGTGCGTTGGACACGCTTTGAACGGCACTCTTCACAGTGTCAGTATATGTCCCATTAGGCCCAGACGCATTGTTTGGATAGAATGAGACATCCGAAGATCCCTGGTCCTGATCCAGTGCAACGCCTGGTTTGTTGGGAGAAGTACGGCGTCGTGGCAGGGGCGGTGCGGGTTTACGGCGTGGTCCAGCCTCTTGATTTTGAGAAAGGCTCTCTTTAATATCCGCAAATTCAGGAGTCGTCGAGACAGCACGTAGAGACGATGGCTTGCTGGGTTTTGAAGGAGGGGGACGCGGCTTCGGCTTTTCTGTTGACGTGTTGGTCTGGTCCCCTTCATCGCGGAGATCAATTAGATCTGCATTATCAATGGTCTGCGTGTCTGTAGGTGCGCGACCTGGCCCACAAGGCCTGCGCGGTGGTAACACAGGCCGGTTTGACACTGAATCGGAATGATCAGCAAGCTGGGGGGTACTGCGACTCCGAGAAGCAGCTGGTTCCGGGTAGTCCACAGATTTCTCGAAGAATTTCTTGGGATCTGGCGTAGTAACATCACGGATGAAGATTCCAAGGATTCTTCCGGGATTTGCTAGGACGATGTCCGTATAGACCTCTAGATCTGCTTCACCGCTATCACCAATCAGGATAAACTTGCGTTCAGGGAAATCGCGCAGAATCCGCTCCAAAGAGCCCTTCTTCCTTTCTGCTGTAGGCTCAAAGATCCCTTGCAGCATTCCGCTATATTGTTTCAAATGGAACGAGCCGGGAGGAAGTCCGACCATCTTGAAGTATCGTTCTAGCAAAGGATAGAGCTGCCATGGTGCATTGGAGACATAATGAAAATCCACTCCCATTTTGGACAGCCTTGAGTACCAATCCGTGACACCATCGACCGTGAGCTCTGCCAGTTCCCGAACAAAGGTATTTCGGAAGATCTCCTTAGCACCGCTGGCAATTGCAGAATGTTTCACTGTATCATCAATGTCACTGATCAAACTGATTCCATTGGGCTCGCTGACTTCAATCTCTTTGGCAGCAGATAGGTTCTCGGATGCCAGGACACGGATGTGAGTCGGGACAAATGTCAGCCCTGCACGAAGATTGAAATGGCCCGATTCGTCCGTCACAGTGTTCCTCGATTGGCTGTCCTTATCATTGAAAAAGAAGACGGTAACAGGCATCTCAGCCATGGGGTTTGTCAAAAAGGGACGCAGTCTTTCCATGAGGTGTGCGTTTGCCACAGAAAGCTCGTCTTTGCTCAGTTGCGAAGCGTCAGTCGTTGTTGATGAGACGCTGGGCTTCAAAGCCAGATCGCCAGTCTCTCCTTTTTTCAGAATTGACTGCATTTCCTTATTGACAATTTCCTCTTCTCCTTTTCCAGTCATCTTTTCCTCTGACCCATAGTCTGCACTGCTGGACTCGCCGTTGTCAGTGGAATTAGTGCTCGGAGCTGGAACACCGCTCAGTTTTCTGGCAAGTGCAATCATCAAGCGATGCTTCCTCGTCATCGGCCCGCGATGAGGTGCGTATATCCAGCCGCGTACATCGACATCAACGATTGCGTTCGGATCCTGGTACTCCTCCTCTTCCCAGCCATCCCTTCTGTCCTCCGATTCCCCAAGATACTCATCAATTGTCGAAATGGAGTCTCGCCGCCTGCGAATGTGCATCTCTGGGTCTTGCCGGTTTTTGATGAGTTTTCGGCCATAGCTCGGGAATAGCACCATCTCCTCATCCCCAGACCGGGCAATTTCAACATCTGGAAACGCTCCCGGGGTGGAAAAGTACTCCTCATCGTAGGCATTCCTTGGTGTCCATTGCGACGTATATGATTGGCGTAGCTCGTTCGCAGCTTTCAGATAATCGAAGACCTTCTTGCGACGTCCTCCGCGCTCCCCAGTTCCCCACGCTACCGACGAAAGTCCAGACTGTGACATTGGACCTCTCAACACCGCATCCGGGGCCTTATTACCAGATCGCAATAATTTCGCGCGTGTGGCCAGTGGTAAGGATTCCCGGATACCTAGTCCCCTGAACCGTCTCCTGTGTCCAAAAAGGAAACCAAATATCCCCCGTTTCTTAGCACTCCGTTTCTGTGAAAGTCTGCTCTGTCGCTGGACAATCGCTCTGTATATCCGTGCCTGCGCTTGGTGGCGGAGAGCGGGGATTGTCTCGTGGCGTAGACCCCAAAGGCGCAAATGGGCACGACGGCTCGCGTGCGGCCCAAAGAGGGCACGGAAGAAAAGCTGAAGTTTGCCTTTATTTTTCTCTTGGTCTCGTCTCGGGAAGCGAAGGATGGGAGGAAGAAATCGATGAGGAGGCTGGCGCCTTAAATGGGGTGCCGGCAAAAGGACAGGCCAACGATTGCGAGAGGGCGGTTTTGGAGCCAGGGTCTCGAACTTGTCAGGGTATATGGTAATGATTCAATCGAATAGTCGAAACGACACCGCAGGCGTTTCAACTGTTGAGTTAAGCGATGGATTATTGTAAGAATGGAGGGCTGAGTTGGAAGGCTTTGCCGAAGATGATTGCGCTGACCGGGCGGCCCAAGTCGTAATCTGTTCAGAATCGCAATGATGACAATGGCATTCGCCAGGAATGCTCGTTAGACAAGAAGAGGCTGTGGCTTACAAAAAGAATGAGGATCGGTATAAAGCGTTTGATAATGAGATGAAAGAAATCTTCAAGTACGAATGGCACAAAGAAGGGATTGCTGTGGCAGGGCAAAATAGTGGCAGTCGTTTTCGTTCTGGACGCTGCGGGGAAGTCGACAGAAACAAGCCGGCAAGGCTGTAGCGTTACAAAAAAGGTACTTATGATGTAAGAAGCACCAGGCAGGTTTCGATTTATCAGGATAGGTTTTTTTGCGCTTTTTAAATCATCATATACCAGGGGTATGTCTACTTCTATTTACAAGTCCCATGCCCTGTCTTTTTCTTGTCTGTTTGGTCAGAGTCATGCATAAAATCTCCGAGTCATGCCCCTGCTACATAGGTGAGGGGAAATCATCTTATCACTGATGGAGCCATTATAGTTGACAAGTATGGATTTTATTTCATATATACTCTCGTAAAAATGTCATCATCAAGTCGTATATTATATATGGCCCATCCTACAGAGGGGAGGGCGAGTATTCCGGAGGCAGAGCTGAATGAAGAATTGCTGAATTCCCTCAGCCAAATCAAGTTATACCATCCTTCATTGAGCGTCATGAATGATAGGAGATATCACCTACTCCATGAGGGTATCAAATACCCTACACTACCGCAGCGTATGCATATGGTTGGCGTCAAGTCCATCTGCGAATCATATCCAACAGACGGTCACGAGGACGTTGCCCGTTGTATGTCGATGACCCTGGTCATGCAGACTTCTCAGGGCAAGTTAGTCGTATTGGCATGATTGTCACACTATCAAAAAGTCACATCCCAAAGACTGCTTGCGGGCCCACTCAATCCATGACGTGCATTGATCATCCTGCAGGTTCCACCAGGTTTGCAGGAATGACAGAACGCGATGCCTATCAAGAATGCGACTGATACGCATCACTGTTGTGAGTTCACGCTCAATGATCTTCTGCCTGGCTCGGCTTTCTCGAACTTCAGTTCCAGTAATGAAGAGTGGCCAAACAAGATCCTGCGCAAATGTTTCGTTCCCGGTCCCTGTAAGAGAATGCAAATGTGATAGAATCTCATCGCGAGAGCACTTGATAACTGACTTGACAGTCGCGGGATCTGAGAGCGCTTGGCAACTGTATATGAGACATGCGTGGTGGTACATCCACACGAGATGGTCAAAATTGCACTGGTCAGTGTCGGACCAGAATTGTATGTTTTTACTGACGCGAATGGCGTTTCCTCTTGCTAGCTCAAGTTCAGTATAGATGTCGATGGTTGGCATGGGGTATGATTGAGACATTTGCAGGAGTTTAGAACGAGTCTTCAGACGCTCTGCCTGAGTAATTTGGTGAATAATCCGAATGAAGTCCGTGAAGACTGCATCCCTACTGCTAGCCAAAGGGTTTTGCACGATCTCGTCTATCTCATTAAAGGTCGTCACTTGAGTCCACACCGACGTCGCATAGAATTCCTGTATGAAAAATTCTTCAATGCGATTCGCCCTTCGTTGTAGATACGGTCGATCTATTTCTGCTCGAATGACCTCCCGCGCAGCTTGGAGATGTACCCGCCATCCCGCCGTCTGTGCCGTCAACAGCTCGTTGTTGCAGAGAATAATCACAGATGCCAAAGTGAGAGTAGATGCGGTTCCGGTGTTAGGTTGGGAGGCAGATGATGTACGCAGTAGACCTAGTTCTCGAGCCAAAAGGCCAAGAGCTTTGTTTTGGTAGGATTTCGATATCGCCTGGAACTTCCCATACCAAGGATCGTGATGAGGATATTGAGATGCCAGATCATGTGCCGTAAGTGCAAGGACAGATGAGAGCACTGTTTCGGAAGTCTCGACTAAGGGCATAACCATCAGTCGCCAAGGGTTATCCGGCCCATCCACCCATGCCAGTCTGCGGGCAACCCGTTCTTGGAAATAAGGAATCAACCGCGAGACATGTGGTGTTTGGGCCTCGGCTAACATAGGGTTGGACAGCGACGGCAAAATATGGCTATCAGCCAGAGTTGCGACAGCTGTGGGTGTCGTTTCATTTCGCACGGGGATCGACTTTCCCTGCAGCTTCCCTCGGCTGGCGACCCCTTGGACCCATTTATATCTCAAGCCATAGCCTGGGCATTCCAGGCTGCGCTTTGCACATTTTTTGCAGCCAGGAAGACCGCGATCACACTTGATGCGTCGACGTTGGCATCTGGGGCAGTCTACGACATTAGCAGTGTGCACATTCAGCGCACAACGCAATCATACCTTTAGGTGCTGTTTCTGCTGCAAGGTCCTGCTGTGCAGACATTTGCGTTTCGTATAACCACTGCCCGAAGGCTAAAACGAGGCATGGAGGACTGATAAGGATTAGTTGAGGTCTTGAGGATGAAAGAAATCTGGTGGAGCCGAAAATAAAGATCAGCCTAAGGTCTAGCGTGCGAAATCCGCTAAACCCGATTGGGCATGTTGATTGAGATCTGTCGAGTCTCACCTTCGTACGTATTTCTACCCAACACTCAAGAGGAATCTGTTTGCTTCATCTTTGAGACAGTTCTCTATCAGTTCCAGGTCTAATACACACAGGTGATTCAAACGTCAAAATTGTCATCCTAATTTATCTGGATATACAGGCAATCAACGTATATGTGTGCAAGTGACAATAAAGACAGTCCAACCATTTCAAGGCTTTTCAAAACCTTCTGCCTGACAATTAACAATATTAGGCAACCTCCAAGGGCAACAATTCACATATATGCGGCCAAACTAATTCAAGTTGTATGGGTGCACACACCACGGGTTATACTACTATAGTGGTCTATACCACTACTTCTCTTGAAGTGATGTACTGAGCCTACAGTTTGCATCTGGAATGGACTTTGATCAACAGAACTTGAGGGCCAGTTGGCGAAAATGCCAAAATGCTGAAGATTTCGCGCGACTCGTCAACATGAACGCAAAGGCCACTACATTCCTCGGGTTTTTGTACATCCAGGACAAGGGAAAAAAAAAGACGTTGGGTTTGTCCCCTGTCTGAAGGGAGCTGCAGAGAACTATATGTCCCTCATTCAGCAGGTGCTGGTGGATGAAGGATACAAGAACCTGAACTGGTTCGAGAGACATGTGGCGGAAGACAGAGTGGATGATTTGATCGTGTGCTTTGCTGGACTTTCGGAGAAAATTCCAGATTTTCCCTTGGCGCCTGGACCGAAATTCCATAAAGATTATTATCAGGTGATGCATGGTGTTGTGCCTGTCATAGAAGAGAAACAGACACCTTCTCTTGACTCTCGATCTGAGTCTGAATTCGATTCAAACCAAGAAGACCATGGGGGCACAGAGGATCCAGATCTCATCAGTGCAGAAGCAGTCATCAAAGCTGGATGGAGAGAGTGTAAAGATGCACAGCAGTTTGTGGATCTGGTAGGCTTAGGGAATATGGCAGCTCAATGTCTTGTTCTGTTGTTTTCTGAAGAAAAAGAAGAAGTTAACTTCATCACTTGGATCAAGGAGGCAGCCGAGGATTACCTTGGTCAGGTTCAACATTGCCTCCAAGCCGGCCTCTGGCAAGGCATCCAATGGATGGAAATTCAGCCATCTCCAGATAAAGAAGAGAATGATCTCATCTTTATATACTCGGAGCTTTTGACAATCAGCCTGTGTCCGAAGAACTCCAAGTTATCTGCCTACCATGATCTCCTGCAAAGGTTGTTGCCAAAGGATGAGAACTTGAAACCCCGGGGACTGTCGCAATCTTCCCAAGAAGCTGTCTTCTATCGTGATATTGAGGACACAAGGCGCATCACACCGGCTGTCTATGAAGAGGTTCTAAAACGGTTCCAGGAATTTCGTCCTCGAGAAAAATGGCTTGGGCCATTCACGGCAATCATTGGACCTCAAGAGAGCGGCAAAACATCTGTTATGGGACAGATCGCACAGCAGGGCTACACGTATGTTGCCTATGTCTCGTTCGCAGAGCCCAATTCAACGACCTTCCTAGGGCGGTCGGAGCTAGCCCACAGATCTCGTAGCCCCGGTGGGAAGGATGTATATGTATGAGTGTTATGTAGAAATATGCCTTGCCAATGTTGAGCTTTGCCGACAGATCGGTATAAGCCCACGAGTGTTTTTCGACTTGCAGGTGAGGAAGCACTTTGGAGGGTTCCAAGAGCGCCTTCGCTGGGCGCTGCTGAAGTGTCATTCAGACATCGATAGTGAGATGTTCCGGATTCGAGGACAGTTCAGAGGAAAACCTGATCACGAGAGTTTCAGTGAGATTCTGACCAAGTATGTTGAACGCTACAAACAAAATCAGAAGATCATATTCGTGTGCACGCATGCAAAGTGGAAGACGTACCAAGAATACCACCATCTCATGGACGTCAAGGACGATGAGTTGGTCATCAAAGAAGGCCACCCATCAGTTCTACTATGCTTTGATGAATCTGGTGGGCTTGTGACGATTGCAGAGGATGAGATGGTCTGGTTTGAGAAACTGATCAAGGCTATCTGCAATCGCTCGCACGATCAGTGGGGGGAGAAGGATCGGTTCTTCAGCGTGTTTCTTGATCGAAAGACGAGAGATCCATATCTCAAGTCCCCGGCATCTCACAAGGAGGTATTCAAGCCGATTGATCTGGATTAAATGTGTATGTGATCTGGTTAGGCTGGAGGTTAGTATAGAAAAGTGTCTGGTTGCTACGAGTTGGAGGAAATCAGGTTACGTATAGGTAGCTAGTTCGATTTAAATGGCACCAGTTCTTGCTTATAGCCAAAAATTCTCTTGTATTTGATTGAAGAGGGCCTATCTATAATCTATCCCAAGCATATGCCAGTATCTGAATAGAGATTTCTTTGTATACAGATTGCCCAAGCCAGTCAAAAGTCCGAGCCTCTATGGCTTGGGTTTGAGCAAACCTGGCTCATGTATCTGCAAGTTAGTAGGGAGGCAGTTATCGTGGGATAATCCATTGAATAGCTGCCGGTTGTCATACCGTCCCCGGTATTATGAGCAGGGAATATGATATGCAAATAATACAGTGTAAGACAAGCGATCACCCTGGTTCGCTTTCTTCTTCATAGTTGACCTTTTTTGCTCTTCGACTCCGACGAACACCACTCTTCTGTGCTGGTGTGGTGTTCTGCGTCTCAGAAACATCTTGATCATCTGCCTCTGAAGGTGATGTTGTTGATAAAGTTTCTGATACTTTGCGTTTCCTGCGGGTTTGGGTTTTGACCTGACGGGTAGCTTTCGGTTTAGGCGTTTCCAACATACCATTCTCGATCTCATCGACTTCTTGGACATCCGTGTCTGGTTCGGTTTTTTTCTTGGATACACTGGATTTAGCTGGGATTTTCGTAGTTTTGCGGACGACCTTCTTTGGTCGAAGCCATTCTTCCATGCCGGGAGGCCAGTAGACTCTTCTGTGAGGACCGCCCATCCCAAAATCTTCCTCGGAAATAGTTCGAGGGGGAGGAACGGCACCTTCAAGGTCTACAAAGCCCGCCTTCTTCTTGGTTTTTCGGGGCGGTTTAAATTGTTTATTCTCATCCTCCCGGGTGTGCGGGATGATGTCGTTGAACAGTTCATGGCCGGGTAGTTTGAAAGTTCTCATCAACTCGAACACGGCCTGTTCCTTATCCTTAGCTTCAATCATCAAATCCATCGTAGGATCACACGGGGGAAGAGTGGAAACTCGTTCGCTGTGCTTCCGTCGCTGGCGTTTAGTAACGGCGGCTGCTGTAGGCTCCGAATAATGCATCTTTTGTGTGATATTCTTCCGTGTCCACGTTGCCTTGATCCGGTCATAGAGACTCATGATGTCCAATGTTCCTTCACGTACTTGGCTCTCGTCGAAAATGATGTTATGATGATGGTAGTCAAGCACAAGAGGGATATTCAACTCGTCACAGATTGGTAATAAATCATGAACCGACCAACTGACATCGTCATTTTCCAACACAAGCCGGTTCTTTACATCTTGTGAAAGTTTTTTATAGTTTTCCCGAAATCGATCCAAGGTCGCCTCTTTGTCCCCAAAGACACCACCCATGTGGAGGATCATGACAGCATCGCGGTCTTGCTGAGGGGGCAACTTGAGAAGCTGTAACAATTCAGAGTGATACTCCAAGTCGCGATACGAACTTTCGACCACCTCTGTTTTGGGGGAGCCCAACTGGGTGAATTGACCGGGATGGACGGACACCCGATGACCGAGTTCAGCAATCACCCGGCCTGCTTCTGCCAACACTTCAGAAGCAAAAGGAGCCAGCTTATATCCATACTCTTTGTGGCTTGCAAAGGGGAACATCTCGCTACTCAGGCGCATAAACTTGATGCCATAGAAGTCGTTCCAACGGATCATCTTTGCGATGTCCCGAGCATTGGTGAGTCCCAATGTCTCCACGTATGTCTGGCCTCGGGCCACATCAGCAGGCTGGCTCTTGTCCGGACGATTTTTAACCGGATGGGGCGGTTGGGAAGGGTCTGTGAGTGGATGTCGATTATCCAAAATCGAAGCAATGCGGCATGTCCGGGAGCAGAAGACGGGAGGATTCGCGAACCGTAGGTACGTATTCAAGCATGCCTGTTACAATGAGAAACAATTACCACCAAATTAAAACGAGCGAGGCAACTCACATAGCCCAATCGCCCTTTCCAGGGCAAAGGTAGATAGCTACTGTTCACCGGCGGAGGCCTCGTAATGGCATCTTCAAGCTCCTCCGCCTCGATAGGAACATTATCGTCCGACTCCGGATCCATAAAGGCAATTTCCGCATCTCCGAGAGTGTCAGGCTGATCCATGCCGTTTTCTTCTTGTTTGACTGCCATTATGGCTACCCCTGCAGTATCCACCAAGCCACGCGATCCTCCGATCAATCGTGTCAAACGTAATGACGTCGGATTCGGGGCTGTCGCAAGCTGCAAAGATCGACCGGCGAAAGAATGTACGGGAGCCCCAGCACCAGGGACGCGCAGGCGAGAGAATCGAGTGTTTGAGCTGCCTGTAAGAGGGTTATCTCGAGAATGAATCAGGGCAGCAGAAGAATTGCTCTTTGCCACGGTAACCGGTCGAGTTAAGCTCCATGACGAAGGGACGTGGCAAATGCGGCGGAAAGGCGGACCAGATTCCACGACGCCATGGAAACGGATGGCATGTTGGAAGAGAGTAGCACGATTAAACCTCCTCTGCTGATGGAGGGGAAGGCGAAAAAACATTCAGCGGGGCTTCCGGGCTGCAGTAGAGTGTCTGGATTGGGGGGGGGTTGAATTGAGGGGATTCAAGAAGGATCTGCCTCTCGAAGAATCTCAGACATCCCTCAAGAGTGGGAGGCAATGCTGAGAGGGAGTGAGGCTATGTATAATAAATGTATGACTGGGCATGAATCTGGTGGCGGAAATTAAAGATAGTGGAAGGCAGTAGAGTTGGTGGTTGAAGCTGAAGTTCCACGGCTTTCGAGCTGAAGGTTTCAAATCCGGACGTGGAGAGCCGCGTCGACGTGTTTTATTTCCACTTCAGCTACATCTCTTTCCTGAAGCTATTCACGAGTAGGATAATTTTCACCTGGTGCATTCGATATGCGTGAGGGAATTGTTTGTTTACTATTATTATGCTCATACTACATTGCATAGTAATGTTTACAGTTTATCAGATCAAATCAGGGTCGAGCACAGACATCAAGGGCTTCATTCGAGACAACCCTTGAACAGCGTGTCGACGATGGCAATCACTCAGATATGCAAAGAATCCAATAGTCTCGATCGGATGGCCTGAGAGAATTGCTTGTTTAGGAGAGTGCTGTGCCAGCATTCCACCCATGACTCCGACTCAGGGGCCGTGACAGCAGGTTTCGAATGGCATTTTCCATTCCTCTGGAGATCGCGATTTTTTGAAAAATGCACAAGGGGAATACCGGCGATCGTGGATATTTAAAAGGCTTCTCGTCGGTCAGGATGCTGCTGAACCAGAGCTCTCTTTGTGTTCCATCCTCAAGTTACCCTGGTGGTGTTCCTCTCTATCTGAGTGGTTTTCTCTCCTTGACAGATTTCCAGTGTTTGTTTTCAAGGCCAATACCTTTCTTTAATCTTCTTCTTGCCTTGCTTGCATTATCGTGCTAAATATTCGGTAAGTATAGAAAGCCCTTTGCCCATGGACTGCCGGTGGCGTTGTGCTAGCACTGTTGGACTGCTTCTAATTACTTACTAGATCTTTATAATTATTACACTTCGGAACACCACCATGAAGGGCGTCTTCATTGCCTGTGGCCTGTTGGCCTCGTCTGTCTCTGCACACATGCAGATGAGCAAGCCGTACCCTCTTCGCAGCCCTTTGAACAAGGATGCAGATGGCCAGAAGGACTACTCGTACACCAACCCTCTGTCCACTGACGGGTCTGATTACCCTTGCAAGGGCTACGCAGATGATGATTTCAATGCCACAGCGCACTACGAGCTTGGCGGAGAGTACGATCTGGAACTCAGTGGGAGCGCTGTTCACGGGGGAGGATCCTGCCAGATTGGTCTTTCCTACGACAAGGGAGAGACCATCCGTGTCATCCACTCGATGCTGGGTGGATGTCCTATCGACAAAAAGTACAAGTTCAAGATTCCTGAGAACGCGAAGGAAGGTAATGCACTGCTCTCCTGGACATGGTTCAACAAGGTCGGCAACCGTGAGATGTACATGAACTGCGCACAGGTCACCATTGGAGGTGGCTCTAACAAGGGCAGTGCTAACGTAGAGGCATCCACCACAACTGCTTCCACCACGGCCAGTGCCACTGGCAAGGACATCACTAAGGGACCCTTGGCCTCCTTCGCCCCCCTTGTCCACTTGCCCAATATGCCTCAAATGCCCGATTTCAAGATGCCCGCCATTCCCGGGATGTTCAAGTCCTTGTCTCGTCGGGACTCCTTTGAGAGCTTGCCCGAAATCTTTATTGCAAACATTGGCGGCCCAGGCAAGTGCACCACTATTGAAGGTGAAGAAGTCAACTTCCCCAAGCCCGGTCCTTCCGTGGAGGGTGAATTGTCCGGCAAGGGTTACGAATGCAAAGAAAACGCCCCGTTCCTTGAGGCCAGCTCCTCCGGTTCCAACTCTACTCCGGCCAGCTCTCATGTCATCCAGAGCTCATCCAAGCCGTCTCCAAGCTCGCTTCTTCACGCTAAGCAGTCGAGTGCCGCCACTCCTTCGTCTACTCCTTTGAAGGCCTTCGCAACTCCCTCTAGCAAGGTTGCTTCGTCTTTCGGCACCCCCGCTCTTGCCTCGACTTTGCCCACCGGCCTTAGCGATGGCGAGCGCAGCGCACACAAGCACCCCCACCGTCCTCACTGGGGCTGCCGCGATGGCTCTATCATCTGTGCCCCTGATGGTCTCTCGTGGGCCATGTGCGACCACGGCCACCCCGTGTGGATGGGATCCGTCGCCGACGGCATGATTTGCAAGCACGGTGAGATGGTGCGCGCACACGCTTGGTAAACGATGCATCTGTCACTTTTTATTGACTCTTCCGCCGTCCTAATTATACATACCTCGACCGGCGCGAGGCAATACAACACTCTTTGGACATGAATGTTTCTATTTCTTTTGGGCGCGAGGATCAAATTCGATTGTATCTGTTATTATATTCTAATGAAACCCGTTCTTGTTATTATAACCATAGCTTGCCCTCCTGCACTCTGCAACTGTAATAACCACTGTCCACTGTAACATCATGTAGCCGAATGGTCCTGCGCTGTAAACATATACGGCCACTGATGCAACCAATCGGCCAAATGCTCCACCGGGGCAGCCAGAAGCTCAATCGCCGATTCAAACGGCGGTTTATACGGCCCTTCACGATGCCACTGAGGAGGAACAAACACCTTCGTCTTCCCAAACGATTCAGCCAGCCCTTTACTATCCTCCTCTGACAACGCATCTTCCAACTTCCACACATCGGTCGTTTCTTCTTCGATGTGCCGCGAGAAATCCTTCATGAGGCCTTTGATGGTAGGAAGGAAACTAGGACTCGAGGGCGCCATATTGTAGAATGCCTCTAGTTGTTCTTTGACCTATTCACACCATCTCGAGTCAACTAATCTACTCCATATATCGACACGAAAAGCCATAACTACTTACCCGCTGATGTTCCCGACGATCTCTATCTGCCACAGCAACACCATTCTCAACATGTTTCTCGAAAGCAGGATACAGCACGAGTTCCTCGCTGATAGAGTGTCTGGCTAATTCCCACGTGAAGCGATTTTGGTACCGGACTTTTTCGTCTTGGTCGGAGGAGTTGATGATGTGGTTGTAGAAGGATACGAGGTCGCGGTGGTCTTGTTGGATTAGATCGCTTATGCGTGGCATTTTGTCGTTTTTTATTTTATAAATGGGTTTATCTAGAGGTTGTATATGTGTAAATGTTGGTTGTTGTTGTTGTTGTTGTTGAATTGTATTGTGTTGTAGACTATGGTGGGATGTATATATTATAGGGATGGATTTCCGTATACGGACGTCACAATGAGATATATAATGATGCATTTGGATACTACATATCATATCACATCGATAAGAAAATTCACTTGCAGAATATTGCATTATATCGAATTTAATCAGCTATATCTAGACTAACGGTTCTGGTGATGATGATGTTATATTGAGAGGCTTTCATATGGATGGAGATAGTATCCTTATAACTCCTGGCAACTAATATCATCAATTAACCCCGTTGAATATACCCATAATGTAATTTAATTACATTTTTGCTGTATTTTATGCTAATAATTTAGTATTCTATTGCAACCCGTGCTCTGATGATGCAGGGAAAAAGCATCTGGTGGAATCAAATCAAGGAGTCACTTCAGGGGCGACATTGAGATACTTTACAAAATACCATCCCTACCTGGATATGCCACCATCAATAATCATGAATAATGACGGCTTGGTCTATTAAATTCTCTTTCTACCCCTCATTTAATTAAATTTACATCATTCAGTATCCTCAGTGGGGTTGGTGAGTTCCCCGCATTTTACGGAGCAATTGGGGGGGGGGTATATCAGATCCGGCTATAGCATCAAGTCGCACGTCAAAGACGGTCAATGTGGTATCTGTCCGCTCATTCAAAAGCTATACAAGCCAACCCATACAGCGAATTCAATAATGGTATCTAATTAAATCATTCAATCATAAACCCTCCCAGTCGAGCAAGTCAAAGTCGACATGAGGAAAAGCGAAATAAACAAGTCCTTGCGCCATGAGATTCATTACAGATAATTACCATTATATTATCCTTTTCTCATGACGCGCAAATAGCAAGTCGGATATCACAGATGTAGAATATTCAACAAAGGAAATATCACAGGGTCGGTTTAAACGTTGCCTGTATACGCCGAGTTGCCATAGCCGTATCCGTTCGCGGCGGTTCCGTTCTTGTTCCGGCTGAAAAGACCGCCAGAGGTCTTTTCTTTGCCGGATTCCAGTTCCACATCGTTGGGCGAAGGGTGGACAGGCAGGGTGTCATCTTCGTTGGTATCCGGTGCGTTCTTGTTGCGACGCCAGAACATGAGACGACGGCGGGTACCGTAGGTGTATCCATTAGCCGGAGAGGGGCCGAAACGCTTCTCACGCTTGTGGTGACGGGCATAAAGGACCTGAAAGAGGATGGACACCAGGAAAAAGAAACTATTGAACTGTAAGACAAAACCCGACCGTGGTAAGGATTAACAAAGGATACTCACATTCCGATAATCGAAACCGCAAAAACAACCTTTTCAAGTTGACAGGCCAGACCCAAGTTGACCTTGGATGCGGAATCGGTATTGCTGGCTCCAGATCCAAGAGGGGTATGGACTTGGCCAGAGCAGGTTTGGGGGCCATCACGAGTCAAGATTGCGATCGCAACCATGGCGCCGACGAAGCAGACATCGAGAATGACGGCCACGAATGCAAAGAAAGCAACTCCTCCCAGACAGCAGGTGAAAATAGACCCCAATAAGCCATACAATGTCGCAGCCCCTGATAGACCCTCGACGGCCTTCATCCATTGAGGGATGTTCTGATCATGGCGGGTGAGGACAGCCAAGAAGAAGGAGAAGATGGCGAGAATGACTGCCGAGTCGAGAAACTGAAGCACTCGAATGGCGAGGTTGAAGAATCGCAGAACGACGCCGCCAAAGCCCATGTTGACGGTTGATTCCCAGGCGACGGCCAAGTGTTTATTAGGCAAAGCCTAGAGCAGGCAGAGGAGGCGTACCCAATACGGGGTAAAAAAAAGGAGTATAAAACGGATAGAATTGTAAGGCAGTATTTAGTATACGACTAGGGACACTAAATACCCAGAAAAAGAATGGTGAAATCTGCTGCGATGAAACGGGGGAGGAAAAATAATATAAAGGAAGGAGGAAAACTCAGATGCGAGACGGGGCAGATGATGATTTAATCGAAGGCAGCAGAATAGGATTGTTGATGTCGTCCCCTGGGACCAGGTGTCGCAACCGCGATGATCAGTGGAGGCCATTTGCTCGTAGTGGAACCGGGGGGCCCCTGAACAAAGCAGTCGAAAAGATAAAAGCACGGCAACCATCCCAGACTATCACGACCGACGATCCACGGAAGAACAGGAAATCCAAGCGTGGATTGAGGTTGAATTGTTGAAGTCGCAACGCTCCGCGTCCGGCGACCACAGGTGACGTCATGATTGGCTCCCAGCCCCTGGGCCACCGGTGCTGATTGGCCAGTCGACCGGGGGGCTAAGCCCTGTCGGGAGGGTCCCTCGGCCTGATTCGTCGCAAAAAACACAGCCATCACATGTTCTCCAGCGTGCATGACTAAGCCGCGATGGCTATTTTCAGTTCACCAGCCACTTTGCACAGCCAGCAAGAAGATTTCAATTATTGGTAATTCGTATTATATACATAGTACAGAGTCTGTTCGATCCAAGGGAAAGATCCCGGATGTGGATGGTGCGGTCAGAGTTTGCATGATCGCCATGAGACATCGTACTTTGGTCAAGGCTATACGCATCAACCTAAGGAACCCGAGCCGTTGATAAAAATGGCACTTTGCGTTGACCAAGGCACCGTGCTATCGCGTGCATATCCCGGTCGACTGTGGAGACTGGCGTCATGATTCCTCCGACGAATGATATCGTATGTTTGTTCAACTGTTGAAGAACATGTCATGGGTCATGGGGAGCTTTTGATGCTTCTAGTGTTATAGTTAGAAACCTTAGAAGTAGGTTATTGGGACAGGCTTAACTAACCAGTGCATGTTGTAAGCTTTTGTGTATCGAGGCAGTTGATTGACCAACCTGCATTCGATTGACTCTGGTATGGTCTTTCCTGCCTTTCAGGTCGACCACTGAGGATGAAGAACTCGACCTTTGGTTCAAGATTCTTCCTCCTCTTGCTGCTCCCGCTGCTGGTCAACAAATCCACGCAGAATAGACTCCAGGCCATCGTTGCGGCGAGCAAGCAGCATCACGTCGGAAACATTAACAATCGAACGTCCGGCATGTCTAAGTCAACCATGTCAGCTATCAGGCCTTAAGCTCATATGCCCTGTCGGAACACTAACTTGGCGAAAAACTCCAAATCCTGACTGGCCGTTTCTATCAGATTGTTAGTATATGACAGCCACCAAAGAACGTCTGAGAAACCACACACCTATCTGTGCCCAGACCATCTCCGTCAAGGCTCCAATAAACTGAGGCGTAGCATTGACGCCAAGTTTAATGGTCTCCTCATCAACAATCTTCCCGATAGACAACCAAAGAGCGGATTTGAGACGCTATCAAGGTCAGTCCTCTGTATCTGTACCAAGGCCAAAGTGGGGATAAGATACCTCCTCAAGACCAACTTGCTCGTTCTGATCCATTTCCACAGCCAAAGAACACAATGACAACCTCACCACGACTGAAACAGAAGAACAACGTAGATACCTTCAAATGAAGGAATCCGAGATCAAGACGCGTCCGCGTTGATAGTAACAAACCCCGCGTCTGATTGGCTGCAAGACCGCCGGCCCGGAAGAACATGCTTCCCCGAGCCGAACTCGCGCTAAACCGCAAAAGGAAACATCATTTCCATCGGCTTCATCATTATTTGTTCTTCGAGTGTTGGGATTTGCGCTTCAACAGTCTACGTGGGCGAGCGATTCTGTCTTGCCATTGTCAATTTTCGAGTGAAATCTTCTTTGTGATCTCTACACCAATTCCACAGAACAAACGATTTTTTAAAACCCCGCCTCTTCCTATCCGGCTCTTCCTACCGTCTCAGGGACTGAAGCTATCCAGCTTCTACCTCCCTCAACCTTCGAGTCAACTCAAACAAAAAAAAAAAACCACTAAAATGGCCAACCAAGACATGTCCGCCGTCGCCCAGGAGGCGTTGGCCGACTTCACCAACCAAATCTTCGGAGGCCTGATTGAGCTCGTCAAGCGCCTCTACAACAATACCTACGAATCCTTCGCCCAGGTCAGCATGAGACGCTGGACCCGTGTCTTCTTCGCTGTCGTCGTCTACATCATCATCCGTCCGTATATTGAGAAACTCTTCAAGAAGATGCAAGACCGCGATCGTCAAAAGGAAATCGAGAAGAAGCGCACCGAGCGCCAGGCTGCTGCGGACAAGACCGCCAACATCTCCGCTAACGAGCTTCGTGGTGGAGGCGGTAGTGGTTCCGGAAAGGTGCTGGGTGAGGTCGAGAATACGGATGATGAGATTGACGAGGAGGATACTGCGACTGCGACTGCGACGGGTGTGCCTGAGATGGGCAAGAATGCGCGCAAGAGGCAGAAGAAGTACATGAAGAATTTGGAAAAGGAGCAGGCTGAGAGCAACACGCATAACCTGACCGATGAGCAGGTTTTGGAGTTGTTGGATTGGAGTGAGTCGGAGGAGGAGAAGAAGCACTGAGCTTCATTCCTTTCCTTCCGTTTCCCTATCTGTGTCTGTCCTCCTGGTCTACCTGGATGCATCGTGTCGGTCTAATTATTTGGCTGCCTTTTTACTCTTCTTCTCGAACTTGTATGAGTGATGTGTTATTTGTGTTTATAAAATGCCTTTTGCCGACGTGTCAGTGAGGTGGATGTTCTGTATTAGATATATACCTTAATCAAGGGACTTGAACGACGAAGATTCATGAATCACTTCGAGTCCTGTATTCAGAATAATAAATTAGATTTAGATGTCTTAAATTGACTGCGCAAGACTTTCATCGTCAAATTCAAACATAAATATAATTCATCATAATCATACGGGTAGTGTACCCTAGTTAGAAGAGATCTATACACAAACACCACCTCTAGTGCAGTCTCCTCAATGCTTCAATCATGCCCTTGACCCCCTCGACATCCATCATGCCCACCTTTTCTACAATCTCCTCTTGAACCTGCGGTTCGCAGGTGAGGAATCGTTCAATCAGTTCTCCATCCACGAATCGGTATGGCTCGTCGGCCTCGCGTACCATGCTGCGGAAGGCGCGGAATTTGTTGAATGGCATATTTCCAAGGGAATCGACATGGGGCGAGGCTGCAATGGTTGCTTGCAGGTCCATAAGGAAGTTTTGGTGTTCGGGGTTGATCGTGGCGAAGAGGTAGATGGAGCCTTCGACCTGTGTTACGAAGTGGTGTTAGTAGGTGAGCGACTAGAGTATCAGTTAAGGAAGGTCTTACCGTCGCCAAGAAAGCTCTCGGGGTGACAGTCACGCTTGATAATTGTTGAATGTTTACCGGTCTAATGCGGTTGACCATCTCGCCTAGCGATATCTCACTGATCACTTCCAGCCGGCGGTCATAATCATCATCTCCAACGCCGCTGAAGTTGCGGCGCAAGACAATCAGATTTCCTTCTGCATCACTCTCCAGGAAGGTATCATCTGCAATACAGGCAACACCAGTACCCCAGACAGTCTGGAAGTGACGTGATACTTCAGTCAATGAGTCCGGAAGGCCGTCTGCGCCCTCCTTGTATTCAACAACGCACACACTTTTCATGAGATCCGACACGGCGATCAAATCACCGGTCACTGTCAGATCAACCGGTGCGGTAGACGTCCTGTAACTGGCGAGCTTTTCGAGTTTCATCGCCCCAAAGTTGTTGTTAACAACGTTGTAGACAACCACCTGAAGAATATTAGCAAAATGTGCCAGTGGATGGAGGGAAAAAAAAAACCTACCGTTTTGACCAGCGCCGCAACAATCTTTTCGCCCAACATGGCCAAGGCACGACATGCCCCTTTAACAGGCATTTCAGCAACCTGCGTCAATTTGCGGCCATTATCAACCTCGAAGATCAAGATACGACCTCGAATTGAGTCCTCTCCTTCATCATCTAGATATGCCGTGCCAACAATAAACCGATCCTTAACGGCATCCCGTCCATTTTCATCCTTACCAGCAGCGAATTCTGCACGAATAACGCTTTCTACCAACTCTTCCTTTCTCAAGTCGAACGAGTCCAACCGCCGGAATAGAATCTCATCGGCGAGCACAAACTGACTCTTGACAATTTCCTCGCCACCTTCTAGTTTTCGCTCGATCGTTCCGATACCAAAGGCCTTCTCAGATGGGGAATACGCAACTCGGCGTACAGTTGCTCCTATCGGCAGTGTCTGTATTTGTGTAGTTCGTTCCCTATCCACCAGAGCGATCTTCAGATCATGCGAGGTTGCCACTGCTATCGACTCGGGGTAAGCTTCCGAGTGGAAATGGCATATACGCGAGGCTCCTTCCGAGTTCACAGCAGAGTAGATGATTCGGCCTTCTGATCCATAAATTAGGCTTGGGTTTTCACATGTGGCAAAAACATTGTAGAGTCCATCGCCCCTCGGTAACTTCTTGAAGGTTGGTTGCTCAGATCCGAGGATCAACTTGCTCGCGCCTGTTAGAGAGTGGTCGTGCGCATTAAACGAGAACGTAATGACACTGCCATCTGCCATCGAGACGAAGAGGGTGGGTGGGCTGTCCGAGAGCACATTGGCAACGAGAACGGACCGAGGGAATGCTTCACCAGCAGGGCCCAGGGATTTTGTGTGAAGCTCACTCAAGTCCTTCAGTGCAAGTACCGAAACCTTGGCTGATTGAGGAAAACCCACAATACAAACACCGGAGGATGGAGGCACCGTCACACCGGACACCTGACGATCTGCACCCAGGTCCTTCTGAACAATGACCTGCGCATCACTTCGGATATCCAGAGTCGTCAAAACCTGACCACCAGTAACGAGCACCAACGATTCTTCACTAGAAGAAGCAGCAGTTATAGCCTGTTGGTGCGGTGGAGTCCATTCATATATAACCATTCCACCTTCAACATCGGCAATCAAGGCTCTTTGTTCCGTGACTTGCAAAATCCGCCCTCCGGGCAGATTGGTAGCTAGGAGTGTACTCTCCGAAAGACTAAGTCCGAGGAAACTGTCCAGCTCCTCAACCTCACCATCGGGGCTGAAGTTGAATACTCTTGTCTCGTCCACAAATGTAACAAGCAATGTATCCAAGAATTCGCCAGTACTTCCAACCTGCAAGCCCCACAGTTCTGTGATAAGATCCATGTCACCCAATACACCTAGCTCCTCCATGCCAACACCGCTGCGAACGCTTCGCAGGGTACCATCATCAAAGGCACCCGAGCCGGTGACAATCCGAGCCTGACCTGATGAGAACTCGTGTGTATGACTCTCGCTTGTACGATTTCCAAGGTCCATAATCGTAAAGTCCAAGATTGGCGCGATGTTTGACAAGGTCTGAATCACTTCAAACGAGCCGTTTCCAATACGGAGGACTTGGGAATCTCCCTGGTGGGAGCCAGCAAAAATGACACCCCCACCAAGATAGATCAAGACGGACGCCCGTGAGGTATTTCCAAGATGGTCTAACTTCCAGCTCTCTACTTGGTTATTGTCATCCAAGACGAGCATCAAGAAGAATAGCCTTCCATAGTCATCAGCCAGCAACCACCGTTGACTGTCCACCTGTTCCCAAGCAACGAAGATAGTTGCTTCGTCTAAAGGCCGAGAGATACTTTCGTTGCTGTCGTCATCGACGTACTTGATCGATGTCTCCCCAAGAATGAGAAGACCGCCTATATACGTAAGCACAGATACCGAGGAGTCGGGGATGATGAACATACCTAATGGAGCAGGCACTGGTATGAGATGAGAAGCTCCCAGGTCCAACTCTTGTGCAAACACCGCCACTTCCGCAAAAGTTGCGTCTGCACCGCTGCTACTGGTTGCAGCACTGTACTGCAACTCCCTGACCTTCAACCTAACCTTCTTCTGATTATCCTCGTACAGCAACGCTAAACGCGGAAGTCCAGATTGCACATGCAAAAACGCAGAAGAGCGAACAAAGAGCTCATCAATTCTCGCTATGGTCGGCTCAGCCAGCTCCCCGATTTGCGGTGCATCTGGCCCAGAAGGAACAGCGGTGCTCCTCCCCCTCTTCTTGCTGGGTATTTGCACTATGGGAATGGCAGCAATCACGCCCTCGTAGACTTCCAGCGTCATAAACCGTCCGCTTGGATCAATTAAGCATCGACCGCCCGTTTGCGACTCCCGCGACGATGGATCCGCGATATCGACATAGTTTCGCTCCGTCTGGATCTGGTTTGTCGATGGATCCCACGATAGTGTGAAATAGGTATATTGGTCTGTGCCGACGAAGAGGTGATCCGTTGGTGAGTTGGCCGGGGCCGGAAGCCGGGCCAGCATCGTCACCCTAGCGTAGAGGGCACGCGAGGCAGCGAGGCTCAGTCCATCGGGGGTGAGGGAGTAGATTTCCAGCCGATTGGCCTTTCTATCAAAACAAGGAAATATATTAGTTGACGGTTTCCTTGGCCATCATCACTAAAGCAATGCAGCTTTGCTTGACAACAGCCCAGCTCGGAGGGAGGAGGGTAAAACCAACGCTACAACCAAGGATTCCTCCTCCTGTTTCAAGAACTGCAGCTTGAGCGCATGGCGGATGCTACTCGCCCGGTGTATAGGCACGACATAAGCCATTTTCGAGGGAGCTCAATACCGCTGCTCCTCTCAATCGATAATGGTCCCGGGATGGGGATGAGCTTTTCGCAAGTGGAGACCAAACCACTGCGGGGAGGAGGACGACCTCCGATAGTGAGAACGTTTGTTCAGGTAAAATTCGGATTCTGTCGTGGTTCCAGACACACGACTGCAATCTGCATTTCTTCCCGCTGGGTCTTGTCCTGGTTTTTGGTATGACCAGAGGTGATGGGAGAAATATGCAATTAAGTCTGCGGTGGGAAGAAAGCCAGGAAGCGGAGCTTCAATGACGATGGTTGCGGCGCCTTCAGTTGACAGTTGACTCCGACATTATAACCGAACCCAGCAACAATAAACCAGCGTAGATGCTTCTAGATGCTTACTGAATATATTATTGTTTGAATCATAAATTTACAGGTGCCCTAATAACCGAAGAAGAAATATCTTTCATTACACAATTTCTTATTACCCTCCATGCCCATCATAGTCTATCATTTCCCACGATGTATTTGCCAAAACAAAAGTATTAGGCATACTTTAACCGCGCCCAAAGGGAAAATAAAAGAAGAAGGAAAATAAAAAAAGTATTCAACAAGACCGGCGGAGTATATATGCTATATCGTGAGGCATCAAAAGCGGTGCGGGGAAAATCTTCATATCGACAGAAACTTGGAGAAAAGAAGAAGAAAAAAAGAAAACAGACAGGTCAAAAACTATGACCAGACATCTTCCTGGTAGCTTCCGCTGCTGCGCATGTGCTTGACCATTTCTTCGCCCCTCTCGGCGGGAAGACCACGCTGCTCAGCGATGATCTGGCCAAGGACGATGTTGACCTCACGAGCCATGTTGGCTGCGTCACCGCAGACGTAGAAGGTGGCCTTCTGCTTGAGAAGGTCGCCAACGAGCTGTGCGCTTTCACGCAATCTGTGCTGAACGTATACTTTCTGGGACGATTCACGGGAGAAGGCGGTGATGATCTTCAACTTGTCGCCAAGCTGGTCCTGGAAGGTCTGAAAAGAAGGGTTAGAAAATGAGAAACAAAAAAAAGACAGAGAAGGAAATCATACCTTGAATTCATCCTTGTACAAGAAGTCCTCCTTACTGTTGCGGCATCCAAAGAACAGAAGAGTAGTGCCAACCTCCTCGCCCTTAGCGGCCAAGGCAGCACGTTCCTGGATAAATCCACGGAAAGGAGCGACACCAGTACCGGGTCCAACCATGATAATAGGCTTGGTCGGGTCGGAGGGGAGCTTGAAGTTCGAGTGGCGGACGTGGACAGGCACGTGGATTCCGTCGTACTTGTTGCGGGGGCCAGTAATAGAGTAGGTCAAACCGTGGGGATCGGGCTCGGGGTCACCATTTTGCTTCTGCTTCAGAGCAAGGAGGTAGTTTGTGGTCACACCCTTGACGACGTGAGAGGCACCAGGCAAGCGAACAGACTCAACAACAGCAGTGATACTGATCTTGTCCTTCTGGACAAGGGACGAGGACGAAATAGAGTAGTAGCGGGGCTGAAGCTTGTTCAGACCCTCAATCAACAAAGAGAAGGGAACGTTGGTGAATGTCTTGGAGGTAATGCTTTGGAGAGCCTGGGCGATGTTGTAGCACTTGTCGGTGATCTTCTCGTGGAAATAGTCCTTGTCGTTACCGAGGCGAACAATCTCTGCCTTGACCTCATCATCGGGGGCAAAAGCGGCCAAACTGGAGACGAATTGACGAGAGACGGGGGCACAGACTTCCATGTAGTAACGAACGGCGGCATCGTAGGTGGTGGGAGCCGGGATGGGAACCTTGGCAGTGACATCGATACCCTTGATGTTGATGACCGTGTGACGCTTGTTCTCGATACCAAAGACCTGCAGGAATCGGTCTACCTCGGCACCAGCGTTGGTAGGCCAAACCGCAATGTGATCACCAGTCTGGTAGCTAAGGTTGCTTCCGGCAATGCTGATTTCCATGTGCAGACAGTTACGATCCTTGACAGTAAACAGTTCACGAGATTCGACAATCGGGGCGATGAACGGGTTGTGGGCGGAGTAGGGACCTTTGGCACGACCTTCGAGATGGGCCTGGGTCGGCTCACCAAGGAAGACAGTGTCATCTTCGGGGGACTGAGATTCATCCTCGTTGACGCAGAAGACAGGCTCATACACGGCTTCACGCTCCTGCAGACCCATTGCCTCGGAGAGAGCAACCCACATGGGTTCCTTCCAGGCCAAGAAATCCTCTTCCATAGTGCCAGCACCATCATCACCTTCACCAGCGGAACCAATTCGTTGAGCACCCATCTTGGTGAGAGCAGCGTCAATCTGGCGGACCATAGCGTTGTAGTGTTCGTAGGTGTTGTTACCGAGACCGAAAGCGACATATTTGAGGGAGGAAAGAGGCTTGTCATCCACGGACGCGCCACTCTCGAAAGCGACATCCTCTCCGGTGAGGAATTGGTAGCACTCGACAGCGTTATCCGTGGGTTCACCTTCACCGTAGGTAGCCACGACAAAGACAGCGACCTTGTCCTCGGGGAACTTGTCCAGGTTGTCATAGTCATAGTCTTCCAGATCAGCGACCATGGTCTTAAGACCGAAACGCTGAGATCCTTCCTTGGCCAGTCTGGAGGCGTAGTCCTCGGCGGTACCAGTCTGCGAACCGTAGAAAATCACACAATTTTTGCCAGTTTCATCCATTTTCTCGATAATATTCCTGGTCTTGCCAGCCTTGGCATCGCCATTGGCCGCGGGTCCCGACGAGGCATACGGGTCTTTGGCAACAGCCCAGTAGGTGCCCTTGGTAAAGTAGGCAACACTACCCACCAAGAGCACCGCCAGAACGACCATATCCAGAGTATCGAGTTGCGCCATGATTGCGATTGATCACACAGACCAGAACGCAGAGAGCGGAAAGACCTTCAGGAAAAGGCGGTCGAGAAGAGGGGGAAGAGAAAAGGAGAAAGCGAGAGGGGGGGCCTCCCGAAGTGAACAAAGCCCCTTATAGAATAATTGACACTGGTGATCTCCAGGAAGAAGAAGAGAGGATAGGACGGATAGAAAAAAAGAAGAAGGTCGAAACGGAGGAGAAGCTAGTTAAGACAGAGTGGTCTGATTGATTAGAGAGGCCAGCCGTGGGCTTTGCGGCTGTTGCTGTTGCTCTCACGGCCGTCGCATTAACAGGCCGGCTTGTTCTGGGGCGGATCGGCAGCGCGTCGGAGAAATCCGCAGTTGGTTGAGAAAAGTGGCGGGTGAGCCGAAGGGGCAAGCCAACAGACACAGATTCAGATACGGAGGGTTAATAAATATATTTCTTTTTTAACCAGATCGAGAATACGGAGTCAGCTCCTTTATATTGTGAATCCCATTGTGGGGGAATCTGTCAGACCGAATATAGCCCGAGATCAACTCTGGATCGGAAGGGGAGTTCGGCCCTCCATCCAGGCTGGAGGCGACGAAGCCATCCACGGAAGTCGGTCAAGATGGGGTAAACCATCCAAGATGGCAATCTGGATGGAAGAAATCTCCCGATCATCCTGCCGAACAGGGCGACTAGCCGAGTTCCGCCCTTACAGAGGCGTTTAAGGCGTTTGGTTTGATGCACTTTCAATGTAATTGTCGATAGAACTCAATATTATGTACAATGTGGTGTCTACAAGTAATGGTATGTCTACAATAGTGTTGGGTGTAGAGTGCGTGGTAGTAGTCCACAGGATACACTGCAGATACGGTGAAAACTACACACAGACTATGGAATAGAAGCATGTTGATCCTACGATGGAATTGATGGATGCGAAAACACTCGTTCCGCCATGGATTGATCCATCTCACAGATTCAAATTCCACCTGCTTCCTTGCTGATGCTGATGATAGACGGAAGTAAGACGGGTGGATTCCGCACAGCGCGGTTTGGCATTCCTTGACAGCACCATCGGCATCAGATGAGAGATCAGATAAACACGTCCAATATTAATCAATAGTCCAAAGTCATTTCATTTCATCTGTGTAAAGAGTACTATAAAAAAAGGTATTAGATAGGGGATCGAAGCACACGCTCTCCTGCCTCTTCTCCATCGCCTCTCTCGCCTCTCGCCTCTTCCCCACGGCAATCAACCCCAGAAGATCCCCGGCAAAAGAGAGCCGCTCGAACCGTTTGGCTGCAATTGTTAGACTTCAGGAATTAATCCAAACTCTAGAATGAATGGAAATGATGGAAAAGATCGAATAATAGGGTTTGGCTTGTATCCACGGCCTTTTTTTGCTAATAGCCAGCACCCCATCCCAGTTCTGCTGCATAAACTCAGGCTCGAAACAGTCAAGAAGACCAAATTATTGGCGATCCAACGCATGTGAATCGGAGGTCAACTGCTTCTTCTCGGCTCTTTAGTCTTCCATACCTCAATCCAGTGTGTCTGTCTTATGATATGATCACAGATTCCTGGAGTTGGGATCCCTGTTTTTCCTCAAGGAGCATCCGGAGCATGTTGGACGGAGTTCCTAATGCAACATCCCCAATGCACTGCAGTCATCGTATTTCCTAATGCATGCTGACATCGTGCACCTCCATTCAGGGATTTGCCAAGTACCTGCAGCAGTCTTTATTATTAGTGATCTCGAACAATGCCTTGTTCTATCCAAGGCAGTTGAGGTCATATTCTTTTCATCACCAATGCTCCATTCCCATCTTGCATGTGAAAGGCTTGTTCCAAACCCCCTGTTGAATTTGCTCTGAAGGACAGACTGAATTGATCTGTAGCAGCCTAGAAATGAAACATCATGGAATGTTTCAGATTGTTCTTCGGGCCCCTAAGCCAAAAAGCCATGGTTGTCCACTGGCACTACAGATTGCTTGGAACCGACGTCAAGCAGCAACTAAATAGCCACATCGATGCAATGGTATATTCCATTAGAAATAATTATATAGAATACTTCAACCAATATAAACAATACAGTAATCTTGAATATGCCAGACGGTAGTTCCTCTCACCCGTAGAGTCCCCGTGCTCAGCCTCTTCGGTCGCCGCTGTGAACAAACGGCAGCCCAACAGCTCATCACAGCAAGGTCCAACTCTGGAACATCACATCCTTTCCAAGCAACGCCCATCTCTTTCCATGCTCATTCAAGGGCTTTTGAGCAACAATGTGCTGCTCCTTGCCTTCTAGCTTTCCCACTCTTGCAGATGTGATGTCCAGCAAGCAATGAGCGCCCTATTTGTCTAAAAAAAAAGCGATGCAGCACAACAGTAAGTGGCCTGGTGCTGCGTATCCTAAGTTTCCCCGCAAAGCTTCCATCACCCCCCCTGGACTCAAATTCGAGTCTTCGTGTGCTGGTCTTATCTATGACGCGCCACAGCTCTGGGTAGTACCTGTAATGGACCTATCTGACTTTTTGTTTGCTGGTGTTTAGTGGCATCCCACCCAACGATTAAGGCTGGCCCCGTCCAGTCAACGATGCCCCTCATCCCTGACGAATCGAATAATCTTGTGTCGCACCATATTTTTTCAACTCCACCCGAACGTCTAGTTACAAGAAGCACTCCAGCCTCCGCCGTTCACAGTCGGGAAACCTCCGCCGTTAGAGGAAGAGCCGCCGACCCATCCGCCCTGGCCCCTTCGACCCTACAACCTCAGAATAACCGTCGTGGTCAATCTCACTCAAAAAGCCCCGAGGCTGCTGGTGCAAGACCCGGACCAGGTTATGATGTTGGCCTGGAAAGACCACCGTCCAACTCCTATGGTCATCATCGGCAGACCTCGATCGTCCATGGGATTCAACACTCTCGAAACCCCAGCTTCGCCAATTCCAACACCTCGACAAGTCCGCTGAGTCCTGAATTGATAGCCTCCCTCGGTCGTGGCGGCGCGATGGAACCAGAAGGCCTTGGATCTGGGCGACTGGAGCAGCTGGATGCTCACTCGAAATCCCAGAGTCCCGGAAGCACTATGCAGGGCCCTTCAAGCAACGTTGAGAATCAGGACCCAGGCACGATTTCGAATGGCAGCCCGGCAGTTCAGATACACAGAAGAATAAACTCCGGCGGCAGGAATTGGCGAGAACGCTCTCACAGTCGTTCACATTCGAGACCACATCATACAGAGTCCAAGACTGTGGGGGAATATGCGTTGCATCACCTCTTCAACTCGGTAAGACTACGCCCGCGACGTGGGAAGATGCGAATTGTCGTGCTAACAGTGGTCCAAGTTTGTTGGCCTGGCGGACAATAAGATAAACCAAGCTATAATGAAACTAGGGGAGATGGAAGCCCCTGTGGAGGAAGTTTGTGGGCCTGGAGCCGATACAAACTTTGATCAATTGATATCTGCATTGGGACATATCGCACGGCAAAAGCCAAAGCCACTGATAGATACCATCATGCTCTGGCGGAAAGCCAAAGGTGATAACGCCATCATGGCCAAGCAAAATATGGTATGTCCATGAAGTCCTGTCCTCGGCCCTTTTTGCGAGGACCATCAATCGCTAATTCGATCGTCTTTTAGCCAAAGCCAACAGCACCTCCAGAGCTGGCGCCACTGCTTCGTCGAAACACCGAGCCATCCCAGATGGCTGCAGAGGGCACTGCCCAGGCCGATGCCTCCCCTCCTAGTACCCTGCTCCATAGACAAGACGATGTCATTCTGGCGGAGCGCCGTGCCACGGTATCGGTATATCTTGTCTGCAGAGTACTGATTGAGATCTTCAACCAAAGTAGCCTCGCCTCGATAACGGTCGACATGGCTGGCCGACTGGAGAATATTGTATTTGGTCAAATCAACACAGTTGACCCGGACCAGATTTCAGCGTCTCCACTCCGAATGGCTAATTGGAGGATCTACGGTCAACTTCTAGGAATCATGAGCGAATCGAACTTTACGAGTGTTACCAATCGGTTTCTGACAGAACTTGACAGAAATCAGAAAGAGGCAAGTCAACGCGGGCCGTCGAAAGAAGGGGATGCCAGAGCTGAACTGCTGATCCTGGGCATGAGACACGTCCGTATCGGGATGATGCCGGATACATGGAGTAAATCTTGTGATTTTATGCGGTCACTGGCACGGTTATTTGTCAATGCCCATGGGCAGCGGGTCAAGCAGGCATACTGCTACATCTTTGAAAAACTTCTTCTGCCGGTGGCAGCAAATCCTGGCTGTGATCTGTCCTTGCCCAAATGGAAGGAATTTATCGATTTGGTCCAGTCTCGCCTGTCGCAGATGCTAACAAAACCTCGTCACTGGGCAGCCGCCTTTCCTCTGCATGTTTTATTGCTCTGCGTGTCATCGAAAGAGAATTTTTCAACCCAATGGCTGTCTCTGATCCTTGGCCTTCCGCCAAGGCTGAAGGACCGCCCTACGAGGGGACCTGCTCTTCAGGCGATGTGCCGCTTAGTCTGGACATACTTCTTCCGGTACTCGGATTCCCCAAACATCACGCTTCGAAAGGTCGAGGAAGTCGCTAGAGTAGCGCTCCCTGTGGGAAAAAGGACTTACCTGACCACCGAACCGACAGTGGCAGAGCCTCTCATTCAATTAATACGGATGATTGGGTTCAAGCATCCTGATGTATGCTTCCGTAATATCATATTTCCTTTGATAAATTCGGAACTCTTTTCGTCCGGAAAGGAGTTGAAGGTTGAACAGATGGAACCGGAGAAAATGGTAATCGGCATTCGAGCCTTTTTGGCAATCGTGACAGATCTGGAAAACTGCGATCAGCTGTGCCCTCCGTTTCCTACCGGCTCGATCCCCAATCCATTCACGGACACCTCAGCTACTACCTACCTACATCGTGCTCAATTTCTGGCGGATCCGCGACTGCCAAGTACCTTGGAGAATCGGGATCCCCCAGAATCATCCCCAGTCAATACTTCAAAACTGAGTGACAATGTGAAGGAGTGTTACATCCGCTTTTGTGAAATCCTAGGCAAAATCACGATTCTATGCGATAATACCTTTGGAGGCCAAGCGGCTCTTGATGAGAAGTTTGGCGGAACAACCCCCAAGACGCCCATTACAGAGGCTTTCAGCTTTGGAAGACGAGACGATCATATGAACACTCTCGATCAAAAGCAAGGGTTTTATGATTTGCTTCATGTTGCGATTCAAACACTTCCTCGGTGCCTGTCCGACCACATCCCATTTAACTCGCTTATAAACCTACTTTGCACTGGAACAGCACATGTTCAAACAAACATAGCCTTTTCATCCGCCGAGTCGCTGAAGGCAATTGCGCGCCAGTCGCATGCACAGCAGGTTACCATCGGGTTTGCAAGGTTTATATTCAATTTCGACGCGAGATATTCAACAATGTCAGATGAAGGCATGCTTGGACCCGGCCACATTGAATCGACCTTGAGACTATATGTTCAATTGCTTGGAATTTGGATTGAGGAGATTAAGCGGAAGAGCAAGGGCGCAACATCAGACCCTGAGGACAAGGCTAACTCTGGAAGTCGCGCCTTGCACCTTGACCTTTCTAGTGTGCTAGCACATGTCGAGGAGATTGAGTCTCATGGTCTGTTCTTCCTGTGCTCACAGTCCAGAAGGGTTCGGGCCTTTGCTATTACTGTACTACGGTTGATTACCGAATTTGATCGTGCCCTCGGAAAAGAAAACACGAGGATAATCAGAATCCTTGAAGCTGATTCACAGCAGATCCTCGATGTCAATGATGAACAACTCACCGTTGCTGAGAGGAGTCGAATCCAGAAAGGCAAACGAAGGAGCGCGTCGCAAAATACCCTTATTGAGCTTTGCAGTAGCGAGGTTTCATATGATTCAACGCTGTGGTCAAAGGTATTCCCAAACATAATCAGGATCAGCTTCGAGACTTGTCCCTTTGCTGTGACCCTGGGAAGAGAAATAGTCTGCGCAAGGCTTGTCTTGATGCATCGGACCATTACGGCACTCGCTGAAAGCCATCGGCCTCCTCAATATGCCAACATGGATGTTCCCCAAATTCGCCCACCAGGTAGAAACAACTCGACGGCCGAGATCCTGATCGAACAATGGAAATTGTACCTTGTTATGGCTTGTACCACGCTCAATAGCGTCGGTGCACAGTCTCAGAGCCAGCTGGCAAACGCTCAACACGCAAGAAAAAATTCCAAGGGGTCTCAGCAGCAGTCGCATGACAAGATCAGTTCTGCCAGGAGCCTTTTTGCATTCGTTATCCCTTTGCTGTCGGCTGAACGGGATTCCATTCGAAATGCTATTGTGGTTGCTCTTGGCTCGATCAACAAAAACCTTTATCGCACATTACTCGAGTCTTTGCAATATGCCGTGACGACCTGCAACGAGGAAGCCAAGATGCGAATCGGTTCACATCACCGATCTCCAAGTAGCCAGCGGCGAAATCGGAAAACGGATAGGCTGCGAACTGAGGTTACGCATGTCTACAAATTGACATCACACTTTCTTAAGGAGCCTGAGGTATACAAAGAAGATTGGATTGTTAATAACCTTGTCACGTATACGAAGGACTTGCGACTTTTCTTGAGCGACTCTGACATCCAAAATGACTGGGAGTTCCAGCGCCTGCGGTTTCATTACTGTGGGCTGATGGAGGAGCTTTTCGAAGGCATCAACCGTACAAGCGATCCCTCTCGATGGATGCCCTTTGAATCCAGGAAGTCAGCCTTCTCACTGATGGAGGACTGGTGCGGGTATTCCCCAAACCAAGCCCAGATTTCTCAAAGGGAAGAAAATATGCAGAAACAGGCTTTGGGACATCACCATGAAACTGGAGAGCTGCGCAATGTTGCCATGGAGATAGAAAAGAAAAACCTACGAGCAGCAGCTCTTAGCGCAATGGCTTCTCTTTGTGTAAGTTGGAGAGTTTTTTGTCCAGTTTATTGATTCATCGACTAATCTTTTTTTATAGGCGGGGCCGATTAGCATCACCACTGAAAGTGGCTCAGTACTTCAGTTTGATGTGGGTCGCATGCTTGCATGGATTCATATTATATTCAACACAATCAGTGATAAGTGGCATGCTATTGGAAGGCAAGCACTGAAGAATCTAATTATCCACAACAAAGAGCATTCGTATTTGTTGGAGAGATCTATTGAAATGTGCTATGTGACAGAGCGGCCGAAGACTTTGGAGAGCTACTTTGAAGTGGTTGCTGAAGTGCTTATTGAGCATACTGATTATCCCCTTGGCTTCTGGAGGATTCTGGGGGCGGTCCTCGTTACACTTGGAAACCAGAAACGTGAGATTCGGATGAAATCCGCCAAGCTACTCCGAATACTAGAGGAGCGTCAGCAGAAGAGCTCCAGGCTCCAAGACTTCGATATCAGTATCTCCGATAAGACCACGGCTGTCTACAGACTGGCCCAATTTGAAACGTCAAAACGATTGGCGAAACAGCACTCCGACCTGGCATTTACCTTGTTTTCTGAATTCTCATTGCATTTCAGAAACTTGCGACCCGATAGTCAGCGTAACATGGTGGCGGCTATTCTACCTTGGGTACAGACAATGGAATTGCAGGTTGATCCCAATGGCGGACCAACAGCTAGGTCATACATGCTTCTTGCGAACCTCTTTGAGATCACCATTCGATGCAGTAGCATATTACCGAATGAAGTCCAAGCGCTCTGGCAAGCGCTAGCCACGGGACCACATGGCGGAAACGTGCAGTTGGTTCTCGATTTCATCATCAGTCTCTGTTTGGAACGCAAGGAGCAAAACTTTGTCGAATATGCCAAGCAAGTTGTTGTCTTTCTGTCCGGAACGCCGGCCGGATCCAAAGTCATCGAATTTTTCTTGATGCAGGTCGTCCCGAAAAACATGGTGCAGGAGAGGAAAGACATTACACCAGCACCCACGGACACCAAAAGTCTCCCGTATGTTGCTGATCTGAGCACTGTGCTTCCAGTTGGCAACAAGCAAGCAGGACTTTCTCTGGGACAAGTTGCACTGATCTTCCTCGTGGACCTAATGGTTGCCCCCGTCATGCTTCCTTTAGAGGATGTTGTCAAGTTACTTCACGTTGTTCTCATTCTTTGGGATCACTACACGGTCACCGTTCAAGAGCAGGCTCGAGAGATGCTGGTTCATCTTATTCATGAATTGATCGCTGCAAAGATCGAGGATGATGCACCTGTGGAAACACGTCAGTCAATTGAAGACTTCGTGGAATCCATTCGCAACAGTGATCCCAAAGTAGTTTGGGATTATGACGATACCACCGACAAGGAGGATGGGGATGATGGAAGTCGAGTACCATCGTCAATGTCTAGCGTGACTCGTCAGGTTGTTGACTTTTTCAGTCTCGCTTACGAAGGGATCAATGATCTTTGGGCGAAAGAGGCATTAAATTGGGCAACCTCATGTCCAGTACGCCATCTTGCCTGTCGGTCGTTCCAAGTTTTCCGCTGCATTTCAACGTCCTTGGATTCTCGGATGCTTGCCGATATGCTCGCTCGACTGTCTAACACGATTGCGGACGAGGAATCCGACTATCAAACTTTCTCCATGGAGATTCTAACTACCCTGAAAATCATCATTAGTTCTCTGGCTCCGACGGATCTGCTGCGCTACCCCCAGCTGTTCTGGACCACCTGCGCATGTCTCAATACTATTCACGAAACCGAGTTCATCGAAAGTATCGGCATGCTGGAGAAGTTCTTAGAGATCATCGATTTCAGCGACCCAATGGTAGTCACGACCCTCATTGAGGGTCAGCCTCCAAAATGGGAAGGCGGATTTTATGGCCTCCAAAGCTTTCTCTACAAAGGTTTGAAATCGACAGAATCCCTTGGTCGGACACTGGATGTTTTGCATCGGCTCAGCGCGCTTCCCAACAACGAACTTATTGGTGATGGCAATAGATTACTATTTACAATCTTGGCTAACCTATCCCACTTCCTTCACCATTTCGACCCTGATGTTAATGACCCGAAGGCACTTGCTCGTGCTACTTTGCTCGCTCGCGTGGCGGAGGGTGAGAGATGCCTTCGCCTTGCAGCCTCCTTACTTGGATTTGCCAATGGACAATACAAAGCAGAAAGTGACTTCCTGAGCCACATAATCACTGAGATCCGCTCGTATTATTTCCCACGCGAGGAGGTTCAAAGTCTTATTTTCCTCATGGGCCTATTGACCAACACGACCGGTTGGTTCCGTGTCAAGCTCATGAAGATTCTTTGTGTCTTGATCCCCGAGATCGATATGCGACGGGGAGATGTCACCTGCCATGGGCCGGATTTGATCTCTCCCCTTCTGCGACTTCTGCAAACCGATCTCTGCCCACAAGCTCTGCAGGTCATGGATCATATCATGACTGTCTCGGGAAATCCCATGGAACGTCATCATATCCGAATGAGTATGGCGTCCTCTTCATCATCGCGAGCCATTCGCAAGGAATATGAGCGCATTCAAAGTCTGTACGGCATACCAGAACCTACTGGATGGTCGATTCCTATGCCTGCTACGCAATCAAGTATCACGCGAAATAACGTCCACGCCGTGTTCTATACCTGCGCTGAAGTCGACCACATGGAGGCGCAAGTAACTGCAACGCCCGAAGTTGAATTCCATGCTGACGAGTACAACGACACTTTCTTCCCCATGCGAGCTGATACCATGAAGTCGATCGAAACCCAGACAGACGGCAACATGGGGGACATTGTGCAGAAGCTGGATAGTTTAGATGACTTTTTCGAGGAGACCGAGCCGATAAACCCGGGGCTCCATTCGGCATCTGACCCAATCTTACAGGGATTCACTGGAAGCTACGCGGATACCAGTGCCAATCTCTATGATCAACAAACGGCTCCTATCCTGCGAAAGTCTCTTGCGCGAACTGCTTCAACGTCGTCGTTCCACAATGGTCTCGCAGAGTCTCGGCCTTCGAATGTTCGCCCTGAAAATGCCAGTGCGAACCCCCAGCCCCAGGGTACGTTGACACCGCAAGCATCTAGCCAAACATTACGACCAGTATCGCACACCCGCTCGGTTACTTCCCCAGCCAATAATCTATTCCCTCAAATATCAAACGGTCCTCAGCATTCCACGCCGCCTATTGGCTTCAATGAATCGGCATTCCTTTCTGATGACGAAGCCGAGGATGGGCTTTCCGACTTCGATGAGCGGTTTACGGTTCATAAACCGATAGCGCACCCTATCAGTCAAACACGCAGTGTCACAGATGGATCCTCGTCACTTGAGTCCATGATTCGAAGTGGTATGAGACGACTCACTGGTGGTACTGCCACCAACCGGGAAAAGGAGCGCCAACGAGAGCTCATCCGAGCACAGCAGCGTGCTGTCAACCAGACGGCTAGCTCGCCACGAGTGCCAAAAGTACCTGTGGAATACCTCCCAAGTAATCCGGCCTCTCCTGGACAGTAGTGAAAACCACTGTTTGCTACATCAACAGTTTCGGGATTCTCTCAATCTCTTCCTCCCTTTTCAATTCCTTTTACTTTTTGTTCATTCGGTTTTTTCCTGTGGTAGCTCGGAACCGGTACAATGTGGAGGCGTTTCAACATGATTTGATTCTGCAGTTATACATACCCCTTATTCCTTGATCAGCTCCGCAATGTCTGATACACCCTTTTGTTGATTTCCCATCTTACATTTTCCATCTAGACCTCTGTATATTATCTTTTCGTTCTGATGGAACAAGAAAGGAATGAATTTAGCAGGTCAATGAAACCTTAAATCCAATCCCATCCAGCCTTGCGTAATCTTTCTGCCTGACATGCCAATTGAAAGTCTCTTTTAGTCGATCATTCTCTATATCCCGTGCCAACGAACTGTCGATGCCTCGCCGCCTTATTGTCCGGATATACATCACGTGAGATCCTCGGTTCTCCGCGCTCCCGCGGGCTAGGCGGCTATCCCCCTTTGGGCTTCCCCGCAGCGGATCCGGGGCAGAAGCAGAAGAGAGCGGAGAGCAGCTGGTCACTGACAAAGTGACAACATCCTTCTGCTTGCTGCCCCTGGCTTCTGGCAAGTCTCGGATAACAGCGGCCTTCTGGTTCTCCCCCGCTCAGCTCTCGGAAGCATTTGGGCTGGAGATCATCACGCCCAGTTCAATACAGAACCGTTCTGATTCGTCTCATTGACTAATAATATTTCAATACCCTCTTGTGTTTTTCTCGGCGGTCTTGCCTTTGCTTTTCTTCTCACTTTCTCTCTCTTGTTGGATCCATAGGTCCTGCTCCTAACTTTGCAAAAAGCAGCTTTCAATCTCATCTAGTCATTTGGTTACGCTTTATTATATTATTCCCATTGAAAATGAGTATCTCGGCAGCTCTGTCCCTGCGGAGGACAACTCTTTCCAAGTCGCTACGCCTTGTGCAGTCAGCAACCTCTACACGCAGAGCCTTTTCGACTACTCTTCAACGCGATGCTTCATGGGGGTTTATTGGGCTAGGGCAGATGGGTATGTGCTATACCGACTTTCTACTCTTTCTTGTCTATGAGGTCGTAGCCACGTTCTAACACGTACTCTCTAGGCTATTGTATGGCTAAGAACCTACGCGCCAAAATCCCCGCAACAGATACGCTGGTCGTGCGAGATGTGAATGAGGCAGCTGCGAAACGATTTCTCGAGGAGACACGCGAAGCTGCCAGGAGCAGTGGTGCTACGGATGATTCTATGAAGGTGGAAATTGCGGAGAACGCCAGAGAGGTGGCGGAGAAGTCGGTAAGTGGCATTTTGAGGCTTTTGTTTGGTGATGTGTCACAAGTCATCGTGCTGGATTCCTGCAGGAGGCTGCATGGATTATTATCGGATGACTTTCTTCACAGCTTTGGTCAATACAGTTCCTTGTTGGGAATTGTGGTTTTGGGAAATTTGGCCTTTTTTCTCTCTTCTTCTCTTCTTTCCTTTTGTTTCTTTTTCAGCTTGGGGTTCGTGGTTCCGTATCTGATAATTGGTTCGTTGTATAGACAGTGATCATATCCAGTCTTCCGGAGCCTCAGCATGTCAAGGATGTGTTTCATTCTATCCTGAAAAAAGGCGAGCTTCCTGCCTTGGGGCAAGAACGGTTGTTTATTGATACGTCGACCATTGACCCGGCTTCTTCAAAGGAGGTAGCCAACGCAATCCACACAACCCGGACAGGACGTTTTGTTGACGCACCCATGTCCGGGGGAGTCGTTGGAGCTCGTGCTGGTACGTTGTCGTTTATGTTCGGAGCTTCTTCCCGAACTGGTGAGCTCGTGGAGCGTGTAAAATCGGTCCTGCTGCTCATGGGCAAGAAGGCATGGCATCTTGGAGAACCGGGTGCTGGTGTGTCTGGCAAGCTCGCTAACAATTACATTCTGGCTATCAACAATATCGCAACGGCAGAGGCTATGAACCTCGCTATTCGATGGGGTCTGAATCCCAAGACCCTGGCCGAGATGGTCAACACGTCGACCGGTCGATGCTGGCCAATGGAGGTTAACAACCCCGTTCCTGGAGTTGTCGAAACCGCTCCGGCCTCACGGGAGTATGAGGGAGGCTTTGGCATCAGTCTAATGAACAAGGACCTGCGGTTGGCGATCATGGCTGCGCAAGAGTCTGGTACCCCGCTAGCCCTAGCCGACAAGGCTCGTGGTGTATACACTGCTGTCGAGGATGCGCACAGAGGCAAGGATTTCTCTGTCGTATATAAGTGGTTGCAAGATCAGTCGAAAGACGTATGAGTCGGTTTTGCTCTTCGGTGGTGTGTCTTTTGTTGTTTCAGCATGCTATTGTTATTCCCTTGCGGTTTCTTGTTCGTCATTTGAATGATACAGTATCATAGATGGAACCCAGAATAGAATATGTCTGGATCAGTATCCCTTTCGTCTATCCTGAGAATAGTTCTTGCTTATATGATTCACTTGGAACACACGATGTTGCTTCTATCATGAAACAGTTATCATATATTGTTAAATAACAAGGTATGTATGCGCATTCATATCAACAAATCATAGTGATGGTCATTGTTTACAACAAATATTAAGTCCTATAATGTCTTGTCGATCAAAATGCATTATAATCACCATTCATCCTCATCGACTTGTATGTATTCTTTGAATAACACCCACTCTTTCACAACACATGACTAGACAGTGATTTCTTTCCCCTTTTGTCGACTTCCCATCTTCCCTCCCCTGTTCCTTCTTCCTTCCTTCCTCCCCAGACTCGAACAACTGTTCCTTCCCCAATTGGTTCTCGTCCCCCAAAGTCCAAAAACGTTCTTCGTTCCCTCGGTTTCTCTTCTTCTTTTCCTCTTCTTCTCTCTCATCATATTTCTCCATCTCATCCTCTTCAGTAGCTATTGCTCATCTCCATTCCATCCGTCTCGTCTTCGCTAGCAGCTTTTCAGTTTCTAGCAATTCCTGTGCCCCTATTTTACTGTATTCCTCGTTCCATACTTGGCTCTCGTTTGATTTTCACTCGCTCTTCTCACGGTCAGAGTTCCGGGTGCCTGTTGCAGGAAGGCCCTGATCTTCGTTTGCTCTTTGCCCGTGATTTCATTTATCCTGAGATCAAGTAAGTATTGGTATACAGCAACATCGTCGTCTCTCGATGGGAGTCGATGGATTGTCTACAGGGTGCTTTCGAGACTGATGCTGACATGCTGTGCTAGTTCTTCCTCCGAGCTCATCACAACTCGTGATATTCTGTCCGGTCTCTATCGTCGAGGTAGGTAAGACGTCTGGGTCTTCAGGTTGTCGTCCGTTTTGCTGTCTTCTATATCCGTTGCTGTTGCTGTTACTCTGCTGTCTGCTCTTTAGCTTCTTGTAGCTAATATGTATCAGAAATTTTATTTAGGACCGCAACCATGCATACCCAGACTCAACAGCATGCTGCCTCTGCCGATTCCGGCCCGATGTCCAACAACCAGCCCGGACAGTTTTCTCATGAAAACCGCCCTCCATACATTGCTGGTTATCCGCAGGGTCCATCTGTCAATAACCGTGACGGCAATGGTCAGGTCATGTCTCCTTTCTTTGGTGGGCTTAACCTAGGGAATCAACGTACTGGTTCCAAGTTCGGTGCCATGAAAGGCAACTTTCCAATGCCGTTGGCTCCAGGTCTTGATTTGTCCGGTGCCCATCGTAACCCTTACAATGGCCAGCTTGTCCTTCTTCCCAATGGAACCATGCTGGGTGGCATTCCTCCGGTGGCTCCCTTTGCCCCAGCTCCTGTTCCTGGACATGACCAGGTGGGCCAGATCCCATACTTACCGGCCAACCTCTACCCTGGAATGAACCCTGGCTGCTCCATGATCCCGGGGCCCATGCAGGGATATACCTTGCCGTATCTTATGAACTGCGATATGCAGGACATGGCAGGCCAGAAAAGCAGCCCCTGGGCCCCGAACGAGGACCACAAGGGGACTGCTGCTTCGACGGTCTCTGAGGGTGGTAACCAGACGGAGTACTATCAAAACTCTGCCGTCTCTAACGTGGATGGTCCGCCTCTCTCGGGATATGGCTACAGCATTTCCCCGCAGCTTGGCCAGCCAATTCTTCCCTTCCAGATGATGAAGACCCCAACTGGATACATGCTACAGGACCTTGAAGCTTTGACGCAGCAAGACCCTCCAATCCCACGCGCTGTTCCTGCTATGTGGACCAATCCAACTGAACTGACTCTTGCCAAATGTCTTGAGAACCGGGAGGGCATCACCAATGTTTACATCCGGGGTTTCCTTCCTGAGACCACAGATGAGGTTTTGCACTCGTACGCTTCCCGCTTCGGAAAAATTGATCGCTGCAAGGCGATTGTTGATTTGGATACCGGTCTATGCAAAGGGTATGCAATCCCTTATAAGCATTTTTTGATTGACGTCCTGCTCACATGAATGACAGCTTTGGATTCGTTCAGTATTACAACTTCGAGTCTTGCGAGAACTGTATAAGGGGCTTTTTCTATCTCGGATACCAAGCCAGCTTCGCACAGGTAAGCAGTTTGAGGCTGTACCTCATGGTTTGTACTGACATATTTCAGAAATCTCGTAATTCCCGCCTCAAAGATCTTGAAGACAGGGCCTCGACGAACATTTATTGCACCAACCTTCCCATTGACTGGACTGAAGCGGTAAGTTGGCTGGCTTTTTGTTTATCCATTCTTCTGACAGTATGCCAATGCCAAAAGGACCTTCGCCGTCATTTCGAGCCATACCAAGTCGTTTCCGAGAAGATTAGTCGGGATGACAAGACAGGTGTCAGCAAGGAAGTGGGATTTGCTCGGTCAGTTTTCTACACTCAATTCATTCAAGGTGTATGTTTCTCATACTTTTGTATAGCTTTGAAAGCCGCGAGATTGCAGAAAAAGTGCTGTCTGAGTTCCACAATGTCGTCGGAGAAGATGGAGTCAAGTTGCTTCTCCGTTTCGCAGACACAAAGGCCCAAAAGATTTTGAAACAGCAAAGCAACGAGCGTCGGGCATATCGCGCTGGGGAGTATAACTTTTCCGTCGAGGTGGTTCAGGGCTCAACTCCGTCGCCTTCATTGCACCGTCTGCAACAGACGGCATCTCATCTCAGCCCTAACTCCCAGGTCAGCTACACATCTCCAGTAGGAGTAGGTTCCACTTGGACTCCCGCCACGTCAATCTCCCCGTCGTATGTATCAAGGAGAATCTAGCATGTGAATCTTGAATGTACTGACAATACCAGCAGTTATCCCTTAATGAAGAACCAGGTCGGAAACGTGCGACTTAGCTCGTGGTCCTCGCGTAACAGCCCCAACACTCTGGAAAACAACCCCGTGTACCGTGGCCGGCTGTCTGCCGCAAACCGCACTGCTTTAACTGACAGTATCTCTACTGGATCTTCGAAGACGATGGTGCCCAGCACGCCATGTGCCATTCGACCCCATTCCCTCAGCCCCAAAAAGGAGAATCACAAAGCCGGGTCTCTGTCCCCGATCTCGTCCCGCAGGGAGATCATTGTAAATTCTCCACGTTCATCCATTTGAGACTGCTTTTCCTTCGATCCTAGATGCTATCTCTAGTTCGTCTAACATTCATCAGTTTTACCTACCTAAGCATTTACCTCAGAAAGCAATGTCAATTCTTCTTCGGGCTCGACCAAGAAGAAAAGTGAAAGAAAAGTCATTCTATTCGACCATATGTTTTATGATTCGAAGACTGCGCCAACTGAATTGTATGAATAAGTGATGTTTGATTGAGCGAAATGTTTGTCTGTTCATTTTTCTTCATTTTTGTTTTCTTGAAGTCTTTTTGTTATGTATCATTCGTCTTTGATTTCTTGAGACATCACTCCTGTGTCCTATGTCAACAGAGTGGCTTATTTAGGGTCCATATTTGTTACGAGCTTAGGCCGCTGGGTTCAGAGTTAAGAAAAAGGGTGCCTGTTTATTTACTGTATCTGTTCAAGAGTATGTTGCTTTGCTAGATTGTTATGTTATTTTTCGAAAATAGGCTGTTTAGTCTAGTAATAAGACGGGAATTTCAATTCTAGTCATGCCCATCTTCAATCCAGATGACTCCCAGCAATACGTGAGGGTTCACCAAATACCAAGTCTATGTGTTTGTTTAAGACCAACGATGACGATAAATCAACCAAACCGCTTCAAACCAGAAGAAAAAGACAAGAAAGAGTGAGAAGATGTACGCCGGTCTATAAACGAAACGTCCGAGACGTGCCCACCTCTTACTACTCGAGACCCCATCGCCTGTATTCCCCTTTATATGTGCAGAATCAATTGCGGCCTAATCTTTCCTCGAGATCCTCGGTCAACTCATATGCAGGACGAAAACCTTCTGTCTCTTCCTCGGAGGCACAACGGTCAACCCGCAGCATGGGGTTGGGCAGAGTGTCGGTTGTGCCACCGAGACTGGTGTAACCCTGGTCGTAGAGGGGACAATACTCGAGATCCAAGTGGCGAATAAAAGCCCAGATCTCTGCGTATCGCCAGTCGATAACGGGGTGGATGCGCACAAAGTCGGGCCAGCCATGGTCGGTGCGATCGAAATGGGTCAACTTGGCGCCATGAGGATCGGTACGTCTGGTGCCGACAAAGATAGCTTTGACGGAAGGGTTGCGAGCGAGATAATCCTCGAAGCTGGAGCGCAGGGTACTCTTGGGGGGGTCTGTGGTGTACTTGATTATGGATAGATGGTAGGCGCGGGAGGAAGAGAGCACAAAGTCCTCGACGGCGGGGAAAGGGTCGGGCGGGAGAGCGTAAATGGAGGGGATGGAAGCAATGCCACCCTTTTCTGGGGGAGGGAGAGGATTCAGGCCCGTGAGGAAGAGGATAAGAAGTACGAGACAGTCTTTGCCGCCATTATAGGAGAGGGAGAGTTCGGGGAGCTGGTAGCGGGACAGCGCGGTTGCGACGACGTCGAGAGATATGCGGGTTTGACGCTGGACGGCGGCGAGGAGAGAGTCTGGGGGATGGGATTCTTGGAGGAACGAATGGACTTTATGATGGACGTTGGCGATGACGGTGGCGAGGGGTGGTGGTGTTTGAAGTGATTCTTGGTTGGGTGTTGAAGATGGAGCTTGTTGCGGTTGAGGGTGAGAGTGAGAAGGAGAGATCACATTAGGGGCGCCATTTGTGCAGGATACTGCGTCTGGCCTGGGGACAAAGTCTGTCATCTCCGTCGAATGTGAGTATATTGACTGAGATGGGTATTTGTGATGGTGATGGGGGGGGAATTAAGGACAGCAAGTCAATGATAGCGAAATAGAGAACGTGGCTGTTACTCGGTATGCGGCATGAAGTGGGGGGAATCACTCATTAAAGTCAATCATGAAGCACAGACAACCAACCACAAAACAGGATGGAGGGAGATGGTGAGCTGGCTTGTCAGAGTGACTCTGGTGATGCTGAAGACGGACAAGAATTAATATTCCATGTGTCTCTTCTGGAGAATCTTCTGGTCGCCGAAACCGACAGCCCCGCGCCCCGCACCGAGGCCGAGACCCGACGGTTTCTACGGAGTATACTTACGAGTATACAGGGCAAATATATTATAGAATGTCTGTAATGGATTCTAGGATTAAGCAGAACATTGAAGAATACACATCAACGGCAAATACAATCACAAGTGAACCTGAACGCCGAACGAGCTTGAATCGCTGTTATCTCTCGAGGCCATCGCCGTTTAGCCCAGCACCTTCATCTTTTTCTTCTTCTTCTTATCGTCGTTCTTGCGTCCCTTCTGCCAGTCTCGCCAGCTTCCAATCCGCTCCTCTCGCGAGTCTTCCCATGCCTTGTCCTGGTCTCGTTTTCGTTTCCGCGCTTCAATCTCTTCGTCTTCTTTGCGCTGCTCTCGACCTTCTTCTTGCAACCTGGCCTTGAGCTGTCGTCGTCGTCGTGCCTCCTCTTCCAACAACACATGTACTGTCTTCTGGCGCCATTCCTTTTTGAATTCCGCAGTCTTCAGCTCCGGAGAGTCTAGGGTATACTTGTGTTCTCGGATCAACAGCCGTCGCGCATCTGCAATACATTCGTCCAGGTAGGTTCGAGATTTCTCCTCCAGGAGCGACGTCTGTGCCTTCTTGAGTCGATCGAAAGCATCCGGTGCAGCAGGGTTCTTCGTCTTATCCGGATGGATCAACAGGGACTTCTTTCGGTATTGTATTTTGATGTCTTTTTCAGTAACTCCGGGTTGGAGGTCAAGGACGGAATATCTAGAAAAATTCCCGTTTAGCTTTCTGAATCTGCAGTAGCCCAAACGTAAATAAAAACTCACGCGTCTAATTGAAAGGCCTTTCGAATACGGTCAATCTCTGCATCCTGTATAGCGTCGCGTGTCAGTCTGACGGCATTCCCGTAATCAACACCTTTCGCCATCCACGCCTACCTTGTCGAAATCAGATGCCTCCTTCTCCAGCGCATCCAATGCATCCTGTTCTTCCAAGGCCATCTTTGCTTCCAGCTGCTCTGCGCGATCTTCCTGGCTGCTGGGAGCGTCAACAATAAACGGTTTCTTGCTGGTTGATAAGCCTGGAACGCCGCCAACCTTATCGGCTGCTGACTCAGCGGAATCGACTGAAGAAAAAAAAAAGTTCGTTTTCACCGCCCGACAAGAAAGAAAGAAAAGAAAAGAAAGGAAAATAATATCAGCACATCAACGACGGCGAGATTTTATCGACCACCAGTGAGCTCATCATGGCTCCTACGAACGGTCCTCGCAATGGCAAGAAGAAGCAACCTGTGGAACGGACCAAGACGTTGAAGCGCAAGCGTGGACAAGAGGAACTCTCGTCCCTCGTCCAGCGAGTCGAAGGGCTCAATCTGAAGGATGCCTTCAAATCCTTCTCCGATTTGCCTCTCTCCGAACCGACTGCCTCGGGACTTTCCTCTTCTCACTATAAAACCCTGACCGATATTCAGTCTCGTGCGATTACCCATGCTCTCAAGGGTCGCGACATCCTGGGTGCCGCAAAGACCGGTAGCGGCAAGACGCTGGCTTTCCTGGTTCCTGTTCTCGAAAACCTATACCGCAAGCAATGGACCGAATACGATGGCTTGGGTGCTTTGATCCTCTCTCCGACTCGCGAACTGGCTATTCAGATCTTTGAGGTTCTTCGGAAAGTTGGTCGTTATCATACTTTTTCGGCGGGGTTGGTTATTGGAGGGAAAAGTTTGAAGGAGGAGCAGGAGATACTGGGACGGATGAATATTCTGGTCTGCACACCTGGCCGTGTGTTGCAGCATTTAGATCAGACTGCGCTATTCGAAACAAACAACCTGCAGATGCTTGTGATGGATGAGGCCGATCGTATCATGGACATGGGTTTCCAGCGTACGGTGGATGCCATTGTCGAGCATCTTCCCAAGGAGCGTCAGACAATGCTTTTCAGTGCGACACAGACAAAGAAAGTCTCGGATCTGGCTCGTCTGAGTCTCCAAGAACCCGAGTATGTGGCCGTCCATGAGGCAGCTTCTTCTGCGACGCCTTCCACCCTGCAGCAGCACTACACCGTCGTCACACTCCCGCAGAAGCTCGACATTTTGTGGAGTTTTATTCGAAGCAACCTGAAATCGAAGACGGTGGTGTTTTTGTCTTCCGGAAAACAGGTGCGATTCGTCTACGAGTCTCTGCGACACCTCCAGCCTGGTATTTCATTGATGCACCTTCACGGCCGACAGAAGCAGGGAGGCCGACTCGATATTACAACCAAATTCTCTCAGGCCCAGCACGCGGTCCTTTTTGCTACAGATGTTGCTGCTCGTGGTTTGGATTTCCCCGCAGTCGACTGGGTTATCCAGATGGACTGTCCCGAGGATGCAGACACCTACATCCATCGTGTTGGGCGAACTGCGCGTTATGAGCGGAACGGCCGAGCCGTGCTGTTCTTGGACCCAAGTGAAGAAAAGGGAATGTTGAAGCGTCTTGAGCAAAAGAAGGTACCAATTGAACGGATCAATATCAAGGCCAACAAGCAGCACAGTGTCAAAGATCAACTGCAAAATATGTGCTTTAAGGACCCGGAGTTGAAGTATCTGGGACAGAAGGCGTTTATCTCCTATGTCAAGTCGATTTACGTGCAAAAGGACAAGGAGGTTTTCAACCTGAAGGAACTACCATTAGAGGAGTATGCGGGTAGTCTCGGTTTGCCTGGTGCGCCTCGTATCAAGTTTATCAAGGGAGATGACACCAAGGAACGCAAGAATGCCGCGCGGTTTGTTGGTGGCGATCTCAGTGACGAGGACGATGAGGGTGCAAAGAAACCCAAGGAAGAACCTCAAGTGCGAACCAGGTACGACCGGATGTTCGAGAGACGAAACCAGGATGTTTTGGCGGACCATTACTCGAAGCTTATCAACGACGACGGAACCATTGTTGCATCTGCCAACAAGGGTGCTGCAGACGATGCCGACGAAGACAACGACTTCCTTTCTGTCAAGCGTCGCTTCGATGCGGGCGACGAGGGTTTGGACGTGGGGTCCAGCGATTCCGAGGGAGAATCCGAGGAAGAAGAAGAGAAGGACGAGTCCGAGAAGAAAGATTCCAAGGATCCCAAGGTGGTGCAGATGGCCGGCGACCAAGCGCTGGTCATCGATTCCAAGCGTCGCGAGAAATTGCTCAAGTCGAAGAAGAAGCTTCTCAAGTACAAGGGCAAGGGAACAAAACTCGTATACGACGACGATGGCAACGCCCACGAGCTGTACGAGATGGAGGACGAAGAGCAATTCAAGGCCCGCGGCGACGCCAAGGAGCAGAAGGCCAAGTTCCTGGCGGAGGAGGCGGAGCGGACCCGTCTTGCGGATATGGACGACAAGGAAGTTGCCAAGCAGAAGAAGCGCGAGAAGAAGGAGAAGCGCAAGGCTCGCGAACGCGAAATGGAAATGGAAATGGGCGAGGAAGGTTCCGACTACGAGACAGTCGCCCAGCTGGCGCCTTACCACGAGAAGCCCGGAGTCGACGATGGCATGTCCTCTGGCGAGGAAGAAAGGGCGCCGCGTCCCAGCAAGAAGCAAAGAGTCAGCTTTGCCGAACCCGACGACGAAGACGAGCGACCCCAGAAGAGCAAAAAGCCCAAGGCCCCAAGCAAGCCGATCGAGACGTTGGAAGATCTGGAGAATCTGGCCAGTGGACTGCTGGGATAAGAAGTGTTATGTCTTTCATTGTATCTCATTATTATTATTATTATTTTATTCCATGTGTCGAGCATTTCGGCTGTCTGTTTCTAGCGAAGGATATCAAAAGCATTTGTATATAGATCTCAACCAAGAAAGCTACTCTTCAATATCTATGGGTTCAATCAAGCCAATTTAAAATTAAAATGAAGCCTTGTGGATCTGGCTGCCATGCGGCGGAAGCTTCCTCCCACCTTTTTGCCTCTTGCAGCAAAAACTCAGGCCTTTCCAAATCACGCCATCGCGAATTATTCTTCCTCATCAGGAGAAGAAAATTAATCTGCGCGTTTTCTCAAAAATATGACAGCTCGTCGACCTGCACTTCTTATCTCTGGATGCCATATGGATTGGTTCCTCAATTGAGAGTCGAAAATTCCGGTTTGGCACGTGCTTCTTCTTCTCCAGAATTCTCCAGATCTTCGGCTGAATTGCCGCTTTCGGCAAGTTCTTTGGCTTCGTGGGTTCTTTACTCCTCTTTTTTCCCCTCTCTGACATCTGGGGTTAAACTGACATATGTCATTCAGGGAGTCTAGATACGTGGAGTACATCCAGCCATCTAGTGTATCAATGGTACAGGCTGTGATAAACTAGACTCATTAACCACTTTCCATAACCCAGAAAAGAAGGAAAGACAGAAAGAAAACCACAATGGCAACAACCCACGACATCGAAAAACAGCCCCCTCCCCTCCAGGGCCAGGAGGAGCCCTTCAACTCCAAAACACCCGGTCTAGCAACGGATACCATCGAACCAACAAGCCAGTATGTAAACGCAGACAAACTAGCCCGGAACCTCTCCGCGCGCCAGGTCCAGATGATCGCCATCGGCGGAACCATTGGCACTGGACTATTTCTAGGAACAGGAAAGGCGCTGGCGACGGGTGGGCCGGCGTCGATGTTGATTGCTTATGCGATCTGTGGTGGGATTGTTTTTGTGACCATGTTGAGTTTGGGGGAGATGGCGGCGTTTATTCCGGTTGCTGGGTCTTTTTGTACTTTTGCCGGGTGACTTTTCTATCCTTAAGGTGAGAGAATGAGTGACTAACTGTCTGTCTAGTCGCTTTGTCGATGATGCTCTTGGTTTCGCTCTTACTTGGAACTACTGGTTTAATGATGCGGTTTCGACGGCATCGGATATTATTGCCCTTCAGCTTCTGCTTGAGTTCTGGACGGATAATTTCCCTGGTTGGGCAATCAGTTTGATATTCCTGGTTGTTGTCATTGCGCTCAATCTTCTATCTGTCAAGGTTTACGGAGAGGTATGTATGATGTTTTTTGCATACAGACAAGACAAGCTAACAATTTAACAGGTTGAATATTGGCTTAGTTTGCTCAAAGTGGCTACTATTATTGTATGTTTCGCTATTCTATTTCTCTAGAGGAATGCTGACTGTTTAGATCTTCATCATCCTTGGAATCGTCGTCAACTGCGGAGGAAACACAGAGCACAGATATCTCGGTGACAAATACTTTTACGTCGGCGATGCTCCTTTTGTAGATGGGATCGGCGGGTTTGCGTCTGTATTTGTCACGGCTTCTTTTGCCTAGTATGCATCCTTCGTCATATCCTGGCAGATCATGGCTAACATTGTCTCAGCGGAGGAACTGAATCCATCGCTGTCACAGCCGGCGAGACCAAGGACCCAGCCAAGAATCTCCCCCGAGTCGTGCGCAACGTCTTCTGGCGGATTATTCTCTTTTATATCGTTTCCATCATTATCATCGGGTTGAATGTGCCATACAACTACCCCGGTCTGTCTTCCGGGGATACTGCCACCAGCCCCTTCACGATTGTCTTCGTCCAGGCCGGCAGTGCCGTTGCGGGCAGCTTCATCAATGCGGTGCTTATGACCAGTGTCATTTCCGCTGCTAACCATGCCTTGTTTGCCGGGTCACGATTGCTCTACACGTTGGCAGTTGATGGATACGCACCACGATTCTTCGGACATCTGAATCGCTTCCAGGTCCCTTGGGCGGCTGTCCTGGCGACATCCGTCATTAGTGGATTATGTTTCGGGGCCAGCTATATCGGAGCTGGACAGTTGTGGTCATGGTTGCAAAAGTATGTTTTCTCTTCTCTCTTTTTCTTTCAACAAACACATACCCATACTCATAATTCCTCCAGTATCGTTGGTGTCTCCAACCAACTCTCTTGGATCTGCATCGGCCTTGCCTCCCTCCGTTTCCGCGCTGCAATCCGCCACCAGAACCTCGAGCATCTTCTCCCCTTCAAAAACTGGACATACCCCGCTGGCCCCGTCCTCGCCGTCGGTCTCAACATCGTTCTCGTCCTCGTCCAGGGCTGGTCCTGCTTCAGCCCAACCTTCCAAGGCGTCGACTTTGTCTCGTATTACATCGAAATCGCAATTATGATCGTCATGTTCCTCATTTGGAAAGTATTCAAGCGAACCAAGTTCGTACGTCTGTCTGAGATGGATCTCGTGACGGATCGGTATGATTTGAATCCCGAGACGGCGGGGGATTCGCAGATCGATCAGGGTGTCACTGTTGGTGAAGGTGAGGAGATTGTTGGGTCGCGGAAGCAAAAGTTTTTTGCTCTGAGGCCTGGTGAAGAGAAGGGTGTTCTCGGGAAGGTGAAGAGGGTTGCGATGTGGCTGTTTTTGTAATCTGATGCGATCAGATTGCTATATGTAAATGTTGTAGGGTAGATAGATGTACATATTATATATAACCCGCACCTTGGTAAAGATATCTTCAAATTCTCTGTTCAGTAATCAACTGCACCTCCATCACTGCATCAGATTCATAGCAATTCAACACATCAACGATGAACAAGAGGATTATCGGGTGGGGTTGGCAACCGATCGTCAAGCGGGCCCGCGAGATCAGATCTGAACCACTCATCGCTAGATCTGGGAAATTAAAGACTCCTGGAGCTGCGCTTCGAGTTTCAGATCGGCTTTGTTTCGACTTCCTCTTTCTTGCTCTCCTTTTCCTTTCTTTCCTTTTCTCTTTCTCACTACAAGGTGCCCGCTTGACTCAAAAAGAAAATAACGATAAAAAAGAATGACAAAAGAAATCCGGAATATTGATTCAAACAACTCTCTATCTTCAAGGCTCTCTCAGTTTACACTGACGAAACCTATATTAGGACTGCGTTTTCTGTCCAGCAGGATAATTAAAACGCAGTCTTGATCAGACGGTCTAAGATATACAAATGCTGTCTTCCTCCCTTTTCCTTCCCGTTTCCATGCAGATGCAAGAAAATATGTATCGCAGGACTCCAGACAACGCCTTTCGGTTGAGAAAACACAGCAGCCCCCAGAAAAGAAGAAGGAAAATAGTTGATAATGGTGCGGTGTGGCAGCGGCAAAGCAACAACACGCTATGGATCAAGATGAGCACAACAATGAGGTGAGCAAAACTGAAGCAATCGAGACCTCCATGCAACCCCAACAAAGAGCAACAGTACAAAGGAAAATGTTATATAACCAAAGAAAAAAACAAAAGCATCTGGACTGACCATATACCCGTAATCACGACAAAGGAAAAATATCTTTTTAAGACATCCCATCTCATCCATTTTGATGAGAGGAGCAAAATAAAACCACGTCTGCTGAAGATTTGATGCAAGCACGCAAAACCACATAGGAAAAGCTGCATTAAGATCATTAACCGTTGTAGATCCCGCTACAAGCATCCAAAAGGGTACATCGAAAAGGTTCCCTGCCTTCCCAACGATTCGAAACAGAAAAGTGCACCAGTCGATCTTTCAGCATCGTGATTGATTCAGTCATTGACCATATCATCCAGTGCCATCTTCCGGCGTTTAGTTGGTCTTCCGTCACTGCCTTCACCTGCTTCACCTTCACCGCCTGGTTGCTCATCTCGTAGATGTGTGGGAGAAAGGTGTACATGATGCCTTTCTGCAACCGGAGGGATGGGTCCGGGATGCCCTGATACTGGCTCAGGATATACCGATTCCGACGTCGCATGTTGGAATTGCGTGTGAGGCGATAGCGGTTCCATCAAACCTTGCGGAGGTGGCGGTCGACGCTCCTGCGTGAACTCATCTTGAGCTCGATATGACCAAGGTGCCGGGTACGGATCACTGAGCCGATGTCCCTGCGATTGCGGGGTTGGGCCTACATTCGTCATCGCTGGAAAGATAGGAGGAAGCCTGACGGGTGACTCGATATAGGCTTCGTGGGGGTCCCTCGGCATGGGAGGATCTCCCATTGGTGGCCGGTTAATCGGCCTCGAGCTCTCCATGTATGGTGAGATCGGACCCCCAAAAGCTTGATGATACTGCGGTGGAGAGGTGGTCGGGGGCATCACCTGATTCGCATAAGACGAGAGCGGTCGCCCCATACCAGGAGGCATGCGACCTGCTCCCATGACAGGGCTAAACCCACCAGTCATTGGAATAAAGCCAGGGGCCTGTGCCGTGGCATAGTGTGATCCCGACGAAGAGAATCGCCTGTGGCCCAAATGTCCTTGCATGGACAACGAAGGATCCACTGTATGTGGGAATACTGAAGTCGACCATCTTTGTGGATGCCCAGCCGACGCTCTAAGTCCGATTGCTCCCGCAGGTCCACCAGAGACCTGGAGATCAGTCATAGGACGAATCTCACGGGACGACGTCGCCCGGTGCATATGTGTGCGTCTGGGTTGCGATGCCTGATGCGGTTCCCCAGGTGCTGCTGGATTTCCCAACTGCGTTGCGTACGGTCTGAGCGATGGTTCCTCCGCCTTAAGCGGCGGTCTGCCGCGTTTCTTATGCGTCACATCCACGCATGTCGCCTGATAAAAACTTAGTCCACATCGCTCATGTTGGTGTTTTCTTGGCAGTTTTCCAGGAATAGATACATCATGGGGCAGAAGGAAACAAAAAACAAACTTACCGCTTTTCCGGCCACAACACATCTTCGGCAGGGCCGTGCTGGATCGCAACCCAGGTGCTTCTTCTTGCAGTTTACGCATGCAGACGCCACGTGGGCCTTGGTGCGTCGTGTCGGTTTCTGTGGCAGTGCTCGAGTAGCTGTCCCAGATGGAGAAGTTGCCAGCGTCGGCGTCGGGTATGGTCCCTGGATAGGTTGTGATCCGGCCTGTGCACCAAATGCGGGCGGCTGTCGCGAGGAAAGAGGGTCATTGAACGCGAATGATCGTTGTGAAATCTCGTCAGTTGTCGCCGAAACCACACGCTGCAAGGTCGGTTCCCGAACCGTACCAGTTGCAGCGCTGTCTAGAGCGAGGACTTGGGCAGATAATCCAGTTGCGGCGGTTGTTGTCACCGGATGAGGGAGCTCTGGACGTCCTGGGCGCCTGGCCTCTCCAGAGATCTCCAGCGGGTCATCTACTGGGGCTGGGCCGGACATAGAGCGAGGGGGAGGAAGAGCCCGAGGGCTACACCCTCGAGCATTTGTCGATCGAGGTAGATTCAACGAAAGCCGCTCTGGGCCGGGGTTGAATCTGGAATGCCCAAATGATGTAGCGATGAAGGGTGAATGGGGAAGGACTAAAGATTGCATCTGGCAAGAGAGTCCCTTCTCCGACGGGGCGCTTCACAAAAATGGGAGATTGGCAAGTGTCGAGATCGAGATGGACAGCATATCTGACGGACGAGAAACCCTTCTGGCGCACGCTGGATTGCTGTGATGGAAGATGGCTTACTCGTTGGCCGTCATCGGGATAAAATCGATTGCCGGCCGCCCGAGGGATTGGAGGAGCTTCTAATAAGTCAGCCCAAGGTTGATTATTGGAGGAGTCATAAACTAGGCTATGCCGATCAGCAGGAGCTATCCAGATCGTGACAGCATTCTTCCTCATAGCTTCGATGGCCCCATCTCCGGTTGATTTATTGCAGCACGGTGGAAGATCTGCGGAGCTAGGAAAAAAGTGCAGGAGGGGGCATAAAGGGAGAAAAGAAAAAAAAAAAGAAAAAAGGTTCGACGGCAAAGCAACCGTGCCTTACCTTTGGATCACAATGCACGTTGAATCTTTTAGCAAGTTTCTTTTTCCTTTTTTTTTTTTTTTTTTTTTTTTTTTTGTTTCTTTGACGAACTGTTCCGACTCCGAAAAAGAAAAGGATGAATGGAAAAACGGTGAACTATACCGGAAGGTGAGGCGCAGAAACCAGTGGGATGACTCTTCTACTTTGGAGAAAAAATCCAAAGGGACTGGGGAGCAAACTAGGAAGAAAGAAAACAAAAAAAGAAAGCAAGCAAGCAACAAAAGGGTTTGTGAAATTGCTAGTCTCGTTTTCTTCTTTCTTGTTTGAGAGGAATATTTTGGTGGGCAGGGGGAGGATTTGAGTGAAGGAGGATCCAACCGGCAAGTCAAGTATTATTGTCCGTCTGTCTTTTTGGGAACATTAATATTTGCCTCTTGGACAGCAAAACGATGCGAAATAGGGCTCTAGTTTCTGCCTAGAGGTTATGACAAGGCTTATACCTTTCAGCGGGACCCTGTCTGGGTTGGCAAGAGACCAGTGGATGAAAGCAAGTCGACAAGAGGGGAGAAGGGGAGGGAGAGAGAGAGTCTGGAAGAGAGAAAGACAGAGAGAGGTGGGTAGGAGTGGCCAGTGCAACACCGACTAGCAGCCGATAGACTTGATCTCCATCATAGTATTCTGTAGTAGATCTCAATGGGTTTGGCTCCATACAGGATGAGTGAGTGGTAGCCGTAGTATGTATGTGTAGTGGCAAGAGGTATATGGAGGATAGTTCCAATTCCCCGGGGGTGGCCCAGTCAAGTCCAATAAGCTCGATCTTCACACGGATCCATCGAGTGGATTACTTGGATGACGATCAATTTTTACTTATTCCTTTTTTCTTTTTCCCTTTTCTGTCTGGCTCTTGCCCTCTCTCACCTTTTTCCCGCTTTTGCTTTTTTTCCCTTTTTCCTTTTTTATTTTCTTACTCCCTTTTTTTCTTTTCACTTTTTTCTCCCTGTGCTTCTGCTGGAGACGATGCGGTGGCTTGCATTAGATGGGCAATTAGGAATGGATGCCGCTGTCAGTGACACCGACCCGAATGGGGAGGGCAAAGAGAGGGGGGGGAGGAAAGGATCAAACGCCATCGATACTGCATTGTCCAATGTGCAATAAATGTCTGGAGAAGTGCAAAAAAAGGACGTGGTTTTTCCTCTTTCATCCGTAGTCGATGCCAAATCAGGAGGGCCCTGGAAGCAAGGCAAAGAAAGATTGAGCGACGGATCGACGCCGGCGCCCGCCCGCTGCATCCATTGTCAATAGTCCACTCGGCAAGGATGGAGCACTGGGGCGCATTCCGTCCCAGTTTGACATGCGCTACCGGAAGGAGAGAGGAGAGCACATTTGACGAGACCTCATCGCCAGTATTTTAAAGCTTGCCATGGGAAAATGGGCCGAGCGGAGGGTCCAAAAAGAGAGCTGGCTGTGACGCTGTCGAGACCATCGGGAACTCGAGATACAGAGATACTCGGCGAGACACCACAGGAGATCTTTTTCTCTGGCAGGCAATCGTCAACTGCAGTGGCTGTCCTGTGTACTAAGAACATAATCCAACCGTTTGGGGCACAAAAAACGACACTGTGATCCTTGATGTTCCGGTGCCCCTGTCCGCAGAACGATCATGCTTAATTTTTTAGAATCCCCAAATTCCCATTCAATCAGTGGACTCCGAGGGCCTTTTTCCCCCTCTTGATGGATCCTGATTGGAGTGATAAAAGTCTCGAGCTCTTCACTTCCCCTCACGGTCGCCTGATTTTTCTCCATTCTAAATTTTCGTTTCTCCGGAATTCTTGTCGCGTAGCCTTTTTTTTTTTTTTTTTTCGCTTTGCCTTTTCCCTTTGATTATTCGGAAGCTTCCTTGGGAAAAGCAAAATGCTATTCCATGACATCAACAACCAAGAGTCAATCACAGGGAATTTGAAGATGAGTCTGGATTGCTACTCCTGTCTTGTAATTCGAGGTTTCGATACGGAGTCCCGGCCAAGTCGTTCTAGGGGCACGGGACCTGCGATCAGCTCTATGAAAGTCTCCTCGGGAGCCTCCTTTCAAGCCTGTCCATTGTCGCAGGGTTTGGCCAACTGTGCTTGACAGATGACGCCAACAGCGGCCAGCTCAATAATAGCCCCGAAAAAGTGGAATCAGAGACAACTATTTCTCCGCAGTGGTCCTGTGCTAGGACCCACCGACCAGAGTATGATCCTCCGTACATCATTACACCACTGTGCCGTTGCCTGTCGGCCACTACCACACGATCCTGACCCTTGGGTTGGGGGTCGTCAGTTCTTCAAACATGCAAGATCCTGACAGTCATCATCCGTAGCAAGGAAATCACTTCAGAAAGGCACCCCTAATCGTATGGAGTGCATTCTCAAACCCGGGCACCTGCAGGCACCTAATCCGTGTAGTTCCATCGTTTTTAGTGCATTAGATCTATGGCTTGGACCGTTGTAGATGATCATCCTCGATAGCAGAGATGTTCCCCTCAGTAGTGTCACCAAGGGTTGTCCTACTATGCCGATGGAGCACAAAGATACGAGGTGGTTTGGACAACATTCCGGAAGTGAAATCACGTCCACGTCCCTGGAAGTCAACTATGTTTCCAGCGGGAAGGTCCATGGTATGTGGGAAAATTGACTTTATTCTCCGGAGAGGGAGGGGGACCCCTCCCTATACGTAGGTAGTACTTCGTACGGTCACTTTCAATTCAGATTGAGCTGCAGATGCTGCGCCCTGTTCAATGATCGCTCAAGGAAATTTTATCGACACATGTATGACGCCCCTGGCTTGACCACTTGAGTTCCGGACATTTTGCGAGCTTCTAGGGGAAAGGGGGGGATGGTCGGATGGGAAATCATTAACCCTCATTTCGAGATTATTGTTTTACGGGCCGTCCGATAAGATCCACCACTCATTCCTTTTTTTGTTGAATAATGTTTGAGCACGGAGCAATAATCCAAGCGGAGATGGTCACTCGATCCAATGACGGTTAAATCACCAACGGCCCTGGATGGTGCAATCCTTAGGCTCTGGGCGTTAGTGGCTCAGTGCACGTAAATCCTTTTACTTGTGTCATTTGGAATGCTATCGGCCAGTCGGTTTGTACCGAGTTTTGTTTTGACAGAAGAGGGGGTCCCCAAGTTGAAGAGAAGAGGATCACTTCGGGGAATTCTCATGTTGCCATTATTCTTTTTGATCCGGCAATATAATTGTTCTTTAATAACAATTACCGAGTAATTTTCTTTTTCATCTTACTCCGTACGATCCGAGTTTATCGAGGCGATGAGAGAAACCCAGCTTCCCAATCGACAATTCAGCAGAAACGCGACAGTCGACACGCGGTCGGACTGTCACTTGCTGTCTCTGAGGGCACATTGTGGAACATACCGCACGCGAAGAACATCAGCAAGGGGCAGGGTCAGCGTTATTTGTTCAGGCTAGTTGGAACCAAGCGTCGAGGGTCGACAGTCACCTCGAAATCCAATGCATTATTCTGTAATCATGTACGTACTGTAAGCCTGTAATTCCCACATCCCAGCAGCTGTGAGCAGTTCATGCAGTCCCCGGGCGGGAGGCGCCAGCACGATCTACCAGTAGACCCTGTTAGGGGCCCAGCAAAGTCAATAGTTTGGGCCACCGCCCCTCGTCTTAAAGGCCCAAAAGGAGGGGAAGAAAGGCATGGCATGAGATGTTGTAGCAGTATCTTGCTGCTGCTGACAATAATGCCAATAAACGCAGCGGGAAACTGAATTCCTTTCCAGTCAGGGTGGATTATTTCGCCTGTCGTGTCACCCAGACACACGGGTTGCAAGATGACCTTTTCTTGGGAACAACACGAGTCTGGGGACGCAGCTGCACACGCACATGCTGCCCATCGTCATGATTATTGGAGTGTCTCACAGAATGCGCATAAGGTTCAATCCAAACCACGTCTGGATAGAAATAGCAAGGCAAATGATGCCGGCGGTGATGGCGATGATGATGGAAGAACCCAAAAGCTGGACTTCACGCGAGGCGCTTTGGGCGATCCGCACTGTTTCCCGTTCGAGCTTAGCGGCCCCCGTGAGCAGCGCTGCTTCTTTGGGAAAGCCGCAGATCTCAAGAATCATCATATTCAGGATTTGTCACGGCGACCACTTTTCGACTATCAGATGGACTATGCTGCCACTACCTAATATCTGGGCGGGCCTTGCGGACAATTTCTTATCGTGTTGACATGTCTTCATACCGGATGGATCCGGGATTTCATCATCCCAAGAAAGGGGGTCAGGAAAATCGCCGTTAATGCTGCTGCGAGCCAAGGGAATTCCAGTGATCCAGTTAAGATTGCAATATGCGTACTTCCACCATGGTTGCTGATCTTCTTAACGACACAGGACTAAGAGAGCGCAGAAAACCTCCGAGAAGTCTTCCCACTCCGGTCTAGGCCACGTTGGTGAGGGGTTATATCTCGCCGGTGTGTGCCTCAAGGACAAAGGAAGATCCCAATTCAGTCAAGTTAGCACAAAAATCAAAACTCGATTGAATTAATTGGGTCCTCCTTGCTGGCCCATCCTATCTTATCACATTGCTACGAAGGACACCAGTTGGGAAGAGGTTAGAAGCTTGTGATTGTGGCCCAATGCATGTGCGGGGTGGCAATAATACAACCAACCACAGGCACATGGGGTGGCCTTACCCTATGGGAAATAAAACATCAAACTGTATTCGGGAATCACTTACAATTGAGCTTTTCTCTGACCCCGTGCCATGGTGATTGCCGAGTGCGTTTGCCAATCCCAGGCAGACAGAAAAGCTACATTGATCTACGCTCCATTGCCCTTTGCACTGTAAGCCTTGACCACTAACTACCAGATACTACAATGGATTCAAGACATCAATCAAGCGAGAGACGTACTCTGCAATCCTGCTCAGGTGGAACAATGCTCGTCAAAGAAAGCAGGTTTCTTTGACAACAATGGCCCGAGTCCGTCTGCGTGATCACAGCCTGCTGCGGTTGGGGGAAAGCAATGTCATCGATCTAGCCAAACCTTACAATTCCAGATATACATTAGACTTTCGAGAGTCACGAGTCGCAAGGGAACACGACCTGACCGAGTGGAGTCATCGAGTTCTTTTTTTCGTCTCGGGAGCTATAATTGTCACGAATTTCTCTACACATCATTTAGGAAATGATGTAGACGCAAAATTATGGAGTAATAAAAGGCGTATGCCGGAAGCGCATGGAGTGAGCGCGCACAAACACGGCCATTGAATGAAGTCTTTGCGCTGATCTCGCATTACGACAGCCCGGGACAAAAGGAGCCAACCGCTGCAATCCTCGCCACCTACGATCTCGAACCTATGTAATCTACAGATGAGCACAAATAACTGGTGATTTTCTCAAAAAGGTGGGTGGTGAATCAAGAAGCAGTAAGTATCGAGCCGGTTTTTGGTTGAAGCTTACTCTAAGCATCAGATCTAGGCAGACAAATTACTTTGCAGCCGCGCGGGAAAAGAGAAAAAGAATATAAAATTGCTTGATTGGTTTCATTTTCCAACTGTATGGTCTCTCGCACGAGACATGCGGGTTGCGACACAATTCCGAGCCACTGCACTCTCCACAGCGCATCGTCATTGTCATGCGGGATATGAAATACAGAGTGCTGTGCAACAAGATTATTTCGGCGCATCTCCTGTACAGGTTCCCGGGCATGAAAATGGCCAGCTTGGGAATAAACAGCACAGCATGCGTTTTATTCGAAAAGTACGGAGTCAACAGGAGAATGGGAGTTTTTCGTACTTCCAGTCTTCTGGATTCGGACAGAATCCAATGCGATAGCATCTTCCAGGATATACCGCTTAATGTCGGACAACAAAAATGGTATGAGATGGGTAATGTGATGTGAGTCTGGCCATGCACACCAGTGGAGCGGATACCATGTAAGTGGTTTCGGCTTCGCAAAGACAAATGCGTCGGGCTACCTACTCTCCGGGATAAAGACGCCGACCATTGACAAAATTCAAATATAAATAGCTAGACAAATGGGAATAGCTTGGTCAGATGAAGTTTTCAATCCCGATTCTACCCTTTGGACAGAATAGTCCGGATTGGGTCCGTGACTGCATACAACAGGACAATGGTCCGCCTGTGACACGGGAGTGATCAGTCAGCTGCGGCGATAAATATGCCGGGTTCTTCATCAAGTAATGCTCATGTCGAGACTGAAGGATATCAGTTTGACCAGAGTGTCGGTGAAGGTGGCAAGACCGGAAAGTGAGCAGATTTCCGACACAAGAACGATTGAAGAGGATTGAACTCGGATCGGACCGTGGAATCAACCACTGGGCCTTTATCTGTTGTCAATAATTGATTCTGACCGGATACAGAGTCTATCAGCTTCATTATTATGGCAATGCCAATGCTTTGTCTAGTCAGCCATCGCCATTACAGTATCGTACATATCCACGATGGCGGTCGAAGCACCAACGGAGCAAATGGAAAGTAATCTATCACCTGCATGATTATCAATAGTACATATTCCTATTATAACAGTGCGCCATCCACTCGAATATTCGCCTATAATTAACATCCCAAACAGCAGGAACCGCTTCATTTATGTACAGCACATACATATACCTACATACAGGACACACTTCATACCTCGCCTACCGTCAAAAAGAAAAGAGAAAAAAGCCGCTCCAGATCCTTGTCGTCGATCGTACCGTTATGCAACTTAATCCCATCCATGCACCGCTCCCATTGCTCCGTCTGAAATGGACATTTTAGTGTCTGTGTTAGGGGGCCACTTGGGAGATAAACGCATGGCGTGATTGGCGATAGTGGAGAGATCATTGCGGTGACTACCACCTGCATCCTTATATATTATTCCGTACATACGGAGTACAGGACGTATACTGTAGGAACTCATCTAAACATAGATAGGAACGAGATTCAAATAGAACCAAATAGAAAAGCATAACCGAATAAAGCCATCCGCCCACATCGCTCTATTTAGGGAACAGCCCAGAGAATTTGAGGGGAAACAAGACCAGACAAGACCAGTTTGGGATCGCCCCATTGATTCGTAGCACGGAGAAGCTATTGATAGTTTGCTTAATAGGCTGTTTCACTTTCAACACAACAGCCTGACTCGAGTTCGCTTAGCCAGGGATAGAAAAGAAAATAAAAAACAAAAAACATACATCATATGTCAACCCCAGCTCAGATCCCAACATTTTCTGTTGTTTTCGTTTCGTTTCTTTTTCTCGCTCCACCCACCCGGCCGAGAGGCTAGTCAATGTGATGGGATGTGATATGTCTTCTATTGACCGGGTTGATTAATGCGGTTGAGTACAGTTCGTAGGCATGGTCATGTTGAAAGGAAGTGACTTGGATCATCTACAGAGTGTGTGCCTTTCGTGGCAAGATGGTAATAGCCATGGCGATGTTGGGCATGGTAATTCATCTACAGTATTAGGTGAAAGAAAAGTACAATTTTTTTTATTGCGAAACAGACAACATCCTGGTATCAGTAGACTATAAACACTCTAAGCATCGTATGTATATCTGTTCATCCAAACGTAGATATCTGCATCAATAAACGCCCAACGGCTACTTCTTTCTCGACGGCCGGGCGTTCTTCTCCCGTCTCCTCTCCTTGAGCTTCCTTGCTTTCCGGATATCCTCATTATTCTTGATTTCACTCTTGCCGAACGACGCCGCTCCTCCAGCCTTGGACATGCTGCGTTCCCTAGCCGCTTCGCCCTTCTTCTTCATCCTGCCGTAGTCACCACGTAGAGGATCAGCTGCCTTGGGTGCTTGGTCCTTGCGGTGTTTGAATCGTTTCCCACTCATAGAGCTGTTCATATCGGCACCCAGACCCGGCGTTTCGGCCTCGCCCACACGGGGCAGACGACCCAGTCGCTTGCCCTTCTTCCATGCGTCGAAGCGTCCACTACGGAAGCTGGATGCAATCTTGGCGCCACTCTCGCCACGTACAAGACGGGAGCCCTTGGATCCGTCCTCGTCGTTCTGTCGCGACACGTACTTCTTGTGTCGCTTGTCCCAGCGCATCATTGTACAAGGCTCCCCGAATCCACGGGCACCCTCGTCACCAGTAAGGTCCATGGTTGCGCTACGCGAGGCTTGGGTAAAGTTGGCGTTGGTACCAGTGTGAACACCATACGCCCGATCTTCAGCCAAAGAAGTATTATTAGGAGTGTAAGACATGAAGTAATCGGGATTCTGGAAAGCAGCTGCGGATTCTTTCTTGGCTTTTCCTTGATTGGACTGCGAGTAGGACGAAAAGGTAACTTCGAGGTCCCCGTCAGATGCCAGGGACATGTTGTCAGGCTCGCCCTCGGGGATGTCTTCATCTTCGTCAGATGCAGCGTCCTGGTCGTTCTTTTTGCTTCCAACTGTTTCGCTGACCTCATTGGAACCGTCCTCAAGGAACTCGGATTGTCCGGCGGCCTCTGCCTTTCTCTTTTTGTTGTCACGAGCGGTGCGGATTCTTTTGATTGTGTCGATGGTTTCGTCATGTTCACCCTTGCCACCTCGTCGGTTGTTGGCCTCGAAGATGGTCTCCTGCGGTCGATAACCTCCAATCCGAGCAAGCATGTTCTCTCGAGCTGCTTCCATTTGGCTTGATTCGTCGTTGAAGAGCGCATGCATGGCTGTCCACTGGTCGGACGACACAACTTGCTTTGACCTCTTGGCACTTTCGAGGGAAGCTGCATTTCGGGTTCGCATGTAAAGCTTCTCTCCTTTTGCGGCGACGGCACGTTGCGAAAAGAGATCGGCATCGTCGTCCAACACCTTGTTCACCCACTCGCAGGCTCGAGACAAAGCATCTCTGGGAAGGCCTCCGGCGACAACCTCTTCGGCGAAGTTGACCTGGTCACCTTGTTCGCGGCCGAGTACAAGTTTCCTTCCAAGGAAAAGCTGCAGGTCAAGCAGATATGGTGCATCCGCGTCTCGGACGAGACTGTAACTCCAACCTTTTTGGCCAGCACGGGCAGTTCGACCCACACGGTGGACGAAGATCTTCGGTTGCGATGGAAAGTCGTAGTTGATGACATTGGCAAGAATAGGAATATCGATACCTCTAGCCGCCACGTCGGTGACAACGAGGATGTTGGAAGCACCAGCTCTGAAATTACCGACTTGGATCTTACGCGCAGTTTGATCCAACGAACCGTAAGCATAAGAGACGGCAAACCCGGCCTCGCGTAGAAGAGAATATAGGTAGTCCACGTGGTGCTTTGTGGCGGCGAAGACGATTGTCGAATGTTTCGTAGGCGATTCCTGAGTGTTGATGGATTTTTTATTGTCTGTCCGCTTCCGTTTCCTGAAGTTATTAGGCTCGTATGGGTCGTCAGTTGTTCGCTGCCGGACATCAGTTGGGCCAGTGGGCATTTTGATGACCTCGTGGAGGATGTGTAGCAAAGCTCCTTCCTTGTCCGCGGATTTGACGGAGAAGAACGCATTCTGAAGATCGGGGGAGATTTTGCTCTCAGTATCTAGACGAATGAGAGTAGGATCCTGCAAGCCAGCACGGGCAAACTCCACAAGGGATTTGGGCAGCGTCGCAGAGAAGAGGAGAGTTTGTCGAGTCGGGGGAAGGCCGTGCAAAATCTCAGTTAGTTGGGCCGCAAAACCCATCTCGAAAAGTCTATCGGCCTCGTCGAACACAACATATTTGATGCTGAACAGGTCTAGGTTCATCTCCACCAACAAATGCAGAAAACGACCGGGTGTGGCGATCACGATATCAGGGTTGCTTGCCATCATGGAGAACTGCTCCTCAAGACTGTCACCACCAACGAGGAGAACGGATTTCAGGTCGGTACCACGTCCTAGTTCCTTGACAACTTTCAATGTCTGCAAGGCCAACTCTCGAGAAGGGGACATGATCAATGCTCGGGATCCAACCGTGGTGCTGTGACTCTTCAGTTTCTGGATCATGGGGATAACGAAAGCCGCGGTCTTTCCGGATCCAGTTCGAGCCATACCAACCACATCCTGTTCGTCCATGATCACCGGGATCGTCTTACGTTGGATGGGAGTTGGAACCGAGAAACCTTTTCGGGTAATCGCCTTCAATAGATTCGCATTCAAACCCATGGCTTGGAAACCACCACCCTTTTTCACAGTCCGTCCCTTGAGGTTTGCGCCCTTTCGATTGGCGGACGTCTGCTGCGCCGCGATGAATGCCTCGTCATCCGAGCCATCATCGCCATCTTGTCCTCCAAGAAAATCAAGGTCTTGGGTTGGCGCCGCCTTCTGCTTCTGCTTCAGCTTCTTCTTAGACTTCAGACCCTTGTCGTCATCGGATTCACTGTCATTTTGGAAAAGCGCACTCGTAATGTCGAATTCATTCTCCGAAGCGGCTGGGGAAACATCTCGATGAGGCATTTTGCTTTCTCGTCGTGCAGTCGCTGCAATCAATCACCGCAGAGGCGGGATGCGAGCTAAAAAAAAAAAAAATTGATAGAAAGATCTGCTCAAACAAAGCGTCTCATTCGTCGTACGCGAGTATTTTTTTGCACCAAATAAATTAGACAGAAGATATAGATAATACTGGATATATCGACAGATAATTCATCGACAAAACAATTCTTCCTCTCCTGCAGCAGGGAAGCAAACTCCCTCGTCCTTTCCTATCGACATGAAGTTTTTCGGGCGGTGGAGAAAAAAGTCCCAAGGCGGTGAGGGATCAAAGTTGCTCCGAGATTAGTGCAAACAGTGCAAACATCGACACCCCGCGACGCGTCCAACACGTCCCGAAGCGGTAAAATGGCATGGCATCGCTTTCACTGTTTAACAACCTGGAGGGTCATAGATTATCTGGTCAACTACACACACACACACACAATGGGTGAGTGAAGCTGTAAGTTTTAGAATATTAGCCGCTTAGATTGCTAATCTTTACCTCTAGACGGCGGATATGGTTACAACAACACCTCGTTCGGGGGAGGTGGCGGTGGTGGTGGCTTCATGCCCGGAGAAACGAACAGTCCCTCTGGTGGAAAGGTATATACCTATGGTTTTTCCTTGATATACTGCGACTTGCATAACCCAGAATGGTCGATTGAGGATAATTGGTGTGATCTTTCTCGTCAAAACTCATACTGACGAAATTTGCAATAGGGCGATTACCAAAACTCTACCCTCCGCCCTGTCACAGTCAAACAAGCCCTAGATGCAACACAACCATACCCAGAAGCCAACTATCAAATTGATGGAGCCGACGCAGCCAGCATTTTCTTCGTCGGTCAGGTACGCAATATCAGTTCTCAGAGCACAAACGTTACATACAAGATCGACGACGGCACGGGGGAAATTGAAGCAAAGCAATGGATCGATTCCTCGGCTACTGATATGATGGACACGGATGATGGTAAGGAGTCTGGAGCCTCCGGGAAGAACCAGGTCGAGCTCAACGGCTATGCCAAGGTGTTTGGCCGTCTTAAGTCATTTGGCAATAAGCGATTCGTCGGTGCCCATTGTGTGCGACCTCTGACCGACATCAATGAACTTCACTGCCACCTTCTCGAGGCATCGGCTGTTCATCTGTTCTTCACGCGGGGCCCACCGGGTGGTGGATCGGCTGGTGGTGCTGGCGCTGGCGCTGGTGCTGGTGCAGATACCTCTATGGGCGGAGCCGCTGACTACGGTCAAGATAAAGCCCTCCCTGCAATGACCCCTGCCGCACGGAAGGTATACAGTATGCTGAAGAATGAGCCGCAGAGCAATGAAGGTCTGCATGTGCAGATGATTGCGGCCAAGTTGGATCTCCCGGTGACGGATGTGGCACGGGCTGGCGATGAGCTGCTCACTGCCGGTGTGATTTTCTCGACGGTTGATGAGAATACATGGGCTATTTTGGAGTACTAGCGATTTGATTAATATGTTTACGATTTATTTCCCTTCAATTTATTGCTGTATGATACTCTTACCATGTCTTGAAAATGTCAAAATTGAGTGGAGGGCAACATGAAGTGCTCTTATGGCTGGTATGTTCACTGCACGAGCTCTACTCCATGTTTGGAGATTAACTAATATTTGATATTTATAGTCATATTCTTCGAACAACCCCCCAAAAAAAGCATTTATGAATATATACAGATCTCCCAAAATAGACTTCTCTCGACTATAGACGGCCCCTTTCCTTCATTGATTGTTCCCATTCTTCCTTTACTGTCTGATAGAAACTTTGGTCACGAAGCACATCCAACCCGATCAAAGAATTTGCCTTTCCGGCTCTGAGAGCCTCTGCGTGCGCATGGTCTGTTCCTGACGCTTGCTGGAAGCTAGGCGTATGTGGCATATCGGCAGCATTGATACTGAACAAGGCTTGAATGCCTGGTTGGATATAGGAACAGTTTCCAAAGTCCCTGACAGATCAACGCTATTAGTCTCCAGGCTGAAAAGGGGGTTTCACAGAGCGTATAACATACGAGCTACCATTTTGATGGACTTTTGAGGACTGAGTAGGGGGGTCGAGTATTTCCTCTGCTGTGAGACCCAGCTCATTTACCATGTAATCCGTATATCGGTTTGCTAACGCCATATTGGTAAGGACATCTTCGTATAGCGCATCCCTGGCTGATGTATTAGTATCATTAAATTTGGGCCACCTCGGGGAGGTATCTTCACTTACCAGAACAATTCCACCGTGCAACCAGTGGCCGCTGCAGCTCCTTCGAAGATAGGAATGACCCGGCTTCGCAAACGCTCCAGCGCCACGGAATCAAACGCACGGAGAGAGAAACTGCCTTCTGAATAATTAGGGATGATATTGGGTGCTTTCCCCGCTTCTAAGATCACAGAGTGGATGCTCTCCGTTTTCTGGATATGCTGTCGAAGAAGTGCGAGGCCATTATATGCCATAACAATGGCATCACAGGCATTTGCGCCGTCCCATGGCGCAGCACCGGCATGCGAGCCCTTGCCATGGAATTTGGCCCTGAATTTCCATGATGCCTTGGTCACTGTTTTGGCAATGGAGAAGTACGGCATGGCGTGGGTCATGATGACCACACTGCAGTCTTTCCATGCCCCATGGTTGGCCATGATAAACTTGCCTCCGCCTGTCTCTTCAGCCGGCGTTCCCATGACAATGACTGTGCCGGGGATGTTGAATTGCTTCATGGCTGCAGACACACCAACGGCCGATGCGAGGGTTGAGGTTGCTATGAGGTTATGGCCGCACGCATGTCCGATTTCAGGGAGTGCCTATCGAATATGTGCCTATCTAGAAGTTTACAACATTGCAAGTTCGTCCAACAAGACTCCCGTTTAGGCCTAACTAGGACTGTCTAATGATGCACCCACAGATCAAGCCCAAAAAGCACTCCAGTTTTCAGGAAACTCGCAGACACAACCAATCCCTTCAAGCATGTGTAGTTTGCTCCAATTCTACAACCAAGAGTTGGAATCGTGGTTTCGTCGAAACACTCAGGGAATTGATCCTATCTATCAAACGTTCTCGAAGCCGCAGGATCGTAATCGGATGGCGATTCCTTATAATTATATTCGAATGTGAATTGTCTTCCCCTATCCTATTTATACACGATTAATAAAGGCTTGAAGGTACATTAATGGATTCGTCCTTCATGGTTTAAAACCAGATAGCTCCAAAAAAGACCCCCTCCGGGTTCAATTCATACGAACAGCCGTTGACGCAGGGAAAGCGTTACTGCAATGTGCCTTGCAATCGATGACATATCAGACTTCCCTCAACTATTCGATTGTACGCCACTAGCCCACTTTTCTTAAATACAGCCAGCTCCTACTAATTGTTTGCAGGACTACTCAGGCTCCGCCCTAGGTTTAGCCATTAATTTCCTCTTCCGCGTTGCGCGTTCCGCGTACGTGTAGACGTCAATGATATCATGCTGATACTGGAGCAAGCGAGAAAAATGTTCCAGGGCGCCAAGTTGACTGAAAATGCGGATGAGGTCGGTCAGATATTAGATCAGATTGCTGGGATTGAGCGGAATATACGGACGAGGTCGAGTGATGATGTTGATAATTCACCGAATCCGGGGCTTATCGCTGAGACGATTGATGAGTCTACGAATTTTTTTATGAATGCTGCGAGTTCCTTTTCTGTATGCCATGCTGGTTTGGCTAAACTAACTCTTCTCCTTATTATTCCAGAGACTCCCTTTATCTGACTTTACGCTTGATGATGCCTCTTTTGAGGATATTCTCAGGTATTCTGGGGAGTAAAAGGGAGTACCGTGATGGTTCAATCTGTGGAATTCGTGTATATACCAAGAACTGCATAACGAGTAAATCAACAATGACCCATTGTGAGCCCGATGGGATCTAGTATATACAATAAAGAACATGTAGCCGTGAAAATCAATGTAACTTTTCCAAATCAGACATAACAACATTCTTCAAAATATGGCAAGAATCATCATAATAAGCATCAGCATCATTATATGTCAGACAAAGCGAAAAATAGACGCAAAAATATTTCTCTTTGCATAATATCAAGCCATTGCATTCCTCTGCTGAGCCTCTTGGACAGAGCGATCCCAATTAGCCTGACTAAGGAAAATGCCCTCGATGAAAGAAACCAAGCAGAGGGCAATAGCAACACCAGTCCAGAGACCAAGAAGTCCCCAGCCCAGCCCGAAAGTCGTTCCGAAACTGATCGGCATCGCTACGGCGTAATAGGCGAATATTTGAACGTAGCCGCCGATTTCCTGTCGTCCGAGCCCACGCAGGATACCATTGCAGTTGGCCGCTAGTGCATCGAAGAGCTGGAATGCAGCGCAGAGAGGGAGAACCATGGCGATCAGCTCGATGACTTCCTCATCGGAGGTAAACAGTCGTGGGATATAAAAACGAAGGGATGAGAGAGTGAGCATGTTGAATAAGCCGACGATGACAGCACCAGCCATGGTGACTTTGGCGGAAATTTTTGCAGAATCTGGCAGGCCAGCGCCGATCAGGTTTGCGATACGAGTCGAGCCAGAGATTGAAACGGGAAATGGAACCTGAAAAGTCAAGGATGAAATCGTAGCAAGGACGGATTGCGCCGCGAGAGCAGTCGAATCAATGTGTGACGATGCGAGAGTCAACACCTCAAAGGCAAGGTATTCAGCCTCGACCATTAACAATCCTGGAAGAGCAAGTTTTATCATTGGGCCCCAGTTTCGGAATGCCCGTATGTTGATACCATCCCAACACTCATGTCCAGAGACAAAACAGGCGTAGGTGATTAAGCATAAAGGCATTAAATTGTTCGTGATGGAAACAGCAATGGGTGCACCAATGAATCCCCACTCAAGTTTCTACACTTCTGTTAGCAAATGCGATGCAGATAAGTAGGAATAAAACTTACCCAGACAAACAGCCAATTCATGAATGCATTGAGAGGCGCACAAATAAGAAGGACATAGAAAGATGCCGAGAAAAGGCCCTGCGCTTGCATATATCTTTTTCCAATTTCAAAAGAAGCATATCCCGGTGCTCCCAAGATAAGCACCTTGAGGTAGACACCAGCCAGCGCAGCAACCTCTTGCTCTGGTACGATTTTCATGAGAATTCTGTCTGCAAAGAACCATAGCACGGAAATAGGAACTGTGACAACCCAGAGAAAGAAGACCATCTTTTGCATTTGCAGGCCCACCAGCTTCTTTCTTCCGGATCCATAGGCTTGGGCACATAGAGTGTCTAAACTAGTAGCGAGTCCTTGATAGACTGGAATGTGTCAGTACGTCTGTTTCTTTTTTATGGAAAAATACGAAAGCCATACCTGCATATCCTGTGATACTTGCCGTCATACTGGCCAAACTGACTGCTCCCAATTCCTTTTTACCCATATGCCCCAGGGTAAAAACACTGGCCACCGTCAACGAGTACTGAAGAACAAACGTAACAATCAGCGGCGCAGCATATTTGCTAATCACCTTGGCTTCTCTTTGCCACGTTGTATGAATCAAACCAGCGACAACAGCCTCTTCCTATCGACGATCAATCTCCTCCGAGTCCAGCTCACCGTGTCCGTGTCCGTGGCCATCACGAGCAGTATCCAGAAGGGAAGTCGTTTCCGTCGGCAGTTCCGCGCTTTGTCTCCCAATTGACTCCCCAAAATGGCCATTCTGCGAAGCCGTCTCATGCGTAGAAGCTTCCCGGCTACGAGAAAAGATCCCACTAAACTTGTGCTGTAGACTACCACTGCCTGATTTGTTGTCTTCGATGATGTGGTTATCGCTCAATAGACGCCTTTCTTCCTCAATTGCCTGTTCGCGTTCTCTGGGCGTGATATTCTCCTGCTCTACGCGGTGGGGAACGACAGTCGCACGAGAAACGGTGGCAAAGAAGCTGGGACGACGATACGACCCCGTCAGCGAGTGCGGGTTTGCTGGACGGACGGTCGACGTATCGGAAGCATTATCGGCTGTGAGAGTCGACCCTTCATCGTCGGCATAGTCTGCTAGATCTCTGGCGATCGCTGCCTCTGCGATTGGAGGGCTGTTTGCAAATGGGCGGTTGAAGGGACTCGTATCTCCCGCATTGAACGAACGGGGGATGCTGCGACCCATGATGAACAAGAATGGTGTGGTTGAATATGGAACTAGTAGGGTGATGATCACAAAACCATCCATATAATTAAATCAAATAAGAGGAGGAGAGGTGTTGAAACCAATTGAGCTGGGCGTGTTGCTGTGAAGAAAGGAAGAAAGATGGTGAGGGGAATTGGAGAAACATTGACCGCCGAGAAGATCACAGGGCGTGGTGATAAGCCGTTGCGCGGATTCGCAGCCGAAGAATTTACTCGAAACGGCAACGAGCTCTCGCGATATGAATGACTCACTGATCATGAAATGAATCACTCGATCTGCCTCTAAAGTATATGATCGACAGCTAACCTGTCTCCCTGTAAGCAACCCTTGCAGCCAGTTGGTAGGGAACTTCTTTCCAGGTTGCTCACCGTCTGAATGCTTTCTTATGACAGCATCAAAACGCCCCGCATTTCTAGACCCCACCAGGGCGGTCCACACAAGCATCGATGAATTGACAGTCGACGATCACTTGTCTCGATCAAATGAAGCTTCATAATATACAGACACAAGTACTGTCATATATGATGCTTGAATCCAGCATCGGCATCGTGTTCCTGAGATCGACTTAAAGGCAGCATGACATCATTCCCAAACCAGACTAGATCGGTAGTCACGTGATACTATCACCAGATGCATCTCGAGTCAACATCGACTTTTCTCTCATGCTCAGACAAGACAATTTGGTGATACTACAGTAATTCGAGTTCAGTAATAATATCCATCTGAATCAGCATGCCAGAAGCTACAGCAGAGCAAAATGGGTCTTCGGTTCGACAGCGATACAATCCGTTGATTAACCCAGCCAATGCGAAGCCGGTGATAGTTGAGGAGTAAGTTACATCCAGACCTATATATCTACACAGTATATGCTCTCTTGTACATACACCATTTGGCTAACAACGCAACAGCCACATCCAAGATGAATCGCACATCTTCTTCACCCGCCCATTCCTCGGCGCCCTTCTCTTCGAAAACGCCACCTCCGACGCGCGCGACCACTGCGCAAACGAACGCACCTTTCTCTCCTGGCTCCGTCTCGCCATGTACCTCGCCATCGTCTCCATGGCCATCATCATCTCATTCCACTTCCGCCTTAAGCCAACCCCGCTGGAGCGACGCATGGCCCTCCCGCTCGGCTGTATCTTCTGGGTGCTGAGTCTTGCGTGTCTTGCGAATGGGTTCGCGAATTACATGCGCACCGTGCGGATGTATAGTCGGCGGGCGGCGTTGGTGCAGAGTGGGTGGAAGACGCAGCTGACGTTTACGATTGTGGGGACGGTGATTTTGGGGAGTTGTGTTTTGTTTTTGGCTACGGATGCGAAGAGGGCGGGGAAGCATCATGCTTAGGTGTCTTACTGGAGTGTATATTCATCCATGTCCATGTATGTATGTATATTGAAATGAAAGTCTATGTCTGATTTAAAAGGGTTTGGTTATGCTTACCCCCCTTCGCTCAAGCTGTGCAATGTTAATCATTGGTAGTTCATATCATAGTCTCATGCTGTACTCAAAAAAACAAAAACAGTAAACAGGGAGGGGATGTCAAGAATTCCCAAATTATTACACCATATACTTTGGTGAATGTACAAATAATCCCCAGTAGTTCAAAAGTAAACAAGCCAATCACATGCGACGGATTTGCGTCTCTCCCTTGTACTTGTCCAGAGAAGCAGAGCCAAGGTGACTCCACCACTCAAACAGCATCGAGTTGCAGATCAGCTTGAACCACGGCGTAAACTTGAGACCGGGCTTCTCGAACATCTTCTTCAATTCGTCGGCGGAGACATATGTCGTGTCACGGACTTCGTTGGGGCTGACATTCAAATCGACATCGGCCTGGATGAAGAGGATATAATCGACTATCCAACGTAAGCACCACACTCAACAACAGGAAACAAAAAACAGAAAAAGAAAAACATACCCTCATGCTCACCCCACTTCCCATCACTAGGCGCCTTGTAATGTATCCGAGTGAAGAACTCAAACTTGTCAATCGGCACCTGCTCGGGCTTGATACCAAGCTCGTGCTCCAACTTCCTCTGCGCAGCACGCTTCACACCCAAAACAGCAGCGTCCAGCTCAGCGCCCGTCTCACCGGGAATTCCCAAGGGGTGAGAGCAGCAAGTATTCGTCCACATGTCGGGGAAAGTGATTTTCTCCGAAGCGCGCTGCTGAAGCAGCAGACGGTTGTTGGAGTCGAAGAGGAAGACGGAAAAGGCACGGTGGAGGAGACCTCGGTCGATGTTGGTCATCAAGTGGCCTGTTCATTGTTTTGTTAGCTATTATTTATATTCATCTGTTATGTTTTGTCTTGTTTTGTTGAATTCCCGCGGAGTGAGTGTATTAGATCCAACCCCGCCATTAAACCCCAGCCCAAGATACCAAACACCAAATCAAAAAGAAAGAAAGAAAAAACTCACAAGCCTTCTTGCTGGCACTGCCAATGGGCTTATCATCATCATCCAAAACAATACACACCTCATCCATCAAACGGACCTGTTCCTCATCGTAGCCCGCCAGATCGTTACTGTCGCGCGCCGAGTCGGTCGAAGTGGTGGGGAGGACTTCGCGGGCCAGAGAAGTATCGACTTCAGGGAAGAGAGTCGCAACATTCTCCGCAGTGATTCTGGGAGGAGCGGTGATTGTAGTCGTGGCGCTCATCTTCACGGTTGTATATTAAGTTATTTTTGAAAAAGGGGGAAAAGGGAAACGATTCTTCAGAAAAGGATGGAGATAGAAGATCAGCAAAAAAGGGTAAATTAAATTAATTAAATCCACCCCCGAAAACGAGGCGGTGAAGACGGCAGAATGCCATTGATCCCAACAAAGACGAAAAAATAACCAACTCGATCGATTTCCAACAACGGCATTCTGTCTCACCTCATCCGCAGATTGGCTATTATGGGTGTTTCTCAAGATTTCACTTTGTGGAGTCTGTATGTCTGTATTACATGAGAGCTATAGGCACTACAAATACACACCCCCGACAGCTCCGGGGATGATCAACCCCGGAGTAAGGAAGGATTGAAGGATTGTTCATGAATAGGAATACAAGGGGGGAAACGAAACACGTCAACTTCACATGAAAAAAAAAGCTGAATAAATCCAATCAACCAGGAAGATAGAAATCTGCAAGCTGGGGGATATTGTTTTTGAATGGACTGCAGATTAGCATAGATAATCCAACAATCAAGACAAGATAATCCTGTCATGCCTTGCCGTAGAGGTACTGTGCTACATGCCACGGCGTAGACAAGGGAATAGTCAATAGGGCATATGGATGTTATGTACGTATGTAGTCAGACGATGCTGGACAAGGATCCTACTTTAGTGATTGTTACACAGACTGTTGGACGTTGTCGATTATCGTCAAAAGAAGAAGGTGGTTAATGAATTCGGATTATAATACAGATAACAAAGTAGATGGATTGTGGTGACTTGTTCTGGATAATTAGACATCACTGATCCGATCCATCATAATCCATCGTTGGATCAATACGGCTAATTCGGTATAAGCTCATCATCCGATCAAGACAAGATAATATTATGCATGTGCGGATCTGATGTCATATGGGCCTTGCTGATAATAAGAACGACACTCAGAGCAAGGACAAAACATCTGTACATAACAGAGCCACCAGTTAGAAGTATGAATACCGTCTTCGACAATTATTCTCGAATAGAATATCAACGGATACATCACCCATAAACATTAGTCGGACAAAACGCCGACAGCCCTAAAGCAGTATCTCCCCCTCGCATTAATAGTATGCGGATCTACAGAAATATCACGAATTGTCAACCATTCAGCATCGAGAACCGATGTCCAATCCTACCTATCTGTACTCCGTATATTATCTTCATCTAATCAGTCACTAGATGCCACTCACTGACCAGGTACTTTTGACTCGACTCCAGCAAGAGATCCACACACGGGTTAAAACTTCCCGATTAAACCAACCACTCTCGGACGAGTCAAGATGCTTCTAGCAGTTTAGCACAGCAGCTAGTTTTTGATCACTTTTGAGACAGCGTCAAGACCAGCCAGTCAAATCTCCGTTGTGGAATTAATCGCTGGCTGTAAACGACGACCGCGCTTGATCGAGTCCATAGGCCACTAGAAGCGAATGAAATACGCCAGCCAAATCACCAATTCATAATTCATAGGCGAATAGCAATTGTCTCATTATGACATCTTCATTTTTTGTCCATCGGCAATAAGAAATAATCTGGATAGTGGGCGCGCTTAGAATGTCAGGCCCAAAACTAAGCCGGGGATCGTGGTCCAGCCTTCCGACCCGCACGGGGAAGTCAGACAAACAGGACGATCTGCGTGGGAGGAAGAAACGCGAACTAGTACTTGTCATGGGAAAAGTACTGTCTTCTAGTCAGTCAGTGTATGGAAATATCTTGTCTATGCCAATGGTAATTGAATAAAAAGGTATTGGACTGTGGAGGTTTTCCTCTTCCCCGCCAACGCTGGTGTGACCAGGGTATGGTGCTGTGATAGCACGCCCGAGGACCCATACTAATCTCCCCCCCAAAATTAGCCTCTGGATCTGGCAGGTAATAAGGCATGCTTGACCGAGTCACGACGGAGGTTTCATAATCCAGGCAGTGTACATTGGACATGGCCATCCCTGATGGATATGTATGTATAGCCACAGTGACTCATGCTGGAGTTGGAAGTCATCGGCAATTAGCGTAGGTGCCTGGATGTCTGCCTGCGAACTCGAGATCTGCCTTATGGGTTTGGAAACTGCAGATCAGTCATCGGCCTTGGTATTTTCAGGAACCTGCAAGGTTGTCCAGTTGATTCTTGGTTGAAAAAAAATAAAATGAGAGCTGGAAGGGTTGAATGTTGATCCTGGTGCAATAGTACCAAAAGTAGCCCTCGATAATACAAACTCTCGCGGGTGGGGTTGGTTTTTCTTTGTTCTCAAGTCTCCGAGAACATTCAACCGATTACTCCAAAATAATAATAATAAATCAAAACAAAGAAAAAGTCGAATAAATCCAAGCAGAAAAAATGAGGACTTCAAGCCCTGTGTATCTCAGCATTGTAAGTAGTAGTAATCATTGGGCCGGCACTCGGCCTCTAACGCCTTCTATAAACCCCAAATGCTATGCAAGTATCGAGCAACAACATTCAAACAAGCAAATCGAACAGGACATAGATCATAAGAAAAATAGGTTGTCTGCCCGCGACAATCCTCTGGGTAATTTAATATGACCTCCCATTTCGTTAAATTTAATTCAAATACGTCGTCAGTCCTTCCGAGGTCGTCATCTTGAGGCGATTAGTGCCACTGCGGTCAACGCAAGTGTGGTTCACTAAAGACCTCTCCCCACGGGTATCCACCACAATTAATTAATTCGTAGGCCAAGCTCTGTGCTTCTCACGGGGTGTTTGTTGTTCTCCGGCGATGCCGAAGGCGAAGGAAGTGCCTGTGCATCCGGTACATTCGTCTCGTCTCGTTTTGCGAATCCTCGAATTTTCCGTGTTTTTCGATCGCAGCCATCTCCTCTGTGTCTATACAATATCAGGTCAGTATGAAGCCTTCTAGAGTTGGAGAGGCTATGACTGACCTAGAAAGGGTGTCCTGCCGGGTGAACCGGCGGCCACACAGATCGCAACCATACTTTCGGAGCCCGCGATGAATCTGCGCACACATTAATACCCATCCCATCAAACATGTCGATTATCTTACACTATCCACATGTCTCTGAAGGTCTGACCTCCTCCCAAACAATCTCTCGCATTGCCCGCACGGATGGGTTTTTTTGCGGCTGGGGTCGTGTCTCTTCATGTGCTCGCGACAGTTTGAGCGTCGAGTAAACCGATAACCGCACACGGTACACTGCAGGCCATTCGCAGAAGGGATATTCTCTTTTCGCAACGGTTCCATTTCCTCTTCAACCTTGATTGGTACATCAGGAACCGGGTCATAAACTGGGGATCGTGGACTGTGGCTCGCGGCCCGCTCCACCTTTGGTTCCAGCTTCAGCAGCCTATCATTGTCATCTCTTCCAACTATTTGCGAATTATGAACCGCAGTAAACCGATGCATTTGCGGCAAGGCTGGCACTTTATTCACGGGTCTTCCTTCTGCAAACAACGGCTGATCCCAACAGTTGTCCATATTTTCCTCCACCTTGATGGTTGGTGTAGTCGGCCAACCCGCAGGCAACTGAGCGGGCAAGCCATCGCAAGTCCCCCCAAAGTCCATGACTGAACTGTATGTTGGCGAAGCACTCAGCGCGTGAGTACTGTAGAAACTCAATGGAGAAGCAGACACATCCGTGTGTCCACTGTACGACTCGTAGCACGTCGCAGGTGAGAGAGGACCAACGTCCAGCGCAGTCTCATAAAGAGGCTCAGTGGATAAGATGTAGTCGGGACAGCCCGGTGCGGAGAACGTATACGGATCGGGGGGCTGGCAGGCCTGTAACTGACTGAACGGAGATTCCATGCCGCAGAAAGAGATGCCCAGGCCGTCTGTCGATTGGGGGAAGCTTGAGTGGTTTGAAGTTGGGCGCACGGGAGAGGAGTATGTTGGAGATGTGTTGTACATGACATGGTCCTCTGGCAACAAGGTACCCTGCGAAGAGGAGAACGATGGTGTAGTAGACTCCATAGTGGAAAGGTGTAGCATGCAAGAATAACGAGTGTAGAAGTGTATGAGCAAAGAGGCTCTGAACGAAGAATGGTTGATGGTCCTGTCTCGCAACTAAAAGGCTTGATTCAAACTCGAAAGGATCTTGACTCAAGCCTCGACTCAAAGGACGAGAAGGTGCCAAGTATATAAAGCAAGGTTGACTCAACAGCAACGATGCTGGAAGAGAGAACGAGTGGCAAACATAGACTGGGGCTGAAAAGAGCGTCGATGGGATGGGCCATATGACAATCGGAGAAGAGCGCCGGCTGCATGGACGCGGCAAAGGGGGAGGGATTAAAAAAAAATAATAATTTTTTTTAAAAAAAAAAAAAAAGGGAACTAAATGACCTTGACGCCTGGAGGGACAAGGCAGACTAGGAGGGGGAGGGGTGAGAAAACGATGCGGTGGGAAGAGCAGAGAGAAGGGAAGAGAGAGAGAGAGGGAGAAGAGAGCGACAGATGGGGGGAAGGCCAGACTGGGTTGACTGCAGACATTGCCTGCAGTGTTCAGATACGCGCGACCCTGGAAATGGGACTGAATCAATGGAAGAGTAGATGTTATGCACAATGACTTAGCGCCGGAAGGGTGTGATCAGGAAATAATATTAATTATTACTATTATTATTATTATTATTATTAAACGAAGGGGGAGGAGAAAAAATAAAAAATAAAAAATAACCAAAGCCCGGTAAAATGTGGGTATGGGAAAGAGTTGGAGCAGTAAGGCAGAGCAGCATGCAGTGATGGGTCTGTTTGTCTATGGAAGGAAAATTTCCGAGATGAGAAGGATACAGAGAGAGTAGGAGAGAAAGGCAGATACAGAGGGAAAGAGGGGCAAAGGTCTGGGTCATTGGTGAGTGATCGAGATCAACAGCAGCCGTTCAAGGGCAGCGCAAAAAAGAAACGATCGATGGCTGGCAAGCTGTCGAAAGTAATGGGGATCATCATCAGCCAACATGAGCGCACATAGTGACCTGCCTTACCAGGTCCAAGTCGCACGCAGCAACCCAAGTGTGTTGTTGCACCGCGAGCCTCAAAGAGGTTTAGTTTCGACCCGACAGTCTGGTAACCTAGCTTGGCAAAGCAGCAGTGCGTGTCGCCAGTCACTGCGCTGGGAAAAACACAGCCGCAGAGAGAGGGGGAGGAAGATGAGGTCAGGGTGTTTGCATGACATGGGTGTCCTGGATGACCTGATTATCATGGCTATGCTGTTGGTGAAGCAGGTGTTGGATTAGGTTGTTTTGGATAGAGTCAGCCTATTAGGTATGGAGTATACAGACAGTGTATATTGTAGTCTATTATTCAGTCTGAATTTCATATACTGCTGACGAGTCAGTTGGGTGAATACACAATATTCATGTTGGGTCAAATAATAATAGTAAACTCTGAGAAACCTGGAAAAAGAAACGGCCTGTCAGAGATATGGTTGTTCTTGACAAGCATCTCGAACCCATCATCCTAATTCTCACTGGCTGGTGCTCACGCTAGCCCACTAGGCCCTGGGACCGGCCGTGTTGCAGTGGGGGTGCGTGTGTATATCATCTTGGGCAGTGGTCCGTCTGCTCGAACTCCGTCCTAGTCTGGTCACTAGTACTATTGGCTTCGTTGGGAGACAGCCAGCGTAGCGGCCACTCGTTCCACTTGGCTGCGCAGCCGTTCCACCTCGTCGATCACATCCGCGATTTGAGCATGCCCGGCCTGCCCCGACCCTGACCCGCGCGCTTCGGGATGCTGGCCCGGGTTAGTCGTCTTAGTTCGTCCCTTATTGCCAACGCCCACGGCCAAAGACTGCTGCGCATCGGTTGCGGAGGGGTGGAGCGGGGCATAGCGCGTGGAGAGAGAGAGACTCGTCTGGATCGAGGATGTCGGCCGACTGCTCTCTCGTCGTCGTCCCGTAGCCATCGGAGCAAACTGACTATTTCGCCGCGAGATATGGCGGCGGCTAGATTCATAGGCCCATATCATGACAACAAACGGAAGATGTGTTGCTCTGAGCAGAATGATTCGTACCCGACGGATGGACTCTGCAGACAGGAAGAGCCGCATAGGACGAATGCAAAGAAGTGGGATGAGATTCTGTAGCGTCACGCCCATATTGTTAGCGACACTCACACGCCTACATATTCACACTGCCGCTTGGCAGGCCGTGGCAGAAGACGAGCTAATACAGATAGGCTGTATGGATACTGACCAGGGGTGGCATGAAGTATGTGAGTCGTCGAGAATTACTGCTTTCCAGAACATAGACAGACAATCTAACTCAGCTGGTCAGTGATTGGGCCTTCTCATTGTGGCTGTACCAAATCATCCATCTAGATTAGCACACGTACTGGAAGAGATATTCTTCACGAGCATGGGCCATGACCTAAAATCGTTAATTCCGAATCGGGTATTTAGTCATGTGGCTGTATGTAGAACGTACCCCTTCTAGACTCATACTCATCAAGCTGACCAGCGAGGAGATCAGTAGCAAATTCGTCATCGAGACAAAAATTAACCTGAATTTGATACTCGTCAGCCTGGTTTTTTCTCCCAGGTATTCAGGTACACAGGGGCCCAGCGGTGCCAAGTATCGCGGGGTCAAGCCTAGAGAACCGCAGTTCCCCGACAGACCCAACGCGATCGAGTAAAATGGAAGGGAAAAAACGAAAAAAAAAAAAAAAAAAAAAAAGGCGCATAATTCAAAGCCACTTTTCCGGACTGCAACGTGATCAAAACCATATGCGACCGACATTTCTACCGTGAGTGTGGCGCAATAAGAGGAATGGCAGAACAAAGAAAAGCGACCTACATTAGCGGAAAGCCGAATAGAGGAGAAATCTAAGAATTAGCGTGTTAGTGTATCTTCACTCGATAGCCAACCAATTCCGCCGATCCCTTGGAAATTTCAATTCAGGCTGCATGAAAGCCGTCCGGGACTTACATCATGGGCCACGTCCTGTCCAATCGATTGCAGCCACTGTTAGTTGAAGAAACGCCTCGACCACTGGATGTTACCAGAAAATCTCAATCGGGAATGACGCACAAATCCCAACGCGTTTGATCTGCCTCGCATTGTCAGTTTTCTTTTTTCTTTTTTTTTCTTTTAGTCTTCTTCGAGGAAGAAGCGGTCGGTGCCAGGGGATTTTCACCGCCATACCCAAAGAACACTTTCACCAAAATCCATGACATTTCGCTGAGAGAAATGCGGTCACGGGCTAGCATAGTAAACGTCGTTAGGAAGCCTCCATGGGGTTATCGGTTAGTATCAGCTTTCCCCTTCACCGTGACGGAGTGACCGAACACTACTTACCTACGTATAGAACTAGAATCACCGGCACAAATCTGAAAAAAGCCTTGGTCTAGTATGGTCTATCAGCTTTGAACGTTCTCCCCAGGGATGATTCATATTCTACCATCTCTTTCAAAACCGGTATCTATGCATGGAAGTTGTCAGTCACTCTTCCAGAATACATATGGTTGGTTCACTTTCAGCAAGTGGATTCGGCGGGCCCGACGTACCAAGGATCCAAAATAGGAGTTCAAGCTAACGAGGGAACAGATCCTATGTGCCGCTTGTATCAGATTCTGAAACTGTCATCCATGGCATGCGGCTGAGGGCAAGGCGCATGCATCATCCTTGACTGTGGGACTTGCCTTGGAACCAGAAAAAGAGCCTCCAAAGATAGAATATTGAACGACACGTCCGTGATCGAATCGTTTGCTTTGCTTAACCCCACAATTCCTATTTTCTTGGGTGAGCAACCCGAAACAACTGATCGGTCTGGCCGAGTGTCCCGGAGACAACCGAAGCTGAAACGCAGGGCACTGGCGAGGCAGATTTGCAAAGCATGCGCCACTCACTTGCTATCACAAAGGCAAGTCCTGTGCCAATGATCCCCAGGTTCCACATACTCCAAAAGTCCATTTGGTAGAAGAGCATCCCCGCATCGGTCATGCCGCTGAATTCATCATAGGCGAAGGCAACAATCCAGATATACATCAAGATTTCGAAGATGCCCATTTCATTTTGACTCCTCTCAACTAATACCGCATAATACAGGAAGAGGAAAGAGACAAAGAATAAGGCTTCAAAAGCCTTGCGATAGACAGGCACTCTCAACCGTGAATATGGATCTGCTGTTCTGCAAAACAGTAAGTATTCAATTCGTAGTTGAGTCGTGCTCACTCACCTTTTGTTGAAAAAATGCGGTTTCTTCTTTGAGTGTACGCTGAGTGTATCCCAGAAGACTATTTCTCCTCTCCAGATATTGTCTATTACCCTCTGGACCACTTTTTGACCAAGAAAGCTTTTGGCCTGCGCAATAGTTGCAATCTCAAGTGCATTCAACCCAGAGAATAACGAGTATCTTCCAAGCCTATAAGCCTCATGATAAGAATCTTGAGTTCCCTGGTCACCTTCGACAAAGCCACTGTCTGTATTTCTGCCCCTTCCGAAGAAGCGGGAGAAAGATGAATTCGAAGCTAACAATGGAGTACTTTCATCTTCAGGCTGTTTTCCGCTGCCTCCCATGGGGGATGCAAAACCAGATGCACCTATTTCCGCTTGGGCAATACTAATGGAACTTCTTGAGGAATGCGGAAGTTCCTCTAGCAGAAATCCAATCGTTTCACGCTGGGTAAGATGACAGAGGAACTGCCAGGCAACATATTCACAGGCGTAGCCTCGGCTTTGGTTCAGACCCCAATCAGCATCAGTGGAATTATCGAATTGCCATTTCAGGATCCTTGATGGCGAAAAGTCAGAACACCTTTATCAAAACGTTCAGTGGACTGAATGGCTTACATGAGAGCAGATATAATCAAAGGATTGTGGGAGTTTTCGACAAGGGAATGTACAAGCAGTCTGAGACTTTGACCTTGAGGGGAGTATCTCAATTGGTCAAAACTATACGCAACATCAGGTATGGCCCGGGTTATAAAACTAGGGAGATTGACCACATGTCAGATCATCAAGAGCAAAGCTTAGGGGCGTCTGTACAAGAATTACTTGGAAAATTTTCCAGTCACATCGACCAAGGTTTCATTGTCGTCGATTATGGGAATCTCCGGGTCTTCATTTTCGGTATGTGGGAGTGGTATTGTAGAGGCTTCTAGCCCTGCGTAGGCATCTCGCTCCGCGAAAGCCATAGAACTTAGGGTCTTTTTTAATCCAAGCCGTCAAGATCGGTCTGTTTAGGGGGTCGGGTCAGCAAATCTGTTATGATCACTCGTTCTGACCATTGATATCTGGAGAAATGTGTTTGCTGAGAAAATTGAAATAAAACAGGAGTCTTCTGATAACACCACGGTGGTTCTCTATTTTACCCAGCAGTTAAACGCTTGGAAGGGATTATGAGAAACGATAGGAGACGCAGCTGACACGCAGTGTTGATTCTTGCGTGGGCTATCGTAGGAATATTTAATTGGACGACTCCGCTGGTTATCAGTGTTGATGCGCTGTCTGAGTCGCCACCTATGCAAGATTTCAATGGAACCAAGGAGCACGCAATGATCCTGCATCTGATTTCTTTAAAGGAACATTCGAATATGTACAGGAAACGAAATGATGTCTGAAAATTCATCGAGGAAGTGAGCTGCTATCAACGAATAGCCCCATCCCTCACCGCCTCATGGTCATGTGACTTGCGCCTGGCCAACGCGTTATCGTCAACTGACCTCATGCTTTGAATCCGAGATGATGTTGGATCTGCGACGGCGATCGATTTTCTGCAGTCTCATTTGCCAAATTACACCTGTAGAACTGTTTTGCGCTCATCTCTGACGTGCTCAGTCCTTGGATGGATAATGATTATTGTTCCCGTTTTCTCAACACCCATGAGATGAGGTCACCTCGATACGATGGGGCAAGGCTATTCTCTCACAACCCTCTCGGCAGGGTCTGCCGGAATCGATGTTCCCGAGCTATCAGATTTGCTGTATGAGAAGTCCATGGGTGGTGGACGGTTCATGAAAAGTATCCGAGCAAGGAAGCAAAATGGCCTGGTTTTTGTAAAGGTAATCATGAAGCCTTACCCCAGCATGAAACTGGAGCGTTATATCAAAGCCATAATTCGTACGTTGTTCTTTCTGCATTCTACTAGGTCTATCTGACATCTGGTGCCAGGGGAGCGCAAGTTGCTATCCGATGTACCAAATGCATTGAGCTATCATCGAATCCTGGAAACCAGTACTGGTGGTTATCTTGTTCGTCAATATATCCACAGTTCTCTGTATGATCGCATGAGGTGAGAAGCGACACTTGGAACTGCTGTAACCACTCTGACACACATAGTACTCGCCCATTTCCGGAGCACATTGAGAAAAAATGGATTGCTTTTCAACTTCTATGTGCCCTTCGGGACTGCCATTCCCTCGATGTTTTCCATGGCGATATCAAGACAGAAAACGTTTTAGTTACTTCATGGAACTGGCTATACCTTTCCGACTTTTCGTCATCTTTCAAACCGACGTTTCTCCCTGAAGATAACCCCGCAGACTTTTCATTCTATTTTGACACCTCGGGGCGACGGACCTGTTATCTAGCTCCAGAGAGATTCCTTGTCGCGAGTGAGGAACCTGGCAGCAGAAATGTCAATTGGGCCATGGACATCTTCAGTGCAGGCTGCGTCATTGCAGAATTATTCCTAGAATCACCTATATTTACTCTGAGCCAGATGTACAAATACCGCAAAGGCGAGTACAGCCCAGAACATAGTCAGCTGGCCAAGGTCGAGGATCCAGAAATCAGGGAATTGATCCTTCACATGATCCAACTTGATCCAGAGTCTCGATACTCTGCGGACGAATACTTGAACTTTTGGAAAAACAAAGCGTTTCCGGAATACTTTTACAGCTTTCTTCATCAGTATATGTCTCTCATGACCGATCCATCCTCGGGGAGAGCGCAAGTTGAAGCTGAATCGGCAAACCGGGGAGAATCGGACGACAGGATAGAGCGGATATACTATGATTTTGACAAGATATCTTACTTTCTGGGGACAACATCGAAACCTACAGAAGATGGCTCGAGTTACACGGCCCCCAAACTAACGGGCAACCTTTTCCCTATTCATTTGGATCTACCTGGATATGGAGGTCACGCTTCAAAATCACAGCCTCAGACAGATGACGGCGTATTGATTTTCTTGACACTGGTTGTTTCTAGTTTACGAAATACGGCCAAATCATCCGCCCGGATCAAAGCTTGCGATATTCTTCTTGCATTTGCCGAGAGGCTATCGGACGAAGCCAAGCTTGATCGTATTCTTCCGTACGTCATGATTCTACTGAATGATCGAACTGATTCAGTGAGAATTGCTGCCATCCGGACCCTTGCCCGACTACTGGAAATGGTCCACGTAGTTTCCCCAGTCAACGCCTATCTTTTCTCGGAATATATCTTTCCACGACTTCAGCCGTTCGTTGTTAGCTCAAACTCAAACCCAAGCCCAATGGTTCGCGCTGCATATGCATCATGTATTGCATCGCTGGCGCAATCTTCGCTCAGATTTCTTGACATGATTCAGGCGTTACGTTCTGACACGCGCCTTCCAGCACTGATACCAGCTGGGTCTCAACCAGGGTGGACGGAGGATGCCACTTATCACAACCTGTATGATGTTGCGAGAGTGGATCTTCTCGACTATTTCGAAGCTCATACTAAGGCTCTTTTAACGGATACTGATGCGTCTGTCCGCCGGGCATTTTTGGGTTCCGTGTCTAGCCTTTGCGTGTTCTTCGGCAACCACAAGACGAATGAGGTCATCCTCAGTCATCTGAATACATACCTGAACGATCGAGATTGGATCTTAAAATGTGCTTTCTTCGAGGTAGTTATTGGTGTTGCAATTTACGTTGGCAGCACAAGTCTGGAGCAGTATATTTTACCATTAATGGTCCAGTCGATGACGGAACCAGAGGAGTTTGTTGTAGAAAGAGTCATCCGCTCTCTTGCAGTAATGGCTGACCTTGGGTTATTCCAACGATCTACTACATGGGACCTCCTGCATATTACAACGCGTTTCTTGATACACCCTAGCTTTTGGATTCGTGAGGCATCGGCATATTTCATCGTCAATTCAACCAAGCATATGTCCGTGGCCGACAAATACTCCATACTCTCACCTCTTGTCCGGCCTTTTCTCAAGGTCAATGTCCTGAGTTTTTCAGAGTCCGAAATTCTCGACGCACTCAAGCGGCCACTTTCGCGGAGTGTGTATGACATGGCCTTTGTATGGGCTTCAAAGGTTGAAAGAGGTGTTTTTTGGAAATCAGCTAGTCGGGACGGGATGTTCAGTTTGGGTGGCACCGATGGTATCCTAAGAGGAAGCCAAAGAAGCTCTACCTTATCACTGGGCTCTGTGTCTAAAAATGAAGAAGATGAGCAGTGGCTATCAAGACTGAGACACTTGGGGATGGGCTCCGAAGATGAGTTCAAACTGCTTGCTCTCAGGGAATACATTTGGCGGGTATTAGTCCGTCAGACGAAAGACTCCGACAGTACACCATACGCTTTGAATAATATCATCACATTGACACAGTATGGAGTTACCCCCCAGACAGTGTTCTTCGATAAACAACAGAACGTCAGACCGCGGAGAGCGTCCTTGGGCAAAGCTGACTCCAATCGCACGGCGGAACGCACACCACATACTATTGCAGATGCGCTCCTCGATGCTTCAACTACAATCGAAAGTGCGCCCAGTACTCGCCGAAAGCATTTACGGTCCAGGAGCCAACTGCAAAAAGAGATAGCGGCTGGGGGAGCGCCACGACAAAATACGCTAGACAACATTCGAGCAGAGCTTTCCCCCGCAGATTCGCCAATAGCGTCATCCCCGAGTGGTGCGCCAGGGTCCCGCCCTCTCTCACCTCGCGGTTCCGATGGCAGACAGAGTCCTGGCCAGGATAGCTCATCGACACCAACCGATGCGGAAAATCCTGCTATGAAGAATTTGACTGTTGGCGTGCAGAGGAAATCCAGCGCGATAAGTCTATTGAACCGCAAGGAGATGCCAAAGGCGTATGCAGAGACAAGCATGAGCTCGGCGAATGCTTTTGGCAAGGTTGACGTGCCATCCCAACGGGAACCGCCATCGCCATCCCCTATCACACTTGCCCATGAGAGAAATGCACACGAGGAGCCACAGAAATACCGTGCCAATCATTCTTATGGAGGAGATGACCCAGTGGTCCTGAAATTGCTCGATTCGGTTTTTGCAGAGAATTATCCCACTGATCTCTTTGATCTTGGCCCATATGTAAAGGAGGCGGACGCCAGAAAACCGATCAAGAGGTCCAATGGCCTCGATGGTAACAAGGTCTGGAAGCCGGATGGAAGTCTTGTTGCTGTTTTTGGGGAGCACAGTGGGCCTGTGAATCGGGTTGTAGTGGCACCTGACCATGCGTTCTTCGTGACGGCTTCGGATGATGGAACAGTGAAAATATGGGACACGACTCGTTTGGAGAAGAACCTGGCTCCTAGATCCCGTCAAACTCATCGTCATGCCACGGGGGTTAAAATCAAAGCTTTGACATTTGTTGAGAACACACACACCTTTATCAGCGGTGGTACAGATGGCAGCATCCACGCTGTTAGGGTTGATTATCACAATGTCAACGAAACTGTTCGCTACGGAAAGCTTCAACTCGTCCGAGACTTTCAACTACCGACAGGTGATGATGGCACGGCGGAGTACGCTGTGTGGATGGAGCACTTCCGCTCTGATGCGCAGTCGACGCTTCTTATCGCGACCAACACATGTCGCATTCTCGCTATGGACATGAAGACCATGCTTCCTATCTACTCGTTGCAGAATCCAGTCCATCACGGGACACCCACTACATTCTGCTGTGATCGGAAGCATAATTGGCTGCTAGTTGGCACCACTCATGGGATTCTTGATCTCTGGGATCTTCGCTTCCGGGTTCGGCTGAAGGCCTGGGGACTGTCAGGGTCAGGAGCGATCCATCGACTCCAGGTCCATCCGACGAAAGGGCGCGGGCGCTGGGTGTGCGTATCGGGCAGTGGCACCCATGGCAATGAGATTACAGTCTGGGACATAGAAAAGATCCGCTGTCGGGAAGTGTATCAAGCGGACTCGCCCGGGGCCAGCAATGGCGCACCGAACGGGGGACCGCAGAGCCCTCGCGGTGCCAACAACATTGGATATATGAGCTACAAGGACTACGAAGCGTGGCATGTAGACGGCGACCGACCGGAAGGGATGCTGAGCCGATTTGCAACAAGTGGCCCAGGGTCTGCGGGTATGGAGCCGTCAGGTCCGTCGAGCGCACCAGCAGGAATATGTGCATTTTCCGTCGGATTCGACTCGCCGGACGATGGCAAAGACAACAGCACACGATGCGGGTATATCGTATCGGCGGGATGCGATCGCAAGATTCGATTCTGGGACCTGGCGCGACCGGAGCTCTCCACGATCGTCAGCGGGCAGGAGGTGGTGTCAGACGGAGGAACGGTGGGCAAGCCACGATACGAGCTGTCACAACCGGGAGCCAATCTGATAGTGACGACGGAGCACATACCCAGTTCATCCGCGAGTAGTGGAGGGGGCGGAAAGGGCAGCACGAAGAAGGGGGCCAGTGGAAGACCACCACGCAGCACAGTGATCAGCCTACAGCAGCAGCAACTGCTGAAGACGCATTTAGACTTTATCCAGGATGTCGCGGTATTGCGCGCCCCGTATGGGATGGTGGTGAGTGTCGACCGGGCGGGAATGGTGTATGTATTTCAATAAATAGCGACCAAGCACCTTCAAACATTTATGAAACCGTCAATGAATCAAATGAAAAAAAGTCGACGAATTTACGGAACAGAAAAATCAGACAGATGAATCGGCCGTTCAAGTGGGCTGGCCCTGATATCACGAACCTAATCGCGAGCTACTTTGCAATTCCGTGCAGGAGGGAACAAATGATCAAATGGCAAGAGAACCGGTGGAGCAGGACTTGGGATGGTGAAACACTAGAAATGGGATCGGGTGGTGATCGGCAAGATGGGAGAACCGAAGTAGCTGGACTGTAGAGGAGAATAAGACATTTACGGAGCATTTATTCATTAGTGAAGAATCTAGAGGATGCTATATTAATGACAGCTACTACTGTACTATTGACCCAGGTGTGGTCATGTGGTCACTGTGGTGCACATTATTTATAATAAAGGCGCTCAGAATGAAGATGAAGATGAAAAGTAAGAAGGACGAGAAATCAGACCGACCAGGAACCAGGAACGTAACTGTAATTACCGACCGATGCCCACCAATCAGACGTCGTCCCTCCCATCCAACCAACAAACGCAGAGGCAAGGATTATCCCGTGTTGCCTGAGCGCAAGTCTAAAGCGACTCTAATGCGATCGGATTCTGGGGATACATAAAGATCATATTAATCAATACAGTAGATATAAGCAGAATAAGATGGTCTATTCTGACAGATAACTGCCAACTACATTATATTGCTGGGATATCTGGATGCTTGGGAAGTGAGGATAGGCGGTCCACCCAAGGGTTCTTCACGATCTGAACCGCACAAATGGCTCTGGTGGTTCCCGAGGAGGAACCATGGATTCCCTGTGTATTTATTATGACAGTATTTATTTATGGATTATTTATACAATGTAGATGAAGGCAGACGATGACGAATTCAAACATAACGATAGGACAAAGAAGAAACAAAAAAAAGCAAAAAGAAACACATGGAAGACAATTGCTTTTTCTCGAGGCAAAAAGAAAAGGCAAATAAATGAATAATAAACCCATCCTGCTTCGTCGGGGCCATTTCCGAGTCGATTTTTTTAGCCTGTCTGCATTATTGATCCATCCTCAGGATTTCTAGTATTAATAGATCATTCAATAACAGCGTTGAACAAGGATGATGATTATTTACAATGTCAATGTCAGGATAGAAGGCAATTATCAGAATTGAATATCTTTCACTGAATAATAAAGAATGAAACCCCCCTAACTGCCGTCCTGCAGGACTAGAGCTGCGAGTCACAACGGGGACTAGGGGATATTTGCCCTTCAACTGGATTCTGAGACAGTGACAGTGACAGTCGACAGTATGACAGATACTGAATTGTCCGATCAGTAGGTATAATATCTATTATGATGAATATTCAGACTGCTTTATGTATTTGTATTTTTAATCATGCTGTGAGAGTATCACGAACTCTATCTATTTGTCAACCTACACACTAGGTATTCAATACATCTCGTGGTGCTCCTCGCATGAACAGCACGACTTGGTTTATCAATTATCCAACAAAATCAACAGAATTCATAAGAATAAAATAATAATATGAATAAATGAACAGAATAATACAAAATCCAGAACTGAATAAAAAAGCTGTCCCGTCCCTGACTAAAAAAGCGAAAACCCACCGGCGCAGGAACGAACCCAACAACTCCGCAGGCTAAGATTAAATTACGCCCCCTTTACTTTACCACCTTTTCTCCTCTCCTCCTCTTCGCTTCTCCTAATCTCCTCTTCATCTCTCTTCCATCCTCTCTCTTCCTCCCCCTCCCCTCTCTCCCCCCCTCTGGATCTTCCGTTTTTTACGGTTGAAACGAGAGAGCATCTCCCGACCGTTCCCATATCTCCTAATTGTATGGCTAGGGAAATGCTCATCGATCCAGTCCGCAGACAGTAAAAGATCCATCAACATCATCCCATCTGCTGTCTTGCTCTCATTCCTTACTTAATTTATCCCTCCCCCCTCTCTCTTAATACCTGTCGTCTTTCCTTTTCTCCTATTCTTTGGCAGCCTCGAGCAGTGCTGCAGGCATCCTGCTTGATTCCTTGTCAAGCCGGTCCCTCTTCACCCCATCCTCTACGAGGACCTTTCTTTCTCTTTTTTTTTTATTCCCTAACTCAGCTCTCCTGCTATCCAGGGGTCCAGGAGCTCTGATCAAAATTTCATCGTCGCCAAAAAGTTTCGTCCGATCGTATATATTCCGCATATTTCACCATGGGTCCATCTCTGAGAGATCACTCGTCCTTCGTTCGTCCGTCGACTCGCGACCGTCCGGCGACGCGCGATCAAGGGGAAAATTCGCTGGTCGTTCCTAGTCGCACCTCCTCGCTTCACTCTCGTATCACCCAACCCATCCCCTCGCAATCCAACGCCAAACCCGCCCAGCGGACACCCAAAACTCTCACCCATGCCTACATGGTCTGCGGTGTCGGCCGCGAGCCCTCGCAATGGGTCAAGGCTCCCACCCCCACCCAGGGAAAGATTGGTCACATGAAGGGTGCTGTCGGTCAATTTTGGCTGCCCGAGATTCTGGGAAGCAGCCCCAGGTTGGAACAGGATAATGAGATTGCGAGATCGCTCCATGCCGCCATGAGGGCGTGTTTCCCCCACGACGTCGAGATTTGCACCGGAAAGAGTCAGCCTCACTGCGTTCACCATGCCTTCGTCTTGCAGCAGGATTCCTCCCACACTCTCTACGGTATCGCCTTGCGTGTCTGGTCTCGTGCCGACGAGAAGCGCGCTGAGACGATCCGCGAATTGCGCAAGAAAACCGAGCCCGACTTCTACGACAACCCCGACGAGACCTACTGGATCCCCTACTGCCTGAGCTTCCTCTCGAGATACCCTCTCTACGATTTGCTAGGCGACTACCTTCGTGGTATGTGGATCCACTGGAACAAGGCCACCAACCTCTTCCACGCTGAGGAAGTCTCGCGGATTCTCAGCTTCCCTGCCCCGCGACTCAACGATCTCGTCAGAATCGATATGAAGGACTATGCTTTGTGCTATCAATTCCCCTCGTCGCCCACCGGATTCCAGAACTTTTCCATGTGGCCTTTGTTCACCTGCTTGTCAATTCCCAACATCGTCGGTGTGATTGAGGCGGCTGTCTCGCCCACGCGTCGTATTATCTTCGTCAGCCACTACCCTTCCATGTTGACTATTGCCGCTGAAACGATCCGTTACTGCGTTCGTATCTACGAGTGGAGCGGTTTGTACGTCCCCATGGTGCACGCCCGTCACATCAAGGACCTCGTCCAAGAACCCGGTCCTTACATTCTGGGTGTGACCGCTGAGTGCCGAACCCTGTTCAATGCACCTTCCGATGCTCTTGTGGTCGACCTCGACCGTAACTTCGTTCTCACCTCCAGCCCACCCAACATCCTGTCCGCTGGTCAGCGTACTAAGTTCATCAACCGGTTGACGCAGGCGTTGAATGGTGATGTGTCGCCATCCGGTGTTCCCAACCATCTTCGTTCTGCTTACGCTGGTGGAAAGCTTATTCCCGCTGGTCAGATTATTGTGATGCGAGGGGAGGTTGAGAGCGTCCAGGATCCTTCGTGGTGGAACCAGGATTCCGTAATGAATGTGATGGATCACGTCTGCGAGAAGCTAGTTAGTCCCCCCTGCATAACATGTCAGCGTGATTTTTCCGAAGTTAACTTGGTTTCTTTTACTTTTAGGGACGCAACACTGGCATGAAAGCCATCTTTGGTGGTTCAGTCAAGAAGCCCCTCATGACCAAGGTTTCTATGCGCCATCTCAACGAGATTGTGCGTGAGCGCAATCAGTACTCTCGTGACGCTATGGAAGCCTGGCAAGACTTTATCAACCTCAAGGGCCGTATGGATACCGAACTCAGCAAGGTCACCAAGCGCAACAACTTCTTGGTTGAGGAGCTTGAGACCTGGAAGCAGCAGGTTTGTCTTACCCTTTCCATACCATGAAAAATCCGATCGACTAACTTCGTTGCAGTTCCTCAAATTCCAGGCCTTCGCTGAGCAGCTTACCAAGGAGACCTCTGAGCTCAAGGTCAAGATCGAGACCCACAAGCGTGAGAACCGCCGTCTCACTGGACTCATTGATCAACAGAAGGATGATGTGGCCCGTCTCACTCTCCGCCTGTCTGGCACTGAGAAGCAGCGTGATGATGCTCTGGAGGCGCTTGTTCTTCAGCAGGAGATCGCCGAAGAGCTCGAGCGCGAGCGGAAGCGCAACCAGAAGGACCTTTCTTCATTGCAGCACAGCAATGCTTCCCTCTCCCGGCAGCGTGATGAAGCCCAGCGGGTGGTCCTGCATCTCCGCGGCTTGATCAACGGCCAAACCCATCACATGGAACACATTGTTCGTTCTATCGGCAGCACCGCCGAGCTCTCTGAGTTGGCTGAGCAGGAGGCTGCTGACGAACCCAAGAAGAATGAGCGCGTGTTTATCAAGTCGGATGTTTCGTTCAAGAGAGCATCTATGAGCACCTTGACCGATGCTAACAAGGCTGGCATGAGGGACATGACCCCTGAGTTGGAGCAGCATCTCACAAGTATGGGCAGAGGACACAACCGCCTCGCAAGGCTGAGCATCACTGATGTCGCCGATCGCTACCTGCGTGACAAGACCGATGCAATTTCCGACATCATCCGTAGCATCAGCGACCAGTGTGCCGCTGCTGTCGAGGGCTTGCACCTTGCCCAGGATGCTGAAGATGACGATGACACTCCCAAGACCTCGCCGGATGGCACCCGCCTGGCACCCGAATTCGACACCCAGAGCCAGCAGTCCACCCGCGATGGCAGCGAGCTGGACGGGGACAACAACTCCCTTCACCCAGACCACCGGGGCTCTAGTGTCCCACCTACCCCAGACCTAGTGCACAACCGGTCCAGTACGTCGATGTCGATGATGAGCAGCTCGACATTTCCGGAGAGGGGGAGCCAACAGTATGGGCCCGGCGAAATCCCGACCCGGATAGTCGAGGATGACGACGAGCACGCCCATGAGACGGATGGTCTTGATGACCAAACCGAGACCGGGACCTTGTCCAAGCAGGCCAGTGAGGATCTCATCTCCAACAACTCCCGGCTAGTCGCGTAAATTGCCCCATCAATTCGATGATGCAACGCCCGATTTCGACGACTTTCTCACGACGTCTGCTCCTGCACAGTATCAGAATTAGAGCGAGTTGTGACCATCCATTGGCACTTCTAATTGACATTAATCTTCTGTTTGTGGTTAATTCATCTTGTTAATTTCTTCACTATTTTTTGTATATTCCCACTATCGTCTTCTTTTCAGCTTCTTTTTTTCTACGGAGGTGTTTTTGTTCCCAGAAGGATTTTTGATATCTTTTCATGATTTTTTTACTGCCCTCTGGGATGGTCGGTTTGATTGTTTTGGGTTGATTCTACCCTCTTTTCGGAGGCTTCGATTCTGCTTTCACCATTTTACCTTTTTACTTCTCACGCCTTACATTCTTGCTCCAGTTTCAATTCTTGAACTTTCTGTGAGAGAACTGGACTGGTCCATTATCGGTGCCGTATCTGGGCCGACCCCTCATTCACTCGTGTATCTCCTTTGTCTCTCAACTGGGCCGAATTTCCAAAGCCCTTGTCATGTTGAACGGGCGGATCACCGTTCGTAACCCCCTCAGAATCGGATTAAATTGAATTGATTCTTCAGTTATTTCAAATATCTAATCGTACTCTTATGATCAAGACATCCATATTCACTGGATTGTAATGCAATACATATCAAAACGTCTCGAGCATGACGATTATGCCAACTTTCCGGGCACAAAGGGGTGACCAGCACTCAACCCTCCACAAACCGCCCATGCCTGCCCATTCACATAACTACTCTCATCACTGCCCAAAAACAGCGCGACACGAGCCACTTCATCAGCAACCGCACCCCTTTTCAGAGGATTCAACTGTCCAATCTTCTTTTGCGTGCCTCTAGCCCGCGCAGCATCAAACACCGCCTGCGTCATGCCCGTCTCGATTATTCCAGGACAGATGGCGTTGACACGGATCCCCGAACCAGCGAGCTGGAAAGAACATGTCTGGGCGATGGAGACCACGGCAGCCTTGGAGGCGGAGTAATCGGTTGAGCCAGCGTTGGAGCGTAGACCGGCCACTGATGAGGTGCAGATGATAGAACCTGATGAGAAAGGTTTCGAATCCGAAGTGCGTTTCATGGCGATAGAGGCGTGTTTAACAGCCAAGAAGACTCTACTCGATTAGCACCTTATCAACCACAACCACACCCAAAGAAAAAAAAAAAAATGAGACAAACCCCAAAGTATTCGTCTTCAACGTCTCCATAAACTCCTCCCCCTCGATATCCGTGAAAATCTTCGGCTGGCCGACGATCCCCGCATTAGCAAAGAACACGTCCAACCGGCCATACGTGTTCACGGCGTCGCCGACAACAGCTTTAACGGCTGCTTCGTCGCCCGCGTCGAATTGGCGCGTGTGCACGTCGACGCTGGGATAGAGGGATGCGAGCTCGCGTTTGTGGGTTGCGAGGTAGGTGTCGTCGTAGTCGCAGATGTAGACTGCTTTGGCGCCGTTGTGGGCGTAGTGGTGGGCGCTTGCGCGGCCGATGCCGTTGGGAGAGTTTGCGCCTTTTCTTTATGTTAGATAGAGTTCATTCATTTGTGTGTGTGGATGTGGATGTACATACCCGTGACGATGACGACCTTGTCTTTCACTCGGCTTGTATACAAGTCAGCGGTGAACAAGATTACTACAGAAAGTATTATGACGAATTTATTTTTTCGGATACTCACGGTCCGGTAGAATCCCCAGCTACCTGGCGAATCTTGGGAATATCCTCGAATGTTCCAGCATCGGGGATCCCCTCGACCAGTTGTTGGCTGAGAGCTTGGAGACGCTGCTTCGCTGCGCCGGACATGTTGCCGAGGAATGAGAATGAATATGATGATTTACCACGAATATGGGAAAAACAAAGAGAATTGGATTGAAGTTGTTACAAATCTGCAGCTACCAACAGCCAGAAAAAAAGAAATTAAGTCAAGATATACTAATAGTCAAGCCATCGCCAACCGCCCACTTGCATTGAAGCTGGAATATCCGGCGCTTTTGCGGAGAACCGAGGCTGAGGTCATATGACCGGTGATGACTTACATAAGCGTGAATTTAGTTCTTCCATAACAATCACATGATTGCAGCAGTCACACGTCATGGGCCAACGCCAGCGATACAACCTAGCCACTTTATGTGCCTGATGCGGCGTCCAGTTCGCTTCGTCGTTCTGTTTCCTTCTGCTGCTTTCTTGTTCGTTTGATGCCCTGGTTTTGGCCCGTTTTCTTTTTTTCTTATCTATTCTATCTTCCTCTGCTGAGGTTATTCTTTCGCTGATCATTCTGCGTTGTTCGATATATTCCTGGCCGCCCTTCGATACCCCCTGCAATCACATCACATCATAGATGATCAACAACATTTTGAACTAGCCAAATTGCAGCGAGAAAGATATCAGACGCACAAACAGAATACAGATTACAGACGAAATCACAGGGAATACATACGTGGTGGATTCACACGTCACTTTTTCGTCGATAGCTGGTGCTTACTGTTCCTACCCGAGCTGAACGAGCTGAAAAAACACAAAAGCATTCATGAAGCCCACAATCGTCCACATCGCCGTCTACTCTGTCCACCGCCCAACGAGCCATGGCTGAGGACGATACTCAACAACGGGGCCGGCGTTCCTCTTCTCAGACCTCGTCCTCCTCCCGACGCAGTCAGAAGACGAAGACCGTCCGTGCCAGTGCCAAACCCCAAAAACGAAATTCCGCCTCGTCTGATGCCACCACCACCGACCTGACCTCTTTTCCGTCCCTCTCGCCCGATCGCTCCCCCGAGGGGTTTATCGGTCAGCCGGCGTTGAACCGCGGTTTGACCAATGCTTTGTTGAATGGAGAAAATAGGAATGGTGGTGCCAGTGATGTGAATCATAGTCGCAGGGCTACTCTGGCAAAGCTTACCAGTGCTTTCCCACACAACCCTGGTCGTGCGGCTTTGTTTGATGATTCTGTGGCTACTCATGACTTTCCTGGAGCATTACACCTAGCTGATGATGCGCATATCGAGCGTTTGACTACGAGTGTGGGTGCAGTGAAGCTGGTTAGGCAGTTTGCCCGCGATCTGGCTCAGCGGGATGCGGAGATATCCGCCCTGCGCCAGCGGGCTGATGCAAGGGAGAGAGAGCTGAAAAGGATGCTGCGAGAAGTATCAGTCTCGAACCAGGACATTGAACGTCGGCTCTATGTGCTGGAAAATAATTCAGATGGAAACAAATCCGACCGAGATAATGTGAACAACGCAGGCCAGGCGGGACAATCTGTTTCCCCTCTTAACGGACTAATGCAACAAGCCATGGCCGAAGAGGTCGGCGCTCGTCCCCACGATGATCTTTTCGACGATCCATCCCGCTTCCAGGCTACGGTCCGTGCACGTTTAGAGGGTGACTCCAAATCAGGCACTTCGAGTGTGGATTCGGGCAACAATCGGAAAAAGCAGAATCCCCGTGGTTGGCAAGGCTTTATCTTTGGCAGTACGGCGGGCAGCCGGAAAACTAGCCGTGCCAATAGTGACATAAGTGACGTGGGAGAACCAAACGATGAAACAGAGCGTCCACGTATCCCCAGCAATCAATCAGCAGCGACTCGCCGGAAAGCCCTGGATGATCAGCTGTTCCAACCTCCGGATGGCCTGTCTGGTTTTATCGAAGGCCCTGGGAAACGGCAAAACGGAGACGATGCTGCGAGCACTCATTCGCGCAAGTCATCCAAGTCTCTATCATCATGGGCGGTAAAGATGTTTGCCGGTAACTCCCAGAACGCTAAAGACGATGGCAATGCAGAAGGCCGTCGTAGCAGAGCTTCTTCGTCTGCCGATCAGGGACCTAATAAGAGCGGGTCATCGACGGTCTCCGGGACAGCCAAAGGAAGCACATCGGCAGTGGCAGCTCTGTCACGAATCAATACGAATACCAATGCGGCCAGTGGCTCTGGCAGATCTGTGAGTCGCCAGGTCAGGTCCAATCCTCAAACCGTCCGAAGAACTGCAACGATTAGCGCTGGGCAAGGAGGCCCTGATGATACCGACAAAAGTTCAACTAACCTTGGTCCCGTCGAAATGGATGCCATTCTTCCCTTGGAGTCTCGACCTCCCACACTTACTCATACGTACAACAATTACCAGCCTGGTGACCTTCTCACGGACAGGTTTGGATTTATCTACGATCAACGTCGGAAAAAGAGACAGAGGGAGGCCAGTGCCAGCAAAGGCGGCAATCGGTTGAGTGTTACCGAGACTCTCAGTAGCTTCCGAAGCGATGCGTCGGATGGTGAGGATGACCATGACGCTCAGAAGAGATTATATGCGGAGCCCCAACGTTCCCCCACCTTTGATGATACGGAAATCGGGCCTTCTGGGGCACAGAGATGGCAAGATTATTTGAGAATCCCATCGAGGCCAACTGAGCTGCTATCCCACACACCTTCTGCTGGCCCTATCGTCACACTGGCCACTGCAAGTGACAACCAGTCTCGTAGTTCTGCCGTTGCTGTCGGTAAGAGTGGTTCCGTTTCTGTCAGCTCCAACGCCCGGCCGTCGGCTTCAACATCTGCAGTTGTCGCAGACCGCCCGGAGTTTGCAGGAACATCCACTGATGAACCGACAAAAACGACCATAAGCGTCGCCGCCAATGAGAACGAGCCGGTCAAATTGCTTCTAGAGCAATTGACAGACCTCCATGACACGTTACAACGAGATCGGACGGTCCGATGGAACGAGTTTTTGCGCAAGGTGCGTGCAGAGCGCAGGAAAGATGGACAAGTGGCTGCGGCTGCGGCTGCCGCTGCTGACCGACCCTTACAATCCGTTCATATGCCGGAAGCCTCCTTGGCAGATGGCGAGGTCATTGGTATAGCCGGACTGGGAAACAAAGGCAAGGTCGGCCGTGCGAAGTGGCGGGAGTTCCGGTCTTTGGTTCTAGGCGGAATACCGGTTGCCCTTCGTGCCAAGGTCTGGTCTGAATGCAGCGGTGCGTCTGCAATGCGAGTTCCTGGTTATTACGATGACCTGGTCAGTGGCGTTGGCGGCTCAGAGCCTGATGCCTCAGTCGTAGCACAGATTGACATGGATATCTATCGGACCCTGACCGACAATGTTTTCTTCCGCAAAGGTCCGGGAGTTGCGAAGCTTAAGGAGGTTCTCCTGGCATACTCTCGTCGAAACCAGGAGGTTGGATACTGTCAGGGCATGAATCTCATTGCCGCTTCTTTACTTCTGATCATGCCAACTGCCGAGGACGCTTTTTGGATTCTCACTTCGATGATCGAAATCATTCTTCCCCAGCACTATTATGACCACGGACTGCTTGCCTCTCGAGCTGATCAGGTGGTGCTACGACAGTATATCACTGAGGTTCTACCTCGATTGTCGGCACATCTCGATGAGCTGGGGATTGAGCTTGAGGCGCTGACCTTCCAGTGGTTTCTGTCTGTATTCACCGACTGTTTATCTGCGGAAGCATTATACCGGGTTTGGGACGTGGTTCTTTGCCTCAATGTCACCAGCACTATCAATGCGAACGGCTCTACACCATCATCAACAGTTCGCGGAAGCAGCGCCCCCAACACCTCTGCAGCTGAGGATATTGCATCCGGTAGTGGAGGTGGCAGCACATTCCTCTTCCAAGTTGCTCTTGCCCTTCTGAAGCTGAACGAACAGCAGCTTCTGACTACGTGCTCGACACCTGCCGAGTTGTACACCTACATCAACCATCAAATGACCAACCACGCAATCAGCATCGATGGACTGATCCAAGCCAGTGAGGGGTTGCGAAATGTAGTGCGTCGCGAGGATGTCGTCGCTCGAAGGGTGGTGGCATTAACAGAGATGCGGGAATTCGGTGGACAAAGTCAAGGCGGAAATGACGCTTAAAATACATTCACTCATTCTATATTTCTTTTCCTGATTTGTTTTGGAGCCACGGACACATTCCTTTTCTCAGTTTTCTGCTTTGATTCATAGACTACGATTACACGATCCTTTTGAGCGGGAGTTATTCAAACTACCATATCCATGTACTAGCAAGCAAGAGCATCTGAGATACCCATTGTTGGTTGATTGCACTGGTTGTATGAGAAAAATTTAACATCGATTTGCTCACATTATATTACTGGACGCTCCATCATTCTTAAATACATGAAACAATAACCCATACTGATTAAAGCGACAATAGATAACGTCATCGCGTAGACACCCACCTCCAACGCATGTTGCACCCTCACTCCATGTTTCGTACACCCCGTTCAACACCGATTATCGATTAATTCGCATCGCTGGCCTTGGGCGGGTATTGCTTGCCCTCGAAGTTGACTTTGGGTTCGCAGGCGCACCATTCCTCCTCGGGGATGTCGTCAAGCACGACTGCGATGTGGTGACCGCAACCCCACCAGGTGATTTTGTCTGGCCAGGCCTGTTAGCTTATTACGACTGAATCACAGACAGGTACCAGGTGTGAGAATAAAGTGAAGATAAAGGTGTGATCAAATCAATATTGCAGGAGATGATTGTATGCACTTACGACAAGTGGAGCAGTGAGCCTCTCTGCACATTGTGCGGGGTAAGATCAGCAGTGCCGAAGTATGCGAGAGATAGAAGTAGCCAGTAAAGAGGAGTTCTGGACGAGGACCGTGGTGGTTTGGGATATTCGAAAAAAGAAAGTATAGCAAGAGAGATGAACCAAAGGAATCAAAGACTTGGTTTTTTCTATCGATCGCAGGTCTTTAAAAAAAGAAAGCCGTTTGTCCGTCCCCCACCGTGAGGAAATGATGAGGTTCCCTTATCGGATCCAACGGATGGAACCTTCCCAGGATTTCGGACTTTGTTATCGTGAGTTTCCCTCGGGAAACTCTGGTCGGGTTTGTGGTAGATAGGCTTTATTTTCTTTATTCTCTAATCTCTTGGCATAGGTTATTTTGGCGTGTCTCCAATTGGGGTTTTGCTTTTTATCTGGGGAGGGCCTCTGGGAGCCAGAATCGATTGTTATCGAGGACAGCGGTTAGGTCTAGCTGGTCCATAGTCGGTCGTAAACCGACGTCCATCACGTCGCGCGCGACTGCTTTTATCTGTCGCATGATGGCTTGGGAAATGGCCCATGTGCGGGCTAGGGATTTAAAGACGCCGATTGTAAGCGTGAGCCGGTCGCGACTTGGATCTGGCATTTGGCCCGCCTTGACGGAGCAAGCTGCCAGTTGCACAATGGAGCTGAGGACGAGCGCGCAGATAAAGAACGGGGTGTGCTTGATGACAGGCAGCCGAATGGAGGCCAATGTGGACAGTTCCTTGGCAGCCTTGACGGCTTTCATGGCGTGGGCATGATGCGAAAACGCTGGGATGCTCAATGGGCCGTGGTGACCGCAAATGACTTCCGCTGCGACTGCGGGCGAGGATAGTAGATCGGAGCGAGGGAAATGTAGGTATACTGCTGCACCGTTGATGATCATTGTCGCCTGGAACATCATTTCGTCCACCGATCCGTCCGGACGCAGGAGCTCCGCCTTGGATTCCGGCAGATGATGGAACCAGCTGGCGATTCGCGCATCGATGGCCTCGACATGATCCTGCTGACCTTCAATCATGTCTTGGATTCCTACGACCCGTCCCAGTATCCGAATAGCCTCCACCCGGTAGCTGAACGAGGAAAAATCGCGCTCCTCGTCGGCAAAGACACGTTCGTCAAATTGTGCAACCGTCAACGGCGGTGGCGGCGTCAGTCCGTCCTGGTAGATGCGTTCCTCGCAAGGAAGAGGTACCTCGAGTGGCACTAAGCTGGTGCGGAACGTTTGTTGGGCCCCAAGGGCAGTCAACATGCCTTCGACGATGACGAGCTCCCACCAAGTACGTCGCAAACACTCCTGTCGTATCGGATCACCATCGCTCATCGCAATGGCGAAATCCGCACGGTGTAGCCCCAGCTCGAAGGATAAGTCGACCGCAAGAGCCAAACACTCCCCCGCCTCGGCGCGCTCGTTGCGCGAGTGAAGCACCACGGCTAGCAGGATAAGCGCCTGCACCTTTTCAATTGATCCTTCTTGCTCCATGACCGATGACACCACAGATGGACGGTATATCTCGCTGGATGCGGCGGGTGTGAAATGCGAGCCGACGAACTTGATGACCTGTTCGAGATAGGATGGCACAGCGGAGCGATACAGTGAACGAAGCGGAGGCAGAACGGGATGCGCCGGGTGGAAGTAGGTATAATAAATATCAACGAGATAGCCATCGCCGCCAATGGACGATGGTGATGAGTCCGGAGTCATAGGGCCATGGAAACCTTGTGATACAGAAGCGACATTATTGAACTGAGGGCTCGCCGACCCGGGCGATATAAGAGGCCCTGTCGGGGCGTATCCAAACCCACTCTGAAACCCCCAATTTGTCGTCGTAGGGACATCGAGGAAGCCCACCGAATGAGGATCGAACGAGAAGGCCGAATTGGGGACGAGTTGGTCAGGGGATTCCGGGTTGGCGCGACGTTTCTTCGAAGGACCTTTGTATCCTCGACGCGACGGGGTATATTGGCACTCTGAGCCGGTTGTAGTGCAGCGTCCACATACAGGGGTCTTTCCATCGCATTTCAGATGTTTTTGTCGACAAAGGAGACAGGCCAGGAGAGAGGGACTTGCGCCTTTGGGGTTAGGAATGCTGGTGGGAATCGGTTCGGCCATGGTGAAGTAGATAGCGCATTAATCACACTGTCGAAAATATCTCGAAGGGATTATACACGAGAAAATTAAATTGTTTAATTAAAGACGAGGGGCAAGCATAGAAAAAAAAAAAAAAGACCGTCGCGGTGGAGCTATTCAAGGACGAACCCCACGACACAAAATGAAGGCGGGATGAAGAAGAGAAGAGAGGCGCCAGGAGTAGACTCCAATGGATACGGAGAAAGAATCCGAAGAGAAGAAGAAGGAGAGAGACAGAAAAGGAGTAGGGAATAAAAGCACGACGACGATGAATTACTAAGGACGCTGGTTTCGTTGATTAATTCTTGGACAATAACGATGCGACGTAGAAAAAGCTTCAATTAGGAGGCTTTAGGCACATGAGGAGAAATAATAAACGTAGCTACATCATAATGTAGACACTCAGCATTGTAGACAGCTTCGACTCATCGCCAACAAAGGCATGGGCTTCAGCTGTCAGATCGAGCTGGATATCAATAGTCAACGGCCAAAACGTCCCCGAGGTTCATCATTCTTCCAGGGCTTAAGCGTGGCTGGACACGTCAACAGAACCGCTGCAACGCCTTCTCCATCAACGCAACCACCACTCCTCCAACTCCAAAAGAGATCAGCCCAATTGCTTTTACTCTCCTGGCTCGTTTGGTAAGCATCTTAATGCCCGACTTATTGCCCCATTTATCAATCAGCAACTAACGAGACGTGGCTTCTCAGCTCACTCGCCAAGCTTAGAAGCTCCCCTTCATCGCAATCGATCTTCATTTGATCCCTCGTTTCCCGAACTTCGATACCTTCCTTTTCGCGTCAATAAAAGTCATATCCATTCACCATGATCTCCGACGGCGACCTCTACCGCTTGGCCATGTTCCTTGGCTGCTGCGCCATGATGATGATCGTACTTTACCACTTCCTCGAAGTCAACGCCCAGGACGATGGACACAATGGACAGCCCCCCGTTGCGAAGGCAGCTAAATCCGGCGCTCCTAGTGGATCGGGAGAGTCGAATGGTGCTCATGGACCGGCCGTTCCAGGCGCTGCGGCTGCAGGTGGCTCGCCAGGGAGTGGTGTTAAGGTGGACAAATGGTAAGGCTGTTGGATTTGGATAACGGGTTATCAGGAGTATACTTGCTCCTGAGAATATCTGAGCGTGCTAGGCATAAGCGAGTGCGTGGTTTCCCACGGTGCTATGGAAGTTTTTATCGGTTACTTGCCATGGTTTTCAATTTGCAATTGTACAGAATTATGCATTGATTTTCACATCTTCCAAAGAATTGGATCGAGAAAAGCTCAATTCATCCAATATGAACGAACGCCGAATGGTCCAAAAAGACTAAGCCATGTCGCTAACGAAAAACCAATATTTGTACAAAACAGAAAGGGGTATCAAATGTAGCGCCTGTCTATAATTCTTCAATCACCTCATAAAACTCCTCGTCGTTGCTGACTCTTTCGTTCCGGGCGGGCGTGGCCAACTGACAACCGCCAGGATCCAAACCCACCCCAATCCGTTCTTTGAGCCTCGTTACCGCTTTGAGGATCTCCCGCGCCTTCTCCTGTTGAGAATGATTCCCGTGGACTCGATTGAATGCCCGAATAGAGCTGTAACTCGCAGGGAAGATAAGAGAATCCTCTCCCCCTGGTTGGCTGGCCTCCGGCGTGGCCAATGGCCCTTGATTACCGGTTTCACTGACCACTAGATCAATTGATAAAATCACATATTAATAACAGGTTCCGTTGCTTGGGAAACAATCAAAATAAAGAGCAATAGTCGACTGCAATCATTTCAATGCATTCTCACCAGTTCCACGCACGGAGGGTCCGTCCCCCAGTTTCCACGCTATGGGCCCCAGATGATCCTCCTGCATGTGTTGAAAGAGCTCTGCCGCAGCCATTTTCTCGGGGTACGAGCATTCCTTCCACTTGCAGCTTATGTGGTACGGTATGTGGAGTTTCAGCAGGTGTTGTCTGAGCATATCGAGGTTGTGAAGCTCTGCCTGACAATTCTCCCATTCGCAGGGATACACCTGGTAAGAAACAGGAGCCGGGATTTTAACCTCGACATTGGAGCTGCGGGGCCCTCGTGTCTGCTGTTTCTTCCCCACCATGACCTCGACTCGCTGCAGGGGTTGTTCTGTCTGCTGAGTTTGCTGAGGTTTCTTTGGCTGCTGCGGTGGTTTCTGCGGTGATTTAGACGGCGTAGGATGCGGGGGAGGTTTCACAATTGGACGAGGCGAAGGCTTCTGTATTTGATGTGGGAGATGTGGAACAGGAGAAGAATAATGGGGAGAGGGAGTGATTGACGATGAAGATGTGAGCTGTCGTGGGGGTTGCTGCACTGGACGCGTCGGGGAGCTGGAGCTTGGCGGTGGAGGAGCAACCATTGGGATTGGCTGTGGTCGGTCACGTGGTGGAGGGGCGATAGGCGGCTTCGGCTGGTGATTGGCCGACAATTCACGCGGATCGACGAGATCCCATCGAAAGGTCTCAATATCGCAGTTGACGTCGAGATTAAAGACATCGCGCAGCCGCCAAAGATGATGGTTTAACATTTTTTCTGTGGGATGGCGACCGGCGGCAATCAGGACATCCCTTGCAATTGTCTTGGGGTCATATGTGATCTTCACTGCCGCACGGGTTTCGTCCAAACCCTTGACCAGATCGGCTCTCGATTTCAAAAACGACCTATCGCTAGTAGGATCACGGGGCGCGAAGGAGTAGTTGGCCAAGTTTGCAGGAGGCGGAGGTACTTGTTGGGGTGGCGCTGGTGGACGTGGTGCTTGTGAAGGCGGTACTTGTGGAGGGGGTGCTGGTTGAAAAGTAGCTTGTGGCTGTTTTGGCCCTGGCACACCCCCCGATGAGCCATTATCTATTCGACGTCTCTTCGCATCGTTCACTTGAGAAGTACTTGCAGAGCTGTTGGTATTGTCAGGCGCACGCATGGGTATAGCTTGTTGTTGCAAGGCGGCCTGAGCAATCATTGGGGGCGGCTGTGCACTCGCAGGTGGCGCTGGCACCATGAAGTTCCGAGATAGATATGCTGGAAGAAAGGGAGCTGGTGGGTGGTATACTGTATCTCCGGGAGTGACAAATCCCTGGGTTGAGGGTGCTGGATAGGGAGACGAGTATCGTGAGGGAGGGTTGCTCGCGTGTGTTCGAGCTGCTGGAGGCTGTCCGGAATATGCCTGCGAATTGTCGGGAAACATTGGAGCATCTGGAGCAGGAGGATTCCGGATATAGGATTCGTCCCATACGCCTGTTTGGAGAAACTTCTCAACCCATTCACTTTCTTCATTCGCCATCTTGAAGAATTGGTGTTGTTGCTAGTTATCCCATAGCTTGCTGTATTGACGTAGCAATGCGTCTGCGGAGTAGGTCGCGTGTTGAGAATTGAATCAGAAGGGACTGTGAGAAATAGTGAAAGAAAAGTCAGATAGAGATAAAGAAACGCGTGAATATAAAATCAGACCTCCTTCATCACCTTGCAGTGATCTGGCAGCTCGTGTTATCTGCCATCGCCTTCACTGGTGGTGTTCCATTGCTTTGCTTTGCGCCGATCCGCCATGATTCCCGTTTCGGAACAGGGGCTTGCGCCGACCAATCATCGTGGGGCCGCCAGCCCTAGCCTAGTAAGTAAGCGGGCAGGTCATGTGACGCACATTCGGGCAGCACACATTTTCGGCTAACAGTTCGAGGACTCAGCGAAAAGAGTCTTTTCGACGACTAACGACGACAACGTTCACCACGACCCTTCCCCAAGAGCCCGGTCATACCGATAAGATGGCCATCATCAACCAGGGTGCGTTCACCATTTCCCTGTTTTTAAAATGATATTCTCGACCGTGTTTGTTCGTGGTGGTGGACTTTTTTCGCCCGCTTGTGGGAGAGGATATCCGCCCCGGAACGAAACGCTTCTACGGACCAATATTTTACTACATGTGTGATTTTGGAGGAATGCTGACAAGGGTATGATGAATAGGAATCGCTTCTTCGCGCCGGAAGTCGCGCAAGGCGCACTTCAACGCTCCCTCCAGCGAGCGCCGTGTCATCATGAGCGCTCCTTTGAGCAAGGAACTCCGTGAGAAGCACAATGTACGCCCTCCATACTCCTATTTTTCCCACAGACGATTCCCTTACATTTCGAGAACTACGTTGCGATGGACAAGGTGGAGGAGGGGCACATGAAGACGAAGCACACAAACGAGGTCGACAGAACATGAGATCTAACAAATTACCTACAGGTCCGCTCCATCCCCATCCGCAAGGACGACGAGGTAACCGTTGTCCGTGGCTCCAACAAGGGCCGTGAGGGCAAGATCACCAGCGTGTACCGTCTCAAGTGGTGCGTGCACGTCGAGCGTGTCGTCCGCGAGAAGTCCAACGGCCAGAGCGTTCCCCTCGGTATCCACCCCTCCAAGGTCGTCATCACCAAGCTGCACTTGGACAAGGACCGTGAACAGCTTCTGGAGCGCATCGGAAAGGGACGTGAGGCAGTCAAGGCCTCTGCCTAAGGGATTTGCATTTTTGTTTCTTGTTGCAATAGGGTGATGGCGTGGGAGTACATGAGATACTCAAAATGAGAAAAAATAAACCTGCTACGACCAGGCTTCCGTCTTATTTGACAGGTTCATGCTACGAATGGAAAAAAAAGAGCAAAATTTCTTCCTTTTTTCATCCTCGGGTTTGGTTTTACGGGGCGGGCAGTTTTGACGAACGGCGTCCTGGCCTTTTTTTTTTTTTTCCTCGCCCTCCTTATCCCATAGGTATCCCCTTGATAAGGTTACAGCTGAATCAGAAGTCCATTTTCCTAATGTTCAAACTTCTCCTTGGCTGCTTTATCAACCCCCGCAGGTTTCAGTTTCCAGTCCTCAACCGTCTTTGCATGATTCTCCACGAACCCGGTTTGCACTCAATTTGCCCATAGCAACTACATCTATCATGCAATGACGATCGGTATGGACTGGTGTAGGCTGCATCTCGTAGCCCACTACCCAATTTTCATTCCCATCACTTCCCCTCTGCACATCTCCCCAAATATCGCCAAAATATCTCCTCGTCAATCATGTCCATTAGGACTCTTTCAATGGTTGGAGAGGTAAACGAATGGCGTAGAACGAACCCCCAGAATACCTATTTTAAGTTATTGATATTCTGGCTCGCTTGCAGACTCGCACTGAAGCCTTTGGCAAGGAAGCTGCGAGTTTGAAAGTGAGGGACATCTCAGCTTATAAACTTGTAAAATTTTATCTTCAATCTCAATCAAATCATTGACATTATTCGAGAATTTCATTTTTTTGCACCATCTATCTCCCCCGCACCAGTTTCATCCCCCGTAAATGGGCTTTGTTTCGTAAATGGCGTCACCAAATCTCCGGTTGGCCATGACTAGTGTACGTATCTGAGGAGCATTTGGCTTGGAAGATGACTGAACAGTGAACACGTAACTAGGCTATGCAAGTGCTTTTGGATCTCGTACATAAGTGGCATGCACAAATAGATATTAGATTAAATTGATCAACGTGGTCATGGTTTTTTTTTTTTTTTTTCAAGTAGAATATATATCTCGTAGAGGTCTACCGCGATATATACTCACTTGGTTTGAGGTCACTCGCAACTGGAGCACTCCTGATTTAGTTCAATAGAATTGATTACTTGCATGCACATGTACTGCATAGGCTGATAATAAAAAATAGAAATAGAAATAGAAACGCCCCAGGATACATGATATCATGATTAACGGTGAGATAAAACAGTCCGAACGATGCGCTTGCTGGATCTTCACTCACTTAGGTTATACGAAATTAACCACACTCAATCCAGAGCCCATGGAAGCGTCGGTGGGATGAAGAAAAGAAAAGAAAAAAGAACAGTAAAAAGATGAGAATTAGCATAATATCAGTTCCCAACACACTTCCCCCAAGCTGGCAGTCCACATCCCATACCCACGAAAATATACATGAGGAAGATAACAACGATGACAAGAAGAATCATCAATTTGGTGTTCTTCCACCACATCCGTCGTCGCAGACCCCGACTACGAATGCGAAAGTCGTGCGCACTACCCCCGAGTCGATCCGTCTTATCAACCAGCAGATCAATTCGCTCTCCACGCTCCAGTACCCGCTCGATATTCTCTGTCATAATGTCCCGAACACTGTCAATCTCCCGCCGCGCCGAAGCGAGCGAATCCGCCGGCGGAGCGGTGTTGTAGGTATGAAGCAAGGAGCGGAGTTCTGCGTTGAACGCAGCACACCCGTAGGCAGGGAGTGAGGAGAAATCCGTTTCCGAGGGCGGATAGGCAGACAGGAACTTGCGTTTCATTTCGAGGAGGTAAGCGAATGGGATGCGGCGGCCTTGTTCGGCTGTCGCCACGACGATGTAACTCAGCGGTGCGTACGAATTCTGGTCTTGTTGCTGGTTGTTGTCTTCTGCCGTGCCCGAGGGCGAGTCGGCAATGTAATGTACGAAAAGACGCTCATGGGTGTAGGTGAGCTTCTGAGATTTGTCATGGCTGATTTTTGGGAGGATGATGGAGGCCAGGGACGAGGCGGAGGTGGAGGAGCTTCCGGGTGAGGAGTGTTCGGCCAGGATAGTGGTGCGATGTGCTATGCAGGAACTATCAGAGATTGTTAGCCTATGATACCGGTGTCTACAAGCTGTGCGTCCAAATGGATAACGTACTAGAGCAGGAAGCTCGACGGCTTTGACGACGATGCCATGATGATGACGACCCCGTCTGCTTTGGAAGATATCTACAGAGAGTGGCAGAGTTAATAGGAATTCGGTTCACTTAATTTCTGCCCAAAAGGGGCTGTCTGGTTCTCGCTGAAGATCGATTTGAAGAAGACAGTTTATGTCTGCTGCGATGTTGATCGCGATTCCGTGACGTCGGCGCCCAGAAACCCCGGATTCTGTCACGTGCACATTCTTCAGACTCTGACAAGGAGAATGATTCAATTTCCATTCTTCGATGTTTCACAATTACTTAAAACTGAAAAATCAAGAATTAGGGCCATTAATTGTTCACAGACTGATGTCATCCAACTATGATGGTCAAAAACAGACTACCTTTAATCATTACACCCGAAAAGAGTTCCCAAAGTTCCAATATGACCTATCGCCCGAACACCTGTCGATCAAACCAATAGATTACCATACTTAAATATGCTCAAACGAAGTGTCGCTTTCATCATCCATATCTAGATCATCATTCGCATTTAAGAAATCGGTTAGGGTGGGAGAGCCTTTGACAATGGTGGCGCTACCGTCGCTTGCATCGTCATTGGCATTGCCATCCTCCAGTTGCCATTCTGACATGTACTCGACGTTATTTTGGCCAGAATTTGTCGGTACGTCCAGTGAAACTACATCGGTTGCATGGCTTTCTGTGGCCCTGCGTGAAGCCCCTTGGACAGTGCTATCATATTCACTCGAATCGAGCACGGAGAAAGAGCCCACAGAAGAAGCACAGCTGCCTGTATGGATAGCAGGTCCCGGTGCAGAAAACCCACCATTTTCCACAATGGGGATTTCATGATCCATGAAGACTCCACCAGTACCGTCGTCATCACCGTCTGCCCACAGCGGAAGAAACCTGTACTCATGGTCTCTGAGGCAAGTGATAGTGTCTGTCAGATTGTAGCGCATGTCACTGCCTGGAGGAGGCTTCAGCATCTTTTCCGCATAGCTGTAGACATATCCTCGGGCCTGTGCAAGGAATTCCAGCAGAATAAATTTGCCGTCATTGAAGTCAATATCGCTCGCGAATCGTGCAGGTGTACTCAAGCTCGTCTGCTGCTGGACCGGGTCTTCTAATACGTCTTCTACTTTCACGGGGAACGTATCTGGGATGATTGGGTCATTGTTCTCGATGTTTTTAGCTGCATGGCCATCTGAGAAATCCTTCAGCGCTTCAACAATGGTCATCGTTTCGACTTGGTTACTGTTGTTGGTCTCATTGCTCGTCGAATAATTTCCATATTCAAGGTTATCCGTTGAAGTGCCGGCTTCATTTGCTGTCGCAACATGACTGCCCAATGCTTCAACTGTCCCAATATTCTGAGATTGGTTAAATTTAGGCCTCAAGGGTAACTGGTGCTCAAATCCTTGAGAAGGAACATTCGAGGACATGGATGGTGGCTGTGGCTCTGGAAGACTATTATTGAACATGCACACTTTCACCTCGAGCTCTGGTCGCTTCACCAACCGAATTGCTGCGTCTTTTTGCGCCTTAAAAGCCGGCAGGTAATCGGCAAGTTCGGAAATAGCAGAAGGACCATCATTCGAGAAGCAGAGAGGCTCATGCTGGCCAAAACGCTCCGTCTGAAGCTCTTTCCAAAATGTTCTGGACATCAGCCGTTCAGCATATTTCATTTGCCAATAAGCATGCATATAGTGGCCCGAGGGGTAACCCTGGTCGCATCTTGTGCGGTAGGATTCATGCAGCCATGTTGACTTCCCTCTCTGCAGTGCAGAGTAGAGAAACCCTCGAATGAAATCTTTGATGCAGGATTTGAGACGTTCGCTGGAGAGATTTGACACCGCGAGAAGCTTCTTGTACTCGCTCAATTTATCTAGCCACGGCGTGTCGGTTCCTGCGAGATAGACAAAACGACCCACGACATAATCCGCGAAGCTTCGTCCTGCATATTCAATGCGCTGGACTTCGGTATCATTCAATGATTCACGGACTCGACCATGAAAAGTGATCGAAGGTCTCTTCACGCTAGCTGGCTTATTAGAGTTGGCCAGGAGAAGCAACGCTTCTTCACCAACTAGGATTGCAAATATATCTCGGCATAGTGTGTTGCACTGGATCGCACATGCAATTCGATAAGTAACTTCTGGGTTGATTTCTCCAAACCAAGCATTATCCGTTTCAGAGAGCCAGGACAACATGTGACCGCCTATTCTAGGCACTGTAGCGACATCAAAAAGCCAGGCGAGTGCAAAGAAGGTCCACATCTTACACGGAGTATCCAGTTGGGCGGGGAAGCCTTCCAAAGCACGCAGTACCTGCACAATGCCGACACGATGACGGTGAGCCGAGTACTCAACGGGAAGAGCCTCTCTCTCCATATCACCGCTGCCATACCCCGGCTGTTCCTCCATCTCATCCTCGCCTCCAATACAAGGTAAAGAGAGTCCCCATTGTTTCTTGGTCAAATCCCACGTCCTCACACCCAAAGGGCATGATAACTCCGTAATGAATATGACAGCATCATCCTCCACTGAAGGGGGAGTCAAATCCAAGACATATTTGATTCCGTTGTAGAACGGTCCCGTCAGCCCACGTCGCTTGGTAGTACGAGACTGGTTTCTGGGCTGGAAAAGCTTGGTGAAAAACGGCGAGCCAGTCTCCAAGAGTTTCTCGCTATGCACACGATGGGGGACCGAGGTTGGTGGAAATTCCAACTGCGACCGGGGTACAACAGGATCAATGTAGACCATCGTATCCGCGTCTCTCGTAAGCAGATATGACAAAGAGGGGCATATTGCAGTGGCACCAGAGGGCCGAGGCTGGGGGACTTCTGGCATAGTATTGTCCATTATTCGCTGTTGAGTAGCCAATTTTTGCAGGTGAATCATTTCCGTCCGCATCGCCTCTTGAGACGTTGAATGCATGGCCGACTGGGTCTGGGAAGTGGTGTCCATCGTGGGATGTAAGCTGCTTGTCCCCTCGCTCCCTTGCTGCGGAGAAACCGCAGACTGGCCTTCTGGTTCCATAGGGAAATACTGCTCGTATCCCAGGTATTCCAAGGACCCAGAGGGCATGGCTCAGAGTAGGGAAGAAGAAGAGAAAATCTGGAGGTGGTGATGGGGGTCATGAGGGGGAAGAAGAGCCTCAGTTTTCACCGATTCCAGGGAGAAGACGAGGCTGAAAGAATGCATTGTTTGCTGTGCGTCCATAGCTGCCTGCATTTCAGCAAATCAGAAAAAAGTACATGCAGAATATTTGCTATTATTTTGGCTATCTTTTCTAGCCTATCGCTTATAAGCTACCTTTGAGAATTAAATCAAGTAGCTACAGGCAAAGGAATTTAGGGCTATATAGATCAGGTACAACCCTATTAATTCTATTTCAAATAAAGTTATGCATTTCACAATATCAAGCTATTATAAAAAACATCATTCTCATGGGTCTATACCCAAATGTTGATTCGATCTGACGTCAGATCAACGAACCAGATCATCTCGACGTCATCTTCATACAGACAGAAAACATTCAAAGGTGTCCATTTTTCAATGTAATTCATTCCATTCGAGATTTTTTTTTTTCGTGGCCAAACATCGTCGCCACCATCTAAAAGACCAATTCTCGTGTATATCGCAAACGAAGAAATATAAGGAACAATGGGCTCTGCTGCACCGGGTGGTAGTCCAGGGGCGCACCAGCATATCAAGTTAGTACTCTCCGGTGGAAAATATCAGGGTCCATCTTTTCATCAATTCAGCGCTGTGCTTTTCAGAAGCTTCGTCTAACGCCATTGTGTGATATATGGACAGATCTCGAAACATTGCCCTCTTCAGCATTTTGGGCGTGATCGGAGGGGCCTGGCTATTATTCCGGGCTCAGGCTCCAAAGCGAAATGCCTACGTTGTTTCCGACGAGGAACGCGCTCTCATGCGAGGCAGCGATGGTAACCAGACAAGCCAGGGAAACAAGACTGCAAGGGCTCCGAGAAGCTTGGAGTGACCGTTTGAGAGGCTTTGAACCCATCTCTTTAGACTCGCGTTGGGGATTTGGATGTGATTGTTCGGTGTAGACTTCTTTTTTCTCTCAATACACCCGGTGATTATGTCTGTTTATGAGAAACAAACTCCTATGTATCATCAGAGAAAATATCGAGAAACTAATCGCAGAAGTGCGCATTTTAAATGTCATAAAAGCCACCCACGTAGAATATACATGATAAGGAACAATGCAAGCAAGAAACATCATTAGTGCAGCGAGGGAAAGAAATAGAAATCTATCGAGAAACTGAAAAGAGACTCGTGAAATCTATGGCGGTTACTTATCATCAAATCATACATCGTCATCCCTTTCATCAGTCTTTCCAGTGGGATCGTCAGACCAGAAACTCTCGCTGCTGGCCTTGCTTTTGCTTTTCCGTGATCCTTGAGATCTATTTTTTGTGTCTTTCTTTTCTGTGCGTTTCTTTTTCTCTCGTCCAACGTCTCGTAGGTCATCGGGTCGGCTTTCGCTTCGACTAGACTCCCCACGTCGGAGATCTTTCACTTCCTTGATCACTTCGCGGAATCCTTCCTCAATGTTGTTCATTCGAGCCAAAACAAGTTTACTGAGCAGGTCTTGATTGTTCGAACTGCCCGGTCGACGAATGCCCCCAGTCGCATACGCCATCTGAGTGGTGAAGCTGGACGGCACGGCACCCAGGAATTCATTAGCGATAGCCTTGTTGTCACCCAAGTCAGAACCCAGGCCGAAGAGAAGAGAAGCCTGGCGGCGGCCTCTAGGCTGGGCGCCTTCCATCATAAGACCGCCCATGTCCGGAACGGACATAGGATTTGATCTGGCTATGGAATTGCGAGCCCGATCGGCATCAACATTGCGTTTCTGCATCGTCCACTGGTCAGCAGATGTGGAGATGGGTGCAGCTCGATCGGGTGTCTCCGCTCTGGGTCTGAGAGGCATAGACGGGGTATCGGTCTCTTCTCCGGGGCTCTCTGCGCGAACCGGGTTGTATAGCATAGTAGCGCCTGAATAGTTCCGCGAATGGAACCTCGGGCGCTGAGGAGGAGTGCTCTTGCGAGATATGATTCTTGCGGTTGACGGACGAGAACTGTAGAATTTTGGTGTCGTTTTACCCCGACTCTCGGATCTTTGCCCTGACTCATCACTATCGGAGTTCTTGCAGACTGAAGGCTTGTCCTCAATCCAATCTTCGTTGTCCTCGCTTGTGAGCTCATCATCACCCTCGCTGTTTGTGTGTCGCGAAAGCTGTCTCTCTCTTGTGGGAGACATGAAGTCTCTCGCACGGCGGGGAATTTCAGACGGGGACATTCCATGGCTGATATGCTCCTCGGGATTAGACGCAACTGAACGGGTTGTTTCTGTAAAGTTTCGTAGACTTCCTGCGAGTCTATTTTTAAAGGGGAATTGCGGTCGCCTTGGCAATCGTTCCAAACGATCTACCTCTTCAGGGTCTTGTTCATCCGGTGGGTGCACGGGGCCAGAACCCATGGCCTGCATCCAATTATTGACAACGTTGCTCTTATCTGGACGAATCTTCTTCCTGGGGTTTCGAGACGAATTGTCCCCGAATGGCCGTCGAAATACCTCGTCCAGCGCACGGTCTTTCTGATAAGTTGCCACCGACGGTTCCCGAACGAGTCGAGGGGCCTTGGAACTGAAAGCTCTGAGGCGACTATGGCGACCAACTCGCCCATGAGGCGAAGTGTCTGAGCGATCTCTTGTTTGGATGAGATCAGTAGGCTCAATCACCTGGGATCCAAGGATAGTCTTCTCATAGAGGCAAATGGTGAACAGGATGGGCAAATGCGTGATTTTGATAATCGTGCGGTTAAGTCTGATAAACTGGCGGAAAGGCATCAAGTATCGGAAGGGCGTGATCAACCAGGCAAGGATATTAGCCGGTGCGATATAAGAAAAAAGCGCGTCTGATTTGACCATTGAAATGGTATTGACGGCGAATAAAAACTGGTGCTCCTCGTTGGCATTTCGTACTATAGCCATAAAGGAGTTGGTGAGAACTGTAATGAGAATGGTCACAACAACAAAATGACATATGAAGAGAAACACGACCAATACAGTCCTTCCCATAGCATTGTATTCCTCCCAAAGTGTCCAAGCAGTTGGGGTAAAGCCCATCAGCATCTGGAACAAGGCGTATGCGGTGGATGCGGGCGAATGATCTATGCTATGACCGAACGATAAGGTGAAAGCGACGAAAAAGCCACTACAAGCAACGATGATCAAAAGAAAAATGGCTATTAGGTCAGATGCCATTATTCGGAATGCGATAAGGAGCTGCGAAAAATAGCGATAATGGTCTAGGATCGAGAAAAGACGAGGGAATAGCAGAACCGCGTTTGCCGCCAGAATATCATAGGCGTGATTTGCGATTTCTTGATTGCGAGGGTACGGAATCACGGCGCCATAGAGTCGCATGCAATAGTAGCAAAAGAGTAGCATGAGGATGCCCAGGTCAAACAGGTTCCAGAAGCTCATGAGGTAAAGACTAAACCCTTGTTCGTTGAAACCAACAAGCTCATCAAGCAAGAAACCTGCACTCCACAGCCAGAAAACAATCTCTAGGGAGGTAATGTCCTGTCGTCGCTGTGCCAGAACAGCGACAAACAGCCCCAATAGTACTGCGAATGAGAGAGTCGATAGAAACTGACGGTATCGAGGCACCCTCAGTCTGGAAAGCTTAAATAGGGAGGCATCTCTCGGATCGTATAAAGTCACTGAACGTCGTAGGGATGCGGTTCTTTGCTCAGGCACTCTGGGTAGGGCGTTGTTACTGTAGCGATTGATTTGGTTATTCCCCGAAGATGTGCCATATGTAGGTCCACCATCGTAGCGGGCTTTATTCGGCGAACGATGAAGATGATCAGCGGCAGAATGAAAGACAATGGTACCGGCCCATATTGCTTCCAGCTGCTGCACGACTACAGGATGAGCAAGGAAACGCTTAGCTTGCGCGCGAATAGCTACCTCGAGGCAGGAGATGCGCGCAGCTCCAGCCAACCGCTTGCTTCGTTGGTCAGAACTCCAGCCCGGGGTCCGTTGAGTCGTCTCAGTTGCGGGCAAAGTTTGTCCTTGAAGAGGATAGAATTCGTAAGATAGAGCGTCGATGAGCTCTCTGGTTGTATACTCCCTCAGTAGCTTGATGGCGAGAAGCTCACACACCATGGCCCTTGTCTGGTTGGCCCCGCTGTTTCCTGGATTACTATGAATCTCTTTGGTGAACTGGAGGCAATTGGTAATCAGGGCGTATAATGTGGCCCGAGAGAGGTGCGAAGTCATGATTTTCTGTTGAATTGGCTTCACCAAGAATTGGGATATCTGGGGCGAGCGCAGTTGGTCCCAAGACAGCGTTGTCTCACAGCGGGAAGCGATCAATGGACGAATGGCATGGGTTATATCGTAAACCGGAAGAGCATCTACATAATGACAGAACAATTTGGGTTAGTCGATCTTGTTTGGAGCATTCTTTGCGGCCATGTGGAAAGGATCATCCATACCAAGCTGAGAGGCGGAGAAGATGGGGAGCAGAGGAGTCAATTCATCGCGGCCATCCTCTTCCTCATCAATATCTTCATCCACATCTTCTGCATCCTCGAACCCTTCTTCATCGGCACTTCCCTCGCTGTTGTTTATCTTGTCAAACCCTGCCCTGGGCCCATTGCGTCGAGGTTCGTCCCGATAGAACGGGGTTTCCTGTCGAACTGTGTACGGGGAGGAAAAAGGAGATCTTTCTGCATAAATTCGACGTTTCTTTGGTCGCAAGAGCGAGGCGAGCATGATGGGAGGCCGTAAAACCTCAAATCAACTAGCGATGGCAAATTGGTCAATACATCCCCAGTGGCGAAGGAAGCGAAGGGCGATAACGACGCGTCGTGGTGAATAAGGACAAACAAAGGAAAAAAAAGGGCAACTGCGGTACCACGATGGTAGTATTTAATATCCCACAGAGGATTCGTGTGATCAAGAAAAAACAGGAAGAAAAATAAAAAGTCTGTTCCCCAGATGATCGAATGGTAGCTAGGGGGCGACTATTTGCTGGGATAATTCTCGCAGCTCACATGCGCCCGGGAGATTTGGTGGAGGGGACGATCAGCGGGAGTCTGGATGCATAGACTGCATCCTGTAGGAGATTTCCTGGCAATCTGCTAAAATAAATAAGTGTTAGTGCTAAACCACTAGATCAGCCTTGGAAACAGTAATTAATTACTACATATTATTACTTTTCTTACTCCAATTCTCCAACCGAGGGAGCTTGAGACACAAGCTGGAGATTGTATACATAGCGCCACCCCACCTGCCTGCCCGATAAGAGGATCTGGTGATCAGGTCTTTATCATTGTTCAGATTTCCTCGAAGGAGAGCAGGATTGATGGTATGTACTGATTTTTAGGATCACTCCCTAGTCTATTTTATCCCAGCCAGACAACATGATCAAAGATGAGCAGTGCCAGGATATGAGCCTGTCATGAGCCGTCCAAGCTACGGAGTACAGACAAGGATTGTAGCTACATATGAGAGGGCTTTGAGCTACCCATGCTAGTTCCTCCTACATTCTTGGCCACAGCCTGTTGGATGTAGGGGATTTGCGCTTATTGGAGAATCTTCAGTCAGATGCTCTACGTGAAGAACCTACATACACATAAGTTCCCCTCCTGCTGTCTCGATTTGAGCCGTGCTAGCTTTTAGGTCTATTCTATAATTGATGTCAAATTTCAAGGAAAAAATAAATCTTCTTTAATGGTAGTTCCCTCATGCTACGGAGTACGGAGATATATTTATTTAGCTGAGGCATGTGGAGTAGTACAAGAAGAGGTCGATGATACTACAGGATAACATAACGCTTTTCAAATGCATCATATAAATACCAGTCAGAAATGATATTAATTGCAGATTATTGAATATCTCCATATTGCTCCATATTTAGACTGCCAAAACATCTCTCGCCTCGTACCTATTCTTGTTCTATGGATGCGTCCGAGTGCTCAATGCTCAATGCTCACCGCCTACGGAAACGAACCATTTAAGCCCTGTTCGCAGAGTGGCGAGACGTTTTGAGCGTTGTGTGTGCGAGGGGCTTAAATCCCACACCAGTTCTTCTCCTTGCATCCTTTCTGCAATTTGATCGAATATATGCATGTGGGGTATGTAGACATAGTATTATATTAAATGATAGATAGTCAAACAATCAACCACTATGTTTCAATTCAGGACAATCGACTCAGCCAAACACAATTGCTTTTTTTTAAGATGAGGGGAAAAAAATTTCTTCTAAGCGGTGTGCGGCGGCAGAATGACATCGAATCCCCGGATCGGTGAGCCCCCCCGGCCAATCAGAGAGCTGCGCCAGCCCGCCGTCCGCAGAATTTGATTCTGCCAACCGGGTCCATCTTTTCTTTTTTGCAAAAATTCTCTCCTCCCTCTTCTCTATATTCTCCTCTTCCTCCCCGTGCTGAAGCAGCAAACAGACTCCTCCCTAAACCCTCCTTCCCCTCCTCATCTTTCAACAATTAGTCTTGGAGGCTGCTGATGCTACGGTAGAGTGATTATCTTTTCATATTGTCCCCGAGAGGACCTCCCCCTCCCCCACAGTTGTCGCTATGCCACAGGCCGGTACTCACGACGAAGCTGCGCTCCCCACCAGCCCTTTGGCTGGAGGGGCTGTGTCTTACAGCCAGCTTAACAAGGAATCGCAATCAGTTCCTTCAATTGAATCCAACAATGGCGCCGTGATCGCCCCTGCTTCGCCCCGCGTTCGAGGTAGCAGCGGGAAGCTGTTTGCTCTTGAGCTCGAGGATGGCACAGTCTACCAAGGCTACAGCTTTGGTGCTGAAAAGAGCGTGGCAGGAGAACTGGTCTTCCAGACCGGTATGGTTGGTTACCCCGAGTCGGTCACTGACCCCTCCTACCGTGGTCAGATCCTCGTTGTCACCTTCCCCTTGGTTGGCAACTATGGTGTGCCCTCGCGGGAGACCATGGATGAGCTTTTGAAGACACTCCCCAAGTACTTCGAATCTACTCAAATTCACATTGCGGCTCTGGTCGTTGCCACATATGCGGGAGAGGACTACTCTCACTTCCTTGCCGAGTCGTCATTGGGCCAATGGCTTAAGGAACAAGGCGTCCCGGCCATGCACGGTGTTGACACCCGTGCCTTGACCAAGCGTATCCGTGAAAAGGGTAGCATGCTGGGCCGTATGCTTCTCCAGAGCCCTGAAGTCGCCGAGGGCAAAGATGCCATCGTTGAGGACGGCTGGAGGTCGTCCTTCGAGGAGATCGACTGGGTTGACCCCAACACAAAGAACCTTGTGAGCGAAGGTAAGTTTTACAAATCCATAGCTGTTAGATTTAACGTGGGTGCTGACTGGAGCTTGTACAGTCTCAATTCGTGAACCCCGTCTCTTTTCGCCCCCCGAGAATGTTGCACTCAAACACCCATCTGGCCGTCCAGTCCGTGTTCTTTGCTTGGACGTTGGTTTGAAGTTCAACCAACTGCGCTGCCTTCTTGCCCGTGGAGTCGAGGTCCTTGTCGTGCCTTGGGACTATGATTTCCCCACTCTGGCAAAGGACTACGATGGTCTGTTTGTGTCGAACGGTCCCGGTGATCCTTCCACGCTTTCTATCACTGCCGAGAACCTGTCCAAGACTCTCAAGGAGGGCAAGACTCCTGTTTTCGGTATCTGTTTGGGTCATCAATTGATTGCTCGCTCTGCTGGAGCCCAGACTTCGAAGATGAAGTTTGGTAACCGTGGCCACAACATTCCCTGCACAAGCATGATCTCGGGCAAATGCCACATCACTTCCCAGAACCACGGTTATGCCGTGGATGCCACAAGCCTTCCCGAAGGCTGGGAGGAGCTGTTCGTGAACGCAAACGACGGCAGCAATGAGGGTATTCGACATGTCAGCCGCCCTTACTTCAGTGTTCAGTTCCATCCCGAGAGCACACCCGGTCCCCGAGACACCGAGTACTTGTTTGATGTGTTTATCAACTCTATTCAGGAGACTATTGCCTCTTCTGATGCTCTCAGCAAGCCTGTCACCTTCCCTGGTGGCACCAAGGAAGAGAATGTGAAGAAGGCACCTCGCGTTCACGCCAAGAAGGTCCTGGTCCTTGGTAGCGGTGGTCTTAGCATTGGACAGGCAGGAGAATTCGACTACTCGGGAAGTCAGGCCATCAAGGCCCTGAAGGAAGAAGGAATCTACACTATCCTGATCAACCCCAACATTGCCACCATTCAGACTTCCAAGGGATTGGCGGACAAGGTGTACTTCCTTCCTGTCAACGCCGACTTTGTGCGCAAGGTCATCAAGCACGAGCGACCTGATGCGATTTACGTCACCTTTGGTGGTCAGACTGCCCTTCAGGTCGGTATCCAACTCAAGGATGAATTCGAGTCTCTCGGCGTCAAGGTTCTCGGTACCCCTATTGACACCATCATCACAACCGAAGACCGTGAGCTGTTCGCTCGCAGCATGGACTCCATCAACGAGAAGTGTGCCAAGTCTGCATCCGCGTCGACCCTTGAGGAGGCCCTTCAAGTAGTTGAGGCGATCAAATTCCCCGTCATTGTTCGTGCAGCCTATGCACTTGGTGGTCTCGGCAGTGGTTTTGCCGATAACATGGAGGAGCTCAAGGAACTCTGCACAAAGGCCCTGGCTGTTAGCCCTCAGATTCTGATCGAGAAGAGTATGAAGGGCTGGAAGGAGATTGAGTATGAGGTTGTCCGTGATGCTCAGGATAACTGTATCACTGTTTGCAACATGGAAAACTTTGACCCTCTGGGTATTCACACCGGTGACTCCATTGTCGTCGCACCCTCGCAAACTCTCTCCGATGAAGACTACAACATGCTGCGTACTACTGCGGTCAATGTCATTCGCCACCTCGGTGTTGTTGGTGAATGTAACATCCAATATGCCTTGAACCCGTTCTCGAAGGAGTACTGCATCATTGAAGTCAACGCTCGTCTGTCCAGATCATCTGCTCTTGCTTCCAAGGCCACTGGATACCCTCTTGCCTTCATCGCCGCCAAGCTTGGTCTGGGCATTCCTCTCAATGAGATCAAGAACTCTGTCACAAAGGTCACCTGTGCATGCTTCGAACCCTCCCTTGACTACTGTGTGGTCAAGATCCCCCGATGGGATCTGAAGAAATTCACCCGTGTTTCCACCCAGCTTGGCTCTTCCATGAAAAGTGTAGGTGAGGTCATGAGCATTGGAAGAACCTTCCAAGAAGCTATCCAGAAAGCCATTCGATCGGTGGACTTCCACAATTTTGGTTTCAATGAGACCAATGCTCTCATGTCCATCAAGGGAGAGCTTCAGACCCCCTCTGACCAGCGTCTGTTTGCCATCGCGAACGCTATGGCTGCTGGCTACAGCGTTGACGATATCTGGAAGCTTACCCAGATTGACAAGTGGTTCTTGAGCAGACTCAAGGGTCTGAGTGACTTTGGAAAGCAAATGACCACCTACAACGCGACCACCGTGCCCATGCCGCTCATTAGAGAGGCCAAGCAGCTCGGTTTCTCCGATCGCCAACTTGCCAAGTTCCTGAGCTCCAATGAACTCGCAGTCAGGCGCATGCGTGTTGAGGCGGGCATCTTCCCCATTGTCAAGCAGATCGATACAGTTGCTGCCGAATTCCCCTCAGTGACCAACTACCTGTATCTGACTTACAATGCCACTCAGCATGACGTGCACTTTGAGGACCATGGTATCATGGTGCTGGGATCTGGTGTCTACAGAATCGGTTCCTCCGTCGAGTTTGATTGGTGCTCTGTCCGGACCATTCGTACCTTGCGTGAGCAGGGCCACAAGACTGTCATGGTTAACTACAACCCAGAAACTGTCTCTACTGACTATGATGAGGCTGATCGCTTGTACTTCGAGAACATCAACCTCGAAACTGTTCTGGACATCTACCAGCTCGAGTCTTCCAGCGGTGTGATCATGTCCATGGGTGGTCAAACACCTAACAACATTGCTTTGCCCCTCCACCGCCTCAATGTCAACATCCTTGGTACATCTCCTGAGATGATTGATGGTGCTGAGAACCGCTACAAGTTCTCTCGTATGCTTGACCGCATTGACGTTGACCAGCCCGCTTGGAAGGAGCTCACTAGCATTGAAGAAGCCACTGAGTTCTGCGACAAGGTTGGCTACCCAGTGCTTGTCCGACCTTCGTATGTTCTCTCGGGTGCTGCCATGAACACGGTCTACTCCGAGCATGACCTTGCCAGCTACCTCAACCAGGCTGCTGATGTTTCCCGCGAGCACCCTGTTGTCATCACCAAGTACATTGAGAATGCCAAGGAAATCGAGATGGACGCTGTTGCCCGCAACGGTGTTATGGTTGGTCATTTCATCTCTGAGCACGTTGAGAATGCCGGTGTGCACTCTGGTGATGCTACCTTGATCTTGCCCCCGCAGGATTTGGACCCTGAAACCGTACGACGCATTGTCGAGGCCACTAGAAAGATCGGAAATGCTCTGAACGTGACTGGTCCTTACAACATTCAATTCATTGCCAAGGACAACGATATCAAGGTCATTGAGTGCAACGTTAGAGCATCTCGTTCTTTCCCGTTCGTGTCTAAGGTCATGGGTGTCGATCTTATCGAGATGGCAACCAAGGCAATGATCGGAGCTCCTTTCGCTGAATACCCGCCTGTGTCTGTCCCCAAGGACTACGTTGGTGTGAAGGTTCCCCAGTTCTCCTTCTCTCGACTTTCTGGAGCAGACCCCGTTCTTGGTGTTGAGATGGCTTCGACAGGAGAGGTTGCTTCCTTCGGTCGTGACAAGTACGAAGCTTACCTCAAGGCTCTCCTGTCCACTGGTTTCCGCTTGCCCAAGCGCAACATCCTGTTCTCCATCGGTTCGTACAAGGAGAAGCTTGAGATGTTGCCTTCCATCCAGAAGCTGCACCAGATTGGGTACAACCTCTTCGCTACTGCTGGTACTGCCGACTTCTTGAAGGAGAACGGCGTTCCAGTCAAGTACTTGGAAGCTCTCGTGGGCAATGATGAGGACATCAAGTCCGAGTACTCGCTCACACAGCATCTGGCGAACAACTTGATCGATCTTTACATCAACCTTCCATCCAGCAACCGATTCAGACGCCCTGCCAACTATATGAGTAAGGGTTACCGCACTCGTCGTATGGCTGTGGACTACCAGACTCCTCTGGTTACCAACGTCAAGAATGCGAAGATCTTGATTGAAGCCATTGCCCGCCACTATGATCTGAATGTGCAGACCATTGACTACCAGACAAGCCACCGCACCATTGTTCTGCCTGGATTGATCAACATTGCTGCTTTCGTGCCCGATCTCGTCAACTCCAGCTCCAAGGATTTCGAGCTTGTGACCAAGGCCTCCATCGCCGCCGGTTTCAGCATGGTTCGTGTCATGCCCGTCGGTGTTGACAGCTCTGTCACCGATGCGCGCGGCCTAAAGGTTGTGCAGCAGAATGCTCAGAAGGCTTCTTACTGTGACTTCAACTTCTCCGTTGTGGCTACCTCAGACAACTCGGAGCAGGTTGGCCAAGTGACCGGTGATGTGGGATCATTGTTTGTCCCCTTCAACCACCTGTCTGGAAACATCGGCAAGGTTGCTGCTGTTACCAACCACTTCACCGCATGGCCCTCGAGCAAGCCCATGATCACTGACGCTAAGTCCACCGATCTCGCCTCGATCTTGCTGCTGGCAAGCCTCCACAGCCGTAACATCCACGTTATGAGTGTGACTTCCAAGGAAGACATCAACCTTATTGCACTCAGCAAGGAGAGAGGCCTGAAGGTGACTTGCGACGTTTCGATCTTCTGCCTCTTCCTTTCCAGAGATGACTTCCCCGAGTGCAACTCCTTGCCCTCGGCTGAAGACCAGAAGGCCCTGTGGGATCACCTGAGCACCATCGATGTCTTCTCGATTGGCAGCATCCCATTCCAGTTGGCTGGCAAGCAGGCATCTCCCACCGTTGGTATCGCTGAGTCGCTTCCGTTGCTGTTCACTGCTGTTTCAGAGGGTCGCCTTACCGTTGAGGACATTGTTGCACGCCTCTACGAGAACCCCAAGAAGATCTTCGAGCTGCATGACCAGGCGGACAGCTCGGTTGAGATTGAGGTTGACCGCCCGTACCTGTACCAGAGCTCTCAGGGCTGGTCTCCCTTCAACGGCAAGAACATGAAGGGTTCTATCCAGCGCGTTACCTTCCAGGGAAAGACCTCTTGCCTCGATGGCGAAGTAACCTCTGACGCTGTCAAGGGTGTTGACATGTCTGGCCACAGAATTGTTCCCGCGTCTCCTTCCGTCAAGGCCATGTCGCCCTTGGTCCAGCCCCGACCTGAGGGTTCCATTGACAGACGTCTGTCAATCTCGGGAACTCCTGCTCGTCCTCTGCGAGTTAAGCCTACCGACCAAACTGAGCTTGGTCCTCCTTTGTACGCTCCTATCTCTCAGGCTTCGCCATTGCTTGACATGCTCTCTCGGTCTCCTTTCAGACAAAAGCATGTGCTTTCCGTCAACCAGTTCACCCGCGCGGACCTGCACTTGCTCTTCACTGTGGCCCAGGAGATGCGTCTTGGTGTCCAGCGCCAGGGTGTGCTTGATGTTTTGAAGGGCCGTGTCCTGTGCACGCTCTTCTACGAGCCGTCCACCAGAACCTCTGCCTCGTTTGACGCTGCCATGCAGCGCCTTGGAGGACGCACCGTGATCATCTCGACGGAACACTCTTCTACCAAGAAGGGAGAGACCTTGCAGGACACTCTTCGCACTCTCGCCTGCTACGGAGATGCCGTTGTTCTGCGACACCCTGAAGCCAGCAGTGCCCAGACTGCCGCCAAGTTCTCCCCCGTCCCCGTTCTCAACGGTGGTAACGGTAGTGTTGAGCACCCCACGCAGGCCTTCCTTGACCTCTTCACTATCCGTGAGGAGCTTGGAACTGTTACCGGCTTGACCATCACCTTCACTGGTGACTTGAGATACGGACGCACTGTGCACTCTCTTATCAAGCTGCTCCAGTTCTACGATGTCCGCATCCAGCTTGTTGCGCCTAAGGACTTGTCTCTGCCTGAGGATGTCCGTCAGCAGATCATTGCTTCCGGGCAGCTTGTGAGCGAGTCGGAAGAGCTGACTCCCGAGATTGTCGCCCGCTCCGATGTTTTGTACTCGACCCGTGTGCAGAAGGAGCGTTTCGCCGACCTCGAGCAGTACGAGCGCCTCAAGAACAGCTTCGTCATCAACAACGCTCTTCTAAAGCACGCCAAGAGCCACATGATCGTGATGCACCCGCTGCCCCGTAACGCGGAGATTGCGGAGGAGGTTGACTTTGACCAGCGGGCGGCCTATTTCAGACAGGTACGTTTGAACGAGTTGGATTTGGAAGAGTATATGCTGACTTTTACCCTACAGATGAGATATGGTCTTTACTGCCGCATGGCTCTGCTTGCCTTGGTTATGGCGCCGTAAAGTCCTTTCTGGCTATGAATAATCTGCCTTATATATGGAACTAGGTTTCCTTGAAAAGCTCGATGGATCCTAGTGGTGTTTTTGTGTTTGGTTTTCTTCTTGCATTTTGGCATTTGTTTTCCTTGCACATTTTCGAGTTGTGTCTCCAAAAGTTATGCCAGTTCATGTCACTACATATACCTCGTAAGCTACTCGTGAGGGAATTGAATTAGAACACCCACGTGCTAGATTAGATGAATTTCGTTTCATGAACTTGATGATCCCGTTATGTGTTATGTATGGTGTATGTGGTGTGTGTTGTGTGTATCGTGTGTGATACGTTATGTGTGTTGTGTGTCGTGTGTTGCGTTTCGTGCGTTTTTTGTTTCTGTTTTCTGTTTCGTGTTTTTCTTTTATTTCTTTTCTTTTCTTTTCTTTTGATTTCATTTTTTGTCTTTTGATTCCCCTCTGGCATGGTTTGGATGGATATTTGGATTGGATTGGATTGGATTTGGATTTTGATCGGCGTCTTTGGATTTGGATACTCGGTGGGAATATGGGAAAATATGGGAAATACCCGGGATATTTGGATGGGAACAAACAACATTACGAACATAATGAAATCTATATTATTTCATATCAAAAATTATCAGGTGTTATGGGTTGTAAATATTTAGAATAGTCACTTTGGTATAAAACGCAGTATAGGTGAAGTGCAGTTCAATCCGCCGTACTTGATGTCGATATAGTCTATCCCATACCCCGTATAGTACCCCGTATATTCTATTCTATATTCTATAATTGATATCATATCAGAAGCACTATTATATTGATAATTTAGTTTGAAGAATTATAAAGTAGCTTTCAATGTACCGAAGACTATCACTTCATTTTGCAGCAGATGGCGTGATTCGAACCTTTCTCTACGAAGGCTTATTCTGTCTATCCATAATCAAACCATTCTAGAATCACGAGTATGGCCTGCAATGAATGATCTATCATCTTCTCTCCTCCATCTCGTATTCATCTCATTTTATAACGGCGCTCTTGCCGCTCATTAATTTCCAACTCACTGCTATCAATGCATGACTTCAACATGCTAACTTGCTTTCCTCTGGATGATCTTCTGCTGGTTCCACTCCTCCATCTCGCCATCATGGGCCCCGAATTGCTCATCTCCCCCCACCCCCTCAACAGGCAATCTGACTCGCACCGACAACCAAAATGCCTCTGATTCGTTGCTCCCCAATCCAGGAAATAAAGACATGTTCCTGGGATGATGCACGATCGACTGTGCACAGCTGCACGGGCCTGTCATTTCTGGCTGTCTCCATCGCGTGAAACACATGGCGGATGGTGTGCTGCCGTCTGCATGGCTAATAATGGCACCAGCGGATATTATTTTATTCCTTGTATTTCCTCTGAGTCTGGCGTGGGCTTCTAGAACTGTCACTGTTACTGTTATCATCACTTTTCTTTCTTTCTTTCTTTCTTTTTTTTTTGATATCATGGCTGAGACGGAAAAGAAGGACTTGAAGGTGACTCCGGCCGATGCAACTGGCGCCAGCAGCCTTGCAGAGGAGAATGTAGGCATTAACGAGAAGAAACTGCTGCGAAAGCTGGATTATCGATTGCTGCCACCGTTGACGATTTTATATCTGCTGTCGTTTCTGGATCGTAGCAATGGTACTGTCGCTTTTATTTCAGATCTTCCATCTTCGATACTGACTTTTTCTAGTTGGAAATGCACGTCTTGAAGGCATGGCGACCGATATCAACATGAGTATGCAGCGTCCTTGCATTAACTACAGAAACATGCTGATAATTCTGTAGCTGGCGATCAGTATCTCACCGGTCTGACTCTCTACTTTATCGGTTATGTTGTATTCGAAGTGCCCTGCAATATTGTGCTCAAAAAGACGACGCCGCGCATTTGGCTGCCGACCCTCACTCTTGTCTGGGGAATTGTCGCAACACTTCTTGGTGTTGTTCAGAATTATGCCGGTTATCTCACATCGCGAACAGGTAATATCATGTCCTTTTGCTTGAGATCTAGGCTTATATGATTGCAGCGTTGGGTATTGCGGAAAGTGGTCTATTTCCTGGCGTCGTCTTCTACCTCTCCATGTGGTATAAACGGAATGAGCAACATTATCGCGTGGCTCTGTTCTTTAGTGCTGCGTCGCTGGCTGGTGCTTTTGGTGGAATTCTCGCTTGGGTTTGTGAATCGAGCATGATAGAGGGAATTGATTGCTGACAGTTATAGGGAATTGCGCATATGAAAGGCGTCGGTGGCTACAATGGCTGGCGATGGATTTTCATCCTGGTATGTCTGATGGAGATGTTTAATATTGAAGCCAAGCTGAACAGATACAGGAAGGTCTATTGACCGTCATCATGTCTTGCATCGCATACTTCTGGGTATACAACTATCCAGCGACAGCAGAGTTTCTGTCCGAAGAGGAACGAGCTTTTATTCAATTCCGGCTGAAGAGCGATAATGATTCGACTCGTGATGAAGAGTTCTCCTGGTCTGCTGTGCAGGATGCATTCAAAGATCCAAAGGTCTGGTTATACGGACTGGGATTCCATACAATGTCTCTGCCACTGTATACTCTTTCACTGTTCTTGGTGAGCATCCATCCTACGTACCAGCGAACAACCATCTAATAAGAAAAGCCCTCCATCATCTCTCAACTCGGATACACAGCTGCTCAAGCACAGCTACTCACCGTCCCTCCCTACGCCGTGGCATTCGTGCTAACCATCACCGTGGCCGTCTTCTCCGAACGAACCCATCTTCGCGCCCCCTTCATCATGGGCTCATCCGCCCTAGGATGCATCGGATACATCCTCCTCCTCGCCCAAAAACGACCAGGCGTATCCTACCTAGGCACCTTCTTCGCCGCCGCGGGCATCTACCCCGCCGTGGCCATCGTGCTCTCCTGGCCCGCCAACAACGTCTCCGGCCAGACAAAACGCTGCATCGCCAACGCCATGCAAATCTCCATTGGCAACCTAGGCGCCGTCCTAGGAACACAACTCTACCGAACCGAAACAGCCCCGCGATACTACCTCGGCCATAGCTTCGCACTAGGCTATCTCGTGGCGAACATCATCGTCGTCGCTATTCTCTGGCAGGTTCTGAAACGGGAGAATGCAGAAAAGGAGCGCGAGAGGGAGAGTCAAGGGTTGAGTGCGTTTATGGGAGATTTTGGGGATGCAGAAGGGGAGTTTTTGGGCGATAAGGATCCGAGGTGGATTTTCCAGACTTAGCGGGTTGTAAATATTTGGATATGAGCGAGTTATGAGTAAATGAATGGTTAATATATTAATTGTGATGGTGGCAGTCTAGTGGATTTGGCGTCACACGTGGAGAATCTGGTGGTGAGGAGCAACCCATCATCATATTATATAAGACTACTTCTTCATCTTCATTATCAATAATCCGCGCTTCTGCAAAATGCATCAAATACTCCCCATCTTCTGGTTGAGTCTATTCTCAACCATCCACGCCAATAAATTCAACATCCTGCACCACCTCGGCGCCAACTCCCCCTGGTTCGCAGGTACATATGTAATTTCCCCTCATCCGTAAACACTCAAGATAACCAAAAAAGGACCAAACATCAACAACATCCCACCCACCATCCCCGATGAATGCACCGTCGACCAAGCCATCTACATTGTCCGCCATGGAAGTCGATATCCCGACCCGGGTGCCTCTGAAGAATGGGAGGATCTTTACAAGCTGGCAAGTGCCTGTTTTCTACTGGTAATTGAATGCTAACCTGACTAGTTCCAATCATCGACATACAATGCATCAGGGTCGTTGAGCTTTCTTCCATCGTGGAGGCCGGTATTAAGGTATCCGGATGAAGAGATTGGGCAGGTTTCTCTTACGGGGTATAAAGAGTTGTGAGTATCATATCTATCTTGAAATGAAGTGAAGAACTGACAATGCAGATATAACCTCGGCGTTGACCTTCGATTCCGATATCCAACGTTCTACCGAGGTAACTCGCCTTTTCTCCTCTGGGCGAATAATTATCCTCGCACGATTGATTCAGCCAGGTGATCCCATCTCACCATCTCATATAAAACACATCTACTAAGGGTGCCAGACTCCTCGCCCTTGGCTACACAGGCCCAAACACCACCCTCAGCACAATCTACACCATCAACTCCACAGCCCCAGCCTCAAAATCCAACTCCCTCGCCCCCTCAGACCAATGTCCCAATTTCTCCGACTCAAGCGGCGGCGACCACACCTCCACCTGGGACGACATCTATCTCCCGCCAATAACGCAGCGACTGAACGAGTTGATTTCCGGCGGGAATCTAACACTCACGGATGCGCAGGTTGCACTATTCCCGTATTTGTGTGCTTTTGAGACGCAGATTACGGGGAGAAGGAGTCCGTGGTGTGAGGTTTTTACGGAAGACGAGGTGAGGCAGTACGAGTATCGGCAGGATTTGAGGTATTATTATGGGACTGGTTTGTCTATCCATCTCTAATAGACCTAATATGAGATAAACGTTGACATATGATACGTATTAGGCCCCGGGGCAGGAAAAAACATGACAACAATGTTCCCCATCCTGCAAGGCATCGTGAATCTGCTACAAGGAGGACCAACAGCTACAGCCACAGCTAAAGTGGACAACAACAACACGACAACAGAGATACAATTACCACCTCTCATTGTGGCCTTTACACACGATAACCAGATTAACGAACTGGCATCGATTTTGGGGGTTTTTGACAGGCAAGAACCGCTTTCTGCGGATGGGATTGATGAAGAGAGGGCATGTAGCATCCAATTTTATTTTTTGAGGGCTGGCTAATGGCGATGGCTAGGTTTATATCAGTAGTAATATTACGCCCATGCGAGGAACGATAACATTCGAACGGTTGAACTGCGAGGGAAACACGACGAATATTCGATTCTTGCTTAATGATGCTGTGTATCGTGAGTTCCAACCTGACCCACCTACTTACCTACTCTCTTTCGCTAACAATCCAGCTCATCCAACATGCCATTCTGGTCCCGGTGAGAGCTGCCCACTTGAGCAGTACGTTGGATATGTAAAGGAGAAGCAAAAAGTGTATGGATCTTTTGCGTCTGTTTGTGGATTGGCCGAGGATGAAATCTCCACGGCTGGGAGGGATGGAGCGGTTACTTTTTTCCAGGACTTGACGCTTTCTTTTTTGAGGGCTGTGAAACCCTGAAAGTGAAGTTGTTATGTCTAGTTCATCATATTCAAGTATATCATCTATAAAGCCGTTACATCTTCCAGTATCCAACATAAGTCGTACCATACCATCTATATCTATGAATACCCTATTATCAAAGGGGAAAAAACGAATTACGCCTTCCCAGGCCAGTGTTTCAGTACGATGGTCTTCTTGTTGACCTTGCCCATGGCGTTGCGCTCGATACCGTCCACGATCTTGATAATCGTGGGGATCTTGTACGGGGCCATTTCTTGCTTCAGTTCTGTGCGGAGGGTTTGGAGTTCCAGGGGTTCGGTCTGTCATGATTAGTTTGTCTTGTCTTGCTGAAGTATTAGATGGGATACGTACTCCGGGGCGCTGCTTGATCACTGCAGCTACACGCTGTCCCCATTCTTCGTCTGCTAGGCCGACGACGGCAACTTCCTGGATGGCATCCAGACCGAGCATTTTGCGTTCTACCTCCAAAGCTGAGATCTTGTACCCACCTGACTTGATCAGGTCGACAGATGCACGGCCCTGGATGAAATACGCGCCGCTCGCGTCCCGTTTAGCAACATCACCGGTCTTGAACCATTTATCCGCGGTGAACTCTTTAGCCGTAGCCTCTGGACGTCTCCAGTATTCGTAAAAGACATTGTCGCCCTTGATCTCGATCATGCCGTCCTCGTCGATAGATTCAATAACACGGCCCGTTTCTTTATCGGTCAATCGAACCTGCACACCGGGAAGTGGCCAGCCAACGCTTCCGTCGATTCGCTTCTCGACTTCCAATCCACAGCTGAGCGCCATACCGATCTCGGTCATACCGTAGCGCTCCAAGAGAACCTGACCGGTGATTTCGGCGAATTTAGTCTTGATCGGTGTGGGAAGGGCCGCGGAGCCGCTGACAATAAGGCGCAGTGCCTTGGCACCACTGCGAGCGGCAGTTTCGCTTTCTGTGCCGCGGATGTTGGTGTCAAAGTAGTCCACCAGTCGCGAGTAGATGGTCGGGACAGCCATGAACATGGTCGAGGAGCCCTGATCTTGCCATCTCTCCCAGATGACCTTGGGGTCGAATTTGGGATGCATCTCGACGGTGACTCCGCTGAGGAAACTGGCTGTCAGACCGTTGATAATGCCGTGGACGTGGTGCAGGGGCAGAACGTGGATAAGCTGGTCGGAGGAAGTGTACTTCCAGGCCTCAATAAGACAGTCGGCTTGGAAGGTGATGTTCCTGTGTGTTGTGACGCAACCCTTGGGGCTTGAGGTTGTACCGGAGGTGTATATCATCAACGCCCGTTGATCCAGAGGGCAGGACGAACTGAATGTGGGCAATAGAAGGCTTGAGACATTTTCATTTTCGGCAAATGGCTTCAATGCCATAAAGGAAATGTCTTTGGTGATTCCCTCACGGAGGGGTGTCTCGAACTTCTCAAACGATGGGTGTAGGATGATCAACGATGGGTCCGAATCGTCAATGGTGTACAGCAGCTCTTTGGCAGGGTGTGTTGTGCCTATAAAATAAAAAATCGTTAGCTACCTTGCGCATAACGAGCAATTCAAGAATGCATCCGTAGACATACAGAGCGGCACACAGACGCCGCCCGCAGCCCAGACGGCCCATTGCGTGACGACATAATCATATCCATTCGGGGTAAGGAATGCGATGCGTCTTTCTTCCAAATCTGCTGTATCCTCCAAGCCCAATTGCTGAAGAATGACCTCCTTCAACGCGGCCGTATCAGCAAGCAGCTGACGGAAAGTAAACCGCTGCCCTTTGCTGGCATCGATGACTGCGATCTTCTCCGGATTGGACTCGACAAACTTCTTCGCTTGAAGGAACAACGGCAGAGATGGGATTGATGTCGGTTGCGGCTTATCTTCCCTTGCTCTTCAGTTGCGCGACAGATTAGAAATGATCAGGGGGGAGCGATGAGGGGGAGCCAAGCTGAGGGGGAAGCGACCCACTGGAGATTTGCGGGGGATGGCATCACGGCCATGATGTCAACAGATATGAAGCGATTTGAGGTCTTTTTTGATGAGAGGCAGAGGTAATGAGATATCTTGAGAGAGAGGATGGGAGAAAGGGATCATGAGAGCACGCATTCGCAATGCTGACGGATTTTGTTACTCCAATGGAGCACAATTTAGCCGGTGGGGTACGATCGGTGCTTATCGTCATTGGATTTGGATGTTGTACGGTTGGGGCATTGAATGCAGGGTTGTTGATCATACAGTCAGGAATGTAGATGACGCTATTAAAGGGGACTACGACAATGTATACAGTCGATATTGAAGTGTTTTAGTTGTTTACTCTGGATTCTTCCTTTCCATGGTTATTGCCGTGTTTACTTTTCTTGCTCAGGACAAGACTTTTCACCCTGCAAGGGCATACTCCAGAATGAATCAAAAGTTCGAGAACACCCCGAATCCCAAAATAAAATAAAAATCCCAATCAAATCTTCATTCCATCTTAATTGTAGACAGATGATATGGTCACGTGGTACCACGTGCTCAGCCCTATCGGCCTCTTCGGGGTTGAAGCCGAAGCGAAATCGGCGATGTCTCTGGAGGATTCTTCTGGATCACCGGTTTCGACAGTCGAACAATGTTTCTGCGACGTCCTGCGTTATCATCGATACGGTTCCTGCGTCCCTCGCAATCCCTGCGTCGCGCTCGTCATGACGTCTCCGCACCGCCGCCGCTGATTCACATCCAAGACGGAACCTTCTATCAGACATATCCCACCCCGGATGACTCGTCCAACGGTGTCAATCCCCCCATTTTCCCCAATCTGAACTTCGTCCTCCCTTCCGAAAAGTCTACAAGCAGGAGCAAGAAAAATGCAGCGCAGTCATGGGCTGTGATCGGTTCCTCGGGGAAATCTGATTTTCTCGACATCCTCCGCGGCCAATATATCAGCATCCCACCTACGTCTCGCAGCTATCCCTACCTCCTTTCCGATGAAATCACCCAAAAAGACCCAAGCCTGCGCATTGTTAGCAATGCTATTCAGTCTATTGGGTTCAGCGGAGAAGGCTCCGAGGCCATTGGTGGTACACGTGGCGCATATTTGAGTGCTCGTTATGAGAGTCATAGAGAAGAGACGGATTGGACCGTGCGCCAGTACCTCAAGGGCCAAACATCCCTGAACCCTATGGAAGGAGAGGAAGATGGGAAGATTCATGATACTAAGTTACTGAATCAAGTCATTGCCAACCTGAAATTGGAGGAATTACTGGATATGCCCGTAGCGAATCTGAGCAATGGCCAGACAAGACGGGCGCGTATTGCAAAAGCTTTACTCGGAAAGCCTGAGCTTCTGCTCATCGATGACCCTTTCAGTAAGCCTTGCTTCAGTCCTAAAGGAATATCTAATACTGACTAGTCTCAGTGGGATTGGATCCGGCCACCGTCCGAAGCATCTCCAACTTACTCAAATCGCTAGCCGAGAAAAGCGACCCCCGATTGATCCTTGCCTTGCGACCACAAGATACTATCCCAGATTGGATCGGTCACGTTATGATTATTGGCCATTTCAATAAAATCCTTTTCCAGGGCAAACGAGAGGACGCGGACATGGTGATGGAAGTGTGGACTCACCTCTTGAAGGACACAGAATTCTCCAGCGAAAAGGAAAATGCAATCTTTCAACAGGCGAAGAAAGACATGGAAGACGGTTTCATGGACAGACAGTTGCTTTGGGACCTGAACCTGATTACACCCAAGTCAGGCACTCCATACCATACCGCCCTAACTACAGGAGAACCTCTGATCGAAATGGAGGGAGTGCGCGTGCAATATGGCGACAAGGTCGTGCTAGGAGGGTGGAAACAAAACGTGAATCAAGAGGAAAAAGAGGGACTTCACTGGACTGTCCGTCGTGGACAACGTTGGGTTGTTCTTGGAGCCAACGGATCAGGCAAGACCACGCTGCTGTCGCTGATCACGTCCGATCACCCACAAACATATGCCCAACCCATCAAACTGTTTGGCCGATCTCGTCTTCCTGAAGTTGGAAAGCCAGGAATCTCGATCTTCGAGCTTCAATCCCGCATCGGCCACTCATCCCCCGAGATTCATGCCTTCTTCCCCCGCCAACTAACCGTCCGCCAGTCCGTCGAGTCTGCCTTTGCCGACACATTCCTCGCGAAGCCCAAACTGAACCACGAAAAGGACAGCGATGTGGATGCAGTTTTGAGGTTTTTCAAAGCTGAGCTAGACCCCGACGCAGCAGTCAGCACACAGGCGAAACCACCAAAGATTACCGCGGTGGAAAACTTCCCGAAGCTCGCACGCTTCCATAGAAACGGGGCATACGTTCCGCCAGACTATTATGTCGATTACGCCGATTCTGTCAAATTTGGAGACCTTGACGTTGAGAAGCAGCGCCTGGTCCTCTTCATCCGGGCCCTGGTCCACAAACCCGACGTCATCATCCTGGACGAAGCGTTCTCCGGCATGTCCGCCTCCATCCGCGACAAATGCCTCCACTTCCTCGAAGCTGGAGAACATGGTCGACACCGAGTGTCTTCGGTCATGAGACGCACCACCAACAGAGACAGCTGGCTCAAAGGGTTCAAGCAAGACACTTCCAACGCAAACTTCGACGGGCTCACTGAGGACCAAGCTCTTATCATGATCAGCCATGTCAAGGAGGAACTCCCCGACACCGTGCGATTCTGCATGCGTCTCCCATCCGACCCCGGCGATGGAAGCGAACCACTGGACTTCCGCTTGAATATGCTCAAAAGCATCAGCGCCATGTCCAACCCTCTCACCTGGGACATGGCCTGGACGACTCCGTCGGATTACGCGAAACGTAGCAAGCGATTACGGGGGAGGAGTAATAGAGCCCAGGATAACATCGACACCACTTACGAATGGCATTTCCTGTAGGATGGAATGCCTGTCGTTTTAGTGCTTGTGTATATTTTGTAAAATTTTGGGGGAGCTAGAAGCTTTTGATATTAGCGAATTTACCCGTACAGTTCCTTGGAATACCACCCAACCAATCGCCAAACCGTTAATATATATTGCTGGAGTTGCGCCGTTTTTACTATTCAATGAAGAGGACTTGGTGCATCTTGGAAAGATGCTGAAAACATAAATAAACACAATCTCAATAATCGATGAATTCATTAAAGTCTTCCCTGCTGCTGGCATTACAACGAGTGATAGTTCGACTATCTATTCCTTGGCAGTATTCGCCAGTCCTGAAATAAGTGATTCGGAACGAGTCATCTGCGGCCTCTCGCTGATTTCGCCATTAACATCCAACCCACTGCCAACCAGGTCGGTGAAATCGACGCCTACTTCCATCAGAAGACCAGCCTGGTCTCGTACACCGTCGATGCACTTCTGCCAAACGGTGGTGCCGCGCTGAACGCTGCTAAGTTGCCTAGCGAGGAGAGCGTTGAAGCCGTCCAGGTGTTGCTTGGCCCATTTGATACAGGCGCTGGTCATCACGGATGGAAAACATTGCTGGTAGATGCTGATAGTATTCTTGATCAGGGTGAAGTAAACAAATGAGATCTGGTAGATGTAAAGCGGAAGATCTCCCTCGAAAACGCAAGAGCTGTTTTCTTGTTAGTTGGATTTTTTTTTTTTTCGGCTCGCAGAGATAAACATACCGAATTCGTTTAGAAACCACTTCAGATCGAGCTTTGAGGTAGGCCTCACGTGCTTGATCCTCGAATCCCAAGCGGGTAAGCCAATTGACGTTTGTTTTGGTGGCATTCGGGAATGAGTGAGTGGTCACCAGTCCCCGAGACAAGACACCGGCCAGTTTGGCTGCTCGTTCATCGACCTTGAGGTTTATCACGTCCTGCGCGACTATATTGCCTTTCAAGCCCTTGGCCAGCTTCCTGAGCCGTTCAATGCTAGCAACAGCTTCTTCGAATCGCTGAAGGGCGATATCAATGTCAAGCTCATCTACCTGTCCTTCAACCCAGCGAAGATTTTGCTGCTTCCCATCCACATCGATACGAAGTTCATGTTTATCGCGAAGGCTGTCATTGATATCGAATGTCTCTGGCTTGGGTGAGTACGACGAGTGCCTCCCGCCTAGGTAACCGAAAGAGTCATTGGACTTGCTAGCTGCTTCTGTCTCGGATCGGAGATTACGTCGAAGGTCTTCCACCGTTTTGCGAAATGTACCTAACAGTTCGTTCTTCACGGGGTTGTTCCTATCCTGACGGTATGTGAATGGCTTAGAGCCCACTCTGATATTGATGGCATTTGCGATGCCACGATCTTCAGCCTCTTCGCGGTCCACGCCAGTGCCAAGATTGGCACCAAGATCAATCATGTCGATATCTTGCAAGGGCCAACACTCTTCGGCCACAAGCTTAGTCGGGACAGGGCCTCGGTGGTTACTCGGGTCTACCCGTTTCCGCTTCTTGGCCGCGACCAAGATATGGTCATTCAAAAGCACAATGTGAACCGGCCGCCTCGGTTTCCAGGTCGCGGAGTCCAGCTCAACCCAATTGCCAGTCTCCAGCACGATATGCCGACCCGATACCGCAGGCAAGAACTTCTGCGACCCTTCCACTGTCTTCCACAGAGTTTGGAGTTGAACATTCCACATGCTCTCCAAGTTGGCGACAGAGCTGCGATTGGCGTGTCGCTTGGGAAGACGCTCATCTATCGTGGGGGACATGGGATTCGGTGTGTTTCCAATTGCGGTCTGCCCCAAGGCTGTTGTAAGCTCTGCCATCAGAGTGCGCAAAGTCCGCATTTCGCCCTTGAGCTTTTCCGCTTCTTTACTGATCTTGATGAACTGGGTTCGATTCTGGTATACGTTCTGCTGGAGATCGGTAGACGTCCTGTTTTTAACCTTCCGGAGGCTAGTTTGGTAGTCTTGAATTTCCTCTTCTGAGGCATTTGCGAGAAGATGAGCAACATCTATATGAGTGCCCGGATTAGTGGTGACTTGGATAGGTCATAGCAACGGTGCTTTCGGAGGACACTCACATCGATCTACTGGTAAGCTAGGGTCCCGCAAAGCATTCAAATCCACCTTTGGGGGGTGGGAAGAGTCCGAAGACTGCTTTCTGCCCGTTGGAGGGGGGGCTAGGCCGCCATAATTGGCTGGTACCTGGGGAAGGCTAGGAACCGGAGGGGCACTGGCATCGAAATCGGGAACCTGGTTAAACCGGGTTGAATATCTGCGCTTCACCAGATCTGAAGTTGCATCATTGGTGGCAGGGCGCTCGCGGGAACCCGACGCCGCGGACTTCTGGCTGGAATCGGGCGACTTGTGGTTCGAGGGGAGAGGTCCGGAGATGGGTTTCGGAGCACTGATCTGGGGTCGAGCACGACGCGACTTGCTGCGGAGAGTTAGGCCACGGCCTTCCATGGTATATGGCTTATCCTGATAGACTGCCAGAGAAGAGAAATGAGACACAATGCAGCGAGGGTGTCAGGATAAGCAAGCAGCTGGCGGATGGATGGCCGATGATGAAACGCTGGTCTCTCAAGCGGGACAGAAACGCCGAGGCGCAACAACAATCATCCGCTTCAAAATTATCGCCGCAAGTCAAAGTCCAACAACAAGCCGGCCGGACGAGCTGAGCATCATTCACCACCCAAAAGACCACCTCTTCTTCCATCGCCTCCGGGGTCTCTTTTCATTTATTTCCTTTTTCCTCTTCTTGTATTCTAATCCCCCTTCTTTTAATTAATTCCGGTTTTTACCTTTTTTTCGTCTTTCACCATGAGAACCTCAACTTTGGTCGCCGCTTCCGCCGGTACTCTCTTGACCGGTCTTCTGGGTAAGGATTAATGTTATTACAGGCATCGCGCTGTGGTACGACCAATACTAATACGTTCGTTCCGCACAGCCTATGCCGTCTACTTTGACCACAAGAGACAGACCGACCCGGAGTTCCGCAAAGCATTGAAGCGAAACAACCGCCGGATGGCCAGAGCTGTCAAGGAGGAAGCCGAGGCTCACGGCGCCGAGCAGCGCGAAGCCATCAAAAAGGCCGTCCAGAAGGCCAAGGATGAAGGCTTCCCAGCTGACCTCGAAGAGAAGGAGACCTACTTCATGACCCAAGTTGCCAAGGGAGAATCTCTCTGCGCTGAAGGTATGTTGTTTTGTCCTTCCCACCGGAGCAACCGGAGGGTGCAGAAAAGAATTAGGAAGAAAAAGAAAATAAAGAAAAGCATCGGTGGCTCACACACATTCGCTAGGCACAGACAACGTGGAGGCTGCTTTGGCTTTCTACAAGGCCCTCAAGGTCTACCCCCAGCCCAAGGACTTGATCTCGATATACGACAAGACCGTTCCCAAGGAAATTTTGGAGATCCTGGCGGAGATGGTCGCCATGGACGCTGGTCTCAAGTTGGGCAGCTTCACTGGTGGTGAGAGTGGTAGCCCCGAAGGCCCCGCTGTCGAATAAATGCCTCTGTAGACGGACTCTCCTCGCTCTCCTTCGCCATCCCTCCATTCACCTCTAGAAGACTTTGGCCCCCCAATGGGGCCGTATCTTCCATTTCCCGATTGACGCTGGGCCGGGGCTGGTCATCGTCCACGGCTACACCAAAAATCCTCCATCCTATCCACAGCATCTCCACTAATCGTGTACTTTTTTTTACCCTGTATATTTGCATCTTGTCTTGGCCGCCGGCGTGGCGGACTATCTTGGTATTTCTCGGCGCCATGACGGTTTTTCTCATTCATCATCGTGTTTGCCCTTCTGATGCGTTGCGCCCCTTTCGTTTCTTCTGGACCTGGACAGACTGGAAATGTCTGGGTTAGTTTCACTCCTGTTCGAGTCCTCAGCTGTATTTTAGATAACCAGTATACTACAGGGTGAAATCCAATTAGATTGAGATGGTTGTTTTTTCCCGATGATTCCACTCCGTGCGCACGTACCGGAAAGCACGATAGTTTGTCTTAGTCCACTGCCGATGTCTACCCATCTGCTGCCCAAATAATGGGACGAACAGGCAAACTACCTGAGAATAGTAATGGTGAACCCTTGAGTCTGAGACACTGGTGCTGGTGGGTGCGCCGCCATCCCTAGCCACAGGTTAGTCGCTCTCCACTTGACTCCGTTCGTTTTTGCGGCGCCCAGCGCTCTAGTCGTGATACGGTTTAATTAATTGTTATAACTGGGCAGTGTACGGTCTCACGGTCTCACCTCAGACTTGCTCGTTTCTTTTCTTATCCCTCTCTCTCGTCATTCCTTGATCTATTTAATCTTGTTTCGCCTGCCCGTCATTCCATTCCTTACTTTTGTTCCTGCATTCCATCGACGCCCACTCGTCATTCTCTCGCGCTTCTGCGCAGTCGCTCTTTGATAGCCTATTTTTACCCTCTGCGACCCCTCTATCTCGCTTGTTCAAAGTTCGAATTTAATCCGTCGTTCCCTATCGCTATACATATTGACTGTCTGGTACATCAATATGCCTTCTGTTAGTTTCCGACACTCCGCTTGTCTATACAATCTCATTGTATTCGAAAAAACATCCAAACTGACTCGACTTCTATTCAGACTTACGCTCGTCTTCTCACGGCCGCTTGTGCCTTTGCGACCACAGCCAGCGCTGTCACCCCCATCACTGTGAATGGAAAGGACTTTGTCAACAGTGAGACCAAGGATCGTTTCCAGATCATCGGTATTGAGTAAGGCTTCATCTACTTTGGCAAAATTTATGGAAAGCGGCATGGCTCATCGTCTTCTCTCTCAACAGCTATCAGCCCGGTGGCTCTTCTGGCTTCACCAAGAAGAAAGATCCTCTCACCGATAAGGATGCCTGCTTGCGGGATGCTGCTCTCATGCAGAGACTGGGCGTAAGAATCCATCACAACCCCACAAGGCTGTACATGCCCTAATGATTGACTGCAGATCAACACTATCCGTATCTACAACTTGGAGCCCAGCCTCAACCACGACGAGTGTGCCTCCATTTTCAACGCCGCCGGTATCTACATGATCCTGGACGTCAACTCCCCTCTGACCGGTGGATACTTGGATCGAACCGACCCGGTATCCACCTACAACCCGACCTACTTCGAGCAGGTCTACGGTGTCATCGAGGCCTTCAAGAACTTCCCCAACACTCTCGCCTTCTTCGCAGGAAACGAAGTCATCAACGAGCAGAGTTCTTACGAGGTCCCCGCCTATGTTCGCGTATGTCATCCACCCTGTCTACGACCCGTTGCGCTCATGATTAACCATGTTCTATAGGCCATCCAGCGTGACATGAAGGACTACATCGCCAAGAATGCGAAACGCAGCATCCCCGTTGGCTACTCCGCTGCTGATGTCCGTAAAATTCTGCCCGACACTCTCAACTACTTCTCGTGCGAGCTGGAGAACTCGACCAGCTCTCGCGCTGACTTCTTTGGCCTCAACTCGTACTCCTGGTGCGGAAACTCCAGCTACAAGATCAGTGGCTACAACGTTCTCACCAAGGACTTCTCTGACGCCTCCCTGCCCGTCTTTTTCTCCGAGTATGGATGCAACGAGGTCACCCCCCGTTACTTCACTGAGGTCGAGGCTCTCTACAGCGAGGAGATGTCCCAGGCGTTCTCCGGTGGTCTGGTGTACGAATACACCCAAGAGGACAACAACTACGGTCTGGTCCAGGTGAACGACAACAACACCGCGACTCTGCTCGTCGACTATGACAACCTCCAGACACAGTACAACAAACTGGACATGAGCGCCATCCAGAGCTCCAACAAGACCCAAACCTCCAAGAAGCCCACCAAGTGCAGCGCCGACCTCATCACTGACTCCAGCTTCCTGAACTCCTTCGACCTCCCCGCCAGACCCTCCAAGGTCCAGCAGATGATCGACAACGGTCTCCCCAACGCCAACACCGGAAAGCTGGTCTCTGTTTCTTCCACCTCTATCTCCCAGAAGATCTACAACCACGAGGGCCAGGAGGTCACTGGAGTCAAGCTGAATGTCTTGAAGGATGGCGAGTCCAACACCCCAAGTGAGACCGGCACCAGCACCAGCCCCAGCCCCAGCACCAGCACATCTGGAAGCTCCGAGTCTTCTGGATCCTCTAGATCCTCTGGCACATCTAGTGCATCCGGTACATCCGGTACCTCTGCCACTTCCAGCATCGGCTCCCCTTCTAGCAGTGGAAGCACCAGCGCCAGCGCCACTCCTTTTACTGGCGCTGCTGGAAAGCAGTCGACTTCTCTGCTCTTCGGCTTGCTCAGCGGTACCGCCGCTTTTGCTGCTGTTATGCTGTGATTCGCTTAATCGTTGAGTTTTCTACTATGTTCTTACTGCTACCCAGGACTAAAAATTGTCTTCGATACGCTCGAGCATTCCGCAGCCCAAGCGACCGTGCAGCAGATGGCCTGCTACGTTGGTTTGTACACGACAAAGATTAGACATGTTCAAAAATCTGGCTGGAATGTATATGTTTTTTCTGTTTTTTCTATGAATGCTTGTCTCCTTCCATGACGTGTTTTGTTAGGATAGAATTTTTTAGATAGTTGCACCATTCTGCCCCGAAATGATTCCCCCACTTTGTACATAGTTTGCTGCTATCCCAGACACGGCGACACCGTTGCACTAGGGGGTACACCCTTCATTGAATCCCAAATTATGGATCTTTTCCGCGGAAGTTTCAGACTTCGCTAGCATTTCTGCACCAATAGTATGCCAAAAGTGGAGTCTGTTTCATTTCCCTGCATTCATCAGGGTTCAGGTGGGGCGGAAACCCTAAACCCTATACGGATAGTTCCTGCCAACTCATAATCCATAATCCATAAATGATGTCATTGAAGATGGCCACCAGGGATTCCCCTGCAGTTTCAAATCAACATAGATTTGAGGGATTCCCCATGTCCCCCACCTGTCGTCTCTGTAACAGCCGTAACTTTTTGATAAATGATCTGGTAAATTATCGGACACGGATATAGAATGACAATATATATGCCAATGTTAATAAGACAAATATAATCTATGCGTAGTAAAAGATATTGCAAATGCATAATAAAAAACAGATAAATCAAAAAAAATTAAACATAAACGGAAAATATAATCACAAAGCTCTTCCCTTGCCTTTATCCTTGCCCGGAGCCTTTTCTGGGGACTGCGCCATCCCTTGAAGTGCAGGGAATTCCTCTTGTTCTTGCGCTTCCGCCTGTTCGCGACTATTCTCCTCGGCCAGACTTAGTTGAATTGCGAACTCTAAATCATCTAACTCTTGCTGTCGGCTGCTTTCCGCGGCATCTGGCTCAGACTGCGGGTGATCGCTTGGGCTGGATTGGGCGTCTTTGGTGTACTTGATAGGAATGGAAGACGACGCTTCAAATGAGGACGGTCCTTCATCGAGTAGACTGAGTCGGATCGCTTCGGCAATGTCTGGGGCAATGTCATCTCCGACGGTGTCCTGGTAAGGGGACGATGACGAAGAGGCCTCGTTCACCGTGAAGAGGCTATCATTTTGCCCGATAGTATCGTTAGAGGAAGTACTGGCAACTGAACTGTTGACAGTATCACCTCGTTTGACAACATCACCGGCAAAGGACTCTTCACTCAGCAGTTGAGCATAAGCAAGGAGCTGGTCTTCGCTGACATCTGGGCCGAGAAGATCAACCCCAAAGCGGTTGCTCAGATGCGCTCTTTCCTTTTCGTCTGCCACCCTTTGTCGTTCCATCTCCACCTTTTCATCCTCGATGTGGTCCACGAGAGCCCCGCGGCCGCTGTTGTTGTACCGTTGTTGGCCTTCGTGCGAATGGTTGTTTCCTTTCTGGTTACGGCGCCATCGACGTTTGCTGGTTTTATACTGATCTGCCGCAGACGAGCTATAGGCCCAATAGCGCAGGTGCGTTCCCAGTGCAACCATCCCCCTCAGGACGGTAGGGTCAGGGTCAAGGCAAATAGCACCCGTTGCAAAGTAATTATTTCCCACTCCTTGGATTGACGCTTCAGCCTGGACCAATCGACGACGAGCACGCGAAGAGAAGCGGGAGTTCAGAGTCCGAATAGGTCCCGTAGATGATGCAAGAGGATCCCATGCTTGTACGAGCCCATCGTTTCCGCCATGTATGAGATACAACGACGTCAGCGCAACACAAGAGACCTGTGGTGAATCTGTGTGGATGATTCGAAGTGGAGAGACAGTACTAGTTATCTCAGAGGTTCGAGCCGTTGGCGAACGTATGTCCCAAACGAAAACCATTCCCGTCGCAGTTCCAATAGCCATATACCGTGCGCGCTGTCCAGGTATCTCTACGTTTGTAGATGACTGCTTCATGTGTGGCAATGGCGAAGACATGACGGAAGAGTTTGTTGAACTTCCCGACATTGCGATGATAGGGTCCTCATCACCAGTAAGCAAAGCGTAGGTGGATGAGTCTAAGGCACTTGTGGTAATTTGGACGGATTTTCGATCGCCAAATGTAAAGTTAGAGTCGTGCCACTCAGTATTCGCAACAGAGCACACCGGGTCACCAAGACGGCCAGATGCTCTAGACAGTGGTAGGCTTTCGGGAGTTCCTGAGGAAGGTGTTATCGGGGCATTCGCGGGACCACCAAAGATTGAGCGTGGTGGGTTCTCGGCGACACGAGGGTATGTATCAGGATGCGATACATGTGAATTGAAATTAAGTTTCAGTGACTTTCTCGTCAGCCGCCGGATCGAAGCTTTTTCGTCTTCACCAATGCCCCGTGCAATAACCACAATTGATTCGCCCGCACCGTGACCATCGTCACCAGCGAAATCGACTTTCATATCACGCCTCATGTCCCATCCCTCGCAAACTTTGCGGAAATGCTTGGGCTTGAAGGTCAGAAACTTTTCAATTTCCTTCGTTTCTGCAATTAATTGATTCTCGTCAAGCTTCATTGAATCCGACGAGGACCGAGGGTTATAACTGCCATCAACAGCTTCCCGGCTGAAAGGGTCCGGTCTTGCAACACGCCTAGTCAGCTCGGCTAGTTCCCAGCGAACACTGCGGCCAGTCTTCCAAGCGAGCTGGTCCAATTCTTCAACATTCATTTTCGTGACGGTATCAGGTTGGCGCGGCAGATCGGTAAGATAAAACACTTCTCCCAGTGCATTAAGAACCGTAGCCCAAATCCGCCGACGGTTGTATCGCGCAGGGGAAAAATTGTCGTCAACCGCAATAGCGATAAGAGGAACGCCGGGAGAAATAACCCATTTTGCAGTTGGCTGGCCCCGTTCGAATCGCTTTTCATACGTGGGATGGGGACCCAGAGCATATGCGGTGAGGATACCAGAAGACGTGCCAGACAACATGCCTACCAGACCTCCGGTCATCTTGAGTACTTCAGACGACTTGGCAATCCACACGGCGGTTACCGCAGTCGTGATCATATTTAGGGAAGGGATGCCCAACTGGGGTTGCGAACTCGACTCGGCTCCGCCCAAGAATCGTCCGCGCAGCTCGGCTGATGAAATAAAATAACTTCGACCTTGCGGACAGCCCTCGCCATAGACCATGCCATATGGCTGACTGACATCCATGCGATTGGGCAGTCCTACAATATTCCCGGGTCCAAGACCATATTCAGCATCACCAGGAAATAGATCTGCGAAGTGCCGGAACATCTGATGATCTGATAAGCCCCATGTACCGACCTTCACCGTCGAAGGATCACTGGCCGAGGCAATTCCCTGTTCAGCAGCTCCATGTATGAACACTGGTTCTTTGCCATTTTCATCGTTTCCAAATGTACCATTGACATGACTGACGGGGAAGAGCAGCTGAGATGTATAGGTGACAACTGCGCTGCCGTTTTTAACACTAGCCGACCGGACTGTGCCATGTCTCTTGTGTGGCTCGAAATCCGCCGGTTTGCCCCGAGATAGTGATCGCAACAGGCGCGTTCTAAGAATGTATTCGCTTCGCCAGGATGCAAGCGCAGTCAGCCTGGAGAAAAAACGTCTATCCGACAATATATCCGACGCATTAGACGCCAACAATCCATCGGCATTTTCCACGCTAAACGGTCCAGGGAAGTAGCGGGAGAAAGCGATTCTCCAGGCATGAGGCGTAGTAACAAGATTGTGGAAACGACGAGACACTAGCGCAATTGAGGACAAGGTCGGTGGGGGCAGGTGAGAAAGGATGTGAGTCAACACCTCTGGTAGTTATGTAATTAGTTATCGCTCTCAATACGATTGAGTCATACCCACCATTGGGAAAGGCCTCGAGAGATACATGAGGTTGACTTGACAAAGTCATCATTTTGAATTCGGCTTCTTGTTGCTTCTCAGGGGTAGAATAGAATGGTTCTTCCTCAAACGGGCTGTGGCGATTGACAAATGGCGACGATGGAGCGGACCGGTCGGAGTTCAGGGGCGAGTGTCCCTCATTCGCCGCTGAGCCAGGGACGACTTCTGAAAGGTCTCCGGTTCCCTCATGGAGTTGAGGGCCAGAGACCGGGTGGTCACCACAGAAGTCATGTCCATGCTGGCGAAGAGTTGGCTCTAAGGGAGGTGAGTCCTGTGGGGGAGTATGTTGAGATACTGCGGGAGACGCTGGTTGCATAAAAAGGTTTCGCGGGGGAACGGAGAAAACGTAGACGACTGAACCAGGACAAGATTCTGGATCAGTCGGGGAGAGAATCGGGATGAAGGACGGGGTGGAAGGGTCACGAAGGCGATACTCGATGAGATTTCTGGGTGGAGAGGAATAAAGAAGAGTCGAAGAGGAACCAGAAAGCCGGCAATGGAGGGGAACGGCAGGAGAGTTTCGCGTCCGCGCGACACGTGACGGCGACGCGACTCAGGCGAAAAGAGGCCTCTTTCTTATCAATGACGAAGCAATTAAAGAACTGGGACAGAGAGTGTGTACGGGGCTGTTACTGATTTACATCGCTGATTTGCGATGGCAGAGGCGAAATAATTTCCTCAAGTGCATGATAACCTTGCATTATTTTCTGTGTCTTCTCTCTAGGCAGCACCACCCAGCTGCACTGTAGATCTGACGGCTATTTAACGCTTGGCTTGTCAACAAGCTGTTCTGATTTTCTTTCTATCTTATTTCCTCTAGTTCCCTCCCAGGTCTTCTTTCAAAATGCCTGGTCTGAACGGTAAAGAAATCTCCATCATTCAATGCTTTTTGTGATGCCCTTACTGATTCAGACAGAGGCGGAAACGATCCGCATCCTCATCTCAACTGACAACCATGTCGGATATAATGAACGAGACCCTATACGGGGAGACGACAGCTGGAAGAGTTTTCATGAGGTGATGTGCCTGGCAAAGGAACAAGATGTGGACATGGTGCTTCTCGCAGGTGACCTGTTTCATGAAAACAAGCCGTCGCGGAAGTCTATGTACCAGGTTATGCGCTCAATCCGGATGAACTGCTTTGGAGACAAGCCATGTGAGCTGGAAATGCTCAGTGATGCCAGTGAAAACTTCCAAGGAGCTTTCAACCACGTTAACTACGAGGATCTCGACATCAATGTGGCGATTCCTATCTTTTCCATTCATGGTAATCATGACGATCCTTCGGGAGAGGGTCATCTGGCAGCACTGGACCTGCTACAAGTCTCTGGTTTGATAAATTACTACGGCCGGACACCAGAGTCAGATAATATCCAGATTAAACCGGTCTTGTTGCAGAAAGGGCGAACGAAGCTGGCTTTGTACGGAATGAGTAACGTTCGAGATGAACGACTATTCCGGACCTTTCGAGACGGCAAGGTCAAATTTTACCAGCCCTCCATACAGAAAGATGATTGGTTCAACTTAATGTCCGTTCATCAGAACCATCATGCATACACAGAGACAGGCTACCTTCCTGAGAACTTTCTTCCAGGATTCCTCGATCTTGTCATTTGGGGCCACGAGCACGAATGCTTGATCAATCCCAGGCTCAACCCCGAGACGAACTTCCATGTCATGCAACCCGGATCATCAGTCGCGACATCTTTGGTCCCAGGCGAAGCAGTGGCCAAACATGTGTCGATTCTCAGCGTCACAGGTCGTGAATTCAAAAACGAGCCCGTTCGTTTGAAAACAGTGCGTCCTTTTGCAACGAGGGAGATTATTCTCTCCGAAGAGAAAGGTGCTCAGAAATTAGCTCGTAAAGAGAACAACCGCACTGAAGTAACACGATTCCTCATGGCTATTGTCGAGGAACTCATCGAAGAAGCAAAGGCCGAGTGGCTGGAAACCCAAGATGACCTCGAGGAAGACGAAGAGCGAGAAACACCACTACCGCTAGTGAGACTGCGTGTTGAAATTTCCACGCCGGAAGGAGGCAGCTATGACTGCGAGAACCCCCAGAGATTTTCGAACCGTTTTGTGGGCAAGGTTGCCAACGTGAACGATGTTGTGCAATTCTATCGCAAGAAGAAGAATACAACAACACGCAAAGGTGACAATGCCGTTGACGAAGCCGCGATGTCCCAGCTCTCGACTCTGGATACGGTGAAAGTGGAGCAATTGGTGCGCGAATTTCTCTCTGCGCAGTCATTAAGCATTCTCCCGCAGAATTCGTTTGGGGACGCAGTTGCTCAATTCATTGACAAGGATGACAAGCATGCTATGGAAATGTTTGTGAATGAGTCGCTCGAAAGCCAAATCAAGCACCTGATGGCTTTAGATCGCGAAGATGATGACATGGACGACGAAGAAAGGGCCCAGAGCTCATTACAGAACGCCATGGATAAATACCGCAATCAAATGGAGGACATGTTTTCCAAAGGAATCAAAAAACGAACAACCCGAGGAAAGAAGCGCTTCAAGCCCAAGCCCGATGGCTGGGACACGGAGTTTGACGGTGTCTGGGAGGACCAGCCAGGAGCCTTGATCCATTCCGATAATGAAGGTGACGATCCCAACGAAGAAGAGGCGGCAGAAGATGGCACAGAAAAAGGTGCTAGAGGCACGTCTACCCGTGCTAGAGGGAGAGGCCGAGGGGGAAGAGCAGCAGCAGCAACCACTAGTTCTCGCAAGACTACAACGACAACAAAGGCACCTGCGAAAAAGAGCACCCCAGCCAAAACTACTACAAGGGGTCGCAACAAGCCCGTATCCGATGACGAAGAAGAAGACGACGTTGTCATGCTGGACAACGACGACGATGACGATGACGCCGTTGCCGCCGCTCTATCCGACATAGAAGAAGACGACGACTCACAAGCTCTATTCGTCAAACAACCATCCACAACAAGTAGAGCCCGAAAACCTGCTGCATCAACGACCACCAGCCAGCGTCGGACCGCGCGGACCGCCCCCTCCCCCGCCCCCTCATCAAACACCGTAGGAGGAACGGCGTCCCGTCGGTCCGCAGGCACCCGGGCAAAACCGACACAATCAACGCTGAACTTTACGGGGTCACAATCACAGGCTGGTGGGCGGGGTGCTGGAGCTAGTTCTGCGAGATCATCAGCGAGGCCCAGTCGCACGACCAGGAGCATCAGTGTACTTAGTGATGACGATGACGACGATGCATTTGAGCCTATGCCCAGTTCCGCGAGACGGAGGTAGATTCTCATATGGATGGTTAGTTGACCAATGACAGGGTAATGGTAGAATGGATTTCCAATGACCGTCAAATAGATTGTTGCATTAATGGCGTTATATGTTCGAGTATCAGGTGTACTGGGATTGACAGATAATAGCAAACATTACCAAATCACTATTCCACTATTTATAGCTATTTATGTACAATTCAACAACCATGTGCATTTAGAAAGAAAGAAACAAAACCACTACAACTTCCCCCGATTCAAAAACCTAACCGGCAAATCCACCCACCTCGCCCTCAAAAACTCCGCAACATTCTTTCCCAAAAAGTCCACCGTAGTCGTAACACCCACGCCTCTATCCAACAAATTCCGGAACAAGAAATGCACAGCCCGCAGATTGGGCAACTCAAACCGCTCAACCTCCAACGACGGGTTAGCGTTATATTCGTCGCCGAGGAGGTCTCGCGAGCCCGGGATGGAGAGCAGCGAGCGCAGCCAGACGTACTCGTCTGCGTGGCGGACCCAGAAGCCGCAGTTTGCGTCGGGGCCTTTATCGCCGGATCGGGCGTGGACGATCCAACCCAGGGGACCGCGGGTGGTTGGGCCAAAGTCGGTGGTGGGGTTGGATGGGGATGCTGTGATGGGCTGGGATGGTTGGCGGGGAGGGAAATTCTGGGTGATTGGGGGAGCGGGGACGTCGATGGTTTGGTTCTTCCAGGGGAGATGGGCGACGTGTTTGATGTCTGTTTGGGGGAGGAGGGAGACGTAGTATTCGTAGACGGGTTTGGGGAAGCCGGTGCGCAGGTCGAGGTTGAAGGTTGCTCCTGGGTAGCCCTGCATGATGTTATCTGAGATGTGGCGGAGGAAGTTATTCGGGGCCAGGTGTTCTGCTTTGGGTGCTTGGGCGAGGATGCGCAGGGTGACGGTGGCGCTGTTCTGGTCTCTAGGGTTATCCGGGGACGAGCCTAGAGTGGAAAAGGTGAGGGCGGTAAAGTTGGACGAGTACGGGGCGAGCGAGCGGCGGATTTGAGACTCCAGCATGCGTGCTTTGGCGTCAATGTCGAGGCCGACGAGATACCACAGCGCTTCCGCTTGGAATCCGCCGCGGGCGGTGATTCCGACTTTGGTGGTGGGCGGGGGTGGAGCGGAGCGGACTCCGCGCAGGGCGACGCGGTTGACGCCCAGTTGCTCGAAGTGGATGTCGGACAACACGGCGGTAACGTCTGAGTTGTAGTAGTAGGGGCCTTGGATCTCGTAGAGCAGCTGGGAGGAGCAAGTGTCTACAGTGACAGCGCCTCCGGTAGCATATGTCTGTTTCGTGATGACCACCTGGCCGTCGGCTGAGATCTCCGCGATGGGATATCCGATGTTAGACCAGCCATCACCACCGGAATTCTCCAGCATCTTGAAACCAGTGAAATTGCCACCACAGACATAATTGCTACATTCGATTAGATGGCCAGCCACGAAAGCATTTGCCAATTTGTCCAAATCATGCCGGTTCCAGCCATGGTACCAATAAGCAGCCCCAATCACCGGCGATGCATCCGATACTCGTCCACACAGGACAATGTCAGCACCTTGCGCAAAAGCCGCGGCGATACCGAGTCCTCCTAGATAACACTGCGCATAGATCGGCTCAAAAGACCACTGAGACAGCGTTTCGCCCGTGTAGACATTTTTAAACGTCGATTTGCCCGACTCCATCGACGCTTTAACCGTCGAGAGTACTTCATCACCGGAAACCCAAGCCACTTTCAAGTCCAATCCTTTCGACTGCACCATGCGCGTTACCACATCGTAGAGGCCTCGTGTGTCGGTATTTCCTGCATTGACCGCTACTTTGATGCCATGTTTGGCTATATCATTGAGAGCCGGCTCGAGGGCTAGCAAAAATGTTAATTCATACCCCGGTGCAACTGGTGCTCCTGTGCCTTGGTTGCTTTGCTGGTCTACTCGACGTCCCGCGGCTGTGACCATGTTTGCTTCGCTCATGAAGTCGGCTATGATCACATCCACGGGGTCTTGGGGGTGATTGCGAGCGAATTCGGCCATTGCATGACGACGGTCAGCGCTAGAGCCAGAGGCGCCTTTATCATAAAATTAGTTTAGGAACACAACTTTAGAGGTGTGCAAAGGCTTACCTGCGATGCGAACGGGACGGGTTTCTCTGGTACTCATGATGGTTGTTGGATGATTCTTCTGGTATTGACTGATGGTGGTGATGAATAGAAAAGAAGATGCGGTAAACTACTATGATATATCATAGCCCAGGAGATGTACAGTATGGTTAATGAATAATTATGCCGGATGTACTGTGTAACTTGTGATGTGATGTTGTCATGCACAATTGTTGCTGGGAAAGCCCGAGGCGATCATTCGGTCCTCGGTCTAGGGGAATGCGGGGTTAGCTAGTAGCTGTCGATTGTAAACATCAATAGACAACATTATTGATAGATGCATTCTGGAGATTACAAGAATCAGTTGGAATATTACTCAAAGTTATTGATTTTGGATCGACAAAAAATTGATCGTTGCATGGATGACACCACTTTTGATGATGTTGCTGCCTCAGGCCACTAATTCATTGTGACAAAGTGCCATCTGCATCTATACGCCTTCAAGTGGCTTTTTTGTTTATAACAAGTTAATCTTCAATTGAAATATTAGGTATAGAATATGGGAAACAGATATTTTCAAGTCAGTGTTCCATAAGATATCTTATTCGGACCAACCAAAGTCAGTCGGGATAGGGGTATGAATGCGATTAGCACAATGCTGGATCCTCGAGCATGTGCGGGTTGTGCGGATTGAAATTCCGCAGCTGTCTATCTTGATCTACTCAGAGATCTCGGATACTATTTCTTTCCAGTAAACAGTGGTGAGATAGCAAACACCGTCCAGCGCTGCTACTGTATCGTCGAGAACTCAAAGCAGTTCAGAAACCCTAGACTTTGCAATATTCAGCTCACTCATCGCATTCGTCACATTATAATACCCAGCCCACTGTAAAATGGCCATCACGACAAACAGGAGCAGAATTGACGTCTTGACCATCTCGATTGCCTCACGATGTCGACGAGCCATATTCTGCAATTGCCCCAGCCATACCAATTGCCCGTTATCCTTTTGCGCAGACTGCAAACCTGGCAGTCCATCCAGACCCTGGCTATTGCATTGTTGTTGGTAGGCCCGTAGCTGGTTCTTGTCGACCTTGCCGCGAGCCCAATGACCCATGGTTTCGCGGTCTTTGAGGTACGGTTTGGGTTGGCGGGATTCCGGGTCGATTTCCAGCGCCAGCTGCGGAACCCCGTATCCACACGCTGTTTGAACCTGGAAGAAGGAGAAACGGTCAGCGGGTTGCATGAGAAGGGCAGAGCTACTGCATTGATGATCCCAAATGTGGTGGGCTGCATGCCACGCCTTTCGTCCACGAGGATCGTCAAGCCACGACTGGGAAAAAAAAAAAATTAAAAGGAGGTCAACCTTGAAAACATCCAGACGAATGATGGCGCGTGCTCCCACCACCTTTTTCCCTCCCATTCGTTCCAAGTAGCGGGGAAACTCCGGCTGATGCCATTCAATTACGGAGCCAGTGCAAAAGAGCCGTAAGATGCGGGGCGCGGCTTCAAATGAGCAAAACATAACGGTAATCCGGCCATTCTCCCGCAAATGACAGATAGTCTCGCTGCCGGATCCAGTAGCGTCGACGTAGGCCGCCTCGTTGGGACCAAGAATAGCAAAAGAGGAGTCGGGAAGACCTTTAGGGGATAGGTTCACATGACGGCCGGCAAGAGGGGCAGAGGCGACGAAGAAGACGCTCTGACGCAGCGCCCAGTCGCTGATTTCTGGTGAGATGGAGGAGAAGAACTTGGGCATGTTTCGTTGGGAGAGGATGTGATGATGGTTGAGGTTTACTTTGTGAGTCAGTTACACTACTTAGCTACTACTGCTGGACCCCTGTAGGCCTGTACGAACTACAACCACAAATATGAGGTGCATGACTCTGGATGATCAACACCATGAAAGCTTTTTACTTTATCTCGACTCAAAGTCTAATCTAGCAGGGGTATTTGAACATCAATCGCCTTGTAGTCAATCTTGTCGTACCGTGGATAGACAACGCCATGATGGACATCAGATCCCTTACCGCTCTTCCCTGGCCAGACTACTCCAATATTCAACAAATTGGCATGATTGGAGACAGTGGCCCATTAGGCAGCCTTGTCTGCAGAACCAATCTCCCAGAACGGCGTGGCCGTGTCGATCTATCAAGGCCAGCGACCAGATAGTGAAGGCACTAAATCATCGCCATTTGCTCATTTGATTATAAATCACACTATCCTGTTACAGACCGCCCAGGGACTTGGCAGTGCCCCGCTCTGGCCAGCTGGGTGGGGACCTTTTGGCATCACCATGACACTTTCTATGACATTCTGAATTGGTCCGGCCAATCACAGCAGCACTTTAGGGGCTCCTTTGCGCCGAAGTGGCGTCTGACTGGTTGGCTAAACAAGCTTGGTGGGGTATTCGTGCTCCCCGGTGGCCTGCCTTTCCCAGTTGGGGAAGACTTCCGCCACATGATCCATAAGTGCCTGTATCGTAATGGTGAAACGGCGATGGGAGAGATGCTTCAGGGCGACAAGATAGGGGTATTCACGGCGAGGAATGGCTACGGGACGACAGGTTATTGTTGATGGAGGGAGGTAGGAAGTAGTTAGTAGTAGCTCTGCCGTATTCAATATGCAGTTACCCCTCCGGAACAATGTCGGACCGACTCTCGGGCGATATCCATTACAACAGCAAAATCAACATAACAAGATGCAGGCAATTTAAAATAACAAGAGAACAGCTGTAGAGACACCCCTGTAGCACCATTCTCCCTCTATTAGACCAAAACAGACAAAGTCGTGGAATAACGGAATCTAAAACCGCTGTCGTAGTGGCGCTCGAACCCCGCACGATCAACAGCCGGGAAAAAAGGACAGCAAAGCGGGGAACTGAAGGCGCTGGACTCGCCAGGAGAACGGGAGAAGCAAATCGCAAGAAGACGAAAAGAAGAATCTGAATCCAATCGAAGGATCGATGATTGTCCGAGAATTGGTAGAAGCTGCATATTCTGTATTGGCGTTACCGTGGTATCGTATTATTATTAAATCATGGACTGCTCCACGGCCAACACTGGTTCCCTACTTAATAACGTGCTCTCCCCTCTTCCTTCCATCTCTCTTCTTCTTCCTCTCCATCCGTGATACCCATCATCAATCCATCCATCATGTCTGACCTCTTCACTACCATCACTACCCCTCACGTCAAATACGAGCAGCCTTTGGGCCTGTAAGCTTCCCTATCTTGGGCCACTGCCACTGCCACTTCACTCAGCTAACTTCCTTTTTTATAGGTTCATTGACAACGAATTCGTCAAGGGTTCCGAGGGCAAGACCATCGAGACCATCAACCCCACCGACGAGAAGGTCATCACCGCCGTCCACGAGGCTACTGAGAAGGATGTCGACCTTGCTGTCGCTGCCGCTCGCCGGGCCTTCGAGGGCTCCTGGCGCAAGGTTACCCCCACTGAGCGTGGCCGCTTGCTCAACAAGCTTGCCGACCTCATCGAGCGTGACCTTGAGACCCTGATCGCCATTGAGGCCCTCGACAACGGAAAGTCCCTCGTCATGGCCAGAGGTGACTTGGCTGGCGCTCTCGGCTGCTTGCGCTACTACGCTGGCTGGGCTGACAAGATCCACGGTCAGACCATCGACACCAACCCCGAAACCCTCACCTACACCCGTCACGAGCCCATTGGTGTCTGCGGTCAGATCATCCCCTGGAACTTCCCCCTCCTCATGTGGTCGTGGAAGATCGGCCCTGCCATTGCTGCCGGTAACACCGTCATCATCAAGACTGCTGAGCAGACCCCTCTGTCCGGTCTCTACGCCGCCAAGCTCATCAAGGAAGCTGGCTTCCCTCCTGGTGTGATTAACGTCATCTCTGGTCTGGGTCGTGTTGCTGGTGCCGCTATCTCCAGCCACATGGACATCGACAAGGTTGCCTTCACTGGTTCCACCGTCGTTGGCCGCATGATCCTCCAGGCTGCTGCCAAGAGCAACCTGAAGAAGGTCACCCTCGAGTTGGGCGGCAAGTCTCCCAACATTGTCTTCAACGATGCCGACATTGACAACGCCATCTCGTGGTCCAACTTCGGTATCTTCTACAACCACGGCCAGTGCTGCTGCGCCGGTTCGCGTATCCTGGTCCAGGAGGACATCCACGACAAGTTCGTCGCCCGCTTCAAGGAACGTGCTGCTCTCAACAAGCTGGGCAACCCCTTCGAGGCCGACACCTTCCAGGGTCCCCAGGTTTCCAAGCTGCAATTCGACCGCATCATGGAGTACATTAACCACGGCAAGCAGAGCGGTGCCACCGTTGCTGCCGGTGGTGAGCGCCACGGCGACGAGGGCTACTTCATCCAGCCCACTATCTTCACTGATGTCACCAACGACATGAAGATTGCCCAGGAGGAGATCTTCGGCCCTGTCGTCACTGTCATCAAGTTCAAGGATGAGGCCGAGGCCATCAAGATTGGCAACGACACCAACTACGGTATGTTGTCCCATAATCTATATTACGTTCCGCTTACTGACGAACCACAGGTCTCGCTGCTGCCGTTCACACCAAAAACGTCAACACTGCCATCCGTGTGTCCAACGCTCTGCGTGCTGGGTAAGTCACTCGCAAATACTGTCAATCTGATCAATACTAACATGTCTATCAGTACCGTCTGGATCAACAACTACAACATGATCTCCTACCAGGCTCCCTTCGGTGGCTTCAAGGAGTCCGGTATTGGCCGTGAGCTCGGCTCGTACGCCCTCGAGAACTACACCCAGATCAAGACCGTCCACTACCGCCTGGGTGACGCTCTCTTTGGTTAAATTATATTATAATTTGAATAAAAGCGGAATGCAGCGATGGATACGGTGCTTGTATCATTTGAAAGCCAATACTTGTTTATAAAAACATGAGATATGAATTTATGATGGCAAATCAGCTTTTTCCACTTCGTAAATCTTATTACAATAAGACTTAAGCCCTGAAGGATGTGTATGTATGTTCATACAAGCAAGTCCCTTGTAAGCAGTCGGATTTTAAATCCACCCGCCCTCACTATCCCGAAGCCACGAGGCTGACCTAACCCGGGATAATACCCAGCGAGGTCTCCTCGGGGTATCAATGCCCCGATATCTGGTATTACCATGAAACAACCAGGATGAAGCAAACATAATATAGCGGCATTAAAGTCGACGGGATATTAATATATCTAATCCGATTAGCTGGAATTAGACTCGCATTGGCTTTCGGTCGGTGCATTGTGTACAGTAGAACTAATCGATGGGTTGGTTCGATGTTTCATCGGCATATGGACGTGGGCATGAATGGCACTTTCACCCAGAGTTTGCAGTTTAGTAGATATACGACTATGTCTGGTACTAGCTAGTGATGATAGGTATGTACCTACCTAACTAGTGCTGAGTCCTCAGTCGTCCAAGGTGCTTCAGCCTGGGTTGGCTTTGGGGTCGAATCCTGTTATTATCCAGTCATTTATTTCTGCGCTTTCAGTAGATTGGTCTATATAGATTCGGTATCATTATCGAGCAGACTGGTTGTGTTTACGATATTTTATCCTCCTGCGCTGATGTTGATAGTCTGCAGCGGGAGGAACGTAGCCGACGGGGTACGGGCCGCACACTATGTATACCTGATTCCTTTTTTCGGGACCAACTCATGTAGAGTCGAATTCTTAAGTTTTGCTGGAGGTTTGGTGTTTTTCATCTCTGTTTTTCGTTTATTGGGCGTTTACAGTTGAATTTGGCATTGGTCATTAATAATAACGTAGTTATAATGGTCTAGGAATCCATTCTTGGTTATCTGAATGAATACAAAGTAGCAGAGAATGTACATGCCACAAGATGAGGAATTTGGATGAAATCACAATCCCGTTGGCGTCTCGTTCGATCTATCCTGCAGTTGAAAAGACTCAACCGTAAACGGGAAACTATCCCATAGAGGCAACTCCATACCATCCCAGCCCGACAAAACACTATCTAGATCTGGATCGCCTTGCATCCACGGATAAAACATATTACTTTGTATCGGCATGGGCGAGAATCCAATTTCTTGGGTTCTAGGCTGTTCGGGGGAGGAGGGTCTTCGCCCATCCAGGGTGAATAACTTGCTAACATAGCGGCTTCGGCTTTGTCGTCTGTGTGAGGTTAGTCGCTGGCGCTGTTCGGCGATGGCGTTTGCCAGCGATGTGAGAATATCGGAGTAGTGTGCCGCTTGGGCGGATTGTTGGGAGAATATGCGGAGGATTTCGGTTGCGCCGTTGAATGCTTCTTCCCATGTTGAATCTACTTCCATTTGGGAGAACATGGAGAACCCGAGGGTCAATGCTGCGGCGAAGACGAATGCCCTGGAATCAAGTTAGTTCGGGGGGTGTTCAAATATTTTCGATTTGGTATACTGACTTTAGAATGCACATGTTTCCTAGCAGTAAGTGGGATCTGTGGATTTCCAAACAAGTTTGTATCATGTATATAGCCGAGTCAATACATCCAGTAGCCAATCTGGAGTGTGCTGGATCCTCCTCAGGTAATCGGTCAAGTGTCGTCTCTGACAGATCTTGATGCAACCGAGCCAGTCGAATGCTGAGGGCCGATATCAAAAACGGCCGCGTGACTATAATGACGGCAAAATGGTACGAGCAAGCAACATGCAAGCTCCCTATGATACGCTCCTGGGCGGCAAAGAGCTCATGTCCCGACCTTGGAGTCGTGAGTAATGGTGCTGGTAGGTTATCGCTCCATCGCTTGAGCTTCTCTAGCAAAGCTTCTGCGACCTCCGCGGAAGCAGCTTTTTCGCTGTATAACTGCGTGATTATCTCCTCGAGTATGAGCGACATATGATACGAGGCAACCAGGCTCAACTCTCTCGTGTTACTTTGCCTGGTCATGTCGAGAGAAATATCCCCTGTCTCGGAACGTAAGGTCGCAGTCGCAGATGGTCGCCCGAGAATTGAGCTGACGAGGAAGTCCAAGACGCAAACGCTCATCCATACCTGCGATCTTTCTCCAAGGTCAGTGTCAACGATCTGGTGTCTGTTGGTGGTACTTACCTCTGGTTTTGTTCGATCATGGATAACAATCCAGAAGAATCGGTCTGGTGAAGACCCAATGCCACGGAAGCACGAGCGGCCACACCCAGGTACATGAATGCAGCATTTCTCCGACAGGCTCCAAGCATATAGAATGCCATCAAGAGAAACAAGCGAACCAGCTCCAAACTCGGATTCTCCAGCATGCTGGCAAACGCCCTGCGCTGCCCTCGAGCGAAGAAGAAGCGTTCTGTCTGAATCGCTATAGGGTAGCTCTTACATGACTGCGCCCCAATCGCAACCATGACATCTTTCAATGCTGTCCTGGTATTATTCGGGTCTGTGCTGGCGTGGCTCGATTCGTTTAGTATTTCCGTTGCCTCTGAGTCTGGAACAGCATCGATGAATCCGCTTGTCTATATATTTGGCTTGTCAGGTATGCCCGATCAACCATAAGGCAAATTCTACGGCCAAAAGCGATAGAAGTGCCGAACAATGTAGGAGATAAGTCTTACCGCTATGCGGTAGGCCCGAACGAATGCCAGCTTCTGGTCCCGATCCAATCGATCCTCAAAATCCGATGGAACATCATGCGGCGTCTCAGTCTCGAGCATATCATCGCTTCTTACATTATGCGAGAATTGGGATGGTCCGATGTGCTGAGTGATCGTATCCCGGAGCAACTGTAGAAAAGACAACGAGGCGGCTTTCCCCACGAAGACTATATTGAGATTGTGTCAGTTGCTTGGACTCCAACGGATAAATTCCTATCTACACTGTTTGGAGATATCCATACCTCGTTCACCCTGCAAGCTACGCAGCATCCGGGGGTGGGTCCTGTGCTGAGCTTCTGGTGATCCCGGTCCCGGTTCGATGGGTGTACGAGCCGACACATTGGGTTGTGGGCTTGAACTGTGAATCGGTGGGTACGCTTCATTGTGTGGACTAAATCCAGCGGTCACTTGGGCCCTGGAAGCTGGGGTCGCAGCAGAGGTCTGTAAATCAGCGGCATTTGACGACGGAGATGTAAACGAAGGGCGGCTCTGATGGCTCGGGCCCGTTTTCTTCGACGGAACGCAGGAATCGGCTCGTCCTCTATGGATGCAGTTGGGACATGGAAATGATCCTGTACAGCGCTTCTTGGATGTTCTGCAGAAAAGGCAAGCCTCGAATGCTCGCAGACGATTAGAAGGATGGACCTTGGGGCGTGGCATGGCGGGCGTCTAGGTGCTATTATCAACGACGTCGGATGCGGGCCCGCTGGTCATATCTAAGATACGGGTTCGAGATCAGCACCCGAATGACCCGACAGACAAGCCGAGGAGGTGAGGGCGATTGACCCCGCATTCCAGAATTGATCCGCAATCTGCTGCAGTTTGAAGGTGGTGAGAGAGGCAGTCGAAGATTGGAATGGTGGCAGTTGGAGAAAAAGCAAATCAGACCGTTATCGCCGTTCTTGGTGGCCTCAGGTGTCAATATTTTCGAAACAGCACGACATCATAAATTCCCTATACTGCAACGTTATTATGCTCTTCGATTCCTTTTGATTCTTTTAATGTGTATTCCTCAGCAGTATTTGAATGCTTCACGACCAGTATAAAGAGACCTTTCTTATTTAACAGCGATGGAGATGATCTCCATAGATCCCACTACTCTACACCAGAGTATGGAATATCAGATCAACGCATGGTGGGAAATGAAATTAGAGTGGCCGTTTCTGAATACTCGAACGTAGATGTGCAAATATATGACTTTTTCGAAATTAAGCTGTAGATTTGGCTATGTTGTCATCCAATGTCTATACATGGTGCTAATGCTTCCTACACGGAAATATATATCGATATCGTTGAACAAATAGACACACCAAAAAAGCCAATATAAAAATATATACAGCAAAAAAACATATCTTATATTTTAATAGCACTACAAACATCTCGTACTAGCAGAATAATAGCAAAATATGGACTGCGTGGTTGTCCTGGATGGTGTTCGCGACAGACGACGAGTTGAACCCATGCATGCCAGCCACGGGACCGTCCCTAATCGCCAAAGCAGAAAACTGTTATTCTGCCCAGAAAAGAGCAAGAATTCAATTGGTTTATTACAAACAAGACCATTGGATCTGATATTCAACGATAGACCGTCTAACTCCACGCCGCCCTGTTGAAGTAGACAACTTGGGCATCTGGCATCGTCGAGATCACCGCTGCATACATTGAATCTGATATGCATTCGATATGCAGCTTATGCCTGCCATCGATCAGTTATGCAGAACAGATCAAATTACCTAACAGAAAAGAAAAAAAACAAGCGAAGCTAAGAGAAGCGAGAAGAGCCATTCCCCAAACGGAACTTTTCGCTGGAGCGGCTGGTCCAGCCCATGGAGCGTTCCGATCTCCGCCGTCGCTGATTGGCGGAGCGAAAAACTCCTCGCGCAAACGCGACAAACAGCCACCTGACTTCGCTTGCGGTTAGCGGCTCGCTAGCGCCGACGGGAAAATATAAAAGGGCTGAATCCCCCGACCTTTTGGAAAGTAAGCGACTCTACGTGAGTGATCCCCCTCCCTACCTTTGGGATTCCTGGAGATTCTTGAAAGCATCTGCTAATAACTGCCACAGTTCAAAGAATCACTTTAGAGTAGACGTCCCACCTCTGAGCTCTTTAAAAGAGCCACAGAATCTCCACCCTTGCTGATGACTGCTATGTCCTCGATGCCCTTAAGTGAAGCCGTTTTACTTCCGACTCGACCTTGTTTATCACACGCTTTCGATACGACGCTGCCTCTGGCGGTGCTTGTTCGGGGTGCTGTCGATTTGCTCTGGTCCAGGGAGTGGTGATGATCTTAACCTTTTCTCGATGTCAGACTTCGGTCGGTCGGACTTGGTGGGTGTCGAGGAGGTCTGAAAGGTGCCCTTCTTTTTACACTTTTATGTTGGTGTTGAAGAATTTGGAGCTTGCTCTACCATTTTCCCTCTTAGCTAGTATCAATAAAGCATTTTCTCGAACAAACAAGTTTTTCATTTGTAGCACTGAAGTGATTCGAAAACTGAGAAGCAGTCGTAACATTTTTGGCACTGAAGTGTATTTCGCAAGAGCATGCAGAATATCTTACTCTCGGATTGGACGCGTTCGTTGCATGGGTGCATGCAACGCCTTGTGTTCAATAGACTCGTGGGTATCATGTATCATTGAGATCTAACTGCATGCCTAGGGTATTCGTTTATTATTATTCTCACTTCGACTCTGCACCATTCGCCTTCTCCCCTGCTGATGTACTGGAATTCTGATTCCCGCCTCCAGCACCCTTCGAACCACCCTTGTTTCTGGATCCTCGACCACCGCGTGGTCCACGAGATGAAGACCCTCCGCTTGTTCCTCCTTCCCCGTTTGCCTTTCCACCACGATTGTTATCTTTGTTACTGGCATTGTTACTAGGTGGCTGTGATTCACCTCGACCTTTTCCACGGGATTTTTCTCCACCAGGGTTCTGCTTCCTTTCCAGCACAACGACCTGGCTCTGAGCAACAGTGACCGGACTCGCTGCAATGGCCTTCTGTAGACCATCCGGTTCTGCGAAATCGATGTAGCCAAATCCCTTCTTCTTGTCGATTTCGACCTTCAAGATCTTACCAAACGGTGCAAACGTGGTTTCCAACAACGGCTCGGTAACACCTTGCGAGGCATTGGCGTGCTTGAGAAACGCCTGAGTAGCGGTGGCTGCTGCGGGAGCGGGCGCTTGCTTCCCTTTACCGGATTTTGATGACTTGACCGGGGCAGGCGTAGTACTGGCAGGGGGAGTCCCGACATCCGACTGGCCACGAGAGGACACAGGCTCACTAGACTGCGGTGTCTGGCCGCCCTTGGCCTTTCCTCCGGCCGAGCCGCTCTTAGATTTTGCAGCGTCCTTCTTGCTAGGCTCCGACGGGCTCGCAGTTTGATCGCTCTTGGAGGTATCCTCTGTCGCATTGGCTTTACCACCTTTGCGACGGCTCCCAGATGGCGCAAGCCCCAGATCTCTCTGGAGAATCTTGGTAGCAGCAGCAACGTTTCCACGCTCTCTCTTCCGCTCAGATGCTGGAGCCGATGGCGTTGAGTCCTTGGCAGTATTCTGTGTCGCAGACTTCGACGTCTGTTTGGAAGCAACATTGGCGGCTTGCTTGTTAGCTGCTTTCACGGCTTCCTTTGTTGCCTTGTCGGTCTTTGATTTCTTCTCCGATTTCTCCGTAGCGGTAGATTGAGCGGCCTCCTTGTCAGGTCGCTGTAACAGTTTCTTCGCTTGAACCTTTTCAGGCTTGCCATCTTTATCAAACTTTCCGTGCTTCGACTTAGTAGAAGCGGCTTCCTTCGCTTTGTTGGCTTTCTTCTCCTTGATGTATTGAACCAATGGCGTTGTGGTCACTGTGTCTTTCTTCTCCTTCTTCTCCTCCCCATCTGCAGTCGGCTCAGGAGCGGCAGGTTTTGTAATTGGCTGAGTTAGGCTCTCGAGGAAAGCAAAAAAGTCGGGGTCCTGGTCGATAGTTCCCTGACGAGCATCTTTTCGGACACGACTCCCGGGAATTTTGGCGTAAGGGGCGAACTCCAACGAGGGAGGACCAAGAAGTACGGGATCGTTGGACGTGGTGCGTGCATCGATGAAGGAGGTTTGGCGGACCTTGTCTGAGAGAGGAGCAATGTGATCACTGGCGACGACGTGGATGTATGCGCGCGAAGGTCGGGATGGTTTGGCGGGGCTGTATCATAGTTTAGTTTCCAATGCTGAACGTCTTGCAGTAAGCTGGAGAACATACTCTTTAGAAACCTTTCCAGCCTTATACTGGAACCAGTCGACCTTCCCGGCACCGACCTTCCATTCGTCTCCCAGGGCACTCTCGAATTCAGCCTGAGTCAAACCGGGGGGCAACCGCCTGACAAGAAGTTTGAGTCGCGGGGCAGCTGGCTTTGGGGCCTTTCTAGAAGCTGCAGGCGTATTTTTCTGCGTGGCTGCGACCGGGATCTGGAAGACCCCTCCTGTTGATTTTCCTGCAGGAGTTTGCGTCATGATGAATAGTTTCTAGATGCTGGGATCTGCACTCCGGGCTGGAGTGAGATGAAAGTGAAGCGATATCGATAAGGGATGGACAAAGCGTATGCAGTAGTGGACGCAGATAGGAAATTACAGATAAATAAAAGTTGCCCACTGTGGCAGATACCGAAATCAATCTCCAACCAAGAAAAGCGCCAGAAAACGACTTCTCGAGAAAGATGAAACAGTGAAGGAAGCCATCATCGGCATCTGGTTGAGTAAGACGTGTACGGGACACGAGGGCCGCCAAGCACGCGACCACCACTGCACAGTATCGATACCCAACAGGCTGCGGGGAAAGACCGCCGTTGCTAAAGAGTGGCTTCACCGGCCAGATCTGGCTATTTTCCGAGCTTTTTACGATCTGTATTTGTTTGGATACTATTCACTTCATCACCTCCGCGGCTTATCCCTTCCATTTGATTATTCCCTATCTCTTGAAACCCCGCCCGAGCCCTATCTGACAAACACTGAGCTGATTCCCCCTCAATCCATCCCTTATCCGACGTCGCATCAAATTCAAAATGGCGGAGAATAAGGTCCCTCAGCCGGGACCGGCCAAATTAAAACGCAATGCTGGGCCTGATGAATGGCTGGAGGCAGCCAAAGATTGCAAGTACTTGTCAGAGTCGCACATGAAGCAGCTCTGCGAGATTGTCAAGGAGTACATGATGGAAGGTAAGATGAGCAATTCTGCCTCTGCATTGAGGGACACACACCAACAATTATATCTGCACAGAATCCAATATTCAACCCGTTTCTACACCCGTCACCGTCTGCGGAGATATTCACGGTCAATTCTACGATCTTCTGGAACTCTTTCGCGTTTCTGGCGGGATGCCTGACGAGCCCGGGGCAGAGGCACCAAAAACCTCAACCGCTGTGATTACTTCCGAAGATATTGAGCCCCCTTCATCGATCTCGGATCCAAAATTGAGGAAACAACTGAAGGGTGCTGGTTCAGAAGAGGGCGATGAGGGCAGTGGAAGAGGTCGATCCTCGAGCGGAGGATCGAATGACATTCAAATCAATCGCAACTTCGTATTCCTGGGTGATTACGTCGATCGAGGATATTTCAGTTTGGAGACTTTGACACTGCTACTGTGTTTGAAGGCAAAGTTCGTTTTTTTTTGGCGCATATGAATGGACGTCTGGAGGCTGACTTGCTTGCAGATTCCCTGATAGGATTACATTGGTCCGTGGTAATCACGAATCCCGACAGATCACGCAGGTGTACGGATTCTACGAGGAGTGTTATCAGAAATACGGAAATGCATCCGTATGGAAGGCTTGCTGCCAGGTTTTCGATTTCATGACACTAGGGGCCATCATTGATGGAAGAGTGCTGTGCGTGCATGGAGGACTGAGCCCGGAAATCAGAACACTGGACCAGGTTCGCGTGGTTGCGCGAGCCCAAGAGATTCCGCACGAGGGTGCTTTCTGTGACCTCGTGTGGTCGGACCCTGATGATGTAGAGACCTGGGCTGTCAGTCCCAGAGGAGCTGGTAGGTTTCTGTGACTTTTGATCTCAAGTTCTTTGCTAACATGATATTCTCAGGCTGGCTGTTCGGAGACAAAGTGGCAGATGAATTCTGCCATGTCAACGATCTGACGCTGATTGCTCGAGCGCATCAGTTGGTAAACGAGGGCTACAAGTACCACTTTGATAACCAGAATGTGGTTACCGTATGGAGCGCACCCAACTACTGCTATCGATGTGGAAACCTGGCGTCTGTGTGCGAGATTGGTGACGACCTCAAACCAACATTCAAGCTATTCAGCGCCGTGGGTGATGATCAACGACACGTTCCGACATCGCGGCCGGGCCGCAGCGAGTACTTCCTGTAAAATATTGTTTTCTGCTTACTGCTTTTCCCGTTGCCATTTGAGAGTCATGAGGTTACCGGCTGCACCGGCGCTGGCGTTCGGGGGAATTTTGGTTGAGTGCCCCATGTCTTGGGAGTGTGGGCAGTTGATGAGGATTTTATATAACGACTCTAGACCACACTTAATGATGTCTCTGTTTGATGCCAAAGTACTTCCATCTATCAATTATCACTTATCCATCTATGCTTTGATATGTCATGGTATGTATGCAGAAGTAGATACATTCTTCAATGACATCAATCATCCGAGGAGCGTCAATCTAGATATTTGAGAGCTCTGCCACTTTAAAATCTTTATCCATCCAAGCAGTCTTCATGGAATAAGTACCGAGGTGTCCGACATATCATTTGCCGTTGGGATGTAAGCGCCCGGAATAAATCCCGAACGCCTCCGGAATCTCTCCCGAACATGGATTATAAGACCCCAGACACAATGATATCGACCCATTTCTCCAACCCCGGATCTCAATCCATCTCATCAAAGATACAATCCAGAGCACAATGCCCCAGAAATACGACGTCATCATATGCGGCAGCGGATCAGCCGGTATCTGCGCCGCCACCTGGCTGGCACGGTACGGGATCCGGTGCAAAGTACTCGAGCGCCGCGACGGCCCCATGACAATGGGCCAAGCAGACGGGGTACAATGCCGAACGGTGGAGATATTCGAGAGTTTCGGGATCGGCGAGGAGCTTTTACGCGAATCGTACCATGTTCTGGAAGTGGTGTTTTGGGCAGACGAAGATGGGTCGGGGGTGATTCGACGGAATGGACGGACGGCGGATACACAGCCGGGACTGTCGCATCAGCCGCATGTTATTTTGAATCAGGCGCGGATTAACGGGTTGCTGATTGGGTTGATGAAGGAGCTTAATGGGCAGGAGATTGACTATGGGTATGATGTGACGAGTGTGAAGGTTGATGAGGGGAAGAGCAAGGATGCAGAGGCGTATCCTGTTACGGTGGCTGCGGAGAGGAATGGGAAGACGGAGACGTTTGAGGCGAAATATGCTATTGTGAGTGATTATATTTATTCTGATATGTTTCGTTGGCTGACATGGCAAGGCTTGTGACGGTGCACATAGTACTGTTCGCAAATCGCTAGGATACAAAATGGTCGGAGACAGCAGTGATGCCGTCTGGGGTGTGATGGACATGATCCCCCGGACAGATTTCCCAGATATCCGCAAGAAGGCCACCATCCGGTCCAAAGCGGGAAATCTGATGATTATTCCCCGTGAGGGAGGTACTCTGACGCGGTTCTACATTGAGCTGGCACCAGGAACGAAGGCCAAGGACGTGAAGCTCGAGGATCTGCAACGGACGGCGCAGAATATCTTCAGTCCGTACCAGGTGGAATTCACCGAGACGGTGTGGTGGTCCGCGTATTCGATCGGGCAGCGCACAGCTGACTTCTTCCATCAAGACCATCGCGTCTTCCTTGCAGGCGATGCGTGCCATACACATTCACCTAAGGCCGGACAGGGGATGAACGTCAGCCTGCAAGACGGGTACAACATTGGCTGGAAACTTGGCTCTGTGCTGAACGGACTGGCCCATCCGTCGTTGCTGGAGACGTACGTTCTTGAGCGCCAAAAGGTAGCCATTGATCTGATCAATTTCGACCGATATTTCTCCAAACTTTTCTCGTCGGGACAAACTACTCCTGCTGAATTCCAAGAGGGATTCATCAAGTCTGGGAAATACACAGCGGGCCTAACGGCCAAGTATGAGAAATCAGTCATTACATCGGACATCGACGACTCTGAACGGCTCTCTTCGAATGTGACTGTCGGGATGAGATTGCCCAGCGCGCAGGTCGTTCGATTCTGCGACTCCAAGCCTGTGCAACTTGCCGAGCCGCTCAAGTCCGATGGACGATGGAGAGTCATGGCTTTTGCAGGAGATATTACTGTTCCTGGCAATCGAACAGGATTGAACACGGTATGAGTGCCTGTCCTTGTTGATATACCACTCTAACAACACGCAGCTCGGAAAATACCTGAGCTCCAGCACAGGTCCCATCAACTCTTTTACTTCGAAAAATGCAGACGTGGACAGCCTTATCGAGCCAATCCTAGTAGCTCATGGCAAGCGTCATGCAGTAGAGCTGGATCAGATTCCAGAATGCTTTTACCCATTTACGGGGAAGAATCAAGTGAGAGGTATGTCACTCGCATTGAATCAAATCAAAAGGGTTAGCAATATAACAGCATTCAGATTTACACAAGATATACTTTGACGACGAAAGCTACAATAGAGGACACGGACATGTCTACAAACACCTCGGAATGAGCCCAGAGAAGGGAGTGATTGTGATTGTCCGACCTGATCAATGTGAGTTCTTTCGACTCGGTTAAATATCTATAAATGAGTGACACCTTCAGATGTATCCGCCGTGATAGACATGGACGAATACGAGCAAATTGGAAAGTTCTTTGAGGGATTCTTGATACCACAAGGGTAGGTTTAATGAACGAGACTTGATATCCTGGCACTAAACGGGATATAGGAACGATCAACAGAAACAGGATCACGCAGGGAGCAAGCTTTAAGAAACTGAAATGTGAAATGAGGCGTTTGTATAGATTTTGAATATGTTGGTCGAAATATATGAATTAAACAGTTAAGATAGTGATAAAGCAGAGAATGTATTATACAGACATACTATGTTCCGATATCCGTGCCAAGTGATACTTGCGGGGATCCAACCCCGCACGATATTCGATAATCCCGAGATAACTATTCTGATAGCAGCATTGATGCGTACATCAGATTGCGCAAGATGGCTGACAGATGAAGCAATACCGGGTTTGTCGTTGGCGTGTTGTGGCATAACCCCGGCTCGTGATTGCGTGATGATGCGACACGGTTCAGGGCAGTATATAAAAGGCAACCCCTCTTCTGCTTCTTTGCCTCATCCCCATAATTACTATTCATAATTAGCATCATGGCCCCCTCAGTTGCTACAGATCTTCCCATTCACTCGTCCTCCAACAAGGAGCATGTGTATCCTGCTCCTCTGAGGCCCAGCGGTGCTCTGGATGAGTTCGCATTCGAAGAGACCACGCCCGCCATTGGCCGTGAATATCCCACCGTCAACATCGTCAACGACCTCCTCAACGCCCCCAATGCGGATGAGCTGGTGCGGGATCTTGCCATCACGAGTAACCACCCCTTCCCTTCCCTGAATCACCTTTTTCCTATCTGTTTACTAATAGCCTTGCTCTGCAGTCTCCCAACGCGGTGTCGTCTTCTTCCGCGCTCAGGACAATCTCAGCGATGACCTTCAGAAAGAACTCGTCCACCGACTAGGCCAGCTGACTGGAAAGCCTGCCGGCTCGACGCTGCACGTCCACCCATTGCTGAACAACACCAACGAATTCGGTGTCGCCGACAACCAAATTAGCACGATTAGCTCTCTCGCACGGAAGAAGATGTTCAACCACGCGCGTCAGCCCAACCAACGTCAATACGACTCAGCCCAATGGCACTCGGATATCCAGTTTGAGCCAGCCCCAGCAGACTACACCTCGCTGCGTCTTACCCAGCTTCCTCGCACAGGAGGCGACACCCTCTGGGCTTCAGGATATGATGTTTATGACCGCTTTTCTCCAAGATATCAGCAGTTTTTGGACAGCCTGACGGCGACGTTTGTTGGCGAGGGCTTCCTCCAAGCTGCTCAGCGCAACCCGAAGGACTACAAGATCTACACGGAGCCGAGAGGCAGTCCGTTGAACGTTGGCGAGGAGCTGAAGGCAGTGCATCCAGTCGTCCGCACAAACCCGGTCACCGGGTGGAAGAGCGTCTTCGCCATTGGGCCATTTCCTAGATACATAAACGAGCTGAGCCCGAGTGAGTCGGAGGAGCTGTTGAGAAAGTTCCGTACCATCATCACCGAGAACCACGACCTCACGGTGCGGTTCAAGTGGAGGAATCCTCATGATATCGGTATGCTTCCATCTATCCTAGAAAAATGTGTCATATCTAACTGTTGCAGCTATCTGGGACAACCGAAGTGCGTTCCATACCGCGACGTTTGACTACGAAGGACTTGGGGAGCGATTTGGCCACCGCGCAGTGGGCATCGGTGAGAGGCCGTATTTGGACCCAAGCAGCAAATCAAGGCTGGATGCGTTGGATGCTGAGAATGCTTGATCAAAGAATAGTATGAGTATATAGTATAGCTTTCATCTCTGTCAATATGTACAAGATAAGGTAGTGGCTGGTCCAATCAGATTCTGGTGATAATCACCCCCTTGTATATTGCGTTTCTATTGGTCACTTGGATTTCTTTTGCGCCTAGTAAAAACACAGGTCACTGGACAGCCTTGCCCAAAAGATGACATAAACAAACACAGCTGAGCACCTGACTGGGCTTAGCCTTTTGGAATCTCTTCCCAATCTCATCATCAGAATAGCACCAATTCAACTCAAAAATGCGTCTAATATATGCCCACAGTATCAAAGACCGACTCGATATTCGAGAATTCCACGATCACAACGTCCCCGCCTACGCTATTCTCTCGCATCGATGGGAACAAGATGAAGCCACCTTCCAGGAAGTCAGAGACAACAGTGCAGAGCACAAAGAAGGCTACCAAAAGATCAAAGCATTCTGCAGAAAGGCTATTGCGGTTGGCTTTGACTGGATCTGGGTTGATACCTGCTGTATTGACAAAACAAGCAGTAGTGAACTGTCCGAGGCGATCAATTCAATGTATCGCTGGTATCAAGAGGCCAGTGTCTGCTATGCGTATTTGCATGATGTGAAAGAAGAGGCTGATATCCCAAAAAGTGCGTGGTTTACTAGGGGCTTTACGTTACAGGAATTAATTGCGCCGTCTATGTTGATTCTGCTTGACTATAGATGGGGAGAGCTTGGGAGTAAAGAGAGTCTAAAAGAAACCATTTCACAGGTTACGCAGATACCAATCGGGATTCTGTCTGGAAAGGACGATCTGGAAAGCATCAGTGTTGCTCAAAGGATGTCATGGGCTGCTAAGAGATCGACATCGAGACTCGAGGACCAAGCTTATTGCCTGATGGGCCTGTTTGGTATCAATATGCCACTGATATATGGCGAAGGCAGAATGGCGTTTATCCGGCTACAAGAAGAGATCATGAAAGTATCAGAAGACCACAGTCTCTTTGCATGGGAGTCAGACGAACTGAATACTAGTGGTCTTCTTGCGACTTCTCCAGCAGCATTCCAAAACTCGGCGGATGTCATTGTCAAAAACGACTCCTCCCTGGCTTCCAAGCACGCCTGGACTGTTAACAACAAAGGCATCCATGTCAAGTTACCCTTTATTGGACTCGGGTGTCAAGGACTAGGGCTTGCCGTTCTGCATTGTACCAGAATTGGCAATGAGTCTCAGTGGCTGGCGATTTATCTCAGAGATATGAATCTCACCATGGAGTCTTTCCAGCGGACCTGGAGTGAAACGTTTGAGTTGATCGACCTCCAGCGCCTTCGTCCGGTGCAATTTCCTCTGCGGCGGATTTGCGTCCAACAACGACGTCTTGCAATGAGTGGCAGACAAATGGACCCTCAGAAGAGCAGCCTGAGAGACAGCTCTCAACGCCCACCAGCTGGAGCGGAATTTTTTCGTATGCTACAATCAAAGCCTGTGGCTGAAGCTGGCCCATCAGATATAAACCGACTAGATCAAAATGGGCGCTCTCATTTATCACACTTGGCAGAGGAGGGTGACCCACAAAAGGTGCTGTCAATGCTGTCGGTCAAGAATATCGAAGTCAACTCTGAAGATAAATCTGGACGAACGCCGCTATCCTACGCCGCACAAGCAGGGAATGTGATAGTAGTTTGGCTGTTACTGACCAAACGCGGTAGCAAGTCTGACTCGAAGGACTTTTCTGGGAGAACGCCACTATCGCTCGCAGCAGAAAGAGGACATTCTGAAGTTGTCTGGCTGTTGTTGACTCAAGCAGATGTTGGCGCTTACACGACGGACAACAGTGGCCTAACACCACTGTCATATGCCGCAAAAGGAGGCCATGAAAGTCTCCTGCGAATGTATCTGGCACGAGGCAATTTCAAAGATCATTTGATCGACGGTTCTGGACGGACACCTCTATCTCATGCTGCCAGTAATGGACAAGAAGGCATACTGAGTCTGTTGCTCAAACGGAGTGACATTGAGACAGATATGAGAGATACCGACGGCCGCACGCCACTAGTGTCTGCAGTGCAGGCAGGATACGTCTCTATCGTCGAGCTTCTCCTTGATCGTGATGCCGACATCGATGCCCAGGATAACGGGGGCAGGACTGCAATGTGGCATGCAGTGAGGAATCGACACGAAGCCATGATTCAGCTCTTAATTTCCCACGGAGCGAATATCAACTCAAAAGGTGGCAAGAGAGGAACAGCAGTCCGTCTTCCAACACCGGGCACGAAACAGGATCACCTCATTCGTCTACTGGCTGCAAATGGAGCTGATATCGAGCAAAATGATGAGTCTGGCAAGGGGATTGTCCACTGGGCTGCAAAGGAACAAGATGAAGAGATTGTGAAGCTCTTGCTGTCTCATGTCGTTGATCTCCACTCACCAGATAGCTCTGGGAAAACACCATTGTTTTGGGCAGCAGAAAATAACCGCGAAGATATTGTCCGGTTACTCCTTGCTCATGATGGTAACACGGAGTCGAAGGATGGTTATCGTACGCCGCTGGTTGTTGCCGTCAAGAATGGTCATTATCGCATTGCTCAACTGCTGCTTGCCCATGGCGCAAATCCTAACCTGACAGATCATTTTGGCAGTACCTTGCTTCGATGGGCAATGGAGCATGCCCAGGAAAACATGTTTTTACTGCTTATAGCCCATGGAGCAGATACTAACAAAGGGGACAGGTATGTACCAGCGCATACTATGTCTGTGGATACTAACTAGAACAGGCTGGGCAAAAACGCATTATGCTGGGCAGTTGAAGTCGGCAACGAGAGCTTCGTGAAACATTTATTAAACCACGGCGCTGACCCGGACTCGAGAAACATCAAAGGCGATCCTCTTATTTTCGTGGCGATATACAAGAGTCAGGATGTTATTGTCCGGCTATTGATTATGCACGGGGCAGACTTAGAAGCCAAAAACACAGACGGGAAGACGCCAATTCAGTATGCGAAACGATTAGGATACAGCCTGGGAGCGTATGGAAAAAGACACAAAGGCATTCGATTTACGGGCATGGAGTTGATATAAAAAGACAAAAACATATACCATCATAAGTATGGTAGTAGTCACCCTACAGTTAGTACATCGTTCGTCCGGGCTAACGGAGTGCACAGGTTGGGGTCCACTCCGGTATAAAATTCCGTCTCCTTGCCCGATATAAGGCCAACGGATTAGTGGGTCCTTCCGCTGAAACCTCGATCTGTGGACATCGTACAATGGGACTAATCAGCCTTGGTCTCCATAACCCATGTAAAAGCTGCAACAGCAGATGAAACAGGCCCCGGCTCCGGTGGGGCCCTTATATATACAGAGACTCATAATGCCCTCTTGCAGGCCCTCATCTTCATATCTTTCATTAAACCCTCGATAAATCATTCTACTCCAGACAGTCTTCATGGAAGAGGTTTGGGAAAGATCGCTTTCGCCAGAGCGGATAGCCTATTTGGCACAGTCGCGTATTCCAGAGATCATTATTTGCAATGTGATGCTTCTGGTGATCGCGACCGGTGGGTTGCTAGTGAGGCTTTTTGTGAGGTTTCGATATCTTACGGGAATTAATCTCGATGATTTTCTGTGTGTGACTAGTTGGGTATGTCTTCTGATTCTTCTATTTCTCTTCCGTTACTTATGCATAGCTTGTTTGATCTAGGTTTTTACTGTTGTTCTGTGCATTACTTGCATGTGCAGTAGGTGGCTTTGCAATAAACGAACATACAGTATGCTAACACTTCGTCAGTGACCAAATATGGATTCGGCAAACATATTGGAACGGTGTCAGACTTCGGCGACCGAGAAATGTTCCTCAGGGTACGGAATCTATCATCTATCCAATCATCATGACTATCCACTGATTATTCCGATTACTTCCTCACAGCTCGACTTTGTCACAATGGTCGCCTACGTCCTCGCCCTCGGTGCTATTAAAATCTCTTTCTGCCTCCTATACCTACACATCTTCCCAGGAAACAAATTCCGCATTGCCTGTTTGTGCATACTTGCCATTATAGTGGGCGAGACTATCGCGGAGACTCTTGTTGTGGTTTTCCAGTGCTGGCCTGTCCATAAGGCGTGGGATGCCACGGGCCTGGTGCAAGGCAAGTGCGTTGATATGACGGCCCTTTACTACGCCAATTTCGGGATTAAATTGGCCACTGATCTGGCTCTTTTTGGCATGCCCATGCCGAAACTGGTGAGGTTGAAGATGACGGTGGGAAAGCGGGTGGGCTTGGTGATGATGTTTAGTTTGGGTCTTCTGTATGTTCCTCTGACCCTTCTTTGCAATAACCAACTAATATAGATATCTGCCAGTGTCTGCATGACGAGCATCATCCGAGTTTCATACATGAACCCCTTTTCTGAAGACCACACCTGGGTCCTAGTCGACACAATGAACTGGTCCTGCGTGGAAGTCGGCGTGGCCATCTTCATCGCATGCATCCCCTCCTTCAAAACACTCATCACCAACCGATTCCCATCCCTGAGGCGTCTACTCGGGTTCTCCAGCAAAGGCGACTCACACGGCCCGTCGAGGATGTACGGCAGTATGACGACTCGTCGAACGTACAATGGTCTATGCACTGGGGAGCATGACAAGGGCAATAACGTGGAGCTGAAAACGGCGACAGGGCATGTGGTGGATGTGGAAACAGCAAATCACGCCCGAGAGGAACGCATCATGAATATAGGGATCCAGGTCACCACCGACGTTAGTGTCAATGGGAGGAGTGTCTGAGGGTAAAACGATTAATCTATGTCTTCCACGCTACTGCCGCACCAGGCGAGTCTAAAGCCGGCTAGTTCGAGGCAAACTTTAAAAAGAAATAAATTAATTTATATCTAACCTCGGATTGTAGCTCTATTCGTATTCCATGCATATTGGACCTGCCACTAGCCCACTACTTTACTAATTTAAAGATTGCTCATGGAAGATAGTGGAAGATAGTGGGGTATGCTATATAGAGCAGGTACACTCCGCGATCGCGATACAGATCGACAATAACCCAACACCACCGCTGCATTGATCGAGTTTCGCATTTTGCTTCTTGTTTGCGCCCAGACGAAGATAGACTTTATTGAGTTCTTGACGTAAGGTCTGACATATCTTCATTCAATATTGACCACACTCAATCTCTATTGTTAAGTCAGCACGAGATAATCGAGCTTTAATTGTTGAGTAGTAAGTTCGACAAACTAAATTCAAGTTTGTCAGATATTCAATCAGCGAAAAACAATAAGAAGACAATATATTTATAAAATATACAACAGTAGGATATACGGTGGCGGTCACCTAACTCCGTTCATGCTGTTGTGGGTGGTTCGCCGCCCTATTTAGCTAATCTTTAGGGAGATTTAGACCACCGTTTAGTTACCTACCTAGATATTCTAGAAAGTATATTTATATAATTTAGTGATAGGGAAGGTTTAAATAATAGAAGATATTATAAATACTACTACTATATAATCACAGGTCTTTATTTTTATGTATCTTTTCCATGTATCCTAATAAAATAATTGTCACGGATCGAAGACCTTCAAACCGTGTCAGATAATAAACACATAAAGAATACTACCTATTTCATATAACGATGACACGGGTAGCAGGCTGTCAAAAACGGCTAAACTGGTATACTGATAATTTATATGCAAAACATGAGTTTGTTTCAATGTATCTTCGAATGCTATTTTTCAGTATTCAAAGCCAATTTTGTTTAACTAATTAGCCGAAATGCGCCCATTCGATGAGGGTCCAGCCTATCATCAAACAATGATCCAATCAAACAGCGCCTAGTAAATCGAACATTCAAGGGCCTTGGTATAATACGTATTGGTGGATGTGCCGTCATCGGACTCAGACGTTCCACAGTCATCATACGTGGGCTCTTTGTACAGATAGCCCAAACATGTGAAGCTGAGCTCTGCATTGTCGCATGAAACGTAGCCCGGCTTGTCTGCTTGTCCCGAGTACTTGCACCCGGTATACTGGCCCAGAGTGAAGGGGCCCAGGGAAGTTGGCCATAGCGCAGACACTGAGGCGCTGACAGGTCCCACCACATTCTGGACATTATCGCAGATGTCCGCTGTGGTGATTTGCATTCTGTAGCCCCAGTACGAGCCAAACCAGGCGTAGCTTCTGTCAATGGATAAATCGATATGAGTTGCTACCTGCTCACGCATGTAAACGATGAATGAGTTCGGGGTGGGGTCGTGGGCTTGGCTATTACTTGTGGTTGATTAATAACCCTAATAACCCTAATAGTCGGAGTCGGAGGGTTTGTTGGTGGGGAAGGCTTCGATCCAGCCGGATCCTGCGCCAGCTGCAGTGACAGCAGTGGGGGCTCCAGTAGAGGTAGTAGTAGTAGTTGTCGTTGTAGAGCTTTCATCATCATCATCACCATCACCACCGCTGCCACTGCCACTCCCACTGTCGCTGCCTCCACCACCACCTCCGATGGAGATTCCAAAGCTAGGGGGACAGAGTGGACAACCACCAACACAATGTGAGACACCTGTAAATGTTAGTGTGGTCTTTTGAAAATAGCTCAGAGCGATACTCACATCCACCTCCACAGCTTGTAGTACATGGAGGCCCTGCATCTCCGGAAGACTTCACGGAGGTGCTCTTGGAGTTTATTGTAGGGTCAGGGCCAGGAGAATCGGTAATTGTGGGATATACATTCGGCGTCACTTTCACAGACCTGGGAGGAAGCGTGGTTCCACCGGGCACCGAGGTGGTACCGCCGACCACCACCTCGGATGACGAGCGGGTGTAGCTGAGAGAGCCAGATGAAAAGGTAACTCCTGGGATGGTTGTTGTCATGCCGCCAATGATGGTGGTTGAACCTCCAATTGTCCTGGTGTAGGGTTAATCAGGCTGTGCAATGCCGAAGGTAAACTGAGAAAGTGAAACCCACGGAGTCCAAGTCACCATGAATGGGGCTGGCAATACTGAACTAGTCTGATAGACATATTCCTGTCCACTGGTAATGACTGGATGCCACACAGGGATTCTATCCGTAGTGACCGGCATATATCAGTAAAGATCGATTGGAGACATATAGCTTTGGGGGAGATAGCTTACGCGGTGGGATAGGAATAACCGTAGGATGGGAGTAAACAATGAACGATCGATATGATTGAACATCTCCATTGATGTATGTGGTGGTGCTGGTCACTGTTTCGCGATTGGTAAAAACGGTCACTGAATCTGGGAAGCTGATGGTGGTGGTGGTTGATAATGGCAGAGGGGGCATGATCATATCACATGGTGGGGTACAGGTCACAGCAGGTGTTTCCTCCTCCCAGATGCTGCCATCAATTGTGATGGTTGCGCCACTTGTTCCACTTGATGTTGCGGAGGCAGTTGTTGGTACACAAGCAGGAGATGGACAATATCCTCGTTGGCAGGAAAAGCTACATAAGGGACCATAGATGGCTTCATCCTCTGTGCTGGTTGGTACGCCCTCAACTGTCGAAGTAGGATTTTTTACCACCAAAGCACCTTTCTCTGTACAGGTACAGGCATTCATAGGGCAGAATCCATACCCACAGGCGTAACTGCAAAGACCAGCCAGATTGCCCTCCCCACTACCCTTGATGCAGGCAGGGGGCGCAAAGTCGGAGACTGTCGGGGTGGATAGCGGAGCAGAGACTGTCGTACAGGCGCTGTCAGGGCAGTAGCCATAGTCGCAATCAAAGCTACAGAGACCGCTGTAGCTAGCATCCAATCCTTCAAGTGGGTACCCTTGCACTCCTGTTGCATTAGGCAATAACTTGTCCTCCCCCATATCCAGACATGTACATGCACTGACTGGGCAGTAGCCCCGTTGACAAGCATATTCACAGAGTCCAGCAAAGTTGGCTGCGCCTGTCCCATTAACACATTGCATTTGGTCCAGCGTTGTAGGGGGGATTGCATTCACTGCACTCGAAGCTTGTGCAGAGCCTACCCATGCATTGAAATTTGCCAAACCATTAGTACAGGTTGTAGTAACTGCCTCACCTGCCACCTGGGCGATGGTATCCCCATCACGAGAGATGGTTACCACTACCTCTCCGGTGTGGCCACTGAGAGCCGCCTGGCCATGATAAATGCCAGTTCTCAGCTCAGCAACACTATGATCCGGGGTGTTTCTCCAAGTCGCTTGCACCTGGACACCGCCAATAGTGACCGATACATCCGCTGGCTTCTCCAGAAGGGCCGAGAAGAGCACCATATCCTCAAAGACCTCAGTGGGGTCGAACTCGAGCTGCAGCTGGTGGGCAGTGTTGGCGCTGGTCCCCCCTGTTCCACATGCGGTGACTGGTTGGAGGCGATACCAGGTGACGAGCGTTTCGGTGTCGATGGTGGCAATGTCGTACTTGTAGGTAGCCGCCACATACTCGAGAAGGAGACGCCAGCCATCATGGGGCATGTTGGTCACATAGTCAAATGGTGCTTCTCCAATATCAAGGGCCTCCAATGCGTGATCCCGGATTGGGCCAATGTAATGGGACTCCCCATAATCATTCCAACTGATGATTTCAACAAACTCGGGCTGTAGGTACCAAGCCTCGAGCCAGCGATCATGCCATAGATGATCTCCTCTCCACACCCAGTTCTTTTGGTAGCCTGGGAGGTTCGTGTAGAACCAGGGTGATATTGGCATCATATAGGGCAGGGCTGTTCCTGTCTGATTGAGGTACTCCATGTATGGCGCATCAGTGTAGGTGTCCATGTCATTCGGACCCCAAGGCCAGGCAGCCCAGCTAAACAGTCCATCGACAAATCCCACCGCCGCCTGCTTCGAGCGCGGCCTTGGCTCCAAGGGAGGACCAGTCTGGCATGAAGAAACAATTGGTTTGCCGTTTGATGGAAATCCAATCCTTTGCATTCGCAGAACCCTCAAAGGTCGACACAAAGGGCTTGGAATTGTATTGGTAGTAGGCTGGGTAACTGCTGTATTTCGTGATCAAGTCCGCGACAGTGGCTTTTGGCCAAGGACCGTTTCCAGCATAGTCAAGGGAGAAGAAGAGGCCAAATTCGCCCACATTTTTGGCCGCTTGAAAGGCCAACGGGAGAGCGATGTCATTGGTAGGGTCATTGTATCCCATATTGAGAGCAAAAGCATCAATGTTTGCCATTCTTGCCGACTGTATATCATCCTCCCAGTCACTGAGGGTATAATTGGCAGAATTCGTAACCTTGCAAAAGAGAGAGGGGGGTTAGAAAATAGGTCTGTCTGCAATAGTGTTTGGGGAAATCTAACCATGAAGTGTGCAAATACTGCCCTTGCTGTCACCTAATATGCACAGAGGCATACCAGGACCAGTTGAGTAACCCTCATCGCGCTTTACTGTAAGCCTGGAGAGTGGTACTGATGATATCTCAGTCTTGGATAATTCCCCTAAAGGCGATGGCTACTTTTTTATAGTTCTCCTGTCAATGCCTAATTGACAGCCTGTTGCCTTTTTATTTTATTTGCAAATTGATTTCTCCTGCCCTTTTTCCGTTCATTCTTTCTATGCCCCTCCTTCCTCCACTCTCGATCGATACATTTTTGACCTCAATTTCAGCATCAAGTCCGTTCAACATTCCACATCCCATAACTAAAGCTACAAAGTATATTAGCAAATGAGAAGTGTAGGTTACATCGCGCGCCGTTAGCACATTTGTAAGTTTAGAGAGAGCTGGTTTCATTTCGATTTTAGTTGACAAGAAGAGGTTCCAATCTCGGATCCACAACTGAGATATTGATCCTTTACCCGAAAGGCCCTACTGCGCGTAAGCCACGGAAGCGTCGGGCCGTCAGCTAAGCTACGGCTCTGGCTTCTATAGCTTAGCCAGAGGCCCTCATCGGATCACGGATGTCAAGTGGGAACAGACTAGCTTTGATGGAAACTCTGCGGTCTTGTCTGTGCGTAAAAACCTGTGACAGCCCTGCCCCCATAGTCATAAAAATTGGGCCGAAGCAAGGATGAACTATGCCTAGGGGTTTATCTAGTGCTATGGACCCTGGTTTTACCAACTTTATGTATACTCCAAGCGACTTGTCTAGATCGCACTAACATGATCACTACTACAAACAGCGTGCTTGGCATTTGACCTTTCTTATTTTGTTTAGTTTCCCTTCTCACTTTCCCCTCTTCGTTTCTTTTTTGCTTTGTTGCCAACTTAGCGGAAATATTGGCATTCGCCTTTCATTCTTCGACATTTTAATGCAGTTTTTGTCGAATCCATCATGGTAAAACAGATTGTCTGAAACCTTGTTGTTTGACTACCAGTTGTGAAGATGAGCGTGTTGATCAACGCAGGTAGGGCTAGTTGAATCTTCTCTTCTCAATTATGAAGTCTATTGTTGGGCATGTCTGCATTTATCGACCAGTAGTCATAAACAAGCATAGCCTTGACAAATGCAAGTGTTGTCCGCCTTGGCTCTATCTTGACTATACCTACAGTGACACTATACCCGTTGGCCTAACCCAACATAGACGCATTTCAGTTAGTATATCCTTTGCCAATTCTATATCTTAGTCTTTGCTTTTTCTTCCGGCCCTTCCGGCCAACGTAGAAGCCTCACTAACCTCCAAGCTTGCATTTGTTGCAGCAATAGATATCAGGGACGGACCAGACCAACTTCACATTTGCGTCAAAGTCCGAGAGCTAATCAAACTTGATAAGCTAGTAGAAACCGCGTTACATCATTTTATATTTCTACCACTTCTGAGTGAGACATTGCTAGAATTATTTCTTATCTCGGAAACGGCAAAGCTTAGAGGTCATGGAATCCACACTGTACCTGATTATCTGCCAAGCAATCGGTTTGCAGTAGTATAGTCTAGCCAAGTGGCTTAGTTAGGTTAGTGTGCGCTATCAACGGGCATCTTGATACGGCTCTATCAGGTTGAGGCTTCTAGACTAAGCTGCAGTTTGTCGCATTCGAATCAAGTGCTAGGCCCCCTCGCCTGCTAGGCTACAAAGGTATGTATTACTCTGCATGAAAAGCCTTTATCCAATAGATCTGCACATATAATATCGTAAGAGTTGACTATAAATGTCATTCTCGTAGTTGATCTTCTCCAGTGCCGTATCTGGGTTAAAAAGGGAGGGACCAAAATATATATATATATATATATATATATATAAAACGGATTTTGATCTCCCGGGGAATCTAGCGTTCGTCCCGGCGGTTATCTCAAGAGATGAGTGCTGTAAAAATTTGCCATTTCTAGTTTAATTTGTTTTTGGCGCTACGTTCTCTAGTCAAAGGCGCTCTTATCCTTATCCACTTGGGTAGTGCGGTAGTGCCGGACCACCACAATATAGGAATGGCCTTGTATACTACTGTACAAGACCCTTTCATTTAACTAATTCTCGCCACAAATCTTTAGTCGAAGGATCTGATTCTAGGAGCCCTGAAATTGAGACAAGGCCAAGGCGAAGGAAAAAGTCGACTCACGATAACCCGTACGGAGGAGTAGGATCCTAGGCGAAATGAATTAACGCAGAACGGCCCCCTCACCTGATTGAGGAATTTGTAATTCATATTCGTGGTTGCTTTATTATATATCTGTGGAAATTCTTGGAAGTTTGAAAGGTTACCAAGTAAAAGATATCTACGCGACTGTCTACATTATGTTGGTCGGTTATTGCAAAGGCTGGCTGTTGCCAGTGCTACTTGGGGTCGTATTCAACTCGTGCAGTGTTCGCACTGCAGATATGAGCGATCTTTTTCGAGTATCTAGTGGGAGTGACGAGACAGGCAATTGTGATGCATACACGGACTTGCTGGATCTTTATTTGAAAGAGTCTAAAGTGCTAAGCAATGTTCTCATGCAGGCCATTGAAAACTATCAAACCGACACCGTGGTTCAAAGGCTTCTCACTTCGTATTTCGGCATCGAGTATGATTACAAAAATGGGGAGATCGCAAAAGAAAGTCAAGAAAGTTGGATGTCTTTCGTTAGTGAGTCTGCTTCCATTTGTCCGCTCACAGATTCGATGGTTTAAAGACCTGCTGAAGATCAATTTAGCATGAGCTAACAATTTCTTTTTCAAGATACTGCCAACAGGGTGACGTACTTCTTTGATGGAAATGGATTCGAAACCATGAGCCCTGAGCTCCCTTATTTATTCTGCGACGGCAACTTTGGGCAGCACTACGAATGGAATTCCATGCATTTGGCCCGCAAGGAAATGGGATCGAGCTCGATGGAAGCGACGAGGAAGACCCTGAAGCAGTCTACTACCCTACAATTACAGATGTCTACGCCACCGGTCTGGACGAGAGGTCGCCGTCAAAGACTAAGCCATACTGGATTCAGCCACTGGGTGGATATGTCTTCCTTGGATCCAATGTGGGAGACAATCTTTGCGATTATGTAGAAGAGGGACGAGTCGTGGTCGCGTACACTGCACGGGGCGTGGAGGAGATAACGAGAATCCAGGGCGATGACAGCGTCACGATCCCCGCCTTTCCGGATGGCCTTCTTTTGTGTCCTCGTCTTATGAATAAGGAGGTTGCTCCAATGCATTCTCTGGGCGATATACCATACATCGATATCCATGACAATGTCTACTTGTCCGATATCCTACCTGAAAGTAGCTATTTGTTTCATGAAGTGACACATCTCGTTACTACATGGCGCCTTTATGGCGGCCGCGAAGAGAAGGTCACAGATTTCGCTTGTAAGTTGAGACCAATTCTGAGAGCCTATCTGGAATGTCGCAAATTATCTAATCATTTGCCAGATGACGTCCTAGAGTGCATTCAGCTAGCAGCAGGAGCCCGTGAAAAAGTACGAAGGTATTATGCTACTCTGAACGCGCAATCATTTGTGTACTTCGCCATGTCCTACTGGTATTACCTCCAAGAGTGGCATGGAAGAGATCCCATCACATTCTATGCCGGGAGGGCGGTTTCGTCAGATTGGATGGGAGATTCAGTTTCCGATTCTGGATCGGGGGCAAAATCTGAATAAGCAGTTGGAGGAAGTATATAATATTGGAAAGGCATCTATGGAGAAACTCGACCGAGATCCAGCGCTGCGGCCATGTTAAAATTCATATATTTGTGATAGGAATGCCAGTGTTCAGCAATGCAGACCGGATCGATTCCGAAGCCCAAACTTGCGCCATTGCTCGCGGGTCTGCCAGGTAAACCTGGGAGGCCTTGGTGGACGCTGTTCTGCCTCCATAAGCATTTGAATGATGTTCTCATTGCCCGTTTTCATAACCGTTGAGCGTGGAGAGAAAAGGCCACAGCCGTTAAGATAGGGGCTACATCCTTTGTCGAGTAGGATTCTGATAACTCCTTCATGCCCCCCCCACTGCTGCATAGGCAAGAGCTGTCTCCGTCTGACTGTCATATGCATCGATGTCGATCCCATCCATTGCCAACAGCAGTTGTACTACTATTTCATGCCCCCCTTCTGCTGCCTTCATCAACGGCGTACAGCTACCACAGTCCATATTGAATTTCATCCCCGGAACCTTCAAGAGACGTTCGACTACCTCATCGTGTCCGTTGGCCGCTGCGTGAAACAGTGGAAAGCAGCTCTTCCTATCTCGGTAGTGGACATCCACCCGACCCGTCTCCAGCAAAACCTGCAAAACATCCGCATGTCCATTCTTGGCCGCATAGCACAGCGGCGTATAGCCGGCGCTGTTACCCGGGTGTAATCGGGCCCGGTCGGGCATGTCCAGTTGGATCTCCGGGCGTGTCAGCAGGAGCTTCGCGATCTCAGCATACCCGTTCTTTGCAGCCCAGGTAAGAGACGACTGGCCGAATTTATCTGCAGCGTTCACGTCGACTCCGTCCAGGTTTAAAAGATATTCCACCATCTGCCGCTGCCCGACCTTGGAAGCCAAGAGCAGCGGTGTTACCCTGTTCTTGGTAGTCATCGACAGCGACGCGCCGTTATCCAGAGCTCGTTGGGCAGTTCCTTGCTGCCCATGTTGTGCTGCCCAAAATAACGCCGAAGCGCCGGAAGACGTTGCGTTTCGGCGATAGAGATAGTCGATGAGCAAATCGTATAGTTGTCGGTTCAGTGAGGCGAATACGAGGACATCCTTTTCTCTCTCAAGAGAGTCGGTGATATGCAATAATAGTTCCAGCGGGAAATCGAGGATATGCATTGATGGATATGTTGATAGAGGAGAATAAGATGGTGGAAAGCAAACTGGGGATTGAAGTATTTAAATAATGCGCTGACTAGATGCATTTCAGTCTAGTGGCGGATTGTGTCCCATTCTTGTCCAGCGACTAGTTTCACTTCATTCCCAGTTAGTCTGGTTAATTTATATCCTAGCCAACCAGTAAATAGCACTAAAAAACATCAAAGATATATGAAAAGGAAGAAACACATAGGGGATTCGCTGGTGATCACCCATAGATAGATATAGTCTTTCGCTTATAATATCTAGTGTGCGTTATCTTGCGGAGCTTCTTTTAGCAGTAAAAGCAAAGCAATCTACAGATCATTTTATTAGTAATAAAAAGGTACTCTATTTTAATGTTATTAAGAACTCCAGTCAAAATACACATCTAAATATAATTATTAACGTGCGAAATGCGAGGATCCCTAGGTATTACAACACCACCTAATAAAGCAGAATCTTGCCTTAAAGTAATTGCTACCCTAAGGAGAACCATACCTTAGATTAATATATACTCTAGGGCAGTATCTGCCCTAATATAGGTATTACCTTAAGGTATTTGTTTTTGTCCTGGTCTCTGGAAATACGCCTTGACTGCGAAACGATATACTTGGCCACTATTTGCAGGAGTCTCCCTCATAATGCCCCCAGCATATTCGCGACCTTGGCCACATCTTGGAGGAATAAATGATGCGGACTATAGGCGTTGAATTGGCAGTGACTTGTTCAATACGAACTGGGACGAGGCTGGGAGTACAAAAGTACCAATCATAGTGAATCCATACCTAGTACCCAGCGGACCTGCAAAACGAAGCAGATCGTATCGAGGATTTGGTTCAGTAGATATATTCCCACGGCTCAAGAGTGCAGGAGGATCTGGTTTGCGGAGCCTGAATTCCATGGTTATGGTTCATCCATCTTTTCTCGCGGCATATTTCTCCGCAGACTGCCCAGTCATTAAACAAACGACTTGTCAAGAAGGCAGACTGACTCACTGTAAAGGGATTTGATCTGAATTAGTCCATTGGCCCTGCAATATTGCGCTTAATTTTTAAGAGCCATAATAATTATCTGGCATCCAAAAATGGTCCATGGTGAATGCAGATATAGATGGAATGAGTGAAATGTTTGCATCCAGGTAAAATATTAAAGTTTATGATTTATATGAACTCTAATTAACATTACATAGATAATCATGACGGTTCGTTCGAGTCTGGCCACATATATTGGTTTGTTCTTGTGGCGATGTATAGTGACATGTGACATATTATGGGTCTTCAGATTGGTTCTTCCACATGTAACTTTATATCCTGAGCCACAGAAGACTATTTCCATGTTCCCAACTGTCTTGGCCTTTCTGCACATTGTGCTCTAATATTCAGCTGACATGCTTCTCTAAGAGCATTCATGTAATTATGTAGCGCCTGCTCAACAATATAAATTCAGCTGGAGCTAGGGCAGCAGTTCAAAATTCACAACCCTCCTAGATTACCATCTCAAACACCCTCACCATGAAATACAACTTGAATCCAATGAGCCTTACGTTGCTCATTTATCTAACAGCTATCCTCAATGCAGGCTTCTCAAACGCCAAGTCCCTAGAAAAAAGGGTTCTTACTCCAACTGGGATTTCACGAGCTTGTAATAACTTCAGGTTTGAAAATGTTCACTATGGAACAACTGTCTGTGTTGGGCTCTCCGGCACTGATTTGATTGTCACCTACCCGGAGGTTTATGTCTGGCCTAATACTACCCCTTTCCCATATGAGAGTGCCGATGTCTGGATTGGTACCGGCCAGCCACCCAGCACCTCTCCAGGCGGATATCCATACAGAACTAATAATGGATACTGTACCTTTAACAGTGGGCATACCGCGGTTACATGCAAAATTCCCTTAAACAAGTTCACCAACAATGCATGTGCCGGTGTGCCATTCAATATTATCACCCATGCACATGTAACCGATCAAGGAGAGGCATGGGGTGGATGGGATTGCGTTGAACCGGACTGCGATCCCAAGAACTACTATTGGTCATTTGATATTACGTGTGAGGATATCAAGACATGCTACTGCTGCCGTTCTGCAGTGAATCCTTTTGGGTCTTTCAAAGGTGCGGGATCAGGATGTCGAAAATGCCCAGAGTGTCGTGTGGGAAGTAAGTTGACTCGAAAACAAAGACAAAGGCATTATTGACAATTTCCAGATGATGCTCCTTGTGCCAGTCCACAGCCTAGAAAACTGTGCTGTGACAAAGTTATTGCTGTAAGTCTCATTTATTTATACGTCCGGTGCAGAAAAATGCTGACTATAGAACAGAGCGGCTCAGATGTAAGTCAAAATTTATCAGGATATATGCATTTATTAATCAGAAACAGCCAAATATTGGAGTTGCTTGTGCGTGACTAAAAGGTTCACCGTGATTGGCAAGTATGTTATGGGCGGCTGCTTTGGTCTTATTTTCTTCATTCTGCTAGTTTATTTGAGGCGTGAGAGTAATATGAAGTAATTGAGCAGTAATCGTCTTCCGTCGTAGCGACACAATCCAACTATCCATAGTGTCCGTAAAAGACTGCCTGTCCCGGAATTTGGATTGACCGAGCATGTCAAGTTGCATCATCCACTGATAGAGAAGCAGATACCCGATGTTTACCGACACTATTCCAGCCACAAACTATAATCCCTACACTCATAGATAGCATCTCATTCCAATGATAAGACGTGCTGAAAGCGAAACCGACGTCTCACATCCCAAAGTCATTCTTGTGATCACGCTGTCAGTTTGATCATATTATCCCACATTTTCGGTAATGGAAACCGGTTGATTCAGCTGTGGTGGATTGTCGTGAGCTGGAGGGTATCTGGATGCAGTGAGGCAGGTATAGATGCATCGACTGGTTGTGATATAGACGGAGCACAGACGGAAGATGATAAGCCGATCATCGCCCCATTTTACGAGAGCTGCCCAGACGGTTGTGGGCAGCTGGGCTTGAACGGGCCGTTGGTGCTGGGGACTAGGACCTGATTGGGGGCGAGAGAGGGGAGAATAGTCTCGGAGCATTGAGATGATGGCGGTACAACGGCTCCATTCGCAGACTTTCTGGTGTCTGCTATTCGCTTCCCTGATGGTGTTGGTTAATGGACCTGATGATAGATGGACAACTCACGACGTGCTTGCTGTGCCAGTCGATCTTGGATTTCTTTCGCAGACGGCCAACACGAATACCCTGCCAGTTATCTCTTCTCTATCTATTGCAGTTTGATTAAAGTGAGTCTGACAAGTGATGATTGATAATCATCGTGACTAGTAGAAATAGTGGTGATTAGTGATCTTAAGCCAAATTAAACATAATTAACCTAATTACATTCAATACAAGCGCCATAAGATAACAGGTTATTGTGACAGTATTCTAGGAAAGCATGCTCTATATGACAGAAGAGAAATTGTCTCAAGTAATGGCATCTGATGCTCTGATCTTGTTCTGATTCACTTAAGCAGCGTATCTAGTCAATTCATAGGTCTATTATTATAATATTCTGCTCCTACTTGACCTGTCTGAAATCATGTTTGATGACATGGTGGCTCTGAGGTTAGTACCCTTGAGTTATTCTGTCCTTCTGCGGATTCAAAAGCGCTGGATGCCTCCTGGTGCCGTGAGCAGCCAGTAACTAGATGAATGGCTTGTATATATATAGGATGTTAGACTATGTTAGGATACACCTATATAACAGTGGTGCCCTGAAACGCCCTAGTTTGTATGGGGCGTACGCGTACGTCGAGACGGCCCCTAGCTGGGTAATGTTATAGTGATTTTAACGCTTGAATCGCGATGAATCCAGCAGCATGCAACTCCATATGCAGTGTTTTCCTTCAGGAGAGGTTTCCATTCATAAGTTCACACTCATTGCTTTAATATTATCACCAGCAGCGAATCCTTGCTGTTCTGTGTTCTGCATTTCTTTTTTTTTAGCTTATTCTGTCATAATAAAGCCCATTGGATGATAGAAAATATCATGTGACCCGGCACCAAAGCGATCCCTCTTGTATACATACGTCAGGATGAACCTCACATTCATATTTCAAGCTCGACTGTAGAGGATAGATAAATAATATAAAAACGGTTGATATGCTACAGAGCATAGGATAATAAGGCTAATATCACTTCATTCACCATACACTAGCATATCACAACAGCATTACTTTTTATCCCTTACCATGCCAATGAGTAATATAGATCATATCGGTATTTCTGCGCCAAAAGATGAATTCGAAAATGTGATCAAGTGGTACAAAGCAGCGCTCGCCCCCTTGAATTACAGAGAGATCATGCGCTTCCCGGGCGCTGTGGGGTTGGGCAATGAAGGCCCAGACTTCTGGATCACAGAGCGAGAGTCCAAAACACCACAAGAACTTCATTTTGCATTCATGGCTCCTGGTAGGTTGCTTCCATTATGTTACCTGAGGTGGCAGTAAACATGCCCAAAGCTAACTTGGCAGTATAGACCATGCCACTGTCAATGCCTTCCACCAGGCTGCCCTTGCCGTCGGCGGCAAATGCAATGGCCCCCCTGGAAAACGACCGCAGTATCATGAAAACTACTACGGTGCGTTTGTTTTGGATCCGCTCAATAATAATGTAGAAATGGTAAGTCTGTCTGATTGGAACTTTATACATTCGAGAGGTTGGTGGCCTAACTAAGGCATTTTGATCAGGTTGATCACTGTTCTCATGAGGAGGAGTATCGTTGACTTTGAAGTCGTGGGTTTTCTATAAGGACTTTGGTTCAAAAGCATTTGACCCTCCCTGGCTTGAGTCACGCCTAGGATATGGTTCGCTGAGAATGACCTTTCTTTGTAGCTGAACTAACAGATACTATTGAAAATATATCTGGGTATTTGACCATTTGCGAAAATGTCTGTGATCTCCAATCCTAGTGCAGTCAATATATATGCCATACATGATAAGCTACATCTATAATCTAATCTTAAGAACCAAAATGTCTGGAAAATGCCCCCTTCCCAGATCCAATGTTGCCGATATAGAAGCGGCAAGTCATATACTGAATACACTATTGAATGTTGTGGGATGTAAGATTTGATGCATTCCAGTCTAGTAGCTGATTATGACCCATTCTTGTCCAGTGACTAGTTTCACCTAACTTCCCGTCAGGCCCAGTTAATTTATATTTTAGCCAAACAGTATAGAATTATATATATATATATGATAGTAAAAAAATAAAAAACATACAACAGCAGAAGTATGGTGGTGGTCACCTAGCCCTGCCTGATCCGTCATTGGTTTGCTCTCCTATTTAGTAGCTCTTCAGGCTGTGTTTACGTACCTATATAATATACACCCGAATACTAATAAGAAAGACGTTTCTTATATTTTAGCATTAAGGTGCAAATAAGAAGATAGATTACCTAAATTCTCTAGCCTAGCAAGTATAAATATGCTCTGCTTTCGACTGCTCAATGAACCGGTTTGGGTAGGTTTTGGCCTGAGGCAGCCGATCTAATAGAAGATATAGATTTCCTAATTCGTTAGCCTAACCCACCCATCCAACGCTAATAATGGTATTTTATCCTCTTAGCAATCTAGCGATGGCGATCTATGCACACCCCTTGTAGGAGTTCTTTCTACGTTCGAAATTTGGGTAAAGCCGGGTAATCCGAAGATGATCGCCGATCTGCAGGAGGTGGAAATTCCACCCTCCTGATACGAACCAGCCTCGCCGTCCCGACGATCGACTATTATTGGACTGTTTTATTTTGATTCGAGGTCTGGATTCTTTAGGTGACGGTTAAGTGACGAAGCCCCTCGCTCTCAATTTACTGGCTGATGATGCGCGACTTGTGGTTAAACGATGGACCTTGGTTGAGTTGAGTCTCGGCCACAGCGGAGACGCAAGGTGGATGCCGCTCCTAATCAATGCCTTATGCTCTACAAGTGTCGTTTGCTTTGACCAAAATGGGGATCGTATAAGAAATAGCAAGTTTCCGAGTTAACTGCTATCCATGGGTACCCTATATCCTGACCGACAACTAATTCTGTCGACTAATTAAATACGTTATGTGGAAGAACACTGAATCCTGTATCCATACGGAGATAATACCGTTATACTGGAAAGCGTTCTAGATCTCTTTTTAAAAGAGTTCCCCCATATGCAACAGAGTATATTAGGCTGGAATCCTTCCTAGCATACTATAAACTCAATAGGTATTACCTTAGTTGCTCTATATCAAAGGGGTGATCCATAAGAGCTATTCATCATGGGTAGATTTCTTATCCCTGTCTTGCTTGTGCTCTGTAAGTACCCAGAGATATCTAGATCCGCCACTACCCTCGCTTAACATCTCAATCATACTCAGTTCATGACTAATTAAGCTGGGAAAGCTGTTGGGGTTGTTTCTCAAGTTGGTACCCCTGGCGGCAACAGTGCCTGCGCGCAATGGTGCGCGACCAATTTCCCCAATAATCCTGGTTCTTGCACGTCGCAAGCAGCTCATGGAACGGGTCCATGCTATGTGTGTGGCCCTCGCAAACCCTCAGGCAGCACCAAGAATCTATGTTCGGGGGTGTGTACCGATACTAGTACTGATAGCAATAATTGCGGATCGTGCATGAACAAGGCAAGTTGTCCATATATGGTCTTGTCCCACAGATTGTCTGTTGCTTATCTATGATCACTGTGACATTATTTCCCCTTAACCTTGAACAAGCTGCTCCTACCCTTCTTATGGTTTTTATGCGACCCAGCCTCTAACATCAACATCAGTGCCGGAATACCGAGTCCTGTGAGGGTGGCCAATGCCGCCCTAAAAGTAATTGTGCCAACCCCTCCATGTGTGGTACTGTGAACTGCGGTATTTGCAATGGCAATACCTGCAACACCGACACTACTGCCTGCCATAGTGGTGTGGATAATCCAAGCGCTGGGTACTGCGTCTTTCGTGCGCTATGCAGCCAGGTACTAGATACTTGCGCATCTAACAAGGACTGCCCGGAGCATAATGTATGCGTGCAGACCTGCTGTACTGGTGGTGACTTCACCCCTGGCACTGGTACACCCAGATGTATTCCGGAAATATTCCTTCAATGTCCATGTGCCTGACATGGGGTACATCCTTTTCTTTTTAGGACGCTGAAGCAGCACTTTTGGCTAAAGAAAATGTAACGGGAATGGACTTCTATGATTTACTGGTTTTTCTTTTTTGTCTCCTATCGCACCTTAACGTCTGGACTTTATCAAGTTGAGTTTGCTCTTCTGCGTGTCTTTTAACGATTGATAATATGATATTTGTTACTTTCCAAGGATACTGTAATACAACAAGCCTGGTCAACTAGCTGGTCGATACCATACATGTAAAATATCTGGAACAGGTTATTCCAGAGTAAGTCCCAATATATATTAGCGCGTTCCAGCCAAGGGCTTGAGAAACAATTCATTTGTTTAGGGCGTGAAACCAGTTTTGGGAACTACTATATTATGATAAAGCTGCCAGAAGACAATAATGGCTGTGCCTCAGTGCAGAGTAGAATTAGAAGAGAGAAAAGATCTAGAATATAATGACGGAGCAGGAATAAAATAATTATATTGAAAATCCTAATCAGCAAGGAAGTAGGAGGCTATTTAGTCGCTCCACATTGTGGGATATTCCCCGGAACCTCCCAGTTATCTTGCTATTTGAACCCTTCTCTGGCTGAGGCCATCTGGTAATCCCGTTTGTGCCATACTTCAGCGTCGATGTAGTTCCTGATAGATGGCAGAGAATGACAATGCAAGGACATGTCCATTCGACACCTGGCTTCTGATACAGGAAAAACTCCATTTTGAGCGATATTCCGCCTGTCGTCTTGGAGCAAATAATCCAACCACTAGAGCTACTCTTTATATAAGTCAGTTCTTGCTGTCTTGTCAACGACCGACTTTTCTGGTATCCTGCTCAAAGGGATTATCGCCGATTCGTCCAGGTGTAATTCGATATCCCCACGACCCAACTAATAAGGAGAGTCAACTATCTCTCCTAGGGCGGAAGAAGAGATAACTGAGATTAGAACAAAGGCAATTCTGTCGCGTGATGAATTTGATGAAATCCAAGAGAGGTTGCTTTAAAAGCGTCAATACTGGTCAGATTTATGAAATGTTTAATGACAGCTATACCAAACTGGGTGAAGCTAATTATAATTCTTAAGGGTCTCGCTTATATCGCTTACACCCAGTATCGACTAGTATCAGCAGCCAATTGGAGCAATGCCGGATAAGCCGTTGGCTTCATTTCCGTTCAAAGTGGGTTTGCTTTAGTTGTAACGGCTAGTCTTTAGTTCATCCGGGACGGGCTATGAACAGCAACCTGAATCATGATCATGAATCATGCGGCAGGCAGCCAATCGAGAATATTCAATTTCATTGACTTAAATATGGCATTCCCTGCTCTGCAGATTAATTTCCTTCAGCATCCTTCACCATGGCCATCCTCCTGATAGCTGGGATTGGCTTCGTGCTGTCCTGTATCGTCCAGGCTGTTTATCGGCTGTATTTCCACCCTCTGGCTAACATTCCCGGGCCGAGGTTGGCTGCCATCACCCACGGTTATGAGTTTTATTACAACATTATCAAAGGTGGTGTGTTTGTATGGGAACTCGAGCGACTGCATCAGATCTATGGTATTTCATCTTACAAAATACATGATACGTATACTGAACTCTATAGGCCCCATCATCCGCATCAACCCCCGCGAAGTCCACATCAAAGACAGCGACTACTACGATGAAATCTACGCCTCCAGCACCCGCCGCCGCGAAAAGGACCCCGTCCACGTCGCCAAATTCGGACTCCCGGGCTCCGGCTTCGCCAGTATCGACGCTGAGACGCACCGGCAACGGCGCGCGCCAGTGGAGAAGTTCTTCTCGAAACGCGCGATCCAGAACGTCGAGGGCGTGATCTACGAGAGTATCGATACGCTCGTGCACCATCTGCGGGCGGCGCACAAGTCGCATGCCGTCGTTAGTCTGGATGCGGGGTTTGCGGCCCTCACGTCTGATGTGATCTATCAGTATGCGTATGGGTATAATCCTGATAATCTGAATAAGGAGGGGTTCAATGCCCATGTGCGAGACGGGATAAATGGGCTGTTTCAGCTCGCGCATTTACTTTATTTCTTCCCCGTGCTGCAGACAATCATGGATATGGTGCCGCTTGGGTTTCTGAGAACGACAAACCCCGCCGCGTATGCGCTTGCAGCGCAGAAAAAGGAACTCTACGATGAAGCCGTCAAGGCGGTTGATGCCGCGAAGGCGAATAATAACGGCACAATGATACAGCATCTCGCGGGGCCGAATATGTCGGCGCAGATGCGGTCGCCGGAACGGTTGATGAATGAGGGGTTTGCGTTAGTGATTGGGGGGACGGAGACAACGGCGCGATCGCTGGCTGTGGCGTTTTATCATTTGTTGGAGAGGGGGGATATTCGGGGGAAGCTGAGGGGGGAGTTGAAGACGGTGATGCCGATGCCGGATTCAAGGCCCAGTTGGAATGAGCTGGAGCAGTTGCCTTTTTTGGTATGTCCGACTACACGACTATACACTGTATACTGACATGTTTGAAGTCTGGAGTGATTGCTGAAGCGTTGCGTCTTTCCACTGGTATTGCGAATCGATCGTCTCGAGTTGCGCCTACTGAAGCATTGGTGTATAAAGACCATGTGATACCCCCTGGAGTAAGTCACTCACACTCTAACCTACGGAACAGGTAGCTAAAAAGATCAGACTCCCGTCAGCGAAACCAACTACTTTGTCCTCATGGACCCTGAAATCTTCCCCGACCCGCACGCCTTCGACCCTGAACGATGGATGCGAGCCGCAGCAAAGGGAAACCGACTAGACAAGTATCTCGTCAACTTTTCCAAGGGCAGTCGGATGTGTGTTGGATTGAAGTAAGTCATAGTCACATCTAATTATTTGTCTATACTTGATACTAACGACGACAGCCTGGCGTATGCGGAGCTTTTCCTGGTGGTCGCTAGTCTGGTGCGCCGGTTTGAGATGGAGCTGTACGAGACTCCCAAGGGCAATATCGAGTTTGCAAAGGACTTTGGGACGCCGTATCCCGAGTCGGGGAATATGAGTGTACGGGCGATGATTACGGGTGTAATTACCGAGTAACTGGTCATATAGTATAGAGTACATATGTTATATAGATCACTCATGCTCCTCCGACCAATGAAACCCATAATTCACCTTAATCTGCATCGGAATCTCCTCGCCCCTCGAATGCGACGATCCCCCGGATCTCGCACTCGCCCCCTCCAGCTGCCCCAAACTACTCGCCCTCCCCACATCAGTCGTAAGATAAATCTCATCTTCAGCGGGCCGAAACTGGCCCTTTTTCCCTACCGCCCCCCGATTCGCGGACCGATTCGCCGACGCAGAAATACTCTCGGGCAGACTGTTTTCTGGCGTCGCGCTGCTGTCGTTCTTAGCGAGGTAATGTGCGCTGTTGCTGGAGAGGCCGAGCTGCGGGATGCGGCGGAGGAGAGGACGCAGCGTGGGGAGACAGGCGCTGACGATGCCGACGCAGGGCTCGACGTTGGACCAGATCATGGCGTCGCCGATGACCCAGGTGATGTCGACGGAGGATTTCATTTTGGTGATGGTCCAGATGCGGACGATGGTTGCGACGCAGACGCTGCATGCAGTCAGTATTTACCGTAGACAAAGGAAGTATGGATACGTACAACCCGCCCAGGAGGAAAATCCCACTAATGGCCAACTTCTGCCCTCTAGGCATCTGCAGTCCCCAGACAATCGGCATGGGCAGACACAGAATGATCACATCCGTGAAGAGATTGGCGACGCCATTCCACAGGTAGAACTCGTAGAGGTTGATTCGGCAATGGCCCCCGCTGAGCGGATACACCCACTGCGTCCAGAAGAAGGAAGTCGGGACACAGGCGAGCGAGATGGCGGTGGAAACGGAGATTGCGTATCCAATGGAGAGAAATGCGCAGAAGTAGAGAGTCCAGGTGAGTTGGAAGATGCGGCGGTAGAGGAGGAGGACGGACAGTTTGACCATTGGGACGGTGGTTGCGTACAGGATGACATAGGCGAAGATGATCTATCCTGTTAGTTTATGTTGTATTTATCAGTAGGGATAGAATACCTTCATGCTCATCAAGACATCATTCTCATCCACAGCCCAGATGTGCTTGCCTATACCATATGCACCGCCTAGAATACAACACACGCCCGTTCCATACGCAAATGCCTATACCGTTAGTAAAAATAACAACTTAGCATATCCAGGCATAAATACCAACGCCCCCAACAAAAACCAATCATCATAAGCCAAGCTGGCCGTCGAGCTTGTCGTCCTCGCCCAGAATCGCAATCCCACAAACACCGTCGCGATGGCCATCACCGCCGCCACAGTGCCGTCATTATGGCCGATTCGATCATCTCCCAGGTCAATGTCTTCAGGGGGAGACCCGATGACAAGGCTTGACATGATGAATCAATTCATTCAGATCGAGCTATCTCATGTTCAACTTTGCAAGACAGAGACGCAGAGCTGAACCAGTCACATGGACAGGGCAGTGAAGACACCCTTTAGGAGGCAAAAATTGTGTTATTTATTACCGATGATCACCAGGCTTTGCCGAGATCTAAAACTGTCTAGATCCTGGAGGCGTCGACCATGGGAAATGAGGCAGACGCAGTGGGGGCCAATCTAAGGGGCAGATCATCGCCGTATCCAGCTAGACGCTCATCTGCCGCTCTTTTATATTGTTTCTTTTCCGGCCAGATTTGATTGTGATTTGTGCCTTTTGGGGGATAAAGTTTCCCGGGTTGATCCGTCAGATGTTTACTTTTCTCGACGCCCCGAACTCTATCATTGAATTCCAATTACTATCATTGAATTTGTATTTTCACCTATGGCCAAGCAATTTTGCCTTGTTCTAAATTAGTGTGTGTCGCAGGTCTCGTAATTAGGGCTAGTCTGGTCTTCTGACTAGAGCGAATGGAGAAAACGCCGTGTACGCCAAGGATGCACACTAGTAGCTGTCACCAGGTACTTTTGCAAAATACGCTTAGTATCTGTTACAGCCTTACAGGGCAATTACCTGCAATACTCCTCGCGTGCTGCATTCGCCCCTTTTTGCCTTGCAGCCGTTGGAGCAATCTAATTTAAAGCTAGACAATTCTATCTGTCATCCGCACTGATATTTGGGGCGATTTCTCCATAATCAAGTAGACTGCATTTCTTTAATATATACCCTCCCTGATCTTTTTTCACCTGTCTAAGGCTTTTCAGATGCCGTAGCATCCCTTCAACCATCTCTAACACGCCAGCCACACTCCAGAAAGATGAACCGCGTCAACCATTTTTCTCCTATCTGCTGATGCTTATCACCGAGCTTCACGCCTTTTGGGTGTTTGTAGTCTGTGACAAAGTCCATGCCCCATCAAAGCATACGCACCGTTGCCAGCGCTACCCTGTCTGTCCAGTCATGGGGCATTTGATGTTCGATTGAAACATTGCACAATGGCACAGGGGGACTACACATTCAGTCAGAAATGTCAGTCTCTTTATTGTGTATATCTAGTAGTTTGCATTTTGAATAAGTCAAATAGAGATAATTCTTGCTATACAATTGACGTATGTGCAGAAGCCACCCGCTTTTCCTCCACTCTTCCACCCGATCCATAGTTGCAATTTTTATCGTCAGTAACGACACTGAAGGCTATCTTTCTAGCACGGCTATTTAATGTAATGGCAACCAAAGACGCCATTCAATCCGAACTAGATGGGCTCAACAGGACGTTGGCGAGCACTGAGCTCAAGAATGACTCAAAGAACCATGACCAGATACTGCATGACATGCACAACCTCCAACGACAGTTGCAAAAGGTACAAAAGGAAATCTGTCCCTTCGAATATGTGCATCAAGAGGCGATGGCATACATTGGCAGCGATCGCGCCATCGCAGACATCACCTGGTCAGGAAGTATTTTTGCCAGCAGTGGCGGAGTGGCATATTTCTTCTGGCGTGCTGCTTATCTGAGCATGTGCTTTAGCTGTAGGTCATTCTTCCTATTCTTTGATGATGATGCTAACATTATACAGCTCGAAACAAAACCGTGAGTCGGTCTTGATGAATCAAGGGCAAGCTGTTTGGCCGTGATGTCTGTCGAGAGTAGGCGTGCATTCTGTCGGTCTATCAATTCAATTTCTGTGTCTATAGAGACCTAGAGAGAAGCATGATAGAATTGATTTATTTCTTCCCAGTCACAAGTGGTGTTGACTGCAAAAATATATATCTCTGTGTTCGCTCTACCAGTATTAAAACGTTAATTTTATCTATTGCATTACTGTAATATTGTGACGGTATAACTGTCCCCAACGCTTTAATATAAGAAAGTGGTTATGAGTCAACTTGACTTGTGATAATAGCTGTGGAAGGCTGCCATGTCAAAATGTGGATCAACACAGCCCGCCACGCTGTCCTGCCGATTCCTGCGAGGCTGTGAATCAACAAGTGACTTACTTAAAGCTGCACCCACTGCATTTCCAGGACCACAAAATCTCATTCAACACCAGATTCGAGGATCAAATGGCGACCCTGAATTCTACCCGCCCCCAAGGAATACTGGTCCAGCCCGACGAGATCCTTCTGCTCATTCAAGATTACCTCCCCGCAAGAACGCTGAATGCATTTATTCAAACATCAAAGCGGATTCACAACTGCCTCACCCCATATCTCTATAATCTTGCATACGACGACTCGGAAATCCTCACCACGGCCGCGCGCAGAGGCCAGGAGCTCAGCTTGAGAACACTGGTAGAACGTGCACCCGCCGGCTTCTTCGATGGCGACTTCGGCCCTGATGTCCTCCAGGAAGCAGTTGATTGTAACCAACGGGAGGCTGTACGGATGCTGCTGAAGAGGAGCGTTGATCCGAATGTTCCTCGTAAGCACGGACCGTACAGAATGCAGATGATGCCGCTGCACATTGCTGCTGAAGAAGGACACCTTGAAATAGTGGAAATGCTTCTGGATGCCGGTGCAAAGATCTCGGAAGTCTTTGAGAAATATCGAAGAGGCGTGTGGTCTGCCCTGCATGGTGCCATATTTTCAGGACATGTTGATGTGGCGGCGTTGCTGATCCAGCGTGGGATTGATATTAGCCTTACCACGGCACGGGGATTCACGACACTGCACTTCGCCGCCAGAAATTGGATGCTTCATATTGTTCAGTTACTGTTAGAACGCAAGATGGACATCGATATTCGCGATAATGAAGGAGGCACACCGTTACACGAGGCTGTACTTACACGCATGCCAGGCCGTCCGTACCCAAAGCGTTTGCGGATGGTGAAATTCTTACTCGAGTCTGGGGCCAGTGCTACGGCAGTGAAAGAGAATGGAGAAACAGCATTGCATCTTGCTGCCAGCGAAGGAGCGATAGAAGAGCTTACACTCTTGATACAGTATGGGGCTGATGTCAATACAAAGACCATAACGGGTGAGACAGCCTTGCATCGGGCTGCAAGTCCCCGCTATGGAAGTATAGAAATGGTCAAAGCTCTTTTGGATGCTGGGGCGGATTGTTTGGTTGAAGATGACAGCCACAAAACGCCATTAATCAATGCGATGCGGGGCCATGACCATAAGAAGATTGCGATGCTGATTAATGCAGGCGCTGAGTCCCATCCCTCTCAGTATACTCCAGCATTACTTCTACAGGCCACAATCCACCGGCGTCAAGACCTAGTGGAGACGCTGCTAGACCACGGCGTGGATGTGGACGCCGCGAGGGATGAGCGCTCAGGAATGACTGCGCTCATGAGCGCGGCCAGATCAGCTAGTATGGAGCTGTTTGAGATGCTGCTGGAACGAAGTAAACAGCTAGGGCTTACCAACAATTACGGCCAAACTGTGGTCTCTTTTGCTGCTATGAGAGGGAGCAAGGAAGTGCTGAGTCTGCTGGCTGAGAGGGGGGCGTGCATGGACCATCGCGATCATATTGGAATGCGCCCGTTGATGCATGCAGCCAGATCGAGGAGCATCCAGGCCGTTTCATTTCTTCTGGAAAGAGGCGTGGATGTGAATGTTTGGGATGAGCACAGACAAACACGTACTGCTTTGTTCTACGCCGTGAAAAGTGGCAAGATAGCAATAGTCAAATTGTTACTTGATAAAAGCGGCATTATTCAGGAGTCAGGGGACGAGGGTCAGCGGTCGTTACTGCATGCAGTTCCTTGGCGGAACTTGTCCATGATGAGGCTCTTGCGGGAGAGTGGGAAATGTCGATTTGAAAACAGCAGTCTGAGAAAATGGATGGAGTCCGCAGTCGCTCGGGGCGCCATGTCCGAAGCGAAGCGTTTACTGCAGATGGGCGTTGACATAGACAGCCGAGATAGCTCAAACGGCACACTACTCCTAACCGCTCTTGGGAGGAAAAATAAGAAGATGGCTATCCTATTGATCCGTCACGGCGCTGACATCAACACCAGCAATAATCAAGGCAAATACCCGTTATTCATGGCCATTCACTCCGAGCTGATTGACGTTGCGCATCTACTGATTGCAAAAGGTGCGAATATTGAAGCTAAAACTGAGTATGGTGTAACACCATTGCAAAAGGCTGTTTGCAGTGGGTACAAGGCCGCCATTGAGCTGCTTCTTGAAAAGGGAGCCTGCGTGGACGCGCCAGATGAAAATGGTCTAACACCGCTGATGCACGCCCTTGCCAGAGGCCTGCCCGGTACAACGGAAATCCTACTGTCTCATTCAGCCAATGTGCATGCACTAGATGAAACAGGCCGAACGCCTCTTTCATGGGCGATGAGAGGAGGAGATGCGATGGCAGTTAAGAAGGTGATAGAAGCAGGAGCCAATGTGTTCAAGGCAGATAATAATGGACACACACCGTTATGGTGGGCAACGCACTATAAGCTCGACTACATGATTCAATATTTATCCTATCGCCCGACTTCGGAGGCTGAGATGACTCCTAAATTCGAGTGGGGAGATCGAGTCAAAGAGGAGTATGTCTGTCGTGTTCGTGTCCGTGATGCTATCTGTTGATTTCCATCCATCCATTTTCAGTTGTACATCCATAGCGGTTTATTTTAACTATAGGTCTACAAATTCCTCATCTGAATTCCGTATATTGCAGACTATTTGAACGACCTATTTTGAAGCCACTGGTACAAAATTGAAAAGTCCCGCCCAAGACAGACAGTCCTCGTCAACCGCATTGTAGCCCCCCCGCGCCGACTGGGCAGTAAAAGAGAAATCTTTGCTTCAGCCGCTCCAGCCATAGCAAGCCCCAAGTCCTTGTTGATCATACTAACCGGACACCCAGGCTCATACTCATTCGAAGCAGGTGCAGATGAAACCACCCCAGGAACGGGATTGTTAACCTCCATCGGCCAGCAGCGACCAGTAGACGAGTTGATCAATTCAGTCAGGTTGTAGATATCTAATCCCCCCTCGCGGCCCATATTCAGCGCTCCGCTGGTGGCGATGTAATTGATGGCCAGGATGTTGCGGATGCTTCCGAGTTGTCTCGAGGAGTGGGGATCGATGGTTGAGCAATCAATGAACAGACGAGTCTGTTGTAATGCAGGTAAAGTGGCAGAACTACCCGTGCGTAGTGAAGGGCAAACAGAGGTCAGCAACCAATTTGGGGGCAAAAAGAGGGAGACGAAATGTGAAGTGAGGTTGCAGCTATATATATATCATAGAATGATTATATGATGATGACTGCAGGACAGGATTTCTCGGTCGCGTATTCCTATGATTATTTATTTCCATAGTAGGCACCTCTTGATATGACACGGGAATAACTAAAGCAAGATGCAAATCCGGGTAAAAATGACATCCTTTCAAGTTGGCTACATACACTATTTTCATGATAAGGTACGTGAGTAGTATTGGATTGGGATCCTGAATAGCCTCATATAATCAATAACACCAACAAATATTTCATCATCCCACCAAGTGGTCGAGCAGTAACTCGACTGTCCCATCTTCCTTGGTCTAGTGGTCATGATTTCCGCTTGTCATTAATCTGATAAGCGCGGGAGACCGGGGTTCGATTCCCCGAGGGAGAGAATATTTTTCTCGCTATTCTTTTTTATTTCTTTATCTTCGAGTGCAATAATTCGCTTTTTCTTTGATACTATCGTCAATGCAATTGTGTTGAGGACCCCAACTTAGTGGTTCTTCCACATCCTCACTACCGGATCTAGACCCGCCCCAGGCGTACTTAGATCAACATTACCACCGAGATAGTAGGCCATCTTGTCGAAGAAATACTGAACAGTGGCATCCTGAGAGAGTCGCTCAATAGCAGCAGCGAAGACTCATCTCTGGTCTATTGGCTGGCTGAGATTAAAGTTGCAAGCGGCGGAGGGGATGAGGGCCCATCCCGGCCGAATATTCACATAGCCGCCGTAACAGTAGAGGGTGAAGCATCGCTGTAGATGGCACCCTCGCCCATGAACGGGGGTATGTGCGTGTCTTTTCACTGTAGGTTAATACATCGAGTCAGTGTTTTGCAAGGCTTTTGTGGCCGATTGCCTGGAGGTCACGGACATGCTGGCATGGTGCTATTTGGCAAGCCACCGGTTTGAATCAGTGTAGATCAGAATGATCGCATTTTTGTCTTTTCAAAATTTGCTATATGACTGCTTATCAAATCCTTATCAGTGTATAATGCAATTATTAGTCCAAATCGAGATGTGATAGGCTGTCTTCAATCATTGTTGATATTCTAGTCAATTGCTTTGCCACGGCTGTGTAATAAGAAATGCTGATCACTAGAAATAGGGCTGCATGCCCAGATTGGATCAACGTGGGCTTCTACTGTGGATTGGGTACCTGACAGGTGGAGCCATTATTTCTTCGAAAATAATTATCCCAAGTATGCTGGTCTCTTCCATTTATTAAGCATCAACCTCTCATTCTCAGCATTTCATATGAACCCTGTAGTACTTGTCCTTGTACAGTTAGACCTAATAAGGTTGAGAGAATGGTTAAGTGCTTAGACCCTTAATCGTATGCAGGTGCACTGCGGCAAGTACACTTTAAGTAAAGATATGCTGGTCCTAGATGGTTTGACATAGAAATGATCTACATGGCTGTGGAGACAGCGCTAACACAGCAAATAATAAATGCGAAGTTTTTCCTTCTTTCCATTGACTCAATGAATGTCATTTCCTTTTAATGCTGCTGCTGTCGCTGCTTCCTTCACCTCCGCACATCACCTCCGTCATGGCATTCACCCTTTCCCTCCTCCTTCTGCTTCTTGACATTGCCTCTGCAACACAATGCTACTGGCCGAATGGCGATAATGCAACTGCCGACTGGGTCCCATGCCCAAACAGTCGGGTTTGCTGCTCGACAACCGAAGCCTGTCTCTCCAACGGTCTCTGCTACGAGGCAAATCTGAATATTGCCCATCGCGGTGCCTGCGCCGATCATTCATGGCCGATATCAGAGTGTCCTCGTATCTGCTATAGCGGTGAGATATCCGAGACTATATACTGGTGTTTAAAATCTAGGTCAAGGCTAATGTCAAGCAGAAGTCCCAGGCGGCTGGGCAAATCTCTATCCCTGCCCGAACAACACAAATCAGGTCTTCACCTGCGGCGAACCAGGCTGGGCATCGGAGGTCTGCGAAAAGAATATTGGAACGTACTCATGGGTCAGTGGCTATGTTTCGTACGCCTACTTGCCCACCTCCACCGCCACGACAGGCACAGCCGCCACCTCGACTTCATCTCCCACCTCAGTCGACGCCGTTCAGACCACGCCGGTAGACGCGACATCATGTCCGGATACATCATCTTCGAATAGCTCCGTCGCGATCGGTGCGGGATTAGGGGTTGGACTTGGTGTGCCGCTTTTGTTGTCGTTGGCGGGTATGTTATGGACGTGTGCTCGTATGAAACGACAAATGAGGGCATTCAACCAAGAACGGATGGAGCAGCAGCAATTGAAAGGCTGGGGACAGGGTAGTCCGATTCCCAAGGACCACTTGGGGGAAATGGATGCTCCGAATCCCAGGGATAGAGTGGAAGAAGTGCATGGCTCGGAGCCCATTGTTACGGAGCTGGGAGGGTAGTGGATTCTGCTTCTGGCGCAGGGCGGATTTGTATTAATGGATGCAGGCTACGCAGCGAAATGTTATTAATTCCCATATACCAAATAATAGTCAGAGCAACAGCGAGAGAGGCGGGCGAGCGAGTATTTTCAAAATTGGGCTTCGACATGTGGAGTGGTGAGTGTGATGGGCAACACTACTTGGATCTATATGCTCGTCTCCGAATTGCTGGGATTTTAGTGCAGGAGAGACGGGAAGTCCCTTGGAAGGCCCTTAAGGGTACTCCGATTTATACGACAGGTTTAACTGTTGCTAATATTCTATAAAACCCTTATAATCTATAACTCTTATATCAAAGATATTAAGAAGCCAACAGTGTCAGGATCGAGAGTTCTTGACAAGTGCCCACCACGCCCCGAACCTTGTGGAGCCGCCAGTAAATGAGGCTGGCGCTTAAGGTGCCAGTTCATGGGCTGTGCTGTTCTGGCCCGTCATTCCGAGTGTTAGCTGGGCCAATCAGATCTTTTAATCTGACGATCAATACTCTTTCTTTCGTAGCTCAGATTCATCTGCGGTCCGACTCCTTGTCCCTCGTGAAAGTCATCATGCCGATTCCTCTGCTGGATCTCAACCCCCTAATAATGAGAAATTCACTGGCAAGGAGAACACCCGACCGAGAGATTAGTTCCCAGTTTCGAAAATGAATGAGAGTTCCTCATCTCGAAGAATGTTGACTATAATTCTAAGGAAGGTCAACTAGGGCGCACGTAGCCTTTTTGGCCTAATGATTACTTTTAACGAAGAAAAGCACGGTTTTCGACTAATGCCATGGATTATACAGTATTATGGAGTACCTAACTTTATATAATTCATTGATTTACTCGACTGCTATTTGATGAGATAATTGTATCACCTTATAATTTTAATTTTAATTGGCCAGTCACCGCAGCCATCTGTCTCACCCAAAGATATATGTGAAGTAGAATTAGGAAAGCCGCAATATATAATACTCTTAATGCGAATATAATAAACAAAGAAAATATTGTTCATGAATAAAACAACTAAACCTACAGTAGCCAGCTACAAAGGTACATACATCCACCGTTACTCCCCATAGCCCAAATAAACCCTACCATCACTATTCAAATCAGACACATAAGCAATAGACTTAATGGAAATCTTACCAGTCATCATAATTTGATATACCGGAATTCTCGTTCCCGTCGTCGCATTCTCCTAGCACTCATCTTCTTTTTGGCCGCTTTCTCCGGTATCTTTTTAGCCTATTTGTCGACATTAGTTCATTTACGCTGGTATAGTTAGATAAGGCACTAAATTGCATTGTTTTGTATGGGCTGCACTGGAAAGGGGTAGTTACAATTCTCTCTGAAAGCGAGTTGGAGGCAGTAGCGCCCTCGCAGGTGGGCACGGCCAGGGCGAAGCCACCAAAGGCAGTGATGAAAAAGGTGGACAGACGCATCTTGTAGATATTGATTATTTAGGTGATAGTGAGGTTGATGGTGGATGACGGAATTCTTCACGTTTATATACACACCAGCTGTCATAAACCTCCGACCGCGGCAAACTCAGAGGCTCAAGCTGCAGCAATTTATCTCACATAGCCTCATCTTACACGAGAAATGGAAAATTAAATCTGACAAGCAGTGTTGATCTGCGCCCCCACCTGCCATTCCCAGCCCGCTGCCATTTGCTATTCGACGATATCGCCAAGCGGATTCTGATGACGGGCCAATCTGACGGGCTAGTTGGGAATGTTGATTTGACGTGTGGCTGACTTTGCATATCTTAGATAAAATCATTATATTTGAGGGGATAAATAATATGTTGATTAGAGTAGATAGAGTAGAAACCGGAGTATTTATAGGTCAATATCCTGGGGTGATCTTTTATAGGATTTAAATTATTTATCCAGTAGGCTATAATAAGCCCATATTCAGTCTACAGAGTATTATATACAGAGAAAGATTAACTAAACGTCGACGAGTCCTGCTCGTAATCATAATGCACAAACGAAACCAACCTTGACAACACCGCAAACTCCAACTTCAACTTGACCGTATAAAAAAACGTCTTCAGCACCGTCTGCAGGATAAACAAATCCAGATACTCCAGTACCAACAACGAAATATCCATCAGAATAATTACCGCATTAATCACCAACAGCTGCTCCATGATGGCTTTTCGTCGCCCACTCCGGTGAGGATGGATACGGAGTAACCAGAACGCCTGCACGATGAAGATACTCGAGATGATGATCTCTTGCACGAAGAATCCCGTGAGTTGGACCTTGGCCCAGATATTGTACATGTGCGAGAAGCCCGGCCCGGCGTAGACAGCGCCATACGAGAGGATGATTTGTGGGATTTGCAGCACAATCGCGTCGAGGATAATCATATACCGTACAAAGCGGAGGATATATCGACTGCGCACGATGAGATGAAGACGCGAGTACAGCACCACCGACTGACCAGTCACCATAATCGCCCAACCAGCCGTTGACAACGTAACGGGGATCCAAATCGGTGCGAGCTGGAAGTATTTCAGCAGCAGGCCAATCGCCTGCGGGACGATACCCAGCGCCGTAGAGAGAAGCAGACTCCAGAAGTAGAGGCCGTGGTAGACATGGAAGGAGAAAAAGATGAGAATAAGGAGTTCCAGTGCACTGTATAGTGCGCCGGCGAGGAATGTGGCGATGATAGCCTGGATCGCTAGGCTGTCGCCCGTGTACCCGCCTGTGATACCCTCGACCGGGGCCGAGTAATTGGCCATGACGGCTTAAGGAAGGAAGATTTCATTCTGTGCTCATTGAAGGAAAGACGTTGCGGTTGGCCCTCGCCAGTCTCGCGTGGCTGCTGCTTATCCATGGATCGGGCGGACGGGATCTACCCCGGATTTACCCCGGATTCCTGCAACCGGGCGCTGCCAAGAATTGGACCTGCATACGGCATACAGCCATCAGTCATGATTAAGATATTCAAAAGACTGTTATATTGTTACTCCTCGTCTCACCTTTTATGTGCGAGGTGGGTGGGCGGTAAGGTAGCAAGATTATAAGTCGTATTTGAATTTACAAGTAGATTTTGTGCCTCGTCAAAGTCTTTTCTCTTTCATTCCAAAATATTTTCTTTCATGAAATTTCAGGAAAAATTTTGAGGCTACCCTACAACGACGGAGGATTGGAAGTCCGATGAATCTAGGTACCTACCGTGGCCTGATCGGGTGTCGTGCAAGGGTTGCAGCCAATTAGAGGCAGGAGGGCCCATATGCCTGATGTTGATGCTCGACGCTGATTGGCCAGGTGTGGCTGAAGTGTCAAGTAATAAGGGATTAATCTATCAGATGAACGGGTCATTCTGATTTCAAATAAGATGACTATCAAAATTCTTACTGATCTTCAGATAACCAAATTACAGTATGGGCAAGTCAAATAAATAAAGAGATCGAATTCAATTCAGAAGAAAAACAGAAAAGCTGTCATGGTATGGCATCAATCACAGACAATCCAAAAGAAAAAACCAAAGATGCTAACCAACCATCGCCCTCGCCCTCATCTACTCGCACTTTTCGAAGTGGTCCGTGCCCTGGTAATTACTCTTGACCGTCTCATGGATCATAATGCCGCAATAGTGCGGAGTGTTGTTGACATCAGCATAAACAACGCGGATGGGAGTCTTTTCCGCTTGCATAAAGGTCTTTTGGTTCTTCTGCCACCTGTGTTTGGATCCGACCCAGAAAATGGGGAACTCCCAGAGTTGGTGTTTCTTGTCGTCACATTCATGGACTCCCCAGTGGAACCCGTCGAAATTTCCGTAGTGGTGAGGATCACCACTCTTGTCCGTAACCAAGCCGGCCTCTTTCATTTCTCGTTCGGCGACGGCGACGTCGACTATGAATTTGGTCTTGGTTTCGTTCTTCTTGGGAGTGCAGGTCACGAAGGGCTAAGGATTGTCAGTTGGATATAGGAAAGGTTGGTAGGCATAGGAGGGAGTACTTACAGCGCGGGGACTGAGAACCTTTGTAGGTTTGGTTTCATCGGTGGAGGAGATGGGGTTGTCTGACTCAGTAATTGGAGCTGCAAAGGCAGGAGCTGCAACAAGTGAAAGAGTGAGGAGGCTCTGGATAAAACGCATTTTGAAGGTCGAGTTGAAGGTTGGATTTTGAAGCTAGAAGCTTGAGGTTTGAGACTTGAGATGGAGAGATAGAAAGATGGGAAGATGCTTTGATTGATGGTAGAAGTGTGTTGATGATGGCAGATATTGACCGGACATAAAGGCCTCTTTATATCTTTACAGACGAGATTATCTCTACCCATCTTACAGTCTCCATTGTTCCATTGTATACAAACTCTACTAAGCGGACAATTTCTGGCGCAGCTGTGAGCCTTGTATTCATGAGGCTGTGTGGTGTTTGATTGTAGGCTGCGAACCTTTAAGCTTAAACTAGACACTGAGTTCATTGCTCCCTACCTGCCCAAATAAGCGTAGAGCTCCTCGAATAAGCCCTGAGCTGTATTGCGGCACAGTGGTTTGGCCCCTGCCGCAGTGCCGATCTCCTTTTAGGGCAGTTTGGAGGCTCAGCTACGGGGACCGCTTAGGCTAGCGTCAGCGGGGCTCGCAGTTGCCTGATGTCACTCCATAAATCACTCAACTTCATTCCATCCATTCATCCTCAATCACTTTCAATTTCTCACCTTCAATATCTCACTGTCACTCGTTGAGACAAAATGGCTTCGGGGGATTTTATTACTCAGCCTTTAGAGGATCACTTGTATCGCGACGATGACGATGAACAGGACATTACATATAAGAAGCACCTTGACGATTTGGTCAATGGCAGGCTAACTCCCTCCGAAGCGGCCATAAAATTTGATAAATTTGTTGTCGACGAAGCTAACATCCGACGTGATGAAATCCTGAGAAGAGAAACCCTAGGAGAAGAGGCAGAGGACCTGAACATGGACATGCTTCCACTGAGAACTGATGGATCAGTTGAGTGTATCTTCATATTTCTCGCGCATTTATGCTCAGCCTATCCACCTTACCATCCGGGACAAAATGCAATCATTGAATTCCTACACGCGTTGAAGGCAATGCCGAGGCATGAGTCTTATTGCGGGCCATATGAGACAACGACACTATGGCCATTAGAGGGGAATTGGGAGGCTTTGCCCGAGATTTTCCGCCATGAAAATGATGATAGTATGCCCCCTTTCTCTAAGTCTTAACTATAGAGCTGTGCTGACCATCTCAGATTACAGCCTGTTTGATGATGAGATGAAAATCCCATGGAGCAAGAAACAAATTGGCTTCCGTAACTTCCAATCCGCCGCAGCCCGCATTGCCTCATTGGGTATGATGAAAATTAGCTTTTTGTGTGCACTTAATGAGATTCGACCCTCCGCCAGATACTATCCAGATCCGGAGATAGGCAGGTTTGGTGGACTGGATCGAATCGCTTGTAATGTTGTTGCAGGAGGGCAATGGATTATCTGGCCGGATCAGGGACGCTATGTCTACCGAGAATGTAAAAAGCGTGAAACTGTCAGTATTCCCCGGGAGATATGGTGTATGGCGCATTGGAGAGAGTGGAAGGAGCAGTTTGCATCTCTCATCCAGAATGAGAAATTCGAACTCAGGGCGAAAGAGATTGCCAGGCTGGCGCTTCAGAAGATGGTGGAATACGAAGAGGAGGATGCTCAATAGTTCTATTTACGTGTATATGAATTTTAATATCACTCCTCGGAAGGCTTCACGTCATACTCTACGTCTGTCCGGATGATATACTTTGCGCCCTTCCTTACTCCCGTTCCCTCATGGAGCAATGCGCCGTTCGCCTCGCCGTGCGGGAAAATCGCCACGGATCCCATCACAGGTCGCACTGGGTATGCGTTGAGGGTTCCCTCGCGCGCGGCCGGCATGAAGAAGGTCGTCTCTCCGCCCTCGAACTCATCGTTGAGATATAGTAGGAATGTGTACATGGAGCTCTGTCTCTTGTCCTCGGGTGAAGAGTCGTACACGTATGTGTCGTCGGGGAGGATGCCGGACGGCGGCCAGGCCCCGTCAATGTGGCATCGGTATTCAGCGCCGGGAACGTATCTGTATACACGGAAGCGGCGATTGATGCCCCGGACTAGGCGGCCGTTGATGGAGGGCGGAACATAACGGGAAATTCGTGCCCAGAGCATATCGTGGAAGGTGGTGTCGATGACCCAGTAGAAGTTGTGGGCAAGAATGCTCATGTCTCCGTCTTCGCGGAGGGGCACATCAGGCAGGAAGTTGACGGATTCACCGGCCGCAATGATGGCCTTGCACTCAGTGGGAGAGAGGACATTCATGGCGAGACCAAGACCTGGCACGGCGGGATGTGGGTGGTATGTTATGGTCGGGCCGACGGGAGCTAGCGGCACGGCGTTCGGGGCGGTAGTGTAGAGGAGGGCGGGATGGTGGTTTGGAGGTTTGCGGAGTGGGCCGGGGGTTTCTTCAATAACGCGGAGGGCATCGGGAGACTTTGGCGCGTCGGCCATGATTGACTTGTCGAGGACTGAGGCGTACACCGGGAGTGGTGTTGTTTCTGGCCGGAGGTCCCAGATAGACTGGAAGGCGATGGGGGATGTTGAATCGACGGCATTCGGACTGGTGTCAATCGGGGTGCTGATGCGCAGAATGGCATCGAGTACGCCGAGCAGTTCCATGTCCTTTGCGCTGCGTTCACGCGGGACATGGTCGACACCAGGCTGCGTCGAGAGGCCGCTGACGACGTCCAGATCCCGCACCCAGCGACACAAGGCTCCGATCTTGGGTTGCTCACCTCTGATCCTCATCTCGGCGAGCAGGACCTTTGCTTCGATGTATTTCTCGTCGGCCAGGGCACCGGTTATCCGCGCCGTCAGGTTTGCGCCCTCTACGAATCGACGATTAGACAGGCATCATGCAGAGAAAATGCAGGCAGAACATACCAGCATTATTAACACCTGTCGTGCATGCCTGACGGAAGTTATAAACCGCAACCCGGAGATCCTTGCATGCCTTCGACTTGGTCAAACTGGGATGTTCCGCAAGGGCCGTGAGTGTGTCGATGGTAATTTCGAGATCCTCGTCTGCGACGACTGCGTTGATGTGCTTGGGCTCGCCATCGGGAGGAGGCGTCAGGACAGGGGCGGCCTTTGGAATTTTTTGCGGAAGATCGACTTGCGCATTGCGCTTGCGCTTTGCAGCTTTGGACTTGGCCATGATTGTGATGATGGTTGGTGGACGGATCACCGATAATTGATTGATACGAGTGGGGAGTTGTGGGCTTGGCAGTGCGGCACGTGATGATAATGCACGTGCATCTGTGCCTGAGGATCTAAGTTTAAGCCTGAGGCAGAAAATATATGCCCTCTCCGCCGAAAAACGCCTTGTAAGCACCGCCCCCTCCGCTTATTTATGAAACACCATCGGCCATGGCCTGCAAAAAAATACAAATACTGGCCAGAGGACAATGAACTGGGTAAGAAGGACCATACTACCTCGATTGCGAATGAGCATTACTTCCTTAAAACTAAACATGCCTTCAAAGCAGCCAAGGCGAGTACATGCAGTCAAGACATGTAAACATATTGCTAACGCTGCATGCAGCTTATGCCAGCGGATTCCCACAGACTGCTGGATGGGAGTTTTTGACCATCTGGAAGCAGACGAAATCGTGACAGCTTTAGCCGCATCTCGCCATCTCACTGCATCTGTTCGACCTTCGGTATATAGTAGGATCGCCTGGGAATGGAACACCGTGCCCCGAGCACGCATTCTGCACTTACTGCGGGCTGTCCTACAGTGCCCTGACCTGGCTTCAAATATCCAGCACGTCTCGATATTGTCATCTTCGGAATATGCCTTTGATGAAAAATGGCAAAAGGACGCACGATTTGGACAGGATGAGCCATTTTCGGATCAAGATCTCCAGAGCTTTAGCGACGTCGTGGAACAGTCCCAATCAATTGTTGACAAAGGCCAGTTCCCAGAAGCCTCGAAATGGAACGAAGCGCTCCAGAATGGCAATTCTTATGCTTACGTGACCATCCTTCTCTCCCAATTACACAACCTTCAATCTCTTCGGCTGGACTACTCCTTTGTCTGGCAATCAGGGTTTCCTGGATTAATGTTGAAGCACGCGCTATTTTCCGCGCCAAAAGGAGTACTGCCATCTTTCGACTCTCTTACGACAATTGACTACGGTAGTAATGTACCACTGTCTGAAGAGTTTGAACCCTACCTCAACTCTTTTGATAAATTGCATGGCTATCCCCCTTGTGATCCCAATCAATTCATGGCCTGGTTCCATCTGCCTTCCATTCAATCCTTATCCATTTGGCTACGGAGCTTTCAAGACGTTATTACTAGTGAGGACCAGGGAAATCTGAGTAACCTGGACACGCTGGTCGTCGCTCGAGCTACTATTAAAGAAGAAAATGTGCCAGCTTTACTGTCCCAGATGACTACGTTGAGGTCTCTGCACTTAGGCATGGCGTATCGATGGCACAGTGAATTTGCCTTGGAATCATGTTCGAACATACTGGAGGGCTTGGAGTCCATCAGTGGCACTCTAGAAAAGCTCTCCCTGGGGGTAGAATACTATCCATTCAGTAGTGGGCACTATAATTTTGGAACCGACTTTGATCATCAGGCCAGGATAGAATTTATGTTTTTTCTGAATCACTTCCCCCGGCTGCGATCTGCAGAAGTACCAATCACTCTACTTATCGGATTGGAACCAGAGGACTCGAATGAAATTGGCGAACGTCTACCTGATACCCTTGAGGAATTATGTCTGCAGTGGGATAATGCGGAAATTATGAGTAATGATTGGGAATTCGAGTCACAATTACACGATTGTGTCCGGTATCTGCTGGATGATCTACAATCTCATTCGCCGCACCTTAAACGAGTCACCATCCGGCAGCGCTGTGAGAGCCCCAAGGACAAGGAATGGTTTGCCAAGGATCGCGCGGAATTGAAAGAGATGTGCACAGAGGCCGGGATTGACCTGGAGGTGGTATGGGACTATCTGTCTCCGGGATTATGGACACAAAATGATCCCTAAATAAGGGTGGGTCGTTCCTGTGATTATTTAAAGAAATCAGCGTTATTATAAGCAGTATTTTGTAAGCACTACAGTAAGCTTGTTCTAACAAATCGGGTAGTAATGAAATCTCAAAGCAAAGTGCCTTTCAATTCGATTTCCCATGTAAGATACGAAAGTCCTTGGCTGTACCAAATTTCATAAAATATTCCCAAAGTTCGCTATATCCAGCTGTTTTTGTATGAGACTGGTCCAAACTAGGCTGGAAATGTGCCAAATCAGTTACGTGTAGTCTAGATATATATTTTGGAGCCGCATGTATGGGTGAATCTGGTAAAGTGCCATAATAAAATCCTTGCCATAATGGACAAGGGGTCTTTCTAAAACTTAGTGTTTACTGTATTATAATCAATTTTCTAGTAAACTATGTTGACTACTGGAGCATACACGAGCATTCCTGGCCGAGAACCGATATGCCAAGATCGGAGGAGCGGACGTTGCAGACCACTCGATACCTACTATAAATATTCCCTTACTATGATAAATAAGGATTTGATGAAACTTGAGTATTAATTTTGAAACATAATACTTAGATATAGCACTTAAATATAGATTATTATGGAGTAAATTTGAAAATAGAGATGGTGAGGGCGCAAGACTCAGCCCCCGAATAAGTCTCACTTGTTAAGGCCGCCTTGAGCGAAGCGAACGCTAGAGTGGCTAGTGCTGGATAGATATGCATGTAGATGCAGCATAAATGCAAGGATTGATGCAGATGCATTTTATGCCACATTTTGTGCCTGATTGAGTGCTTATGAAGACCAACTTGAGTGATTAACTCGGAGCTGCAGCAGTAATGTAATATTCAGATGATCAGGGTCCAAGATACTGCACACGGCGTTTTGGGGCGATTTTTAACCGATTCTTCAAATTCCTCTACTTCGGCCCCATCTCACCTAATTTTTAATTTGCCATTGGGGTCTGTTTTCATTATTGGCTTATACCCCTGTAAGCTTATCTCATTCAGCCCTAAAGGAATCAGGGTCTCAGGGTCTTGGGATGTTTTGGATCGACTGTATAGAAAGATGAGAAGCATAAATAGGAGGTATATTCCAAGTCAATTTGAATCATCCAATTCAGAATCAATCAATCAATCAATCCATTCAGCTTTACAAGTTTTACTCCTACTACTTGTTCTTCTTATTTACTCTCAGTTGACCTCCATCAGTCAATATGATGCTCCCCAAATTCTACACACTTTTACCTCTCCTCGTTAGCCTGGCATTGGCCGGTGACCTGAAAGTTCAGCGCGACAAGTCCGTTGAAGCGACCCATGGACACAAGGATGGCCAATACGTCTGGTCTTCAATCGTTGATGTTGACTTTGGTCTTAAGGAGACTGATGCTAAGAAGAAAGAGGAAGAGTTAAACGGAAAGATGGTCAAGATCGCGCATGAAGCGAGTAAGGAGATGCGAGACGACTTTTCGCATATCCTAAGCTCAGTCCCGAAGGATAAGCGGCCCTCAATCATGACGGCCATCGAAGTCGACAACCAAGTTTACCTGGCCTCATCGATGAAGGGTGACTACTCCTTCATCTACGAATACAAGACGAAGGATAAGGGCGGCAAAGTCGGCGATGGAACCATCAGGAAAAGTGTTCCAAAGGAAATCGCCACGGCACTTGGAGGTGCTCGAGCAGCAGGCGCCGCCCAACACCGGAACAATGTCCAGCACCAAAATGATGCTTCTTGTGGAGAGCTGATGGCCAGCTACACCTGGCTGTTGAAGAACCACGGGAAGAGTCTGAAGGACAAGAAGCCGAAGCGGACAATTGCATGGCTTTACACCGGAACGGTGGACCAAGCTCATGATCCTTGCGGCACTGACGAAGCTACCTGGGGATGTGATATGTTCTGCAAATCAATGGGGTTTGAAGTTATCAATAAAAAGACCGTGGAAGCCAAGGAACTGCCAACGATCAAGGGCCATGATCACCAAAAGCTTATGACCCCCGCATTGAGAAAGGAGCTTGACGACATGAACAAGGCGATAGACGAGGAAAACAAAAGGAAGCAGAAAGAGAAGAGTGACAAGAAGAAGGCAGAGAAGGAACAGAACAAGAACAAGCACGATGACAAGAAGGATGACAAGAAGGCTGACAAGAAGGGTCACAAGGGACATGGACACAAGAGAGAGCAGGCTCGCTCTTGGTCGGCATAGATCTATCTATCTATCAGCTAACGGTGGTTTGGGGTTCAAGTGATTGAATTTAGATTTTGAGTGATTTATGTTTTAGACATGGTTCTGTTGCTGGATGATTTGGACCTTTAGTCTAGAGTTTGTTTATTTGGGATTAAAATTGTTACACCTGTATTTTGTTTTCTTAAAATCCGAATTTCTCTTGTTTCTTGAGTATATCTTTCTAAAAATGACCCTAGGCATTCATTGTAAATGATGGTTATCAACCATGTTGTACTTCTATATAGTGTTGCGATAATATATTAGTGGCATACTGAATTAGCAACAGACAAGGCACATAGGATCGTGAATCAACATGATTACTATGAGCTGCAGTACTTGCATAGTTTTGCATAATGAAATAGGTCTTGCATAAATGCTTTACTCTAACTATATCCAAGTTTTATGTACATGGAATAGACACTTTGGCGCATTCACGGAGCTCCCGTGGTCCTATTTTGGCCTGCCAGTGCGGGTTCGATCTTGTTGCCAGCTGGCTGCAGTGGACCGGATAGAACCATTGGATTGCTTGTTTTTTCTTGATAATTACTTTCATGCCAGTTTGGACGTATTTCTGAATGGCATCGTGAAACCATATACGAGATATCTATTACATTGAATTGCCTCCCCGCCCAGCCTTGAATACACTGATTCATTCCCCCTTGATCCACCCATTCTTAACTAACACTTCCCTCAACGACCCCGATTCAAACGGAGCATAATCCGGTGGACAGACCGTCCCATGCTCAGGAAGCGAACCGTTTATCCAGAAATCCCGAATAGCCTTGGACGTACACGAAGAGCCATGAGCTAGGGTAGCATGCTATTCAATCGTTAGTCATTCGTTCATTCTATTCTGAATGTGGGGTCTGCTATAGGCAAGGTACTTACTCCCCATCCACCGTGTTCAAGCAAGACACTGCCCTCAAACGTGGCAGTGGTATTGCGAGCACATCGAAGTGGAGTCGCCGAGTCGTATGTGTTTCCGATAACAAGCATTGGGTTCTTTGTCTTGACGTCGAAATTCCCACTGTACCGCTCCTTGGCTTTGACCTTCCACTGCGTGCAGATGCTAGTCAGGCCAATGGCGACTTCGCCGAGAAGTCTGCTTTGTCCGACCATATCGTACATATCGGGCAGGATGTCGGATAATGTACTCTTATCGATCTTCTTATCGGCGCATTGGATGGCGAAGGGGGCATCGTTGGGGAGAATATCGCCGAAGATGGCATCGCCGGACATTTGGGCGTTGTAGATCTTCATGAAAGCGGACGTGTTACCGTTGAGGAGAGAGTTGAGGGCGGATGAAAGAGCGGGATAGACGGGTGGAGAGTAGAGGCTGGAGCGGATATATGTTTTGAGTAAGCTATCGTCAATAATGTTTTGTTCATGAATGAGCGGATTAACTCTGATGTCGTCGATGAGGTTGTAGATTGTCTTTTCGAGATCAAAGGCTGTCATGTTGCGAGTGGACAGCGCACATTTGTCTGCGGATTTTAGACATTGGTCGAAGAAGCTGGAAAAGACCATGTCGACGTCGGCCCAGACTTGTTTATCACTGGATACAGTCAGAGAGGTGAGGGATGTAAATGGGAAGAACATACAAGCCAGTAAAGTACTCATGGACATTCATATTTCCATCCAAAATGACCTTGTCCATCTTATCAGGGAACATGGCGGCAACTGTTGCTCCCAGCGTAGTTCCATACGAGAAACCTACAATAGTCAGCCGGATCTGCTTCTACAGAACTAGATAGTCAGGAAAATGCTTACCCCAATACCGGAGTAATCCATCCTCATCCACCGCCTCAGCGATCCGCATCAAATCTCTAGCAGCAAAAGCCGTACTCATGAGGGCGCCCTTCTCCCCCAGCGACGAATTGGAGCAGGTGTTGCTGAAAACAGCGGCAGTGGCCCACTGTCTTCCAAGGTCTTTTGCATCAGACGGTTGAGCGAGATCGCCAAAGCGGAGATTTTTCAAGAATTCTCGTCGTTCGGTGTCGTTGTCCATGCATTTCGCGGTGAGGGTGTTTGCTGTTCCGCTGAGGCCATGGTAAGTTTCCCTTTATGTTTAGGTATGAATCAAGTAAACATACCGTGGATCGTGGGCAACTAGATCGTAGTGACCACCAGTCAATCTATATCCTGTAAGCATCCTATCATGTCAAATGAAGAAGAAGGAATCTCACGCTTGAAGTATCTCTCCCATCTCAGCTAAAGTATACCGCGCCTCCAAGCCTGGCCCGCCAAAGTTGACGAGAATAGTTCCTTTGCGAGGCTGCTTGAGAGCTGGGACTTTGAGGAGCTGGAGATCGAGTGTTTCCCGTGCATCAGACCGAGTATAGTCCAAGGGGACGGTAAAGTTGCTGCACTCTGTTGGGAGGGTGGTGTTGGTGCCACAGGGAGCCCAGTCCAGGCTGGAGGCAGTGACGTAACCAGTTAGGCTGGCAAAATATATTAAGTGTTTGAAAAGCATCTTTATAAGAAAATGGGGATAATGAATAATGTGTTGATGATGATATGAGTGCTGCTCGTTCAGACAATTTATACACCTCGTACCCAGAACATCGTGCTGAATATATCTCTAAGCATCGTGGCATTGCTTCGACAGGCGCTCCATACATCCTAACTGGGAAATGTTAGCAGAGATTTGCCCAGGAAACAATTAAAATACGAATTATAAATAACATTAAATCAAATCGGGAAGTATGCGGCGCTGCCAAGACTGCCAACAGCCAATACGAGATAGGGCTGTGCAGGCAAAGTATAAATAGAGGAGCAATACTATTTAATGTAGATGTATAATTGGACAATGTCTAACAAATGTTGATTATAATAGGGACTAAAACAAAAAACATAAAGAAATCATCACCACCCGCCAAAATATTAATAAACCACATTGGTAAGATTCTTTGGCAAGGCAACATGCTCCCAGGTCTCATCCAACCAGTCCATCGTAACCTGAGCCAGCTGAGCCTCAGCACCAAGCTGACAGTGCTCACCTGCCCCGACATCAGTCCGGAAGAGATTATACGTGGCCTTGTTCCCAAGCGTCCTAGCCATCTTCACTGCCTGACCACCCAGGCTGTCATTCTCGCCTTCGCCAACAAACACAGGACAGGAGATGTTGGCCAACATGGTGGAGTTGATCGTAAACTCCGCCAAACGCCCCCACCACACAGAGGGGCTGGTGGTATTGAACGAGAAGAGCGATTGATCGAGGGCCCAGCGGGCGGAAGTAGGGGTCGAAGAACTACGCGCCGCGGCCAAGATTAACTTGTCGAATTCCGCGTACGAGCCGTTGTTATAAAGCGCGATGGTGGTTGCCCCGAGCTCCGCCGCAAAGATGGCATGCATGTCTGTCATGCCGTCGACACAGATCACGGCAGACAAACGGTGTTCACGGGTCGCTGCGAGAGGGGTGAGTTGGCCGCCGAACGAAACGCCGACGGTGGCGACGTGGTCCATGTCCACGTCGTCACGGGTCTCCAGGTAGTCGATGACGGGGGACAAGACGTTCCACCAGTCTGGGATGAAGCCGAGTTTCTGATCGCGCAGGACGGTAGGCTGGCCGGGCCCCTCGTAGGTGATGACGTTCCAGCCGCGGTTGAGGATTTCGAGGCCGAGTTCATGGTAGACATCTTCCTGGGCGGCATCGTATCCTTCATTGAGAACCAGCGTGGGTAGCTTTGCGTTTCCGCGCTGGGCCTTGAAAAACCGAACAGGCACGGAGAAGTTGCCGCCGGGGACGTTGGGGCTGGACGCGGGAATATTCAGATTCACGGGGGGGAGGGGGAGCAGTGCGGCGGCTTTGTTAAAGTCTTCCACGGCGAGGGCTCCGATCTTGTTGATTCGCGGGTCGCTTTGATTTCCGTGCAGGAAGAAGGGGGCATAGCGGTAGTAACTGGAGGAGCGGAAGTAGGCCTCACGAGCTGAGACCGGGAAGCGGGAGGCGTTGATGGCGGTGGCCTTGTCGTGGATGGCATCGCCTAGGTATACAAACTGGTCATACCAGCTCTCGAAGTCGCCGGGAGTGATCTGGCTGGCAGCCCGCAAGACCTCGCCTGTCTGTGCACCGTAATTGTTGGCAAGGGACATGACGGTTTCTAAGACGAAGGCGAACTCTGGGTCGCTGCTGAGCTGGAAGATGGCAGAAGAGTTGGTGGCATCTTGGGCAAGCTAAGACGTGTTAGTCGTTGGCAAGGAGGATTACTATGAGATACGCACCACTGGCAGAACGAGCTGACAGGCCAAGAGGGCAAATTTAAGGAAACGCATGGTGTAGAAATCAACGAGTATTGGGCTCTGTGCTGGCTTCGCTGATATGACTGAGATGAGAGGAATGTGTGTGGGATAAGAGCCAGCAAGAGAATGATGTCCTTCCTTTATAGATTCTCATCACGGCCAGATACCCGAGCGACGTCATTCATCTTCGGCTCAGCCTCGTTCATTGGAGGCAAAGCTAGCAGTTGTATAGATCAGGCCGGCGAACGGGAGAGCCGCAATGGTTCGTGCCCAATTAAGCTCCGATCCCCCTTCTGTATTAGGCTTAGCCTCTAAATAAGCTCCGATCTGGCTACTATATTCGGCTTAGTGTTTCCGCCCCCAATCGATGCCGAGTCGATTACTGTGTTAGGACTAGCGTGCACGAGTCTAAGCTTGCAGGTCTGAAGATTCGCGCAGTGATTGGCTGGCAGTGACTGCCACAAGGCTGCAGTTTAGGACGAGAATAGAAACTGTAACAAGACATCAAGTGGTCCACGTGTTGTCTTACAGATGATGTATTTGATAAATAAACTATAGCTTATGCGACGACAAAGAAACAAAATCCTCCTTGATCAAATCCGCCGCCTTCTCAGCCACAGCATAAACGCTACTCACGATATTCCCACTGACATTATTCGGGAAAACAGACGCATCAGCGACGCGCAGCCCTTCGACCCCCTTGACCCGCAGTCGTGAGTCCAAGGCAGCCCCCATTGCGACTGAGCCACAGACATGGTACTCTCCGACGACTACATCATGGACGGCCTGTTTGGCACTGTCAAAGTCCTGTAGATTGGATGCTGGATCCGGGTATGACCGGCGGGCGATGGAGTGCTGGACGTGTTTGGAAGAGCCGATTTTGTCTGCCCAGCGGAGAAAGGCTGCTAGTACGGCGACGTCTGCCTCGTGGGCGGCGTAGTTGGGTTGGATGACTGGTGGTCGAGAGGGGTCTATTGAGGTTAGTACAAAATATATAAATAGTGTCAGGGTATAACATACCAGCGCTGTTGATATGAACGTAGCCACGCGAGACCGGATATTCCAAACACAGTGCCAGCGCCACTCCAGCAGGCTGATCGGCCGGTCGAGGCGGCCACAGGACAGACTGGTGCTCAACGCCACCAGGCAGGTTCGCAGACGCCGGAACGAGGACCAGCTGCAGATTTCCCGAATCACCGCTTTTCAAGTGTTGAATGACCTGTGCGAGCTGCTTCTGGTGGAAGGCATCCGCTGGCTTCGTTTCTTCGATACTCCGAATGACTGCGGCCAGTTCCGTCTCAGACATGATCGATTTGGCCGGGAAGAACCCTTGCATGCTGGCAATACTGCTCAGTGGGCCGCTGCCATTCTCCGCATACTCTTTGATCGCAGCCTGCATGGCTTCGGGCTGTTGATGTAGCGTGTCCAGTGTGAGAACGCCCGGCTGCACGTCGTATCCCAACAGGGTCAGCGAATGGTCCTGCAGATTGGCACCGACTGCCCGGTTCTCCACGACACATGCAACACCAGCCGCTGCAAGAACGTCAGGATCGCCAATGCCTGACAGCTCGAGAATCTGGGGTGATTTCACCGCTCCTGCGCAGACAATCACTTCCTCTCTGGTCGGAATGTTGTATTCCTTTCCGTCCACAGTAACATTAACCCCGGTGGCCTTGTTGCCATCCAGAATCACCCTGTTTACCTGTGCTTCACAGAGAACCTTCAGGTTCGGCCGTTGTCGATTAGCCTCGTAGTATCCCCGAGCAGCATAGCTTCGTTTTCCTCGCGCAGGGCCGCTGCGAGCAACCGATCCCAGAGTGCGGAAAAACCCAATGTGATCTCCACTCCAGGGATCGACGACATCCTTGGAGATGCCAGCCAGCTCCTTACATGCCTGGATAATATCCTCCTCGATAGGCAGATTCATCTCGTTGAACCCCGTCCGGACAGGCCCGCTCGTGCCGTGGAATTCCCCCACCAGCGGTGTCGCTCCTTTCTCAACGCCCGCAGCAATCGGTTCCAGTGTCTGATGCTTGCGCATATAGTGCTGCATCACCTTCGCCGACCAGCCCTCATCACCCACCAACGCAGCCCAATCGTTATAATCCTGCAACGACCCCCGCACATACATCATGTAGTTAATCCCACTCGATCCCCCCAGCAGCTTCCCGCGTGGTATATGGTGGATCCGACCATGGTTGGCCTGCTGCGGCGCCGTGTACAAGCACCAGTCGTAGTCGGGGTTTTCAAACATCTGCGAGAAAGCACCTGGCGTGTCCACCAATTCGTCTCCGGCCCGCCATTTCCCTGCTTCGATGACGCCGACATTGATCCCCGGGTTTTCGGTCAGACGGGCTGCGATTGCACAGCCGGCCGTGCCTCCGCCGCAGATGAGAAAGTCGAATGGCGTGCGTAGAAATTCCTCGATGGAATTGGTTTGGGCCATGGTTGTAGCAGAATTATCGAGATTTGTATGGAAATTAATTTTTCTCGGCGAAAAGACTACATCCTACTATTTATACCTTGGTATTCGTTTGGCGGAGCGGGGTAAAAGAGGGGTTAAACGAGACCAGGTAAGACCTAGTCTGCATACACTCTAGACCCCGGAATTAGCTTAATCAATGACAGCTAACGGCTGAAGAAAGGCTATAATTAGAATTCATGGCCATCCATGGCCGACGAAAGTCTGCGGTTGAATTTAACAGTTGGGAGAAGTCTCCACTCAATCTAGACCGTCCAAGTCGAATCTCGCCAAACCCAGACGAATCCACGACACCCGTCCACCTCCACGCTGAAGAGCAGCTTTTGCATCCCAGCCACAGTGTCACTGGATATTGCCATGTGGCTACTGGATGATCTGCAATGTGCGGGAGATGTTCCGGTCATCATCCGCAGCCTCATTGCAGAGCGACGGATTACCAGCCGGAATTGCGGAATGCAGGGGCGCATTTATTTTATGTGGGAGGGGACGATCTAGAATATTAAAACTACAAATTAATTTCTGGTCAAGTTATGCTTGTATCACCGCTGCCTGTTTAATTGGCTTGATGAAGCATACTTCACTCCTGATGATTTGCATCACCGAGACTTGCGCTCCAGGAATTTTTCAATAAAATTTGTTTCTAGATAGGTATGAAGTTTTTTATTTATTTTTATGTATTTTTTATCTCATTTTTATTTTTATTCTTTATTTTTTCATCCCGTTCCCGTCAATTTATAAAGTGTTTACGGAGCGGGGTAAAAGAGGGTTAAACGAGACAAGACCTAGTGCTTTAGTTCTCTGCACACTCTAAAATCAACTTAAAATGACAGATAACGGTTGCGAGAAGCTATAAATAGGATGTAGAAACCAATGGAAGCCCAAAGTTGAATTTAGCAGTGTCTTGAGAGCACAGAGTACGTAACTGCTAAAAAGAAAATTACCAATCTGCTTATCACTAGGTTACATTCATTCGCATATTTGCAAACTTACTCTGAAGTGTAAAACGGTTTACAGAAACCAGCAGACAATATTCCTCGTGTCAATATATATAATTGCCTCCACGCCCACCAGCCAGCTCCTGGTGTAGGACATCGGAAGCTACACACGGAGTGGAGCTGATATGCCCCGGGGCCAACGAGACAAACTGTACAAATGGCAGCCCATCCAGCTTGTCAGCTACGTGCAGACTATGATGCGAAAACGCCATGAGCACTTTCACAACGGGCATTTCGCATGCATCCAACACAGACAGATACTCAAACATGGCCGTGACGTATTCCATCTCTTCGCTCCATTGCTGGTCGTCTTCATACCACACAAGCGCTGTCTATGATAACTGCGAGATGCCTGAGGATTTCTGCATTTTTGTCTATCCATTTCAAACCTTCTTCTCCTTTAACGACGATATGAGGAAGAAATTGAATGAGATAAGTTTGAATAACCCTGCATGGTCTACGCTACTTGATGAGATGTTATTCCAAATTCGTGAAAGAAAACATCATGCCGATTTACCAGCGATTTCAAGAGCCAAATGAACACACGCCACGACGAGTTCTCTATGAAGATATTTCTCTTCTGTTCCGCCCGGGTGATCTTGTCTTTGTTCCCCTGGCACGCCCTGATGAGAACCAGGCTAGCATTTCCACTACTGATCACAATGAATATCATAGCCAAATGGTCTTTCGAATGGTGGACTTTCGAGCTATCGAGGTGCCTAGTGCCTATGGGACTGTGAAGTGGGATGATCAGAGAACAGTACTCTATGTGGATAGCTATGACCACGATGGAAAAGGCTCCATGGCCTGTCGTACATGGGTTCTATTTGAGAGCTTCCCGGGGGAGTGTGAGATTACGTCCCTTGCCTGCTTTCCTCTCAAATTCCATCCAAATTACAACAAGGTATTGTCGGAGGATACGGCCAGAGGACGGCGGTTTAAGAATTTGATTGAATGTCCGATTAAGCCTCACCATTATTCCGGTTGGACATTGGCAAAGGGGCCTAGTAGGCATGACAAGCTGGATGAAAAAGGGGCTGAATACGTCGACGGCGAGGTTATCGATCCGAGAAAATACCTCTCATTGCAAGGAAGCCGATGCGAAAGTCGAGACCGACAGATTCCTGAGGCATGATGGCTCTTTTGTGAAAAGAAAACTGGTCAAATGAAGATCTGGCTCTTCTTCCTCGACGGGTTTTTGGCTATTCATTGCGAGAATGAAAGTTTGCCAGGTTCGATATAGACTGCTTTCCGCCGTCGGTCGAAGGTAGCAGAGCGACGCTCGATCAGATCCAGATGGACGAGAACTACCGCAGAATCATCCGCTCGACAATCTCCTCGCACTTCATGGAGACGGATCGAGAGAGAAACTCAGAAGGACGGGTATACAGGCCAGATTTCATCAGTGGTAAAGGCCGGGGACTGATTGTTTTGCTTCATGGTGCTCCAGGAGTGGGCAAAACAGCAACGGCAGAGGCTGTGGCGCTTGAGTATCAGAAGCCTCTGTTCCCCATCACCTGTGGCGATTTGGGCATCACGCCAGAGGGGGTTTGAGAAGAATCTGCGAGGTATCTTTCGCTTGGCTCACAAATGGAACTGCATTTTGCTGCTCGACGAAGCAGATGTCTTTCTGACACAGCGCGATCGAACTGACATTGAGCGCAATGCTATGGTCTCTGGTATGTCCTTCGTCCTCTATTGAATCTTTGTTTCAGTCAGCTAATTCATTCTAGTCTTTCTGAGGATCTTGGAATACTACAGCGGAATTCTCTTCCTCACTACCAATCGCGTGGGTGCATTGGACGAAGCATTCCGCTCTAGAGTACACATCAGCCTGTACTATCCCATCTCAGTCGCTTCGACACTCTTGCCATTCTGAAAAGCAACCTGGCTAGTCTTTCCGACTGTTACAAGCCTCCGAATGGGGAGCCTGCTAAAGCGGGCCACATTCTGATCGACCAGGATGAGAGCGAGGAATATGTGCGCCAGAAATACGACGAGCATGAAAGAGAACATGGTCATGGGCCGTGAAATGGACGGCAGATTCGCAACGCCGTTCAAATCGCAAAGTGTCTGGCCAGCTTTGAAAGTCCAAATGGGCCTGCAAAGTTGAAAGCTCACCACTTCAACACGGTCAACCTCACCATGACCGAGTTTGATCGGTATCTGGAGGATGCCCGGGGGGTGAGCGACCAGAAGTTCGCGCGGAGAGAGGGAGTTCGGAGTGACCTGCGTGTCATGATCGTCCTGGCGAAACTCCTCGTCATCGGAGTTGGAGGGTTTCTGATCGGTCTGCCTCGATGCGACAGCCACCGCCAGCCTTCAATACCAGACCTCAAGGTGCGCCATCAATCGATCAGCATGCAGCAGGACAAAGACCTGCAAGCCTCGCATATTCCGGTACAGGATACCCTCCAATGGTGGCATCGCCAGGCTATAGTGATTTTCAACGAACCCAACAAGCCACTCACCAATCAGCTTACGACCCAGCCTATACCGTGGATCGCAGAGATGGCGCTCAGCTACACCCATCCAATACCTACGCTACTACCCAGTACGAGCCTTCACGAATGGTCAACCCAGCAAGCATGGAAAACACCCAGACTGGGCAGTATATGGCACCGCAAGAAGGATATAACAGCAACAGTCCACAATCAGTCCCTCGGACTTTTGCATTCACTGGCAATCGTCCATTCATCTGGGAACAAGGCCAAACTAGACCCATTGGGACACAGAACCTGCCGATGAGAGAAGTGCCACGGCCTCAATAGCTTCTGATTGAACTGTCAAGTGGAGGTATGAAATACTAGAAAGCTATAAATAGTTTCCCTTAGAGTTATGCTTACATTAAAGGTGCTCCGATCTAGTACAATTTTAGTCACATACTCCACTGCTAATAATTACAGGTAACAAGGTACACATAGAAATCCCCTAGTTTTGCCTATATCATTGATGCCTAGTGATTATTTGTTGTAATAACATTCTAAATGTGACATCAAAAGAATGATCTGCGTCATGGAGAGTTACGAGTACGACAGAATTTCCCTTTTCGGTAACTGACCCCACCACTTCAAATTTTGTCTATTCCCCTTTTTCATAGAAACTAATCTGCCTGGATGTCGGAATATAATATAAAAAGACTAGAATGGACTTGTTAAAGTCTTTCAAATCATCTTCGGACTCTGGTCAAGTGCTATCATCATGGCTCGGCTGCATCTCTGGTAGGTATCTCTCTGCCCTGATTGGGTACATACATGCTGATGATATATAGGTCCAGCCACATGGCTGCGTTGACTGTGATAGCGTTAATGGCCTCTCTGGTTACTGCCATCCAGCCAAATTGCACCTCACTCAGCACAGATGGCCCATTGCAAATCACCCCAGACTGCGTTGACCCCATCTATCACACCCCAATCTATACCAACAATACCGACGAGACGGACCCTGTCACACACCGCAAGGTATCTGGATACTTCAACGGCACCGAAATCGCATTCAACATCTACATGCCGCACCAAGGCTGGGAAGGTCGTTTCTTCCAATTGGTGTTCCCAACACAGCCCTCCGCGGGCTCGTCTGGAGAAATTGGCTTTGGCGCTGAGAGTGGCGGGTACACTGTGCACGTTGCCGGGACGGGAGGATATCGAGCTGATGCGGCCGTTGCGAAACTATCCAGACAGATAGCACGGGAGTTTTACCAGCAGCCGTCGCAGAGAATCTACGGGTACATCTACGGTGGCAGTGGCGGGTCTTTCAAGACGGTTGGTGCGATGGAGAATACACGTTCTGTCTGGGATGGAAGCGTCCCTCTGATCCAGGGGATTCCGATTTCAGATCCCACCGGATGTTCAATCACCTCGTTTGGAGGGCTGGTATTAGGGAACGTATCTGAGCAGATCCAAGATGCTGTCCGTCCTGGGAGTACCATCGCTCCGAGCGAGTTTTTAACAGATGCTCAGCGTGCTGTGTGGGAAGAGGTATCAGCGTTGGGAATGCCACCTGCTGCATGGGAGGATTTCGACGGCAGCGGTCGAAACAGATCGCAGGTTTATGAGCTTCTTCGAGCGGCAGCGTCTAGTATGAAGTCGGTGGATCCGACCTATGTTGATGACTTTTGGAGTCAGCCAGGATATCTGGGGACGGAGGAGTCCGCGCTGGGAGAGCTGTTCCGAGAGTCTTTGATTGACTTTAATGCCACTGTTCGTGTGGTTAATCGTGGCTCAGACAATACTCCGGTGGACATTGAGGTAGATGTATCGCCATCCAAAGCGCCCCGGCGCAATTGGTATGACTTTACCGTTCAGTCGGGATGCAGTGCAGGGAGCACATTCACTGGCATCATGGATCCAGACTCGACAAAGGTCATCCTCTACTCGGACAACAACAGCACTGTTCTGAACTGTCTGGAGGACGGCGTGAAGCTTCGCGTCGACAACAGATGGTACCTCGCCCTGCATACTTTCCACCGACACGAGCTCCCGACAGACAGAGACTACCATGTCTTGGACTACCTCCGCAATGAAGATGGCACACCCCGTTATCCCCAGCGCAGCGTCCTCACAGCTCCTATTTTCGCTGAGTCCGCGAGTGGCGGCGGCACCAACACTGGCAACATCACCGGCAAGATGATCGTCATGGATAACCTCTTGGACAACAAAGCGTTCCCCTGGGAAGCCGATTGGTACCGCACACAAGTGAAAAACTTTCTTGGAAAGCAGTTCAGCAACCAATACCGTTTGTACTACTCCGACAACGCTGACCACGAAATGGGACCCGTCGAGGATGCCGTGAAATACCGTCTCATCGACTTTACCGGGCTGTTCGAACAACACCTGCGTGATCTCAGCGCCTGGGTGGAGAGGGGAGTCGAGCCTCCATCCGTCACCAACTATACGATCCAGAACGGCCAGGTCAAAGTCCCTGAATCTGCATCTCAACGTGGTGGCATCCAGCCCGTCGCTCATTTGAGGGTACAGGATAGCACACGGGCAGAAGTTCAAGTCGGATCGCCGGTGACTCTTCAAGCCTCCATCGAAGTGCCGAATAATGTTGGAAAGATTGTTTCTGTTGAGTGGGATGTTTATGGAAATGCAAGCTTTGTCCCGGTGGACTTTGGAGCGCCCAGGGCAATGGTAAATGTGAATGTCACTCATACGTACACGGAGCCGGGTGTATACATCCCCAGCATCAGAGTGGCGTCTCATCGGGATGGAGAATTAAAGGATTCTTATGCCCTGGCATACAATCTGGGTCGCGCGAGGGTTGTCGTTAAAGGATAGTGAGAGTCCCCTACCGTCAATCCTTTTTGATGCAATTACCGATATATTAATATCGGGTCAACCTGCAGCGATAAGATCTCATTTGTATAATATTCATGCGGATTCTCTCATTTTATTACCCCGCTACATTCTCTTATAGTACTGTATTTACTTTAGAAATAGATTCATTATTGACATAAATACGGCCTGTTTTCTCAAGAGTTCGAGAGGACCAGACCTTCAATATGCTCCTTATCGCATTCTTCATTCAGTATAGTTCCAAAATGCCCGAATACCTTGCTCCATGTAGTTGCCAGATATGTTGTGGCTTGCTCACTGTTAAGAGAAACTTTCTTGTGGTTCTAGGCAGAAATAAAACTCGATTGAACTGAAAGAAAGGAGACAAGGAGTAAAGGTACGGAGTATGCAAAAACAGCAATGCCAACGTTGCCAAGGTCATCATGCAGATTTACCCGGGGAAATACCAGCCACTCATGATGGACTACCAGACCCACATTGTCATACGCCTGCATGACACTTGTCTATATCAGGCTAGTGCGGAGATACAGTGGTCCACCTGTGTTCTGTACGGCTTCAATCAATCAACAACGCCCAATATGATGAATATTCGATCCTCATCCTTGCCTACTAACGAGACCTGGGATCGGCATACAGCCTCTTGGCACTTAATGACATTCATCATGGCTCTCCAGCTCTCGGAACATGGAGGGCTATATAAACCCCCAGAATCCCTATTCAGTCCGGCAGAGCAGGAGCACTCAAAAACTCTCAACTCCTAAGTCTTACATATCTTGATATACAACCATGCGAGTCACGGATGGATTGGTTTACCTCTTTGCTGTGGCCAACATAGCGGCATACGGCTCGGCCACAGAACATCTCAACCAGACAGTGTCTGCAAACTGTCAACAGGCTGTACGTCTCAGACGCTTTTTCACTTTCAATCTAACTCCTTTAGTGTATCCAACTTTCCACAGCGTTCGGATCTGCCTTCCACTACAGCAACGACAACTTCACCATATGGGACGCGAAACAACAGGAAGTCCACCCAGCCTGCCGCGTTGAGCCATCCAATGCTCGGGATGTTTCCAAGATCCTGAACATTCTCGTGGACCGCTGGTGCCACTTTTCCATCAAGGGTGGTGGTCACTCGCGAAACCCCGGAGACTCCAACTCGTCGGGCGGTGTTACCGTCGACCTCGATCGGATGAGAGGCGTAGAAGTCTTGGGCGATGGCAAGGCGCGTGTTGGCGGTGGTGCCAATACGCTCCAAGTGTACTCGGCGCTAGAATCTCACAATCTGTCCTTTGTTGGTGGCCGAGTTGGCACTGTTGGTATAGGCGGGTTTACCCTTGGTGGTGGAACTTCTCCCCTTTCCAACAAGTATGGCTGGGCGTTGGATAACGTGTTTGAGTATGAGGTGGGTATACTATAAGCACTCAATAGATCATCACTGACACAAGCAGGTCGTGCTAGCTAATGGAACCATCACCACTGCATCAGAGACTCACAATCCAGACCTTTACTTTGCTCTCCGCGGTGGTGGTAATAACTTTGGCATCGTTACGGCATTTACTGTTCGAACCTTTCCCCAGGGCCCGGTGTTTACCAGCATGACCTCCTACTCTTCCAACCAGTCAGAGCAAGTCCTTGACAGGGTCTATGACCTATACACAGATCCAGTTCTGTCAGGGGATGTGAATATGGGCTACGATCTTTACTACACGTATACTTCTGAGAGTGATGCCTTTGCATTATCAGGCACCCAACGCTACGCAGACCCCGTCCAGCAGCCTCCAGTCTTCCACGACATCGACCAGATACCCACAGTAAGCAGGGAAACGACGATAGGCTCTCTCAGCAGCCTGGTGAACGACTCCAGCCCGATGGGCACTGCCCGGTAACATTGGCTTTGAACCCCCCCCATCAGTGTCAGGCTAATTAATTCCCGCAGACATCTATTCGCAACCCTGAGCGTGTCCCCATCACGCTCTCTCCTCTCGCAAGGTCTTCATATCTTCGAGCAGGAAGTCGAAGCAATCAAAACCGTGTCCGGCTTGGTTCCCAACTTCATCTGCTATCCATTACAGCAGAATGCCATTCAGGCAATGAAGCAGCGAGGCGGGAATGCTCTGGGCATTGATCGTGACGAGCCCCTGTTTAGTAAGTCTTCATCTAATGACTGTTGGCTTCTTCTTTTCTGATCTTCTGCTAGTTATCCTAATTTCTACCGCCTGGTCTCACAGCCACGATGATGCCCCCGTTGAGACAATGACTGCAAACACGATTCGGAGGGTCCAGGCAGTAGCTGAAGAGCTGGGAGTTGCGAATCGGTATCGGTACATTAACTATGCGGCTGCTGCGCAGGCCGATTCGATCTTTCAGGGTTACGGTAAGGAGAATGAGCAGAGGCTGAAAGAGATTCAAAGGGCGCTTGATCCTCGGGGGATTTTCACCTCTAAAGGACTGTGGTCGGGGTTTGTTAAATTGCTGTGATGATGTACAGAGCCGATTTGAGGGTTAAGTGAAGGTTAGATGTAGCTACAGCGGAGCTCTCGGAAACTCATGCACTTTGTTTAGCCCCTTAAGCATGTCTTGTTCCAATGTCAACTGGCTAAAGATGTGGTTCCGGGTGGCATGTTGTGTAGGTATATCCCGTGTAGGTATTCCCCGTGTAGGTATACTCCATGTGGGTATTTCCCATGTAGGTAATTCCCGTACATAAATCAACGCCAATGCCACAAGATCTAAACTGTCAAGAAAACTTTTATCATAATCAGCCATCATGGACGTCGTTCTCGATATCCTCGACACGTTTCTTTTCGATAGGCTTTATGCTGCGATACTACCTGCATCCAGCACCACATATGCAGCATCTCTACACAACAGACATGTGAACGTGTACATGCACCTTGAGCCATCGCAGTGGGTGGATGCAAGTGTCTTGAAAAGAGATGATGTTGTCAGACAAGCAATATCACTGTTTCTCATTACATGGTAACTATCACTAAACACATACATACTACTATTCTAAATGTCTCAGGATCTTCGGACTCGCCATGTACCTCACCGGCAGCACAATCATCTACTTCACCCTCTTCGACCGCAAAACCCTCCACCACCCCCGGCACCATCCCAACCAAATCCGCCTCGAAATCCAACACGCCCTATCCTCCATGCCCGTCATGGCCCTTCTAACCGTCCCCTTCTTCCTCGCCGAAATCCACGGCTACTCAAAACTCTACGACTTCACCACCGAAGCCCCGTTCGCCGCATACACATACCTCCAATACCCGCTCTTCCTCCTCTTCACCGACGCCGGCATCTACTGGATCCACCGCGGGCTGCATCATCGAAGCGTGTACGGGTGGCTGCATAAACCGCATCATCGGTGGATCGTGCCGAGCCCGTTTGCGAGTTATGCGTTTCATCCGATCGATGGGTGGTCGCAGAGTCTGCCGTATCATGTTTTCCCGCTCATCTTGCCGTTGCAGAAGGGGGCGTATCTAGGGTTGTTTGGGTTTGTGACGGTTTGGACGTTGTTTATTCGTGAGTTTCCCCCGGGTTATGTTTGATGAGATGGATGTTGATGGGACAGATGATGCCGAGTTTCTTTCTAGCTCGAAGGTGGTTAATGGTCCTGCGTGTCATACGATGCACCATCTTTACTTTAACTATAATTACGGGCAGTATACGACGTTCTGGGATCGATTCGGAGGGACATACTATAAACCACGACTGGATAAATTCGGACAAGCCCAGAAAGAGAAAGATGGAAGTGTTTCTCAAAAGGACGATTGAGTGCTATGGCCATGTATAATATCCAACAAGCAAGTCCTAGCGACTCGCACAATACTGAATAAAACCATGCAAATCATCCAAATCATCCGTCGCCCCACCATCCAAATAACAAATCCTCCCCTCATCCCTCGTAGCCATATCCAGCGTCGCAGAAACCAGTCGCCAAAGCTCCTCCGCGTGCTGTGGGTAACCCAGAAGGAGGGATCGCTCTGTGCCTAGTGAAGAAGCAGTGCCGTCCCAGATTTTCTTCCAGTTTTGGGCGGCGTTGGAAATGCTCTTCAGTGGGAGGTATGCGAGGAGGCCTGCGCGAGCTTGGAAGGCGAGGATGTTTATTGCTGTAGATGTTAGTAGTGCTAAACTGTAAACTGGTTGGGGGAAGCATACCGTAGATGAGCATTAGTAAATGCTCTACAGACAGTTGTATCGAATCACTGATGGAATTGGAAAGTAATTGCCCCAAAGCGTCTGGGAATGAATGCGATGGCGAGAGTGCTGTATCTGCAGCAACAATATTATTAAAAGAAGCAGCGCTATCAGCTTCCCACAAAGCAGTAGGCCACGAAAAGTCGCAATTCATCTCAAAGCTCGACAACGAGGGATGGTTTTTGAAGCAAACCGTCAGGAATCCATCGGCTAGGAAGACCCAGCAGGCGAGTCTATAACATTAGCATCAAAGCAACTGCAACCTGGATGTATATAGACATACCGTATGCACACTTCCTCCGCCACCATTTCCCTCCACGTATGGTCATCACAAACCCGGACTGCCATTCGTCGTCGTAACTGGAAAAAGCCAAACGAGCGCATCACAGAGACCAGGCATGGATGGCGGAAGATTCGAATCCGGCGTCGCGTGTCTTTCCGGTCCTGGCCGAATTGAAGCATTTCAATAATAAGCGCACTCTGTATGACCTGAACGATTGGAAGTGACTGCGTTGGGTCTTTCAATGAGATTGTAGACAGGCTGGCGAGTTCCCGGAAAATAAGCTCTTCGGCCACATCGAGCAGACTGGGTGGGATTCGTGTTCCATGCGGCAGTGTGGTGTAGGATGCACCCGTCAGGCAGATGGCTAGGAGGAGAATGTTGGAGATATTGCCCGGATCAAAGGTGGGAAAATGCACGACGGGGAGATGCCAGTGGAGGGAGTGGAAGAAGACAGAGATGAAGATGAACAGGCTCGGGGCTGTGAAGAGCGAGGTGAGGTCCAGCATGTCGAGGGGTTTCTCTTTCGAGGCCATTGATTTGGACACTTGGACCAGTTCGTTCAAGACCTCGTTCAATTGCTTCAGAAGATTAGGAGAGAATGATTCTGCTTCATCGAACAGTCCACCAGACAAGCCTTCACCCATGAATGGGACGGCCGGAAAGTTGACAGGCATGAGCGCGTGTTCGAGATGCGAATAGAGCATTTCCAGGTTTCTCTGGACTGAAAATTCGGCTGTCTTTCCAATCGCCAGTCTATCCATCTGTACCGAGGGGTCTGTGAAATAGCGCAGAAAGGCAAAGGGTTCTTCGTTGCCTGGAAAGTACAGGGACGATGATCGCGTCGTTGTCGTCGAAGCGAGTACTGTTACGCTCTCCCCTTGACTTGCAAAAGTACACCCTCGCCGCATAGACTGGCATCTCGAGCATGGCTGCTTTCGATCACAAGCTGCCTTTGCCAGAAAACAGCCATCGCACGACTGTCGTTTCCGACCAGGTTTACTGGCAGCAGGCAGCGGCTGGTTATGCTTTCTCGCACATGATTGGCTATGTCGTCGTGCTACCTCTCTGTCGGATGTTAGCTTCATCTTATCAATCCGGACAATATCATACGATTTGGAAAAAGCTTTCTGGCAGAATTGACAGTTGAATGAGAGATAGGCGTCTGACAGGTCAGCATCCGCTCAGCATGAGAAATTGACAACCTACGCGTCTCCTGGTGTCGAGATAGATGTGTTCTTTTTTGATAGGATTTTCCACACTGGGTGCATTCAAACATGGTGGTGCAGCGATGTTGATATCAGATGCTCAAGGGAGATGTTGGATTTCAGTGGGTCAGGGGCTCAGAGAGTGGCCAATCAGATCGATGATGGAGTTGGCCATGGATGACCTCATCAGGTATGTTCAGTCTCCCTTTCTACTGCACAATGCCATGTGTATTCTTGATTATATGTCTCCTGGCTTATCACCATGCCTTAATCGGCCATTCCCTATATATATTTGTGAAAGAGAACATAATGAATCATCTTAATGTTCTCAACCAAGACCTTGGGTTTGCCGTAGAGTGGGGGCTGTTGAAAGGGTAGTCTGATAAACTCAGGGTGGTTTATTTCTTTCTCATATAGTATAATGCATACCTACTGATATATCCATTATAATTTATAAAGAATCTTACAGAGAATCAAGCAATGCCATGACGGGTGGCGCACAGCCGACGGTTAAATAAATAAATCCCCGGAGCTTATTTTGCCGATCAACCCGAGGCGGCTGATACCGATATCTGTTCGTGACGAGGCTGCCGACTCCGGGGAATTCTATGTGCGGGGAGTCGTGGAGAAGATTGGTTTGCCTAATCTTCATCACGGAACCTGTCCGACACCTCGAAACTAACTGATGACAGATGAGGATCACCACCAATATACCGCATCGAGTATAACCCTTGCAGGAAGCGGGGTATGACTAACAGTGTGTGTTCTTCACCCCGCCTAATCGGCTTTTGACAGTCGATTCCAACAGCCGTCTCAACTCTGCAGGTGCATGCCATGTGCAATTCTTTTGCGGGTATTGACTTAGCCTGCAGATACGATGATGTCGATGTACGCTGTTCCCCACGTGGGGGTATGAAGAAAATATCTCATGGTTCATTACTCACCTAGGTATATATAGGGCTGTTTCCCTCTTTTGCCATGATATATAGACAATAGACAAGCCTGTTGAAAATGAATCTGTGGCTCCTTACCCTGTGGGTCACCCTGGTCAAGGCCTGGGTGGTCAACGAAGGGACAACGTGCAAGTTGTACCCCGAATCTCTCGTCTACCACGGACAACCCGTGGACGACTCCCCATCCATCCAGCAAGCCTTTGACATGTGCGGTACAAACGGCACAGTCATCTTCACCGACAATGTCTTCCACGTCAACACCGTCCTCAACACCACCAACCTGCTCAACTGCGATGTTCGTCTGCGCGGCGAACTGCGCTTCTCCACCAACATCCCCTACTGGCGAACGCACGCGTATAGCGTCGTCCTGCAGGACCAAGTAACCGCGTGGCTCTTTGGTGGCACCAACGTGAGCTTCTACGGTGAGGGTGGTTTCTACAACGGCAACGGCCAGGAATGGTACAACGCCAACAAGAACGAGTCCAACCAAGTCGGTCGCCCGATGAGCATTACCTTTTACAACTCGACCAACCTCCTCGTCGACAGACTGCGTATCATCCAGCCGCAGTTCTGGGCGACCTTCGTCTGGGCGAGTAAGAATGTCTCGATGACGAACCTCTTCGTCAACGCCACGAGTAACAGCAAATGGGGCACCATGAACACAGACGGATACGACTCCTGGCAGAGCGACAATCTGCTCGTGGAGAACGCCACCATCATCACCGGCGATGACTGCATCGCCGCCAAGGGCAACACGACCAACCTGCTCGCGAGGAACATCTACTGCGAAGGCGGGACGGGCATCACCATCGGCTCGATCGGCCAGTACCCCGAAACACCAGACTACAACCTCAACACGACCTTTGAGAACGTGCGCATCAAAAACGCCATGGACGGCGCTTATATCAAAACCTGGCAGGGCACGCGCATCTTCACCCCCAGCAACGGCGACTGGGGCGGCGGCGGCACCGGCCTAGTCAAGAACGTCACCTTCCGTAACTTTGAGATGGAGAACGTCGGCCTGCCCATCCAGCTCTCGCAGTGCGTGTACTCGGCCAACTCGAACAAGGGCTGCAACACCTCCACCCTGCAGGTGGAAGACGTGACGTGGGAGAATATCCACGGCACCTCGCGGTTCAACATTGCCTCCTCGCTGTACTGTTCGGATGAGCGTCCGTGCCCGAATATCAAGTTCAAGGATGTGAACATCACCAGCGTGAATGCTACTCTGGGACTGCCATACTATGGCACTGATATCCAGCATGAGCTGTTCCAGTGTACGAATGTGCTGGGGCTGAATACGTCTGGCATTCCATGCAACCAGGCTGCGCCCAGCAATTTTAGTCAGTGGATTTACGGGAATGTTGACAAGTCGGGTTTGGCGACGTTGACTTGATCTGATATATTGACTGGATATGTATCTAACACACGATCACCATTAGTTACTAAAGTTATAAGTATACTTAATTTAGATATGTCTTTATCTTGTGATATACATGCACAGTGGTTGGTTTATAGCTGTTATTTGTAGACGCGCGTGCTGCTAAAGCTCTTAATGCTGGAAGATCTTTTCTATTGACCTGGACAATCCCAGCCAGGCCCGGTCACACGGAATGCCAGACGTATTCAGCCCCAGCACATTCGCACACTTGTTCTCTGGGAGAATTTGAGATGCCACCTTGAGATAGCTTTCCAACGCAGAGAGATTTTATGGTCCTGGACTTGAGGGGGCTGGACTAATGGTGAGTTGCTGAGAGCCTTAAACCCCTAGCGGCTTGGATCTAAACCCTCTGCATGTTTTCACAGCTTCCATGATAAATCCGGCCTTCTTAGTCAGACCAACAATTGCATAAGGGCTTCTTAAAGGAACTAAGTCAATAGTGTGCCTGGTTATATAAGATCCCTATTATAATGCACTGGATTCTTCCTATAATTATACCAGCACTAATATCTTTTTATCCAGATCCTCTATACCGGCTATATGCAGGGGGTGATTATAACCGCGCCATATAGACCCTATTATAATTAGTAATAAAGGAAGTAGATATAAGGTTAAAACAGGCATGTATTAAAGAAACACTCTAGCTGGAGAGTTCCAGCTACAAAAACCAACCCAACCATCATGCCCATTCCAAATGGATGAATCTGCGTTAACTGATCAACTATGTCATGGTATATAATATATAGTTACTCATAGGTAATGTCTTCTTTATTACTATACCATGCATTTTACGGAAGTAAACTTATTAGATGCTATACTTTTTCTATAAATCTTAGATCAACACTACTTAAATTACTCAGAATTGCTATCTCCTAACCACTACTCTTATATATTAGCTGATAAATGGTCTACCTATTTAGGTGTTCCACCCCTGCTATCCTCCTCGTTATTATTATAAATACTTGACTTCACCTAAGATAAACCAGTGCCCCAGTCTGGGGCTAATATAATCTTGTAGTCACCTATAACTTTATCTATAACCTCACTCTCAGCTTATTCTACTATATACTGCTAGCAGAAGTATTATTAATAAAACTCTACAGTATAATTATCAGCCTTATAATAGTTAACTGCCTTATCTGATTAGTTATATTTACTACTACCATCATTTATATAATGAATAAAGACAAGGTAAATTAGAGACGAAAGCTAGGCTTCTTATTCTCAGGCCTAAGTGTTATTTATCTTTTCTTATACCATTTTTACCTACCTAAGACGGAAGGACAGACCTTTAAAGAGTTAGATATTCTATTTAAGGTTTCTAGCCGAATGTTTAAAGAATACAAGGCTGAGATTGTGGGAGATGTGGATAGCCATAGATTAGATAGAAAACTAACTAACCAAGTGACAGCCACAGATGCATCTACCATTCATCAATTTCATATGTGTAAAGCCATACCCCTTTATATTCCCCTACCTATAATAATCCACTACATACAGCCACGGGTTGTGAAGAACAGGGCTTCTCTATAACGCGGTCTGTAGTTACCTGCAGCCAGCAAAGTAAGATGCACCATGGTTGTATTCGTCTATGGTTTCGCTGGAAGATATTGGTCGATGATCGCGCGCCTAGTAGTAAGACTTGGAAAGCTGGGAACGATTTGCCGTTGAAGACCACGTCCATGACGTCATTGCGGAACCATGCAAATTACCTGAGGCTCGACAGCGGTTTCGACTGGGCAACGGAGTCCTTTTCGATGATCATGCGAACGCCCTAGATGAAGCCCAAGCAGACAGTAATTCTCTTCGTTGTCATGGTAAACTCATTTCTTCATGGGAGTGTGCTGGATTGATACAGTTATGCCCGCTGCTGGAGATTAAATACATCTTAGGAGATGCATATCGTTGATCTAGACCCAGAAGATTCGGCTGAATTAGAAACAGACTTTGAACGACAGTTCTAGCCTGTTCGTATGTACTGAAAGCGGTGCGCCGGCAAGCTTAACTTACACGAAATCTAATGATAATGAAAGGGCTGACGATCTAATTTTATAACTGCATCTGATGCTGAAACTAGAGCGTTCCAGATCATGATAGATCTTCATCTTTTCCTATATATATAAATGTGTTCATAATGATTCTTGCTAGTTGATTGCGTCTCACTTCCTTTTTACTTTCCCAATAAGCTTCGTGTACGCCTAGTCTCCATTTGATGCTCAGTTTGAGTTAGCCAAATGGTTAAATAGCCTCAGGCAGCGTCGGCGCCTTACAGCTATTCAATCAGTGCAAAATTTTGACATAATCTATTACTGAAATCAAGACTTTAGCCTGGGACGAGCTCTGCCCATCAACGCTCGCCTTTTGTCGCGATCATCTTGCTGGCATGATTTAGTAGCAATAGGGACAATCCTATTCTTTATCACAGGACCACGAAACCAAATATAATCCTTATTTCATGCGACAAATCGTCCCACGTTAGTAGGTATCTTGAGAATGGCATTCTTACTTAAAGGAGGGTGGATCGGCCTTGGAGTCAGTGGTTCAATTCTTCCTTCGGCGCTGGAACATATTTCCTAAGACCTCGAAAGGAACCTCAAAGGAACCGGATAGAAGATACCGATCCCTTGGAAGTGATTGTTGATTGTGAACAGGCAAAATATGAGTATATTGCGTCTGCGCCCACCTAATAATACGTATCTATACTAATCGTGCTAGTATCGTGGCTGTTCATGGCCTTAACCCTTACGGTGACCCTAACCATCACATCAAAACGTGGAGAGCAGAGCCATTCGAGCCAGACGGCCCTACCTGGCTCGAAAATTTCCTTCCGCAAACTTTCACGGATTGCCGTATAATGTTGTACAGGTATAATTCAAATATAGCTTTCAAGACGGGAGCTGCAGGTGTTTCAAACCATGCAGAATCACTTTTGAACTCGCTCCTGGAAAAGCGAAGGGTAAGCTTGGGAGGGAAATCCTGTTCAGACGACTAAATAGAAATACAGGAAGCAAAATACCGGCCCTTAATATTCTTTTGCCATAGCCTTGGCGGTCTCGTCGTCAAGCAAGCATTTGTCACGGACAAGAAGATTTTTGAAGACATTAAAGATTCCACGTAAGCAAATCTAATGAATGAGCCTTGTTTAGTAATTTATGTCTGTATAGGAAAGGCATGGCTTTCTTCGGCACTCCCCATCATGGCGCGAAAAAGAAGAGCCTAGCAAGCTTAGGTCTTGTTGTCGCCCATATAGTTCGGAAAGTGCAAGGCGCTCCAGGAAATGCGCTAGCAAAGTCACTGGAGGCAGACAGTAACATCACAGATGAATTAGCCCTTATGTTTGAACGCCAATCGAAAGACCTTCGATTCATAACAGTCTATGAAAGTGTTAAGACGTCCGTGGGAGTAGTAAGTTGACATATGCTACGACGAATTAGGTGGTATGATAACATTTACTGAACTTAATAGGTTGTTGAGCCAGAAAGTGCAATTTTGGGCTTTCCCAGGAGTCGTGAAATACAACTTGATATCGAGCGAAACCACTCTGACATCTGCAAATTTCGCAGTGAAAAGGAATGGGCCTATGAGCGGTTCAGTGGCTTTCTGAAGCTTATGCTTGACGATATCAGCCGCAATGTAGAGAAGGACAGGAGAATGAGAACACTGAAAAGGTTGGACGAAGAAGAGGGGAGATATAACCCAAAGACGTTAAACTTCGCTACCAACACGGACATGGAGTTTCAAAACCGTGGAATGTTCAAGGACTCGATCGCACTCAACAGAGATATTATTCGAAGGAAGGAAAAGGCGCTTGGTTCCGATCATGCAGACACTCTCTTCAGCCGGCAAAAGCTCGCCTGGGCTCTACAAAGCTTAGGTGAATATAAGGAAGCAGAGGATATCCTCAAAGACATGATGGACGCACACGGGCAAGATAAACGCGCCAAGCTACTAACTCAGAGAGTTCTTGGTCATGTGCTCCAGCGTCTAGGTAAATATACTGAATCTCTGAAGATAACGAGTGAGGTGGAGACACAAAGCAAAATCGACCTCAGTGAGAAAGATCAAGACACACTTTCGAGCAGCCATAACCTGGCTTGGCTTCATCTACTGATGCATAACTACAAAAAATCTGAGCCACTTTTCCGCAGCGTCTTAAAGGATAGGAAGGCTACGTTGGGCCCGGAAAACATCAACACACTCGATACCCAAGGGGCTCTTGCATATGTCCTTATGCTGCAAAAGAAGTATCCGGAATCGAAAAAGTTGAGAAAAGAGGAATTAGAGATCAGAGGAAGAACGCTAGGGGCTGGCCACAATAGCACTCTCGAGTGTATGAGGAATCTCGCATATCTACTAAATAAGATGGACGAGGTAAATGAGGCTGAGTCTTATTACGAAAAAGCGTTGCAAGGCAAACGAGCTCAGTTCGGGATTGACCATCCAGACACTATAGACACCGAACAGAACCTCCGACATGTCCGGGAAGGGAAGAAATCCCGGAATCATGGAGGTGAGAGCGATGGTTAAAGGAGAAGGAGATGATGAGGAGAGACAATCGGAGTCTGGATGGCAGCTCGTGGTAAGACAGAATATTCCTTGCTATCTTGGTCTCCATGTTAAGGTTAGTTATTTGACCATGTCCCCAGTAAAACGGAGAAAACAGCGATAAAAAATCGTCGGCCTAAATGTTTTCCCTTTCAATTGAAGCCAAGCAGACAACCTATGATGGCTTCATTTCTATGCTCTCTAATGTCACAACGCTTGATTCAAGTTTTGTCTCTCCCATGTATATTGTATCAGAATGACAGAATAATATTTTTCTTGATGTATTTTCATCCTTGACCTACTATACACCACTGTCCGCGAAGACCTCTAATAATTCCTTTAAACCTCCCACCTGTGTTTTATTCAGACCGTCAACCAGGCTGCGCCGAGTAACTTTAGTTTGCAGATTTATGGGAATGTTGACAAGTCGGGCATGGCGACGTTGACTTAATCTGATATATTGATACAAGATATGTATCTAACACACTATCACCATTGGTTAGAGCTAGACATATAGAATTATAAGTATACTTAATCTGGATATATCTTTATCTTTCATCTCACCCTTTACACAGCAATTTCAATATACGCCAGGACAAACCAGTAACCGCCCACTGAATACTATACTTATCGAAACTCACTCCTGTGCAGAACTTCATATTTATCTTGTGGTTCATATATGCAGAATGGTTGAAGCAGGCGCCTGTTATTGTAGATGCGTTGCCGCCAAGGCCGGCCCCGTGACTTGGATCTTTCTTTCACCACGCGCCATGACATCGACATGACAGATCTTCCCACTTTCCTCAAATACTAGATATGAAGGGCATCCGAGGCGCCTTCCTGGGAAGAAGTCTAGGCGCTACGCTTGTCCGCCGCTCTGACCCCCGCGATACACTCATAGCTGCTTCATTTTCTTCCGGCAACAACCCCAAGAACGAGACCGAGGGTATCGCAGATTCACAGCATGACCTTGAGGCGCTCAATCGGTTTACTTCAGGTCGTTGGCTTTGGAACGAGCGGGGGCAATTTGCCTGTCGCTATGTCAAGTTCGATCTCTCAGCCCTTCTGCAATTAGCTGCCTCTGCGGTCGGGTCGAGATCATGCACCCACGTGTTAAAGATCTCAGAGGGCCAATATAACAAAGTATTCCAGCTGACCATGGATGATGGACGCGAGATTATTGCGAAACTTCCAAATCCTAATGCGGGCAGACCACACTTCACGACAGCTAGTGAGGTTGCAACTATGGACTTTGTACGGTCTCCTTTTTTCCCACCGTAATTTCCTTCTGTGTCGGTACTAACTTTGTTAGTTGAGAAATGCTTTAAATCTCCCTGTTCCGAGAGTGTACGCATGGAGTTCTCGAGCATCAGAGAACCCTCTTGGAGCAGAGTATATCCTCATGGAGAAGCAGGCCGGCGTGGTGCTAACCGATGTATGGGACACCATCAAGGGAAAGCAGAATGTCCAAATTCTGGACCAGGTTGTCGATATTGAAAGGCGCCTAGCAGCTACGAAATTTTCCAAGTTCGGTTCCTTATACTATAAGGACGATCTTCCGGACAATTCTGATTCTGCTTCGTCTCTATACCTTGATCCAACTGGGAACAAAGTGTGGAGCAAAACATTTGGCATTGGACCGACTAATCACCGTTCTTTCTTTGACTTTGGGAGAGGCCAGTTGGATATTGAGCGTGGCCCATGTAAGTGCTTCTCCGAGCTCGTATGATGTTATCATCCTGTGCTTATCCATGCAAAGGGTCAACAGTTACAGAATTTATGACGGCTATTGCTAGGAGGGAAACTGCAACTGCAAAGGCAGGTCTCCGGTACCCTTTAATGCCGGAAGGGCTTTTCTATGGACCCAGACAATACCAGCCTAGCCTCTCCAAAAAGCTCTCCGCGTTGGAAGGCTATCTCAAGGTGGCACTTCAAGTCCTCCCAGAAAACGAAGCCACCCATGCCTCAATTTTATGGCATAGCGATCTTCATTCCCAGAATATATTTGTCGACCCCGAAGACCCAAGCCGTATTGTGGGAATTATTGACTGGCAGTCCGTCAGTGCATGTCCGATTTTCATCCAGGTTGGACGCCCAGCGTTTCTCGATTACAACGGTCCAGTTCCTGAAAACTTGGGGAAAGTTCCTTTATAAGCGAATTATGAGCCTATGGATCCAGATGAACAGCGAAAGGCAAAGGACCTTCATAGGGCACAGACACTGCATAACCTCTATCTAGTCCGGTGTCTGCAGCATAATGAAACAGTCTTTGAAGCGATACAGGGCCAGAATACTCTCCGGCATCAGGTTAGTGTGGTTCCAGGATTGGCCTTGATGGACTACGAGCCGCTCCTCAACACCCTGCTGAGAGATGTCGAGAAAGAATGGGGACGTATTGTTGGAGTGGGGGAAGATGGCAGATCTGCAACGCCGTTCCCATTACAGTACTCAGAAGGAGAAATCCAACAGCAAGAGCGGGACGGCGAGCTATGGGCCCAAGGTGTCGAACTCATGGATACATTTGTTGCCGACACTGGCTGTCTTAAACATTGGGACGGTAGAGTTAGCGATGTGGATTATGAGAAGTCGAAGAGAGAGCTAGATGAGGGGGTGAAGAGGTTCTTGGACCGTGAAGCCAGGAATCCTGAAGAGCAAAGGGAGTGGCTTGAGGCCCTAGTTTTCGTGGATTGAATATGCAGCAAGGCTGGGGATATCATGATGTTTGCTACGTTATGTAAAGATTATGTTTTTTAAGATGGCAGGATGGGTAGGAAAGAAGCAGTCTTGCTTGTTTACAAAGCTGATTAGTGGTATAATTGATTAAATAGACTACCATGAAAAGCTCTCCTCAATATAATCAACACTCGTACTGCCCGTTCGCCTCCGACAAGCCCTCCTCACAGCATCGCTCAATCCCCCACTCCCACAAACCATCACCCCCAGCGCCCCAATCTGGCTGTCCACCTCCATCCCAAGCAGCAAATCCACACTCGGCCGTCCGGGAAACATCTGCACAGTTGCGCTAGGACTAACAATCTCCTTTGTATTCCGAGGACGTGTAATAAACAGTTTGATCCGGAGTATGTCACGTCGTCGATCCATGCCGAGAATCTCAGTCATCCACGGACGAATCCACTCTAGATGTTCCGGCGACTGGATTATCCAGACTAACGTGATCCGGCGCACGGCGGTTGTTCTCTCTGCGTAGGATTGGACTAGATATCGTACGAAGGGGAGGTGGTGCGTGATTCCTACCCCGCCCGCGAAAAGGAGGATGGTCCCGTATGTATCTAGACAATGCGTGCCCCCGTACGGACCCTCGACAAACGCCGACAGTCTAACGCGAGAGTCTGGGGAGTTTGATACACGCTTGAATAGGCTATCTGTGAACCCCGTCCGGCGACGAATGAGGAGGGAAATGGTTTTGGTTTCCCTGCTGACATCGTGTGGAATTTTCTCGGTGATTTCTCCAGACGCGCCCCATGCAACTGAGAATGGGTGAGAGCTCCACCATCCGATAGATGGGATGTAGAGGTAGATGTGTTGGCCTGGTTTGACGCGCCATGGTCGTGCGAGGCGGAGAGATACCCGTACCGCGTCGCCCGGGAGGGCTTCTACGTCGGCTGTGGTGTGTTTGGTTGATATATTCCTGTATATGAGGATTATCAATCGGGTGGCTCGCTGCACCAGTGTTATTAGTGAGTTAATAGTGATGGTATTCAACGGGGAAAACTGGAGACCTACCTCAAACGCCCATAAGGTAATAGCGGCGACCAGATACTTGAGAGCATCGGCTTCTTTAGCCTTCAGGTGTACCCATAGCATAGCCAGACCAAGAATAACCAGACAAATATGCAAGTGAAGAAACGTCTCATAAAATGCATGGCGGATCGGAGAGACTGAATGGACCATGAGACCGACGAATGCACAGCAGGCCTTTTAATCAGTAAGGCATTGATATCAACAGGGAGGAACTTACCACAAGACCACTCAGCATGAATAAGCTCACTTCAAAGCGTGCTCCCAAGTAGCTCCAGCCACCTGATACATTGATTAGGGAAAGTAAGATATGATGTGGAGGTAACATACTCTTCTGCACTCTAGGAATAACATCCGCAAGCGCATGAGCGACCGCCTCAAGAACGACAATCCGCCCCAGCCAGCGATGTATCAAGTTCCAGGTATCAAAGGGGACACCCAAAAGGCCGACCAGAGGATTATTGCGACCAGCCATCAGAACCAGCGGAATGAGATTCACAGTGGCCATAGTGCCAGTTCTGTTCAAGATGATCTTTGATACTGTTGCTTCACTCTTTCCATATGGGGTTGTCACGAGACAGAGTGTGATATTCATCGACAGTATACCAATAATAACAAGCCCGTGCAGTCGACTCGGTAACGTACCCATGTTGATGGCGCGGGAGAGTTGGAATTCGCGATTATGACGTGTATGAAAGAGGGGTGCGTAGAGGAGGTGGTTTTTTATTCTCGCCAGGGTGGTATTCGGGATGAGAAAGTATTTCTGGTCCGAGTTGCTGAAGGTGTTTAGTCTTCGGAGGTGGGCGTTGAAGTGGAATACAGCCTTCCATACGTAGATAAGGACGGCGAGACAGCCGAGGGAGAGAAGTGCATAATGGGCCAGTTTGTCGTCGAGCAAAGTGTAGAAGGTACTAACGCTGCGTTTTTGTGTTTCCATGCTGTTAGTTTATCACGGAGACTATAGAAGATCAAAGAATGTATAGCTTTAAAGGAATATATAGGGAAAGTAGATATGAGAAAAGAGCGAGAGGAAAAACTATTCCATATAGAAATTGGGAAAATTGAGAATTCCAGATCGCGGGAATAGAAATACAAGAAGGGAAAGGATAAATGGACGAGTTTTTCCGGACTGGAGAATATACCCTCTCTTATAAGGAGGGGATAATGTGAAAAGGCGCTTAAGCATTTAATCCGAGAACAAGCCTTTTGACATGTCTCACAATCTCATGGTTTCATCTTGATGGAAATCCGATAAAATATATTGGTCAGAATCCCTATAGGGGGAAGGTGGATTAGGACGGCGCTTCCAAGTGGGAAGAGCGGTTATTAGGCCCCACTCGGTAGGGCTGACAGGGCTGAGCTGAAAGTTTTATGCCCGAGCCAGTCAGATCTATCATCTGCAACGCTTATTAAATATTTGCTCAAAATATTTGGTTGCCTAGAATGGCAGCCCCATGGTAGTCTGTCTTAAAATAGTTGACAAGTACCTCTCAAACTGACATGGTGTGTGGTACAGGATCTTATTTTCAAAGCACCAAACTCTGTCTAATCATCGCACGATGTAGCAGCGAAGTGGATATTATGTTAGATAGGCTCACCTTGACTACAAAACACTCGCCTAAGCTCAGTCTTGTTTAGGACCTTAATCTCATCCCTAACCTGAACATATACCCCTAACCCACTATCTTTGGGACATAATGCACACTAATATACCTTAGTATAGCTCTATTCCCCCCCTCTACTATCCTAAGAAGACGGTAGGATTATACGATTGAGTAAGCATTACAGTACTGTGCATTTTCTATTCTTGGATTAATTCATCACTATAGTAGTGGCTACATGATAAGCCAAATACTATCTCAAATAATCTGACGAAACTAGGTCAGTCTGACCAAAGGGATATTCTATCCGGCTGTTCATACAGTTTTAGGAGGATAGTATACAAAACAGTAAATATATATTACTAATCACTCAGCATGTATAAGGTATCTATCACTTTCTAGAGCTAGGAAAAAACGGTATGTATCTTCTTCAGCTCAGGCTTTGTCAGCTTCATGTTCAGTGGATATATGGTATGCCACCTACCTCTGAACTAGTCCATGAGCAATAAAAACAACAAGCAGCATTATAAACAGCAATAGACGGAAAAAGAGGTCTGTCAGGTTGGTAATGGTTGTTCATATTTGATAGAGTCATTACTCTCTCCATGTTGCTCTGGAGTATTTCCTCCCTTTTAGTTATATTGGACGATACTAAACAGGTATCTAGGATATATTACACCGCCAGACCTCCCTACCACAACACAAGTCTTTTGGCCCAAGTCAGAGGAAAAAGACTAGCTAGACAGGGGATAAACACAGCTGGAAAAAGTGAGTTTAATGAACCAGTCATACTTCAGAGTATCCAGTGAGTACTTTTAAAGTGGCACTTTTGGGTGTATACAGCTTACTAAGCATATGTTCATTCCTCATGTTGAATCACGCCGTACTAGTAATGACCAGGTTCTTTGTATGCAGTGAGAATATTAGCAGTTATATGAATCTCTAGCTGAAGAATCTTGATAGGTAAGCCTATTCCACCTCTATCTCATCTAGATCTAACTGGACAGATATACAGTCCTTGAATAAATACGAGATAGTGTCAAGCGGAAGATCATGCTCAGTTCAACAAATTCCGTTGCGTAAGTAGATTAGATTAATAATAATACCCCTATCCATCTTTGTTGATGAAGCTAGTTATGCGTTTAATGCCTGAATCCCTCTGTTGACGTACAACACTACTTATGCGCTGCGTTTTTCTGGTCGGAAATTCCGTGACGGTGGCGCTTATTGTCTGTGGATATATCGCACTTGGTGGGCTGCATGTATTTATATTCCGCAATTGGAGACAGATTAGCCCGTATGGGAGGGAAAATAAGGCTTAACCAAGATATGATTATGTCACGAGAATGAGATATTAAAATTTTACCAAACTTGTTAAGCAAATCTAATTCTTGGATAAGACAATGAGCAGGCCTTATGAAGCCATGCGGAGGTGCAGCCGGGATTTGAATTTGGATAAGTGGGCAAAGTCAAATTTGGTCCTGCATAAAGTCTGAAAATGCACAAGCCAAAAGTTATGAACATACCTTACCCAACATAAAGACCCACTTTGAATATGCGGTTTCGACACCGCAGCCAGACGCAAGAATTAGTTGTACGTTATTATTATCTTCATTATTAGGGAAAATACAATATTCATGAGACTGACTACTTGTATATATCACAAGAAGTCCCTGTTGTAGTTGTGTTAATTATCTAAGTGAGGTCGAAGATAAATTCCGGTGAGACGCCATTGAGGCGAAATAGTCGAGATCAGCGCCTAGCCTTATGAGTTATGAAATGAAACCAATCATTACGTTTTCCCATAGGTAAGTTATGCAAATTATGCCGCATGAGATTCATAGCGAGGCTGCTATACAGACCTGGTCTATAGTTATGCAGTTCATAAGCCCTCCTCTTTTAATTGATATTAAATCTCACCTTCATCCCTATTTCCCCTCCCCCCCTCCTTTTGTTTTTCACTCGAAAACTCAAAATCATAAAGAATGTCGACCGTGGGAGATCCCGAAAAACAAAACGACGAGCCCATTGACTCGGGCGTCAAAGTCTACCCAGAGACAGACCTCGACAGAGCAATCGTAGGCTGGGAAGGCCAAAATGACCCTGCGAACCCGCAGAATTTCTCGTCAGGGAAGAAATGGGCGCTGTTGTCGCTTGTCAGTGCGATTACGCTCATCTCTCCGCTGGCGTCAAGTATGTTTTCGCCTTCGGTGGGATATATGGGCGCCGAGTTTGGCGAGTCCAATGAGATTCTGCTGTCGTTTAGTGTGACGGTCTTCGTCCTGGGATATACCGTAAGTCGTATACTACAGGTGCACTCTACTTTGATATGTGGAATGTAACTAACAATGACAGGTCGGACCTCTCTTCCTCGCCCCCCTGAGTGAAATCTACGGTCGTCGCATAATCCTCAGCTGCGCAAATTGGTTCTTCGTCGTGTGGCAGATCGGCTGTGCGCTGGCGCCCAACATTGCCTCGTTGATCGTCTTCCGCTTCCTCGCGGGCGTGGGTGGCGTTGGCTGCATCACGCTTGGAGCAGGCGTGATCGCAGACCTGTTCCCGGTTGCACAACGAGGAATGGCGACATCGATCTGGAGCCTGGGGCCGCTGGTTGGGCCGGTGATTGGGCCTATCGCGGGTGGGTTCGTGGGTGAGACGATTGGCTGGCGATGGGTGTATTGGATTCTACTCATTGTGTCTGGGGTTATTTCGTTTGGGATTGAGTGCTTGAACAAAGAGACGTATGCGCCTGTTTTGATTCGGTGGAAGACGGCCAAGCTGATCAAGGAGACTGGACGGACGGATCTGTGCAGTGCGTATGATGTGCACAAGGGCGAGGAAGGGGTGTCGCTGGGGAAGACGCTGGGGCTGGGGTTGAAGAGGCCGATGCTGCTGCTGTTCAAGTCACCCATTGTGATGTTGTTGTCCGTCTACATGGCCTTTGTGTATGGTCTGTTGTACTTGTTCTTCACGACGATTACCTCCGTCTTCGAGGGCCAGTATGGGTTTTCGACTGGTCTCGCAGGCCTCGCATACCTGGGCATCGGGGTGGGTTTCTTTGTTGGCATCTTCATCATTGCGATGACCAACGATAGAATTGTCATCAAGCTCACGGCCAGAAATAACGGCAAATTCGAACCCGAGATGCGTCTACCGACAATGATCTTCTTCAGCTGTCTCCTCCCCATCAGTTTCTTTTGGTACGGCTGGACAGCGGATAAAGACGTTCAATGGATGGCCCCTATCGTCGGCATGGTTCCCTTTGGTGTGGGAATGATGGGTGTCTTCATGCCCATCCAGACATACGTCATCGATTGCTATCCATCCTACGCAGCATCTGGTGTTGCAACCTTGACAGCGGTGCGATCGCTGGTTGGTGCGTTGCTCCCTCTGGCTGGACCAAAGATGTTTTCAACATTGGGATTGGGATGGGGAAATTCCTTGCTGGGTTTTCTGGCGCTGGCGTTCGTACCTGTTCCGATCCTTTTCAATCGTTATGGAAAGTCGATTCGGGAGCGGTCCACTGTCAATCTTGATTAATCGGTGAGGGGGATGAGTGGTGAGGAGCAGTATATAATTAATATCATAGATAAGAAAAGTTTTGCTATTTCCAACTGTCCAATCCTACGGACGAAGAATCAACCGAGTCATTCCATAAATGAACCAATCGATCTGACAATATGAATTATCCGAAATAGATTAAAGCTTCATAGTGGATCTAACGTTCTAATGACATGCCTTCAAATGGTTACAAGCGACGCTTCTCTCGCCAGTAGCAGAATAGATACCGGGTCTGAAAGAACAGAACAGCCACAGAGCAACAAAAGGTTGAAGAGTTGTTTCGTCTGGGCGCATTAGAGCGCTATGATGGTTTTGCTGGGTATGCCGTTTTCTATACCAGTTAGACCTGTACTCATTCTAGTATTCTTATGTTCTAACATATTGAACCGCATCCGTGGCACCGCTTGCTGAGGCTTTTATCTTATTAGGATAACCACCTTACATCCTACTGTTATATGTTTCTGTCCTTTTATTATTGGTGGTTTTGTTTTAAATAAGTTGAAGAGTTCAACTTATACAAGCGATATCGGCTCAAAGACATGATCATCGTGACTAGCTTCACCATTCATTAATCCATGCACATACGTTTCTCCAATGAACCTTCGGCTCTTAGTATCTGAGCCAGGAGTTGACGTCTTCCCCAGAACAAACGGTGTTCGTGTCCCAGAAATCACCCACACTTCATCTCCGGGGTGTACATGCCACGGCCCAAGCCCGAGGTACCCTTTTTTGGTTCGGTAGAGCAGTCGTCCTAGGTGGAAATGGGTGAACGCCTGGTCAAAGTCGCCGTTGTTGATCTTCACTGCTCCATCAGTCTTTCCTATCCTGTCCTGCGCCACCCCGTATTGCTCAACTTCTTCCCAAGATGGCAGTGAGTTAGAATCATCAAACTCGCGAACGAGGTTGATGTCCTTTGTTTTATCTTCTTTTGTCCCGCTCGGGTCCGCCCATAGTGCTCTTTGGATGAAGTAGCGGAAGGAGGATCGGGCATCGCCAATGGGATCCTTTGATGTCAATGAGAGGTAGCCGGCCATCAACGTCTGCCAGAGTGCCTCGACACGGCTTTGTCCGGTCGGAGTATATTTGAGGTCCAGACCGGCGATGAATTGTAGCCAGCTTCGCGGGCCAAATTGTATTTCTGTCACCTCACCGGTACTTTCTTCCACGTAATCAATTTCATCAACTAATGTGCCGGTCAGCTTCAGGGTACAAGGATCATCCCCAGGAAGAATCATATCGCGGTTGTCGCAGATACCACCTGCCGCGAAACGTGATGACCACAGACGGGGACTGACCAGAGGTGCAGTGAAATCAGGGACCCATGATGGCAAAGATCGGCCATCGAGACTGTGAGGGCTATGTGGGTTTCGTTGCACAAAGGACAGTCCTTCGAGACGTTCGAAAACCTCACACGCGCCTGTCTGCCATGATTGAAATGGCTCATTGGGGGCTCCCTGCATGAAGATCTGGCCAAACCGAGTGAACACCTCCACTGTGGACGTGGAGTAATCGGCAACGATGCTGTGCGTGGGGTCCTCACACAAACGGGATGCACCGATCAAAGCAAAGACTTTGTCCCTCGGGTCCGTCGCTCGAAAAGACCAAACTCGACTGGCTAACAGTGGAAGACTGAGTTTATCCTCCCATGTTGGGACTAGAGAGATACCTTCTTCTCGCACATGACAGGGAATCACCCTCGAACGCTCAAAGGCATATTTGGATGTTCGCACCCTGATGTCGGTTAATATACTCAATTCACTCCCGCCGAATCCCTTCCATCGGGCCAGTTCCAATGCCTGGGCAAGAATCCGCCTATTGATGCGGGATGGAAGCCGAGGATGATGAAGCGCCTCAAATAACTTGAAGTAGATAAACTCATGGCGACCACAGAATACCCGGATTTGCTTGGCCAGGGCGACTTCTTGAATAATCCAAACACGCGTAAACCAGCTTCTTGTAAAGAACCTCACAATAGCCTGGTATTGCAACGCTGCTTCGCTTGCTCCCTTTTTCGAGACTGAATCTGCAGGGCTATTGATGGAGCAGCTCTTCGCCACATCCCTATACCACAAGCACATGCTGGGCTGATCCGGGTAATGTATCATGCCAAACGCAAGCTCGGTGCTCTCATCCTCCACCCCTAGCCAAACGAACACTCCGGAGGCCTTGGTATATATCATCGACATGATGGCGACCTGGGCATTGCGCTCTGGGATGTCATTCTGGTTAATGCATATCGCATCAATCCAGAAACGTCGACTATCCATATGAAAGAGCGGTTGTGGTGTGCTGCCGACCAGCTCGTCGATATCAGCCCGTTCCAAATAGCCAATCGTCTCCGCAAACTGTCCGCATTCCCACAGTTTTGCGCAGTCGAGTGGTGTACGTCCTTTCCCATCTCGCATGTGTACATCTGAACCAGCCCCAACTAGTGTTTTGACAATTTCGAAATGCCCATTCTCTGCGGCGTAGTGCAAGGCCGTTTCGCCAAATACGTCCTGCGCCGCAAGGTCTGCACCCCGGCCTAACCAGAACATGAGATAATTCTCATCCCCATTCTCTGCAGCCTCGATGAGGCCAGTTTTGTTGTATGGCTCCGTGCGTTGGTCAACGTCTAGCTCTCCAGTCTTCAGCTGCTGTAGAAATTCATACAGATTCTTGGTGACAAAGAAGATCTCTCCGTCGAGGACGACCGGGAAATTATTCATGGGTCCATATGCCTTGGACTGATCTGATTCTGGTGGAAATGGAGACCCCCAGGTGTACGATAAAGCCACAAATGCTGGGCTATCATTAAGATCGACGACATTGATGGATAGTTGGATGAGGGGAACATCACACACGCAAATATCAGAGTCACCGTCGAGTAAAGTGACCAGACGAACTGATGTTGGTGTAGGAAGGGGTTGATACTTGAAGCCTTGGTTACTCATGTTGCGAATCTGGGTTCTTTGAAGATGGCGGGGACTTCAGCTGGTTCTTGATATTGCCTCTGCCAGCCTTGTCGATTCAGCCTTGACACCCAACGAGGCTGGCGTCTAATGACTTCGCAGAAATAATGAACCGCTCCGAATTGTCCGTGTAGCATAATTAGCTACTAATACCTGAGATATTTGATAATTGCTTGAATTCTTCTATTTTTACACGCCGCTAAGCTGCTTGATGGCAATCCAGCCTAACTTAATCCTAGCCATTTTCTTAACACACTGTTGGGATATCCATGGATTACGAAATTTATTATAATAGGAGATATAAATATATCTGTATACTTTGGTATCAGAAAGTAGAGAAAATATGATTATTTTATCAAACGGGGTTTATGGTCTCCCCACTCCACCGCGGGGGCGGGGTCCACGGAGTGGGGACAATCTTCCTGTCGGTGGAAGCAGCGACGCCGTTCATCCAATCAGCCACTCTCAAGCAAGATGATGATATCTATACACTGGTTATCAATTCCTCAATGCCATACAGTTATATTTCATCCAAGAACCTCAATCTCATCCCCAACGTGGACATACACCCCCAACCCACTATCCTCAGGAACACAATGTACACCTATATACCCCAGCGCAGCTTGATTCCCACTCTCCACCATCCTGTGCTTCACCAAAGTTGTACTCGGCTGTGGTTTTCCCCTTTTCTTTCCTGAAGATGGGATATCTGTATCGACTTTTCCAGTATCTGGGTTCACATTGGGCATTGTACATCGTGATGTGCGGCAGACTACGGCTAATGTAGCTCGTTGTTTATCGGTACTAATGCTGGGTTTTGGTAAAATGCGGCATCGTGTCCAGCTTTCTTCTGCGTATGCGGGCGCGCCTGTAATCCATATATTTGCGCGAAAACGCAGCGCGTTGAGGGGTTTATTTTCGTCCGGGAGGAGGGCTGATACAGCTTGTACTGAAGACAAGCTGTTGATATTAATCGGTTGCTGGTCTGTATAGCCATGGACGGATGGAGAGCCGATGTATTCTAGGGGTGCGAGACTCCCTTCTGTACGGGTGGGTGTGTCTGGGGTTGTCTTGAAGAGAGTAAGGCGTTGGGTATGTGGGATTTTGAGAAAGGTCTTTAATTTCGGCAGTGCTGCTGCCACGGAGGGAATGATGCCCATGTCCAGACCGGTTGTTGTGCGCTTGTGAATGGTGAATTGTTTCAGTGTTAACCCGAATTCGTCGATCTGAGTTGGTGTTGGCTGAAGAGGGACGATGAAGGATATATGAGGCGTAGCGAAAAAGTCCCCCGTATGGTAGAGCATCTCCAACCGCCTCATCCATGAATGATGGATATCCACATCTGGGAATGTCAGAAGTATACACCCACCAGCCTGAACGAGTGGATCCAGGGCATCACTCCTCTCATGCGGAAGCCACAACTCGGTTTTAATCTGCGTCATGAGCGGCTTCGTGCGCTGGCTGATGAATCGCCATTTCGGACCCGAGTCGGAGTTCTCTTCCGTCGCGAATGAAAAATATCTATCATACATGAACCCGGTCTTGGTGAGCAAGGCTTGATTGACTTCGATGTACCCGCATGATTTGACGGGGTGGATGTATAATGCTTTGATCCGTGGTTTGCTTGTGTTGGGACTGTCTTCTGAAATGTTGTATTTGGGGTCATATTGATCGGTCATGTTGCTGGTAGAGAGGCCAATTCTTCGCAGATGCTTCAGCTTTTGGTGTGTAGTTGAAATATCTCCATTTTGAATGAGGATTACGATGAGCACTGGAGGGATGAGAAGAAACACGGTGGTATAGATGAGAGTAGAAGTGTCCAGTGTATCTGGAAGACTGTGTAAAAGTTGAAGAAGCATTCTGTAGGAGCTTCAAGTCTGATGATGAGAGTAGAAGGAATTCAGAAAAGTCCAGTATCCTAGGCTATTTATTATATCTGGTGGAGAATCAAAGTCCGTTTTAGGAAGGTCGCAGGAGTGGGTCTCGGAACCTTAAGGGTAGCCATTGATAGATGAGTATTTATCGGCTATATTGGTGTATGCAATGTCATATCTAGAGTGGATTGCTTGTAGTCGAGTACTAGCCCAATAGGGATAGCGATGCTGTAGGAAGGTACTGTGGATTTTTACTCTGGACAACAATCACCAGCATGATTACTGGGTTTTTATTTCCAAGATTAGATTAAGTCATACATTAGAAGCTAGTACCTAGAGTATCTACATAAATTGTTAAATTAAACCTTATTGTCTATCTTTCATCAGGGGTACTTCTTTTTTGCTGCTGGGGCTGAGCCAGTGGGAGGCTTCAGTCAACTGATCTAGATTAGGTGTGACTGTGCATAGCCGTATGGAAATATATACCACTAACTAAACAGGCAGTGGGGCAGTGATCTCTGGATCTAGATAGGATCGACGGAGTACAGTAATACAGTTCTCTTCAGGATCGGCTTAATTTCTTCCCAAGGAGTGATTGAATCACTCGCTTCCAACAAGGTTGAGGCAATGATCGTCACTTTAATTTGAATCCCCGCAACCTTACCTTGAAACAGCCTTTATAAAAAAATGCTTCTCCTACTAAATGATTATATGTCTATAATATTCAAGCAATCAAACCACGACAGGAAAATCACTGCCAAGTGACTCACCGCCGCAGTCTTTAATAATGGACGGGGAGAGCTGTCGACTAAAAATAAGATCCCCTCTGAAACTCTCCACCGCGCAGCACATGTCGTTGTCCTCTGGTCTACGCAGCGATTGCCCTCTTCACCTGGTCGGTCTTTTGTTAGTGATGGCGGTCCAAGGGAATTAAATGCTTGACTGGGTGTTTTCTTTCGTCAGCATATCCATCACCAAGTAGCATCACCAGCCCCATTACCCCGCCCTAACACCGCCCCAATCAGCTTACTATCGGAAACGATAGGCTATCTAGCTACTGGATGTGGTTAGTGCCCATCCCGATGTAGATTAGAACGGTAAACTCCAAATGTGGCTTATCCCTACCAGGCTGCCACATTGCATTAGGGTAGGAATCAAAATGCATATAAACAGACTTTAGCTGCCCTGCTGCGGATAAACAAACCACAGCATAAACAGCAAGTGTGTACCGTGTCCTCTATTTTGTCTTGTTCCTAACTTGCAAGCAGAACACCTCCCTACAGCAGTCAGAGGTACGTGCTAATTATCCACCACCTAGCCATTTCCAAGCTGACGTGTAAAGCAAATCTCGGATTATATATACCATGCGGGAGCCCGCCACAGTTCTATGGGGTCTGAGAATTAGTGACACCGACTTTCAAAAACTCAAAGTCGGTTTCCAATCTCGGGATATGGATGATAAGTGGAATATCTTGCCGGCGGTCATGGATGAGAGCCAGAGTGATCACATCTCCGTCCACTTTTCTCGCAGCTGGACTGGTATAGAGCACCATATACTTTTCATAAAACCAAGTGACGATGGTGCGATGATTGAAGCTATCACATGGGAACAGAACCGGAATGGAATTCGCATTTCAGAAGAGTATGCTAAGAAGGAAGCAGTCATGCTAAGCAGAGGCTGGCTAGAGTGTGATTTCGAGGCGCTTCCAGTGTATGACCGCTCAGATCTATAGAGTTGTCCTACTGCTCATATAGGCGGCAAGTTGACAATAAACACCGCATCGTGCGACCTCTTCGAAGACTCTGCTCTTCCCATCCAGAATCGCTAGAGTATTAGCCCTATAAATGGTGATTAATATTATATGAACAGTACTTGGTAACTATGAGGAAGAACGTGTGAGAAGGGATACTAGTAATCTTAGCATTATCAAGACTAGTGTAAATAACATAAAAGACAAAGCAGCAGTATCCATAATTCCCCGCAATTTCCCGTTACTCATCAGGTAATTTAGAGATATACCTATCTCGTACAGTATCCATTCTCACAGCGGAACCATGGGCAGCATTCGCCATTCTTCCCACCGCAGGAAGTAATTTCACCCCGACACGCCTGTTATAATTAGCGTTCACTCTGGATCTCATATATGATGATAGAGCTCACCTTCTTCTCAAAGATGTCCCGACGCGACGTCGTTGGCGGGTTACAGATGCCATCGATACATATCCAGCCCCTTTCACAGGGGTTGGTGTTTGAGCATGTTTTCCAGCTTGCGCTGTTTTCAGATGCTTCGGATGCTTCGGTTGCTTCGGTTGATTCTTCCTCAACCTTATATTGTCAGTATTTGTGAAGTGTAGATGGAGTGTAAACGTACATCTCTCTTCCCGCCCGAGCCCTGGTTGACACATTTACCCTTGACACACCACAGGCTCACGCAGCAGGCAGACTGATTGGCGCAGGGCTGGCCTCGAATAGCACAGGACTGAGATGTTAGCTATAATGTAGTTAATATAAGAATAGGGTGTATACCCCTCTGCCCATGAGTTCATCAGCAGCAGCTTCAGGACTGGGCGTGGCCAGAGCAATGCCAATAAAGGCAGTGATGATGACGTAGAGAAAGCGCATATTGATATTTAATGATATAATTGAGATGATTAATATGATAATTGATTGCGTTTGATTATGAGCAGATGGCGGAATTCTACAGTGTTTATATAGACTTAGACAAGTATATTTAAGGCACACAGCATCTGCATGATCCAACGTAAGATGATGTTCATTGCCTGATGAAAACTGTCGATAGCTATTCTGCAGTACTACAAGGCGATGCAACCGTAGTGCAATTGCATAGCCAGTTCTAATAAAGTACCCTGCCAAGTGTTGATAAATAGTATTCAACAAATCAAAACTTCCACTATGTATAAAGTGCATCTGCAGATGACCTCAGATACAGTGTCGATCACAACCCATTACGCTGCTTATTTCTGGGACAGCCAACTGTCAAATAAGGCTGTACACCCTCAGCCTTGTTGTGTTGTAATTTGATTCGCTGCTGCTTACCCCGCATGGCCCCAATTGGTATCAGGACTGATGCGGGCTGTGTCAGGCCGGCCGACCATTGTTGCACTACCTGTTTGTGGCAAAATGAACAACACTGCTTGGTACATCGGTCATATGACTCTAGAGATATTAAATGGCCAGGTGACGATATCCATTCAATAACTGCCTAAATCACTGTCCATTTCCACCACTCCCACATGTTCCACCGCATCAAGACGAGGCATACGGTCTGCAAACCGTTCCAGTGCTCCAGGATGCACACGAGCCCGATCGACAATCTTGACCTTTTCGAGATCCGGAAATAGCACCTACTTTGTCAACACAATACTTAACAACAGCAGACACAACATACCGCGATCTGCTCAAACATCGAGTCCCACTCCCCCCGACTCGGTCCATACGTGTCAGGATAACTATCAAACTGGGGATCGATTTCCAACGCCCGAAGATGACTATTGCAGAGTCTCGGGATATGAATGCCACCGTCATGACGACCCTCGCTCTTCAACTGTAGAGTGTGTAATTTTGGAAAGAAAAGATCACGTAGCGGACCATCTTTCTCTTCCGCATAATCTATACCCACCGTGCAGAGCGTTGCTGTCTCAATGTAATCCGCGTAGAACTGTCGTCGGGGAGGATCGATCGCAGCCATGATTTCTGGGAGGTTGATGTAGAGGTAATATTGGTCTGGTTCAGTCCAGAGATAGCGGACTGCGGTGTGGAACCAGAGTTTGCTCACCAGGATGCATTGGAAGAGATAGTATGCTCGGCTGTGGATGTATTTTTCTTGGTTGATCCACATGAGGATGTGTGAGAGGATCTCGGGGAGAGAAAGGGCGTGGTGGATGGGATTATGCATGTTGATCTGATGTGCCATACATACAGTATGTTGTTCATGCTGATTTATATAGCTGTATCCGCTATGACTCATCGTCGCTATTAAGCTGTTCTAACTATTGGTTCTAGGACTTTTAGGCACCACAATAGCATATGGAAGAATATGTGGAACAGAGGTATAATAGTAAAATATAGATAATATAACGAACTTCTATTTTACGCTTCTGTTTATTAATTAGATAGAGGAGGATCTATAGTCTGCCATCAGACCCGGGATATCTTTCGACGCTATGTGGTGGAATCAAGTTTATTCTTTGTGCATGTGTTGATCTCGAAGACAAAGTCACCAGAATGCTAATGAATGTTTTTTT